CCTCTCCAGCAATAGTACCCTCTCCAGCAACAGTACCCTCTCCAGCAATAGTACCCTCTCCAGCAATAGTATCCTCTCCAAGTATCGCCTTCCCTGTCGACTGGCAGAACCTCATAGACAGTATGTTGGGGAACTTTGAATCCCCAACCGATTAGACCTCCAGTGATGATATCGGCACGCCAGTAAAATTGGGGATGACAATTTTGGCCTTGATCCAGGGTCGTCTGTGGTAAGCTTTCAAACCTCATATATCCGGCCGAAAATGTGACATGCACATATCCCCGGATACAGCCTGTCTGGTCTCCCATTGATCCACAAAATAGAGTTTTCACAACACCCGACCATCAATCCGAACGTGCATGTGGCCACTAAATATTTGGGATCTGGGGATAACTGGGGTATGCGACCTGGGGTATGCGTCCTGGGGGTGCCCTGCGGCAAAGGGCTTCAGGCAACTGAAGGCGCAAGGAGTACGAGTACAAAGAGTCTTGCTTTGCCCAGACTCTCCCGTGCGTCCACCCGATTAACATCTTCTCTCAATCAGAGTACCCAAGTGCGATCTTCAACCTCAGCCAAACATGCTCGAGAACCTCCAAGGTCGTGGGCTGAGTGCCGGTATCTCACTGGCCTGTGGTTTCGCCTTCCTCCTTTTCGGCTACGATCAAGGTCTCATGGGCGGACTTCTCTCCAATCCGCGGTTCGTCGAGACCTTCAACAATCCGAATCCCACAATCCAGGGCCAAATTGTGTCTACCTACTATCTCGGCTGCATTGTGGGAGCATTTGTCTCCATCTTTGTGGGCGACACATTTGGTCGAAGAAGAGCCATCATGCTCGCATGCACCCTGGTCGTCATCGGAGGCACCATCCAGGCGTCCTCGTACTCCTTGGGTCAACTATTCCCTGGCCGTGTCATTGCAGGCATGGGCACTGGGATGAACACCACGGCTATCCCCATGTGGCAAAGCGAAACTAGCAAGGCCAAACACCGAGGGAAAATGATCGTCCTTCAGCTCACCTTGGTCCTTTCGGGCGTGGTTGTTGTCAGCTGGATGAACTACGGTTTGTCCTTCGCCGACGCGACCAGTGTCAGCTGGCGGTTTCCCATTGCATTCCAGAACTTCTTCGCCCTCACTGCTATTGTGTTGACATTCTTGATGCCGGAGTCGCCTAGATGGCTTTGTCTCAAGGACCGCAATGACGAAGCCCGGGCTGTCATTGCCCGTCTCGCTGCTGCGCCGCCGGGGTCGTTGGAGGTTTCCGAGGCTATGGCCCTTATCTTGGAACAGCTTCAGCGCGAACGAGAGCTCTCAGGGACTCACTGGAAAGAGGTTTTCACCAATGGAAAACAGCAAAACTTTTACCGGATATGCCTCGGGGGTGGATGCTTTGTCATGCAGCAGATGGGCGGCATCAACGTGTCCGCGTCCTACCTTCCAGTCGTTCTGATGCGGGCATTTGGCTTCAGCGACAGAATGGCTTTGGTCCTCGCCGCGGTTGCTTCGATGACTTTGGTCCTTTGGGGTGCCCTTGGTGCTCTTCTTATCGACAGATTTGGCAGGGTCAAGCTTATGTTGATCGGGGCGACTGGAATGGGCCTCTGTTACATTTTCGTCGCGGCTGGTCTCAGCCAGAATACGAAAGGCTGGAATGCGGTTGCTGTCCTGTTCTTATTTATGTACTACGTCCCCTACGTAAGTCAAGTCCGTGATGCATATTTGCTGAATTTCGGCTGACACTCCCAGGGCCTGATGTTCGTGTCCATTCCATACATGTACCCAAGTGAAATCAATTCTCAGGTGATGAGGAATACGGGCACCGCTATTGCCATGGTGACGAATTGGCTTTTCGTCTACATCATAGTCTTGATAACGCCAGACAGTAAAGTACCCAGTCTCTGGAAATGGGATCCAAGCTAAAATGCAGAGCAGGTCTTGCCAACATTGGCTGGCGCTTCTTCATCATCTTCGCCGTCCTCAACATCTCTTTCGTGCCATTCATCTGGTACTTCTATGTGGAGACTGCGAAGCTCAGCTTGGAGGAAATCGATCGAATGTTTGAGATTTATTACGACTCCGGAAAGAAGATCACTTTCACAGAAGCTGCTCTTCGTGCCAAGGAGGAGTCCGCGGAAATCGTGCGACAGGTTGCGGAAAGGACGAACAAGCCTGAAGGTGTCGAGCTCACACAGATTGAGAAGACGTCAGCCTAGTTTTAACTTCGATGGCTTAAGGACTCCTACTAAGGTGATGCATCGTGGTTGAGAAGATAGTGAAGAGGTTACGATTGTATCTTGCCTGCCACTTGTCTTTAGCGTTCTCAAGTCGATCAATATGTGCTCAATACAAGCATACACTCGCTGACAGCACTGCTGGACACGAGTAGCACAATCATGGTCGAATTTAGGATATTCATTCTCAAATAAACGACGACACATCTCTTTGTCATATTCTTCGTCAGCTTTACAAGGCGGAGACACGAGATCATAGAAGGATCCTTGACCGGACATGTTGAAATATACTGGACTCAGAGACAAAATGATCTTTTTTGGGTGTCCATTTGATCTCAATCTCGTTGCGTATAGTCTGTATCGAACTCCCTCCCCCAAGTCGTAGAGGACGACTGTGCCACCCTCCCGCACGTGATAGATCTTGAGGATAAATGATTTTCCGGGTGGCTCAAAAGATGCCGGGAGCCTTTGCCTCGGGCTGAGCAAAGAAGCCACCTGTAGTGTGTTAGAGACCTTTGCTTGCCCAGTACCTACCTAGGTAGTGATGATGCCCCTGAAGTCCTGCCAACGGACTGGCGAAGTGGCGATGAATAAATTCAAGAAAATTTCGACATACGATTTGATTGAAGCGCCGCACCCCCTGTTCGCACCGCCAGGGCCAAGGTTACAAGGGAATTGAGGCAGCAGTCGTAAGGGCCGGGGACGTGCCAGATTCACTGATGCCCCGTGTGAAACAAATGCCTAGTCGAGAGGCAAGTTGTAGCCGATCGAAGGGGCCAGGTTAGGTCTCCAAGTGTGTTTGGTCAGGGCGTGCTCAGCCGACGCCTAAAGGGGACCCCTGAGCGCCCGAACTGGCTTCTGCGAATGGGCTTGGGGCATGGGTAGCGCTCCCTGTGGCTCGCCCAGTGCGTGCTCCCGTGCTCGGCCGGGCCTCCTCCATACTCGGTCACATGCGCAATTAAAGTGGATGCAAACGCCACGGGATAAAGCACAGTTCGGGGCATATATAATATACATAGTATATATATATATACTCTCGGCTAGGAAATTGCGCACTATGTAAAAAAATTGGTCGGTGTCATCACCAAGGATAACTCCTCCTCTCATCTTCCTCGTCCACCTTGAGGCCGCGGTCCAGCTGCTCCTGGTGTTTCCGGTCGAGGTACTCGAGCAAGACAGCCTCGTACTTTCCCTTGCCCTTGTATCGGGAGACGTCGTCGCCCCAACTGCGGACGGCGCTGGCGAGACGACCGGGCACATAGTCCTCGTCGGCGATTTCTGTGATGGGGTGGAAGTACGTGCGGATGGTAAACACCACGCCGCCGCTCTTGGGCAGACGGCGCAAGGTCTGGCGCTCAGAGCGGAAGAAGTGGTGTTGGATGGCGCGGTCTTTCTCAGCCGTGTTCCAGCTTATGTCGGGCGAGTCCTCGGACCCGATCGAATAGGACCAGGCAAGGTCGTCGTCGACTTGTAAGAAATAGTTGTTTCGCGCGACGAGCTCCTCGGGCTTGAGCCGGCGGAAGAAATTCATCATCCCCTTTTCGAGTTTTTCCTTGAACTGCGGGACGTCGCCCGACGTGTGGATCTCCGAGAGCGGCATCCCGTATTTGTCTTCCAGGCGCCAGAACCCGGGGAGGAGGATGGCGCCCGCGAGGAGGTAGTATTGTCCGTCGGCGCCTTCGATCATGATCGCCAGGTCGTCCTGTACCATTCGTGCGGCGGTCTGCATTGGATCCTCCGGTAGCGGGCGGGACGTCGTGTCCAGCTCCTCGCCCGACCAGAGGTTCTTGACACCTTTCTCCGTGCGCTGGTACAGCGTCGGGTACCGCTCCGGTAGATAAGCGCGGAATTCTTCGAGCAGTTCCAGGGCGGCCGGGAGCGCTTCCGGGGCGGTCTTGCAGCATTTGTGCCCGCGTTCCTGGATCCGCCGCGTCTTGTCCGCGTGATATCGTGGAAAGTGGTTGTCCAGTTCGATCCAGTCGTCCCATTTCACATTCCGCAGTCCCATGGTCACAAAGTACTTGGGCCCGTACCGGAAGGGTCGGTAGGGGAGTGGTTTCGTCTTCTCGATCGACCAGTCCTCGTACGCCGGGGGTTTGGGCCGTTGGAAGTCCGATGGAATCCATGTGCCTGGTTTCCGGGCCGCTGTGCCTGCATTATTTGAGCCTTTGCTGCTGTAGGTTGCCTTTTCCAGCTGTGGTGTCGGCGGCGTCGATGCGCGGGAAGGGTAGCGAGAGTGCCGGCGCGAAGAGATGTACCGGCTGATTGCAAAGGCGAGGAACACGAAGAGAGTCAATCCATAGACAACCTCTTTGAAATGTGGCTTTTGTGACAGTGCTTGCAGGTCTAATTGGGCTGATTGGAGAATTGCGGAGCAATGGTGTTTGGATTTTTGGAACTGCTCGTTGGCTTGCTCAACGTACGGTCGTATATGGGTATTCGCTTGCTCAATGTACGGTTGTGACCGAGCAACCAGGTCGGAGATCTTTTGCCTGAGGGATTCCGAGTCCATGGTGGTGGTTGTGGACACGCGGGAGAGACAACGGCCTTGTATTGGAAAGCGAATGATGCAGACTAGGGCAAAACTTTCAAAACATTAAAACTTGAAATCAAAGGAGCCAGGGCAGGTATATGAACTTTTGAGAAATGGAATCAATGTCTGCATTCGACGTGCTGATCCGCCGAGGCCAGAAGCTTCCCCTGTTCCCCCAGCGCTGGTGGCGCCGGACCTCCAAACGTGCGGTGCTGTTATCGCATGGCCACGGAGATTCTTATCATTGACCTCTGATGTCAAAGGCCTGTGGTTGGTCTTGTCCAATCACCTCGCCTCGAAGGCACTGGACAAAGATACCTCTTTGGGAATGGCGTCTTTTGTACCCCAGGGACAGTGTGTGGAATGCGGCAAGCCACCGCGATCTCATGATTTCCAGCCAGCGCAGCGGACATGGCCGTGGGGCTGCTCTGAAATGGATTGCCGCAGGTAAATATCCGAACCACCCACGTTATGTTTGGGTTATTTCGAGAATGCCCTGCTTGTCGGCAGAGTCCCTTATGTTCAAACCTCTCTCCGGCGCAGCAGGCAGTGTTCACCCCAGCGTCGTCGATATTTGGGAGGAATGAACGGTAGTTCGGGGATCCAGATCGTCCTCGCAAGAGTCCCAGTTCGCGAAGCATCCAAAAATGGTGCGCAGGCAATCTTTTCCCAATTATCCGCGTCCAGAATATAGAGTGGTTCGTGCTCGGTAGCCTCCATGCCCGGCATATATGAGTCGACCAAGAACGTGCAGTGTTGAGCATCGATATACTTTGCAGGATCTTCTTCGTTTCGGTCGTTCATCCCAGCCGGTATCAACCAGGTTCCTGGAAAGAAACCGAACCCAGACTTGCCCTCGTGAAACTCTCCAGGCAAGAGACCGTCGAATTCGCTTTTGATGAATTTCGCATGGATACCGTTGGGGAGAAAGTGCGAAGATGGGAAGCGATACCAATCCTTGCCGAAGCAGACTGTATTGTCTGCCTGCGTCAGATTTGACGCTTTGAGACTGTCGTATATTTGCAATGGAGCCCTATACGCGGTCAGTGTACCCACGATACGCAGCAGTCCAGTGTTGATGGCTAGGAGCACAATCGGTAGTATGGCGGCCAGTTTCAGCTTTGTCGGGATTTTCCCAAAGATGACCGAATCCGTCGCCCCGACCCATGCCAACAGGGAGTGGAAGGCTATTGCGGCATTCAATGCGAGGAAAGGGTAAGCAGGGAACATGAATCTTTCCTCCTTGTGGGGTTGAATGGTGAAAATGACCAGCCACAGATAGAATGGAGAGAGGAAGGTAAGCGTCCTGAGAAGTGTCTGTTTGGTGGGATACTGGTGCAGGATGATGGACTGGAACAGGACGAGTGGTCCTGAAATCCCCGCAAGGAGAAACCACAAATTGAAGTTGAGCAGCAGATTCCTTAGGTAGTAGTCCCATGGTTCCGTCCCAAATATGTCGGGACCACGATCCTTGCCGCCGAAGACATTGTAGGCAACGATACGCCAAGGCACCACCGCGATCTTGTGGTAGAAGAAGCCGTCGACGCTGATCTGAAGGGCCAGAACTACCAAGCACCGTACTCCGCCATCCAGGTACCGTCTGAAGGTCTCGAAAAGATCTGTTTGTCCTACCACCGCCATGAGCCATTCTTCAACGATGAATGGAACAATTAGGGCTCCCGAGAAAGGCCATCCGAGCAGAGCACCGATTCCAAACCACATGATGCCCGCGGCAGTTTTAGATCCTCCATGCCAATCCATAAAAGAGGTCAGGCCTAAGGCGGATGTGTACATGGCAAAGCTAGATGGCAGAAATGCAGACGAGGCGTAGAAAAACCCGGGGGTAAAGGCAACAATCATGAGGTATATCACGCCGACCCTTGGATTGATGGATCGACTTATGGCCGAGTAAAGACGGACTTCGGTTGCCGCGCACATAAATGCTAGCATGACGCGGAGGGCATAGAATTCGAACGTCTTGGACCCGCCAAATAAGCCGGCGACCTTTGCGGCGAGAGCGTGTAGGCCAATATATGTCCAACTCCGGATGCTGAATTCTGGAGAATACTCCCATGTCTGGAGGCCGTAACCATGATTCAGGTAATGCAGTGGTTCCCAATAGTTGAAGGTCTCATCGCAGTCCTGTATTGGGGCATACAGCGCTGCTAAGAGGTGTGAAGCGAAGCAGACATAAAAGGCGATGTTCAGAGGGAGAAAGAACTTGGTGGGAGCTGGGCGAGGAATTTGGTGACCTCTAGCTCTTCGGGGTGTCAGTGCTGCATCGAACCAGAGCTATTACTTTCTTACCCGTTGGACGATTCGATGGGAGCTTTTCGTCTCTGGAAGGTCTCCAGGTTCGGGTCCATCTTCCTCTGGTTGGCCTTTCAATGGATCTGATTCCCAGAAAAAGTCGTCGGGCAGTCAAAGGAGACAGATATGCCAAGACACATGCCAAGACTACATCGTTTTGGGAATAGCGCAAATATTCCCTGACTAGTCCGAATGTGGCTGCTTGATCAGTTCTCTCAGCCAGCCACGTTGAGGATGCTGTCCGTTCATGTAACCCGGTATTTGGCGTGAGGGGCCATTCTACTGAGATGTTTAGACGCCTAGGCCAAGGTCTATTTGATCTTCGACTAGCCTGACGAGATTCCGAGTGCCCGCAAACATTTGCGTTGGAAAAGTCTTTTTACCAACGTCAACGATCTACCCCACCTCATCTGGTCCGGCCTGGTCTAGGCTCGGTTGAACTGTACTTTCGACGATAGGGTGAACAGTGCAGCTTTGACCTTTGGTTGCCGACAGCTTCGCTCCCCTTGAAAAGTGATATGCCTTACCAGCTTACCGTGCGTCACCCGGGTGGTATCTAAAGCAGCTTGACAATATGCGCCTGCTTTTCCTACCATATAACCCATCGACAGATGCTCACGATGTCGACGAGGCAGCAGAAGAGTCCCCACAACAGCATGCCGCCAGGGTCTATCATCACAAGGCAAAAGCCCTCAGAATGTCTGCCCTTCGTGGTCAACCATCCTTTGGGGGCAACAAGAAGAAGCCTGGGGCAAAGCCGTGTTCACAAGAATGCGTTGAATCAAGCAGTGATGAGCAAATCAGGTCGAGACAACCGGTTTCCGAGCCCAAAACCGTTCTCGGGGCAGGCAGGATCGACCCATTCAATGCCTATTGTGCCCCAGACCAGCCTCTGATGGTTCATGAAATGCTTGATCATGGTCAGTCCATTTCTTTTCTCAGCCTTCTCATTATCGCAGCTTGCACCCAACAAGATATTGTTTCGCACTGTGATCAACTGGGATCTAATTGCCATTCTTAGCCATATCATACCAGTGGTCCCTCTTTGCCGCAGACGACAAGCCAGGATCGCTGCTCATGGCCAAGAAGTTGGTCATGGACACTGCCATCCGCTCTCCTTTGTGCTTTCATACCCTTGTCTATGCCGGTGCCGCCCATAAAGCTTTCCACCAATCTCCGACCGTCGACAATTCTAAGAGCGCGGTTTTGCGCTTGACAAGCAAAGTGGAAGCGATCAAGTCGCTCAGAACAGCCCTCCATTCCCAAGCAACAGCATTGACCGACGAAGTTATCTTTGCTATGACGATATTGGCCATTGTCGGCCACGGAGAAAAAGTAACGGCTGCAGAAAAGCAGGAGAAAAGAACAATGTCAGCTCAGCAAGACGGCCAGTTCTACTCCAGCCAGGAATACGAGTGGCGGCACATGAAGGCCGTGATCGAGATCGTCAAAATGAAAGGCGGACTGCATACAATCCGGTTTCCTGGGCTTGCCTTTGCTCTCGCTTCGTAGGTCTACATCTGGAGGGCAAGCAAACCACATGCTGACGGCGAATGCAGCTTCGATATCCATTCATCGATCATGTTTCAAACCAAACCTTCATTCCCGCTGTTTATGCCATCTTTGCCAGTCATCAGTTCCTGGGCCACTAGCCAACCCACAAGTCCGGCATCTCAAAGATTCCCCACTCTCGTCACTGGGTTCAACTTCTTGACAGACTTGAATTTGCCTGCAGCCGACGAATTGCTGAACGTCCTCCATGTCATGCGTGATCTGATTGTTGCCTTCGACAGCTATCAGCGGGGTGATGGTGAAGCTCCTCCAATCAAGATGATCATCTTCGCCCGAAACCTGAATCAGCACGAGCTGTTGACCTTGCCTGACCTATCGGAGGAACTCTTTTCACCAAGTTTGGCATTCATCGATGACCCAGCAATCCTGGAGAGGCATCTCGCACTTGCAATTTATGAGCTCTGTCGGCTGTGCGCCTTCATCTTCCAACTTACGGTACTTCTGCCAAACTTGCACGATAATGTATACGTGACCATACCCTACGCCCGGCGCATCAAACGATGTCTGCAATCCGCAACCACCGACTTGCGTCTCCAACCGGATTTAACTTATGATGCTTTCTTCCTTTGGGTCGCCGTAATGACTGCTTGGTCTGTAAGGAGCACAGATCTTTACGACTGGTTTGTCGACTTCTTGGTCCGACATTTGAGCTCCGAGAGAACAGGCAAAGAGGGTGACATCAGGAAATACTGGGGGTTGATTGTGAAAGACATGCTTGCCAGATTCCTATGGCTGGACAGTGAATGCGAAGCACCTTGCGCAGAAATCTGGAAAGACGTCAAAGCTTTACTGGATCCACATGAGCACTTGGTGTTCCAGTAGGTGGGAGCGCGAGATCCTTGATGCACCCAAACTTGACATGGATGCTCTCAGGAGGAGTTGTGCTGTGTTGCATGATGCCATTCACCGACCGCGCGGTTTGTCGTTCTCGTTCGTTCGTTCTCGTTCCCGGTGATCGACCACAGCCCCAACGTCAGGCACCCCAGGTGGAGAAGCTTAACTAACGGCATGTCATCGGGCATTCGTTCGCTTCTCTTAGTCGATCTGCAAGTCGAAATGCTTGTGCATGGCAAGTTACGTGTCATGTCTCTCGGCTCCTGTTCAGATCAACAGCGAATACAACATGGCCGCTCTTCGTACGCTCAGAAGCAGGTCGCTTGCTCCAGTCAACGAACTGCGGATGATGTCTCGATGCCGCCTTGCCGTCTTCCGGAGTGTTAGATTGGAACTCGTATCAGGAAGGATGGAACGACACTGACACGGCATGCGGTGCAAGGATAACCAGGCTTTGCTGCGCTGTCTCTTTTGCCAATAGCCTCGACTCGGCCAATTAACCTCATTCCAACCTCCTGTACTTGTATGCAGCTGCATGATTCTGCTTGCAGATCCTCGATGGTTGAAGGCGGTGTTTTACTACTCGTGCCCGGTTATGTGCAGCCCTCGAAGCTCCCATGAATGCATATCACGAAAGTTGTTATATGGCCAGACCGCCCAGTGAATGCTTTCCTTCTCTTCTTCCCCTCCTCTCGTCCCTGACCAGACCAGTGTCCTTGGGTTCTCTTGAGTCCTAAGAACCAACCTTACACTTCTCCCCTCTCACCAGCCCCTTGGATAGCATTGTTGACGACCCCTTCCACCAAACCATGGCTGACCTGATCCTACGAGGTGCCATCAAGGGCGTCGCGTCTGGCATTGGTCTCATCTCGGAAGGCGTGCACCATCACAAGGAGAGAAAGGAGGCTAAAGCCCATTCGACGGAGGTCAAGGTGCAAGAGATTCACCCGGAGGCTGCTGCCCGAGAAGGCCATGCACGACACGACAGTCTCGAAGAAGGAGACGAAGAGCATTGGGACCTGGACGAGGCTCAAGACGAGCTAATGAGTGTTCATTCTAATACCTCCACCGCCTCGCACGGGTCGCACGGCTCACAAGCGGAAGAGCACACGTCCAAGAGAGACCAGATCAACCCTACCAAGATCACCGATGCGTTCATGCGCAGGCATCCTCCGCCAGCGGCACCACAAACCGCATCCACCGAACACGGACCCAATGGCGAGGACATCAAGCCCGACAACCAGGCTGCAGCTCTTCCCACAAAACTCCCACTCCCCGTGATCCTCCCCCAACGCCGCCCAGAAGCTCGTGCACGAGGCTTCATCCGCGCCTACGCCCCCGATCTGGCCATCAAGGGCATCGACCAAGAGACGTTCCTCGACTTCATCGAGACCTTCAACAGCGCTAGTCTGGCCTCGCCGTGGCTCGACGCCATCAACTTGGCGGGCTTTGCCACCATGGCCCTGCCACCGGGGATTTCACAGGCGGTTCAATTGGCCATCATGGTCAGCGTCAAGATCGCAAAGGACATTCAGAGTCGGAAACGGTGAGTCCTTCTCTTATAGATTCATGGTTTTCCCTCCCTCCAATTTTCTATCTCCTATGGCGTGCGGGATCCACCGAGATGGGAGGGAAGGACGTTTGTGACAACGTTACTGACCGTTTGGCCGCCTCGCAAAGACAAAACACCTTCCTAGACCGCATCAACGACGAATTCTTCCAGCCCCGAGGCCTCTACTGCCTCGTACTGACTTGGCAACCGGACACTCCGGAGCTGCACACCTCGGTCGACATCACCTCAACTGTGGCGGCGCGCATGTCGACGCCGCAAGGCGCCACCGCCAAGATCAAGCGCGCCATGAAGGCGTCGTCGGGTCCCGGGGGCATCGAGTTCACTGAGTGCGCGGCCCTTGTGTTCCCCAAGCTTGATGAGCTTGCCGTGCAGACGGGCGACGAGGCGGAGCGCAAGAGGGACAAAGTTAAGCACTACAAGGGCTTTGCGGAGGTGTATTTTGATCGGAGGGCGCAGGCGAAGCACGTAAGTACCCTCGCTGACCGCCTTTCTATACTGATTCTTATTGATGTATGTTGTATAGGCTGGGAAGAATCCAGACAGCGCCCTGGCCAAACTCTCCGGCCCAACCCCCAAATTCACCTCCCGATACGCCGACCCCAACCACCCAGCCAGCAACGGCAATCTCATCTCCCTACTCACTGGAGGCAGGGTCAATCCGCCTGATCTGCGACAATTCGGTGGCGGCGGATTCGGTGGATTGGGTGGTGGATTGGGTGGGAGAGGAGGTATGGGCATGGGAGGTCTCGGAGGCGGCAGGATGGGCATGATGGGTGGTGGTGGCGGGTTTGGTGGCGGGCGAATGGCCATGATGGGAGGAGGGTATGGGAGGATGGGATATGGTGGCTATGGGCAGGACCAATACTACATGATGCAGCAGCAGCAGCAGTATCAGGGTACTTATCAACAGCAGCAGCAGCAGCAGGCTGGTCAACCACCTACGGGCAGCTACTACGAGAACCAGTCCAATATGCCTGCGATGGGTTACGGTATGGGATATAACAACCAGGGTATGGGCATGGGAGGCTTCGGGGGAGGAGCAGGACCTGTCGGTCTCGAAGCCCTCGTCGGCGCGATCCTGGGCACAGGTCTGGGAAGTGGGCAAAACGTCATCAAGAGGATTCTCAGCAAGGTGAGTCCCATCCGGTCTATTATCGTTGGAGCCCATGAACCATGCCACCTGCAAGGACTTTTCACGATCTTCAAGCTAACAATCAACCCTCTTTGATGGAACGATAGGATGTCCTTTACCTGATGATCGTCAATATGCCCTCCGAGGAAGAGCTGGAGGCAGCTCATAAGTTGAGTGAGGGCACCGAGCAGAAGGGTAGGGACTAAGATGGGTTCTGAAGAAACAAGTGCATGCATTTACTACCACTATTCAGCGACGAATTTTGACCTGATGAAATAACCAAAGTCCATTGGTATCTACGAGGAGGTAGTGCGTGAGTTGTCGATGGGGGCTGTGCAACATTGGGCTTGGCTTGGCGGACATGCAGTACGAGTAGAGCGCGAGGGCGTTCTTGAGCAGGGCAGAGCGGGTGTGGGCCCCCTTAGCACAGCCCTGTGATGCCCCCAGTTGCCCCCCAGACTCCCAGGTTTTAGTGGTTCAAGTGCCCGGAAGGCCAAAATCCATGCTCCCCTAGCAACGCGTCCCGGGCCGCCTTCCTCGCCCGCGCTGTTGGGCTAGTGCGGCCAGTGCTCGTTAGCCTTGGCGCCTTCCCCCTCGTTACACGGATAGATACCCAAGCTGTCGTTGACTCCTCCTTCACACCTACATGTAGATTCCCAATACCTTACAGTCTCGTTACAAGCATCGCCCCCCAGAAGGCTCACAGCGAACCCTAGCCCAAGCAACAGACAGCAAGCTAAGTTGATGTCTCCTGACCTCCCAGCGCTTTCGCACGACGCAAAATGCCGCCCACCCCTCGTCTTCCAAATTCTACCCACTTTCGAACCTCAGACACTCCATCCGACCTCTTTACGGTTTCACATTCTGTGTCCTCGGTGAGACATGGTGCTGGAAGCAATCGCCGCATTCAGTCTGGCATGAAACATCCTGCAAGTCGTCGAGTATGGAGCCAAAGTGGTGGCTAGGGCTGGAAGCCTGCATCGCCCAAGTCGCGCAAGCACTTCTGATATTTATGACCTAGACGCCATTTCTCAGCAGCTGAACGAACTGAATAAGGACCTCGACAGATCAGTCTGTTCAACACCTCCTCAGGCGTGCCCACTCTATACTAGGCTGGCCGAATGCAATGCTGAGAGCCTCCGGCTATCCCAAAAATTCATAGACTTCTCGCACAAGTTGCGGCCAAAGACTGCCACCTCCCAAGGGAATCCATCATGGGCAGAATCCTTCCGCTCTGCCATTCGGCTGAAGTGGCACCAAGAAGAAATCCAGGCCATGCAAACGAGTGTTGCCCACGCAAGATCAAATCTCATTGTAGCATTTTTGTTCTACATGCAGTAAGTAACCTTCCTTATGTATCTTCTCGACCTGTAACTGAGGACAAAAAAGCTCCCAGCAAGCCTCGGGCGCATCTCAGACAGCTCTTTTGACAGCAGCAAATCGCTCCGAACAGAACATGCTAGTCGCCATCGACGACACTTCGAACAAGCTGCAAGGCGACATCGCAGCAGTCATACAGCGGCTGGACCGTATACAGCTCCAGGACTCCACGTGCGAGACCTTGTTCAAGAACTTTCAGGCCTCACATGCCGATGCACTCTCACGGCTGTCGCTAGGCCTTGAAACCATCATGCTGGAGCACGAAGCCATCAGGACAACAAGTAACCGCCATCGGACCGAAGTTGCGCAGAAACGCATATGCATGAGCCTGTCTTTCCGCGACATGGACACTAGACAGATCCAAATCCGTGAAGCGCATGAAGACACTTACCACTGGATCCTGACGCCTCGCGGAATGACAGACAATGACCTCGGCGATTTCCACGCTTGGCTGGATTCTCCTGCTCCAGATCACGGCATCTTTTGGATCTCGGGTAAGCCAGGATCAGGCAAGAGCACCCTCATGCTGTATCTGGACCGGAATCTCAAACCTGCCTGCTGTCCCAATTGGTTATCAGGCTATGGTCTTTTCGTGTGCCGATTCTTCCTCTGGAATCCTGGGCGAGGATTACAAAAGTCCTTCCAAGGTCTGCTGCAGGCACTGCTATATCAGCTGCTTTCGAGCCACCCGTGGCTGATCGAAGCTGTTGTCAATGAGGAGAGGTGGTTGACTGCATGCACCATGGAATCTGAATCGCGTTGGTCAATACCAGAGCTGAAGATGGCAATCGAAGCTTGTTTGCACAGGATCTCGGCTACACGAAAGATCTTTGTGCTAGTTGACGGGTTGGACGAGCTCGAGGGGACCAACGATGATCGCCATGATATGCTGGGTTTTCTTCGAAATTTGACTCGGTTCGACTTCCTCAAGATGTGTCTGTCCAGTAGGCCATGGAACATCTTTTCCGACTACTTCCATAAGCTTCCTCAGCTCCAACTTCAACTGTTCACGAAATTTGACATTGAGAAATACGTGAGACATTCACTCTCGCACAGTATGCGCGTCCAGACCTCCTACCTCCATAACAGCGGTGAGGGGGAGAAACTGATTGAAGCTATCGTCGAGAAGGCGAGCGGGGTCTTCCTCTGGGTCCGCCTTGTTGTTCAAGAGCTCTTACGCGGATTTCAAGACGGAGAGACCATTCGTACTCTGAAGAGGAAGGTGGACTCGATGCCCGCTGACCTTGATGGGTTCTTCAAACGCATCATCCATTCTATCGACCCTGCATATCGCAGCGAAGGCTCTGCATTCCTCCAAACAGCTGTGTTCAGTCTGCAAAATACCGACGTAGAGTGGCCGCGTGGACTATTGGAGTTCACTTTCTTGGAAGCGGACGATGCAGATTTTGCGACGAGGCCGAGCTACGACTTCAACGAGCTAGACTGTGTCGATATGGACGCATTGGAGTACCGCATCGATCTGGGGAAGAGGCGACTGAACAGCCGCTGCATGGGTCTATTGGAGTGGGCGCACACATCAGTAGTGGAGAAGTTCACAACAGTTCCACCCTCTTCGGAAAGACTTGGACACCTTCTCAGCACCCAGGTGAATTTTCTGCACAGGTCTCTGATGGACTTCCTTCTTACAACGGATGCCCAAAGTATCTTGCGACAGTGCACCAATGGGCCTTTTCAAGCACGACGGTTCCTCTGCAGCGCAATTCTAACGAAAGTCTGTGCCATCAGTGCCAGGTGCCTCGCACAGAGCAGCTACGAAAGGGACGACTTTCTAGTATGGCTCGTCGGTGAAGATACCGACTGTCTCTTGAGGGCAGTCGCATGCTCGGAGGATATGGATGAACCTACGGTAAATGTCATAATGAATCGGCTGTACCCGGCATTGGAGCTTTTGCGGCACTCACAGGCGCCTTTCTGGGGTGTCAATGGGACGCCGAGACTCATGAAGTTGTTGAAACAAATTAAATCTGGTGAGGACCTGTCCATCAAGGTCGGAATCGAGTACAACATAACAAAGTTTGTGAAAGCGCATTTGCGACCAAGCATGACGGGAGGGATCCGAGGTCAAGACCTTCTGCGAAACGCTTTACATCCTCTATCTTCCGAAGAGCCGTACCCACAAATGGTGAAGGCTGTTCTGCAGGCTGGTGCGGATCCTGACATCCCTGAGCCTGTCTGGTGCAAATACCTGTCAACTCTACCATTGCAGAGGCAGGATGTTGGAAAAGGACCAGTTTCATCAACAAATGTTGAGGTCATGGGCATTATGATAGAACATAACGCAGCTGCTTCTCACCGGACTAAAATGATGCCAGTCAAGTGGAGGCATCTCCTGGGAAAAGATGACGCCTTTGGCGTCGTAGCGCTGACAGACATGCTCGACATCTTGGATCTCACGGAGCCGGACCGCCAGAGATTGAAGGCCATCTTACGCCAACGAGAAGAAGCCAACACGTTGTATGTTTGCAATGCTGCAGGAGAACATGCGCATGTTTTACGAGATTTCAAAACTGAATACTCACCGTCGCTCGAACCTGTATCACCGCGCGACTTTGCGCCGCTGCTGGATGACGATACGTGGGACGTAGGAGAGGAAGACGGCGAGAGCGAAGTCATGTCATGGAAACAGACCTGGTATAGAGACCTGGGGCCACCTTCTGATCCAAAACGATCAGTTCCCAGCAAGAGAAAGCAATCAAGCTCCCCCAGTCCGGAAAGCAACACAAGACGAAGGATTCACATTGACCTCACGGCGTCTCCATGACGGCCTGCGGTCTCACAAGGTATTCCTGATATCCAAATTGGTATCGAAATGAACCGTCCGTTGCATTATAGACGGTAATCGTTTCCTTTCGTGCCCGAGCGCGAACTGGAAAAAGAACTTGTCAACTCTCGAGGGCATTAATAGTCTCAGCCGCCGCAAACCGTCTTCAGCGGGTGTCCTCACTTCTTCACAGGCCAACCGATCTTCTGGATAAATTCCTCCATGTCCTCCAGCATTTCCTTTGGCTTTTCCATTGCCGCGAAGTGGCCGCCCTGTAACAAGTGGTGACGAGCGGTCGTTAGTCTTGTGATTTACACTCATATGCCACGCAAACCCCGGACGGATACGGATTGAACTACAACTCTCGTGTATATATATGTGGGGCAACTGGGGACCTTTGGGGGAACAGGAGAGAAAAACGCAATCTTTGGAAAACTCACCGATTCATGTTGTTTGAAGAGCTTCAGGTTGTGGCCCTGCGCGAGCACCCACGCTTTCGGCACCGGTGCGAGCTCCTTGGGGAACCACGAGTATGCGGTCGGCTTGTCGTTGTCGTACTTTGGGTTTCCGTGAGGCAGACCGCGGCTACCTGGGATGGAAAACTGGTGGAGAGGTCAGGACACTATCATTTGCAAGCACGACAGCCAAACATGATCTCATACCTCGCGGTAGCAGTAGATGCAACGTGGGAAAGACTCGGTGAACCAGTACAGGGTAATGGAATCGAGGATGTTCTTCAGAGGCGGCGTGTCGTCGGTCCATTCGATGAATTTCTCGCCAATCCTGTCATGTTGCGGTTGCGTTTGTTTAGCCACCGTTTGCGCAGGATATCAATGCTTCTTAGGCCTCCAGGGCCGTGTTCGGGATTCCTTACCATGCTAGCTGAGCAAGTGGGCTAGAAGCGAGCACAAACCCGATCGTGGCCGGTCTGGTGCCGTGTTCGCGCGCATAGGCGTTTCCGGTCATGTAGAATGACTGCATCCGCTCCATGCCTTTTCTCTCGGAGTCGGTGATTTGACTTTCATCCACATTCTTGGGTGGCGCGCTGGACACGGCAAAATTGTCTGGACGGGTTCATTCAGTTGGGGGAGATGTCGGGGGTTAATATATGGAAAGATAGATACTTACAATGGACACCTGCGAAAGACGATCGATCCGGTTAGCAACGCATTAGAGGACAACATTTGGTAAAGGTTTGATCGGACTAGGGGTTGGGCCGCCCACCTTTGCATTCATCATAAGTCCCCGCCATGACCTTTGCCGTGAACGAACCGATGTCACCGCCCTGACAGATATAGCCACTCCCGAACCCGAGGCCGACCATCAACTTGTTCATGATGCGCGCAATGTCCTCGGTGTCGAAGTCCCTGGTCAGCGGGGGACCGGAACTGAGTGTCCACCCGGGCAGCGACGGCGCAATGACATGGTACGGCAGCTCCTCCGGTGCGTATTTCTTGCGATACAGGTCCATGATGTCGAGGTGTTCGAGATGGCTGCCCGGCCAACCGTGCATGTAGAGCAGCGGGACGGCGTTCTGCTTCTTGGAAAAGAGCGCCACGAAGTGGATGCGGAAATCCTCGCCGTCGTCGTCCTTGATGTGCGCGATGAAATTCGGGAACGAGTTGTTGTGCTTTTCGATCTCGCGCCTAAGGTTTCAGGCCTTTCAGTGCCTTGTTGTTGTTGCGACAAGCTCATCCCAACAAGGGTCCAGGAGACATACCAGTCATATTCGTTCAGCCAGTAGTCTTTCGCCTTCTTCATCCAGTCATAACTAACACCGAACTTGCCGTCATCGGTGTGCATGTTCTCGTAGGTGCGTGGGGCTAGCTTGGAGAGTCGCAGGAGGTCTTTAAAATCTGATAGTTCCTGCTCGGGAATGGACAGCGTGAATCTATCCACCTTCACCCCGGCATTTTCGGGCACTGTGTCATAGCCTGCCATCTTTACAAAATGGGATAGTTGGTTTGAATACTAAGATCAAGGCAGGAGAGATGTAGCGGACGGGGGTGGAGGGAGGATAAGAGAGACCGGGGGGAACTACTTAGTAGTTATATATAATATGGGTGAGACGACCCGCGGAGTCGAGCCTTTTATATGTACCAGTTGACTTTTCCGTTTTGTCCATTGAGGGAAGGTGGGATATTACCTCGGCCAAGGAAGGATATACATCAATCCCTGCGACTGCTGTAGCTGATGTCAGGCAGCTCTGGGCCAACCACCTGCATCGGGTCTCATACGTCCCTGACGGGAAATGATATGGCCCGTGCGATACGCCCATGCACCTGGCTGACGGCCTGTTCTTGACCAGCGCGTATTCCGGTGAGGGGCGATGACAATACAAAGGCCATTTTCCATCCAGAAACACGCACTGCTGGACAATTGTGGCCAAGATGTGGGGCTGACGATGCCCGAGATCTTCTCCGCAGAATCCAAATCAACGTTTAGAACAAGTACCGAAATGTGGGCGTCGGTCCGCTCGAGCCCGGGAGAGGCAACATCACAGGTCCCTTAGGGAGTACGCGAGATTGACATGATTGTTCAGCGCAATTCGCTGGGGTTGTGCGTGACTGGGCTGACCCCCGTTGTTCGTACAATTAGGGTTTCCCTGGAATCTATAGAGGTTGTAAGATGACATACCCAGCCCTAGCAATGTGGTAATGAATGATCGTTGAGCAAGACTGGCTACCAATGCTTGAGTATATTGAAACGTCGCTGCAGGGTGCAGGGATTACTTGATTCATTGCAACCGAGCTATACCGGGACCGATCATCCGAACTGGAAACCCGTAACACAGGAGATTTGGATATCAGGCTACCCAATATCTGACCTGCATCGTTGATAGACCCTCTGCGATTCCAGCGTCGAATGTTTTCTGCCTTCCAAGCATTTCGAAACGTGCACCAGATGACCGCGTCTGCGCCTGACAAAGCTGGCGTACAGGGCTCCAGCAGTGTAAACGGCCACAACGGACATAGTGGCAGGCCATTTGAAGCTGGCCGGCCGAGGAAATATAATGGTCGAGATATATGCGCAGAGCCCAAAGATGTTCTGGAAGGAGGACTCGGTCGTCGAGAAAGAGCCCCGATATCCCGGCTCGACCTGTTCTTGGATGATTACTTGTGCCGAGAGTTCGAATCCCCAAAGGCCAACGCGGCTGAGGATCGTGCCTGCAATAAGTCCCGAGGCAGCCCATATTGGAGACCCTGCCATCCAGAAGAAGCTCAGGGCAACTGCTAGACAAGCCATCTGGAGATTGAGGAACCAAAGCCCGGATCTGATGGGCCCAATCCAAGCCATGACGGACGGTGCCATCCAAGTGGCCGACATCTCACACCCAGTCGATATCAACCGCATCACCGCAATCATTGTCGAGGTATAACCACTGGCCAGTAGATATGTCACCATTTGCCCAGAGAAGGCCAACACGGTGAAGTACAAGATGGACAATGAGAGTGAAGGCAAGAAGGCTCCCTGAGACGTGTAGATCTTTAAAGATCGCCACAATGACAGCCTGACAGGATCATGTGGGGCGGACTCGAATTCTTGTCCCAGGTCATGGTCGCTCTCATCGTTCCCGGTGGCAGATGGATTGCTGCGCACAAGACTTGGGAACGCCGCATATACCCTTGCAATGAAGACATATTCTGCGATGGTCGAAATGCCGTTAATACCGCCCATAACGGCAATGGCGACCTTTGTGTTGTAGCTTTCCAACGCCGCGATGAGGAGCGGGCTGCAGAGTTTGCAGAAAAGGTCGATGCGACGCATCTGAGAGTTGAGCGTTCGAAGCGTTGCCTCGTTGTCACCCGCAATGACCACCACCCAATCTCTCTCAACAGACACGGTATTCATGATTGCAGTGAGCTTTTCAACACAGGCCAAGACACTAACCACAGCGAGGAGTGCATAAAGATTCCATGGCTTCAGGTGTGGCCTTTGCCAGAGCATGAGATAAAAGATGGCGCATGAAAGCACAACGGCTCCACGCTGATAGACAATCGAATTGCGAACAACCTTCAGACGTGAGCCTGTATCAATGTAGCGACCGACAAGGGGAGCAAAAACGATAGCGGCGAGCGCCCGGACCAGACCGTAGACAGACAAGGGCAACAGAGTGTCTGGGAAGATGTTGGCGAGGAACAAAACAGCGCCGAACTCGAATCCACGGAAGTTCCATGTGGACAGAAAGTGGGAAACATAGAGCCTTCGAGCAAGTCCGGGGGATATCTCATCCTCTGCTGGGTTTTCCGTTGCATCTGTTGATGCCAGGAGGGCGACATCGTCTTCGGAAAGAGAGCAGGTTGATAGACGACTGTTGTTGTCAACTTCTCCGTTGGACAGAGAATCCCGTGAAGAGAGTCTTGATAAAGCAATACGATCCGATGAAAAGCCCCCGACATCAGCCATTGACTTTGGCAGTCTCAGCGGCGGATCATAGGAGTAGCGATACTCAATAAGGATGCTTGACCGGGAGACAATACTTGTATATCTCGACAGGGAGGACGAAGATCGACGAGAAGACCATCCTTCAACAACTCACCGAAAGACTGTTGGGTGACTGTGGAAGTTTCGGTGTAAGTGAGGAGAGAAGGAGAGAAAGAGGCATGGAATTGCTCTTCCGAGTCGCCATCCCGCGCCGCTAATTTTCACTCTCGACTTTTTCTCCGCATTTTGCAACTTTTTTTTGGTTGCGATTAATCGTCCTCCCATAACCACCAATTCAAATCCACGTCCGAAGTTCATTCCAGTACCGAGTCATGGATGCCGAAGACTTCCCAAAATCTCCTGCTAAGCGTCAGAGGACAGGTTCACCAGACGAAAATAGGAGTACCCTCGACCCTCCCACGTCCACATCCGCCGCTGAGCAGAATGATCCCATTACGGAGCAGCCCCCAGTCGACCAGAGCGTTGCCACGGCAGAACCACAACCAGAACCAGAGCGAGAGCCAGAGCGAGAGCCAGAGACATCATTTACCTCTTTGGAGAACAGAAAAGAGCAGTCTATCTCTGCGCAGCCGGACTCAAACTCTCTCCTAGATGCGTTGATGCTGCAAGTCGAGGCAGAAGCCGCCGCCACAAAACCCTCATCTGATCCTGCTACGAGCACTAATGGTACCCTACCTGTGACCGATGGAATGCTGGTCGATGGAGAACACAACAGCAGCAAAGACGGAGGACATGTTGCGCAGGTACACACGACTGAACCAGTCACTACCACTCAAGAGTCTGCGCCCGATGCTTCTGTTCCGGACGATGTTGAGGCAATGGACGTGACGGACACTGTTGCGCAGGCACATCCAATTGACCCAGCTCCTACCATCCAAGAGCCTGCGCAGCATGTTTTTGTTCCGCGCGACGTCGAGGCAATGGAAGTAACAGAGACTGTCGTCATCGACAGCAATACCCACCAGGGCAACATTGCGCAGGTCGCGCCTGACACCAATGCCTCGATACACACCGTGGGCAATGCTGCCGATGCCCCAGCCGTCGTCAATCTGCACTCTACGGACGCAGTTCTCCCTAATGACTCCGGTGCGCCTGAACCAGGTGCGGAGGGTGCTGAATGGGAAGTCGATTCATCTCCATATGAGTCCTCTTCAGACTCCGACTCTGACACCTCCGACGATACTTCTTCAGAAGAAGATAGCGACGAGGATGCAGACGGCGACTACGCCATGCTAGATCCCGAGGAGACGGCACGCATCCTCATGCAAGGAGATGCAGGTTCGGATGATGAAGGGGGAGGCCCGCGAGACAGAAAAGAAGGTGGTCCACTACGCACGGCAAATGAGCGCACCGAAGAAGTCATACCAAAACCGGACATCACTGTCACAGAAAATATGAAGATTGAAGAATTGGGCAACACCGAATTCGTGGTCGAGAGTACTGTCGTCGTGAAGGCCAAGACGTCGGGAGAATACCAGGTTTTGGAACCCGGATCCTTGATTTGTCGCAGAGATCGATCAGTGGTTGGAGTGGTTGCCGACTTGATAGGGCGAGTCGAGGAACCCCGATACACCATTCGGTTCACCAACGATGACGATATCAGAGCAGCCGGACTGTCGGAAACTGGCACCACAGTCTTTTACGTTCCTGAACATTCCACATTTGTCTTCACACAACCGTTGAAGAGTGTCAAGGGAAGTGACGCATCGAACTTCCACGACGAAGAAGTTGGTGAGGACGAGATGGAGTTCTCGGATGACGAGGCTGAGGCTGAGCACAAGCGCCAGATGAAAGCGAAGAGGCAGGGCAGGTCGCTGGACACAGGAAGAGGCCGTGGCAACTCAAAGTTTGCCAGAGGCCCCCATCGTGGTGGAGGCCGAGGAGGAGGCCATCAGGCTGATCATCGTCACCGCAAGCCCAGTGACGGCTCCGCCTACGGCAATGGCTCCTTGGAAATGAATTATGACGATGTCTCGGTGCCAGATACAGGCGATGACGGCTATACACCATTGCAAAGACCGACTGAGCTCACAGAAATGATCGCCAAGGGAGAGCAGCCGCAGGAGCGCGGTATGATGCATCCACTTCCACCACCGCCGCAATCCTCGCATTTCAGAGGAGGCGAGTCGGGCGGGCGAGGGAGAGGCTATGGTCACGGTAGAGGAGGCAGAGGAGGATTCCGGCCCCAGCGTGGACGGGGAGGGTTCAACCAGCCTCGTGAGCCTCCTCCTTTCGGTCAATATAACGCATCCCACGGCACCCATCAAAATGGCTACAATCCCTCCAGCAGCGCACCTTTGCCCAACCTCAACGTCCCCACGACGCCCTCAATCACACCGCAGAACATCACGTACCCACCAATGACGCCTTCGCCCATCACTCCTCTGCCAAATGTCCCCTTCAACTTTGGCCAAGGCTTCCAACCGCCGACCAACTTCCCGTCCTTTGCCGCACCGCTGGGCATGCCTCCCCCACCCCCACCGCAACTGTTTCCCGGTGCCAATTTCTCCTACCAGCAGCAGCAGCAGCAGCAGCCGGGCCAATACCACCTGCAGGGCGGCCAGAATCATTATGGTTCGAAACCCCACACAGGCGGACAGCAAACGAATTACCTCTCGGGTGCCTGGGCAAGTAACCCGGCTATTGCAGCGGCGTTGCAGAGACAGGTGGAAGAACAGAGAAGGACACAGGGCCAGGGCCAGGGCCAGTAAAAAGGAATGTATGTATGTGGGCGAGGAATATTGTATGATTTAAAAGCTTTGGAAAGAATGGTGAAAAGTCAACCCATGTTCAACTAATACCCTGCCTGCATTAGAGAGCTCAACTGTCTATACATAGTATGTATCGATTGATTGATTGACTGAGCCACAGCTTGCCCTGATCAAAAACTTTTCACCCTCCTTCCTATTCTTCCATTTTTGCATGTTTGTCCCCTTTTTTTTTTGATGAACGCCCCGATAAAGACCCCTCGGCCCCGGCCCCGATTTATCGTTTTGCCACGGACGAATCAGTGGGTTCCCAAGGCGCTTGAGCCGGACCCGAGGACGATATCCTGTTTTTTTTGGACGTGGTCAGCGAAAAGGGGGAATTGAGAAAGAAACAAAAAAAGGGGGGGAAGGATCAACGAGAAAAAAGAGAAACTGTGATGGAAATATAAAAGAAAAGAAGAAATCCAACTCACCCGACATTTACTCGTGCCCACCCCTCTTACTCGAATCTCCGTCCACAGCTCAAACTGCCACATGCCCTGCGTGACCAGCGTCTCGAGTCCCTGCACCGTCTTCCACCCGCCAACCTGCTCGGCCATCTGCATGACGGCCGTGTGCGCGGGCTTGTACGCGAGTTCCAGCAGCGTGCGCGTCGGCGCCGGGGTGCCCTGGCCATGTGGAGCGGTCGAGGTCGCGAGCTGCGCGGAGCGGGCGAAGATGGATTGCAGAGACGCCGCCAGGGCTGGGTCGATGGGCTTGTCGGCGGGGATGGTGGCGATGGCCACGACGGGTACGGTCGGCATCTTTTGCTCCAGCGTTGCGGACTTTTCGCCAGCGTCCAGTAACACGATGTCGTAGGCCGAGGGAAACGTCTCGGCCAGCTCCGCCATCTTGCCCTGGTTTCTCCCCATCAAGTAGATCGGCTTGTAGCCCATCGTGTGCAGCGTGTGGATGGCTGCGCGTGCCGTGCCGCCGCCCCCGACGACCAGGCCGGACTGCTCGCCTTCGCCCAATGCCGCAGATGCACCCGCCGCACGCAGGCAGTCCATCATGCCCAGATAGTCTGTGTTGTAGCCGACCAGCTGTGTGTTCTTGCCCGTCTGGGCGTCGTAGATGGGGACAATGGTGTTGACGGCGCCGATGAGACGAGCAGAGGCGTCCACGTCGTCCAGAAGAGGCATGACGTCTAACTTAAGCGGAATTGTTACGCTCGCTCCGCCAAAGTCATCGGCGCGGATCTTCTCCTTGATCACCGCCAGGTCCGTCGTCTCGCGCAACGAGTAATTGTGCGGCAGCCCCGTCTCCTTGAACAATGTATTATGTAATGCGGGCGATTTGCTCGCGCTGATGGGCGATCCGAAGAGGTAGAATTCCTTGGGCACAATCTCGCCCATCAGGGTCAGTCCTTGCCGAATTTCGCACGCTGAGAGTTGGCCCGGTGCCGCTTTGAATGGGAGGGCTGGATGAGAGACTGGGGTCATGAATCCGTTCAATATCCGCGATATCTGTCCTGTCCGGCCCATGTTGATCGCGATCAGAGGCAAGTCTGGATGTTGGGTTTTCGACCACTGTTTGAAGCGTCGGAGCGCAAAGTTATCATCTAGGTTATCGGCGATGCCAATTAGTTTCACGATGTCGCCATATTGGAGGCACTTGTTGTAAATTTGGATCCAGGAGCCCGGCTTCGACCATGATAATGTTCCCTGCGGGTCATGATGAGAGGCAATGATGCGTGTGTTGGACTTGTTCTTGAAGTTGAAGATCAAAGAGAGGACGGACTCGGGGAACGATGCCACTTCCAAGTCCAAGAACTCGCTGCCCATCCGGATAGCGAGAATGCACAGATGAAGATACTCTTCATAGGCTTCGTCGGGGAATTTGCCCCCTTGGGATGCCGTGCGGATCGTGAACACAACGGGAAGAGGAACGGTCGCGCGGAGCAGGGAGAGTTGAGAAGTCACATAGTCGGGGGACGGGAAGGGGTTGTTTGAGCCGGGCTCTTTCAGCAGATCAACACGCAGTTCAACTGCATCGGATCCAAGGCAGACTTCAGGGAGGATTTTCAGATGAGGCCGCAGGTCCGGGAAAGTCAAAGCCACAAAGAAACTCTCCGACTTCTGCTTGAATTTGGACAGGACGTCGATTTTGCCAGTGGCCGTCTGCAAAAACCGGTCAAAATCCTCGGCGGCTTCGGACATTTGCGCGTTGGGGATGCTTTGGCTGTAGTAGAGAAGATTGCTGCACTGATCGAACCAGGGTTTCCGTCGTATCCAGACGCCCATCATGTCTTCGACGTAGGCGGGTCTTGTTTTGTCGATTTGGAGAAAGTCCATGACTTCACTGATGTCTCGTTGAACCAAAAGCACATGGCCTTTCTTCTCGTGCCATTCGATCAGTAGATTGCGCGCTTCTGGGGTCTCGACGATCCCGCCACCGCAGGCGAAGACGTAGTCGTTTGGCATGTCCTTCATGACGGATTTGAGGAGGGCCAACTCTCGTTCCCGGAAATGCTCCCAGCCATGTTGCCCAATAATCTCGGGTATCGACTTCCCTTCGCGACTCTCCAGCTCCGTGTCCAGATCGACCAATTTCTTACCGAGCGATCGCGCCGCCCAGCGCCCGGAGGTTGTCTTGCCGGCACCCCTCATGCCGATGATGAATATCGAAGCAGCGCTTCTATCTAATATCTTCGCTTTGACGTGTTCGCCATTTTCTTGTAATTCAACGCCTTCAAGCTTGACATTGAATTGCTGTGCCAGAGTGTCCCACCACCCTGGCCAAGTCTTGCCCGTGCATTCTTTGTCGAGGATGAGAGTAGGCTGAGGGGCTGCTAAAGCGAGAACACTGAAGCTCATGGCGACTCGGTGATCGTCGTAGCAATAGACACCTCCTTGTGGCTGTCTCAATCTGGTACGGTCGATACCATCGACTTCGATACCGTCCTCAAACTGTCGGCATGTGACACCAAACTTTGACAACTCATCTTCCATCGCTTGGATGCGGTTGCACTCTTTCACCCTCTGGTTTGCAATGCCATATATGCGCGTTGTGCTGGTCTTGCCGCCTTGGGCCACAGCCGCCAAAACAGAAGCAGTCAAGAAAGCGTCCGTCATCGGCTCCATATCGATGTTGGTCAGTGGTGTGAGCCTGCCGTGCCGGGGACCGGTTACTGTGGTTGACGAAGGCGTCTGGTTTACTTCACACCCCATGGGCCTCAGCACGTCGGTGGCGAATGCCGAATCGCCCTGAAGCGACGCAGATCCAATGTTGGGAATCGTACATGTTGTGCCTGTGATAGCCGCAATTGCTAGTGGGTAAGTCGCAGAACTTGCGTCGCTTTCGACCACATACTCATCCGGATTCTTGTAAACAGCTTGCGGGATATGATACGTGTGGTCTTCTGTTTTCGACTTTTGCACTGAAACGCCGAAAGAGGCCATCATTGCAATAGTCATGTCAATGTAGGGTTGGGACACAGGCTTTCCGCCGACGAGCCTGAGTGTAACAGGCTTCTTTGCATAGGGCGCACACATCAGCAGAGACGAGACGTATTGCGACGAGACCTTTGCTGCCAACTTGATTTCGCCTCCGTTGAAACCAGCCGAAGCTGCAATGTTGAGTGGTAGACTTCCAGTGTTCTCCATGTATTCGATGCCGGCGCCATTTTCTCTCAACGCATCTACGAGATCTCCGATGGGTCGCTGTTTCATTCGGGTATTGCCAGTGAGAACCGTAGACGCCACATGACTCTGCCGGGTCAAGGTCGCGACAGATGTCAAGAATCTGGCGGCGGTTCCAGCATTGCCCAGATAGAGCTCGTGTGGCGTGGCCTCAAGTCGACCACCGTTCCCATTAACAACAAGAACTTCCCCATCTTCTTCCCAGGAAAATGTAGCGGCTCCAAGCCGAGTCAGTGCCTCTAGCATCACTTCTGTGTCGGCCGAGGTCAGCAAGTTCTTGATGCGGCACGTTCCGCGACCCAATGCGGCAAGGACTAGCGCTCTGTTGGAAATGCTCTTCGAGCCAGGTGGAATGCAGACAACATTCAGACCTTTGGGTACACCTGGGACCACTTGAACACTCGGAGAAAGCACAACACGCAGGTCGGAGTCTGAGACAACGCTGGCCTTCTGTTCGTAAGTGCGACCAATCGCTGAGAGAAGCACCACCTTCTTCTTAGCACCATCGTTCTTCTTGTCGACGCCCATCTTCTTCAGCATACCGTCGACCGTACAGACCTTCCCTCCGGAGAGTTTGCGCACTTTTTCGTCGTCGAGTCGAGTTGGTAAACCGTATGTTGTCAGACACTTTTGCAGACGGCCGACTGCAACTCCACTAAGGATGCCCAAGTATCGCGCGAGCTCAGCCTCCTTGATCATGCCAATCGCAACGCATTCACCATGTAGTACCTGAGGAGTCAGGAAAGCTTCGATGGCGTGGCCGATCGAGTGCCCAAAATTCAACAAATTTCGCAGGCCCGTTTCTCTCTCGTCGATGGTCACGACGTGGGCCTTGAACTTGGCCGAGGCAGAAATAATCCTGATCAAAATTGCCTCGACATCCTTGAATCTAGCAGCACCTTTGCTGATATCGGCATTTACAGCGGCCATGATTCGCTCCGCATGGCGTTCCAGCTCGATGAATTCCTCTTCGTCCGATATAGCCGCAGTCTTGATGACCTCGGCCATCCCGTTGATCAATTCCCGTCGAGGCAGAGTCCCGAGAAAGTCGAGATCAATGTATATTCTCTGTGGCTGCCATATAGCTCCGACAAGGTTTTTGCCGAGAGGTGTGTCGATGGCTGTTTTCCCGCCGATGGACGAGTCTACCATTGCGAGTAATGTTGTTGGGACTTGCACAAATCTCACGCCGCGCATGTAGGTGGCGGCCACGAAGCCAGTCAGATCCCCCACAACGCCACCTCCTAGCGCAATGATGACCGTGTCTCGACCACATGGCGGGCTCTGGCTGAGCAGCCAATCTTCGATGTCGTCCTTTGTTTGTCGAGATTTCGAACTCTCCCCAGGTGGGATCTGATGGATCAACAAGCGTGCCGATTTCGCCTTTTGTTGCGATGCAGCCTCAAAGGCTTCTCGAAAAGAGTCGGTGTAGAGCGAACCCAGATTGGTGTCAGTAATCAAGACATATGTGGATGACTCCAAGTTCGACAGCAGGTCGGGGGCAACATAGTTGCGCCACAACCCGAAATTGATGATGATGCTCTCTTTCCCGAGGAGACTGACTCGCACTTCCTTCGCCGTCCCGTTGACCAGAGCCATGATGGCGCATCCAAAGTACGGGACTTTGGTGGTCGGACTGAGTCATGAGAGGCCGGGAGGTGAAGAGCTTCGGGGGTCGATTATTTTTATGTCTTGGCGGAGCTAGACTAGGTTAGTGCTAGTGCCGGCTAGAGCCAGACTAGCACAGCCTTGCATTGATTCCTCCCGCCCTTGATTGGATAAACTAACTTCCGTGGCCGGTTTTCGGAGAGACGGAATCTCAATGGAGCCAAATCATATCGTCGCCTTACACGGTTCGAACAAACACCAGGGAACTTGTCAGATCCCCTCCCTTGCGGCTGCTGCTTGAATGTACTTGTGACACTGACCCTGGCGTTGAGTACCGTCACATATTCGTACTTTAATAGTCATTCTCCGTCGACCCATACAGATGAGAACCCGTCTCCAGAACCTCAATCTCGTCGCCAACCTCGATACATAGCTCACCACTGTGATCCCGCGCCTCCTTGAGGCTTGAATCTTCAGGCACACAGTGCATTCCAAGGTATCCAAGTGCCTTGGGGTTCCCATCTTCGACTGTGCGATGTTCCACCAAAGTCGCGCTGGGCTGCGGAACTCCCTTCTTCCGATCAGGGCGCGAATTATCGTGTTCAAAGATCCCCGTGTCTGGGTTGACGTTGGGCATTGTGCAGCGTGACGTCCGGCACACCACCGACAAGGTGCTTGTCACTCTTGTAGGTTTTCGAGAGCTCGCCGTCTTTGGCAAGATCCGGTACCTCTTCCACGTTTCTTCCGAGAATGCCGGAGCACCAGTCAGATATATGTTTGCTCGGAAGCGAAGGGCACTGAGAGGCTGGTTCTCGGGTGGAAGAAGCTTTGATACTGAGTGCACAGAGGACAGGTTGATGATGTGGACAGGCTGTTGATCAGTGTAGCCATGCATGGCCGGGGTGCCGATATGATCCAGAGGAGCGAGGTTCTTTGTTGTGCGGACCAGAGTGTCGGGCGTGCATCTCATCAGGGTAAGGCTCTGGCGCGGAGGAATGTTGAGGAACCGCTTCAGCTTGGGTATCACTGTGACGACATCAGGAAGCTGGCCGAGATCAAGACCCGTTGCTTGACGACTATGGATCGTAAAGTGCTTCATCTGGACCTTCATTTGATTGATGTGATCAGGAGTTGGTAGTAGCGGTACCGTGAAGCGAACTTCAGGCTTTGCAGACAGTGTCCATGTCTCAAAGATGGCTTTCAGGCGCTGTAGAAGATCCGCAGGATCCGGGTCGGGGAAGCTCACGATAAGACAGCCGCCTGCTTCGACAAGCATATCGCTTTGCTTGCTGCTCGGTCCTGGCAACCACAGCTCCTGCTTTATCCGCGACATTTGGGGTTTGGTGCGTTGACTGATAAACTGCCATTCATCTTCCTTCGCGTCGACCGCCAGCGCAAAACATCTGTCATATGCAAAGCCTGTCTTGGTGAGCTGCGCCCGCTGCAGCTCGATAGGAGCGCAGGATTTTATGGGATGGATGTAAAGCGCTTTGATTACAATCCGACTTCTCGCGATGGCTTCTTCATCCCCGTGGTATTTGGTGTCGTACTGGTCGGCGAGGTTGCTGATCCCGTGGATGCCGACTCGTCGCAAGTACTTAGGTACCCGGCGGGCGACGTAGACGTGTCTGATGCAACTTAGAATGAATATGGCGCAGTTCATAAACAGAATAACACTGAGCGCGCCATGGAGGAGGCCGCGTAGGTCCGGCTCTTGCAGCAGTCGTTTCAGCATGGTGGAAGATGCTCTGATGGAGACGGTGAAGTAGGTGGGGGTTGCGTAGTCATGTCACAGGAAGTACCGAAGAACGATGTCGCTTCGATTGTTGAATAAAACATGTATGAACACGAGTTGTAGTGCATTGATTTGTCGGAAAAGAACGCATTGCAAGGTTTACATTCACGCCCTGGCAATGACTACGAAACCAGACTCGGGCTTGGCGTGTATGACACTTTGCTTATCACATTAACTTCTCCCCGCCACTGCCTGGCATTTGGAGTGACGGGTTATAAGCATCCTGGTTCATATTCCCTACGAGTATTGCATAGACTACTCCAAGCTCTTCAGCACATGCGTACCCGAAGACGCCAGGCCCGTGTACCCATTCCACTCACCCGTCTCCTTAAGCAGGATCGGCACCTCGTCCTCGCGCAATGATTCCAAGACACCCTTTTCCCTTGGACTCCAGCCCATCTTTCGCAGCCGATCGGCACGACTCCTGGAATTCGCTCCCACGGTGGTCGGACTGTACACGCCGAACAAGTCACCGTAGAGCTCGGGCGGGACAGGTCGCGGGGTGGGGTCTTTGATCCTGCCCGCCGCGTGCAACAGCCTGCCAATCTCCGCCGCGGCATCCCCCCACGCCATGTCCTCGCCGGTGCTGCAGAAGAAGTAAGGGTTTTTGAGGACTTCGTCGGCGCTGCTGCGCTGCATCCAGTCCAGGATGACCATGTACCCGCGCACCAGGTCCTGGACGTGGATGTTGCTGCGCACCGAGAGGCCCTTGCCGATGACGGGGGCCCAGCCGTGCTTCAGCGCGAACCGCACCATGGTCGGGAGTTGCATAGACACCCTCCCCGAGCACTTGCCGATGCCGTACACGAGGCAGGGTAGCACGATGCTGATCTTGGCCTTGGTGCCTAGGTCCCGCCGCGCCGCCAGGATGGCGAGGTCGATCTCGCGGTGCGGCGCCGTGTCCGGCACTTGGTCGACTTCCTCGGGCCGTTCGTCCGAATAGACCTTGTCGGATTTGTACATGCCCTTGGAGTTGTCGACCAGCTCGCTCGTCCCGCTGGTGTGGAGGAAGACTGTCTCCAGCCCTTGCTCGGCACGTTGGCGCACGCCTTCCAGCACCGCCTCGACGGAAGGCAGATGATCGGCTGTGGCGGTGTGGATGACAATCGGACTCGCCGCCGTGTATTTGCGGATGATGTCCTTGTCGTCCAGAGAGCCCATGACCACTTCCCTGGCGCCGAGGTCTTTGACTTGTGCAGCGTGTGCCTCCCTTCGGACCATGGTGGTGACTTCATAGCCGGCCTCAACGAGCAGCTCTAGCAGGTCGGTGCCGATCAGGCCCGGTCCTATAAGGAAGACTTTCTTCTCCGTCGCCATGGCTAGCAGGCGACTAAACAGGCAGTTTCGCGGATACTGCAATGTCACTGAATCGTCCTAGGAAGTAGGCAGGGTCGTAGTGTAGGTTGACGAGACCAGCCGGAGCCGAGAGGGTGGTGACCCTGTCGCTTTATACGTTCGGCTTTCTTCAAGATCGGCTCGTGCGGTCTCTACCAGAATGCATTCTCTATGGAATCATGTATCTATATATGAATCACTCCTTTCGCCCTCCGTTCCCCGCATTCTCCATGCCGGTAGATCAGCCCATTAGCCGGGCATCCACAGGTATTGACAACAACCGCGACTTCCGTAAAAGGCCCGGCAAAGCCGGCAAAGACGGCTAATGCTGAGTCAAACAGGCGTTCATTTCTCCCATCATATGTGCACATCCTGTGGCCTGGATATACTCGCGCCGTCGCCGTTCATGTATAGGTACCAATCGGCCATCTGATATGCATTTGCGAGCAAGTGACCGCAATATTCTCCAAGCATCGAGAGCCTGGATCTGTCCCTCACTACTCATCAGCCTGTTCAATAACATAACCCTTGAATTCTCGTGCCGGCACCCGTCTCTCGAATAAGATATCCAACTCTTCGAAAGTCCGATTCTTAGTCTCTGGAAGACGGAAGAAGCACCATGTGAGCGAGATGATGGAGATACCGCCGTACAAAAACTCGATCTTGGCCCCAGCGTTGGCCGCGCCAGGATTGAGGAGGTAAGGACCAATCACTGTAGTGACGAGGCCAGTTGCTGCATCGATCATCGTGGCCAAAGCTATCGTCTTCGACCTGAGTTTCGTGGACGGAGTTTCGCACACCACAACGTAGGTAAGCGGACCGAGCGTCATCTGCCACACAAACTGTAGGGTGCACAAGAGCGCTGCTTGCGCCCAAGAGTACGCTGGGTTGCTTGCATAGTCCGACGCAAGACACATAAAGGCCACGACGAACAGAATGACGATGACGTAGCCTAGACCTGCCATGTAACAGATGCGCCTTCCAAAGTAGATGAGAGGGATGGCAGATGCAAGAGTCCCGAGGAATCCAAGGCCGTTGAGTCTGGGGCGGAATAGCATACATGTCAGTTGTCTGCCCAAATGAGAGTAGGAGTTTTCTTTGCTTGAGAACTCACCCAAGGCCCATATCAAACGAGTGTTTGGCACTCAAGCCAACTTGCTCAAAAAGATAAGTCGCAAAGCCCACCGGGTTGCCTGAGAAGTTCTGGATGACGAAGAGCATGATGCAAATCTCCATCCTCCTGCGATTTGGGCCCTTCCAGCAGTCCATGTAAGTGGTGCCGACTTCGACCTCGCGCTCATACAGATCTAAGCAGACCCTCGAGTTAGCATCGGCGTCTCAGAGCCACCAGGAACGAGAATACCCTGCGGCGAGGTCTGTACAGTGAGAGGCAACACTTACCGGTTTTCACCATCATAGCCAGAGTGTTTGTCGCTTCCACCTTCTCGTGCTCTTCCGACAGTCTCTTAAGGGAGCGCTCTGCTTCCTCCATCTTATGCTGACGCACAAGCCACCAGGGGCTTTCGGGGGCCCAGAGCAATCCCGGGAGGATGATTATCGGCCATGCCCATTGTATGCAATAGGGTATTTTGTATGCCCACTTGTCCACTCTGTTGATGAACCCCCTCGTGATCCCCGTCTGGATAAACTGGCCCATGACATAGCACAGGTTGATATATCCGGTCAAGAACCCTCGGAGTTTCATTGGAAGACACTCCGAAGCATAGGTTGGGGCAAGGACACAGTATCCGCCCCAGATAATGCCCGACAAGTCTATTGAGAGAAGGAAAGGGATGTCAGTCTCTCTGTTGCTCCACGGAACCATTCCATGAAGCACTTACACATGCTTGTTGTCAAGACCTGAATGTTTGGAGCAAAGACCTGCATGAACACCAACGCGGAGGTCAACAGGAGATATATAGCCAATGTTTTCCGGCGCCCAATCTTCTCCATTGGGATTGCAACAATGTATGCACCGATTATCTGACCAACGAGGGAACCCATAGACATAGCGACCTGCCAGTCGGCAGGGATCTGGTAGCCATGACCAGGAACTTCGCGGCCAAAATGATTTTGGAACGATGGGAGGGCGAAGAAGTTTCCGGTGATCTCAATGTCGTAGGCGCGCATGATGATGGACAGAGAGAAAAATATCGACCAGAAGGCACCTTTACGGTAGATCTTCAACGCTTCAAGATAGGTGAGCTCGTGTTCCGTGTGGGTGCCCTGGTGGGCCATGGAGGTGGTGATGCTGTCAAGCTTGCCGGTGACTTCTGCATCTGTAAGTGTCTTCTCCACCGTGATGCCCGGTTCGAGGCTGGCAGAGTGTTCAATGAACGTGGTGCCATCCTTGTCCTGTGTCTGGGAGGCGGTGGCCATGACTGCTAGACTGGTTGTACCGGACGCAGCACTACTCGCGCGAGGACACAAGGGTTAGAGATCGGGAAGAATGTAAAGAGGAACGGTGTAGCTCGAATGTTGGAGAGCTTGAACAACGACGATAGATAAATTCCAGCAGAGGCGTCTCGTTCTTATGAGCATTCTGGCTTCATCCCAACATTGCCAGCCTCCTACCTTGGTATGATTGCAGTACGAATGGCAGTACAGCAAAGCCGCCATGTTATCCGACGCGAACGGCCCATCTTCCAAGTTTTGTCAGGCCATACCAACCAACAGTGCGGGGGACATGAAGACTTGGTCGTTTTCAGAATGGATCTGCAACAATTGGATGTCCTTCTGCTCGCCCGCCCCGTGGGGAACGCAGGACTCAGGGTAGCATCGCTTCTGACTCTGAGCCGCCAAAAGTCAAGCGGGATTTGGCCGTAATCGTACTCGATATTGCCGAGGACATCATTCCTATTGGCTTAACCGGTATAGGTGTCTCATATTCATCACGGTTAATCGGCCAGCAGAGTTTGTTTCTGAACCTCAGACGCTAAAGCATTGCCTTACGCCGTTTACCGAACATCTAGAAAAGGGTCAGAAAGGACACCAGAGATCGCGTGACAGGACTCCTTGGCAACGGGATGGTTACCTCTAGAGGTTACGACCTAGACAACAGTGTGAACCACTCCCTCATCCCCAGTCATGAGGTCTATCACTGTCCAAAAGATCGTTCTGTTTGGTGATTCTCAGACTGAGCAAAGTTCCAGCCAAGCCGGTGGATTCAACCTTGCGCCGGCGTTGCAGCACGAGTACTGGTCCAAGGTACAGGTAATAACACATGGTTATGGCGGGTATAACACGGAACATGGACGCCATATCATCGACGCCATCCTCCAGTCAGAAGCGCCGGTCGCAAACCAAACCACACAAACTCGCAATGCTAGGATCAGGCTGTTAGTGATATCCTTTGGCACAAACGATGCGGCAGATCCCAGCCACAACAGACATTCACAAAGCGTACCCCTCGATAGATATAAGGAAAATCTATCATACATGGTGGCAGCAGCCAAGCGACAGGGGGTCGAAGCGGTGGTTCTCGTAGGACCAGCGCCAGTCAACGAGCTCGCACCCGAAGCCCCGTTAGATCGAGATACTCAGAGGGCAAGACTCTACTCGGATGCTACAGCACAAGTCGCCAGACACTTCGGAAAGCAGAGCAATGTCGCATTTGTTGACTTGTGGCACGCCTTCATGGATGCTGCAGGGTGGACGGAAGGACAGCCCATCCTCGGGCGTAGGGAATGCGTTGGGGGCGTTCAACCAAATTCTTTGTCGCAAGCCCTCGCCACCTCTGGGAAGCTTGCCGGGTTATTGGCTTCAGATGGTGTCCACTTCACAGCAAAGGGGTACCGAATCTGGTACGACCTATTGCTGCAGACTGTTCGCGAACAGTGGCCGGAGCTGAGGTCTGAAAATCTTAAGACGATTTTCCCACACATCTTTGACATAGATCCGAATGACCTGCCATCTTCACTGTGGCAGCATTAGAGGAGGACTGAGCGATATTCGTGTGAAGCACGAAGTGGTTGAATCTCTATCTGTTGGCCCGCGCATTGCGGATCGGAATCTCTGGGCTTGGCATCGAGTTTATCCCCTGGGAGAGTAACGTCTCTTCTCGTGCATTTTTCCACGACTGTGTAGCAAGACCTATGGTCGACATCGAGGTTCGACGTGCTGTTCCTTTCGTCTGTGGAGCAATTGGTAGTTCTGGAGGCCATATATTGGTGCGCGGGACAACCACACCCTCCGCAAGGCCGACACCTGATGTTGTTGGCTCACGTTTGTGCTTGACCAGAACCTCTTGCGGGCCGCTGAAAATGGATAGGGACAAGACTCCAGGGGCATGGCAACTCGCATCCGCTGTAGCGATGCAAGTTCGAGACCTTCTCTTAACCGAAATGCCGAAGCGGCATCAGACTCATCTCCTAGACCCGGAACTTGGCTTCGCGGATAGCAAGCAAACTAGCGTTTTGCCGATGAGGGATTTCCCACGATATAGGGTCAGGACATGTTCGGGGTCGCTTTGGCCAGACTGGAGCTAGCCAGAAGGTATGTAGGCACTAGGTTCGCACGGGGTGCACAACCCGATTGTCAGCTACAAGGAGGAAGTTCAGTGGGAGTTAGAGGGCGGGAACTGCCAAGTGGGAATGCTGTTGGCTATTCTGCCACGTGACAAGTCTTGGCATCTGCTGCGCGTGCCTCCGCCTTTGCTTTCTTCCTCCGCTCATGTTCCGGTCGCATTACAGCTGTTCCGCCACCAGGAGAACATGGTATGCCTGCAACAGCCCCATACAGAACCCGACGCGCTGCGAAAGCTTGCTTGTCTTGCCGGAAAAGGAAGGTCAGGTGCGACTATGCAACAAAGGGGTCGCCGTGCTCGAATTGTGATCAGGATGGCTTCGAATGTCTAGCTGTCGACAGGAAGAAGCGACACAAGTCTACTGTAGGGTCTCTGACTGAAGCGAACCCTGCCCACTCATCTTCCACTCCTGCTCGAACACATCACAATGGAATTGGCACATCGGCGACTGGCCTCCCGACAGCCAGCGAGGCTGCTGTCGATTCGCTGTCTGCAACTCCAGAAGGGATTGAGCAATCTTCAACGCGGCGGACATCTTCATTTTCCAGACACAGGTTGTTGCATTCGGTTCCCCACTATGCCTTTTTAATGCGCCTTTCTCAACCCCAACGTTCAGATGCAAGGCCTCTCGAGGACATTGTGCTTCAATTGGCATCGGACAAAAACCAAGGGTCGTCTGCGCCGGTCTCGGGCTGCAGTGAGGATGAACTGCACTATCTCAAAAACGCTGGTTGCTTCGACATTCCTCCACCACAGGTCCTTTCGGCGTTGATTGATGCCTACTTCACTATCTTCCACCCGTTCTTTCCTGTTGTCCAAAAGTCGGAATTCATGCAATCCATGAAGTCCATCGAAGTCTCGATGACCACCAGTCCAAGCGCTGCACATCACGCAAGCCCGGCTCGAAATCCTTCTAGTCTCGAGTCGGCTCCTTGCAATTCACCTTACAGTCTCCTGCTCCTCCAAGCTGTGCTTTTCATAGCAATCGGAGTTGTGCCCTCCGAGGTCGTCTCGGCGGCGGGATTTTCATCCCGCAAACAGGCGCGCCATGCATATTACCTCAAGGCACGCCGACTTTATGATCTCGACTATGATGAAGACCCGATTGCCACTATTCAGGCTCTATTATTGATCAGTCAGTACTACCCCTCTATCACTGAACGAAAGCACACGTGGCATTGGATACACCAAGCTATCAGCTTGGCTCAAGTCAGTGGGCTGCATAGGGATCCTGGCAACGTCCCTCATCGGGCTCTATGGGCACGAATTTGGTGGGCGTGTGTCGTACGAGACCGCTGCAATGGTCTGGGGACTGGCCGCCCTCTCATGATCAACAGCCTGGACTGCACCACGTCGATGCTGGTGCTTGATGATGTCAAAGAAGAAGGTGACTCTGAGCAAGATCTCGAGGTCAAGGCAATATTCATCGAATTCGTTAAGCTTTGCCAGATCGTCGAAGGCATCGTCACTCTGCGCTATTCAAGCTCAGTGACAGATGCGGCACCTCCTGATCAGCTCAAGGTCTGCGAGGATGCCCTAGAACGCTGGACGCGGTCTTTGCCGCCTCAGGCGAAACGACAAGACCATCTCCAAACCGTCTCGGGGAACGTAGGGATCGCCACTATGTATCGTGCTATTTTGCATGCATGCTTGAACACCATTCGCATCGCATTGTACCAGTCACTTACTCTGTGGAACGGAGCTGGGGACTGGACTACTACTTGTCAGCAAAAGGTTGAATATGCGGCTTTGGACAACACGCAGCTGTTTACTCATCTCGTCAACCTTGACCTAGTGAGATTCTGTCCCACGATTGCTGTTACGTTTACATTGGCGCCTCTCATTGTTCATGTCCTAGGGATCAGATCCTCCAGATCGGAGGAAAGACGCCAAGTCCATAAGAACCGATTTGAGCTTTGCATGATATTCTTGCGCCAGCTGCGCGACATTTATTGGCACGCTATTTTTTACTGCGAATTCTTCGAGCTGGCCGCATCGATCAAAGACCACCAGCTGAGGACGCAGATGTCAGAGGCTCACGATCCTCTAGCTTCGTTTCTCACTCAGCGCATCAGTGTTGGCGATCTCATGGTACTTCGCCACTATCAGAACCTTGGAAACGCCGGGGAAGTGGATGATTTGCACCGGACTCCTGCAGCATCACCATTCTATACCCGGGAATGGCCTCAAAATGCCAGAACAGAAAGCTATGGCCATGGTATTCAAGGAGAAATATCAAATCAACTATCTGTCGCTGCGGACCCTGACCATGTCTATCTGAACCAGACTGGATCTATGAACATGAACGAATGGCTGGCGGCGCATTCACGTGCTGGTCAGTCCATTCCATTTGCCTGAAGCCCTCAGCCACGAATTCAGCCTCAAGACAGCTCATTCATCCATACTCTGGCCGAGACCTGTCAAACCAGGCCGCTATTAATGATTGACAAGCCATCTTGAGAGCGCCAGAAGGTCCCGTCTGGATAGCTGTACTGAGAGATTGCGGTCCCTTGAAACTCGACACTGTAGCCGGACTCCAGTGGAGTTACGAAAAAGCCATCACGCGTCTGCAATGGCGTTGTGAGGACGTGGTTATAGGTGGTGATGTTCTCGAGCATGCTCCGCTCTCCAGATACGCAAAGATAATCCACCAAAGACAAGTGCTGCGTGTACTCATTCAAGCCAATGCCACCACTATGTGGGACAACCGGGACTCCAAACCTGGGATCATTGTCAGCTGCTTGGCCTGGGCATCTTGGAAGTCTTTCTTCTCACTTTTTTGCCATAAGGAGGACGGCCAAAACCTCGTTTACTCCCCCCAAACGGCAGGCATCAATTTGGCAGACATCGATAGCCTCAGCCTGAAGCAGCTGTTTGAACATTACTCGATTATGACACATCTCCCCTGTCGCGACTCCTATGCCGTGAGCTTTGAGGGCTTTCCGGACAGCAGCGTGGCCAAGAATGTCATCTGGCGATGTCGGCTCCTCAATAAACCTAAAAATTCAGTCTCTGTCAGTGACGAATGGTTAGCATGCGGTGATATGGCACGTACGCTGGTTTGAACTCCGCCAGCTGAAGCATCCATTGTATGGCTTCGGATACACCCCAGACCTGATTCGCATCTACCATCAAGGTCTTTTCGTCGCCCATCAATTCCCTGGCGATCCGGCATCGTCGCTTGTCATCCTCAAGATCCCTACCGACCTTTAACTTGAACTTATCGTGGCCAGCGGCAAGGAGGTCTTTCATCAACTTTCGCATCTTTTCGTCCGAATATCCCAACCACCCAGCCTCGGTCGAGTACGCAGGTACCGCCCGATTTGCTTCTGCATCGCGAAGTCGCTGTGGCTTTGATGCCTCCTGCGCTTCCAACAGAGCGATTGCCTCCTGCGGACTAATGGCGTCTTCGATATAGCGGAAGTCAATGCACCTCACAAACTCCTCGGGCCTCATGTCGGCGATGAGTTTCCAGACGGGCTTCTTCTCCGCTCGGCCCCAGAGATCCCATAAGGCGTTGACACAGGCAGCTAGACCCAGGTGGATAACCCCTTTTTCAGGGCCCACCCACCGGAGCTGAGAATCGGAGACGAGGAAGCGCCATGTTTGGCCCATGTTAGACGTCAAATCCGCGAGCCGCTTACCCACGAGCCTGTCAGCTGTGGCACGAGCAGCTTGACAGACCAGATCGTTCCCGCGGCCGATAGTGAATGAGAAGCCATGTCCTGCCAAATGCGAGTTGGTATTCAAAACGATGTAAGCGGCGCTGTAGTCAGGAGCGCCATTCATTGCATCTGATCCTGCCGAGGTGAGGCTTGTCGGGAAGCGCAGATCTGATTCGACCTGTTAGTCTTCCAAAGTGTCTGAAGCTCGGAACAGCGCGAACTCACCATAGACTTGATATGACTGGATGATGATTTCGTCGAAATTCGTTGGGCCGTGGTGGGTGCCATTCGACAATCCCTTGTCGCCCGCCATTATTTTGTAAAAATCTCAGTGTGAACGGATTAAGTCGTCGATCTGATGGCTTGCTTGTGAGCAAATCTGTTCGCGTCACACTTCGCCGTGAATTTGGACTTCTCTGGAGTGCGAATGGCCACGTCCAGATGAACCATGATCGAGACATAACGGATCCTTTTCTTCAAATACTTTCAACCACAGCCCCAGTTGCGCCATATCGCTCTCGGCACTGATCATATCCAACGGGCCACGTAAACTTGTGTTGTCGCCGGCTCGCCGGCTTTAGGGATCAGACCGAATTGCCGGATGTCGGCTTCTGATTCGCGCACACTGGGCATGGATGATCTATTCCAGTTCTAGTAGGTATACGGCAGAGACACCCGTAGACGGATTGCTTTTGTGGAAATGCTCATGGGTCTCGGGCTTCGCAGCTTGACATGGCCACGACGTATCCAAAAAGTGATGCGGGCAAAAGGCTGGCGAAAGCTCTTTGAAGTTTCGGCCATCTGGCAGAAGGGCTCAGATATACTTGACTTGCGCCAATTTCCTCGACGGCCGGGCGATCCATTATCAGAATCATTGTTGCACTCAGGACAAGGTATCGCCTCCTTCGCAGCATCTACCAGGGATGGATCCATCACATAATCTATATTACCTTGCTCCGGCCACAGGCTTTCCTCAATCACTTGCCCTTGGAAATGGCAGAATAGGCGCCAGTGTCATTTCGATTGTAGACGCCGACACAATCCTACTGAACGAGGTTACCTTCTGGTCAGGGAAGCATTACGAGCCGCAGAGCCAATATGGTGGCAAGGCCGCCATCAATGAGATGCGTGAACGCTACATCCAAAAGGATTATCAGGCCGTGCAAACCTTGGCAGAGAAATGGTTGCAACCTCCGAAAGGGAACTTCGGCACGAATCTAGGTGTTGGACGACTCAAAATCAAGTATTCTCTCTCTGAAGAAGTTCCTGGAGGCACTACCGAGAAAGGTAAATTTGAGAGAGGTCTCAGGTTGGACGAAGGCATTGGCTGGGTGTCCTATACACCGGACGACTCTAAAATGCAGATTAGCAGGGAGATGTTTGTCTCCCATCCTCATCAAGTCATCGCTGTGAAGATTTCGGCGAACAAGGGAGCTGGAATCTCCTGCAACATTGGATTTGAAGGAGAGACCAAAAGTTGGTCGACCAAGAAACCAAGCGCGGCTGAGTTGGAAATCCACACGCAAGCACTTGAGACTGTGCACAGTGATGGGACTTGTGGTGTCAAGCTGCATGGTCTGATTCACCTCCAGTCTGATGGCGAACTACAGTCTACAGAAGATGTCATTTCTGTGACGAACGCTTCCTCCGTGGTGATATTGACTGCTCTGAATACGGATTATCAGGTCACACCTGGGGAGGACTGGATTTCTCTGGCCCGAGCTCAGATCCAGACTGCATTCGAGGCCGGATATGACAAACTCAAGCAGTGCCATACGCAAGACCACCACGACTTCTACTCTCGAGTGGATCTTACGCTCGGCCCAACATCTTCAACGTCACACGTTCCTACCGACCAACGCCAGAAAGTACTGGCAGCCTCAAAAGGGGAATCCTCGGAGGATTTATCCCTTTACGCGTTATACTTCAATTATGGTCGTTACCTCTTGATTGCAGGTACTCGCTCCGATTCTCCTCTCCCGCTTCATCTGCAAGGCCTCTGGAATGACCGGGAAGCCAATGCGATGAACTGGTCATGCGACTATCACCTTGACATCAATACGCAAATGAATTACTTTCCGCTCGAGCCATGTGGACTGGGGGACGAATGCCACCGGCCGCTTGCGAGGTACATGCAGAAACTCGCGGAAGCTGGAATCCAGTCTGCAAGGAATTTCTATGGCACCCAAAAGGGGTGGGTTGCGCACGTGTTTTCGAACGTCTGGGGATTCACAGCGCCCGGCTGGGAAACAAGTTGGGGGCTCAATGTCACTGGGGGCCTATGGATGGCCATGGAGATGAAAGAGCATTGGGAGTATACTCTCGACAAGGCATACTTGAAGGGGTATGCTTGGGACGTTTTGAGATCCGCGGCCGAATTCTTCTTGGAGCATATGTCCACCCCCGACCAAAAGACGGGCTATATGGTGACCGGCCCCTCTGTATCGCCCGAAAACACGTTCTTTGTCGAGGAGCAGGGCCGACGTCAGGAGCATGCATTGAGTCTATCCCCAACTCTAGATGTGGCCCTAGTGAGGGACCTTCTGGCATTCTGCGTCGAGGTCGCTTCGTCACTTGGCAGTCAAGACGCCACAAACAAAGACTTCATCCAGCGCGTTAAACAGACCATACCAAAACTCCCCCCACTCCAAATCGGCAAGCATGGCCAATTACAAGAATGGCTCGAAGACTTTGAGGAAGCCCAACCCGACCACCGCCACATGTCGCACATCGTGGCCCTCATCCGCAGCAACCAGATCAGCAAACGGCGCACGCCCGAACTCGCGGAAGCGGTGCGCGTCACGCTCGAAAGGCGCCGCGCCCGCGCCGACCTGGAAGACATCGAGTTCACGGCCGTGCTGTTCGCAATGGGCTTTGCGCGGCTCGACGACGGCGACGCGGCGCTCAAGCCCCTCACGCATCTGATCTCGGAGCTGTCGTTCCAAAATCTGCTGTCCTTCTCCAAGCCCGGGATCGCGGGGGCTGAGACAAACATCTTCGTCGTGGACGGCAATTTCGGCGCCACCGCCGCCGTGGCCGAGCTGTTGCTGCGGAGCGTGCAAGTCGGAGAGGTCGAGATCTTGCCGGCTCTGCCCGAGAAGTGGGGGAAGAGCGGGCATGTCAAGGGGCTCAGGGCAAAGGGCAATCTCGTGGTTAGCATCCAGTGGAGCGAGGGAATGTTGGTCGAAGGGACGATTCAGAATGTCGGCCAGGACGCGCTGTCGGTCAGAGTCTACTACCGCGAGCGGTCTGTAGGGATGGAACTGCAGCCCGCCGCCACAGTCCGGGTGGACCAAGAGCTTCTTGTGCGATGAGGAACTCACTGAACGAGTCACGGCAACGACCCCAGGGGGAAGTATGCGATTTCGCATACGAGAACACGTTGCGTCCCTAGACTGTAGAACTCCAGTCCTGGGGTGCTCGATTGCAGTGAGATACACGAGAAGCTTTCTCCAAAAGATATCAAATTGTTCAGGGCAATCTGGCTCCTATGGAATAGGAGTATCCTTTGACACCGAGACAAGTCTGTATAGTCTGTATATGTATGCTTTAGATTCGTCCGGCTTGCCGAGAACCTTTCCCGTCCAATATCCATGTCTGCCATGTCATTTATGTATATATCTATCCATCATCATCATAATTGGATCAACATTCGCTTTTTCGCTAAATAACCCGCCGGTAACATTGCGACCAGATTAGAACTGCGCTAAATTGCTTGCCAGAAAGAAGCAGGAAAGCCATTGAGATTGTCACTCGGTGGAATGATCGTGGGACAAATGGGGTGTCTCGGAATGGTTCTCGTCGTGTGGAGAGCCAGTTGTGGTTCGCGACTGGGCCAGAGCACCAGAAGAAGCAGGGGCGTCGAGGGAGGTCGAAGAGGCGGCGCCGGTGGCAGCACCAGCGGCAGCGTCGAGACCTGCTGGCGGTGTGCTGGGAGGCTGGTTGGTGACTTGAGGACGTCTCGTCGGGGCCTCGCTGGCATCGGGTCCTTGCTCTGTCTTTTGCCGACTCCGCGACTCGTGGTCCCTCAAGGCCGGGAACGCGGAGCTGCCTCTCAGAGCGCCGCCGCCGAGAATCCTGTCCGTGGCTGTCCTGCGGGGCATTTGGAACAGTCTGGTTTGCTGATCTTCTGGCGGACTATCAAGGGGTTGCTGCGGTCCCATGCTGTTGCGCTTGTCGCCCTTCAGCGTGCCCTTCTTGAGCTTGTACGCCTGCCACCACGTGATGTTGCCGTCGCGGTCGTGCGGGAACAGATCCCATTTGTCCATGCTCTCTTCCTCGTCGTAGGTGAGCGCGAGCCAGGCGTACAGATCCTGTCCTTTCTTGGAGCATTTCTGTCCTTCCTTTCGTACTCCGCTCACCCACCGCTTGTTACTGCCCTCGCCTTCCTCGTGAAACTCGTACGACTCGGGCCACTCGTAGATGTCTGCCCTGAGCCGGGACCCGATCCAGCAGCGTCGCACCAGGCGGAAATCCGTGGGCTTCACGCTTTTCTCGGCGTCTTGCTGTTGATCAGGCTTGCCATTTGCATTCTCGCCGCGGATCTTCCTTCTTACCCAACCTTTAAAGTTCCACTCCGAGTCGTCACATCCAAACTTGAATATCAACAAGATGGTCGGCAGCACCATTAGTACGACGGTGTACATTTGACTCGCCAAGTCGGCCATGCCGATGGCGACAATGTGCACTGCAAAGGCCAGCCAACCGACGGAACGCATGATGAAATATGTTATGGGGTTCAAGATCACAGGCCCTGCAATAAAAACCGATGTAGGTTTCAGCAACTCATTGGGCATCCAAAAGGTAACCGCTTTCGAATCAGATTGGATGATGAGGACTTTGGTGTCTGTTCCGGTCCAGGCATCCGTCTTTTTATCATTCTGGGTCGCTTGCTTCTCTCCGTTCGGAGGGCTTGAACAATTGCTTCCATCGGATTGGGGTTCCTTAGGTATTGCAGCCGGTGCTCTGTTCCTCAGGTCGGGCGTCTTCTCGTCTTCATATTCCTTGACAGCCTTATCCACCATGACATCGAGCCCATCCCGTTGCTGACCGATGACATAGGCACGAACGATGATGGACACGATCATAGCCATTGCATTAGCAAAGCCATACCAGTCCTTGGAAAGAATAGTGCCAGCAACAAGGAAGCCATTAAAAGTGAAGCTTATGGCTAGGGAGAAGGATATCTGGTTCTTTCGGGACTGTGGTTCCGTCACTGTCCATTTGACAAAGTTGCTGGTATGCTCGAATTCCTGGGAGAGCATCCATCTCGTCAACCAGCCGCCGAGGTCGGTTGTATGGATGCCTCGTGATATGTTGTAGAGGTTGAATCCAGCGGCTTTCTCAGTGAATCGGTTTCCAGAAATGACATACGCACCCAGTAACGGCATGTACTCGAGGTATTTACTACTGACGAGGCGGCCGAATGCTGCATTGACCTCTTCGGCTCCCAAGAGTGTTACAAGACCAAGAGCGTCGATGTGGAAAGGTTGCCACTTGAGGAGAACCTTCCAAGGAGCCCATGACGGTGTGCTGGCACCAGACATGGTGGATCTTCTCGTATAGTCCGGACAACGTGCCTGGAAGGATCCTCAGGAACGGAGCGTCGCGTGCCCATTACGCGACGAAGAGCCGGAAAGTAACCTCGGAACTCGAGAGATGATTGTGAAATCCATCATTCAGGCGAATTGCTGTGAAAAGACATCTTGAAAGAGGATATTGAAGATTGAGGATCACCAGAGAAGAGAGAGGAAAAGAAAGAGAAGAGAGATCCTCATGCGGCTGACGCCAGACTCGCTCTGAAGGCAGGCGGTCGTACTTCTCAGGACATTTTCGGCCCCTAAATTGAATGCCCAATGGCGGCCATCAGGCTGAGACGCCAGAGACGCCATGGACGCCTCGCCCAGAGCTAGTCATTGCCTTTAGCCGAAAACTACGAGGTACATCGTCGGCCTCAGCCTGACAGTGGGAACCAGACGAGATCCGCATTGATAGGTTCACAGTACTAAAAAGCCGTAAATGGGTTTGAAGTCTGATGAGCTTGTGCCCGTCACAAGTACATACCTAGGTAGGAATATAAATCACAAATCATGATCAAGGTGTGGAAAGGGCGAGGCCGAACCAATATTGCACGTGACATGTGTCTTGGCAAGGCTGCGCTCGGAAAGCTTTCGCTTGTCTCAGGTTGATCCCAGCCTTCTTCACCCTTCACTTGTTGTCGCTTGAGGTGTCACACCTTGGAGAAATCCATGCTCTCTGGATGTTAAGTGGCTCTGCAATAGCACTTCCAAGCTAACAAGACCCAATCTTGCCTACTCAACAATGCCATAGTTTCAGAAGGATGCGCAACCGCACCCACAAGGCTACACCACAACGCGTTCAATAAGCTTGTGATATTTCTCACGAAGCTGCAACAACAGTCTGGATTCGCAAGCCTAGTCAGTATCTGCCTTCTGGTCAGGCAGCTACTCCATTTGAGAAATGCGTTATCAGATCCCAGATTCACGGCAGGCCTCGATCGCGAGCCGCCCACAATGCCCATCTTGACCAGACCTCGGCGCGGGACACCGCCGACTTGAGACACTTGGACACAAAGAATCGATTGTCCACTTCCTCAAACATGAGACTAACCTGTCGGCAGTGGAATTTCTCTCCACTCTGTCTTTGGAAGCATCCGTCCGACTCAGGAAGGCAGGATATCGTTCAAAAAGCACACCTTCTGAGCCCTTGTACTCTTCAACGCAGTCATGGTCCTCAAGATGGATATGAAGGGCTTCCAGATGCTTCAGATACGACTGCTTCACTAACTGCTCTCTCAAGGAAATGGAGGCAGTGGTCGACCCGGGTAAGTCTTCCACTATTTAAACCGTCCAAGGAGGAGTTCTTGGGTTTCCATCTCTCTTCAACAAACGACACTTACTCTACTCTGGACTTTCGTTTCTCAAACCTCATCACTTGGATACCGAATCATTTCTCAACCGCCTGTGACCATGCCCCGCAGCATGCACAAGAACACCCGGAAGTTCCAGGCCCCGGCACGAGAGCCACCTCAAATACATGGTGCAAATTGCGTCTGTAGCCTCTGTTCGAAAGGGCGTTGTCTTTGCGGACGACGCTTGGGCCGAGGGAAACGAGGGAAACCCAAGGCACCAGTCTGCACTCGAAAGCAATGCAGGTCCAATGGTGAGAAGCGTTGCAAATAGAAAAGTCCGCTCGGAACTCTTTCGTCGACCACAATTCTTCCCGAAGTGTCTGAGTGGCTTACAGCATCCAGCCAAATCCGTGCGGCAAGACCATCCAACTCGAATTACGCTCATCGCTGTCTCTAACGGGGAACAGTGGCTCGGACGATGGAAGAGCCAACAGCTGGTGTTTGGGGGGCCAGGTGGATGGCAATGTGATGAGTGTGATTAATCTGGTGTTTGCTGTGGCAGCAACTTTTTAGACTTGGGGAAACTATTGGTGCCATTTACGAGAAATTGGGTTTCATTTGTGGAGAACGGGCAGTGCTTACAACTGTGGCATTTCGATGTTAGACCACTTCTTTTGTTCGGGTGGGGGACATGGGTTAGGAAACAGACACATCGGGCAATGAGACATCATGGATTGGGGATAGCGAGAGTCAGAAAACGAAACCACGAAACAAAAGGGAAAAGATGAAAAACACCAATGTGCATCTAAGTGAGTCTGTTGACGGACAATGAGCATCGATCTTTTTCTTCTCAACTTTGATTGAATTGAGCGATTTTATCCGAAAAGGGCCTCGTAATAATGCTCCGGGGCCGTCTTCATATTCGCATAGCCACATCCATCTCGGCAAACAAGGCTGGGCAACGATCAAGTACATCCCTTCATCTCCAGCACAGGGCTTTCCCTCCACACCGAGGAAGAACGAGTGATCCCCAGGGTCGAGTATCTTTCCCTCGTGAGTGCCAGTGACTTTCGGCCTTGCCAGCGAGTGGTGCGGTTTTCGGGGTGTTGTGTGGTTGTTCGGAAAGCATGGATTCAAGAGTAGGTCTGTGTGTGTGTTTGACTTTTGGACAACTTTGTGTTGGATGAGACGCGCCGTTGGTGATCTTTCGGTGGAGCTGCTGACGGAAATTGCTGGCAAGCCAGCTTTCCCGGGGTCCCGTTTGCTCGACACGGGCTTTACCACCCGGCGGCGCCAGCAGTCGCCTCTTGGGCCCAATCAGCAGTACCAGTGCCGGGCTCGTTCCAGTTGGCATCGGCCTGAGGAGCACCCTCGATACCAGGCGCAGTGCCAGGCTCGCCAGTCCAGTCCGCATTGTCTGTGAAGCCGCGCTCGACAGCACCGGGACCAGCCTCGTCCGCACCCGGCACTTTCTCCTCCTCCTTCTGCTCCTCAGCCTCAGGATCACGGTAGAAGTACAGATCCACCACGACATCCCACTCGACTTCACGGTTGGCCAGGGTGCCGCGGAGGCGGAGCACCTCACGAGCCAACATCCACCAGATCAAGCCGATGGCGTGACGGCCCTTGTTGTTGGTGGGGATAGCGACGTCGACGAATTCGGTGGGGGAATCGGTGTCACAGAGGGCGATGACGGGGATGTTGACATAGGAGGCTTCCTTGATGGCCTGGGCATCCGTGCGCGGGTCGGTCACGATGATCAAGCGCGGCTCCTTGAACGAGCGGGTGATGTAGTTGGTGAAGTTACCAGGGGTGAAACGACCGGCGATGGCGACGGCCCCGGTGTGGGCGGCGAACTTCAGGACCGCACGTTGGCCATAGGGACGGGCAGAGATAACACAGATGTCGGCTGGGTTGTCGACGGCTGCGATGATGCGGGCTGCGAAGACGATTTTCTCCCTATAAGAAGCTCCGAGTCAATTGATGTCCGGGTGAGCGCGACTTGGCACCACCAGATTCGCAGCGTTTGCGAGAACATTAGGAAGGTAGCAGAGTATTTGTATTTCATACCAGGTCTTAGAGATGTTGATGACATTGATTCCATCGGGACGAGTCTTCCACAGGTAGGGTTCCATGTGAACCTGGAGGTTCTTGGATCCCAAGTGACATTGTGCCGCAAGGAGCATTTCAATGTCCTGAGAGGTGGGGTTGAAGATGGGAGGGAGATTTGCTGGGCTCGCCATGATTGCGACTGAGTTGTTTGATCAGTCAAAGAGGGCGAGTGTTTGAGAAACAAGGAAGTAAGAATGAGAGGGTTGATCGATGAGGCCAGCAACGAGGCTCAAGTTCACAGGGAAAAGATTGAGCAATACTAGTAATGTGCGTTTAGCTAATCCATGCCAAGATTTCTTTTCGGGTCAACTTCCTATTTGCGGAACGGGGTCTTTTCTCGGGTCGGAAATACTTTTGAGCGGGTAGATCCTCAATCTCAATCGAGACTCGGGGAAAGATCTTGTGCCCTGCACAAGAGCGTGTAGACACCAGTCTGCGTTGAAGTTTCATCAGTTTCAACCGCTCGAACAATGCCGCCGCGACTTTCTGCTACTGCCGCAAGCAGCATCTTCAATCGTGAGACAGTCCGACTCTTCTTCGACTCCTGTGCTAACCAACCTTGCAGTGACCAGTCTCCTTCAGAGCTTGCCCGCAACCACACGGAATCAAGCACTCACAAAGTGCTCTACTTGCCTCTTCTCCACCACAGCTCCTCTAGAAGCGAAGCGGACAAGAAAACGAAAAGTCAGGAAGCATGTCGACCCATATCGGCTGGCACAGGCCCGGCAGCGCAAATCAGCAAATTTAGCACGACAAAAAGTGTTGCAAGCAGAACGCGAACTCGCCCTCGGTGACCCCGTCCGATCACGACCGACTCCGTTTGTCAATTCCCTGCAGGCAAATGCTCCTATCTCTACAATCAAAGAGTCCTATCTGAACTATTTCCTCAAACCAGAGGATGTGCAAAAGTCTCTAGAATACTCCAAATGGCTTACTGAGCCTCTTCCAGAAACCAGCCCTATCGTTGGGGCCGAAGCAAGGCTTGCTGAAAAAATTAAGGAACATGCCGCTTCCCACGGAAATGCCTCGAAGGCTCTGCTGGCTATTGCCTCGCTAGAGAACGCTAGCAGCAAAGATCGCACACGCATCAACATTCAACGATGCATCGAAGAGTTTGGCCGCCATAACACCGAAGGAGTTCTTGCGCCAGGGCTTCAGAGCAAGCAAAACACTCGCAAGGAAGTTGAAGACACCGACACCAGTGCCATCGCTGTTCCGAAGCGGATCGGCGCAGACACTGGATCTCCTGAAGTTCAAATTGCGATTCTGACGGCAAAAATAAATGTTCTTGCGAACAACCTGCACAAGAAGGACAAAAGCAACAAGAGGCGATTGAGAATGATGGTGCACAAGAGACAAAAGTTGATGGCCTACCTAAGAAGGCAAGACCGAGGCGGGCCAAGATGGCAGAATGTTGTGGAGAAACTTGGGCTCAACGACGCCATGTGGAAAGGAGAGATCAGCTTGTAAAGTATTGGTTCGAAAGGACAACTGTACGATCATGTACTAAACTTATTTATATACTATCGATCCTACAGCTTTGTATCCAACGGGACCTGTTCAACTCACACCTCTGCCGCCGTCAACATCGAATGCCGCCCCTGTGATATAACTCGCTTCGTCTGATGCTAGAAAGCACACCATGTTTGCAATATCGGATGGCTGACACACACGACCGAGGGGGATCGTGCTCACGATCTTTTTACGTCCTTCTGGCGTGTCTTGCCCACCAATTGCTCGAGCAAGCCTGCCAGGTAAGAAATCAGAAGCAGATCACAAAACGAAGGATTACAGACAACTCACATGGCCGTTTCTCCAACCGCTGGTCGAATGCAGTTATACCTGATCTGATCGACGGCATATTCTGCCGCAAGACCTTTCGTGGCCTGTGGGATTTTGGTCAGCTCTGACAAGGACTGTCTATGGCTGGCTTTCTGCAGTGGATAAATCTCTGCACTCACAACTGTAACAGCTCCTTTACTCGAAGCATACCACACCAAATTCGGCCTCGGTCGGGGGTCACTGATGCTGCTCAGATTGATAAATGATCCTGGGATCTTGTTCTCCTTCCACCACGGCACAATCACCTTGGTGCTCAAATACAACGGTTTTACATTCACACGAAACAGTCTTTCGAACTCTTCCTCGGCCATTTCATGCGATGGTGCTGCGAGATTCACCACGCCGGCACAGTTGACGACCACGTCGAGGCGATTCGAGTTTTTCTCGAGGGCTGTTGAGAGGATGGAGCGCCACGAGGATTCGAGTGTTATATCGCCTGTAAAGGCGTGGACTTTTCCGGGGTTCGGAGAGCACAACGCGACTGTTTTGTCGTTTTCGGCGCTGTTGATGTCAACAGCCAGGACGGAGGCTCCTTCGGCTGTGAGCTTCTGGACGATCTGGAAGGAAATTGTGTGTTAGAAGCTGAATTGTCCTCGTGGTGTCAACGGTTCCCACTCTCCGAATCACAGACTTGTGGATGGAAGTCTCTCAACCAGCTTCGCCGGATGCTATACGTGATTCTTGAGCTGTCAAGGACCGAAGAGTACACCACCGCCTATTTCCCAGCCAAATAGATCGTGTTTTACTTACACCTCGCCCAAACCCACCTCCCGCGCCCGTCACTACTATACTCTTGCCGTCAAGTCGGCCCATTATTCCACAGTATATTCGCTTTGGTACTCTGGACGAGGATGAGGACGATAATGCCTTACTTCTAGCAGATGAATCTACCTTGCAGCAACTGGTATCGATTGAGTCCCCGTGTCCCAGCTTGAGCAAAGCCACTGGCTCCTTCATAACTTGTGCTACTTTACTCCACCTTTTCGGCTCCCCCGTTTCACCCGCATTCTTCAACTTTGCGGAGAAAGGCTATGGTACATAGTGAGGGGGTGCCAACCCGAGGGTTCTTCTTCCTCGGAGGCCATTTGCTTTGCTATCTCCCCAACTTCTCCTGTACACGGGCAGAACAATGGTCCGCGAGCGCCATCCGGATCCCACTTCTCAAGATGTAAGTGCAACAAGCGGGAAGCATAACCTTCCTCTACCGAGCCTCGCTTCCTATGCGCGCCAGGCCAAATCACGAAATGTGAGGCTGCTCACGGAGGGGTGGCGTTCTCCTGCGCGTCATGTTTGCCATTGCCTTGAGAAAAGAATCGACGGAGCTCTGCGGCGAATACTTCCGGACTGCCATGTTGTGCTTTATTGCACGTCCCGCCGTGATCGAGACCTTCAAACTCGACACGCGCGGCGTTGGGGAGGATCTTTTCGAGCTCGCGAACCGAGTTCTTCAAGTATGCCTGGCTCCGACTTCCACCCAAGATGAGTGTCTCTGTCTGAATCGAAGCCAGCTTTTGCAGGGTTTCTTCTCCAAGCATCGACATGGCAATTTCAAAGTCGTTGCGCACGGTGGGGATCAGGTCCTTGACCAACGGTTCCGCGTACTCGCCGTTAGTCGACTCCCTGCTTGGCTTGTTCTCGAACGCCATCATCACTTTCGTAAGGAGCACCAGAAGACCTTGCGGGAAGTATCTCGACCGGAAGATGGCTGGACCCATCTCCGCACCGAGCATTGCAGTGACGGCGGCTTTTGCGAGCTCACCGCGGTCGATCTCGGTCTGGTATCTCTGAACCCATGCACTCATCCCCTCTCGATCGGACTCGGGCCGCCAGGGCGGTTCAAACACCGCAATCCGCTGTATGTGCGATGCGGGCGCTGCCAGTGCCGCACTCAGTGTGATAAGTGCACCTGAGCTGACGCCGAAAATGAACTTTGCGCCCGTCACGAGATGGATGGCTTCGACGTCTTCCACTTCTTTTCGCACCGAGTAGTCCTTGCCGGTGACGCCGGACCTCCCCCGTCCGCGCCGGTCAGGGAGATAGCAGGTGAAGCTCTCCGACAGTGCTTTGGCGAGGTCCACGTGGCTAAGGCCGTGCTGCATCGCGCCATGCAGAATGATGATCCCTGGGCCCTTGCCGATCTGGTAGAAGGCAATCTTGGTGCCATCCTTTGAATGTGCTGTTTTCAGGTCGAATGCCATGAGTGAGTTACTAGAAAATGTGAGACAATTGACGAAACGTTCCTGATTCCCTTGGGGTTTTCAATGCATTGGACCGTCCATAGCGTGAAGTTAGGCAGCAGCGAAGCTCTGTGAAGGTGGACCGCGACCGATCACTGACCGCCCAAATTTTACTCGATTGCGCTCCAAGTGCCGTTCGTATTCGCAACGGACAGGATGCGACTGGTGGTCTGCTGTTATCGTACGTGTCCGGCCTGACGACAGTGAAAGTTCGTATTAATACGCCGCGAGCCGGGAAACATGGTCCCGAAGCAAGAATACGAACATTTCGCCCGGCCCGGCGGGAAACAGTGCCCAATTCAAAACCAACTAGACCACCATCAGAATCTATACTCTCTACTTTGATGTTTGATGGAACTGTGAGCCAAAGCAGATGGAAGAAAAGAGTAATTGGATTGTTCTCTCGGGACTACGTTTCTCCGAGGGCATGGCAGGCATCACTCTCTCTATCGCTCCCTTCGATGCTGGTATCACATCTTTCATCACGCACTTACAAATCTCCCTAGCGATGAGGATCCCAGGGCCGGTTGATCCTAACGTCATCGCTTCACGTTCCTTCTCTCACCTGCAACTGTCCCGCGCAAGAGCCGAAGCGACGTCCCTGCCGCCCCTGGCAATGGATGGTAACAGATCCGCGCATTGACGCTCTGGCGTTCCGTTATTCAATAAACCACCCCAAGTTAAGATTCCCTTTGCCGGAAAATTTGTAACGAGCAATTAGGGCAGGCGCCTGGTTTTCGAACATGTTATTGCCTGACACCCTGTCGTCCCTGTCGTGCAATCCTCAAGCACTGAGCATGGTTCCTGGCGCACGAGCAACCAGCTTCCCCGATGCCTCTGGCTGCATCAGCATGAGAATGGACCCTCAAAGCGAGAGAGGCGAGGCTGAACCTCCTTTGCAAAGGGGTGACGGGGTCTGGCTGCTTGGATCTAAAAGGCGAATCCTCGCCCGAATCACCACCAGCGCGACCGAAGTTAAAAGCGATACGAGCGAGATCTACTTCTGATTTGCACCTACCGGAGATAACAACCCTGAATATGTACGAGGTGTATCTGTTCATTATCTCTTTCCCCATCAGTCCATCCAAGCAGCGGGACACAGTCAAAACTCGCCGAGAAGTCGGCTCTGATACATTCCGACCTTGCCACCCCAGATCTCGGCTAACCACAACTCGTATGCCCTCCTGTGGTGTGACGCCGTGGCCCATTGGTCCGTGCCGACTTCGCTATACCTCAAGTGTGGGCTCATGACGGCACGGCCATCTCGATTCGGTCCCTTGTTTTCATACGAGAGATGGTAAGTGCCGTGTGGATCAAAAAGTATATGCCACATGTTTTCCCTTACTGTTTTCGGTCCATTGCCCAGTCTGGCAGTGGGTGTCGGATATAGAGATCCAACGTCCGAGACGCAGGCCGAACAAGAGGCATGGGGTGAGGTTTCCATATTCGATGACCCTGTCACTTAATGTTGATGAGGAAGAACGATTTTGTGTATATATACGCCGTTGGCAGCTATGTGCAAACTGAATTCTGGGATTCAACAAGGACGAACAAGCACAGCACTTTGAGTTTGAACAAATCCAACACTTGACTGAGCCGTCAGTAAGATTCGAGAAATAAGAACCATCACAACCTTTCCCGTCATGGCACAGCAACAGTACGCAAAGGACCAGCCGCAGGGTTTCAAGAACCATGTGGAAAACATTGCCATTGTCGGAGTAAGTGGGCAGAGCAGGGCAACCCCAGCGAGCCCATCCATTAATTCCTCTCTTGTATCATAGAGACTGACGACAAGTCACTACAGGCAGGAGGTCAAGTGGGCGAATACATGGCCCGAGCACTGCTAAAGACAGGCAAGCACCACCTCACAGCCATCACACGGGCGGACTCGAAGAGCACGGTGCCCGAGGGCATGGCGGTGAAGAAAGTCAACTACGACGACCCGGCGACGCTGGTGGACGCGCTGCGAGGCCAGGACGTGCTGATCATCACGATGGCGGTGACGGCGCCGCCCGAGACGGAGACGAAGCTGCTCGACGCTGCCGCAGAGGCGGGGGTGCCGTGGGTCCTGCCCAACGAGTACAGCAGCGACCCGCGCAACAAGGCGCTGCAGCACGACATCATGATCGGCGACGCCAAGGACGCCCGGCGGCGGCACATCGAGGAGCTCGGGGTGAGTTCGTGGATCAGCTTCACCTGCAGCTTCTGGTACGAGTACTCGCTGTCGGCGTCGCCGGGGTGCTACGGGTTCGACTTCGCCAACAAGACCGTGACGCTGTACGACGACGGCAACACAAAGATCAACACCACCACGTGGCTGCAGTGCGGGCGCGCCGCCGCCGCGCTGCTCAGCCTGCCGATCCTGCCCCGGGACCCTTCCGACAAATCGCCCACGCTGTCCATGTTCCGCAACAACGTCATGTACATCTCGTCGTTCCGGGTCAGCCAGCGCGACATGCTGGCCTCAATACTCCGCGTCACAGGTGACAAGGAGGACGACTGGACCGTGCACCACGAGGACGTCCAGGAGCGGTACAAGGCCGGCGTGGACGAGATGAAATCGGGTTCCCGCGCGGGTTTCGTCAAGGTGCTGTACGCCCGCGTCTTCTTCCCCAACGGCGACGGAGACTTCGAGTCAAAGTACGGCCTGCACAACGACATTTTGGGGCTGCCCAGGGAGGACTTTGACGAGGCGACTAAGAGAGGTGTCGATCTGGCTGCCAAGGGGGGACCGTGGGCAGTGCGCGGAGGTGCGGCGTGAATCAGGGACGTTGGTCAGAGGGAGAGGGAGAGAGGAGTTAATGAGTGACATTGGTCAGAGAGAGGGGGAGAGAGGAATAGATTAGGGACGTTGGTCAGAGATAAATAGGCGGAGAGGCATTAATCAGGAGACGTTAGTCAGAATATGGGGGATAGAGAAGAGTGAGTAAATGGATTCAGTCATGCTGGATTGAGGATGGGACATTTCTATACAGTACAAATATGTGCAGTATGAAGCAGTATGGTACAGTTTCCAGCGATCTTACGGCGCGATGTACATAGCCAATGCAAAGAAAAAAGCACACCCGATAATGAAGCACCGGTATTCAAAAAAAAAACTCCATTTCCCATCACCCCACCGAGAGCCTGTTTTGCGCGGCGTGTTGGCCTCTCTCTCTCCCGCTCCACCGTCGAGGGCCTTCCATGAAGCAATGTGCCTGGGTTTTCCTCCTCTCAAATTTTTGTGCGAGGCACGTCCAGTGTGTGCCGATTCCTGCATGCGAGAAAAAGAGCTCATTTCCGCATCTCCAGTTGCCCCCATCAAAACATACCTAGGTACCTACCTAACCTCGTACAGAAACACCAGAAGGTCTATGGTTAACCAGATTTACCAAACCACCCCAAACGCCCCGGCCAACAACTCGCGAATCGTGCCCACAAGCCCCTCGGGCCCCTTCTCCTCCAACGTCCCACTGGGGACCTTGACAAACTTGATCGGGTTGCCGTTCTCGTCCACCCTGCCCTCGACGAGCCTGCGCATCTGCTCGCCATCCTCGTCACTAAATCCGCCGCCGACAATGACGCCCTCGGGCGGCGGGTAGAGGGCGTCGAGCAGCAGGGAAAAGTTGTCGAGCGAGTACGTCCTCTTGGGCTCGATCTTGGTCAGGATCGCGCAGTAGGTGAAGTGCGGCGCGAGCTTCTGCTGCAGTTTCAGCGCCATGTCGTGGTGAGCGCCGAGGCAGAGGAGGCGGTGCGGTTCGGGTTTGAGGAGGGAGCAGGAGCGGGCCATCCTGTCACTACCTTGTGTGTTTGGCGGAGTGATATAGTGTAATTATATTGATCGGTATTTTTGTGGGGTTGGGACCGGCGGAAAGGGGTGGATTTTGCTGCCTTTTCTTTGTGAGAGTGAGTGGGTGGGTGAAGGGCTGTATTGTCCTCTGGTGGACTAGAATCAGAATATCATGGGTTCGAAAGATGGGCGTCGGTCTGTGTTTATATGTTTCTTTCCAATGCAAGAGCAGCAAGGCCTACCTTACCTAGTTGATCATTAATTGCCCGGCTCACGCCTTGTCTGAAGCATAGCGTAGTTAACCGTCCAAGGCTGCGCAGAAATGGCCGAATGCGATTGGCTCACGGACAACGTCATCATGTCTTCCCCACGTGAAATAGATCGCCGATATGTCCAACGCACCCCCTCGCAACTGCGCGATACGTTGATCAGGGTCAGAGCAGTCGGTCTCCGAATCATCTGGGGACAGACCGATGGGAACACACAGTCCCCAGCAGTCTCAGAGGATAAACTGCGCGTAATGGAGACAGTCTTTCGGTCACTGACATCATTTCTGACGAGGCTTTACCAGCCGCGGGGCCGTGGTGGAGGAGTCAAGCAACCGAGACTTGAATGGCAAGGGTACAATACAACCTGGATGGCTTGATAAAGATGCCGCTCTGGCGGTGCAGGTTATCTCTGATCTAGGACGGCCTTGACCGTGGCCGATATATCAGGCCCGATATGTCACTCACTCACCTTCGGGGACGTTGCCTAGCATCCTGTCCCTGCAGTCAGTGCTGATCTGAAGAGACGCTTGATTTCAGGGTCGTTTGCAATGGTACAAAACGCGTGGACTTGGCATATTCAAGGTGCAAAGACTGAAATCCAGTCCAACCCAAACTTGTGGAAGCCATGGCACAAACTCTTCCACAGTCATCAGCCGACCCTACCCAGAGGTACGGCAGCAGAGTCTGGCGAGGTGCTGCCTTGGTAGCGCTTGAGAGCTCTTCCTTGTCAGACTCAACCGGAACTGTCTTGCAAGAAGCGGAATTGTCTCGATTGTGTAAGTTACCGAGTCTCTAGCAGGGAACAAGAGAACTGTGAATGAAGGCAGACCTGATGGTTGAGGCTGTCTAGAGCAAGCACTAGCACTCAGCACAACTCAATTCCACAATGTCGTCCCTCCCATGATCTCTCGATCTAATGATTGTAAGGACGAATGTACGAGGACGCCCGCATGCTTTGAGCGCCCAGTCTCCGTGATCATGTCCCATCAATCAGGTGGTATTCAACTCTTGCAACAACTCCCGGACCTCGCCTAGATCGCCCTGCCCCTTCCTCTCGTTGTAGATGGCAGCTATCAGACTGCTGTCAATGTTCGGAAACTCCTTCTGGAGCTGCGCTTGAATCCTGTCGTCTTCTGTCTGACGAGCATTCGCTTCGTACTGCTGCATGTGCTCGACCTGCTCTGCCCGGTCGCTCTGCTGCGCCAGCAGCTGTTCGGTGTCGGAGCGATTGATCCCTTGCGCCGGCGTGGACGACTGGTGCTGATACTGCTGTGGCTGATTCTGCGAAGGATGGGAGGACTGGTAGTAGGACTGTGCTGCGCCGGCGCTGCCTTGGTTCTGCTGTTCCGAGGCATGAGAGACGTAAGGATTTCCCTGGCTTTCGGCGTTTGCCCAGGGGTTGTTATTCGACGACATTCTGCTACTCGGAAGAGGCTGTGACTGCGTGAGAATCTGTTGGACTCTCCCAACACGGCCGTCGGTCAGTTTGACCTTGATCCCGCGAGGGTGATTGTGGCGGGTGAGCAGTTGGGAGACGGTGCCCTGGACTTGTCGTCCTGTCCTTTGGTCGGCTTTGAGGACGATGGAAACTAATTGGCCCGGCTTGAGCTGGGATGGCTGAGTGACTGGCATAAACTGGAAGGTACCTCGTATGGATGGAAATGATACTGGCGGGTTGGAGACGCAGGCGGCACCGTTTCGAGAAAGATGAGAAACGCGTCCGATGGTTGCAGACGCCGCTTTTAGAGCAATGACGTACCATGCCGCCCTCCACAGCAGTCTGACAAGCACAAATTCCTAGCTTAATGTTGGAAATAGGGGAAGAACGTTGTGTCAGACAAAATCCCTCCTCCCTCACATGCCGAGCTCGAAAACTGGCGCCGGCCTTAGCTCTTCTTGGCCCAGGCTGATATCAACTTTTCCACCCACCATGCTCTTCCTATCGATACCCATCCTCTGCACTTGTAAAATGAATCCCCGGACAAGGCGTCAAGATGAGTGAGGACGCCCGCCGGCAAACAGGTCAGCCATGACAGCGCAAGCGCCCGAGGCACCGCCCGTCCCGGAAGTTGACATTCTCTTCCTCGGCAGCCCCGGCGTAGGCAAAGCCACCTTCCTGTCGTAAGTGACGCCTCCCTCTCTTGTTGCCTGTCAGTTTCGCTCGCAGAACGGCCCTGCCTGGGCTTTTGCCTCTTCCATGTCCGGTTACAGTACGAGGTATATTGAGGCTCAAATTGTGGTGGTGGGGTGGTATCTCACAGACAGCTGGAACACATCCGCGACGGCAAGCTCGATCAGTCTTCGCCAAAAAGGCGAGTCTTCGCCCCCGTCGGGCCCGTGACCTTCGACGTCACTTTATTTCGGCGTCCGTACCTGTTCCGCATCCATCCCTCGACGTCGCCGCTGTTCATCGACCCGTTTCCCGCCGTCCCGGCCTTCGCCATCATCGCCTTCTCCATCTCGTCCCGTGAGTCGCTGCACAACGCCCAGCATTATTGGCGCAAGCAGCTGTCTCTGCATTACCATGACGTCGAACACGACATGCCCGTCATGCTGCTGGGTCTGAAGCGGGACGAGCGCACCGAGCAGAGGCGCGAAGACGGGTCCTTCGAGTGTGTCATGCCACAGGAAGGGCTGCGCGCCGCCCAGGAGATGCACTGTGATCGCTATGCAGAGTGTAGTGCCTTGACAGGCGAGTTAATGTGGGAGGTCCTTGAAGACATTACCCGCACTGCAGCGAGGACGACGACCGAAGGTGGTGGGTTGAGTCGGGCCAATAGTTGTTCTGTGATGTGAGATGGGCAAGACTGAGTTGGTAAATTTAGCTATGAGGACGAATTGGCACTTGATGGCCATTTGATGAAGTCAAGAATATATCGCAATCTACCTTTCGGCATATTATGACGAGGCCAATAGTATGCTCCTTCCAACCCGCAACGCTATGCAAAGATCCAATCGAGCACAGAAACAAATGCCACCCCATGAACGACGCCCTCAAATAACAGTCGGAGATATCATCATACCCCGTTCCATTCAAGAACCATATCCCAGCTTCCTCCCGTCTACCACAAGATAGAACAGGTCTTAAAACAACGCCTCCAAACAGCAACAACACGCCAACCCGGCCAATATCCCGGTACAGATGCCAGGCCCTGCGCTACCTCGATCTCTCTCATACATGACGGGCTGTCCCCCATTCCAGCCCTGCGGTGGCCCGTATCCAGGCCCGCCATAATAGCCCTGCGGGGGCGGCGGGCCACCACCGTAGTAGCCATTGTTCGCGCCGCGGCTGGCATCGTACTGTTGTTGCTGGTAGTTTGGGTCGTAGGCCATCGGGGGAGGAGGCGACTGGAAGCCTGTCTGGATGTGGTTGGGGCCCGGGTTCTGCGCGGGCGGAGGGTATTGAGGAGGTTCAAATTTGTCGGCCATGGTTTTGTATTTCGGGGCTCCTTTTTGATTTCGGTGGTTGGACACGCGGAAATGGCGGACCTCTCTTCTTGTTGCTCAAGCTCAAGAGAGACGAGAGTCGTGCGTAGACGCGGACTCCACGGGCGCCACACGACTTTGCTGTGTAGTGATGCAGTGAGTGGTGGGGAAGAGAACCAGTGATATACCTGGCCACTGGGGAAACGAAAGGTCTGCAGAGACAGCCAATGCACAAGTGACAAGCACGACTACTTTACCACGAAGCAAACGAAGTCATATAGGGAGGAGTTCTCAATCACCGTATCCTCTCGTGGACTGCGAGCCGCGGGAAGCAACCGTTGCGAGTTGCGAATTGCGACGCGTAATGTTGAGTCTTGGACTCTTGGGGGTGACTTGGCTCAGCCACTGCAACCTCGTTCCCCGTTATTCTTGCTCTTCCTTCCTCTTGTAGGCATATTTGATCACATAGCAATGACCGAAAAAGAACCTCGACAGACTGGACAGCTGAACGCAGAAGACGATGCGAATGTAACTTACAATAAAGTATCATTCTCGGTGGGAAGGAAGTGCACAGCATCAATCAATGACTTGGAGCATTTTCAGTCGAAAGACAAGGCGCCGCTAGACCCAGTTAAGCCAGTACTTGCGACAGAGTTTGAGGCGCAGTTCGCGTGTGGCACGGACCAGATGTGGCGTCGATCGTATAGTTACTCAGGACACGTCAACATCATCCGTGGTGTCGGTGGTGTCGGTGGTGTCGGTGATTTCTGATGGTGTGGCTGACTGGCGACGTTTACTCAGCTCAGCCGGAACAGGGCCTGATGGCGCTGAGGCTGAGGCGAGAAATAGAACACGTCTGACTTCCATGACGACATAATTTCAAGTAATACACCTTCGGAGACCCATTAGCAGCATTGATGCCTGGTAGTGAGCTTGTGCGAGGTTCCCCAGATCCACTGTCCACAGGCCGATCAAACAGAAATAAAGCCGCACGATCGTCACACGCCTAGAAAAGAAGTCAAGTGATCGACGAGGCTGCCTCCAGAAGGCTGACGGGGAGCAGTCCACCTCCAGATTATCACTCGCCTTCTTCCAACGAGGCTGACATTGCTCTCATCCGGGCCTGGCGTATGTTGGTCGAGGTTCCATCATGGCACAACTCACTTATGCCCATGTTGCCTGAGTTCTGAAGTTCCTGCTGTCCGTGTGAAGTTTGAGCATCCATTTTGTGTCCAGTTGGAATTCAACGTCGTCACACACAGATGCTTCGAGGCTGCCATGTGCAAATACCCCTGAGTCACTTATTCTTCCTTTTCTCCATATCTTCCTTCATTGCGTCCTCCAGCCAAAGGGAAGTACATACCTTGTAAATGTGGCGGCTCGACCTGTATTTCCCATATACACTGACTGGGAGTATCACTTACTTGGAGCTTCGTCTGCGGCCACATCCAAGACGGTCCCAATCTTACCTTTCTTCAGCCACCTTACGACTCACGGACAGGACTGCGATCCGGACGAAGGTTTATCATGTGATACCTGCCTCTCTAGCGTAGTAGTCCAACTTCTCATTATATCTTTGCTCGAGGATTGTTCGAGAGATGATTGCATGGCCATGATTCCTGTCAACTGTAAGGTGGGGACAGGACAACACCCACAGAGCACGGTGCAGCACACTCGGCCGCTGATGCACCGGCGAAAGCCTCGACCTTTGGCGAGCAAAGTATCTTGTGGACTTCGTTTCTGCTCGAACATGGGGAGTGCAGCGCGTCGTACGAGGGTCTGTGCTCACTGGATGAATAGCATGCAGGCCTCAGGGGGAATCACCCGTCCTTCACAGACAAGCCCATGCCTGATTTTTGTATGCGGCATTTTTGCCATGTGCCAGTCACTAGTTGGACGAGGCTTTGCTTCGTGGCTCAACAGATGGTTGGGCTCCGCCTTTCAGCTTGATGCCTGACTGGTGTTCCTGTCGGAGGGTGTTGGTCTGGTGCCAATCGCCCTGGGTCTGCCTTGCGTGCACGTCGTATTCCCAAGCATCCAGACCAAGCGAGCAAGTTGGCAAAGAGGTTGTCTGGTGCTCCGCCTCTCCGGAAACACATCCGAGCAGGAGGGCACCCATTTTACCACCTGTTTGGCTGGCGAACTTCCTTCGCTAGACTGATGATGACTGGATTCTAGGTCGGAAGCACCTTACCACCTGTCTTTTCAGCTACCAGGAATGGAACTAGCCCGATATGCTATGGCTTGACCTTGTCTCCAACCAACCGCAGATATGCTGACCACGATAATTGACAAGTATATTTTAAATGACAGGCAACGAGGGGATGGTGCCATATAGCGGCAATAAGACTTGGACCAATGTGGTTCTTCGTCGTGGCTTTCCCGCTGTGGTAGGAAGGCAAATGGACATGTCAATTTGGCTCTTGCATGGTCGTCTAAGAGTGCTGGGGTTCAAAGACAGTGTGATGGAAGCTAGTAAGGCTGCATTCTCATCCAGCGCACCTCAGGTGCCTGGTAGCAGAAGCCTCAATACGGCAGCCTCCCATTGCTCAGCCTGATCCAGGATCTCTGCTATGCTCAATGGAGGTGAACGTGGATTGCCGCCCTAAAGAAGGACACTGTCATTAGAAGAATACATGACCAGGATTTCGAGTCGCAAAGAGGTGGTCATTGGGAGGAAGGTTCGAACAAACTATACCCTCCACAGACCAAGGGCATGGATAGTCAAAGCAGGAGTTGGCTAAGAAGCACCTGTAGCACGGCTCGCTTCGGAAGAGAATCCTCTTCTCAATTGGACGAAAGTCATATCCAAAAGGACTCCCAAAGTCCAAGGAGATGTTCGACAAACTGGACATTTCCAGCATAGGAAACTCAGTTTGGAGTCGTCTGGACGGACATACTCTGGCACCGGCTGAATAATGGCCCGCTCTGGCGCATGACTCGAGCCTTCCGTGGTGGCGGTGTTACAAACATTGTCCCCAATGTATAGCCACCAGTCTTGCACCCCTTCGCGGCTTTTGTCAATCGCCAATCGCCGGGTTCGCCAGGACAGCAGTGTTCTCCCCAGGCACGCAACTACCCTCCTGGAACAGGCTGTCGGGCTTCTCGTTCTGTTGCTGACTTCAGCAGCAGATTGCATTAACATGGTCAGCATCCAAGCAGCAGGTACAGTGTGACTTCGGCAACCCTCCTAAAGGAGCCGACGAGCCCCAGTTTTCTTCTTGTTTGAAACATCATGGATCAACTTGAGGGGCACCTTCGGGCGTCGTACACTCACGGGCTGACGTAGAGCTCAGCATCGTCAGAAATATCCCGTTCTCGACGTGATTGGATGTAAGGCTATCAGTGACACAATGCCCAACCTGTCGAGACGGGATAGGGGAGGGGAACCTCGTACAGAAAATGTCAATGTCGTTGAAGGGGCTATTCGCCCTCGTGGGCGTTGGACAATCAGTCCTGGTGCACTGGATCCTCGGATGCTCTTTGTCTCCGCTGGTGCCCCTCTCCTCTCTCGTTGATCCAATGATCATTTGCATATCGCTGCAGGAGTCGTTCTTGGATACAGAAAAGCATCCACGCCATCAAGCCAGGACTGAAACATACTCGCGTCTGTGCTACAGACTACGCCTGACATGCCGGCACGGTGCCTGTCCCTGCCCTCAAAGTTCCAGAGGTCGATCGTTGGAGTACAGCAAGCGTCAAAGCTCCTGCATAAGCTGTTCTTAATGGAGGGGCACGCCGGACTCTGATGGGTGGTCATATTCTTAGCGATAGAGGTTGAGTGGTATCCAGGGCGTGCCCAGAGTGGAGGGGCTAATTCTCCGATAATATCTGGGTTTAGTGTCACTCGAATCTGGTGTCTTTCGCCCTCGCTGCGGACCTGGATATCCTTTCTCCAGGTGATGGTGATGGATGGACGGGATCCCAAGCCCCACCATCGAGCTGGAGACTCGGAATCCCGCTCGACGATTCGTAGGAGTAGAGGAGACCAAGGTTCATCTGGATTGTAGATGCAGGTGAAGGTGCAGGCCACCTTGCAGTAGTGGGTGGCAAATACTTGAGAGCTTTTCCAGCTGACCAACCGCATGACGGCAGGTGGAAGAGGAGTCTGCGAAAGAAAGTCAGAGAAGGATAGACAAAGCGGGGCAAGGAGGAGGAATAAGGCAGCCAATGCATCCTGGCAGAGCCGAGAGGCTGACGCATGCGCTGTCAAAGACGAAGGCTGGAACAGAAGGGGCTTGCATTAGTGAGCACCCAAGCGGCAGAGTCGGGGCGAAAAGCTGCCTCGCAGTCTGGGCTGGATGGCAAAAAGCAATGTCGTCAGGAATAGAACCGCGGGAGAGGGCGGCCACAAGCCACACCCAGCTGAATGGTTGGTGGGAGATATCGAGACGATCGGAGATGGGGAGGACGGGACGATGCTGGGCAAATGTGGGAGAGGGATCCAAGAGGGAGAAGGGAGAGAGAAGGTTGGAAGGAAGACAAGTTCCCCTTCTTTGCCATTTTCGTGCTACGGAACATCAGGAAAGGTCGCCGTCGACCACGTGTGGTCTATCACGTGATTCTTCACGTGCGAACAGTAGAGGGCAAGTAGAGAGCTAGAAAACCAAAAGACTCGGTATGAAAGGCGGGATAGAGTCTCAAATGGCGCCTTGTGAGGCCATCCGCTTTGATTTTGTGCTTTGTAGGTTTGAGCTATTTACAAAAAGGCATTCAAAGCCCAGACCGTGCGTGAACAGGAGAATCCGAGAGATAGGAAGGCCAACTTCATCCCCAAGTGGATGAGATCGCAAACTGATATTTTTGAAATCCTCGGATTCATAGGTAGCCACGGTCGCCTTGAATGGTCGTCCTTGGATATGGTCCTTGGAAGGAGTTGCTAAAGCAGCTCTCGAACAGTAACAATGACAAAAACCCTCCCCCGTGTCCCAACATGTCATCTCGCGCCAGCACTTGGTCTGAGAGACAGCGACTAAACTCTTCCAAACGCGCCTTGCCCCCTGATTTTTCTCTTGTCCGTTAACTCTCATCGCTGAACAGTCTCCACGACACACGCGCGCACAAAGTAGAAGATCCGCGATCTAATAGAGACGCCGACACAATGCGCTGACTTTCTCTTGTAAAAATTGCATCGCCTCGAGGCTTTTCCAGTCAAATTCAGTCCAATCCGGTAAAGAGGTTTTTGTTGTAAAAGTGGTATCGTAAATCGACCGCCTGGGTATCCAAAGGGAATGAAAACACCAATCGTAACACCGTTAACTCGTTACAGCGTCGACCAGGTTGCTGCACAACGTATGTAAAACATTTTGGGGGAATTAAAATGCGGTAACCGAGGGGACAAAGTTCGGTTGCGGATAGTAAGGCTTTTCGTGCTCGTTCAGTGGAATAACGTTGCCATAGAAGTTGAAGACATGGGGTTGTAAACGTTGGCCAGCATCATGGAACGGAACCTCGGATTCGTATCCGGAATCCGTGGACAGGGAAGAACAAGACGAACTCTGCTTGGAGGCAGGTTCAAACAAAGACCATTCCGAGGGTTGAGGTTGGAAATGTTGTTGCGGAGATGGTGAGGCAGGTGGAGAGGGTGGGAGAGCCATGTTGGCGCAATCCATCGGGTCCACGTAGTCGTAGGGAGACGCAGGTGGCGATGGAGGCAAGGTGTTGTACGAATTGGTTGTCAACCGAGGGCAGTTGAGGATCAATTCGCGGAGCTCCTGGAGGGTAATCCTCTTGTGTGGGTCACACTCGAAGATGCGTCTCAAGATCATGTTCAACTCGGGAGAGATGGGCAAGATCGAGCTGAGAAACTTGGGGTCCTTCAAGAAGGCACGGAACGTGGAATCATCAGGGGAAGCCTTCTTCCAGGGATTGCGACCACAGGTCAAGTTCACGAGGATAACACCGAGGCTCCAGACGTCGTTTGGTGCAGCAGCATAGCGGGCATACGGACGTGTTGGCGCTTGTTGGCATTCTGCAAGTGTCAGTAAATTGTCTCGGAGGGCTGGGTGAGTGACATGGATTGGACTTACCTGGGGACATGTAGAATGTAGACCCACACCCAAAGTCGGACGTGATGGAATCCGTGGTGGCAAGCCCAAAGTCGGCAAGTTTGACAGTGTGGCCGTGGTTGGTCACCAAGATGTTCTCAGGTTTGAGGTCCCTGTGGTAGATCCCGATGGAATGGCAATATTGGACGGCATCCAAAATTTGCAAGAAAGCATGCTTGGCCAGTTGGTCATCGCCCACAAATCGGCCATGTTCGGTAATGTTGGAGAACAGGTCGCCTTCGGGGCAGAACTCAATCACCACAAATGTGCAGTCCGGACTCTCCAGGATGCGAAGCAGGGACACAACATTGGGATGTTGGCTGGCTTGGTGGTGAAGGGCAATCTCGCGCCGTTGGAAACGTCGTTGTCTGGGATCCAATCCGACTTTGGGAAGGGCCTTCACGGCGTAGGGAATGTTTGTGAGTCTGTCGATGGCCTGGTAGACCACTCCATAAGCGCCAATTCCTAGGATAGAGACCAGTTCGAGTCTGCCGGCTAAAACACACCCCAATCGGTCCTCTGGTGCAAGGCAAGTCGCGAGTTGAGGGGACGAAGGTGGCGTCAATAGCATTCTTGGGAGAGCCCAAAAGTACGGAGTACTTGGTCTAGGAAAGGGGAGTAGTCGAGCAAGACCAAAAAGAACAGTTCAAAACATGGGTCCAGAAGAGTTCCAGAGACTTGTTTTGAGGAAATGAAGAGAAACGTGGCCAGTCCCTGGTATGGAAAGTAGGTAGGTCCAATGGATTATGTATGGTATAGGTGGTCGGCTTGGATGTCGAGCAAAAGGAAAGACCAGAAGGTATGAAGATACAAAGTGGTACAGTAGAGAGCAGATGTAGAGATATAGGAGAAAAGGTGAGAGGTCCAAGACGGGATGGGATGGTGGATTGTGGATGGTTTTGTGGTGGTGCTGGTGTTTGAGGCGAGTAGGTGTATCGAGGTATAGAGGCAATATTATGTCCTTTTAGGTATGACGGACGTTGTACTCGAAAAGAGCCCATTGCGAGCATGGCGAACATGGCAAGCGTCGACGCACGGACCGTCTACACTCATGCCACCCATGTCGGTGGGGCAAAAGAGCCGTCAGGACCTGGTCATAAGATGCTGCGAATAGAACGCCAGGAAGGGAGAGGACCCACATCGATGCGTCAAAGTTCGCAAACCCTGGACGGTAGTCTGACGCTGGGAACGCTGAATGACGAGCTTGCCATGAGCGGTTTCGGTTTAGGCGGGCCAGAGGAAGCAAGACGAGGCGGGGACCTTCTGGCAGGAGACACGGGCAGAGTGGGTTGCAGACTCTTGCGTCGGTGCAAAAGTGGGCGATGAGCGGATCACCAAGTGGCTGGGCGCATTTCTTGTCACCATCGACCACAGATCAGCGTTCCTTGCGAGACCGAGCGCAGCGCTAGCATATCGACCAGTAGCTGCTCTCCTTGACGGAGGAACAGCCCAGCATCCCAATCACCAACTCTGCATTTTGGTGTCCTTGCAGGGTTGGGTTCCCACCACCCAAGAAGGAGAAGGCGAAATTCGAACATGGTCATGCCGGAAGGACAGTTGGGTTGTTGGGCTGCTGGCTGGCACAGTCCCTTGGGTTGCCCATTTCCCAACTTCGCCGCCCGCCTTATTCCGGGTGTTGACATGTCTGTAATTGGCACCAATGGCTTCTGCTGAGAAATTTCAATTGTGACGCCACGACAAGACGCAGGCTCCCCCTGCCGTCTGCTGTGCCTGCTGTGCCTGCTGTGCCTGCTGTGTCCGCTTCCTCTGGGCAAGCCTGGTCAAACCGTCTCTGTCAAGGTTGGAGTGGTTGACACCATTGGAGGGGCCGTGGGCAATAGCGATTGGGTCCTCCTGGCGCCAGCACAGACGGCATCGGACATGAGACGAGCAACCATGAAAAAATTTTGATCGCCCATCGGCAGGTCGGGGAGTGGCCTGGGTCGGTGAGATGCTTGGAGCGTGTTGCTTTTTGCGCCTCGCGCCTGGAAGATGTGGAAGGGCTAGTTCGTGGCCTGGGCACACAGCCATCGCCATTCGCTCGTGTTTCAAGCAAGGGGAGGGGGGCCCTGGATGCCAGATGGCGGGTTCAGTAGTAGCCAGAATCTGAAAATGGCAGGGCACAGAACAGCGGCGTCGTCGGTCTGCAAAGTACGCAGGCCGCCATGCTGGACACTGGCCCTGCCTCCTCCAGCACTAACCGCACTCTGACGGTCCGAACTTGCTCAACTGCAATCCCTTGCTCCCAATCACTTTGAACACCCAATCAGCACGGGGCCTGCCATAGCCCACCCCAGCGCGAAGGGGGTGTGTTGGAATAGCGGCAGAAGCATCATGCAATGCTCTTCCCTCATTCCTGCCCAATTGCCCCAGAAGCGTTCTGAGATTTGCAACCCATCCAGGCGGCGGACACAGCTTGGGGTCGCCTGCTCCGGACAACAAGGCTCTCTCATGATGGAGATTACTATCTCTGGCGAGGGCCGCATTCTGGTCAGCGCTACGTAGGCTGCGTTCACCACATACCCGTCAACCTTGGAGCCCACTATTCTTCTTCGCCCTTGAGGGTTTTGCTGCATACGAGTGACTCTGTCCGCAAATAGGGGGATCCCTACCTGCTCAATAATGGCTGGAGTCTGTTCTCAGCCACCAGCTCGAGAGTTGTAGCGTGGTGAGACTTTGGAGATCGAGCGCACGGGAACCCCCTCGCTCCAGGCTCAACCTCCCGCCAGAGCTAAATCTTGAGTGTGCGGGCTGAAAATAATGGCCTCTAGCAGAGTCCAGGCTCCTGGTCGGCTCCTCGTAGGCTCCCAGTAGGCTCCCAGTAGTGGCCCCTTCGCGCCCGAACCAAATTTGCCTCTGCGCCTTGGACCACGCTGCAGTGCCAGCCTCGGCGGAATTGTCGGCAGCCGACTTTTCTGTGGCTTGCAACTTATTGTTATCTGACACCTTGTGATTCGCCACGGATTGCTAGGGGTTAGGCAGGCCCAATTGCCTCCTTCACCATTTCCAAAATGGCAGAGGAGATAGTGATCCGCAACACAATTTACGGATGGGTGATTGTGAATGGGGTGTGAAGGTCCGCTTTCAACGGGTCCATGTGACCATCAGTCCCCTCTTTCGAAAGAATGAACATGGAAGATCAGGAGTAGAAGCAACAACCAATAGTGCCGACGAACAATCGACCATCATCTCCACTTTGAGCCTTACCGAAATTGTGTTCGAGAGCGTAGGGTGTGGAACGCTTTGCCCTGAGAGGGCCCGTTCGCGTGTCTCAGGATCGCCATTGATAACCGTCCTTCCCAGTTCTTGCTCGCATGGGTTTTTGGGCTGTCAAACTTTGACCAGCCCATAGGCGAAGGGTCCTAGGTTTTGCACCTGAGGCATTGATTGACCAGGATAGGGTTTGAAGCGAACGCTGACTGGTGGTGATACGAGCTCTGCATCGAGTGTGTCAAACTCGTAGTCCCTGGTGACACAAGATTACGTATGAGAATACATGGTACGTCGGCAAGCGCCCTTTTGTGAGGCAGCAGTGCCCACCCCTCGCCTTCAGTGAGGGTGAGTTTCGTGCTGACTAGTTTTGACTGGTATCCAGCCATGTTGCCTGACGAGTCAACGTTGAAGGTGGCAACGAGGGAGCTGCGCTAGAGCCAGGACAGTGACAAGCTTGAGTGACATATACGAAAGGAATGTGTCCTGGTTGCGTGCTTCCTTCAAGACAAGTGATCACGAGGTTGCTAGACCCCATTGGGACGTGGCGATGGTCGGGTCGAGTCTCGCACCACTACCTCGTACTGGGTGACTACTGGCCCGTTGCTGAAATTTCTGCCTTGACCAGAGATAGCTGAGGAGATGACACCTCGACGCCGCGATGATGAAGGCTGTGAAGTGGCGAAAAAGAGAAATGCATCAACGCGGACCTGCTCCTCCGTAGAACTTTCTAGTCTGCTCGAATGTTTCTCCGTATCCCGGAAATGTCACGTTACGACCAATTGCCAAGACCGGATCAACCCCGGCGCTTCCCGATTGTCCGCAGTGTCCGCAGTGTCCGCAATGTGTTTACCGACATGTTGTCTTCAAAGTCTGACCACGATACTTCCCTATGATCGATGGCAACTCTGTAGCCCTACAAACCCTATGCGATGGCCTCTGAATCGATACATCCGCTGCTGTGTGATCCAGCATGATTGTCGTCGACGCCTTCCAAGGGCATCTGCCGGTGATCGATCGAAGTGTCCAGACAGGCCCTCAGCATTTTGTCTCCAAAGGGAGATTTACCGGCATATTGGTCGATCAGTATCACCCTTGACAAAGTTGAAGTCAATCCCACCTCCGATGACCACTTACCTGCATAGAGGCCTGTACAGATTTTGCCACCATATTGTCTATGCCCGAGAATGAACAGTCGAGACCTCAAGAGACCCTCAAGCCACCTGTCTCGAGAAGCCCTGCATTGGCTTCCCAACAAAATTCGAGTTTTGCATTTCTCCACTGACTGCATTCAGCATACGAAAGTGTCTCGAGACGGAAGCAGTTTGCTGTTTAGCCTTCGAGGTAGATCACATCTGGTGACGTCTCACGTTACTGGCCCCTTGATGACCCAGAAAGACTTTTCCCGGGTGAGTGTCAACTTTGGCTTCACACTCGTAGGGCTTGCGGCAATGTTTCTTCAAGGCCCGGGTTCGGATGCGCCCGTAGGATCGACGGTCCCGACCATCCCCTCGAGACAGGACCTCCGTCTTCGGGCGGACAAAGCCCATTTTTGCAAATAGTTGCCACTCTATTGGGGAAGTCGAGGCAATGAGTGCCAACTACCCTCCTACGGTCCTGTTCGGGTGGGTGGTTAGAGTTGCATTTGGATGTCCGCAACTTATTCGTTTCAAACCATTATGATGACACTCTTGTCAAGGCTCTGTGGAACGACAAGGACTGTTACCGCCAGTCCGATCGCCTGATACATGAAGAGTTTGAAGTGGAAAGACAAATGTCGCGCAGACTCTTGGCCTGGAGCAGATTCTGCCTGAGTCTTTCTCGGGAGTAGACTTGAATCTTTGAAGCCACAAGTTGGGAGAGCCTATGCTCAATAACTCCGGCGTCTACATCCACGGCACCAAATCTCTCATGACATTCACCACTGCCGACTGTACCTTTCCTTCCTCTCTCCTTTGACTGCGTGGCGCCACGATGCTTTACCTGGAGGAGACTTGCTTTTCTATTTCACGGGCTAAGAGTGCGTGTGAAGCGTTGGAGTACTTGGACCAGAAAATATTCAAGGATAATATCATCTCAATGCAGATTTGGTATTCTGCTTGATAGAACACTATCTACAGTCAGGGCGGAAGGGCAAATGGCGCGTGCGAGCTGATGTCGATTGTCACATTCTGAATCGTGCATCCTCGCCGCATCATGAGCGTCCCATTCAATGCTGCTTGCAACCAGTCGAATGCCCGTGCATCTCCGTTCGTCTCTTCGTCAAGGTGGTTACCTGCCATGTTCCTCTGATATAAGATATTCGCACCAGCCTCGCAGTATCTTGCCACGAGCGAGTCTGTATCGCCGACGGGACTATATTCATCGTGTGTCGCCTTGTAGATAAGCATGGGCATTTGCGGGACACCGTGGTAGCCCATCAGCCCGTCAACGTTGAAGACCCTCTGAATGATGGGCTGCTGGAACAGAGAAGTACCGTTCACGAAGTAGTCGTTGAGAATGCTCTGATTCATGAAGGCGACCGCCGCCTCGAAATACGACATGTTTTGAACTGCCAAGAAACCCGTTGCATTGTAAGGCCCAGAGGTTTTCAGGTTGCTGACCAAGTACTGGTAAGCCTCAGGATATTGTTTCATCACGCCGATAAGAAACGAGGGGATCAATCCCGCTGCTGGCGTCCCATCGATGGTGTGTAGAATGGTCGTGCCATTCGGAACCAGACCACCGAGTGCGACTCCGCTGAAGTTGAGTTCTGGAGCATATTGGACCTGAAGTTCTGCAGCCCATTCGCTGGCAATCGATCCTCCTGAGTACCCCCACATAGCATATCGTGCACTGGGGGAGAGACCAAAACCTGCAGACAATGCAGCTCGAACTGAGTCCAGCGTTGCATGGCCTTCTGATACTCCCGATCCAAATGATGCCGAAGGACCTTCAAAATCAGGTACATTGACGAACCAGCCACGGCTGAGTGCAGAGTTGATATCCGAGAGAACCAGACCTGTAGCTAACTCAGACCCAAGCACATAGCTGGGACTGTGATCGACGTCCGCGGTGTTGTAGGGAATTTGGTAAGACAAGAGGGCACTGCCGCCAGAGCTGTTGAGGGAATTGGAAGGCACAAACAAAGTCGTCACAGCCCATGCTGGCTGATATTGTGCATTGGTGGTGCGATAAAGGATATTGTATACTGATGAACTGGCATTGTAGATCGACGTCAGATTGCCATTTGCCTCGCGTATACGTAAGATGGTTCCCGGCGCAGCGAACTCATAGCCAGTAGGAGCAGTGTAGAACGTATCTTGTGCCTGAGATGATGGAAGTGAGGCGACCAGATCGCTGTGCCCGGCATTCGCAGATGACGCAGTTGGGAAGGCTGCTAAAAGATTGAAAAGCAGACCACAGCAGGACAAATCATAGAAGAAACGCATGATTGAATCTCCGTCAATTGATTCTTCAAGGCTGAATTGCTCTCCATCTCAAAGCAAGGCTTGCCCTTTATATATGCATTGGTTTCTCGGGCAGTGGAGAGGCCCCCGACATCTCGATCGCGTAACTGGGCCGGAGAAGGAGACGATGGACTGGTTAGAAACATTGTTCAATCTCCGCCTCGCAACATGAAGCGGAGACGGCGATATAGACATGCCGAAGCGGTCCTGCTGCCTCGGAGACTGTGTTGTTCTCATGCCAGCGCTGTATATACGAGATGACCGTTTGGGTTGAGGCAGCTATATCTGGTTAGAGACAGCAGCAGAGACTAACCTTGACTCGTATGGAAGCGCTCGTCCTAACCAACTCTCGTACTTCGTCATGTCATGAGGCTCAGTACTCCACCTTCGCCAATCCATGTAGACGTCTCATAGGTGGTAGTAGTGCGATCACTGTCACATCTCTCGGATGTATTTGGCAGATCTGAACCTCGAAGAGACCAAACAGTTGATGAATGAGCCGAGGAGCATTCCCTGCCATGTGAAAGGCCAGAACATGCCGGCGGCAGCGTGCGACGGTGTTGACATGCCTCGTGCGAACCTACTGCAAACATTGATGCTGGAAGACATTGGCTACGATGTTGGGACGTCGAGGTTGATGTGATCAGAGCAAGTTTCCTGAACGACAAGTAACAGCGGCCTCGATGGTCACGGAGCGGATTAACAATCCAGCGGGTCAGCCAATGACGACCTACCAGCCGGCTCGCCGGATCCAGCTAACCTAATGTCTGACTAATGGACGAAGCTAGTCCCAATCCGAGCTATATCTCAGCGAACTCAAGACGAGACGCCACCCTTGACCAAGCTCTGATACTTCAACCATGCACACCAGACCAGTGAAAGGCAATTGACCCTACATCACCTCATGAATGTGAGCCAGCGTGTTCTCCACATTTGTACGTCTGCTATTATTGTCTCGGCGACGTTTCAATACGTCAGGTTCGTTACTGTGGCACTTGGGCGACGTCGGTGAGATCAAGCGCAACGGCATCCGTCCATAAAGGAAGTCTTGACCCAGGACAAGGCATCTTGCTTGATAGATCCGCATGTCAAACATACAAATCCGCCATTATATCAAGTTTGACCTCAAGCGGGAGACGCCCTCCCCTAACGTTCCCGCAATATGACCCGTCGCAACCCAATACCTCTGGGACTCTCAAACCCTCAACCCTTTACTACTCCCACCTTGTGGCAAACCAGCAGTCATGCGGTCAACTGCAATTCGAGCGGGTCAGACGAAGAGCTGCCTGAACTTCTCCCTCGCGCCGAGTCCAAGCACGCATCGATACCGCCGTCACTTTCAGCCGACCTCCCCGACATGATGTCCGGAAGCACGCAGTTAATCAACACCTCCCTCCTCATTCCAGGACGTGGCAAGCCACAGCACGATATGTCCGTCATCCTCCAAGACGGGACGATAACTTCGATCCAACCCACGGCGTCCGTGCCACCGCCGTTCAAAAACCTCCCGACCACACATGTCCCGGTCCTGATGCCCGGGCTGTGGGACTGTCACATCCACCTGCTAGGCAGCAAGACGTTCAATTTCTCCGAGATCGCCACCCAGTCGACTGCTCTAGCCGGCGCCAGAATCGCCCGGAATGTACATGACATCCTAATGAGCGGTTTCACCTCGGTGCGTGAACTGGCCGGCTACGGTCTTGAAGTCTCGAATGCGATCGAAGAAGGCACGCTTGTCGGGCCAAATATCTACTCCTCTGGCGCCGCGATATCCCAGACTGCAGGCCATGGGGACGTTTTCGATCTGCCCTGGGGATTTGTCACTTCCCTCTTTGGGGTGAGGGACACTCAGGCGAACGGGCTGTCCCCAGGTACCGGACCAATGATTGTCGCCGACGGGGTCGACGAGTGCCGTCGCGCGGTGCGGCTCCTGGTCCGACGCGGCGCCACGTGTATCAAGGTGTTTGCGAGTGGTGGCGTGCTGAGCATAGCCGACGACCCCCTGCGCCAACAGTTCTCGCTCGAGGAGCTGAAAGTCATTGTAGAAGAGGCCCAGCGTGCCGGGCGGGTCGTGGGTGCGCATTGCCACGGCAAGGACGGCATCATGGCCGCGTTGCACGCGGGCGTGCACAGCATCGAGCACGGGACCTACATGGACGAGGAGTGCATTGAGCTCATGAAGAAGCAAGGGACCGTGTACGTGCCGACGCGGACGATTGTGAAAATCGGTGTGGACCATCCCGAGCTCATGTCGCCAGAGTCGTACCGGAAGATGCTGGAGACGGCGCGCCACCACCGCGCCGCGTACCGCCTGGCCGTAAAGTCCGGCGTCAAGATCGCCTTGGGGACCGATCTGGGCATCAGCACGCCCGCGACGCACCCGCTGGCACACGGCCAAAGCGGCGGCGAACTCGCCTACGCGGTCAGCGATGGCGGCATGGAGCCCCTGCAGGCCATTGAAGCCGCAACGGCCATGGGGCCCGAAGTGCTCGGGACCCTAGGCATGGCGCCCAAGAGCGGCCGGATCGAAGTCGGGTACGACGCCGATCTCATCGCCTTGAGCGCGAACCCTCTGAAGAATATGGACTTGTTCAAAGAGCCAAAGAATATCACGCACGTGTGGAAGGGCGGGCGGCTGTTCAAGAGTCCCTCGGATGTTTGAACAGGGGCTAAAAAGATCGAGGCTGTCCCCTCCCCGTCATGAGATCTTCGCAAAAGTTTTGATAGAACTTCGTCATATGAGTCGGCATCGGAATTTATTTTCTTCTTCTGCTGCTGTCTATTTGCTTCTCGTTTGCGTTCAGTGAGCACCATACCAGAACCCTTACGCCTAGCCCTACGTCGCAGAGATTGGATTTGGGGTCTGGGAATCACTCCATCTCCAACCACGTGAAGATGGGCGTCGGCACTGGAGCACTCCAGAGCAATCGGTGGTTGCCTGATGGGTATTTAGCGAAAGCTATTATCGCCTCCTTGGGATGGTATCGTTGTTGAGCATCTCCTCAGGCAGACGCGAATCAAGCAGAAACGGGAACAGGCAAGTGTAAGCTCCGACCACGTCTTTTAAGTCCTTGTTGAGCAGCCCCCAGCAAATTCTTCCTCCCAAGCTCCTCCAGATGGGAAGGAGACCTCCTTATCGAGGCAGGCATGTCCCCTAGTGATTTCTCCAGTACGAAGTAAGTTATCCTGGCATCATCCCGCACCTGCAGTCTTAAACCCGTGTTCATCGCGGTATTTGGTCGCCACCGCGGTCCTCGTGGTCCCCTTTCTGTCCCTTCCAGCAGAACCATCCGATGAGGATACCGAATTTCAGGCCCGCAGCAAGCCACAGCGCTCCCGCCATCCCAGCAGAGGATTTATACATCTCCCCACCAACGACGCCTCCGAGGAAAAGCGCCAGGATGCACGCCGCTCGTCTCTCTTGCCTTCTCTCCCGCACGACAAAGAACTCCCAGAGACTGGAGCTCTTCCTCCACGAATCTCGGATGGTGTGCAGGTCCGCGCAGACGTCATGGTACCGGGCGCTCAGGACTGTTGTCGGTAGTTCAACCACGGAGAGCAGCCTCGAGAGAGTGACTTGGCCTGCCGCCTGGAAGGAGATGAGTGCTATCGGGCAGAAATCCAGAAAATTGATCATCGAGGGAGGGATCTCGTCGTTGCCCGAGGAAAATGTGCCGGCAACGAATGGTCGGCTTGACACTTCGTTGGTGGAAACCAAGCTCGCGGCAATGGCGATCAAGGCTGTCTGAACAAAGAAGGAGATGATGAGGTTAGTCCGCCTTCGAGACCACGGTTGTTGTTGTTGTGGGCCAGCTGCAGCTCCCGCGGGATAGCGATGCAGAGCACTGAAGAACAGGGCACCCAGGCAAAAGGCCCCAATCGACGTCAGAGACTTGTAGTATTGCTGCTTGTGGCTGGCTTTCGGCTGACCGCCCAGACCAAGGGCGGCAAAGACGGTGTTACCTAGGTAGAGAGAGATAGAGACGCTTGTCAAAAGATGGTCGACCGAGCAATTGTTTGAAGGTGAGCTTAGGAACAGGCCACGTACCAGTCTGGATGTTGACGAAACAGCTCCACGTGTTGAGTGCCACGCTGTCAATGAGACCTGAGATCAGAAAGCAGATGACGAGAACCAGGCTCATGTACGAGGAATCGAGTTCTTGGAACAGGTATCTCTGAGAGGCATCTGCCGTCCTTGTCAATCTTTCCATGCCGCCCATTTCTGCTTCCACCAACGATTTTGGTCAGGCTGTGGCTGGAGGGCTGGCTCTTGAAGATCGAGGGATCGACGAGGATGAATTGAGACTTTCATCATTCCTCAAATTTCAGATATATATACCTATGAGTACGCAGTGAAGAGTATGTACTGAGCGAGCAAGGGTGCAAGAAGGCCATTGTTCGACGTCGGATGGACTCCCTGGTGTGACAAAACGCTCGGCAAGGGTCCTGATCTCTTTTGCTCAGATATATGGGTATGTTGTGCCGTATGGCAGAGATGTTATACCGCCAAGATGCAGACAGGGGCGTATTTTAGGTGGCTTTCACAGTCAATCTGTTAGTATGGTTACAGTGATGGCGTGAAAGGCCGGGGCTTTACTCGCAAGAGAAACCATGCCAGTGGCCGTGAGTCGTTTGGACGTGAGTGACTGAGTGACTGAGCCTGTCTGTTCGTTTTGGACGACACGCAGAAGCGGACTACGCTGCACCTCGCTGATGGTTATGAAGTTCAGCGCAATGGTGTGTTGAGCCCAAGTCTCCCACAAGTCGTTGATCACTCTCAACACTGTGACACTCTATCCTGACCTCGGCCTTGTCAACCCACGTGGTTCCAGTCAGAAAATATCTGGTCGAATGATGATGAGTTCGTAACGTCGTCTCAGTCTCTGCAATACGGTGTGGCACTGTCTTGGTTCGATGCAGCAATCCGTGCCTCGCTCCGAGTGCATTCTAAACTAGGGGAGCATATCGTCAGCGGGCTGTTGGAATTCTTAACGAACCAGGTTTCGTCACCTCTTGAAGTTGACGAGTTATAGCACGAAAGGCTTGGGGTTTCGAGAATCACAAAGAGACGTTGGTTGACAGCTGTGGTGTATTTGCATTGATGAGCTTCTATTTCGACCTTGAAAGCCATCACTATTGTAATCACAACCGCTTTGGAAGCCAGTCCGCTTCTTCGCTGCAAATGCGAATCACTGCCACGCGTTGATGCACAGTCGCTTAGGTCTTGACATCTGGCTCGGTTCTGCCAATGAATTTCTGAAGCTGCAAGAGCTCAATCGCAAGTCCGACCGATCCCTTGAGGTATGTCTGCGTATCCTCGCCAAGCTTGCCCTTGTCCTCCTCGAGCTTTTCGACGTAGAGGCGGATGGTGGCACCGCTGCTGCCTGTACCCGATAATCGGACAACCACCCTAGTGCCGTCGTCAAAAATGAAATAGATACCTTGGTTCTTTGACACCGAGCCGTCGAGATCTGTGTATGAGAAGTCGCCGGCTTCCTTGATCTTGCGGCCTTGGAGCTCGGAACCGACAGTGTCAGACTTTCCAATCTTTTCTTTGAGATACTTGACCATGTCATTGGCCCCGTCACTGCTCACGTTCTCGTAATCGTATCGAGTGAAATACACACGGCCATACTCATGCCAGAACTCTTTTTGGATCTCAGCAATAGATGGGAACTTGCCCGTCTCTTTTCCCACTCCGGCAATGATGTTGAGCCAAGCAGTGACGGCCCACAAGCCGTCCTTTTCTCTGATGTGATTCGAGCCAGTGCCAAAGGACTCTTCACCGCAAATGGACATCTTGTTGGTATCGAAAAGTGCGCAGAAGAACTTCCATCCAGTGGGTACGACATAGATGCTCAAGTTTTGCTTCTTGGCCACTAGGTCAAGAGCTGCTGAGGTGGGGAAGGACCTTGCTAGACCATAGACACCCTGCTTCTTGAAATAAGGAATGTACTTCTGTGCATAGTGGGCAATGATAGCCAAAGAGTCACCGGGTGAGACAAAAGCATTCTTGCCATAGATCATGTTTCTGTCTCCATCTCCATCCGAAGCTGCGCCAAAGTGGATGCCCTCTTTGTCCACTCTTTCGACCAAAGAATGGGCGTACGTCAGGTTCGGATCTGGGTGACCGCCGTTGAAGTCGGGGCTGGGTTGGCAATTTTGAGTGCTGTCAGGTCCCAAGCCGAGCTCTCCTTGAAAGATGGCCACTCCGTAAGGACCAGTGACCCCGGAAAGGCCATCAAAGAGAACCTTAAAGTCGGGCTGAGACTTGAAGAACGACCGGATGAGGTCAAAGTCGAAGATGTCCTTAAGCATGGCCATGTAGTCGGCGACAGAGTCGACGATCTCGACTTCGAGGTCGCCATACTTCTTTGTGCCAATTGTAGAGATGTCCACTTCGGGAATGTCTGCGATTTTGTAGGAGGTGAGGGACTTGGATTTCTCAAAGATTTTGTTCGTCACGGATTCCGGGGCTGGGGCACCATTGGAAAGATTGTATTTCATGCCGAAGTCTTCTTTGGGACCTGCGTCCTTGTTAGATGAGGTTCTAGCAATGCTCCACGCTTGTTGACATACCGCCCGGGTTGTGACTGGCAGTGAGAAGTATACCACCGGTGGCCTTTCTAATGCGAATGACATGGCTGGCCGCTGGAGTACTCAGGATACCATTCTGACCGATCAGAAGCTTCTTTACACCGTATGCAGCACCAATCTTTGCAATCAGTTGGACCACTTCAGGATTCCAGTATCGGCCGTCGCCTCCAATGACAAGAAAGGCACCTTCTGCGCCTTCGGGAATGGACAGGAGGATGGAGGTGACGAAGGATTCGCTGTAATGTGGCTGTTGGAAGACGGTGACCTTCTTGCGAAGCCCTGATGTACCAGGCCTGTTGACAGTAGAGTCAGAAGACAGTTTGTCAGAGATGGGGTGTTTGTCTAGAGCTTACTTCTGGTCGGTGAAGGGTTTGAATTGGACTTCTTTCACGTTTACCATTGTGACTGCGCTGAACAGTTTACCAGGTTGAACGGACAGGGTAGGACTGGAGAAGTCTGTGGATTAGCTGGACAAGAAGCAACAGCTGAATGTGAAGGAAACTTTGAAAACACGACAGGCTGGAAAGAGGGAAAATTTTTTGTTGAATTGAAGATCCCCTCAACTGCAACTTGGGAAAATGAAGCCACGAGAAAATGATCTGATCGCGGGGCAATTTGGCAATAGCAAACGACCGTCAACGAAACCCTTGCATGCGATACGTCATTGCCATCCGTGGCCCTCTGGGGCTTTTATTTCTCCGAATACCGAGTGGTCAACTGAGGCTTCTGATTGGCGGGTTACAGGCCCCAGGTCGACATCCTCACACCACTCTCAACTTGGTTCTGTATAGTTCATAACATACCCTGAACTATGCGCACAGTCAAGGTCGGCTTGGTCAGCTAATTGTTGAAGAGGGTGGCACCCATCACAAGGGTATCGTGAGCAGAGAGAGGAGGAACTCCAGCAAGTGGAAACAGTTGACAAGTCACATCCACCAAGATCGGCAAAGTATTGCGCGAGAATGAGGAGCATCTCTTTGGGCCCTTGCCTAGGTAGGTACGATTCGTGTCCACAGATCTGGTGGTGAGGTTTGGAGATTCCCAGCTGTGTACCTAGGTATATGCTCAAGAAGTGGCATGCCGTCAAGGCGAGCTCTCATTGCCTTGCATCACAAGCGTCGACATACTTCGGTATTTGGACTCTGGGAGCCATCAGGAATTGGCTTTCTCCATGTGTATTGTGTCCCTCCGATGAAAGGCGTCCTTTGTCTAGATACCTAGGTATGTCAACGAAGGGAGGCATAAATCTTGTATCGTCCTGATGTTATATCACTCAGTGTGCGCTGCTTTGGAGCTCAAAGAAGACACTTCTCCCCAAAGCTGTGGTATGTTTACCGAAAGGCACCAGGGACAATCCGGACATGATAGCTGGATTGAATGCCTGGGTATATCGTAGTAATACCAGTAAGATACTATGTATGGTCACATGCACAGCCTCGTCTTCTCCGCAGATTGACCAGGCTGCGTCTATCCGGATCAGGCTTCGCGTCGTCTTGGCAGTTCTGCCTCGTCAAAGAAGTCACGGCGGCAGAGACAGCCTCTACGAACTCGGCCCAAGAGTAAATTAAGTTGGCCATTTCTCTCTTCTCTCTTCATCCACACTGTCAATCCCGACATTCTCATTACCTGTGTGCAAGGCCTCATCCCCACTTGTCCGAATCAGCTCTGCCACTCATTTAAGCATCGTCCCCTCCCTCGCGTGCGCCATTCCCCGACAGCTCACCGTTCCTTGCCGAGTCTGCGGAGCAGGCAAGTCCTCCTATCCCCCGGTTCGCTGTATGCACAATAGATATCAGGTGGCGAAGGCGCCAACACTGTGGTGACTTGTAGCGTCTGTCTACGGGGGACAATTGGATTCAACATTCCCGGAGCGCAAGTTGTTACCTCACAAGTCATATCGGAGATTTGTTCTCCGCCATCTCTGCGCGCAGAGAGCGGAGAATCGACATTCACTTAACGGCCCTTCCAATTCCTGATAGCCACCATGCCCTGCTTCAAAGGTCTCGCTGTGAGCATACACACTCCCAATGGACCTTTGCCAGAATACTCTGTACAGAGAACCTCTCGTCTCTCAAGAATCAGTGCCTACATCCCCGTGCCGCCTGCGCAAATTCCTGCCGACTCTCTGACGGGCAAACCTGAACAATCGACCTTTGCCATCTCCATCACCCTCCTCACCCCTGGGCAGGAAGTTCCCTACTCCACGCCCAAGGCTACACCAGATACTCCTAATCCCAAACCCAAACTCGTCGGCGGCCTCCCAGGTCACACAAGTGAACGAGGAAAGTACACAAGCTCTGTTGGGCCTTATGTCCCTTTGACAACCTCGCCGAACGAAACCATCGCCGCCTACATCTACTTCGATGGCCGAGCCAAGGAGGAAGTTGCAACACTACTAAGAAAGGGTGAAGAGACCTGGGTGAATTCTCGATGGGTCAGTGTTCCTGAGAAAGAAGGAGGAGGCCTTGCAGAACGAGAATTTTTGTTTCGTGAGGTCGGGCTCGAGCGGTGGTTGAATGGTCTAGACCTGGACGGAAAGGACGCGGCAGCAACTATTGAGAGACGCAGACAGAAATTGGAGAAGAGACGACGAAAGCGGAAGGAGACTACCGGCAGTGAAGATGACGCTAATGGAGTCTCGAAGAAGGATAGAAGGAAAAACACCATGCGCTACAGCGAGGATGGTGAACTGAAGGACGTTTCAGACGACGAGGGCTCTCTCAGCGACAGTGGTTCGTCCGAAGATGATGACGACCCGATACCAGAAGCAGCAGGACAGATCAAGGTTGCATTGTTCCGGGTCCTGGCTTCTGGGGAGATCAAACGCGGAGAGTATTCACCTCAATTTGATGCGCACGATGATTCGGAAGGTTCAGACGCTGGAGAAGGGGCTGGTAACGGAGATGGCAAGAACCGAGCAGATGTTGACCACACCACCAGTTTTGCCAAACCCAAGACCTTGGATCCCAAAACCATCTCAACCCAGACGGTGACTGGTATTGACCCTACCGACAAACCATATGCGGTCTTCACGTTTCTTTATCGAGGAGAACGCCAACTGCAGAAGATGGGCATTCTCTCTGGACCCAAATCCGACAAGGCAGCGGCCAACACGAAGAGACGTAGCATAGCGGCGGAGCTTCCCAAACTTGGACCTCTGAAGAAAGAAGGCACTGCAGGCTTTTCAAACTTTCGCGACGCCGAAGGTGGACGAAGCCGGAAAGGCAAGAGAACAAGCGACGATGAGATGGAGAGTGAGAGTGACGATGACGGAACTGGCATCATTGGCAAGATGGAGGATATCAACGATGCGGATGCAAAGAGGGACCCTGGCATGCTTAGTCCGGAAGATGCTGAACGCACGGGCCAAGTTGCAGAAGGCATCCGTAAAATGAAGGTAAGAGACCCTTCGCCGTTGAAATTCCGGCATGGGCTAAGGTATCATCAGCTCAAGCGACAGCATTCGGCGGAACCGCTGAATAGCAACGGTATAACGGAACCCCGCAAGAGCTCGAAATCCGGCAGCCCTTCGGGCAGTTCGACGCCTAAGGCTGGTGCTGTTGAGCTTGGTACGTCGCCCGCGGGCACGACTTTGGGGTCGACCGGTTTGAGCAGCAGCCTGGACGTCACCAAGGACGAGGAGAGTTTCATGGTTGGTAGTCCGATGAAGCGACAGCGGGCTAGTATTGCAGATTTTGATGAAGACATCAAAAAGCGATTAGGCGGCGGCATGTCCACGTCCTCGAGCACCATTGGCGAGGTCCTAGGGACTTCGGCTCAAGCGATTGCAACTGGTTCAAATCCTTCTGGCCTTCAATTCGGAGGTCCACTGGTGAAAGAACCGGCCGCTGGCGACGACGAAGAGCTCTGAAAGGGCTTACCACAGGATCACAGGCGGTTTGCCGCTGCTTGAGTGCGGCCACTGAATCGCATCCACAGCTTCTGAAGAATTTTACCTACCATGATGGTTAGGTGCTCTCCAAAAATCGTGGCTGTCGGTACCATGCCACGTTAAGGAAAAGACAGGAATTGAGGCAGCCTACATCGCCCTCTGTCAGCATTCGGATTGGAATTCAACTCTTCCACTTTTCTTTTGTCAAGACCTCGCAGATTTTGGAGCCCGGACGAGAACATGGGGTTTAAAGATACATGCAAGCGAGGTTTGGCGGTCGAGTATTTTGATTAATTGTGCAAACCAGACATCTGCCGCAGCGGCTTGTGCTAGGAGAATGAACTGCGGGAATTGATGCGCCAACAGATGCCACTGATGAGCTGCAGGAATGGTGTGCACGGTCAGGGAAGGACAGGGGCTTCCAAGGAGTCTCAAAGGGTAATTCGATCCAGAGATGGGGCAAGAGGCCAAGGGGACGGGGGATGGCATGGGCCTGGGCATGGACGCATGGTTGCTGGCTCAAACCCGCGATGGTCACTGTACCAATACCCCAGGCATCGAAGAGTGTTCTTTCCATGTTCGACAAAAGAAGACAACTTTCATACAGAAGCATCCAAGGAAATGCTTGGAGCTACCAGCCAGCAGACCAAACAGAAATTCGAACCACATTACAAGATTGGGGAGGCTCCTATGGGTTCTCTGCTGTCCATGATACTGCAAGGTGCTTGCTGCCCTCGCGTAGGTGTAGTTTGTCAATAGGCGACGGGAGAAGGGGGCGGAATTCCACTCCGACCTCGGCTCTGACTCCGCTGCAATACTATTGGTCGGGAATTCCTTTGGTCTCGGCCCTGAGCTGTTCTGGTTCCCCAGACACATATCGTCAGTGATCGTCATCTCTGTCTCCGATTTGCCTGTTGAACATGCCCTTTGCCCTCCCCTGGCCATTCTCGTCCTCGAGCTGCTGCTGTATCGATGGCGAATGTGGCAGATGATCAGATAGTCGTCATCACCCTTCCACCCTGATCCAATCACAGGTCAATGAGATCTACGGGCTTTGGTCCCTGTGGTCGAGCTTCGTCCACTTTCCTTAATGCCCCCTCATCAGGCAATGTTGGCGAGAAGTTCGCGTTGATTCATGGCAAGGCGTATCAAGGCTTTTTTTGCCTCTCAATTGTAAAATTGGATGAATGGGTGGAGAGCATTTCTTCGCGCGAGACACACACTCTGGTCATCGAGAGGTCGAGACTAAAAGTCGGACTACAGACTGGAAGAAAGAACTGTCAGAACGAGAAACCGCAACACTACAAGCACGAGATCCACCAAGATACCCGAAGCAGCACCCATGGCGCTCTCCAGATCTACCGATCCACTGGTCTGGATCGACTGCGAGGTAGGTATACAGAGACCCCTAGTAGACCTCTTCCTGCTTCCCCTTTCAGCAGCATGGGGACAAAACGCTCCCTGTCCATGCATGCCAACAAGTCGTTGGTGAAGTCTCCTTTCCTGCAGTGGCACGGCCACCTCGAACGGGGTGGAAAGAAAAGAGGTCTCGAACAGGACATCTAAAACCTCAACCCGCACCTCTTGTTATTTTCCTCTTCGCTCTTTCGACACATGACTACCCCCTTCCAGCTTCAACCACGACCCCACTGTCTTTACAGCCTTGCTGACCAAATACCGTGTTCCCCAGATGACGGGTCTCAATCCCGCCACAGATACAATCATGTCGATATCGTGCATCATCACCACGGCCGACCTCGCGCCGCTGGACACCGAGGGCTTCCACGCCGTGATATTCCACACGCCGGCACAACTGTCCAGGATGTCCGAGTGGTGCGTCAAGACGCACGGCGAGTCCGGCCTCGTCCAGGAATGCCTGACCTCGTCGACCAGCGCCGCAGACGCCGCGGGCCAGCTCCTCGCGTACATCAAACACTACGTCCCCGAACCGGGCCGGGCTCTTCTGGCCGGGAACAGCATCCACGCCGACCGGGCGTTCCTGGCCGTGCCGCCGTGGAACGCCATCCTGGAGCATCTCCACTACCGGCTGTTCGACGTCTCGGCCATGAAGGAGATGGTGCGGCGCTGGGCCAGTGAATCCGTGTTGATGGCCGCGCCGCGCAAGGAACTGAGACACACGGCCAGAGCCGACGTGTTGGAGAGCATCCAGGAGGCACAGTATTACAAGAGCTTGATTGAGGGCATGGGTCTGGGTAATGGTATTCCCGGTATAGTTGTTCCCGACCTTTGTACCCCTTTATCCTTCTCTTTTTCTCTTCTCGTCACTTCCTCTGCCCATTACAAGCAGTGTTAATCATAGAACTAACAAAACACGTTCCTTGCCCAGTCTCTCCACCGTCGATGCCGCCGATCCAGCCACAGCCACAGCAACCGTTCATGCCCGCCCCAGGCACAAAGCAAGGCCAAGAAGCTCTCGACATGCTCCGCAACAGCGGCTCACTCATCGGCGACGTCGGGGATCTCGACCCGGGCTTCAGGACCGATATACCTTGATTGGCGCCACCAAGCCTTAGTCGACTTAAGTTTCCTCTCCCCGCGAACGTCGCGACCTAGTTCCGGGCACCATTCAGTTCAGGAGAAGCGGACCCCCGAAATTCATCTTGATAGTATTGCTCCGAATTTTCGGTTGCGCCCTCGCAAGAGGCGTGTTCCGGGAAGGGATTGAGGGGGGAAGATTGTATTACCACCATGCATCGTCAATTCTCAAGAGTCCAGATCATCGTGTTTCCACTACAGAACCAAAACCAACGAGTGTTGTACCAGAGGGAAAAAAAGAAGAAAAAAAGCCCTCGAGGTTATTATTGAACGCATGTATGTCCATCGCGACCAAACTACCCTCGTGTTCTCCGACCAATAGGACGGGGTAGGATAGGGAGAGGATATTGCATGGCATGACAAGATGTACTTTACGCGAGAGAGAGAGAGAGAGAGAGAAGGGGGGGGGGGATCCTCGATCTAGGTGGGCGCTAGGTATGGATCGTGAAAAGCACTTTGTACCAAAACCACAAAAAGCGATTGTTACAGAATAGCGCGAGGTCGTGTGTGTGTGTCAATATAATATATATCGCACCCAAAAAAAGGAAGAGGGAGAGATTAAAGGCGCGCGCACGCACAAACACACACATCGGATGCAGATTACATACATGGTAACAACAAAATGCCGCGAAACTGATCCGGAGTGAGTCCAGGACTTAAGTTATTCATCCGCAGTTGTCTTCTCGGGTCTTGTTGAACCCTCGAGGAAGGCTCAAAAAGTAAACCTCTCCTCCAAGCACGCCCGATCCATCCATCAGGTACGCCTGCAACGTAACTGTACATCGTGATGCTTAAGGGCTAGTTTCGAGGTGTTGCTGTGCCTTTCCTTTTCTATTGGCGCCACATAAACAGGAAGAGCTTTGCTCGTAGTAAATCTCAATCCCTCCAGTCTGGTCTGAGCATATTTCCTTCCTTATAGCTCCAACGCCTTGCTAGTTCGATGCCCTGCAGCCCACTCCATAATGCATGATTGGTGGTTCTTCCCAGTCCCTACCGACCTGTGGCTTCTGCTCTGGCGAGTCTATACCTCACAGCCTCCCTAACAACCTCGCCACCCCACACACTGTCCTCTCCACCTTTCGAGAACTCCATGCCCGCAACATCCCCCCGCTCTTGCTCGGCAAGTATCACACTGAGATCCTTCTTCTGACTGCTTAGCCACCTCTCGATGAACTTCTGCGGATCTTTGGCCATGCTCGTGAAGAACTGGTGCCTTGCCTTGTGATGATGTAAAGCTTGTACCACTATGGCGAGTTCGTCGTCCAATTTGGCAATGGAGCGGAGCGTAGACTGGTGTTCGGGATTTTGAGTGAGCTTGAAGATCAAGGGCCGGAGAGGATCTTCAACTGTGACTTGCACATCATAAACCGTGGGTTCAGGGTTTTTATGGAAATCTTCATCCACTCGGATGGTGTATGGTAATCGCACAGGAGGCAAAGGGTGTAAATGGGGGACGAGGCGTTCAGCGGCTTGAGGGAAAAAGAACGTTTCCGTATCGAAGATGCGTTTCAATGCATCGTCACACTGGATGCTCCGACGTTCTTCATCTTCTTGCAGCCCCATGGCGCGCACATACTCCCAAATGCCCATGACGACTTCGGCACGGTCGGCTTCTTCCATGTCCAGGGTTTCAGCCAGAGCCTTGGAGACGCGAAATCGTTCGGGTTGTTCGTCGCGCGTCAGGCAGATTGTAATGTTGACATTTTCTTGGGCTTTGCGCTCAAATTCAATGGTGTCAAAGTCGCCAGCCTGATTACTGTTTTGGCCTTTCTTCCACGTTACCGTCTGATTAGAATCGCCGAGGCTGCCTTTCGGCTCGTCAAACTCGACCGTCATCCCCTTGAAGAAGTGAGTGAATTTTTTCGAGGGAGCCATAATTTTCTTTTCCCTGGCTGGTTTGTCTTGGTCTCCCATCTCTTGATCTTCGTCGTCACTGTTTAAGATGTCATCGTCGTCATATTCCAGCAATCTCCCTTGTATCTTGACTCGATAGGTAGGCTCGCTGCCCACGTCGAATGTGAAGCCTTCATCATCCGGGTTCATCTGCCAGGGAAAGCCTGACACTGTGTTGGATATCGTTATCCGCATCGTCTTCTGCCTTTTGACGTTTTTGCTGAAGTTGTCGTGGATTTCCAACCTCTTCCGCGCCATGAGATGGTCTAATCGTTTCTCTGCCTCGCGCAGTTTCTTATATTGCTCGACGCCATCCCCAATCACCACCTCTTCCAACCCGTCTGGCATATTTCGATCGGTAGGTTTTCGCACACGTCGCTGAGCTAATTGGTGTTCGATCGCGGCATTGCGCTGTTGGGCTTGTTGTTGCATCATCTGAGCTTGCGCTTGCTGAGCAGCATGTTGGACAGGGGGCATCTGACCTAGGTCTTGTGAGTGAAGGATCTCTTGACATTGGAGGAGAGAAGCAGATGATAGGGGCATCTGTCCAGTGTCCACCAGACGATGGTATTTGGGTTGGAGCGTCTTAAGGTGTCGCTCGTCATGTATTTCCATTTGCTTAAAGGGACTCTTGGGACCTCCACCAATATATGGGTTTGCAAATGTCCTGGTGCTCGAGTCGCACTCACCTGGCCTACGTGCCGCTGGGGATCTTCCTTGCGCCTGGGCAAATTGTCTGTAATTTGGCATCTGCGGATTCATCTTGTCGTCGTCGTCGTCGTCTCGATCGGTTGCGGAGAGAAGAGGAGGGGTAATGGAGTCGCGCCCCACAATGTGACTCGAGGTCTTCGGGGTAGAGCCTGGCAATGGGTTCGGTGTAGCGTTGGTCGATGTGGGAGATGGTCGCAAAAGCAGCCTTGTCAGGAAGGATCGCGACATGCAGAACGCGATCCAAGCACGGCTGGGCTAGTCCCGATCTGGAACGGATTTCTTGGCATCAGATGAGCCTGATGCGAGTACCGACAAAAGCAAGGCTGTCACAGCTCCTGCGTTATTACTGAAAACCACCTTGTATGAGCATCTGGTCTACCCCCAGTATCAAAGTCTGGGATATAGTCAATCTCCTTGAGCATATCTTGTGGACGCAACAACAGGAGTGCCAAAGTCAAGAGTTGAATCCCAACAACCCGTGGCGAGCTCACCACTCCCACTCCGAATCCTGGTCTAGCAAAAATGGGCAAGCCAAGATTGATCATCATCATAAGACATGCTCAATCCGAAGGAAATCGTGACAAGGCTATTCACCAGACGACACCAGACCACAGAGTCGGATTGACGGAGGAAGGGCATCGTCAAGCCCAGGAGGCGGGAGAGAAGCTTCGTGCTCTTCTCCGAACAGATGATACACTGCACTTCTTCATTTCCCCATACAGGAGAACCCGGGAAACAACAGAAGGCATCCTGAAAAGCTTGTGCTCCAATGAACCCGTACCATCGCCATTCCAGCGACATCACATCAAGGTGTATGAGGAGCCGAGGCTGAGGGAGCAAGACTTTGGCAATTTTCAACCAGACACCGAAGAAGTTGAGAGATTGTGGCGAGAGCGTGCTCAATATGGTCACTTCTTTTACCGTATTCCCAATGGAGAGAGTGGGGCGGACGTATACGACCGGGTATCATCCTTCAATGGTTCACTCTGGAGACGGTTTTCCGAGGACACAATGGCTAGTGTGGCCATTCTGGTCACGCACGGTCTCTGCAGTCGTGTCTTTCTGATGGCCTGGTATCACTACAGCGTGGAGTTCTTTGAGGATCTCCGAAACATCAACCACTGCGAGTTTTTAGTGATGAAGCTCGGCGCCAACGGGAGGTATGTGCTTCAGAACAGTCTACGGCGATGGTCAGACCTCAGGAGGGAAAAGGCGGCAAGGAAAAGCAGTATTTCCTCCGCATCAACACCCACAAATGTTGAACCAATACCAGTTAGACGCTGGACGATCTCCAAGAACGCCCATGACCCCTCGGGAGCCAGCTATATCCCTACGCCGGTGCGAAAAAGCACGATAGATATGTTCAAAGACGAACCCGAAACGGTACAGGAAGGAGGCGAGTCTAAACGTAATCCAAAGGCAACCCCAACTGAGACAAGAGGTAGCACGAGCAGAGAGCAAAGTCGCACAAGAGTGCGGTCGTCGAGCAACCTTCGAACCTCTCTTAGTAATCTAGCGTTGGACACAGGAAGGAAACCTACGAACTTGGGCGGCATAAAATCATACCTTGGCAGAGACGGTGGTGGGACAAGATCGGGTCAAGGCTCACCATTTGGGTCTGACGATGAGACTGAAAATGAGAGCCCTAAAGGAAGTAAGCTGCCCATGGGACCGTTGTCAGAGTCGTCCGAAAATGCCAAGAAGGCTTTCTCCTCCTCGCTGGCTCGAGCATTGAGAGGAGAGTTGGACGACCCCAACAGAAAGATGGCGGATGCACTGGGTGATCAGAGTGATGCAGAAGTGGAAGAGGCGGATCTGGAGATTGGGACTCAGGAGCGAGTGTCTGGCGAGCTCCAGCAGATCTTGGATGAAGAGAGGCGGGAGCGAAGCCATCGAAGCATCTATTAGAAGGACTGTGAGGTCAACACCGGACACTATTCACAGGAAACAGGCGGAGGATAGATAATGGGAATAGAATGTCAACGGGGGATGTCCAGCCTCGTAGCCTCGTAGCCTTGGAGCCTTGCGGCATTACGCCAAGACAAAATTGTATGGACTTTATGTGCTGGCCCAGCCAATCGAAACAGGTGGTTTCCTTCGTCTGCTTCCCTACCGCCTCGACTATCGACATGGAAACACGGTTATACCTGACTAGCGCATAACGACATACGGAACCCTTGACCGTCCTCTAAGGTCAACGTCAATATCAAGATGACAGATGCTCTCTATGATCTCCTGCAACCTCATCTCGCATCGTCGTCTCAACTGCCCTCTTCATCACCAGAGATATCCAAATACTTGTCCCGCCTCGTCTCCCTGCGTCCCAGCGATTTGACAACAACAGAACCTCAATCACTTAGCCAAGCGGCACAGTCTAACTTATTCTCAATCCAGGCCCTGAGTTCCCGCTCTCACCGCACGACGACCACATCATCAGACCATCTCAGCAGTCTCCGCTCCTCTCTGCCCCTTATATCAACATCCGCAGAACTGATCAAGAATGCAATCCCTGAATTGGATGCCAGCGCTGTGAATTTTGCCTCGACTTACAGCAAAGCCAAGGAGGAGAGCACCTCTGGGGGGGCCAGTGGTGGAGGAAATGCCCTCCTTACTGCCCGGCGAGAGTCCTCCCTCCTCGCTCGACAGGCGGACAAAGCTCAGGATATCCTGGAACTTCCATCTCTACTCTCTGCTGCAATTGCCTCGGCCCACACGACATCAGCGGTATCAACAACCTCCGCATCTTCTGGAGCCAGCGGCGCGAATTACACCCAAGCGCTCGATCTCTTCGCCCATATTAAACGCCTCCAGATCCTTTATCCCGATTCACAGCTGGTAAAGTCCGTGGTCGCCGATGCCGAAAGCGCAATGAAGGACATGACGACAAATCTCGTCGCCAGTCTTCGCGGGCAGAACCTTCGTCTCGCTGCTGCTATACGGATGATCGGTTGGTTGCGACGGGTGGCGCCAGAGCTGTCAACGAGCACAACCACGGGCTTGGGGTCGGCCACTTCTCAGACCAGCAAACCGGGTTTGTCTACGCCGACGCTGACCTCGCAGCTCGGACTCGGAGCGCCTTCATCAGCACACCAGGAAGAAGGCCACTTTGGAGCTCTGTTCCTCGTCTCACGGCTATGCACGTTCCTGAGCATGATAGAGGCTCTTTCTCCCCTACGCGACCTCGCAGACCAAGAGACACAGGCACGGAAAGAAGCCGCCAGCTCCAGACAAACTGCCCACCAACAACATCCGACATCCTCGAGCACGACCCGAGCTCCACCAACCGGTAAGCCCTCCTCTTCCGGTATGGGCTACAATCCCTCCCTCGCGGGCCAACAGACGGAACGGTACCTGAAACGCTTCATCGAGATCTTCCGCGAACAGTCCTTCGCGACAATCAGCATGTACCGCAATATCTTCCCGGCGGACGAAACTTTCATCTCCACTGCTCCTCCCGAAGCATCATCGTCATCACCGTCGCCAGACCTGTCCCTATCCCTCACGCTACCTCCGGCCCTGCAGACGTTCCCCCTTCACCTGATCGACATCTTCATCTCCACGCTCAAACAGTACCTCCCGAACGTGACCGACCCGGCAGCGAGGGAGAGCCTGCTGATGCAGGTTCTCTACGCGGCGAACTCGCTGGGCCGGTTGGGTGCAGATTTCAGCTTGATGATCGCGGAGCTCGAGGAGGACGAAGACGACGACGAGGTAGACCAGGGAGAAAATCCCGCAGAGGGGACCGTAGCCGACGACATAACCGATGTCGCAGAAAAAGACGTTGAAGAAAGCGAGTCCGCAGAAGCGCACGGCAGCCCCGTGCAGGCCACCAACGGCGACGGCGACGGAGCCGGCGACCTCCAGGCCAGAAAAGCCGCAGCGACAGAAGCGGCGTCAGAGACTCAGACTCAGACGACGACGACGAAACCCCACCCCCAGCCTGAGCCAGAATGGATCTCCATCATCAAGAAACACCGCGTCCAAGCCGCACGGTTGGAAGCCCTGGCTGCGGGACAAGAACAACGAAGCCGGCAGTAGTAGTGCCCCCAGACAGCCGCAGTGTTCAGGAAGCGTTGTTGTGCGATAACAGCGATCGGGATTTTCCCTTTAGGGTTCTGTGTATTGTACAGTACCGGATAGATAACTACCTGGGTACCCAAGGTACCTACCTACCTGGGTAGGTGTGCAGAGAAGTATTCAGATCTGGACAGAAAAGATCCTTGACGTGTGTGCGGAGCTTCCAATGAATAAACGTATAGTGAATATGACGGCATGAGTCCATTGTTATTGTTATCATTGTTTTTTTTTCCTTGGTTGCTTTAATTTTTCATATTTTTTAGGGGGTTCTTTCTTATCCTTTTTCCGTTTCGTCTCCCGTCCTCACCAACGCCCATTCCTCGCGAGGTTCATTTGATCGTAAAGGTGGGTTCTTTCTTGTCCCCTTCCCTTTCCCTATCCCCTCCCCCAACAATGTCCATTCCTCATGGGTTTCATTTGATTAGAAAATCCTCATTCTCACCGGGCTCAGCCCCTTCACCCCGACCCTGACTTATCACCGTGTTCGCCTGTTGTTCGTCGCAAAGGGCTTCCAGATACATGCTGTTTCCAGGTTGTCCAAGGCAATCCAGCAACATCTGCAGGTATTCATCCATCTCGGCGTCAAGATACAGGAATCTTTTCAGCCTCCTCTTCAAACCTGCAGCGGGATCATCGTCCACACCCTCTCTCTGAGGCGTACCACTATCCGAGATGTCTGTGGCTGGTGCATTCGAGTCCGTCATGAGGCACCAAAACTCAAGCGTGGAGGCCACCCAGTTCAGCGTTGTCTGTTCATTTCCTTCCTCGCTTGCAACTTTGCCGGTAACGTCGTTGACGCATCTCATTCTGTGCCCGTGAAAACTGCGCACAAGAAGCAACCACTGAAATAGGTCTGGGTCAACTTGTGCCTCCTGGCGTAGCATGCGTCCCCAGAGTTTCTTGACCTTCTCGCCAAAGACGGCAGCCACGCGGTCCAGGGGTATTTGTGGGCACGGAACATCACCGAACACGGCTCCCAAGAACAGAACCATCCCCAAGGCGACCGTCACATTTAGCAGAGTATCCGGGTCTTTGCTGGCGGTAGGCAAGGATGACTGGCATGTGGAGAGCGCAGTGTCCATGTAGAAATTGATGAGTCGTCCAATCAGAGCAGTCCCGCGCCTGTGTAGCCACAAGACGACTTCATACCGGAGGACGTTTTCCTCCTGCAGACTGTTCGCGAGCAAGGACTTTGTGGCCACGAGTTCGCGGATGTCGTCCAGCACGTGTTGAAGGAACTTGTTAGGTACGGCTTGTGGCGCGGTTGAGTCGTTTTGCGTCATTGCTTCATTTACCTCTCTCGTGGAACCTTCTTGTCCAGTAGAGTTTGTGTCTGCGGCTCGAAGCACCTCGTCAAAAGTTTGGAGCTTCCGCGCCCCAGGATCCCAATTGCCAACATGAAACTCGGTATGCCGCAGCAACGCAGCAGCAAGCCATACATCGCCGATAGAAAGCATTTCCTGGCGAGCTTTCAACGATGGCAGTTCGCGGGAGATAATCTTTCTCATGGCGCCTTGGTGGAGTCGAGCGGCCTCGTAGTCCTTGGAAAAGAAATCCAACGCTACAAGGAGCCGGATAAGCATGAAAACTTTGCCCTGATCATGGTCGGCTCGCTGTATCCGTTGGCGCAAAATGGTCAAAACCTTCGTCTTGTGCTCCAAGGCTCTGTCGAAACAGATGGCTCGGTCTGCGGGACAGATGAGAGATTTGGCGTAATAACCTGCCGCCAGCAAGGCGTTCATTTCGCCTTCATCTGCAATTGCAACGGCAAGATGATCCTGAAAGCTTTGTGTTAGTTGATCGCGAAGGATTTTGCTCATTTTGGCCGGCCAAGCGGGAAAGACATGGAAGACTCGTGCTAATGCAAGCAGTTCTCGGACTGTGGCTGTCATGGGAACGACTGAAGCAGAAAAAGGCTCAACAGGGAATTTTGGTCGAAGAAGTGGCGACGCCTTACAGGTCTGATCTTTCGGTTGCGCAGAGGTCTTAGCCGAGGAAGGATCCGTCGCGGGTGTATTTGTTAGTCCTCCATATTCTTCGGAGCCTCCTTCTCCTTCATGCTCTGTTCTATTTTGCGATGCGTGCGCAAGATCTGCGTCATAATTGTCTCTTCCATAGGTGTTAAGACCAAGTTCAGGCCCAGAGCTTTGAGATGGCGAAGCGCCACTGTGTCCATGGACGGGAGTCCTGGGGTATGAATAATCTTCCTTCAATCTATCGGGAAATTCCAGTTGTTTGAGTCGCTGGGTTTTCAACCACTTGCGGTGTGTCTTCGATATGTGGGAGCCAATAGCAAATGCTTCTGCAGAGGTTCTTTCCAAATTGTTTGCATCTTTGTTGACGAAGAGGAGAGGCATAGCGCCTGAATGAGTTGGGGGCATAGAGACGAATACCATCTTCGTGGTCTTGTTGGCTGTATGGTATGGAACGGTGACAAATAGACCGGCGAAGTGCAGCTCATATCGATACTTATAAAACAGCTATAGGCAGCATATCCCCACGAACTCGCGGTTCTTTCCACAACGTCCCGAGTAGATTTGAGAAGAGTCATAATGAATGAGGAAAGTGTAGTATGTGGTGGAGGTGCTGAATGAATTTGCGACAGGATCATGGAAGAAATGGATGGCCAATAGTTTTCATAACCCCTGAGCCTCGTGGCATATCCGGTTGTCACCTGCAAGGACTTTTCACTCACCACTGGGCTCGGACATAACGGCCCACCAAAGATCTGGACGAGGCACGCCTAGACTTTACAATATGGGAAATTGGATTCGCCACGTTAATGGAGCTCTGAAATGTCCAAACCAGAAGAAGGCAACGCAAAAGGGCGAAGATTGGCTGGGCAGACTGCAGTCAAAGCGGACGCAGCGGCTTCAGTATCACATGAAGCGGGTCCGATTGAGATCGGGCCACAAATACGACGATGGAGACTGAAATCGCACATATTCTGGATGGAATTTGAATCCCGTCTGAATTTGGAACAAGGATTCAACGGCTCCTGAGTGATAGAGGAGAGGATGGTATACACATTGGTAAAGATGACGAAGAAGTGCGGACCAGGAAAGGTAAGGTGCCAAGGGGACTTTGCCAGATACGGAAGTCCTGATCACGTGCTGACGGACTATCCGCCCCCGAAACCCAGTGGCGAGAACGCCGCCTATGCGGCAAAACCTCGCTGGCTGTGGGCATCGGCGTCTAGGCCTAGAGTCGTCTACCTGCGGGTGCTAAGCCTCGCTAGGCCCTTGTTTGTTACCGCCAGAGCCACCACCCCAAGCAGCATCTTGAGTGGTTAACGAGCCGAGCCTACCTCGCATCATCACGCATGTGTTTGGCGCTGGCTATCAAAAAATAATCCGGAGAGCCTTTCACGCGACAATTTGTGCGCTACACTTTGCACATCACACAACCAAAAGCCCCTCCCCTTTGCTTTTTGAGTCGGGTGAGGTCTTTTCGCTGTGCTGCACTCTGGCTTTTTGGTTGTTGACTTTTGTTTAGACCGCAGACCTCCCGGTGATAAGAGCGACGCCGACTTGAGCCCGTGTGGAAGGAGGATGAATTGAGGCCAACCCGAAGCGAAAGCTAACCTCCCACTTCGTCCCTAGCAGTCGCGAACTTGTTACCGGAGGCGCGTCCAGGTCCGTGGGTAAGCCAGGCACGATGTTCTTCCTACGATATCTCGAGCGCGAAATCAGCATCCATCCCTCCTTTTTCGCGGCCAATGTGAATGAGAGGCTTAAAGATCAGCTCTATGCAGATCTGGAGGGAAGCTGCAACGGAGAATATTACATTGTGTGCATAATGGATATCTACAACATCTCTCCTGGAAGAGTGAGGCCGGGCTCTGGAGAAGCGCACTTTACAATCCTCTACCGAGCCATTCTGTGGAAACCATTCAAGGGAGAGACGGTAGGAGCTCTGCTGTGACTTGGTAAAGAGCATGTATTTTGACAGCGACAATTTACAGATCGATTGTGCCGTCTCCTCTATTAAGCCGCAGGGAGTCTTCTGTGAAGCTGGACCTCTTACTGTGTTTGTTTCAAAGCTGGTAGGTCATATTGGTGGTCCTACAGGGCGTCAGAGGTGTTGATAAGACGGCAGCACCTTCCACCTGATATGCGACACAATCCCGACGCCACTCCACCACAATACTCGAATAACGCGGGAGATGTGATTGAGAAAGGCTCGGCTGTTCGCGTTCAGCTGATCGGCTTGCGCAGTGATGTGGGCAATATGTATGCCATTGGAAAGATGTCAGCGCAATGGTTCGGGTAGGTGCAATCTTCATTTCTAGGTGGGCAACGTGGTCGCTAACGGGAACAGTGTCGCGTGAGGAATCGATCACAGAAAAGCAGCAGTCTTCTCTCAGGGAGCTTGTCTTCCATGTCAGAATGATTGGATCGAACCAATATTCTAAGGTCGACAGTCATTGCATCCTTCCTGTCTCATGATTGTCCTCGATCAAGTCGAAGTGTTAGCCCGTCATGTTGGAGCACATGACGAATCGCTTTACAAAGCGACATTTGCTGCAGCATAAGCTGGCATATGGTCAAAAGAGTAGGACGGCTGTTTGGACATGGATTCTCCAAGATTGGGTCAAAAAGTGATTGTCATGCAGACTGGCGGCGAAGTCAGTAGGGAGCCCCAGGCATCTAGGCTGATCGGTTGGAGTCTGGAGAGGGCATGCTTGTGGGGGCAGGGCTCAAACATGGCCCCAGCCAGGGCCAGCCAGAAGCAAACTTCTGAAACGACACTAAGGCGGAGCACCTGGTGCATCTGCTGTGCCTGCACCTGCATGAAACTCAACTTTTGGGTGTTTTGGACGCGATGGCGGGGCAACGCGTCTCCCCATTGATCCCCATTGAACAAACCTTGGAATCTCTACTCAGCCTGCACCGCTAAGGAAATGCATCTTTCAGGGACAGCGTGGACAGCTTGACTGCCCATTGAACATGTTTGCTTCTTCCCTCTAGTCTACCAAAACACCCATAGATCCTGCTGCCCACGACTCAATCTGTCATCGGCTGAGTATTCCCTCCTGTAGTCACCGGTGCGTCAGGTTATCCTTTCCGAATAAACACGTCGCAAAGCTTGCTGCTTCACCTGCCACCCTCGGACGATCCGTTGTTTACGCAGTGGTACCTTCCATTTGACTTTCCTGCACGTACACAAACAACGCAGTCCTCCTTGACCAAGTCCTCGACACGTGTCCCTCTACGATCAACCACTTCTTCACGACTGCTTTGCGGAATTACACCTTGAGCCCGCAGGGTTGTCATCACCATGACACTTAAAGACGTCTACCAGCGTTTCCTGGAGCTACCCAATCCCATCAGCCTGTCCGAGAATGCCTCCCTCCATTACATTACCACCCTGAACACCTTTACACAGCCTGTCAATATTGTTCGGCACCTTGAGTCTCAAAACAAAAAGTTGGTCAAGACCAAAAGTGCGAGAATAATTTCAGCGGTGGAGGGACCGAATGCCATCGCCCTTGAGGTCGAGACGGTGCTGGAGTTCATCTCAGGTGGAGGGTCATACTTGCCAGGTCTTGAGAACTTCGTTGTTGACAAGATTGCCACAATCCCAACGGTATGAGTGTACCATTCCAATCCACAGAACAGCGTTAGGACTGACAGTAACCTCAACTAGACTCACATTGTCCATTTCGACGCCGAACAGAAAATCTCCGTAATCCGCATCTCCTGGGATCAAGCGTCATTGTTGAAACAGACCGAAGTGATCGGGTCAAGAGGCAAGAATTGGCCGGTAGTCGACGGCAAAGACCAGGTCAGACTCATCAACTCCAGCTTGACGGCGACTCCCCCAGCGGCAGAACTGCCCACTAGCCCCAGAGGTCGCTCGGAAAACCAAAGTCTTGCCTCCTCGCGCAATGCGTCCCCGAGTAAAAGGCACATCAAGGACCCTCATGCAAGCCTCGACCTCTTTTCACCCAAGCCCGTCGACGAGAATGAGCGGATTTCGGGCCCCAACGCCGTGGCTCCGCGGGCGTCTGCTAGACCGCCACCACGCGAGATGAGCGAGTTGTTCGCGGCGGGACATGAAGATCATGAGCCAGGATCGCCAAAGAAGGTCCCTGTCGAGCCGGTCGTGGCGCCCAAAGGAGGGAGCAACCAGAAGTTCGCCCCGCCGCGCCTGTTTGCTGATGACCCCAACGAACCTGCTCCTGTCGGTTACAAGTCCAACCCTGCCAAGTACAACCATTTCCATCTTGGAGAGGAGCTGGAAGATGACCCACTGCAGCATCGTGACGTTACTCCTAAGCCAAAGACAACGATGCCACTGCGAGGGAAATCCAACAGACAGCAATCTCAATGGGATTTCCAGGACTTTTTCACGCCAGAAAAGATCACGCAAAAGGTGCGAGACCAAGACATCGTCCACTTCAGCCTGGATAGTGCCGTCAATGATCTCGAGACCCCGGGAAAGAAAGTGGTGGGCAAGCCACGCCGCGACAATGAGATCCACTTTGAATTGCAAGACGACGGAACTCCCATCGAGCGCCATGCCGTCCCGAAACCTCGAAAAGATGCGGAAACACACTTTCAACTGAGAGACGAGGCGACACCGGCTCCCACCCGTACTTCGGGGCGTCCGACCAGCTCGGCAAGTGATCGCATGGGGCTATACGCTAACAACGTATTCGACGAGGATGACAATGGCAGACCGGAGGAAAAGGCACCACTCTCCACCATCACCAATAACGCGAATCGCAAACATGATTTCGACAGTCACTGGACGATGTCTGATGCATCGCCGGCCAATGGAAAGGCCAATAATGAGAACAAGCCGGCCAACAAGCACCGCAAGAAGCCGTCACAAATGGACACCCACTGGGATCCGTACGAGGAGACTACAGATCAGCCACAGAATCCACCTGCAGTGAGTCGGTTGAGAAAGGGCATGGAGAGTCACTGGAGCATGGGAGCAGAGGAGGAAAAGACGGCCGCCAATGGAAAAAATAAGAATGCAAAGAGCTTCTGGGACTTTTGAGCATTTCTGTCGAAGATGGATCAATAGCAGCGGACACAGGAAGCCCAAGGGGGAAAAGAACAACAATATTGTCCTGATCACACAAAGCAGTGAACGACTGTTGAATGAGAGATGTGTGTATAGCATCGTCATGACATTGTTTAGGGAGGCGGCGGACGGAAAACAAATAGTTGAATACGGATTGCCATTGTACCTCCGCAGCGTAGGCACCGCGGATGATGTGCTCCGAACTATGGCTTCTGCAGATTGACATCATGGTCCTGGCATGGCGAAAGGCGAGGATGGGTCCTGGCTTATTACTCGGCGAGTCGGTACCACTGGCACCTAGCTGGGTCCAGGAACGGGGGAAAGGATCTGCCACTGATCTGGCGAGTAGTCTGGCGGTATAGTTGGTAGAGGTGCTGGCTCGCTGGGGAGGTGCCTAGGTAAGAAATAGGGTGATGGCGGAATCGGAATTAAGGCGTCCCTTCCTTCAATCGAGGGAGTCCCTCTTCCCCATGAGGACGAGCACTTGACGAGATAGTTACCTGTTGAGTTGCAGCTGTTGCCCAATGCCCGCACATGCATGGCCCTGCACACCCTGTGTTGCTGTGAGTCATCGACCGGCCTAGTGGGCGTATCAGATGCACTCCGATCATCAGTTAGCGGCCTGCATTATTATTCGGTGCTATTCGGTGCTGATAAACGGCGCATTCCTGTCCCAAGGAGTCAAGGACCAAAAGGCTCGCCGGCTGCATTGGCGGTAGACCGTGGACCGTGGCAGTCGAATCGAGTCGCTTACCACTCCAAAGGTTCTTGTTGCCCACTAGTCTCCTTATACTTTTCTATTCATTCGTGGCAATTTTCCAATTCTCTTTCTCTTTTCCTTCTTACTCTCTTCTTCCCACCCTTTAGCTGTCTGACGTGGCACAGACAAGTCGCCGAGAAACCCCCCAGCTGGAGAAATCAAGGGCTGAGGAAACCTTTCCCGGCCATCCACGTGCTGCCCCAACCAACTTTTGCTGCCATTGCGCGGATAATTGTGTTAAATCCGAAAACACACTCCAGCCAGGCTGCCACTCTCCAACAACTTCAATCGCCTTCCTTACTTGACCTGCGCAGACGATACACAGAGTCGCACACGTCGATTGAGCAGTCGACTTGCCCGTACAAACGTCCGCAACAGGTATTGCGACCGCGCAGACACTTGTGGGGGATTGTCCAGCGTTGAGTTTTGCCCTTACCGCAGCCTGTGCAGCGGGGTTTTACAACAACGCAAACATCACTACTCAGAGACTGGACTGCAAGACAGTCCAAGACCACCTTACAATGACGCCCACACCTCCCTCTGCGACCTCGTCGCATTCGGGCGCCTCTCCCGACCAGTTCCGAGTCGTGCGCAAGCGGAACCGAATCCCCTTATCGTGCGCGCCGTGCAGACACCGAAAGCTGAAATGCAATCGACAGTCTCCCTGCGATAACTGCACAAAACGAGGAGATACCGCCTCTTGCACCTACGCCGCTCCCGCAGCCAGGAAAAAAGGCAGCCAAAGCCAGAATGCTGCCAACACCACCCCGGATGATATGCAGAATCGGATAGACCGGCTGGAGAGTTTGGTCTTGTCGCTCATGACCAATGGCTCACAGGCGGTTGGTCCAGCCGCCGCTGCCCAGGCGCTTTCCGCCGGATCGAGTACTATCGAGAGTGGATCGTTGGGACCGAATCTTGACAATGAATTGGATGAGAGCGCGATGATGGACGATGCAGATGGCCAGGAACCCGAGAGTGAGACGGATGGTGTGACCAAGAGCTTTGGGATTCTCAAGGTTGACGCTGAAAAGCAAAAGACCTTTTATGTTGGTGAAGCGCACTGGGCAGCTTTGCTGAATGAGATTGGCGAAGTCAAGAACTATTTCGTCGCCCACAAGAAAGAGTACGAGGCCCAGATCGAAAAGGTTGAGCAGGCCCGGAAAACCATGGGTGCCGACGTTGGTTCAGGCCCAGCGTTGCTCTTCGGCTCTACGATTCCCCCTAGCCGAGCAGAGATTCTCGCACAAATACCATCCCGGTACATGTCTGATATCCTGATCGGACGATATTTCAACACCTTCGACCCCGCCACTCACATCCTGCATGGCCCGACGTTCCAGCGACATTACAATCAGCATTGGGCGGATCCCTCCAAGAGCTCGATTGTATGGGTGGCCATGTTGTTCGCCATGATGCGTCTGGCCATGTTGTCTTATGGACGCGAAGGCGATGAACCGCCCGAGTTTCGTGGCAAGTGTCAGGATCTGGCCGCCAATTTTCGCACCCAAATGGCCCATTGTCTCATCACGGCCGATTACACAAAACCACACAACTATATTATCGAGACGCTGATATTCCATCTGCATGCGGAATATACTTCCAATCGAGACGCCGAAGCCAGTGTCTGGGTGCTCGTCGGCATGATAGCTCGTCTCGCCATGCGCATGGGCTACCACCGTGACGCGAAGCTGTTTCCCAATTTGAGCCCTTTCCAAGGCGAGATGCGGCGTCGTGTTTGGACATTTGTACGCAGTGCCGATCTTCTCTTTTCTTTCCAGGTGGCCTTGCCATCGATGATTCGCATTGGCGACTCGGACACAGAATTGCCGCGCAACATCTACGACGACGAATTTGATGAAGATTCTGCGTCGTTACCACCAGCTCGCCCTGCCAGTGAAGCCACGCCAATCTCGTACATGATTGCGAAGGGACGACTGTCGTTTGGTTTCGGACGAGTTTTGGAGGAGATAAATGGAGTCAATCGCAAGGGGTACGACGAGGTCCTTAAGATTGATCGTGGATTGAGAGATATCTATGAGAGTATACCCGATCATCTGAAGCTTCGACCTATGGCAGAACAGACCCTGGCACCCATTTCCTTGATCATGGCGCGCTTTAGCCTCGCTACGGTCTACCACAAGTCCCAATGTGTCCTCCATCGCCGGTATATGCGGCTCGCCAGAAATGGGAACCGTTATGTGCATTCGCGAAAGCAGTCTCTGGACTCGGCCATGCAACTACTGAGCTTCCAGGCAATCCAACACCAACAAAGCCGAGAACGCGGACGATTGAGGAGTCTACGCAACCATGTGAACTCACTGACTGCGCACGACTATCTCTTGGCAGCAACGATCATCTGCATGGACCTGTACAATCAACGGGAGCGGCCCGACAGTAACAACAACGATGTCAGTACTCCAAGTACTTCCGTCAGCGGCGGCAGCATCAGCCAAGGCAGCAACATGTCGTCAGACGGAGCCTATGTGCCTGGGCTCAACTACAATCGCGAAGATCTCATCCATGCGTTGGAAGAGAGCCGTGATGTGTGGATGGCGAATCGTGACCTGAGCATCGAGGCTTATAAGGCAAGCGAGCTTCTCAACGTGCTGATCTACCATATCAAGCAACCGTTCTCGCCCAACAACCCCCAGAACTCGCAACTTCCGGGGGCATCTCAACAGCCGCAGGGCTCGAACAACGACGAGCAGAACGCAGCGATGACTTTGGGCATGCTTCAAGCAGGAGGCGTGGGCTCCAGTGGACCGGGAGGAGGCATATCACAGGCGCCGTCACCAGGTGGATCGTGGGAAAAGGGGGGACTGTATTCCAACTTCGGGGCCATTGGTGAACAATACAACGGGGGAATCTTTGGGGCAGCGAATGCGACAAGCCCTTTCCCTGGCGGTTGGTTCGGCGGTGCGATGGGCAACTTGGATCAGGGCATGAATTTGGACTGGGTAAGTTTGGAAAGCTGATGGTTGCGAGAGCTTGGGGATGAAGACTAACCTGAGTGTATAGGAGGCATGGGATCAATACATGCAGCCCTCGAATCTGACACTCGATCCAGCAGCGAGTTTGTGGTCGAACAACTCGCCCAGTAACAACATGTTCACGCAGAAGTCATCTCCCGAAAACACTTCCACGGACGCGACGTTTGGGCTGGGCTCGGGGTCTAGTTTCTATCCTCAGACCATGGGAAGCATGATGAGCGTGTCGACGCCAGAGCTCAAAACCGAAGGGTCTGCGCAGACGCAGCAGATGCCCACCTTGAGTGCAAATTCCACCACGAGTACGAGCAACGACAATAGTGCTGCGGGAGAGGTGTTCATGGGGGTGCAGAGTCCGCAGGTTGCAAATTGGAAGTGGACCGTGATGAGTGACAAGAAATGAGGTTTTGATGTTTCGATGTTCCGAGAATGATACCCGTCCTTGATTTGTAATGATATAGCTGGAGGCCCGGAAAAGGGAATGGATCACGCTGAGAAGCAGAGGGAAAGATCTGGAACACGCCAAAGAATCTGTGTGTAGATGAGGGATGAGGGATGAGAGATGAGGTTCAGCTACATAGGTACCAGTTGCGCAACGCACGAAGGCACATGGAGGCTGCGGACAAAATGTAAAATGGAATGGATCTTTTGGGAGGAGGGGGATATCTCTGCTTGTGTCGCTTTGCCTCCTCGTATCTCACCTATGCATCTGTGGGACTCGAGGCTATGGATATGGTCTACCTCGTACTGCATACTCGTACGTCAAACTGGACCCCCGAGCTGAACCGGGCCAAGGCGCCAATGCGCCAAGCGAGCAGCGTGACAGAGTTGGCGTTGATACACGTACAGAACCTCTTGGGTGCCTCTCCGGGCACTCCGGGTTATTCTGTTCCCGGTCTAGCCCGTGTCGAGCCGAGCCTAGAATAACGAGCCCCCGGCAAGCCAAGCCCTATACGGCTCATGATAATCGCCCACCAATTCCTCCCCTAAGCCTTTAAGGCCGTCCAGACTCTTTTTTCTCCACAACCACTTCGATCCTCCATTCCTTTTTGTCTCCAGCTGAGGGCGATACAATGCACGACAAGACATGACCAAGCCAACGGGCTTCGAGGGCCAAGCACTCTTGCTCCAGCTTCCACTCTTGTTTGCTGCTTGGATTTGATTGATTCTGACTGCGGTTTGGTCTTGGTCACTGCCTCCGATTCGGTAGAGTCACAGCTTCTGTCTGGCCTTCCCTTGAAACATTCCCTCGTTGCTGCTTCAGCATGGAGTGTTACTTCCGGCCCTCACTCGATATGATCCTATCCACTTCACTTTCCTGTCTCTGACTTTTTGGTTTATGCTGACTCCTTCTGTCCGTCTGCTGTTTGTCTCTTCTTTTCCCACGATGGCCTTCTCGTCTTGTTCGCTCGACATGTCTCCGTGAAGCCGGCAAGGCGGTCTCTCTTTACCCGACTTCCATCGAAGCTATCCGCACCCATTTCAATATACAGAGAACCTCATATCAGAGTCGAAGCTGACCTGACCTTACCTCCACGACTACGCACCCTCTTCTCTCCGGCCATGGGCGTGTTCAACCGCAAGAGCAAGTCTGGCCCCGCAACAGACGAAGCTCCAACCACCAACCCTGCCGCAGAAAAGTCCAATGGCGCCAAAGATTCCACAAATGCCTCGTCGGCCACCCCTGTGGACGAAGGAGTCCTTCCTCGCTACAATCATAATGGTCACCTGGTAACAAGAGGCATTCACCCGGATGGGGAGAGTGGTCGCAGCGGAATCCACCCGGTTCATTGCTTAAAGATAATATGGAAGTCGTCTTGCACAGTTTCGACCTGGGTCAACATTCTGTGGCCTTTCGTCCCGGCCGCCATTGCTCTCCACTTTGTACATGGCGACCACCATCTATGGACCTTTGCCATCAACTACATCGCCATGGTGCCCGCTGCCAATCTGCTCGGTTTTGCTGGACAAGAGCTGGCGAGAAAACTACCCAAGGTTATGGGCATCCTCATCGAGACAACTTTGGGATCTGTGGTGGAGATTGTCTTGTTCATGGTCCTAATTGCTAAAGACGATGGAACTGGCGAGATCGGGCCGCACAATAAGATCGTAGTGATCCAAGCCGCCATCCTCGGGTCCATCCTTACCAACCTCCTCCTATGTCTAGGATCCTGTTTTCTAGTAGGCGGGCTGATGCATAAGGAACAGACATTCCACGCGGTCATCAGTGAAGCAGGATCGGGATTGCTCTTGGTTGCGGGTTTTGCACTCTTGATCCCCAGCGCTTTCTACGCCTCCTTGAGTCGCAGCACCGTTCCTGACGGCGAAGAAGGATATACCACCTCAAGATTGCGCAGTGACATTCTCGACATCAGCCACGGCGTTTCCGTCATCCTCATAATTGCATTTGCGGTCTACCTGCTTTACAATTCACTTTCGCACGATAACATTTTTCAAGAAGTCCTCGAGGCCGACGAAGCGAATGACAGAGACAGGCACAGAGACCTCAAAAAGCCAAAGTTGACCATGACCGAGTGCATCACGGTGATTGCCTTGGCCTTGACGTTCATTTCCCTCATTGCAGTTTTCCTGGTGGAGGAGATCGAGTTTGTCGTTGCGAATGGAGTCCCAGACAACTTCTTGGGTCTGATCCTCGTGCCGTTGGTGGAGAAGGCTGCGGAGCATTTGACTGCCGTGGATGAGGCATATGACAATCAAATCGTTAGTTCCTTCATTCCAGGATTGGGGAGAACGAGAGTGGCTAACATCATTCGCTAGAACTTTGCTCTCTACCACTGTCTTGGGCCTTCCATTCAGACCGCCCTGTTCAATGCCCCTCTGGTCGTCATTGTGGGCTGGGGTCTTGGTAAACCGATGGATCTGAACTTCGAGATTTTTATGGTCGTGCTCCTGGTCATGTCAATCTTGGTAGTTGGCAATTTCCTCAGAGATGGATCTTCCAACTACCTTGAAGGCTCTCTGCTTGTGGTATGTTTTCCAAAGACTAATTAGAAATCGGAATCCCATAACTAACCACAATCACACGCAGCTTGTGTATGTTATTGTTGCAGTCACCGCGTGGTATTATCCCAATGCCGAGTTGACCACGTCCAATGGAAGTTCGGGAGGGACGCAAAGTAGTGGTGGAGAAGGCACCGAAGCGCTGGTCAGTGTCGCAAAAATGCTGATGACTTGAGCATAGCACATGTAGCCGCCCAGAGTTCTATACTACTGGGAGAAGCAACTGCGGACCGTTCAATAGGCAAGACAACAGGTGTGCACCTCAGGATTGTGCGGGTACCAACAGAATTGTCTGCGAGAGCCTTGCTTTATTTGAGGACAAAAGGTATCTGTCAAAAAGGGAGCTTTGCGAAGGCTTACGATGCGCTTAATATGACCCTTGGTGCCGGTTTCTCGCCAAAGTCCGTCCGTTCCAAGATATGGACTTGACATGGACGCGGTGCCAGGGCTTGTGGTAAGGGGAATGGTGCCCTGCAAGGCTACCGCCGCGCGAGGCTACGTCATGCTTTGAGTTTCCTGGTGTCCGTCCTGAGCAAGGAAACGAGTTCCATTCACGGGCGGGCGTTGGCAGGCGTCTAGAAAGATGGCCACCGATTTAAGTTGTGCTCGCCTACTAATAGGCAAAGTGGACAGGGCTCAAGTTGAATCGAATCTGAAGGTCACGAAAAGAGATTCCACAAGACGGGAGACGGAGAAACAAAATAAATTGTTTCTTTAAAATAGAACTGGTCTGCAGCCGCGTGGAATCTCCAAGCACTGGGCTGAGCTGCAGGGAGCCGGCCAACGAGTAGTTGTGGGTTACGGGTGCCTTTGACGGAAGCAGCGGTATTGATATCAGGGAGGGACTCGTCATTATTCTGGGCTTATCCAGCCGGATATCAGTGAACGCCAGGCAGAAGATCAGGCTTAATGCTGGGTGCTGGTTGGCGTTGGGCGGGCAGGGGAGATTGGGCTCCAGGCGGCGCCCGGCGGGTGCTTCACAAGCTTGGCATATCGCGGTGGACACTGGGCGGTCAATATTGGGTGTCGGGAGTCTGGGAGTCTGGGACTGTGTCTGGTCACTGGTGAGCCTGGCTCGGTCGGTGCACACTGCCAACACCCACCCTCTCACCCTCTCAGCCTCCCGCCGCCCCCGTTGCCCAGTTCGTAGGGAACCTCCGTACCACAATAATCTTTACCATCCGCACCGTCAGATGCCAACCCTTTACGCAGATATCCAGCATCATAGCAACCACAGTGTCTATACCAGTCAGCAGTCTATACAGTGATTTCGGTGCTGCATTGCTAGTTCCCCTTGCTGTCCTGAACCCGATATTACTTGCAGACATCCAATCACGTCCCAACGAGCAGCGAACCTCGACCCGAGATATGACCTCCGATCATCCTACTCCCTCTACGCACCGGTGACCTACGACCAATGCTCACATCTCATCCTCCCTTCGTAGGTCTCTTTCCAACTCCGAGAGACTGAGATGCCATCTGTGGCATCTGAACCTCCTCTGTCCGTCGTCTCCAACACCGTCCACTCGAACTCTTCGTCGTTGGAGGGCCCTCCGAGAAAGTCCCACGACAAGACCATCAGCGGCGTTTTTACCTACACAAACGGGACCGATGTCGAGGCAGGGTTGTCTGATCACAGACTGGATCAGCTCAAGAGCCTGCGCAACAACACTAGTCACAGTTCCCTGACAAATGGCGTTCCTAACGGGAACGTCAAGGCGCCCCCTCGAGATCGAATACAATCCAAGGCCGGCAGCTCCAGCTCGGCTGCGAGCACAAGCGCTGCCGCAAAGTACACTGAACAACTGTCGAGGAGTCCCGCGTCGTCAGAGGGACCACTGACCAAGTTATCTAGTGTTGAGAATGCGGCGGCAGAGCAGGATGACGGGCAAAATAATGGCCTCTCCGAGCGGTCACCCAGGCCGCAGTCGACGCCAGAGTTGGGTAAATTGACCACGAATATCCCTCCCGAAAAGCTCCAATACGATCCCTACCACATGGTCACCGCTTCCACTGTCCCCGACTCTGCACGAATAGATGGGGAGTCGGCCACTGCTGGCCTCTCTCGCGGCCCCCTTCCCGCCCTTGCACGCTTCTCCTCTCCGCCCGCCATGTCCCCGGGTGCTTCAATACAAGATCGACATCACGAACTATCACCGAGTCCCGAGCCCCCGAAACTCACGCATCGCCATACCCTACAAGTGCCAAAGGTGGGTGGCATTGGCGCAGTCGGTCGGAGTTCGCGCGACTTCTCTTTCGCAGGCGCCCCTTCTGAAGAAGCGCTCTCCACCGCCACCGGTCGCTTCTCCCCGACACGAGAACAACATGATGGAAATGTGGTGAGGCATAGACGAGCGTCACTTGGCCTGGTTCGTAGGGCAACTCGGTCGATGCAATCGGACGCCCACTTGGACGAAGTTCCCCCGGATGACGATGCGGCGCGTTGGACCGAACTCATCAAGCAGAAACGAGCGAGCAGGCGCAAAAGAAAAGAGGACGAGGATGACGACCGCGTTATTGTTGGCAAGAAGGTCGAGGAGGGTCACGTCAACTGGGTCACCGCCTACAACATGTTGACCGGAATTCGATTTACTGTGTCGAGAACGAATGCAAAGATGGACCGGGACTTGACGGATGCCGACTTTGACGCAAAGCACAAGTTCAGCTTCGATATCACCGGAAACGAATTGACGCCCAGCGCCAAATACGACTTCAAATTCAAAGATTACAGTCCGTGGGTCTTTCGGCACCTCAGGGCCATCTTTGGGTTGGACCCGGCCGACTACCTTGTCAGTCTTACCAGCAAGTATATCCTCTCGGAATTGGGCAGCCCCGGCAAGTCGGGCTCATTTTTCTACTTCTCGAGGGACTATAAGTACATCATCAAGACGATTCATCACGCCGAGCATAAGCTGCTTCGGAAGATCTTGAGGGACTACTATCGGCATGTACTGGACAACCCTAACACGCTGATAAGTCAGTTTTACGGATTGCATCGGGTCAAAATACCCTACGGTCGCAAAATACATTTCGTGGTCATGAACAATCTTTTCCCGCCCCATCGCGATATCCACCAAATGTTTGACTTGAAGGGGTCGACCGTTGGCAGAGATTTTAGTGAGGAAGATTTAGCCAACAACCCTCGGGCAACGCTGAAGGACATGAATTGGTTGCGGAGAGGTTTGCATCTCGAGTTCGACGCTCGGATACGACAGATATTCCTGGATCAGATGAAAAGAGACGTTGCTCTCCTGCAGAGGCTTCACATCATGGACTACTCCTTGCTGGTTGGTATGCACGACCTAGAAAAGGGCAATGAGGAGAACTTGAGAGAGACAACGCTGCAGGTGTTTCAGCCCGGGGGAGAGAACAACGAGGACGAGTATGGATCCTCAGTGTTGACTCGAACACCGTCCAGACTGGAGAATGCGAGAAAAGCGCGAGAGTTGAGATTGACGCTGAAGAAGGAGAAGCCTATCCCTATGGGCTTGGTTACCGCGAAGATGCCGTCTGAGATGGCCTCTGGGGATGGAAGACGAGACCGGGTGTTCTACAATTACGACGGCGGTATTCGGGCTACGCATGAGGATGGACGAGGTGGTGACCTGATTTACTACCTTGGCATCATCGACTGTCTGACCCATGTGAGTTGATCTTCCATTTGCGACTGTGCTGCGACTAATCGTTTTCCGTGCAGTATGGTATGGTCAAAAGAATTGAACATTACTGGAAAGGTCTTTCGGCGCCGCGAGGGCAGATATCAGCTATTCCTCCGCAAGCGTATGGAGAACGATTCGTCAATTTTATCACTGGAATCACCATGACCCAAGAAGAAGCCAAGAGGCGAGAAACGGGGGAGAGCCACCGATTTTGGGAACAAGTACCGATACATGCTGCATCTGCGGAGAATCTAGGACAGCCATCAGGTGTGGCCTATTCTGCGGGTCTCGACTCAGCTACCGCGCATTGTTCACCCATGGGCCCGGCAGTGGAAAGGACCATGAGAAAAGCGGCCAAGCAAACCGACAAAGCGACACCATCTGAGAAAGGTTGGAGCAAAAACGAAGAGGAGAAGCCGGACCGGACATTGAAAACAACCGAGGATTCACGCGCCGCCATGACCCTGCCTGTTGTCACGGAAGCGGGTGAAAGCACTGGATCAAGCGAAAAGAAACGGGCGTTGAGTCCACCGAACGAGGCCGAAGAAGAACGGGAAGATCATCCCACTGACTTGACCTCGTCTCCTGTTCCTGTGGGCTCGTCAATCCGGGGTGTACGCAGAGTCTCGCCTTCGACAGTGGCCACGGCGACAGAGATGGGAGAAGATGACACGAGCATGTCAAGTCCACCGACGCAACCCCTCGATTTCGAAGCAGAGTCGTACTCGGACGACGAAACCCAGTCCCTGCAGGAGCGGAACGTGAGAATGGAGAGGGAGTTCAACCAAAAGCCCCCGCGGATAGCAAGCGATTTGATCCAGCCCCAGTCCCCTCTTCAGGACAGCGTGATGAGGTCGCTTGATGAGCAGATGGGGGATCTTGGGCGGAATTCTTGAGTGTCAGTTCATTCTGCTCGTCATCTTTGGAGCATTACACGTCTCCTACGACTTGAACGAAGAGCGCATGCGGTCTTTTGAGAGCGTCAGCAATTTCATTTGTTTTTTCAGCCACATCACCCGACGGGGAACATGGTTCGTTACAAAGGGATCCGTCAAGCTTTTAGCAACAGGCGCATGGGTGAAGGACAACAGGTCAGAGCAGAGAAAAGGATACTCTGACAAAGGTCGGGACATTGAAAAATGGTCTCTTAAAAGAAGAGAGCCTATCCGGTTTCTATTCGGTCGTGAGGCAACATGAGAGTTGTGTCCTGAAGAGGGCATATCTCCTGCTCACACGCACAAAAGGAGGCGGTGTCAGGGTTTGCGCAAAACTGCATACTTTGTGATTTCCACTAGCGACGATCACGGGCAGAGAGGAGAGAAAGTATTGGAAGCGGGATATTTTGTACAGATAGCAGGAGGCTAGCCTGGTCTACGAGCCTCAACTAGCCTTGGGATGCGGAGGACGAGGTAGTAGCGAGGTAGGTCGATCATGACGGCGCCAGCATACGTAGACCCTGCGAGCCTGGACAGATGATTGACGCCATTTGAAACCCGTGAACCTCTAGCTGCCACAAGTGTTTTTAAGTGCCTTGCTTTTGTTTTCAGGTGGCGGCTGAAAGTGGCTGTAATCGGAACTGGGCCTCTGGCACCAGCTGGTCATTGCCCCAAAGCAGGTTGAAAGCAGGACCAGCGTCAACGTCGAATGACGCTAAAAATCTTGTTTTGGCACCGGGTCGACGTAATGCCGCCTCCGCTCTCCGCCTCTCGCGCCAAACATGGACAACATGAAGTCACCTGATGGGGTTTAAGCAGCGTTTCGCAGGATCGTGGCGGCTGATACAAAGGATCAACTCCTCCCATCCTTCGGCTCGAGAATGTTGGTGCATCACAGTTGAAAACTGCCCATAAGACAACCGTCAGAATTTACTGAAAAAACAGACTTACGACAAAAACAAATCGCAAGTAACAAAAGCACGACCCTCGTCGTCCTCGTCGAGAAACGGAACAAGCAAAACAACAACAACAAACAATCACAAGTCACAACAATGGCTCGTCCCGCATCTTCCACTGTATGTTCGCTCTCCCCCCTCTTTTCCCCTTCTCTTCAGGACGGGACTGCTCTGCTCCCACCTGTATCATCCAATTTGATCACTGGGGTTCAAATGAAATGCGCATTGCATTACCCCGTGATCGATACCGCCTTTCTATAAAACCCACTGTTCCATCTAACGTCGACTGACCGTCCTCTTAGAGCGATGTCTGCCTGTACTTCCTGGCTCTGTTCCTGCCGCCACTGGCCGTCTTCTTCAAGACCGGCTGCGACTCGAACTTTCTGATCAATATCCTTCTGAGTATTTTGGGGTGGTTGCCGGGTGTCTTGCGTAAGTCTCCTTTCGACCCTTGCTTTTCACACGCGTGAGTTTTTGGGGGTGTGGAAACCCCGAAGGAAAGAAAACTAGGTCGCGTATCGCGACTACGCAGAGGATTTGGGACATGTGCATGTGGGCTGACCGCGTTCTCAATGTCCGTGTTTCGACGAGGTACAGATGCCTGGTGGATCATCACAAAGTTCGAGAGGCCGGCCTTGACGACTACAACGGCTCCGGCTATCTAAGAATGCGGGAACGCTGGGGACGGTGCAGAATTATGCCGGATTGGGATTTCTTTGCTTTTGAGTCTTTGATATGATCTGTTGGGGCTGGTGGAATTCCAGCTCGGGTGTGTGTGTGTTCTAGTATCCCATTCTTCTTGCTTCCTACTCCGCAGGAAATACGTTCAACCATGTCGAGTGAAAGGAGGTTCTTTACAGGGACCTGGTCCTCAAGGAGTACAGAGACGACGGTGACCTGGTCTGGTCTTGTTGGCGAACCTTGTGCTCACCGCAAAGCATGTTGTTGGGGTTGCCTGGTCTGGTCGGGTGTTGTTTGGGGGGAGCTGCTGTAATGGTAATGGTGGTGGTGGTAATTGCGGAATGAACCCCCTTTCCTCCGACGGTTTCTGTTCAAGTTCTACCTAGGTATCCTTTCCTTTCTTTTTTTGTTGACGAAACTTCTGAACTTCTGCATCCTTCCATCCATCCATCTATCTCTCGGCGCGGTCGGAAAAAACTACGGCAGCGCACAGTGCGGGAAGAGGGCCCGCAATCTTTTGAAGCGTGAAACTCAAGTCTATACAGCAGGGCTATACTACGCGCTACGACTATCACGCATCGGCAACATATGAAATACACTACGACCGACGTTCTCGGCGACTTCACGCTGCGCTGGAGGCGCAGATTTCCACGGCTGGCCGTCCAGGATCAAGACTAATGGAAAAGTATCCGAGACGAGGCCGAGGGGGCTGGACATGTTCACCATCTGATTTGGAAGCAAGCCATGGAGGTCAGGAAGAGCAGCTTCAAATGGGGAGAGGAGATATGTCACCGGTAACAAATGGAGACTTTTCCCAGCAAGGTCGCCAGATATGGGTACGAGTAGGAGTGCCATACTGACAGACTGCCCAGGTCAGCAGCGGAAGCCTTTTCCAGCGCGGGGGTTGTCGGTCGGCGGTGCGGGAGAGTGGAGACTCGATTTTGATCGTGTGCAAAAAATCTATTAACAAACTTCAATCCGACAGCCGAGCCCTGCAGACACAGTCATCCTTCATCCTCCTTGTCTTCTTCACTGCTCAGTAACTCTTCGAATATATCCTTAATCAACGCCCGCCTCTTCTTTCGCTTTGTGATATTTGCAGAGCTTGGATACCGGAATAATACTTGAGCCATATTGCATATTGCATATTGCATACACCGCCCCCGTCCTGCCTTGCCTGCACCCACAGCTGCCAAAATGTCTTCTAGATCCGTTGAAGCTGGCGTCAAAAGAAAGCGCTCGAGTACGTTCAAATCATCAGGGTCGATCCCCAAAGACCCTTCCTACCGTTGCATGACTCTCCTGCTCCTCCAGGATCCAACGGTCATGATCTTCCGGGCTCACACTTTTCTCTGCAGGAGCGCAGTCCCTCCCCCCGCCCGAACTTCCTCGACTCGTCGCCGAACAACATGTCCCCATCGCAGCGAGTGACAAAGACACGAAAAGACTGATCGTGGTGCTGTCAAATGCCTCTCTCGAAACCTACCGAGCGGCACACAGCGGAAAACCTGGAGGGAAAGAGGAGAAGTATTCACTCCTAAATAGCGACGAGCATATCGGTGTCATGCGGAAGATGGGCCGCGATATAAGTGATGCCCGACCCGACATCACCCATCAGGTGGCTATACATCCCACTGAACATCCTCTTGTAGTGGCGAGCTGACTTCAACGTCCAGTGCCTGCTTACTCTGCTCGATTCTCCCATCAATAAAGCGGGGAAACTACAGATCTACATTCACACGGCGAAGGGGGTTTTGATCGAAGTCAGCCCCACCGTGCGCATTCCCAGGACCTTCAAGCGGTTCGCCGGTCTCATGGTCCAGCTGCTGCACCGGCTCTCCATTCGATCGGTGAATTCGCAGGAGAAACTCCTCAAGGTCATCAAGAACCCCATCACCGATCACCTCCCACCGAATTGCCGAAAAGTCACGCTCAGTTTCGATGCCGAAGTCGTCCGAGTTCGCGACTACGTCGACACCTTGGGAGACAACGAGAGCATCTGCGTCTTTGTCGGGGCCATGGCCAAGGGCAAGGACGACTTTGCCGACGCCTTCAAGGACGAATCCATCAGTATCAGCAACTACAGCCTCAGCGCCAGCATTGCTTGCAGCAAATTCTGCCACGCTTGCGAGGACGCGTGGAGAATCATCTAATTTCCCACAAAAAGGTAATGCCTTACACAGAAGACTGATGCTTTCCCTCGCAGATCGCGATTTTTTCTCTTTACTTCCAGCCGTGGGCCATTTGGGCGAATGGGCTCGATCACAACATCGATGCTCACTCGCCTGAATGGCCACCTCGATAACGGTTTGTGCTGCATTGGGGGAGTGTTGGATCTGGCGTTTGTTTTCACAACAAGACATAACATGGTTCAACAAATCCTCAAGGCGAGATTTTCTTATTCTCCGTCTGAGATACCCGTAGGTGCACGTCAACCTGCCCTACACCATCAAAACATGAGTGATGAACAAAAGTTGGAGGAGAGTCGCCGGTCTCGATCAATGGCCTTTGATAATCATGCGGGCATTTCTACATGTCCATTGTGTAGCAGCAAGCGGAATCTGCTGTAGGTTGCCGCTTCCCCAGCAGTCAGCTGGGCGAGGAGGTGGTGCATTTAACCACCTCCTCGTATCTACATACCATCATCTTCCACAAGTCCACGCTCCTGTGCTCTAGTTTCGTCGTGATATTCATCCGCAACATCCTCCGAGCCATCATAGACGCTTCTAAGCCTGTGCAGCTGGGCTAGTGTTTGCAGCCTGGGGGTGAGTCACGTGAGTCAGTGATGGCTGTAAACCCTTCCTGCATCACGAGACAGACTCCTGCAAGCATCTCGATGTTTCTCTTCCGCCATCTGCCTGCATCTGCATCTTCTCCATTGCCGCGACAGTCCCTTAGCTGCTGGGTCAAGGCAAGTGAGTCGAGTTCTCTGTCGCGTTTCTTCGTCAAATCTCGGGCCTTTTCTCTTAAACGAACAGGCTCTCCTTGTTGTCATCATGCTGCCTAGCTTCGACTTCCTACCCCAATGACAAAAGCAACCTGGTCGAATCACTCACTTGGTCATCCAAGGCTCATCCTCGGCAACCCAAGACCGATGGAGACGTTGATTCCTCAGTACATGGTGGCTACCTGGTGATATGTATGCGGGTCGTGTCACACCCTCTATCGAGAAATGGGCCGTGAGGGCGAAGCTGAGGGTGAGTGTTGAGCCAGAGGTAAGAAGCACCCACCAACTACTGAAAACCCAGTCACTCAGGACGAGTAAGTCGATGCATTGACGCCCGACCGAAATCAAAACAGACACCAACCAGTTTCAATCAGTTTCAACCAGTCATGCTGGAGCGCAGTTCCCCGGCTCCATCAAGATGCCCTGCGCTCCCAATCAAGCCTCGACAAATATTCATTTTTCCCATTTTCCCTTGTCCATTGCCATTTCCATCGCTTTTGTCCCGGACAATTCCTTCGTCCCGGCCCACCGCTGCCATCCGCTTCTCGACGTGGCACTCTCCCCAGCATCAGACCGTTTCATCGCCATCCCGCCTTTCTCGATTCGTTTGCCACCATCCACATCTGGAGCCTCTTCTCGCCTCACCCAGCATGCATCACGCATTGTATGTCCCTAGCCCCTCGTCTCGCCTTCCATGTCAGATGGGCCTAGGGATTTAGTGGGAAAAATCAGGCGCCTACAGGAAGCAAGGCGCAGGTACCCCCATCGGCCACTCCCAGATCCCGCCGTTGGGTCGCTTGACCCCATGTCTATGGTTTCATGGACTAGAAGAATCGTTTTCCGATGGATGGTTGATCATCACAAGACTTGTAGCGAATAAACCGCCGGTTGGTACCAGTCATGTTGGATGCCCGTTGCTGATCTTTCGTTCGACTCCTCCTCTCGTTACTAAGGATCTTATATACAGTACAGTATCATTGTGAACAACTGCCTACCTTCTCTTTGACCTTGTACCATTTCAAAGCCCTCTGACCTCCTTCACGTTCCGTACAGAAATCCCATCACGGTTACACAGTCCGTGGGAGATTGGTGGATTCAGATTGCGAGTGCACGGTCTCGCCAGGGCTCCAGACCCATCGCTCCTGCAGGCAAACAAGCTGCGAAGCCCACGAGACCCATCTTTGTCGACACCCAGGAAGACACTGACAGGCTGCTCTCGACCCAGCACAAGCAGCGGTCATACAGTATCAGGCGCTGCGTCCCTGTTTCTATAGCGTTTTCTTGCACCCAGTTCCATCCCCCTCGACGATCCATGCCTTCCTCCATCACCCTCACCGTCAGCCACCTCCCGACTTCGACTTCGTTCTTTCTCTCCGCCCTTCAACCGCTCAACTACGTCTTCCGCGGCCGGCAAGAGCACACCATCGGGTTTGGCCCCGCGTCTCCACCTAATACTCCGGCCGACTTCTGGATCACACAAGAGATCCCCGGCGTGCCCGCGGGGGCCGCACACGTGGCTTTCCCTGCGGCGTCTCGGGCACAGGTGCAGGACTTTTTCCTCGCTGCCCTCAAGGCTGGTGGGAAGATCCACGGGGAACCATGCCAGCGGGACGCCTCGGGATATTACTCGGCCGCAGTGATCGATTTTGATGGGAATTCCATCGAGGCGGTCTACAGGCCTGCATTCGGCGACGATGCCAACAGGGAGAATGCGGACACGCGAAGTGTGGTGTCTCATCGGAGTGCGACTGTGAGAGCGCCATCCGTTGTAGCAGCTCCAAAATCCGTCGTCTCCAACATGAAGAGCGTTAGAGCACCATCTCAGGTTGCATCTAAGGCTCCGTCGTATGTTTCAAGCCCACCAGATGTGCCTCTTCAAAATACTCAACCCAAGCCAAAGCCTTCCGGGGATGTTCTTGGGTCGTTGATTAACGAAGCTCGCAACGCCGCGAATGTGGCCCGCGATCTTGTTAACAGCATGACACCCAATCTCATCTCTTCCGGCCCGCCAGCGTCATCCACAGGTAACAACTCCACGGGCGGTGGGAGTGGAGCAGGTGAAGCCATTGTTGGCACCCTCCTCGGCGTCGCTGCCGGCGCCGCGCTACACTACGCCTTCAGCAACCGATCCAAGGAAGACAGCCGTGACGATCGAGACGAGCACAAGTTTGTGCCTCCCCCACGCCCTTCTGTCACCGGTCGCAGCGTCTCCGAACCCGTGAACGTGGTGCGCGCGGAATACTCCACTGTCCCCTCCGAGTATCCTGGAGTTCCTGAGAAGTATGGCTATCGGGCTATTGAACCAGCCCCTTCAGCATACACGTACACAACCCGAGAACCTAGCGACCAGAAACTCATCACCATGTACGACCACGATCATCCGGCGCCTACTGATAAAGCATCCACGATACGTCCTGCCTCGGTGACAAGGAGAGTGAGCATGGACTCTGGAGTTGGCCTCGGGGTCGTCCCACGAGATTTTGACGCAGCGTCACACGCTTCCTCGAAAGCGTCACGACAGTCCAAAAAGAGCACGAATGCCCCGCCGCCGACAAGTTACCGTGCTCCGACTGCACTGACGGTGAAATCGAAAGCTTCGGGTGCGTCTGGTGGCGGTGGTCGGTCGAGATCCCGCGCGAGCAGTACAAGTCGTCTCGGTAGGAGTCTTAGTGGTCGCTCGTCGGCGGAGCAGCCGAGGTCGAGATCTCAGTCCCGACACAGCTCTAGGTCGAGAAGGAGTCGGCGGGATGAGTTTGAGGACAATGCGCCGGAGGACGAAGAGGCAAGGACGGTGTTGCATGTGGCCGAGTCGGTTCGCCGTTCTTCGAGCCGTGTGTCTTCGCACCACTCACACGCGGAGTCAAAAGTAGCAAGCCACGTTTCTGTGCACCACTCCCAGGCAGGATCCAAGGTTCCAAGTCAGATCTCGATGCACCAGTCGCAGGCTGGATCCAAAGCACCAAGCCATGTGACCGCCCGCGAATCCCAAGCAGGATCCAAAGCGGCGAGTCATATCTCGATGCACGAGTCCCATGCAGGTTCAAAAGCACCGAGCCATGTCTCAGCCCATGAGTCGCACGCAGCCTCCAAAGCATCGAGTCATGCATCTGCTCACCAGTCCCAGGCAGGATCCAAGGTGGGTAGCTACGTCTCCGGCCACGACTCACAAGCGACGATAAAGCCAGCCAGTCGAATCAGTTCGCGGCACAGCCGCAGAGACCCTGCGGAGTATCCGCTTCCACCATCTCGTGCGGCAACCTGGGCTGGTTCCGACATTGGAAAGTCCAGCAGCTTCGTGTCTGCGAGGTCGAACTTTGGACCAGCAGCGACCGGGCCACGGACGATTATCGGCAAAGTTAACCACCTTGTGCGAGATGGAGGAAATGTGACAGACGAGGACGACAAGGCAGAGACGGCGAGCGTGGTTTCCAAACAGAAAGAACTGGCCAGGTTGGATGTCACGGACCGGGAGGTCAGGCCGGAGGACAGCGTCAGTCAGATCTCGGTGGAGAGCCGGAGGAGCAGGAGGAGTAAAGCGAGCAGTCGGAGGTGAAGGTAAGGGTGTGGAAGGAGGCAGTATTTCATCAGCATATGATATTACATGGATTCATCGGACGATAGTAGGACAGACCAGCATAGCGCAGGAGAGTGTGTCTCGGCCTAGAGATTGCGGCAGAGGATATCCATTTCAGGTTCATTACATTACTGGTGATACATAGTCCTGTTATGGGAGGGAATAATCCAGCAATATAGCATTCGATTTGCGGTAATAGATATATACATACATATATACACTGGTTAGAAATCAATACATCTACGCATCAACACGAATCACTTCGTGAGATCCCCATGTCTTTTACTTGCTCCGCGGAGGCTCTTTGGCCTCCAAGCCTACCTAGTGGGCATAAGCCAGTCCGTCAAAGCTTGTGGGATCTGCCCATTTATTGCTGTCGAAGTGACCAATCAACAACGCGACTCCCCGTGGCCCCGTGTCTCACCGCCGGGGGATCTTGACTCCTCGGAGTTGTTGCTGTACTATACGAGGTAGTTGTTTGATAATTATGGTCTAGTGATATGTATATGTACCTAGTATCTATCAACCACTCTGTCCGTCTGACTCTCAAAATCCCCTCCAGACTGACCTTACCCTTGACACTGTTGACACACACTGACAAGCAATATTCCGGGGAAAGGCAACGCCCGCTTTCAGATCAAACCAGGGAAAGAAACGAATGTAGTCACGACACAGGGTGAAAATACCTCGACACTTGCCTTCTGCAACAATGCTCGCGGGCGTTGATCCCGCGACGATGAATTTCCCATTCCCATACCCTTACGAGGACGACGACATGAGTTCGGCCGCTCAGTCGATGCTGGATCCCTCGGCGGTGATGACTATGACGATGACAGCGGAAGATGTACTCCTCCCGAGGTCGCAATGGCCTGTTCCCAACGCGTTTTCGTTCCAACAACCAAGACCACAGCAACGAAACCGATCCCAATCCCAATCCCAAGAGCAAGTTCAAACATACCACCGCCAAAAACAGCAACACCAATGGCATGAAAAGTTAGACTCACACGTCCCCTCTCCTCCTTCTTCTTCTGCATCTTCTTCTCCCTCTCCAGCCTATCCCTCCACAGCCACTACTGCGTACAAAAGCGAGACCTCTCGCTGGCGCGCCCTGGTCGCCCGAGACGCCCTTGCGACGGACGCGTTTGTCTACGCCGTCATCACCACCAAGATCTACTGCCGGCCCAACTGCAGCGCGCGGCTGGCTCGACGCGCCAATGTGCGGTTTTTCGACCTCGCGCAGCAGGCGGAGCGAGGCGGGTTCAGGGCGTGTAAGCGGTGCAAGCCGAACAGTCGGGCCAAGTCCGCGCGTGTGGTTGAGGGTGTCTCGTCATCGGCGGCGTCTTCATCTTCTTCTTCGTCTTCACCAGAGGCTACTCCCACGCCCGGTTCGGCGTCCGGTGCAGAGGCGGAACTCGTGGCTTGTCGGAATATCGCGCCCGCATCTGCATCTGCATCTGCATCGGCTGAGACGAGTCCGGAGCAATACGGCGATGCAAATACTGGCACGGGCACTGCCAGTGCCGCTGATTACGGTGTGGAACTGGAAGAGGACATCCACACCAAAATCGACCGCGCCGTCCACCTCGTCCGGCAAGCAGCGTCGGCATCCGAAAACCCCCAACCCCTCAGCCTCTCGCAGCTGTCCGCGCAGGTCGGGCTGAGCAAGTGGCACCTGCAGCGCGTGTTCAAGAAACTCCAGGGCGTCACGCCGCGCGAGATGGCCGAGGAGATTATTCGGGCGAAGCAGACGACGAGCACGGTGTTGGGGGTGTCCTTGGCCGCGCATGCCGTCTCTGATGAGAAGGAGATGGAGGAGGAGGGGGAGTGGTATGCTAGTGGACTATCCGCGTCCAGACCTTCAGACATCAATGTGGGATATGGACTCGCACAGCCACCGTCGCTACCTCTGCCACTGCCGCTGCTGGATAGTACTGGTACCGGTGCCGGTCTGGACTGGTTCGACGAGGACGCCCTCTTTGACTCTCACTACAACCAACCACAGTACCAGCACCAGCAGCACCAGCAGCACCAGCAGCAGGAAGAGGAACAACTACCATTACCAGTACCGGTGCCAGTGCCTTTCGCGGATTGTGCTCGCCAGACTTTGACGATGCCGATGGATCTGGATATGGAAATGGACATGGTGTGGGGGATCGATATGGATATGGACATGGACCTCAATCTCCACGCTGCGTCCGAAGTGGAGGGTCTCCTGAATGACCTGTTCCCGGAGATCCTTGTGTATTGATTGATAGATGAGATTGGGTACCCTACATAGGTAAGAATAGAGATGACAGGAACAAGGATGAGGATGAGAATAAGTGTGGTGATGAAAGTGATAACTAATACAATGATCGGTTCTAGTTGCGTTTCACGCAGGACGAGGTACATTGAACATGACATAGAGACACACCCTATGCATTTCTATCTCTCTTTCCCTCTAGAGCGCGAGAGCTCTTGATATGAACTGCTGCCAGGCTCCACTGTACGGGACAGCCTGGGCACATATTCCGGTTCTCCCTTCTAGACTCCCTTCTCAGGCCTCTGGCTTTCCTCGACCAAGGGCCAGTCTCAAGCCACGACACTCTTCAAGAGCCCATCACCACCGCTCCTCCATTCACCACCTCATGCCCTATCCCCATTCCTATCCCCCTTCCCTCCCACTTTCGCCTTCTTTTATCCTTCCTTCCTTCCCTTATTTTCCTTATCTTCTCACATCTCCCCACACTGCACGATCCTAACATCCAGCACAGGCCTCTCCCCCTGCCCCCTCCCACCGGGCCCCGCGGTTCTCGTATTCTCAATCATCCGCACGACCTGCATACTCTCGTCGTCCGCGACCTGCCCGAACACGACGTGCTTGTTGTCCAGCCAGGGGGCCGGGGCGGTGGTGATGAAGAACTGGCACCCGTTGGTATTGGGGCCGGAGTTGGCCATGGACAACAAACCGGGGCGGGTGTGTTTGATGGCGAAGGATTCGTCGGCGAAGGCCGCGTTGTGGTAGATGGAGGTGGAACCCGTGCCGTCCGAGTGAAGGAAGTCGCCGCCTTGGATCATGAAGTTCTTGATCTGGAGAGGGGGAGATAGGTTAGAATGGAGAAGGGGGGAATGACGATGTCAGCGAGAGGAGAGGGGGTTGGCGTTTGGTGTGGATTGAGATGCGCAGAGGAGGGGGGTGGATGGTGGGAGATGGGAAGGGGGGCGTTAGGCTGTGAAAGGCCCATGTGGGAGTTATAGCAGGAGAGGAGTTCAGCTGCAAGACTGGCCTTCCCGTCGACCCATTCCTTTCCCATCTTTCTCATCCTTCCCATATCCGTCCTCATACCACCAGGGTCCACCGACCGACATTGTCCTCCCTATCTCCCTACCCCGGTCTTCCCTCCTCATCCCCATCCCGACCCTCAACCACACACAAGACTCTCCCACGGCGCACATCCAGACGAGTTCCCAGCAAACACAAACAAAAAACACCGGCAAACTAACTTACCACACGATGGAACTTGCTCCCTTTATACCCCATCGGCTTGGCGCCCATGCCCTTGTGCTCGCCGGTGCAGAACTGGCGAAAATTCTCCGCCGTCTTAGGCACCGTGTTGGCGAAGAGGTGCATCTTGATGCGGCCCAGCGGTTCACCTGGTGTAGTTTATTTCCCGCCATTAGTAACAAGTGTAGAGAGGAGAGGTGAGTTATTTCCCGGTCGAAATTGGAAGGGTGTGTGATGAAAATATGACTTACCGCCGATCTGGATGTCGAAGAACACAATCGGCTCGCCCTCGCCGGGCTTGGGGACGGGGATTTTGTCCGGAGCCGAAGCCGTCGCCATGGTTTGAATTGTGTCCCGTGCGGTAAGGTGTTTGGGGAGGGACAAGAGGAGTTGATTCAGGGAAAATATTAGAGTGGTCGTGTCATTTTCATGGGTTTGTCTTGGTCGTTGGATGAATATTCACGACAAATTAAACGTTTGGTGTGGAGCTCGGGGGTAAAGTGACAGAGGACAAGGCTGCCGGTGGCAAGGGATCGACCTCCTCACTACATAATAAGGGCAGCCTCAATATTCACTGCGCCATGAGAACGAGAGCACGATAGATGGACTAGGGAGGTCTCAGACCTGGATCTGGAGGGAATCTCATTGTCGTATCAATTAAATACATGGAAAATGGTCATCACTCGCATCATCAAATGGTGCATTGGCGCTGAGATTTCGTCATACACGCCCACCAACCTCTGCAAACGCCTATGCTTTAACGAATCAAAGTCTCAATAGGCGGCAATATCACGCCTCTTGTCTTCTTTGTCTTCTCTTTTCCAGAACTTGAACCCTTTCCTCCTCTTCTGCTCGCTCGGCTCAAGCGGAGGAGGGATAATGTACGGCATTCTCCGCGACCCTTCTCCTTCCTCTGGCAATACCTTGTCCGGCCACCGAGATTCCGGTATCTCGCCGATCTTGGTGCTGGCTGTCATGAATGTCATGGTCGATGTCGGACGCACTCTGGACTGTGCTGGGTTGGGCCGGCTATGGAGCGGAATCTTGGGCGGTCGAGGTGGCGGTTGTTGGAATACAGCTTGCTCGTGATTGTTATGCGCGTTCTCGAAGAAGTCCGCAGGCACGATGAGCATGCTTCGCTGACTGTGTGGTCGGGGCTGTTCGCTGGACTTGCGTCTGCTGGAAGGCTTTGGCTCTTCCACTTGACCGGGGGTTGTTTTGGATGTAGAGCCAGACACCTCGCTGAGTGACTCTTCCCGCTTTACCCTGGAGTCGCTGGACCGGGCTGCAGACGACTTCGGTACCATAGAATCGGATTTGGATCGTTGGTGCTTGTGCGTCTGCTCTCCCCTCGCTTTCTTCGCAGATGCCCCAGAGACAACGGAAGACCCGCTTCTCGACCTCACCCAACCCCCACGAACCAGTAATGGTGCTGGAGGTGGCCTCTTAGTCTTTTTTGCCGATGCTGTCGAACTAGATTTGCGTTCTTTGTGAGAGCTCTTCTCGTCAGACCTCCGGCTCTCCTTCGACTCAAGAGCCAGTCTGGATGCTGACACTAGGCTGAGGCGCGAACCCAGCTGTCCGATGGCAGTCATAGTGTCAACAGCGGCGGTTTCAGAGAGACTGAACAAGGTCCTCTGAGACAAGGATATCGTCTTTGGATCTCCGGCAAGGGCATGATTGATCAAGTTGATCAGCCCAGTGTTGAGGACAAGAAGAGTATGTGCCAAACTTGACTGCGCAACAGCGTCCCCAACTTCAAATTGACGGCCAAACCTGGCCACTTGCTGATCGTATTCTTGTTTGATCTCCACAGGTCGGTTCCTCAACGAGTGTCGGAGCCATTGTTCTTCCTCGGACGGCCGAGGGAGTCTGGCGTTGGTTTTCCTTCTCTTTCCTCCCAGACGGTGGAAAATATCCATTCCATTACCAAAAGCTGAGATGATGGAGCTCACCACGGAAGAGACATCAATTCCACCCATGTTGCTGGATGGGACTGGGCCTCTGTGAGCTGTAGATTCGGCACTCTGATCTCACATAGCACTTAAAGAGAGAAGCAGATCAGGTCAGAAGCTTATTTCGGCTGGTCAATCATAGAAGATCACGCACGTTAAGAAGGCAATGTTAGAAAGAACGATTGGGAACACAAAATGAGGAAGGCAACTCTCGGAGCGAGGCTTCTGGTGTTTGGGGGAAAGAAACGGTTCACCTCTAGATTCGGGGATTTCGAGACCCTGCATGTGCCTTGCCCAGCGCCTCGAATGGCAATTGCAGAACATTTCGCCCAGTCAAGGAAATGGTGCATAGAAAGTCCTGGTGGATTGAGGGGGGAACCGGCAGCTATCACGAAAGAGAACCAAGTCTCGCCTGGACTGGTACATGAGTGGTGGTCAGACTCGGGTGGATGCTGCGAGGTCGACCAGGGCGTTTGTTCCAGGCGCTTGCGGAACTGGAGCTTCATCGAATCGACGACACGGCACGCCCACGGGGCGCAGCGGGAGAGAAACGGTTATGCAGCAGGGCACATTCGGTTGTTGCATTTGTTGCTGGATTTGAGGAAACACACCAGGTCGTGAACCAGTGAGGAGGAGACGGCAAGGAATGAAGCAATCACTATCAAGTGCTCATTTTTTGATTGGGGCCCGTGAGGCTGCAGGGCTAGACACAAGTAGAGAGTTTCGAGCGATGGCCTTGCTTTGCTGGGCTGGGCTTCATCAAAATAACAGATCTCCTGCCTGGTCCATGACTAGGTAATAATTTAGGTGCCTACCTGGTAGGCTGCTGCTCTCTAGTCGTACCTACGAGTCCTCGGTACTACTTGGCTTGAAGGTACCTAGGTACATGGGGCTGCCGGAACTTTACTTCCGGTTAAAGCTGGTCAACCCTTGGCCACCCACAATCCCCAAACTGCGGGACTGCGTGATCGTCCAAGTCGATCACACAAGAAAGAGTTGAGCCTCAGACAACAGCAGTGTTACAGGGTTCTTTCGACAGAGTGAATCACCATCACTCTCATTCTTGACCCACGATTCCAGCAGTACCGTAGCCAAATCTTTCGCGACCATGTCTGCTATTGGACCCCAGCTCCCTCCGCATCTGCAAAACCGCAAGAGAAGCCATGATGAAGACGACGAGGGCGAGTCGTCCGACTCTTCTACTGGCCCTCTTCCGGCGAAATCTGCACAAGAAGGCACAAACTCCTCCGCAAAACGGCCTCGAGTCGTCGGTCCAAGCCTCCCACCAGCACCTTTGGACGAACGCCCACCTTCAAGTCCTCCGAGACCAACAGAGGAAAGCGACTCTGAGACGGATGAGGATGATGATGATGATGATACTTTCGGCCCCAGTCTGCCCTCAGCCAACGACCGCCCTATCAAGTCTTCGGCGTCTTCGTCAATAGGTCCGCAGGGCTCTATAGCTACAGTGCCAGTGAAGCGTGACGAATGGATGACGGTGGCACCCTCCAGCGGGGACTGGTCTGCAAGAGTTGATCCAACTAAACTGAAGAATCGCAAATTCAACACTGGACGCGGGGCAAAGGGTCCATCACATATTACTGCGGGCACGGGGGACTCGTCGTGGCATGAAACCCCAGAACAAAAGCAAGCAAGATTGAAGAGAGAGGTCATGGGCATCAATGATGCTTCTACATCCGCGAGGTCGTCGAATTCTGGTCCAGCGAAAGGTCCTGATGATGAAGCCACGGCGCGAAGGTTGAAGGAATACAATGTAAGCATACTCTTTTGGCAAAGGCACCTCAACTCCCTGCCTCTCGTTTTCCCGTCGGGTTGCGTGGCATGTCTCAATTTGGCGTTTCCATTCTGTGCCTTGTGCCTACACATCCACGTCCTCCAAGTTCGTCTTCTCACCAACAGTTTACAGGAGACTCAACGCGGGCCATCCCTCTACTCCACCCACACCGCCTCCCAGAACAAGCCTCTGGATGATGATCCTAGTGCCCGAGCTTTTGACCGGGAGAAAGACATTGGATCTGGTTCAGCAATCACCGCCACCCAGCGCAGGGACATGGTCAAAAAGGCCTCGGATTTCTCCTCGAGATTTGAGAAGGCGAGGTATTTGTGAGATAGTCTGCGCTTATCCCTTGGTACTGGCGGTAAGCTCCCACCGTGGGCATGCTTTGCAAACCCCAATTCGGGCTCAATTCGTTTTGCCATGCCTCGGGCGCGTTCGTCGTCCTGATACGTGCCCAGGAAAGTGGAGAGGGGCGCTGACCATCGGGAGTCGGGGTGCTGTCCATCGCCCAGAACAAGGAAGAGGTAGGGGTGCTCCGTCCTCCTGGTCAGTGGCACTTTGGAAGCTCCGGCCTCACCTCTACCATTGCGGAATGCGATGAGCAAGAGTCGAGATTGCACACCGTTGCCGTTGAGCGGAAAAGACGCAACTTACATATGAGCCGGAGCCACGGATGGCGGTGTAGGGTCAAAGCGCGAAGGCAGATGACCGTTTTGTCTCCTCGTGCTTTGACGCTGTCGCCGTCCCCACTCACATTGCGATTTCAATTCTCACTGCCGATCTGGATCTTCCTCTGGCTGGCCCTGCCTCTGGACTTGGTCCTGTTGGGCAAGGAATGCGGGCTCCAGCAAGCAAAATTCCCGCTGGGCGCCGCCTAGTCGTAACGGTCCACTTCCGGCCCAATGGGGATAGCCCTGGTCCAAGCGCATTTTCCTGGTTGGGCTGGAGTCTCTCGAATTATTCCCTCTACAGGGCAATAACCCTATCCGCCGCCCTACAAGCGTCCACACACTACCTACGATTGTTCTTGAAGCCCCAACAGCCCATTTGGCAAATTCGAGGATTGCAATTCATCTTGCCAGACGGGACAGACATGTCTGGGGTTTCAGGGGCGGTTGGTCTTCAAGATGATTAACCGGACAGACTCCGGATCACCGGCATGGATCTTCCCTGCATGCTTGGAGGCAGTACGAGGTACCTCGTAACGGCCACAGTAACCTGGAGGGATCTTGTTCTCACGCCCGACGGCCAACTCTATGCTTTAAGCAGGCCCCGTCGCCCACCAATCATTTCCCGGCGATCGCTTGGAAATCCCCCCCCAAGAATGACTTCGAGGCTATCGACTGCCTACCCTTTTGGACATGTTTTCCTTGAATGAGGGTGCAAGCTGCGACATATCTGGTAGAACCAAAGCGCCGCGGCTCCGGATTAGGGATGCTCCTTGGCTTACGCCGCTGCAGTCTGCGGTATTCTCTGGATTTCATACGACCCTGTACCTTACCCGGGACCATGGCCCTAGTTCGACATGTCCATGCCAGAGTTTCAGACCCAAATACAAGGGCTAAGACAAGACAAGCTTTTGAGAGCTGACTAAATATGACTTGGCTTTATTTCCACATGCCTCAAGCGGGTTTGGTGGGTGCCAGACTGTGACGATGCAGTTTCACATCTTTTCTGGAAGGAAAATGAGAAGCGGAAGCGCAAAGAGTCCATACCAGATTCTCCCTTGCTGTCTGTTCTAAGCAGCCGAATCCGCCTTCTCCCTAGGAAGTCGCCTTGCATCTCTCCTCTCTTCCGGGATGTACAGCCCCCACCAGTAAGAGCCGACGAACCCTACCCTTTTGTTCAAGGCTATGATTGTTGCGAGATGGAGGATTGCGCGTTGAGCGGCCGCACGTAACCAATCGTGTAAGCTCCCAGGTCCCCCAAATCGATTGCCCTATGAGTCCCTCTTACTCGGTACACTCGTACGAGCTCCCGATCCCCTCGGCAAGTACTCCGTACCCTATTAGTAGGTATGCAGCGCCCTCGGCCCTTGGGGAATGGCCGTGCCGGTCAAATCGGCCCCCCTTTTTAAGAAACTATTACTCGTTACCGATGCGAGTTGACGCGAATTGCGACAACGAGGCTATTACGGCATATAACACTCGTAGGGAGAGACGTATGCTTTCTTACGAAATAGGTCGATGCGTGCGCGAAACCTTGCCTGGGCCCGCCTGCCCCTGCCGTACGAGGAAAGTGCATAAGAGGTCCCATTGGTACCTACCTAGGTACCTAGGAACGCAAAAAGCGTAAGCATATGTTACTAAGTACTGACTACTCGCAACCAACTAAACTACCTACGCACGTCCTTCGCGAGGGAGGAGTTTTGGTTTTGACACGTAAGGGTTTTACCCTTTCTATTCGTAGATAGGGCTAGGTGCATACGAGAGGCCTCCGCGTAGAGGGCGAGTACTCCGCGAGGAGAAGGAATTGAAGAATTCACCAGACGTGGTTAGTTGTTTACGGGACGACACACGTGTTCTGCTCGTATACCCATCGTATTATATTCCTCAGGTGCTCGTGTCTAACTCGTACCTACCTAGGTATGCAGACACCGGTCCCAGCTCACAAGCAAGCGGTGCCATGTAGCTGTGTACCTGTCTTTGTTAACCTACGAGTAATCCCGCGCTGCTTGCCTGTCTGTCTGCCTGCCTGCCTGTCAGTCAGTCCGTCAGCAAAACAAGCAAAGTACCTACCTACTACCGGTAGCGCAGGGTGAGCCCCCCTGGCGTGTGGTGTCTCTGCCTTGCTTAGCCCTACGGCCCCCCAGCCCTACGAGCAATTAGTTTACCCGTAGTTTCAGTCGAAGACTGCTCACTACCTACTCACCAGCATCGTGCTCACTCACTCATTTCATCGTCCCCCCCTCCCCCTGGTGCTATCAACCCCCCAATCTCTCCAATGCGATTACCGATACTCCGTTGCATCTAGGTACCTAGGTACCTACTCGGCCCTATGCGGGCGGCGTACCGAGCAGCTTTCCTTACTGCGACTAGAGGCGGCCCCGGGTACAACAACCCCCTTGTTTCCCTTTTTGCTCCGAGGACGGAGAAAGGGGGGATCAAAAGTTCCAAAAGTTAACAGCGTTAGAGAGTAATCACCGTGCGTGTGCAGGATGCTCGGAGCTTTGTATGTACCGAGTAGGTACCTAGGCATGTACGAGGTATGCAAGTTGCTTCAGAGGCCCTCGGCCGCATTAGAAACCGGGGCTTGCGTCCGGAGTTACGACTACCATTACGAGTACTTGGTATGGCTGTTGCGAGTAGATGGACCGGAGTTTTCGGTCTACCTATCTTGGGTATGTAGGTATGGAGTATTATAGTAGGTGTCGGCGTCGGTATCGGAATTGGCGTCGGGAGGGAGAGGGGAATAAGGGAAGGTATCTGTACCATCATCACAGATCGCCACCACCATCATCTCCTTCTTGATCGCCATCAACTGGAGCTCAGTCATCAACGAGGTCGAACGGTCCCGAAAGGACCTGCAAGCTGCTGGTTGCTGGCTGCAAAGCGCCACCACCACATGACAGACAGGACAGTAGCCGCCACCACCACCACGCGGGGGGCAGCACATCACATCCATCACATCCATCATCCTCCCCTACCCCGTGCTTCCTCTGCTCCCTCCGAGAATGGCAGTCGCTGGCGTCAGGGTCAATCTGTTGCAAAAACAGTATTTGGTCCAATCCGTCCTGTTGGGTGTCTGTCCTTTGTGATTGATTCTGACTCAAAACGTCATCTCACACACAAGACCCCAGCACACCTCCCCCCTTCTCAGTCTGTTCGAGTGCCAAGCGGACTCAGCGAGATCGCCCGCCCTTGAATTGGGCTGAGAACTGCGGGATACTTGCCTCCCCTCCGAGTTACCGCGGGTGGAATTAAAGTGATTACGGCATGGTCATCGTCTGATATAGCACTTCTTCATAGGACCGTGGCCATCCACATGTAGCCTTATACGTGTAGCGTCGGTCGAAGCTCACAGGTCGCAAACCCCTGGCTGCATCCTGGAGACGCGAAGGGTGCCTGCCCCTTCTTTTCTTCCGCTCACCTGCTGTTGTTATTATCTCATCATCCTTGCACCCACCCCCAGGCCGTATTCGACCAACTGACCCCAGCATTACGAGGCCACAGGCTCTCTGCGGGATCGAGATGTCATTGTCTCCCCGGTTCCGACCCCTTGGTCCTCGACCGCAAGCCTTCATTGCCTCTGCATCTGCTGAGATAATGGCGGATTCGCGGTTCCGCTGAGAAGACCAAGATGTGGTCTATTTGCCCAACCCTTATACGAGAGCGGGAGATTGGCGTTCCAAAATTGGCGGCAAGGCAAAAGACGAGAGACGCGTCTGTAAAGCGTTTATCCAGTGTCCTTTTGGCCCACGCTGCCCGTTATGACCACAAACTTTGCGTGATTAGCGTCTCGAAGACCTCGATCAATGCGTGGTCAAATCATAGGCGGCAATCACTGTGGATATTCTAGGCAGGGAATTGTGTGTCCCATTTTAGGTCTCAGGCCAGCAGCCAAAATATCATCGACTGGAGGACCAACCTTCTGCCCCCCAAAACTTGATGTGATGCTGTGCGGTGACGCTCCCAATGACGCAGCTATCGGTCGTGCTCCAGAGATTTTTCCGCTTCCTGTGGATGCGAAGTTGTCGCTCCGCTGGGACAGAAGGTGCGTGAGAGGACCCTAACTCTCGCAAGGCTTCACCTGTAAAGGTATTGTTGAACAATTCAGAGGCATCTTTATTTTCATACTTTTGTCTTGGGTCGAAGGATTAAGGCTTCCTTCATCGGTGGCAACCCACAGTTGCATCCCGTGGAGAGTGGCCTTACACCACCTCCTTGATATCCTCCAATGCGGATAATTCTGCATAATGGCTGTGGACAGTCAGTATTTGAGCCTATCGAGAATGGGAAAAGGGTCCCAAACACTTACCCACTGAGCTGAGGGGCCAAACGGACAACTTTGTAGATCAAGTGTATCCTGCAACAAAGGCGTGGAATCGTAGGGGAAAGCCAGGTAATTGAGGCCCGCCTGAGTACTTCGTTTGTCCGTAATGAATGCTTCCACCGGCCGGATGAGATCATGCTCATCTTTGAGACCAGTGTGTCTGTTGTTGCTGGCCCGGGTATTTTCGATCCTGATAATCTTTCGTGCAATCAGGTACGCCGTACAACTCGTCCAGTTGTTCTCAACCACCCTCAGAGAGCTGAGATGTTTCAAGGCGGCGAGACGGGTGGCCGGATCGCGGCACTTGGTAGCTGTGAAAAACAGAGGGGGAATATACCCCATGTGGTATTCGAGATTTCCCATACCGGTGAAGAACTTGGAAGACTCGTCGCTGGCCCACATCTCTGCAAAATTGTCGTACTTGTCCACAATCCACCTGAATTCCTCGGTGTACTTTTCGTAGACAGTCTCCTGCTTGCTCGACGACACTCTCAACATCACGGACAGCATCGTGTAGTGAACTCTGAGCAGCTGTAGTGCTAAACCGTACTTTGGCTTTTGGGCATCGAACAGACTCGATTCGAATGTTTCAAAGTGCATGCGCCAGGACTCCAGCAACATCTGAACCTTCTGTGGTGGTGATGGTCGCCAGGGCGCTCTCCTGTAGTCCATCATTCTTGCGATATGATGGCCAATACCGTCCAAGGCATGATGGGCTCTGTGAATTTTGGTGAAGTGTTCGACCCACGGTAACTCCGCGTGGGTGTTAATGAGGGTGGTACATGCACACTCGTTGATCGGGAGATCCGCCATGCCATATGTCGGCGCCTTGTCGATGTAGGCAAGGAAGATGGGAGCTATTGCTTGAATGATCAACTTTGCGGCGGGCGAAATTTGGAGGTCTGAAGATCGGGTAGATTTGACCCATTCGTCTATAATGTTCAGGCCAGCCTGTATATGCCGGAGTCCCGGTAGTACTGAGCCCTTCATGAACTCGCAACAGGCGAACAGAAGGCAGGCCATTAAAACGCTCTCAATCTGCGGAGACGAGCAAGTGGCTTGGATGGCCTTGGTATAATGGGTCTGGTAAACTGAGTTCTTTTCGAGGGGGACACCTTGAAGGGCGGACGCCTCGACGACAGATGAGGTGGCAAGCAGCATATGCTTGACAGCAGGTTGAGCAACACCAATTTTTGGCAACAGCTCGGCCCAAAAGGAATGACCTTGTGACAGGAATGAGTGTCGGAAAGAGGAGAGGCGGGCTAACGGCGCCCAAGGAGGTAGGACGTACCAAAATATGAGGAAAAGACGGGAGCAGCTTGTTCGACCCAAAATTGGAAAGAACGTCTGTCCTCAGAGTCGCCGATGGGTTCAAGAGGAGAGACGAACTGGACAATGGCGGTAGTTGTATTATCGGTGACTTCTTTGGTTTCCGACACCTTTCGAGGTTTGAACAACCATGTCTGGGGCGGTTGATAGCCTTCGCATTTGCGCAACGAGTCGGTACATTGTCGACACGCAGGCTTTCCCTCGTCACATTTTATTCGACGTTTCTGCTCGCATCGGATTAATCAAGTGTGATGAAGTTAAACCCATGGACAGTCGGTATTTCAGGGAGGGGAAGAGGATGGGTGCGAAGTGGCAGCCACAGTGGTAAACCATCAACCGTTGGGGAAGGCGGGTTTGGGGACTACACAGTACATACCCTACAGGTCATACACCCCGTCTTCACCTTCTGATGTGGTCGTTTGGCGCGCCCTTGAGCCATGGTGCCATAGCAAGTTTCGAGGACGTTGTCGAGAAGTTCCGAGGGAGGAAGGGTGGACAGAGCCACGAACACGGCGATATAACTGTGGCCAGATATGAAAGAGAATCGAGGTTGAAAGGTAAGTCCCGAAGGACAACGGAAGAATGTGCCTCTTGGGCTAGTTCAATTAGAGCCGGGAGCCCTACACGATCAGGAGTTGGTCGGCACTAGTCATTCGGTGTCGGCTGGCGCGAGTAATAACCAGGAGGGAAACCCTGGGGAGGTTGCCGATCTGATCATCTGCGTACTTTCCGATGCTTTTGGGTTGGGTGCTCATTGTCCCCTTTGGGCTGAGAGTTTGCCATTTGTGATTTTTCCAGATAGGTCTTATAGGCGATGGCAAAAAAAGTCCCTCTCTTCCTCTGTGTCTTTCCTTTGACTAATTCTCGTCAACTTTAAGCTTTGGGATTTGCGAATCCTTTGTCGTCTCGACTGGCTCTGTGCATCATCCTAGCGTGGAAAAGGGCCCAAGGGGGGTTTGCCTCCCCGATGGTCGGCTGCTGATGGACAATGGAGGAGCAGGGCATGGATCAAGGAGGAGAGGGCCCTGGGGAGGTGCCACCGGTGCCAATGAGCTTGATCAGCCGAATACAATCCATGCCAGATGATGCATTGCTTATGGATCTACTTCTCATCTGTCGACAGCTCTGTTTCCCAGCCCACAGGCCTTCATTGGGCTGAGAATACCGAGTATACCTAGGCCATGGGCCATGGCTTATTCCTGGGCCACTCTGGAGGTTTGATGCGCCCGGCATGCTGATTGGTTTCAGGATCGTGAATCAACGCAGACCCCCGTACAAGTTGGTACCGTAACATCGCAGTTGCTAACGCAAGAGTAATCCCAAGGCATGGCGCCGGCTCCAGCGTAACGGGGACCCCCGGAAGGACGGAGTCTTGGGTACCTCCCACCCACCTCCAGGTAGGGAGGCTGAGGCGTGGGAGGCGGCTCACCAGGCTCACTAGGGCTGGGGGCTGCAAGGGGACGGGCACCAGTGGAGGACCTAGGTCTAGAATTATTACATATTCATGCCTTCTTAGGCATGGGGTAGCATGGCCTGCTAGGGCTAGTTCCGGGGGGCGCTTTCTGAAGTGAACTTACTCGACCTGGTGGTTTTGTAGATAGCCCATCTCGCTGCTCTTCACATACTTGGCGTCATTGAGGCTGTGCTCTCTTGATCTTCCGGATTCCGAAGTCCATTCTTTCTGCCCTAACTATGGATGTTGGACGAGGCACGGAGTAAAGGTGGCATATCGACAATGCGGCAAGCAGCGGATGTCGGATTTAATGGAGGAACCGCATCTCGGAGGTGAGGGCATTCGGAGGCGCAAAATCGTTGGTTCTGAGTCCATGGTGACTTCAGGTGCCTCGGGAACATGATGGATAGCAGAATGGAGGAGGGAGAGGTGGATAGGGACACAGTGCGGAGTACGAGGTACGAAAGACAGATACTGAATATGACTTGAGTAAATCGACCTTTCTCCCAAACTGTCTGAGAATAATGATGATGAGGTCCATCTCGTAACCAACACATGGAGGAGGAGCAGTGAATGTCAAGGGCAAGTTCGCCCCAGATGCTGCGAGACCGAGACCGGTACTGGTGAGGCGAGGAGATGTGACCTAAGGTGAAGTCACTGAAGTGAGGGGAAGTGTGTTACGCTGCTGTGGCTGCTCACTTTGCCCTGTGCTGTGCTGCGCTGGTGCTGGTGCTGCAGGTGCTGCTTTTTCACTACATGCCAGAGTGTTCGCAACAACATTTCACTCTCCCACTCAACAATCACCTCAATGTCCTCATCTATGGGAGGTAGATTCTTGCATCACCACCTTGTCCCTTGACATCTTCTGGCTCTCTCTTTTTCGCCTCCCATCGCCTTACAAAATGCCTGCATCAATGCAGCTCACATCCCTAGTCCTCGCATTGACCTGCCTGATCAATGTGCACGCTCTTTACAGCAAATCCTCCCCAGTGCTTCAAGTCACAGCAAAGACATACGACTCCCTGATTGCACAGTCCAACCATACCTCTGTAGGATGCCCCCGCCTTTGCCTCCCAACCCGCTTCCGGAAGCGTGATGGACTGATCCTCTCTGTCAGATTGTCGAGTTCTACGCCCCATGGTGTGGACATTGCCAAAACCTCAAACCTGCATACGAAAAGGCGGCAAAGAACCTAGCTGGCCTGGCGAAGGTCGCGGCTATTGACTGTGATGATGATGCCAACAAACCCTTCTGTGGTCAGATGGGCGTTCAAGGCTTTCCTACTCTGAAGCTCGTCAGACCAGGTTCCAAGCCTGGCCGTCCCACTGTCGAGGATTATATGGGTCCCAGATCTGCAAAGGGCATTGTGGATGCGGTCAAGGACAAAATTCCAAATCATGTTAAGAGATTGACAGGTGATGCCTTGGACAAGTGGTTGGACGCCGAAGATGCCCCGGCCAAAGCTATTGTCTTCACGGATAAAGGTACAACCAATCCCTTAGTCAAGAGTTTGGCTATCGATTTCCTCGGCAGTATTGCTTTCGCCCAGGTCCGAGACAAGGCTACCGCCGAGAAGTATGGGGTCCTCGATTTCCCAGCGATACGGTTGATCCCTTCCCATGGGGCTACTCCCGTCCCATATGACGGCCAGATCAATCGAGACTCTTTGGTGGTCTTCTTCAGCCAGATTGCTCCTCCAAACCCCGATCCAGCACCCAAGGACGCCAAATCAGCAAAGTCGTCAAGCAAAAAACCCAGGTCGAAGCCATCATCATCGGCTTCAGCTGCCTTCTCGAGAGCTTCAGCGGCCCATAAATCTTCCGACTTTGAGGAACATCTCGCGGGCTCTAGCACGATCCTTCTTGACGATGACACTCCTACTGAATCTCCTCTGCCAATTGTCGAGGTTGACGAAAAGCCAATGATTGTTCCAGAAGCCGTCGCTCCGATCCCTACACTCTCGACTCCGGCAGAAGTAGAGGCTGCTTGTATGATGCCAAGAAGCGGTAATTGCATCCTGGTGCTTCTTCCCACCCCGGAAGAAACATCATCTGAACCAGCAGCATCAGCTTTAGCGGGTTTTGCCGAAATCGCCGACAAGTATAACAAGCGTAAGGCGAGTGTGATACCTACTTACGCAGTCCCTGCTGAAAACCAAGCTGCGACCCAAATCAGAAATGACCTGGGTCTTGGACAAGAGGATAAGATGGAAATAATTGCAACCAATATGAAGAGAGGCTGGTGGAGACGATACTCAAGTACTTCTTGGGATGTTCTTGAGCTGGAAAACTTCGTCGATGCTATCAAACTCGGAGAAGGTTCCAGATCAGCATTGCCGGCTGGCTTTGGAGTAGTGACAGAGAACACCCCGGTTCCTGAACACACAGAGACGGTCGTTGCCACTGACTCTACCGAGACCGCCGATGACAGTGAAGATCCTGCCACCCCGGAGCCAGAACACAGTCCAGAAACTGAAGATGCTGATACCGTGATCAGTGTTGCCGAAGCAGAGCCTGAACCTGAAGAGACCCCAAGCGCTGAGCATGATGAGCTCTGATGATGAAAGTAAAGGACCTTCGATTCACTAGCCATAAAGCAGCGCAATTGCAGCCAGGAAACGTTTCATGGATTCTTTACGTCGCCACTCGCAGGCTTTAGCAGATATTATCCAGGTGCTCAATCACGGCGTTTTTCTTAGCGTTCCTGTCATCCTCTCATCTTCTCATCATTTTCTCACTTGAGTCTCTTCTCAAGTGACTCCTTCTCTCACCTTTCCCTTGTCCTGGTCCTCGAGGACTCGAAGTTTTGGGGAAATTCTTCGATGACTTCCATCGATTTCTTTGAATTCAACCATTCCCAAATACTCTGAAATTGTTATTTGTTCTGCTCCTACTCCCAGTTGCTCCTCTCATCTTCACTTTATTGCTGTCATCCCCCATTATGAAGTCTGGTTTTGAATATGGGCTCTGGGCATTCCCTCGCCCTCGGTATGCAGAATGATCCGTATCTAGCCACACCATCACAGGCCGACTCTTTGATCGATCTACTACCAGGCATGGAGATCGGCTCGCCGCCTGTAACCGGATCCTTGCAGCAATCCTTGGAGCATGTCAGTCCAGAAGTTAGTGCAGACACGAATGTCGAACGAAGACGTCTCGTTGAAGTCGAAATTATGCCAGAGGTGGCCTGTCGACCCGAAAACTTCGCTCGGATGAGCGACACACCGTCAGCCCCAGTGAGAGATGATTCAGCAGTGCCCGACTGTGTCTCCAAAACGATCGAACAACCACAAGCCACTGAGTCCGAGACTGAGGTCATGGCACCTCCTTACGACAATATCCGTGCCGCGATCCGAAAGGACCTTCAGTCTGGTCGTTTCGAGATTCCACCCCTCATCCCTGTCCACAGTGTCGATGCCCCAACTCAGAATCTAGCGAGATATCCCTTTCCCCCAGCTTTAATGCCTACAAGTTCGCATTCACGACACCGACGACGATTTGATCGATCTGCACTTCTACCTGATAGCAATCTTCCATTCTGTGCTCAGGTTATGGAACACGTGAAAGACTGGGCGGAATGGGGGACAAGAATTGCAGACGAGCAGAGACGAAAGGAAGTCCTAGACCACGTGTTTAAAGTTTTATCAAACGCTTGGTTTGAGGCATTGCGGCTGGGCTACAACCCCGGTACGACCGATAACAAAAGCACAGCACCTCAAGCGTCGACCAAACGCTCTGCACAGCGTGGAGCTGAAACTCCTGGTAATTTGCCGCGTGGAAAGCCTCGTTCAAAAAGAGAGACCAGCCCATCCAAAATGCCCTTCTTGGTCGCGGGCCACAGAGATGGTCCCGCTTGGGCTATCACGGCAGGTGAACTGGAGGAAGCTAATATCTCTGAAGATCAAGTACGAAGACGGGCAGCAGCAGAGAATACTCCAGAAATTGGGGAGAGACTTTTGCATAAAGTGCTCAAGGACTACGATGGAGGCATCCGGCCAAGTGATTGGCACAAGATCATGCCTGTCACACGACTAAATCCCATGGGACGAGATCTCATGGTGTACTGCCTGTACGAGGTGCTGAACGTACGAAATAACATCGCGAAGCTGTGGAACTACTACAGTCGCTTCACTACTGTCAGGCAGAAGGAAAACACCAAAAGACGTATTGATGAGGACCAACAGCGCCATGATCTTTTCATGGCCTTAGCGTTAGAGCTCGACGAGGAAAAACGTTCGCCAGGAGATGTAACACCTGCCAATCCTCCGACCAGTTGTGAAGGACAAGTCGTCGTTACGCCAGGGACAGCAGAACATGAAGATCAATCGAGTCAACTCGATGTCCTTATTGGATTGACCGAGATGATCCTTCAGGGGACTGATGTTGCTTCCATTTCTTCCAGTTTCCAACTCTTCGAAATTACTCCAGAAGATCTAGTCACTGGCGACTCAACTGAGGGCCTAGCGAGCAGTCTCGACCAGTGCAAGCACTTTCTGGGAAGACTGCTGTCCGACGCACGAGAGTGGCTCAGATTGTGCGAGAACGCAGAGGTGGCTATCGGACGAGACACAGACGTGTGTTCACATGCACAGATTCGGAATCTGGAGCTGAAGATACTTGAAGAGAAAGAGATACTGAAGAACACACTCCCTTCTCTCATTGTTAAGCGGGAGGCTACCACAAAGGGTGTTGAAAGAAGCGGCGCCTCTGCCTCTGCCGAGGACCATTCGTCTGCTAGTGGCACAGCTACCGCCCCGACAGATGATGTGCTAATGGCAGAAGTCACAAGTCCAGTTTCGTCCAAGCATACCGTCAAGCACCAGCTCGATGAGGCCGATGAAGAGCTTCCATTACCACCTGCGAAGAGGCCAAAAACCGGCCATGGGGGAGAAAACCTGAACGACGTAATTCCCATACTCAATGACGGGCAAGTAAGCCGCAATATCCATGGGGCTACCGCGCAGAACGACAAGAACGGTTTGGACGTTTCCTGTAGTAGCCACTCTGATACAGCAAGCAAAGAGACGCCTCGCAGATGTCTAGTCACGCTTCGCGTCCAGTCACCCTTCAACCCAGCTGATTTCTCAAGCAAGAGACTCTTCTGGCATCCGCAAGGTTTCAAATACCGATACACCAATGAATCGACCTTAGCTCAGCGGAGATCAATGGCGGAATCTCTGGAGACGTACATACAGTTATCGATGGAAACGGACAAACTCGACCCAAGGTGGCGGTTTGGCAAGTATCAGGCACTCGCTCATCCGGGTGATCCTGAAAGGACGAGTATCATCCATGGTATCTGGGACTTGGAGAACGGAGACCAGCCAGAAGGATTCGAATGGTTCTATAGAGGCGATGGCACGCAGCCGTCCGAGTGCGAAGAGATATCGTCGACTCAAGATGAAGAAGTCGAAAGAGTCCTGCCAGTCCCAGCGCAATCAAAGAAGAAGACCCTTGTGCTTCTCAAGTGGAAGAATACCGCGAGCTCGGGACCAGAAGCCTCTCGTTCGGCAGCCAATGCCAATGGCCTGGCCACCAGTTCCTACAGCGGGGACCCGAGTCTCGGACGCCCAAAGAAGAAGAACAAGAAACAGAACAAAGATCAGCGGAGACATGTTCGTTTCGGTATTACGCAACAGGCACCGGTTGCACACATGGACTTGGACGAGCCGGTCTCAGTCAATCGACCAAAACGAAGGATTGTCGTGAGAAGATCATATGCGGAAGAGGAACACGACGAGGACTACTGCCCTTCCGAATAACACAATGCTTGTTCGTGATCCTCTGGCCAGTGCTGGAATGAGCTCTCAATTGACTCGGATAATGGTTTTGCGTGCGTCGCTGAAGTGATGGTGGCGGCGGCTACACGGAAACTTGACCCACATCGTCACCACTATCGGACATGTCAGCGACAATCTCTTGTGGCCATTGATACTATCTATCGACAGAGGGTTTTTTTTCTCTCTTTGCCTCCTTCATGGTCCGTCGGCATTGTTACGTTACATTACATTTGAGGTTGCAAAGCAAGCACAAGGGGACGCCTCGTCATGAACATAGGAACAGCAAGGGCAATGATCATACCCTACTCTCCTTTTTTTTCCGCCCATCAAGCGCAGCAATCACAACTTGCGACCTGGAAGGATGATGGGCAGGCATCGTGATGGTTGTCGATATTTGGAATTCGGACGAGTCGAGTCGAGCCAAGTCAAGCCAGGGGCGCTGGTTCTGGATGGAATTTAATCCCTTGCAAGTGCTTTCTCTTCCACTCGCAATACCTACCCAGGTACCTGGAATACAGTGCCACACAGAAAGGATCAAAAGGGGCTAGTATTTGCCATGTTCAATTCCTTGCTCTCTCAAGCTCGTGGTATACATGAGCTCGTCTACTTCCCTTGGTTTCACCTTTTCTTCTTTTGCTGACCGAACTTCACCGCGGACGTATTGCGCCCAGGGTATGAAGTCACTGAAAGACTGAGAGAGGATCACGCCCTCCTCTTCTCCTTGCCTTTGATCTTCTTCTTCCTTCCCTCGCCACCGCCGCCCTCTATCCTCGAGGTGCCTTTCTTGTCTTTCCGCCTTCCTTGGAGGTCCCTGTCGTGATCATCGCCCACTCTCGATCCATCTGCATCCGCGTCTCCATCTCCAGCTTCGTCGTCGATTTTTCGCTTCTTCGCTTTCCCGGCACTTTTGACGCTCACGACGGTGCTATTGCCGCCCTCGCGGACTTGTCGCTCTGCTTGCTCCCAAGCTGCGTTGTCGTCTGCTGCGCTGGTGGTGGAGATTTCGTACCTGGACGGAGTGAAAGTCTTATTAGTTCAGAGGACATCTCTTTTCGTCCCTATGGGACGGACTTGGCTGAAGCGAAGCGTAGAGGGTGGACAACGAAGCCCGCTCATGGGATCGACGGGTGCGGAGATGGAAAGAGTGCTGTGGTATAGAAAATCAATGAGACTTACTTGTCAAGCGGCAGCGCATCGATCATTGCCCTCTGTTTCTCTCTCATCCCAGGATCAACTTCTTCCCCAGATTCTTCCTCGTCATCCGCACCATTCGCTGGACCCAAAGGGGCAATATGTACTCTGCCACCGCCACTGGGTGCTGATTTCATTGCCTCTTCCCTATTATTTAGTTCGATTTCCTTCTTCTCACCCAAACTCGCGTCCACCTCGCCACTGACCACCGCCCTCAACGCTGTACTTATCTTCCTCACCACCTTGACAAACATAGCCAATAGCTGGTTGCTCGGCAGGTTCAGCTCCTTTTCCACCTCGCCGAGGTCCTTCCTTTGCAAGCCGATGGCCAGCAATATACTCTGCTGGACACCTGAGAGACTGACATTGCAAGGTGGGAGCTTGAGGCGGCCGGTAAAATACAAATACGCGAGGGCAGGGAGAAGGTCGAGGATGACGTGGTAATCGAGCAGGTTGTTGGCGTACGACTCTAGACGGGCGAGATCGAAGGGCGAGAAGAGGGCGTCAAGATCGGCTTTGGTCAGAGGTTTGACATTCAACGACGACGAGTAGTCTTCGGAAGCAATAGATTTTGTGGCTCGTGATGCGGATTCGGAAATGGATAATCCTTGAATTGAGGGAAATGTGCGGAACTGAAATGACAGCAAAGTAAGGAACCGCTTGTGGAAATCTTGCGCATAAGCCGCAAGCCACGAGTTATCTGTCGTTGTGCTTGTCGACAGGGGCCGGAGCATGACGCAGGAATGTTCACCCGTCAGTTCATTGGGTGTTTGCCGCAGGTAGACGGGGGCAAAAGAGTGTCTCTTCCAGAATTTATGGAGTGGCTGGGTCAAGCCGTACGAGACCCCAAGGTAGTCCAAATGGTCGGGTCGTCGTTCAGAGAGTTTGCTGAACAATGGTGGCATTTGATGTATATCGCGCACTTTGATGTTGTCGTCTAGCAGGTTGGATTCTTCGAGCTCGGCGTCGGTGACACGGGGCATGTGTTCTGCGTCCTCGATTGTCGCTTCATCCATCTCGGACAGGGAGGTGAACTTGCCTTCGTAGAAGTCCCTCAAGAGCTCCAGTGCCCGTGATCCGTATCCCATGTTCAGGTACTCCGGGTTGGTCGCAATTCTCACTATACGACTGCCTGACAAGCCGGCAAATTCCGAATCTTGGAACTGCTGACTTACTAGCCAGGGAATCAAGTCACCACCAGCCCTTTGACCACGGGATAAGCCGCTCAGAACAGATTTCTTGCTGATCCGACCCTCGAGAGCGACTTGAATGACACACAGAGGTTCTGGTAGTTTGTTGGCGTCCTCGGGTATCGGAGGGATCAGGACAAAGAGCTGGTGTGCCGGAGCGTCGGACATGAGTTGAAGGTCGTTGGGAGAATTCTTGTAATGAGAAGCAACGTAGAGCGCCATCATTTGTTGTAGGAACTTTTCTGAGACAGGATGAAAGGAGAACAGGGTATCGCGGTTGACATGGACCAATTCGCAGGTTGATGGATGGGGCGTCCCTTGAGTGTTCATCTTCGACTTGGGCAAGGTGGCGTCAAGACATAACAGTCGATTCAACCATTTCTCGACGCCGTCTCCGGGTGCGTAACGGATAGGTTCCGACAAAGTAATCTCTCTCAAACTCCTTCCGCCGGCATAGACTTTAGCACCATCCTTGGCTGCCTTGCCTGTAGCCTTATCCGCGACCTCGACATCGTCTCCATTGGTGCTGACCCCACCTCTGGATTGCTCTCGTAGTTGTTGGATGAGCTTCAACGACAGTGAACGGCCGGTGCCTTCGTATCCATTGATGGTGGAAGCCATGAAGACTAGATAGGGTCCCATCAATTTCCGGACCAACGGCAAAGGGATCGCTGCTGCCTCATCTATCACAACCAGTTCTGCTTGACCGAGGACATGGGCGTCTTGGGGTTGGATATACTGGATGGTTTGCCGATGTTGTCGGTGTACGTTGATCCGAACAATGGCTTTGTTGTAGTCTGGATTCGTGGATTGCAAAATCGTATAGTCAACATGGTCCATATATTCTAGGGCGTCAAAGCCCTTGATGACAAATTCGAATAATGTCTTCAGATTTTCAGGACTAGGGGAGGTGATGAAAATATTGCTGTAGCCATGAGCTATGGCAGCAGCAACGGCCACTCCAAGAGCAGCGGATTTTCCTCGTCCTCGAGCCGCAGTGAGTGTGACAGTACTCCGGAGGGTTTTCTCTGATATTGCGTCGACGAAGGTGAGGAGTGCCTTCGCTTGGTCGACAGTTTTGGCCAAGGTGATCAGAGGTCCCACAGGTCTGCTGTCAGCCAAGCTGTCTTTAATATCCTTCAACTCCTTCTGGGTCGGCAGGACACGTTCAGACTCGCTACTAGGTGGTGGCAAAGGCTGAACATTCTTTCCTCCAGAAATGGGAAGAACATTGAGCTCGTCATCCACCACTAGGCAAGACTCGCAATTCCCCAAGGAGAGTATGAACCTCTCATTGAACCTGGCCACCACATCATCGTGGGCTTCGGTACGATATCTGGAGTGTACATCCATAGACATTGTGTAGAGCTGCTTCAGACTCTTCATCCCTTTCAGCAGGAGGAGAACCAGCCCACCGCCTTCTACCGTTTCCACAGTTCTGGCGAGCAAGTTCGGCGTAATGGCCTCAAAGTCTTGAAGAATGCACATGCCATAGGTGTTACCAAGGATCTTGTCCGTCTCTTTGTAGTAAACATATCGGATATTGTGCAAAGTGACGAAGAGTTCAAAGGGATCTTCGGTATCCGGATCTCGAATGCCTCGCTTGATTTCTTTCCTGATCTTTGCCTCACGTTTTTTGCGGTGGGAAGTGAAACCTAGCAGGTCTTTCTTGTAAGCCCACAGGACCGATCTGTTCTGCTTGATATCGACCGAGGACATGATATAGTGGAGGTGGACAATGACATCTTTGGCTCGGTCGCCCACAACGACGATGAAACTGCGCTTCTTTTCCTGAATGCCATTGCGGATTAGCGCTGGAATGCGCGAGTCAATGGCTTTTCGAGGCATCTTGGAACTCTCCCGGCCCCCCTCCGCTTGAAGCTTTGACGTATGAGGTTGGAATTTCTCAAGTCGACAATGTTGTTTCTTCGTTCAGGACTGGCAAGAAAAAGTTCTGAGCCTCTCCAAAAATTTCGCCGCAGTTTCCTGTTCCAGGAAATGGGGGGTTTTGTTAGCGGCTTCGATAAGCTTAACGGCTAAGCCTAATTTCCAGCCTCCAGCCTCCACAGCCTCGCGGCGCCCAGCCTTGTCTCGGTCTAATGACCCTGGAATCGATTCTCATAGCAGCAAACTCACTTTTTCACTTTTCACGCACCTGAATCCTCAGCACCGGCGCAATCGTCAATGATCCTTATCCATCAGAGCGCGCCGTGTTCGTAATGTCGCTCGATAGAAGGAAATTGCCCATGCGACCGACTCTCCCCACGCATACCTGCTCGGACTTCTCCTCCGTTTGACATTTCACCTGGGCGCACGGGACGCGGCGACGGCCATAGGCATCATGGCAACGACACTCGACATTTTGTGCTTTTCGTGAGTTTTGGAGACTTCTTGCATTGGCGGGCACTGACCGCTGCTAGCTTGTCACTGCTGTCGGCAGGATGCCTCACACACCTTGTCCCCATTTCGACTGCCTTCGACCGACCCATTCACACTGTAGTCCTTGCGCTTACGGCCTGTTCGTTCGCTTTACCGAGTGCCAGCCGAGCGATACCTCGATTATTCCCACCTTCGGACGCGAAGCATATTCGAGGCCAATATACGGCACTGCCTCTGGAAGAACTCGGCGAGGAGCCCAATGGAAGAGTGGAATATCCAAATACCACTCCGTCGCAACACAGACACATCGGCAAAGTTCGCATCTCGGTGCTGACCCTAGCAGTTTCTACCTTGTCTTTGCGCATAGAACTGTATCGGCGCATTTCCCTGGCGACAGAATGCACCATCTCCAGTGTCGAAATGTTTCTACCGTTCTTGTTGGCAGTCTATGATTGCTTCAGGTTCCAGCGCTCGGTCGCCTTGCAGCAAGAGGAAAAGCCCGACAGCTCTATCTATGAGTCATTGAGTTCAGCGGCTAGGGCCTACGCTTTGAGACGACGAACTCGGTATCTCCTGTCGATATTTATAGTCTCCTATGGATGTTGTCTCACCCAAGGTCTATGGACGTCAACGAACTCGACCTATATCTGTTCCCAAAGCCTCGGCGAACCGAAGACAATCCCCATGATGCAACTCGGTGCCCTTGCGCTGGACTTTTGCCTTGCCGTCATTGCCTGTGAGACTATTCCAAAATCCGATGGTAGCGGTCCTTCGGGGCAACGATGTGTAATCCTCTGGAGTTCAACCATGATGGCCACGTCAATTATCTGGTCGATCGCGGCTATATTCGTGTATATTTTCAAGCCAGAGTACCGACTCTGGCTTTCGTTCCTTTTTCCGCCCCTGGATATTGGCACAATATTTGCCATGGCATGTCACATTTTCCTTTTCTGCGTTTTGTGTATATCGCTTCTGCATAGTGTAAGTTGGAGCTGGCTTTTTCGAATCAGTCATACTGACATCCCTAGATTATGACTTACGGCGCATTGGAAATGACGACGTATCTTACGGCTTTTATCACGATGATACCCGCCATCGAGTTTATTTGGTCGCACAGGAATCCTTTTCCTCAAACGCCATTCTCTGCAACGACATTTTCCTTCCTCTTGATCTTTCTTGGCCAGTGGGCATATCGCTGGATACGACAGGAGCTGGGTGGAAAAGACCCGATACGACCGTCTCGGCAATTCCTGCTCTTTGTTGTCCTCTGCATTGCCATCTTTCCCGCTTGGCTGAAGAAAGACTATGTCCATTTTCATCCGATTGATATGCTCATGTACGATGCCACGCTGCATCATAACAAGTATCTCGAGACAGTTGGAAGCACTTCGTCTCTAGCAGAGGCAGTTGCTGGATACGCGCACAGATACAATCGGAACCCCCCTCCTGGATTCGACATCTGGTTTGAATACGCAAAGAACAGGTCTGTGTTGATAGTGGACGAATATGACCAGATTTACCATGATCTGCTGCCTTTCCGTGCGGTGCCGCCATCTGAGCTGAGAAGCCAGACGTGGAAAATGGTATCTAATCCTTGGAATGAGATTTCGGGGATTACCATCCGTGACGGAGAAGCAAAGGTACAAGAAAACGTCCTGCCAACTCATCGATGGATGCTTGAGGGTGTTGCCGTTCTCATCAACAGTTTTGCACGATACCTGCCTGATATGGATTTGGCTTTCAACCTGAACGACGAATCGAGGATCGCTGTGCCGTATGAGCAGATGAAGGATCTCCGAGAAAGAGGTCGAGCACAGGATAAAAGCGGTGCATCAAGTTGGTCCGCCGATCGTGCAGGAGGCTGGCTTCCGATTCCTGAAACGGAGTATACGGAAACGATATTTCGCGATAATTCCTGGCGAAACAGCTTCCGTGCCTTTGGCTCGGTGAGCTGTCCTCCTTCCTCTCTCGCACGATCTTCTCCACACATATCATCCCAGTCACACATCTGCGGTAACTGCGTGGCTCCGCATTCTCTGGGTCAATTCGTGGGCAACTGGTCTGATGCAGCAGACGTGTGCCATCAGCCAGATCTAGCCCACCTTCACGGCTTCTACCTCTCCCCTGCGGCGTTCAAGACGAGCTATCAGCTCATGCCCGTTTTCTCTCAATCTAAGCCGCACGGCTACAGCGACATCCTGTACCCTTCCGCGTGGAATTATATGGATAAAGCCGTCTATGCGCCGACTGACCCCCAAGGCACACCCGGAGAAGAAGACTACAACCCAGGGTTCCCAGACCCACCATTCGAGGAGAAGGAAAACGTTCTCTTCTGGCGTGGCGCCACCTCTGAGGGTGTCTCGTCAGACAACAGCGCCTGGCGCGGCATGACCCGCCAGCGGCTTGTGCACATGGCCAACAATCTGACCAACCATCCGCACGATACTGTGACAATTCTCCTCCCCAGCCCAGCAGATCATTCCAAATATCAGTACCAAACGATTTCTGGCGCCGACGTCAAGAAGCTTGGCTTGCAAACAGACATTGCAATCGTGGACTTCATCGCCCGGTGCGGCGGCAAAGACTGCACGGACCAGGAGCAAGAATTCAATCTAGTGGGACCGACAGATTTCCAAGCGCACTGGCGGTATCGGTTCCTTTTCGACCTCGACGGCGCCGGGTTTTCGGGGCGCTTCCTGCCGTTTCTGCACTCGCACTCCCTGCCCTTCAAGACCGCCCTGTTCCGCGAGTGGTACGACTCGCGCCTCACAGCATGGCTGCACTTTGTGCCCCAAGATGTCCGGTTGCACGGTGTGTGGAGCAGCCTGGCGTACTTTGCGGGCGTCAATGGCACTATGTTCGGCCACAAGATCTGGTGGAAGCCGCACGTCAAGGAGGCCGAGATGATCGCCGAGAGTGGGAGAGAGTGGGCGGCAAAAGTGCTGCGCAAGGAGGACATGGAGTCTTACTTTTTCCGACTGTTGCTCGAGTGGGCAAGGTTGACGGATGACAATAGGGATGAGTTGGGGTTGGTGCTTTGAAAGGTCCTTTGCTTAACAGCTCCGCTACTACTTTTTTTCTTGTTGAAATTGATTGATAAAAAAACATAAAATCATAAAATCATCAACAGAAAGGGGTCCTTCATCGCCCTACCCTTTCCCTGCACAGACGTTCCTTGTATTTCCGTTCTCTGGAGCCGAGGCCGTCTCGTCTCGTCTCGCCTCGACAAGGAGACGAGGTAAGAGAAGGGGGGACTTATTTAGTCTCCATTCCCTGGTTCGAGTCTTCAGTACATACTCTTCAGGGATATTCATGCCAGCTTCGCCCCTCTCGGGTATCGCGTCCTTAGCTCGCTCTCTTGGTTAATAGATAAAGGATAATGGGATCAGGGGAAGAGAGGATCGGAGTAAGGGGGAAGGGGACAGAGGGGCGTGGAGAGAACAGTTGATAACCTGAAAGAGGTACCCCTCAAAGGACCATCCATACCCAATTGTCTCGTTGCTCATCATGTTATACGAACAAATATAATATACACTTTGGCTCTGGCTTCCATGCGCCGAGCCGCCTGATTATTCGATCCTGGGCAGCGAGTCCCTTGCGTCCCTCAATACAAGATACTCGATAGCGTCGATCTCACCGTGCTGATGCAGCGATAGCAGAGGAAACGGTGTATGCGACGTCCTCTCTGGCGACACCGCCGCCCGTTTGCCCTTACCACCGGGACTACTCCTCCCGCTCTCTCCAGTGAGTATTTTCTTCGGTACACCGATCATCCAGACTCCTTGTTGTTCCCACCGTCTCTGCCGCTTGACGGACCCTTGCCAGTCTCGGCGCCATTGCAGCGCGAGGTCTGTGTGCCACAGACTGCCCATTTTCGAGGGTCCGTTAAGTGAGGCCTCGATGTTGGTCCAGCCACTGTCCTCGTCAGCAAGAGAGGCAGTCCCGGAAGGTGGTAGCTCGCCGACGAAACCCTCGCCGAGGTTGAGGCCAAGGTTGGCGTGGATGATATGGCCCTTGGTACGCAGTCGGTTGTCTGGGTGATGGAGTAGGAAACTTCCGAGCACCATGGCTGACCACGTCAGGCACATTCTTTGCTCGGCGGACTCGGAGAAGCCTTCGAGCTGCTTGTTGATAAACGTACTGGCGAGGTCCGCTAGGGCTGGCAAGAAGTCAAACTGCTCAGAGTCATGGCCCTTTGCCCCTTGTGCCTCGGGACCCTCACCGACATGGTGACGGTAAAGCTGTAGACAAAAGGCAACGAGCGCACAGCACAGCTGAATCTCTGTTGCACTGAGGTTGTCGCACGACTGCAGAATCTGGTCGAATTGGCGGCACCTTTCAATAAGTTCCAAGGCTCGTCTGCTCTGCCCAGCAAGGTTTTGAAATGGCTGGATTCGGTCTAACAACCGTTGCATTGAATTCAGCGACGCGGCAAGGTCGACTGAAAGATCTAGTCCGGAGAGTAATGTTGGTGATTGTGCGCGCATGTGGCGTTTCGGCGGACTGCTTCGCCCTGACTGCGGCTCGGTGCTCGCTGGTTCTGATGGATTGCTGTGATTACGAACGAGAATCTTACGATTCCGGTAACCGTGCAGGGCTTTCCAGCTGTACATTGTCAATCATTCCTACAGTCTTGGAGAGCTTGAAGAGGCTATACACGTACCTATCTAACCGATTCTGAACCACTCGAGCGACCTCATTGTTTGGGTGGTCGTCTATATAACGCTGTGCGATTTTTCGGAATGCTTCGAAATGGGCAACGAACGCCTCCGCCTCGCTCGACATGTACTGTCAAATGTGAGCGGTGAATTAGCATGACTGTTGGTGCAATTAAGGCTTACGGCAATGCTAATCATTCGGCCAATCGTGAAGATGACGGCCTCGTCCTGTCCGTTGTCGCTCAAAGACACTCTTTGTCGCAGCCTCGTCATTGCTAAGCCACGATGATACAGCATCAACTGGTCCTCCGACGGACGGTTGCCCTGAGCCAGGACCCATGCTGTTTGGCTGACGGCCACAGTGGCATCGAACAGCATCTCATCTTGAAGCGCAAGTGGCCAGCAGAGGTCGAGTTGTGTATTGTAACCCATCAGTTGGTCGAAATTGCCGGCTTTATGAGGAGCCCATACATGGATATCTAAGTTCATTGTCAACATGGTCCATGATCAGAAGCAAATTGGTCGTAGGGCATTTACTCACGATAGTCAACCATGAACATGACTTCCTTTGTATTCGAACCAGGAAAGGCACTGAAGGGGTCTGTTCGCAGTCCTGTCTGAAGCGCAAGGTTCATCTCTGTCTCGTTTGCTTCGTCCAACTCAGTTGATTGTTCTTCAGATATCCCGCTCGTAAGCGGCGATTCCCTTCCCTGGTTTTCGACCGGAGGCGTGGACGAGGTTGACCTCCAGCCAACCAAGCTCCGGGCGTATCCAGCATCTTGCCGCGCGGAAAGCCTCTGCTGTTGGCGTTTCCCTGCGCTTTGAAATCGTCGTGCTTGGCTGGAAACCAGTTTAGATTTTTCTCTCCGAACCGACTCCGGACGTTGGTCAATGAAGACGTGCTCCGGAACGCTGGCAGAAGTATTCTCCTTCTTGGACTGTTCAGACATATGCGATTGATTACCTTTGAAGGGTTGTGGGGGACAAGCACTGCAGTGAATTCAGAGAGGGTTTGTTGTGCCAGTACGGTTGATATATGAGTCTCCCTTCCCTCGCCATAGGAGCCAACGGCGCCGGCTTTGCTTTAAAGATTTGCCCTCTACAACATATTCCAGCCAACACCAAAGAGGTATCTAGAACCTTTAATTTGGGCAATGACTCAGCTTGCGCCAAAAAAAGAGAATGCTGAAGCACAAGGATGGCTATTGATGGGACATGCGTGGTTCTAGCCACATCCACTCACGCTTGCTCGGAACCCTGGGTTCGAGGCTGTCTGTGCGCGCTTTCTGGAGTTCGACAGGGGATATGTATTGTTAATCCAGCCCTGCCGATCCGTTCGACGACCCGAGGATAGCCATCGAAGACGCAAGGCTTTTTGCCCGAGATCAGCCCAGCCGATAGTGGGCTCGCCTGTGCCGGAACGATACAACCCTTCGTGTGGATCCGGCGGAAGTTTCCTTCGTACTCAGCTAACAAGGGCGGCTGATTGGAATCCCGTCCTATATCCGATTGATCAACTCTCCAGCCTTGTGCGAGAAGCGAGGATGATCGCCGTGTCGATAAAGGAGGAATAGCCAGGCAATTACATGAGGCTTTAGCTCGAACCGCTTCGTCACATCTTTGCTGGATTGGATTGAGAGCCATCTCCAAGGCCAACGACGGCAGGGTCCGACCAGCTGAATAATGCTCGTTCAACCGTTGATGTCTGGCGTTCGAATATTCTCGCTCCATCTTGTGGCAAGGTCCTGAACAGGCCCAACTGAGACTCACAGTCAATGCAACGTTGGCTTTCTCGATCTTGACCGCTGTGGAAGATCGATTCTTGGCCAGGTCAGGCTTCCTGCGTTAGAAGTCGTTCCCCCTCGAAAGCTACCGGATTGGGCAGGCGCTAAGGAAACCGCGACTAGATATGTAGATATTCCACTGGTTGAACAGAGGATCGAGGCCCGGTCAGGGACACCACCTCACAACTTCTTCCCCGTTTCTTAGCGAAACCCTGCCAAGTAAACACTGGAAGTTCGTCGAAGCGAGATAAGTATAATACGGACCAGGGAGAGCTTCTCGAATGGGAAGAAGCCGCTGAATCCGACTTTGAAAGCATTTCACCAGGGAAATCGTGACGCGCCAAATCCCTGTCCTTGGGGGACATGTGCTTCGCCCCCAATGACCTTTCTGGGTTAAACTTCTCTCGTCTCTAATTGGCTGTCGTTCTGGGATTTATCGTGTTCAAACAGATGGATTCGACTCGAAAACCACACGAGGTTTTAACGTATTGGCCTCTTAACTCAGTTTTCAACTCGAACGCCCTTTGAATAAGCAAGATGCATGGCGAGAAGACGTCAGTTCTCCTGGATTCTTTCCAAGTCTATCCAGGAGACGCGCAGAAGCAACCTATAAAGGCGGCCTGCATTCAACTGGTCAAGGTTTGCCTTGCCATAGTTATTCAGCCCTTCTCTGAGTACACAACGCCCACACTCTGAACAAGAAGGTTCATCTTGCTTTCAGACAAAATGGGTTCCATTACAGAGCGCGCCATTCCGGCGGGGAGTCTTGTCGTCGTGAGTGGAGCAAATGGTTTTATCGCAAGTCATGTTGTTGATCAGCTTCTGCTGGCTGGCTATCGTGTCAGGGGGACTGTTCGGAACTCCCAGAAGTCTGCTTGGCTAATTGATTACTTTGGCAACAAATATGGTCCCGGCAAGTTCGAGCTGATTGAGGTGCCGGAGATGGCCGAGGATGGAGCTTTCGACGAGGCCGTAAAGGGCGCCTCTGGATTCATTCACACCGCAACACCGGTCATGGTGTCGTACGATCCAAATGAAGGCATCCCCATTGTGGTAAATGGCACTGTGAACGCGCTCAAAGCTGCGGCTGGCGAGCCCTCAGTCAAACGCTTTGTGCTGACTTCGTCCTCCACTGCTGCGATCAGTCCGAAGCCGAATGTCGAGTTCAGCGCAGATGAAACGACTTGGAATGAGGAAGCAGTAAAAGCAGCCTGGGCACCTCCGCCCTACGAAGGTGAACAAAGAAAGCTCGACGTGTATTCCGCCAGTAAAACACAAGGCGAGCAGGCCGCTTGGAAGTTCATGAAAGAGGAAAAGCCTGGTTTTGTCCTGAACACAGTCCTCCCAAACTGCAACATGGGTCTGGTGCTCTCACCTGAGCATCAAGGGGCGCCAAGCACGGTCGGCTGGCTAAAGGCACTCTGGAACGGGTTCAAGGGGCAAGAGAAACTCGCATTCAACCCGCCGCAGTACTATGTGAACGTGCAAGACAATGCACGTATCCACGTTGGTGCCTTGATTTGTCCGGATGTCCTAGGAGAGCGCTTGTTTGCCTTTGCCTACCCTTTCAACTGGAACGATATTCTGGCCGTGTATAGGAAATTGTACCCTGAACACAAATTCCTGGATGATCTCCCAGATCTCGGCAGGGATCTCAGTAAGATCTCTAACGAAAGGGCGGAGGAAATTGTGAAACGATTTGGAAGACCAGGGTGGACGAACTTGGAGGACACGATCCGTGACACTACGAAGGATTGGGCTTGAGCAAGAGAGTTGAGGTGTCGTGGATGTTGGTAAAAGGAGAAATTGATTGATTTTGGAGAGAGATGGTCATAAACTGCTCACGTGATGTAATCACGTGAGACTATGCCACACAATGCCTGGCAGTTCCGAACCCAGCCCGGCTTTTTCCTAGCTTCATCCTTGTCCTCATTTCAAGTATTGTCCTCCGCAAATCGCAGGTCGTCATCATGATGAGTCTCCGTCACCTTTGGCTTCTTTAGCCCGCGGACCTCGACCCCAAGAAATGATACATATTCGACAGCCGGCCGATGGTTCGGCAATTTGAGGGGTTGTAAGATACCTCCAGTTCTTCCTTGGTCTTTCGTATTCCAACGTTCCAAGTCACTCATTCAAACCCTTTATTTTCTGTCCATCTTGATCCTTTGTCTTCCTTCACTCAAGGGCTGTTCCTCGCAACCATGAGGTACCAAACTCTCCGATTTACCGTGTTCTACAAAGAGCCAAAGCAAGAAAGCAGACAGGCGTCGAATGCGCAACCCTCGAGCACGTCGCTATCGTCAGGATCTAATCTGCGGTCACCAACTTCGACGGTTTCCCTGCTGTCAAGATATTCGACGACTTCGACGTCGGATCCGCAGACGAGAAGCGATGGAGAAGCAAGAAGACGATGAACGAGCAGGGAAAGTGCAGATATTTATATCCACCGGAGTCAGGTCTTGACCATGTGGTTCTCCCTCAAAAACCAATGACCCAAGGCAATCGACCACCCCAAGGCTTCTGAGAAGGACTTCCGAAAAATTCAACCAAGCATGCGATTGAACCAATCTCTGACAGAACGCACCAATCCAGAGAGTCTATTGTGCCTGTATACCTGAGGCAGGATGATCCTGACAACCCTCCTAGCGATCGGTGGATGAAGCCCCAGCAGGTCAATTATCTCAGGGGAGACAGATTGCCGGGATACTCCCCTTTCGGATACCGAACGTCGGCGTCCCGCCCACGTTTTGGTTGCACCCAAAATCTTCGTGTATGGACTAATGATTTATGAGAGAAATGTACATGAACACTGATTGATGGCTGTGGATGCGGAAGTATAAAGTTATGGCTGGTATGTAAGATGTACAGAGTACGGAGTATAGAGCGCAGAGCTGGAGGACATGATATGTGGATTTAGTGATACCCAATATGACTTATTCTAAGTGTTTTCTCGTGTACCGAGCAATCGCATGATCATATGAGTCGATTGAAAAGGAAAGCCATGTGACATGCTGATCCTGCTTTCGCATCACCTGAGCACTCGTAATGCTACTGTTAATATCCTTTCTCGCAAGGTATTTTTCACATGCCTCGGACGGATTGAGGGCTGAGCGTAGATGGATGAATCAAGTTTAGAGACCCTAAGGGGGTCGCTGGAAGGCCGCGGAGGCAGAGACCGAAGCATGTGAAGTCCGCAGGCTGGGCTTGGAGAAGACTTATGCGGGGGCAGCATGGAGCCTGGAGCAGCCGCTATAGGGGCTGAGTGGCGGCCAATACCCCTACTAGACTCTCTTCACAAGGTACTCTGCGCGGTAAAGGTGAGAACTGCGAGCCTCGCACAGTGGGTTGTGTCAAAAAAGGGAATTTTTCCCGCGACGAGTCGAGGTCTAGTGCATGAGAAGTCGACAACCTCGACAAGCTTTGCTGTACCCCAGAAGATATAAAAGCCAGGCTCACAGCCTCCAGAAGCACAATCAACCATATCTACCTAGGTACCAAGGTGCTTCGGTATTGAAAAGTTGTGGGTGCCAAAGTCATTGTGTACGGGTAGGCCGTCGGGTACTTGATACTAGTGGTACAGCCTACAGGGACTACTAGGTACTAGGTAGTTGTGGGCACCGCGGGCATCGTGGGCACCAACCAGCTGGAACATATTTGGCAGTCAGTGTCAGTCAGTGGCAGTCCGTGGCAGGTCACCGGGAAGCCGAGGTTCATTTTCTGTGAATTGTCGTTTCCTAGGTTGCCAGTTGCCCGCCTGCGTGTCGTCAACCACAATCCTTTGCATCGAGTCCGAATCCCCGTTACTGGCTGCGCAGGTGATCGATCTCGCTCGAGCTTCAAAAACTCATTCTTCCTCCCTTTCGATTCTGCACCTCGACAACCTCCTCCCAACCATCTGATCCTGTGTGCGAATCGCTTCTGTCTCTATCCGCCATGGCCCCTCCTCGTGTCATTGTTGTTGGCGGAGGCCGTAAGGAATCCTTCATCTTACGATTCTGGAGCAATCGATCGGCTAACTCTTCGAAACTCCAGTGTCCGGTCTCAGCGCCGCCCATACCGTCTATCTGAATGGAGGTAACATCCTTGTTTTGGACAAGAACAGTGAGTTGGGAAGTCGTTCCGGCACAACTCCACCATCGCTGATGCATGCGCAGACTTCTTTGGCGGCAACTCTACCAAGGCCACCTCCGGCATCAACGGCGCCCTCACCCGAACGCAGGTCGATCTCGGCATTCAAGATAGCGTCAAGCAATTCTATGAGGACACGCTGAAATCAGCTCGTGACAAGGCTAGACCCGACCTGATTCGAGTTCTCACGTACCAATCCGCTGCAGCCGTGGAATGGCTTCAGGATGTGTTCAATCTCGACCTCACTCTTGTTTCTCGCTTGGGGTATGTGCGATTTTCAAACTTTTCTGAGAGCAAAGCTAATGCAATGTACAGCGGTCACTCCTTTCCCCGAACCCACCGAGGACATGATGCAAAATTCCCCGGGATGGCCATCACCTATGCCTTAATGCAAAGATTGGAGGAGCTCACCGAATCCGACCCCGAGAGAGTTCAGGTCATCAAGAAGGCCAAAGTCACATCTTTGAACAAAGAAGGCAACCTAATCACCGGTGTTACCTACGAATATGGCGGTGAGACGCACTCGGTGGATGGAGTAGTCATTCTGGCCACTGGTGGATATGCCGCCGACTTCACAGAGACTTCCCTTCTCAAGAAGCACCGACCAGACACGTTCAATCTGTCATCAACCAATGGTACACATGCCACTGGTGACGGGCACAAGATGTTGATGGCGATCGGCGCGAATGATATTGACATGGACAAGGTCCAAGTGCATCCTACCGGCCTGGTAGATCCCAAGGATCCCACCTCCAAGTGGAAGTTTTTGGCTGCTGAAGCCCTTCGAGGTGAAGGTGGTATTCTACTCAACAGCGATGGTCAACGATTCTGTGACGACCTTGGCCACCGTGATTACGTTTCTGGCAAAATGTGGGAGGAGAAGGAGAAGGGCAAATGGCCCATTCGCCTGGTTCTCAACTCCAAGGCCTCAAATGTCCTTGATTTCCATACCCGGCATTACTCTGGTCGTGGCCTGATGAAGAAGATGACCGGCAAGGAGCTGGCCAAGGAAATCGGCTGTGGTGAGGCTGCGCTGGACAAGCAGTTCAAGGAATACAACGCTATTGCCAAAGGCGAAAAGAAGGATGCCTGGGGCAAGAAATATTTCCACAACATGCCTATGGACATCAACGACACCTTCCACGTTGCAGTGATGGAGCCCGTCTTGCACTTCACAATGGGTGGCATGGAGATCAACGACAAGGCCCAGGTGCTCAACCAGGAACACAAACCTTTTGAAGCTCTTTTCGCCTGCGGTGAACTTGCTGGTGGAGTTCACGGCGCCAACCGGCTCGGTGGTTCCTCGCTTTTGGGCTGTGTTGTCTACGGCCGTGTCGCTGGTGCCTCAGCGTCACAATACCTGTTGCACAAGCTCACCACCCAAGGAGGTGCCACCGGGGCTTCTCAGCGTCTAGGTCAAATCTCGTTACATATTGATCCTAGCACTCCTGGGAAGATCTCAGTGGAATGGGCAAGTGGTGCTTCCTCTAGTTCGTCGGCGGGTACGCAGACAACCTCGCAGCAAGCGCAAAAGAGCGCAGCGCCCGTGATGGACGGCAACAAGAGCCAAGATCCCGGCAAGAAGAAGGATGTCAACGATATCAGCAACTTCAAGGTGCCGGATAAGGAGTACTCTCTGGAAGAGGTTGCCAAACATAACAAGAAAGATGATCTGTGGATTGCCGTCAAGGGTGTCGTGATGGACGTCACCAACTGGCTCGATGAGCATCCAGGTGGTCCCCAAGCATTGTTCAGCCACATGGGCAAAGATGCCACAGAAGGTGAGTTTGAAAGATACAAATGTGACGATCAAGTTGGCTAATCTTCGTGCAGAGTTTGAGATGCTTCACGATGATGAAGTGATTCCAAAATATGCTGCCGACATTGTCATTGGCCGCGTCAAGGGCCAGGAAGTTCGACTGGAGTATTAGGTCGCGTGATCAGTCTCCCTGGGAAGCATATATTTTGGGAAGATAGCATGGAGTTGACCCTTGTATCATGGGCAGTTATAGCTGCTGTATGCCCTGACATAAAAAATAAATCAAGTTGCCTGTGTTGAAATCGAGTATGAATGCGCATTGCCATGTCGCATGCCCGTCCCTGTCACCCACTCTCACGCAGTCGTAGTAATAGAGGGTTAGCCTGTGCAAATATGGAAATTCCTGGTTCTAATGACGGTCATTTGGCTCCATCACTCCAACCATTATTTTGCTCACTTTCATTCCAACCTAGAAAGCCTCATGCGACTACTTGCCTCTTGTATCAACTCCCTCTTGTTGGCTGGCGTACCTGAGGTCTTGCTAAGGTCGGGAACTGTGGGACAGCGCGGAAAGGTCGCAGCAGATCTTGATTCAGGTAAGGACTGCCTGGTCGTCCTCGCACGTCTCGTCCACCATCCCCACCTTCTGGACGATGCCCAGCACCTCGCGCATCCGAGAGACAAGCCAACATAGGGAAAGGGGTGGATAAGACTTCATACAAGTGCAGAAGGTTGCGCGCACAGCGTCCGGAGTGTCATGGCCACTGGGAGTTTTCCGTCTTCCGATCTGCGACCTACTTGCCATGATCCCCGTTCATACTATGGTCACTTCAGCCTGACTTGCTAATTATGTTTAAATATATAGGCACACGTCGCTGCTGACGCCTCTCGAATTCTCTGGAACCCGTCGATAAGCAGTGGTCACCTTTTTACGCCTGAGTTGATCGCTCCGTCCGAGCCGCAATCATTCTTCCCCTCCAAGATGGACCGCAGGGAGATCCTCTCCAAAGGCTCGGCACTCCAAAAAGCCATCGCGGCGAAGGAGCCCTCTGCGAACATCCTGACAATACTGCGCGACCTAAAGGCCAATGTCCGACCCAGTGAAGAACTACTGCGCGCCACGGGAATAGGCAAGATCGTCAATAAAGTGAAGGGAGTACCAAATCTGGACCCCCAAGTCAGCCAACTTGCAGCAGAGATAATATCGCGCTGGCGGCATGTGGTTAACGAGCAAAAGTTGGCAAGCGGCACATCAACACCCACGGCCAACGGGGCCAGATCCAACGGCACGAATTCGCCGGTGCCCCAGAAGACCTCCACACCCACACCAAAGGCGTCCAGTCCTGGAGTTGCACCGGAAAAGCGCAACTGGAAAACAGACAAAGTACCTCGCGACGAATTGACATCCGACACAGCGCGAAACAACTGTATTGGGCTGATCTACGACGGTCTATGCCTGGGTTCTGAAATCCCAATGAAACAGATCCTTGACCTGGCGAAGCAAATCGAGTCCGCTGCCCTCAACCTCCCTGACGCCAAAGGATCCTCGGCGTCGGCCGTGTACAAGGATAAAATCCGCTCTTTGTACCAGAACCTCAAAAATAAATCCAATCCGGGATTGCGAGTGCGCATTCTTTCTGGGGAGGTCACCGCAACAAGGTTTGTCACCATGACACACGAAGAGATGAAATCCCGTCAGCAGCGAGAGGAAGACCTCAAGATCGCAAAGGAGAACATGAACAATGCCATGGTGGCGCAGGAAGAGAAGTCTGTGAGTACTTCTCTCGAGTGCGGAAAGTGTCATCAGAAAAAGGTTAGCTACTCTCAGGCGCAGACGCGGAGCGCAGATGAACCGATGACGACATTCTGCGAGTGTCTCAATTGTGGCAACCGGTGGAAGTTTTCTTGAGAGATCGAAACAGCGCTTAGGTTCTATTGTTTTTCGCCAGCGGGGAGATGCTGTATACGGTACTCGTGGAGCAAGGTATCTGGACGACGCTGGGTTTTGGCTCCGTCAAAGGGAAAGATCTTGGGAGAAGAGGAGAGACGGGCCTGAGTTGATCATGGCTTTCTTCGGTCGTGTCCGACTTCTAATGACGAGAGACGAACGAGCGCTGGTCTCGAATCACGTCTTTTGGGGACGTTGATTGTTTTCAGAGGGCTATTGCCTAAGTGCATTGCCAACTGGTCTTCTCATTTCAACTCTCTTTGTGAGTTTTGACAATTCGAAGTGTCACGTCTCAGGGGGGAAAAGGGCATCACACGGCGGGAGCGTGTGTGGGCAGAGGACCGGTCGACGAGAAGCCCGTCATGATTCTGCTCAGCACGGCTGAAAAGGATGGAAGACGATGGACTACATTCGATGCAGGGCCGCACCACACACAGAGATGGTTCTGGAATGCAAAAAGAGCAGTAGGACGAAAAAGCGACCAAAACCCGTTGGAGCGTGGTAGGGTCTTTTGGGTGGGAGAGGGGCGCGGATATCCCTCATGGAATAGGAATTGCAGGCATTGTATCAAGAATTCCCCCAAATGAACATGAAATAATGAATTTTGTGAAACCAAAACCTTTCGGGGCTCTGGACATACCGCGTCTCACCCGGCAAGCCCGATCAACGTGTGTCTCCGGAACACCACCCGTTGCAGGATGCTAAACCGACTCAACGGTTCTGTGAAGGACTGCATCTTCGGATGGGTTTTGCGATCTCGTCCGAGGCCCGAGTACCTCGTGAACTTGTATGGTCGAAGCTTTTGTGGCTTCAAAATCTGACCGACTCGGACCGGAAAGAGTCACTTGTGCCTTCTAGGAGGAGGAGGAGAACGGGTCATGTGGCTGGCCACCCTGCCCCCCTGGTGCTGCTCAGCCTCGTCTAGGAGAACCCTTCATGGAGGAGGGGTGATCGAATCCGTTCGCCGCGGTAGGTGCCAGCGTGTGTGAAAAATTAAATAATAATCAAGCTGAGGACTACACACTCAGTCCAGATTGTGTTTCTCATTTATGTATAAATCTCAAATTTTGGTCCGAAGACAGAATTGACACGCATTGTTCGCGAGCTATTCCGTACAGGATTCAAAGACCACGGCCGGAAGAAGGAACTGACAATGTCGACGACCCGCAAGACCTCGACGATTCTCCTTCTCGCCCGCAAAGGCGGCGTCCTGGACGAGGCTAAATCTCAGCTCCTGCAGGGGAGCGCTGATGCGACAGATTCTTCCACCACCTCCTCTTCCTCATCCCGCCCTGGTCTACGTGTCTATACGGGAACCACCGTCGATGACCTGCGAAGCGCCTTCGACCAAGCCTCCAAAGAAGGCCGCACGATTCAGCATGTTTTCGTCGGCGCAGGCTTGGAGCTTGAGCACCGTCTGGATATTGTCAAGGAGGCCGTCACGCTCAGCAAGGACACTTGTGTGCATTTGAAGGACGCAACATCGGGGCCTACGGGGTTTCTTCCCTTCATCAAGGCTGTACAGGGTAGTAAGCTCGAGGAATCGTGAAACCACCGTACTCCGTGAGGTGATAAGCTGCTTTGAGTACAGATGGCTTGGGGATGTACACAAGACTCTTGTCCAAAGTGCCGATGGAAACTTCAGAAGCGGAGAAAGGGGTAGTGGTGGCTAGGCTTTGTGCCCCCTTCCCATATCTGTAGCTCATGGCTGGCTGGTATACGCCACAATTGGAAGTCGATCAAGAGTGTTTTCGACACAAAGCTGAACTTTAATCGATGAACTCTCGCACTCATGCCGGCCCGGCTCAATGGCCTGAGATCAGGGAGACCAAATCATTCCGGATAGCCTGAAGATGCCAAACCCACTGTGTGCTGGAGCCCACTTTCTCAGATCAATGTCCACATGTGTGGTATCCGTGAATCCTAGACTGAGGAAGAAGTCATGGGCGGCTGGCTCAGAGCAGACCACAAGTGGAATACCCTCAGCCCTTGCCTTTTCGAGGCAGACATGGACCAGTTGCGATCCTACCCCCTGTCGACGAGTCGGAGGTTTGACGCAGATGTACGTTAGTTCTAACTCCTTTGGATCAGTCTGGGTGAAATTCATTCATGGCAAGAAATCGTACCGAAATGATCGACTTCCTCTGTTTCCTTGGCAATCTCAGACACCGCATTGGAAATTGCTGAGAGAAGGTCGGGATTGAAGAACTCGGATATGTCCTGCTGCTTCTCACCACCGGATCCTTGACTAGAAGGCAGTTGGGTCTCCGTACTCTCTGTAGGCGGTCGTTTTCTAGTCAAAGCGACATGCCCGAGGACATCTCCAGATCCTTCGTCAACAGCTTTCAAACAAACTGCCAATTCATCTTTGAATGCTGATTCGACGGCAGCCGCGTAGAGCGGTCTCTGAGCAGCATCATTGGGCCAGTCTTTGAATAAGAGACGGTTGATGGGGAGGGCGAGTTTGCAGGTGTGGACAAGGTCGGAGAGCAAAGGGAGGTCGGAGCTGGAGACTGGGCAGATACGCCGCTCATGATGAGCCATTTCAACTATCCTTCTTCGTTATATATCAGGCTTTGGAATATCCAAGATGTGCTCCGTACTTCTCTCCTCATTCTTGACTATATTAGAAAATTCTCAGGTCTAAAATACTCTGAAGGTCTAGGCACCAGAGTTTTTGAACCCGAACCATGACCGACCTACCTGGTGAAGCACAGGCAGATATGTTTGGTGATGACGATGGGAAAGAGCAGGGACGGTTGTGGTGGTTGACGTGTCATGTACGAGATATCTCAACGACTGTAGTATCCTCTTGTGGGGGGAAGAAGAGTTTCAGGCGCCCGACCAGCCAGGCAACTGTCCGCCCCAACGGGAAGAGCCCCAGGTCCCTTGCCAGGTACCCACCTTAGGTACTCGTAATACCCCGGAACTACTCGTACTTCCCAGGTCCTAGGCACTAGGCGAGGCTTTCTCCCCTCACGCAGTACAATAGCCGCAACGAGGAGCACCAAGCAAATCGGCGACGCGGCACGGTTCGTGACAAAGCCACTCCGTCCCGTCGAGCTCGCCTTCCTCCAGAACTCGAGTGCCCAGGTAGATACGCTTCCAACATTACTCTCAATTTGAGACACATGTCTGCCGTGTGCGTGTCTTGGAACTGGAATTCGGAGATCACGGAGCGCGGAGCATGGATGCACCTGCCGACGCGGCCTCACTACCTAGCCTTCCTCTCACCGTAATCATTTGGCGGCGAACCAAATGTTTAGCGATTGGCGACCAGGCTTCTTTTCCCCTCAAGCGCCCACCACAAGCTTGAGGTTCAATGGGGCCAGCCTTACCAAGGCAGGTCGAGGTCCTTAAAGCTGAAAATCGTCTCGATGGGATCCTTTCGGCTTTCTCCTGCTCACCTGTCGCTATCAATGATACCTCAATGTCGGCTCCGCCAGGAACATGACTGGCGACAGCGACAAGCGAGACACAGAGCAAGAAACCCTCCAGACAACCCCTTCTTCTACCAAGTTCACCATTCCCAAATGTCGTGAATCAACCCTGGATTTCTGCGATGACTCGGTTGAGTGGGCTGTTACAACAGACGATGCATCAAGTGCACAAAACAATGGAGGGTCACCTCAAGGTTGGTCACGCTTCCTAAACGCTCCGCCAGTTGCTCATCGAGATGTGTGTTTTCAGGCTCAACGTCAAGCGCGCCCTCCTTTTCAACCACCTCTACGAGAAGATGCAACCTAGGACCAGAATGCATTCTTCAGCCACCACGAGACTTGGAGCCTGCTATAAGGACGGATATCGCTTTCGGGGATGGTCAGGGCACAGTCGGCTATATTAGCGAGTTTGGGGAGCTTATTCAGGTGAGCCGCATGCTGGATTTCGGACCGCATGGTGTGATACAGGTCCGACCCAACTCAGACATTGCCGATTTCGACCACATCATACAAGGTTCGTGTTCAGGCATCGGGCTGCGCTTGAATAATCGATCGGCCGTTCCGGAGGAAGACTTCCGTCCTGTTTCATACATTCATGACAGGTGGCCGAAGCTCTCATACACCACAGGAGGGGTTGAAGTCGAAATGGTGTTTGCCGTGGTGGATAAGAAAATTGTGCATCAATGCGTGCTTTCTAATAAAGGCAACGATGACGCCACGGTTGACCTGGTATTTGACCTGGGTTTTGCACTGGATGCCCCTCATGATTTTGGTTTCCGAAGCGCCACCAAATTCAAGGGAGGAACATTGACTTCAGGGAATACTTGCATCGTGCTTTGTGGCAACCCCGGTGGCTATGCCAGTTTCGGCGCCTCTTTGTATATTGACCATGGACATCGAGTGCCCCTCGTACCCGTCACTTCGAAAGATCCGCCTGGGACAAGCGGTGAACCAAAGCTTGGTCCTTCTCACGACGGGGGAAAGGAGGCCAAGGAGAAGGAGCTATCAAGGGCCCTTTTTCACCTGCTCCCCATCGAGATTGCATCAGGTAAGCAACGAGAGCTGACAGCTGTTTATGATTTTAGTTGTGGACCTTGGACAAGGGACCAGATATATGATCTGAAAATTATGTGGCCATTAGGTGATGATTTCTACAAGTGGCAACGTCGCAAAGACGATTCGTTCTGGACGGCCTACGATGAAGCTAAGAGCAAGGAAGACAGTGCGCGAGCCAGCAAGATCTTGGAGGACGGGGTGTCCCAAGACGCAGCAGCTCCTGCACAGACCGATGCACATGATGTCCCATCAGACCCTGTCGAAACGACGACACCAAAGCCTCCAAACGAAGAGCAGTCGCCCGTGCAGAAGGGCGAGTCTCTCCTTAAATCTCAGGTACCTTTCCAAAATCTTGGAGGCGAGGGTCTTTTCTCTCATCGTCTGTTCGGTATTGAGTGGAAATCAAGGTGGTCATGGCATGACATTTTGGATGACGACACATTCTGGGATGTTATGTATGGCCCGAGGAGGATGAAATATAAGGAGGAAATGCAAGAGCTTGTAACGGCAGAGTTCAAGAAGTTGAGAGCTAACCCTAAAATTCGTCCGAGTGAGCCGCACCGTGAAGCAGCTCTTGTCCCTGAATCTGCTAATTCTGAAAGGTTGTGGCTACATCAATCTCCATGAAAACCTAAGCAGTCATTGCCCTGGAAAATGGATCAAGGGTCTTCCAGACCAGCCAACCGAATTCCTGTTCCGACGGTACTTGCAACACATTTTATCAGTGGTGCCTATTGGAATCCCTTGGAAAAGAGACGGAGATTGTGCTTACTTCTTCTGCACCGGTGGACTGCATGATGTGAGCATGAGGCCTGCCGCTGCTCTGTAAGGGTCGACCCCAATACCAAATATCGATTCTAATACCGTTCACCAGATATCAGTTCCGTTTCCTCGGCTGTATGCATCGGCTGCTTATGAGTCAAGAAGGTATCATTGATGACTCGTTAAAGAGCTCTCTAACCTCAGACATTGAGAAACTTTGCAAAGGTCATCTCGAGTGGTAAACTATCCTGCTCCAGCATGACCATACCAGTCAAACGTTCTAATTGTGGCGTTCAGGTGTTTTGAAGTCGCCCAAAAGACGAAGAGCGGATTGTGGGCCAGCGTCTACAAGGCCCCAGGTGCTCAAACAACAACACAGGACGACCATCTCCATAGCGCTATCAATTTCCTGAAATTGCTTGACTTCTATGTGGAATTCCCGAAGAGTCGACCGTTCGTTCTTGACACCCTCAATAGGCGACTCCTACCTTGGCTCAAGGCACTTCAGGAGACCCGGAACAAAAACTCTGGCCTCTGGGAATCGGCCCGAGAGACTATACAAGTGTCGTGGTGGGACCCCAATTACCGGCAGGATGAGGAAGTATCCATCCCAAACTACGATTTGTGTGATTCCGTTCAACATTGGCAAACTCTTCAGACTCTCTTCAATATCATCAACGAAGTGAAGGACAATGCCGTTCCCCGATCAGATGCCGACAGCGCAGCTGTGTCGACGTCGCTACAGCATATGGCAAAAGAGCTTCTCGACAGTTTGGAAAGTACCGGTCTCATGACAGATCTAGACCCTTCTGCTTTTCGGGAAAAGATACTGGAGCGGTTCTCTTTTGAGATCGAGAGATCTTCTGTCGAGACTTCCGTCCAATCTGTCGAGTTCAGCAATGAAGCGCCTGTTTCTGGTTCGTTGGTGGAAGAGATGAAGGCTAACAAGAAGAGACTCCTTGCCATCAAACGCTGTGCAAAGGAGCGGCCGAGATGGAACTGGTGCATATTAACCAATTTTTCTCTCTCCTTTACAATTCAGCTGATTCTTCCTAGGTATGCAGAGGCCATGATACTGTGCCCCAAATTCGATCTCGGCTTTTTTGATCATGATCGTCCTTCAAAACGACTTGATGAGTGGTCGAAGGCCGTCGAGGCACAACAATTTCAGCTCGAGCAGTTTTGGAGAAAACCTCTCCGATACCTTTTGGCACTGATTTTGGCTCTGGATTGTAATATCTCTCTGGATAGATCGAAAGATCCAGCGACAATGGCCTCCACATGTAGGATGATCCTGCTGGGATGCGTCCTGGGCAACGGGCTGATGGCTGAAGAGGTGGATCCGAAAAACAAAAAGCCCCAAAGCAGACTGCGGAACTTTCCAACCGCTGTCTTTGGGGTACCCTATTATTTATTCAGGGTGACTTATGGGGACTTGCTTGGAGTGTTCCCGAAGCAAATTTCCAATTCGCCCGGCAATACTAGAGTTGGCATCACAGTAAATGAGAAGCTCTGGAAAAAATCTTACAAAGCCATCCGGTCGAGGACGAAGGCCGGCCTGTATAACCTTGCAAATGTTGACAGGGCCAACGTGGTCGATCTGACTGAGACATGCGAACCAGAATGGTTGTTCGATGATCCATGGTACTGTATCGATGGGTCACGGAAGCATGAGAGACCACTGACGATCACAGGTATTTCACGCAAGAGGACCCTCTGGCGGACAGAGCCGAGGGCGAACGTGGCCCTTCAAAATATATCAAAGAAACAGTCCAATCGGGATTAAAACTTCTAAAGGACTTCGACCGTGATGAAGGGAGCTCTCCCTACGCCGTGTTCAACGACTCCATTCAATTACACAGTCGCAATAACGACAATTTTTGGGCAGACGCCGACGAAGAACGCCCTGGAAGTGTTGTTGATGTGATCAGGACCGGCAAGCGCCAGTCGCAGATCCTGGAAGAAATCCCCAACGCCTGGGAACTTCTGGACCACATATGGAAGAAGAGAACCAAGAACGATGTGAAGAAGAGACTAATGTAAGTTATGAGTCTGCAAACGACCCCGAAATCGACGATACAAATTGACATATGATCTACAGATACGTATACAATTGTGGACCAAGGTTCTCATTATCGGTATGGCCACGGATTTTCTCTACGCCGAAAGCGATTTGGTTGCTCCTCGACTGACAAGCGGAACAAGCTCTATCTTTCTGTCCCTGAGCGAGAACGATACTCGATGGCGACTTTTCTGGCTCGCCACCAGACGCGGGACGTGTTTCATCGCGAAGATGTACGAACAATTTCCATGGTCCTATAAAGGAAGCTCATCCCTAATGTCTAAAATCGCAGACGCACAAGACCATTAACTCTTGGATCACAGAACTGCACCTAGGGTTCTACAGAGTCATTTCGGACTTGTCAGCCCCTGCTGCCGAGGATGATTCAGACGAGGAGCAAGTTCCACCCAGTCGGACCATATTCTCGGGCAAGCCATTTCGGCTTCCGGGGGATGAGACAAAACTCATCGAGAAATGCGCAATTGGGTTCCGCTTTGATGGCGACCTTTATGATCGATATTGGACATGTTTTGTCGCGGTGTATCTGCCCCAATGTGGCCACGAAGATCGATGGTTTGCTGATGTCGATTCCTTCAAGTTGACCAGGCCCACTGGAGAAGGGAACAAGGACACCGAACACAGCCAGCGAAAGATTTTGGAAGCCAGGTGGTTTGAGAGAGCGACCAGAATTATATGCGAAGAGACTCGACGAATTTTGAGAGTGATTTCCCATATTCTGGGCGAAGATGTGGGTACATGTCCGCTGCACAAATTGTGATTTCGAAACTGATCTAGCAACAGCGCAATGGACGATACACTGCCACTTCCTACGACACCTTCCGCGAGACCTTTGAGAGCAACAAGACCACCTACTCCCGATATGGAGAAATGGTTAACTTTCTCCGTCACGTTCTTGAGAATCTTGAAGCGGTCCGAAATGTTGCTGACAAGTGGGAAACCCGAGAAACCGCACGCGAAGTTCAGCCTCGTTGGACTCGGGACGACGAAGCTGCTTACGCCCACGAGATCTCTATCTGGCGTCGCCGAGCCCAAGCCAACGTCCGTAACATGGCTCATTTGGAAAAGCAAATCGAAGCGAAACTGGATCACATCAAACAACTTCGAGAGTGGCTTCTTGACGATCTGCAACTCAAAGAAGCAAGAGTGTCAAACCGTTCTGCGGACGACGTGCGGATTTTCACCTACGCTACTGTCGTCTTCTTGCCTCTCAGTTTCGCGTCAAGCATCTTCAGCATGGGCGGAGCGCCCTCGCACAGTACCGCGGTCTCATTTGTCACTGCCGCAGTCATTGCGCTGGTTGCAACCATTGCGTTTGTGCTCAATGCTGGGACGTTTATGCGGGCGATTGCTCAATGGAAAATATGGGTTTTCGATCTGCCGGATGAGGCTGGCTTCACCGAACACTCGGAAAGCCAGTGGCGCAGAGTTGGACAGAAGTTTACTGACTGGTTTGTGCGCTATCCAGCCGCCCGTGTCCTAGATGCTTGGAAAGTGGTCAGAATGAAGGATCATAAAGCCATCGTCGGCAAGCTACTTCTGGGCATCCTTATGTCTCCTCTTTTCGCTTTCACGTGGATTTTTGGTTTCCTGACACTCAATCTATACGATTTGGTCATGCTCCTATTCCTCGATCTGCCTCGGTATCCAGGAAGACGCCGGAAGCACCAGACTCAACTCAAAACTACAGAATCCGTCGTGCAACTGGCAGACACTCAGAAAGCCACCAGGGACAAGGAGAAGAAAGGTGGCAAGTCCTCAGCAGAGGCCTCCAACGAGAAAGAAGCCCGCAGACGTGGAGCGGAGAAGGCCAGGGAGAAATGGCGACAGGAAAGACTCAAGCACTTTATGCACAAGCCACGTATCGTGGACATCTCCAAGCATTTGAGTGAGGGAAAGACGATCCAAGAAATCCAGAAAGCGCACAGGCAAGATCTTGAGAAGAGGAAGACCGAGCTGCAAGAGCGCAGGCAAAAGTACCGCCATGCGATAGAGAGTGTCTCCGATTTCAGCGGGAGCGAAGATGAGGACGAAAAGCCTCGCAAACCCCACGAGCGGAGAAGGGCCCTCGCGCGTATGTTCGGGAGGAGACGGCAGGAGTCCGACGTCGAGGCCAGGAACGACCAAACCGAACTGGTTCAAGAGAATGGTGCGAGCGAGAAGGTAATATAGCGTATCATGGGTCTGTTGGAGACCGCAGGCCACTCGGGCTACTCAGATGCTTGTGAATTGGTATTCAACAATAATATGTCTAGGTAGAGAGAAATCATGCCGACTTTGCCCCTTGATTTGTCTCCTCGTGCTGTAAGTGGCATTTTCAGCCTCCTCTTTGTGCCAGGATGCGATAGTTACACTGCCGAGGACTCAACCTTCACCCCTGAGCATGAAGTTCAAAACAACCTAGAAGGTGCGCAGTCCCGATATGTCTACGGAGTAGCCACACTTGGGAGTTCAAATGAGGCGCGCTCAGCCCCTAAACTTCGCCTGATTGGGAGGATGAGCTCCTGCGAGGATGCGGCTGCCTATCCCACGGCTGTGGTCAACGAGGCTGCCATATAATATCAGGTTTCCTCGCAGCCACCACTTTACAGCAACCGCCGCGCCGACTTCAGAAACGAATGGCGGTATTCTATCGACCCTTGAACACAACGGCATCCCTCTACTTTTGCTAGATACTAGCTGCCTCTAATTAGGTGGCCACCTCGTCGTCAGTGAGCACGGCGTGTCGGACTGTGCCATTATTTATCTCTGAAGTCGGCGTCGACGGCAACCACCTCAGCTGTCCGACGTAGGCATAAGTGGCATGATGGAGTTGGCACACGGGCCGCGCCGTCCCTCTTCACCCATTCGGTTTGTGTGGGATCCTCAATTCTCGGTGCGCCAGCCCATCAGCTACGTTGCCGAAGACAGTCGACTGGAGCCTGATCCCTCCGAAACCATCACGACCTCGTTTCTCAACTTTCGGTCCAGCCACCTGGATCCTCCAGACTTGACGTTCAGGGCACTTGCCAGGTTCCTAAATCAAGGTGATATCCAGCATTTGAGGGATAGGACCCTCCCTGCGCGACTTACTCGCCTGGCACTCCTTGACGACCGCAGAGATCCATGCGGACTAGACGACAGCCAGCCGGGCCAGCGGCCAACGAGCAATGGACTGACCCGAAGCTGGACATCAGAACAGTACAGTCGACGACCCCCTGCCGGTGAGAGCAGGTATCGGGCGGCCTTGGACGAACGTGGCTTGCACGATAGATTGTGCGAACAGGTGAGGGACCACGGGTAGATAAGTCAGCCACAAAATTGACGATGATATAGAGGTCCTCCAACGGGGCCGAGAGACGTGCCTTGTAAGTGCGAAGACCGCCGAAATCAACGCGATGGCCCCTCTAGTAGAGTCATACACCACAAGCTAACAGAAAGAGACTGATCACGAACCTGACGCCACTGTGCGCTCTTGCTCTCTGCGTCAATGTTGCCTGTCGCTTCATTGCACCGTTCCGAGCATACCTCCAAAGGTACATTTTGAATCAGGTACACTTCAGAATCACCTTGGTCTGTCTTGCTCCATGACCTGCATCTTGCCCGAGCAGACTACTGAAAACCTACTGCCAGAACAAAACTCCGCGGGACTTTACCATGGAGTTTCACCTGCCTTACTGTGCACTGCGCAGGAACACCGTGTCGCCCGATCCCCGAAAACTACGCCGATCATACCCAATGCTTCCATATTACGATCAAGCACAAGACCAGCTGTCCTATCATGACGCTCAGGTTTCTGTGCTCATCACTGGGGTAGATGAATGGTACTGGACCGCCTACTGCTGTGTTGACACGTTCTCGCAGGAGCCAGAAAGCCCCAATGCCTACATCGAGTGGAACGATGACGGTCCGAGCGGAGGGGGCAGAGACGAGATTTATCCCGTGTGGAACCCGCGCGAATATTTTCTCCTCATGCTCTCACGGCGTTGCAAGCAGGTTGCTGGTGAATGGGAAGCCATCATCTACGAGTTAAATGCTCGCCTGGATACTTATGTGAGCCTTGTCTCCTCCAGCACTACAGGTTCACTGGATCTACTGACTAGGTGGTTGCAGGAAACGGCCTATTACGCGTCGATGGATGGCAACGATTTCTTTGACGATGCACAGCTTGGAAGAACCAAGTCATACACGAAGGCCGTGTCCATTTTGAGAAAATTCAATGACATGCTCAACCTAACGCTTGAGACTTTCCAGGATTTTGAGCAAGGTGAACTCCAGTTCCTCAACACGCGAGACGAAAAACTCGATGATCTCTGGAAAATCTACTTGGACAGGATCTTTGAGGATTTTGCTACCATGCGATACCTTCAGCGGGTCCTGGTCCAAAAGATTCAGACTTTCGACCGCATGAAGGACGGTGTGCGTATTGCGGGTTGTCGATTCTCGATTTTGATTGCTTACCAGAGTTCTGAAGCTGGTCAACTCGTCGGCTCTAAAAGAGAGCCGATATTCCACGAAACAAGGAGATGATATCGAAGTGTTGACCAACATGACGGTGGTAAGTCAGCGTCTCAAAGCACGATCTTCTTGAAGCCCTTCTACTGACAAACAAGGCATACCTCCCACTCAGTCTAGCAACTGTAAGTCTGAACATTGAGGATTGCACCAGGTATCGATTGCAAAATTAAACTTCCACAGGGACTCTTCAGCATGACAAACGAGAGCGTCGGCACCAGAAGATGGCTGTTTTGGATGATGACACTGCTTTTTCTGGGACTGCCAACATTCTATGTGGCGTTCAGAGGAAAACTCCGCGGCTTCCAGGGGTATTGGAGTATGGCAAAATGAAGAGCAAGCGCAGGCTCGTTTGCACCGCATGCGCTTCAAGGGCCCTTGACATGTTGAACATCCTCCTTTCCACATCTCTTTTAGCTGGACATCGGCTTTCCTTTATGAATTAACGTCCTTCTGTTGGGCAACGAGCGCAGCGCTTGACGTGGCAATTTGGGCAATAGGGGTTGGTTTTTAGCAACAGCGGACCAAATCCACATTCACACTGGTAGGAGAGGACTGAGCAGTCATCCTCATACTTGAATGATGGTAAGGAGAACATACACAGGTCCAGTAGACTTCCTTCAGCCCCCAAGTCCACGGGAGTCCATTGGTCATACTGAGGGGAGGCCACACTGGTCGTTTGATACAGCTTGCGCATCGCGTCCAGCTGCATGATTTACATTTAGGGGATGCTATTGTCGCATCTGTCTTGTTCTCTCTGTCAAGACAATCTGGATTGCACTGGACATATACCAAAATCGATTAGCCCTGGACGCCCCCACGCACACGATACATGCGTCGTTATCTTTTGAGCAAGTCTCTTACGCAAGTCCAGTGCGAGTACTTGGTCTTTTTAGGCCCATCGGTATAAACCCTCGCTGGCACTCGCAACTTCCTCTCGATACGGCGTGGTCTCACCATCTATCACTCAAGCGAGCATGGAAATAATGTGAGCATGCATTCGCCTCCGCCGCGATGGAGGCCTGGTCCGTCGAAGTATGTGGTGGTGGTAAGAGATAGAACTTGAGAAAGAGGGGCCGCACTAATGATATGTGAAACAGAACTCGATTTTTCCTTTCCACGATAGACCAAGGGGGGAGAGTAGGATGCAGTGCTGGGCGGCCTCTTGAAATGGCGGTATGGTTTCTTGGTGCAAATCAGGGTGGGATCATAAAGGTTCGACAAGAGAAACAAAGTTGTGAGGCTGAAGACGGCGACGGATCACACGATGTGGTGTGGAGGAAGTGGAGTAGACCAACGGATGCAGCCTAAGCGTAGTACAGACGAGCCCGAGTACAAGTGAGTGGAGGGTCCAGTGCCATCAAGCAATCTGATGAGAAGTTTTGCGTAAACAATGTAAACGTCCAGACCTCGATCAATCAGCGGCGCCACTACTACTTGACAACAACAACAACCCTATACCAATATCCTTATCGACACGTAATATTGAAAGACATTCCATCAAAACACATATACCGACTTGACAATCCATCACGCCCTAGACCTTATTCTTCCTTGATCCGCAATCGATCAATCACACATCCCACCACTCCCACGAAGCAACCAAGCGAGCAAGACCGTAAGCAAGTCAGGCATGCTCCGCCGCAAACCCACCGCCGTGACCATCACCAACGACGACATGGCCGCCATCGAGGAGGCCTACCTCAACCTCACGCGCGCCCATTACCTCAAGACGGGCGAGGATCCGGACGGTCTGTTCACCAACGACCCCACCACCAACGGCACCGGCAGCGGCAAGAAGACGCAGGCGCAGGTCGAGGCCGACGCGAGTGACGAGCTCAAGCCGTTGCCGGGGGATAATGCGCGCGGGGGAGGTGGCGGGAGGAGTCGTGACGAGAGGATCATGGGCGCGCGGTGAGAGAGGGATACAATGTGCGTGAACATACGCACAGGCGCACACAACAGACGCAAATGGGAGAGATATACCCGCCCACTCACCCCCTCACACACACTCGATGAGGAGAGCGATGTGACTCGATCTACTCACGATGAACGAATCCCTCAGGGACCCAGCCACGGTCTACAGCCCTGCGCGGGATACACGGAGCCACGCTGCGCTTCGTCTCGAAGAAGCGTACGTGCAGACCTGAATTCATGCAGCCCCTCTCCTCTCATCTACTGCCCGTTCCATCATCACCAGGCGGAACGATGGAGCATTTGTGATTCTACCCCGCTGCCTCAGACGCGAGCCATCACGACGTCGCCGGAACGGGAATATTGTTGCGGCAGTGTGGTCCATCGCAATGCATCGCCTGATTCAAGAACACATCCATACACACCCATACATACAAGAGAGCAAGGCCCAAGGGGGAGGGGGGAGACTCCTTATGCTCTACGAGGTGCTATGCTCTGCCGCCTCCACCTCCACCTCGACCTCCGCCCCGTCATGGCCATGATCAGTCAATGGACTGAGTGGCGCCTGGCACTCGCACTCGCATTCGCATTGTCATTGGCATTTTGGTGGCGACCCGTCTATCTGTTTGGATATAGACAAGGCTGTTGGGACTTTGGCTGGATACTTGTGTCCGGAGGAATGTATATAATGTCGTGTTTCGGGAGCAATTGTTGGCCAGAGAATACCAGGAACCATGAAGAATCTCCTCTGGAGTTGACAGGATATTGGAGAACAGCAAGTGGTTCGCTTGGAATAGAAAGACACGTTCAGTGGCATCCTTTTCGATCGGTCAAGCAGACCACAGGAATTGTAGTTGCTTGCATGGTTTATTCCATCTCCCTCGATACAAATACAAGCCAGTCAGCCCTTGGTCACTCCTGTCTGTCCTCCTCTACCCGCGGCTGCTTAGATGCCGTGCTGTCCTGGCCTTCTCCATTCGCACCGTTCGCTGCCTGCTGACCCTGCCCTTCTTCGGTGATGGTCTCCATCCTATCCGCGTTCCGTCTCTCTTCCTCCTCGCGTGCTCTCCGCTCCCTCTCCAACCGATGTTCCTCTTCCTCCATACTCATCCGCAACGCCATGGCAAGTTCTGGATCTGCCGCGGCATCAATGCCGAATTCGTCAAATCGACCGGCTCCGCCGCCACCAGTCTCGACCCCTTCCATACCACCCGCTCCTCCAGCTCCCATGTCCCCACCCATGTTGACTATAGGCGTGGTAATGAGGCTGTCGCTCAGCAAACCCGGCCCAGGAGGGATGGCGGCGAGGTTATTTCCCTCTCCTGACGAGCCACCCACAGCTTCAATGAATTTCTCCAGTATTGACTTGGTACTTGACTCAATGGCGTCGCCAAAGGCGACAAAGTCGACCGAAACGTTGTTCTTCTTGCACTTCTTTGCCAGCTTGATCAGTTCCTTCTCTGTGTCGTTCTTGTCTCCGAACTTTGGGTCCAGCTCGCTACATATCAGGACGACGATCCGCTGTCGTTGAGACTTGTTCGCTCTGTGGTGGAGGGCCAGCATCGCCACACTGATTGCCGTGCCTAACCTTATATGGCCCTTGATCTTGGTTTCGTGTAGACCCGCCAGGATGGCTCCGTAGTTGTTTGTGGGTGTTGTGAGAACTTTGGGACCTGTGCCGGCCATGGACATGATACCGACAGCGGATTCGGGATTTGAGGATGTCTTTGCGTTGAAAATGAGGCTGACGGCTTCGGATTGTGCTTTGAATCGGTCGGGGCTGATGGGTCGTTAGTAACTGATCAATCATGATCTTTTTCCTTTACATACAGATAGTCGCCATTCCTGCTGGCTTCGCTGTTGTCAACAACGATCATGGTGGCTTCGAGCACCATGATGGCAGTGTTATACAAGTGATGAGACTTTGGCAGGTATGTCAAGATTTCTTGGTCAAGTCCAAGAGAAGGAGAGAAAGCCAGTCGAGTTTGAGAGTCAGAGCAGAGTGTCAGGGTTTCGAGAAGAGTGTGGTACTGAGAGAAGTTAGGAATGAAGGTGGTCAAGAAGCTTCAGTTTCCTGCCAGCCGCAGGCGCAGGCGTAGACGCAACGCGTCAATCAGCAGGAAGACCCTCACTGACCCTCCTTGGCGTACTTCATGCGGAGTTCTTGAGCTGCCCTCCAGACCCCGAAGGATGTTATATACACATGCAATTGACTGACTGTGTGACCGGCACCCGTTGGAGCTTGATGTTGCTTCTGCGTTGGCGATGGCTATGACGGAGATGATTTCTCCTTGAGCAGATCTCTCGTCACAGGTGCTCGTCTACCTCGTCCCCAGTCACAATGTAAGTGCCCATCTCACAGCAAATTCCCCTCTGGCTTCTTTCTCCCTGCGCAATGCTTCTGAAGTGCATAGAGATTTGACAAGCTCATCCCTCGTCTTGCCCTCCAGGCCCGTCTTCGCACTCCTCATCATCTCCAAAGCCGGCTCGCTCATCTACCACCGCACCTTCCCAACCACCTCCCCGGGCACCGCGGCCGGGAACCTGACTGGGCAAAGCCAAACCCAGACGGTGGGCACTTTGGGACTGCCAGGAACCTCGACACTGACGACGAACGACTACCTCGTCCTGGCCGGCACATTCCACGGCGTCCACGCCATCACGCGCTCCCTCACCCCCAAGCTCCCTGTAACGTCTTCGGCCACGACCCCTTCAGGAAAGAACTGGACGTATCCCGACCCGACCGTTCTCCCTTCAGGCATTGAGTCCCTCGAATCCTCGTTCTTCCGGCTCACGGTCTTCCAGACGCTAAGCGGGACAAAGTTCTTGTTATTCACCGACCCGAGCATGCCCAATACGGATCTGCTCATGAAGGGCATCTACGAGAGATACGCCGACTACGTGTGCAAGAACCCCTTTTGGCAGATGGAGATGCCCATCAGGATAGAAGCATGGGACAGGAGTTTAGGGCAGTGGTTGACGAGGCGATGAGGAGCATCCTCGTAAATCTAATGTTTCTTGAACGTGGGAGCGAACTCCGGAGACTACACTTGAAGGAAATATAGGTTGAGACCAACCATGGCCCATGTCAGGCAGAGCTACCGGCAAAAGAGCATACTGCATCAGTCCCCCTTTGTGTTGGCTGAATATGCTCTATGGTGGAAATTTAATGCCTTGGGACCACGATATACCGCTCGGCCTCGGGTAGAGGCCGACACCGTCGACGACATTCGAAGAGCAAGAGCGATCTCGCACCGTATAGTGCAGAAAGGGGTTCTCCGGGGATTCAATCAGCTGGAGCACGTCCATTCAACCTCCCCGAAAGCAGGTCCTCGACTAGAAAGCGCAGGCACGTATCTTCGCTTTCCTCACAGGACGCTGATACAGTTTGGGGGAAGAGGGAGACTTCGCGGGCGAGCAGCCAAGCAGACTCGGATCCAGCAATTTCTCGCTCCATGGACTCTTTCAGTCGACCTTGCCTCGATCCGACCACGGGAATAGACAGGAGTCTGGGACGAGCAGGATAGAGACAAGGAAAAGATTCATGAATGTCGAGAGAGGATATTCTGATCCATAGAATCGTGCAGCCAGGCATAGATAGACATTCTCGTCCAGTCTCGTTGTCGTTGTCATTGTCGTTGTCCTCCTCCAGCCTGCAAACAATATAGAGCATGAAATTATCCACTCAAAAGGGAGGGCTGTTCACCTGACTCTCCCATCTCCTTCTCATAGGGAAATAATTTGGATGCACATCCGTCCCTGCATGTAACCAAACCGGCACCGTCGCAGTGTGTGCGGCCTTGCCATTCATGCCCAATCGTAAGTCGTCACCACTACCCATACCCCCCCTCTCTCTCACTTTCCTACAACTCCCTACTAAAATCAGAGCCTTTCTTCCTCTGTCACCCCGCGTGAGCGCAACTGAACCCCTTCCTTTCGTTTTCGTGGCTCCGCTGTCAAAGTTTGTGTTGGCCCGTCTCTCTCCCTCTTTTCGTCTCATCTTAGCTATGTGGCCAAGGGAGCCCGGGAGGCCCCGGGGCCTGCTGGCTCTGAGCGCCTTTCTCCCCCACCGTGAATGTGGCAAGGGGGGCGCCGAACATGTCCATACTTCTTCCCTTTGTGGCGGGGGTTCAAACCCCGAGTGTGGGCGGGAGTTTTTGTGCTGCATACTACCCAGAACTGCGTTGTAGATACTTACGTGGATGGACAAGAAATCAATCCGAGCCAAAGTGAAGCCGTGCTAGGCCTGCCCTTTGAAGATTGCAAGCTGGGTTGTTTGCGATTCAAGCGCCGGAAACCCGTGTACTCTACTTTGGGCCATGAGGACAAGTGTGATGGCAGGGGTGTTTCTCCAGGCTGGACCGTCCGGCGCCAGACTTTGTGCGGCGTTTTATTCGAGACCATGACCTAGATACAAGCAGACAGACCGGCTTAGTGTTGGGTGTAATCCCACCTCCTCTTTAATCTGCTTGCATCAATCACATTGGCCACGCTCTGCTGCCACTGTTGAGGCGTCACGAGCATAGCCGCCCCTCCCACGCCCACTGTGGCATACGAGGTCGCGGCGGACATAGGCAGCTGCGAGTTCGACGCCATTTGCGGCGATGAATCCTGATACGACTGCGCCTGTTGTGCCGAGTAGTAGTGTTGTTGCTGTTGCTGTTGTTGTTGCGGCTGCTGCTGCTGCTGTTGTTGCGCTGTGTAGCCCCCCGGCAGCGAAGTTGTCCCGTAGGTGGGGGAGTTGGTCGAGGTAAAGCTCGCTTGTTGCATGGAATGCATATTCCCAGGAGGCGACGCACCGCTGCCCCCGTACAGGGATGGAGGGGGAGCCAGCGCGGATTGAGGAATGGCGAACGCCGTGTCGAACTGGTCCATGATCGGAGTCGGGTTCCACTGGATTTCGGTCGCCGACGTCGGCTGCTGGTAGTATCCACCCGCGGAGCTCGGAATGCTTGAGTAGGGCGTCTGTTCCAGCTCGTAGTTCTGAGCATACAAGGGAGTCGGAGGTTTGGAATCGGCTGTATAGACCGAAACAGGCGGGGTGGCCAGGTATGGACTCTGGCGCGTCATCTGGCTCAGGTGCTGTGCCGCATAGGGACCAGCCTGGGCTTGCTGCTGCTGCTGCTGCTGTTGCTGCTGAGATTGCTGAAGATCGACGAGCTTCTGGCCCTGTGACGGCATCGGCGGCTGCTGTCTCTCGTAGGACGGTGGAGATACGGGAGATGGTCGCGAATTGTCAGAAGGCGTCCCGTGGGGGAATGACTCTTTCAGTTCAAAGGGCTTGTTGACGTCGGCTGAAAATGCCGCTCGAAGAGCATTGATTTGAGCCTCTGTTTCTGGCATTGGCCAAGCCGAGACACATCGCTCGAGAATCCTCATTTGTCGGACAAAGTAGTCTTTGGCTTCGAAATTGAACTCAGGATCCGGCGAAGAAAACGCAACCAGATGAATCATGATGCAGGTCAAGATGGCGTAGATGGTGAAATTGATCCCTCTCTGCATGACCAGAAGACCCGTCAGATCGAAGTTGGCCAGGATTCCTTCTTGTAGTCGACAAAGGATCTTGGCCGAGTTGTAACATACACTCAGATGATGTCTCCACTGACTATCAGGAGGAAAAGATTGAGAGGCTGAAAGCTGTGGTCGATGGAACATCACGATTGCCAAGTGATAGTGAGAATGCATGTTGCCCAGAAAATGTGAAGTCACATTGGGCGTCGCACCCGTCGGCGGCAGCGGGAGCTGCAAGTCAGGTGGGAGCTCGTCAGGCCATTTCTGGAACGAGGCGTTATATGCCACGAACTCTTTATCCAGGGCCCAGTCCTTCTTCCTCTGCAGCTTGCGGTGGACATCTGTGATGAGACGAATGTTCCGGACATTGCGGACGAAGTATGCGAATTGTCTGGAGATTGACCTTTCGTAGTCGTCTACCTCAGAACCGGGCGGGCTCTCACTAATATCAACGGAATTCGGATCGACCCCGAAATCGGTGCGCCCTGAATACATGTCAGTCACTCCAATCGCTCTACGACAAGGACAGCAATATTCACCTTGCGGGCCTCCTACCATGGTCTCACAAACCAGAAGTGTCTGCCAAATTCGAGTCTTTGTTAAGCACTCGATGGGGTCGGAACCACATGGCTCCCCCAGAGTGTGGATCTCATGGTGTTGATGTAGTTCGAGATCTTTCGCCATGGTGATGGCCGTCTTACAAGTCATCCACGAACGATAGTAGTATCCTCTTTTGGGCGCACTCTCTCGGGCTTTTAGCAGGAGCAACAAGGCTTGGAGATTGCTCAGGCTTGGACTGTCCAAAAAGAACGGTTCATGTTCTCCCCAATGTTAGCAGCGCACAGTCCAAGGGACTTATAGTACTTACTATTGGCCAGAGCGAGCCATTGTGCGCCCTGGGCTGGATCATCCGATAGTCGACCGGCATTGGCGAAAATTGCTTCGAGGATAAGAGGAGAGATGGACGCTTGATCACGATGCCACTGGTTGTAGAATTGGCGCCTGTTCAACACTGGAACATATGGATGGACATTATTGAAGTACAGCTCAAAGGTCTGCATCGCCTCGTCGTGCGACGGCATCAGAGCCGGAGGAATCCTGATCTGAGAGCCTGCATCGGTGCTGAACGCAGCAGCAATCTTTGGCTCCGGGTCAGGTTCCTGAATCGGGGGGTCTAGTTCTTTGCTGCTTTTCTCCGATCGAATATAGGGTGCAACTCCGCTCTCACCAATCTTCAACTGACCAAGGTGCTCCATAAGGTCTTCGGCCGTGACCTCGACTGGGGAGGACCCAGCCCGCTCTTGTCTGAAAGGCTTCTCGTCATATTGGGTCTGCGCATAGGTTTGCGGAGCATCCTGATAGGGGTCGTGCAAAGTCTCATCAAATTGATGGGAATCCGAATAGAAGCTGTCGTAAGGCTTTTCGGCGACTTGAAACGATGGCTTCTGGTAATTGGTAACGTACGCATCGTAAGAGTATGGGTTCCCTTGGTTGAGTTGGAAGGCTGGCGCTGTGGGCGCATAACTCTGGGCTTGTTGTTGGCCAGGTGCGGCTGATGCGGCCGAGTATGATGGCGGTCCGCTCGTCTCTTCGCCAGCACTTCCGGGCGCGATATCTCCTGAATCGCCTTCGAGTCCTCCTGCGGGAGGGATACACTGGAGTTTCAGCCGAACACAGGCGGCGCAAGGCCAAGTGTTGGTTGTGGCGGAGTCACATTTGATTTTCCGCCGACGACATCCTTCACAGGCTCGCATCACCTTGAGCCGCTTATGTCGGTTATGCTCATCGACAAAGACGTAGTTCTTGGGGCCCGAAGGAGGCGCGGATGACAGAGAATAGCTCTGCATGGTGGCATCTCATCCACTCGGACAGACACCACATTGGGTAAGTGCGAGAACGGCGGGTGCCTCGATCGAGGAGTTGTGGCCGTGGCGGGATTGTCCAAGATCGAATCAATGACTAACTCGTGGATAAGCAGGAGCAGGTGGACGGCCGGATTGTGCGCATATAAGAAGGGCCGCAGGAAAGAGATCTGTCGCAAAAAATGGCCAGTGTTGACGTCCGACCACAGATAGGAAGAGGTCAAAGGTGGGTGGGTGCTAAACTAATGGGATAGTAGGATGGTCGATGATGGGGACAACCCTTAGGACACCTCTTTTCGTGTAGCGCAAGCTCGAAACACAACTTCGACCTCGGCACGTTGGGACACCGTCCAGGCCTGCGAAGACACAGGTTCAGGCAGAGACTGGCGGGGGATTCACAAGACGCCCGACAAAATTGTTGGCAGAGGCAAAATGTCAAAATCTTCAGTAAGTGTGAGGCATCAGGCGTGAAGATGCCTGGCCATAATCCAGTCTCGAGACAAGCAGACGCGGTGGTTCCGGCGGCAGCGGGCGGAGCTTTCCAAGGTTGACAAGGACTCGGCCTTGTGCACATGCGAACAACGGGATTCTCAAGGTACGAGGGGACACCGTGCTCTTCTCCCAAGACTGGAAGTCAGCGTCCGTGGGGTTGGCACCGGGTGGCCGTCGTATCCTACCAGCCTGGGGGAATGCCGCAGTCCATTCGCATGCTTGGTCGAGCAACCAGCACCTGATCCTTCAGGAGGCGATGATCTAAGAATCAAGATATAACGGACTTGATGGGAAAAGCAGCTCCGAGGGTTTCAGATTGGAAGGGTGCGCAGGTCCATCAAGGCTTGGTGTGGTGAACAACTAACACCTACAAGGGTAAATGCTGTTCGGCAGACGAGGAGTGGTGAGCGGTTGGTGGTGCTGGTGGTGCTTGTGGTGCTTGTGGTGGTATGGAGGCGGTGCTGGTAAACGGACGAGGGAATCATGGGTGCTCACTACTTGCTCACCCGCTCACCCGCTCATCTGTTGACCAGTTCGCCTCTTTGACCTCCTGTTGGCCTCCTGTCTGAGGGGCTGTGGTGGCTGTCAGCCCTAAATGCAACGTCAGGAAACCCAGCTTCACCGGACCCTTGGGCTTCGACTCGCCCGCCCTTGATGGCGTGCACAAGCCTGTAACCAACGCCAAAAGATCCCATGGTAGAGTGATTTGCACTCTTACGTCTACACAACATTCGACCATTCAGCATTGTTTTGCTTCCTCTCCCAGCGTCCAGAGCTCTTCGGACCTTCGGGGCATTGAATTGCAGCCACCAACTTACCGAGCATGGACGGGTACGAGTAGTTCACTGAGCAAACACCCCGAGCTTGGCCTTCTCAGAAGAAGCAAATTCATCAAACAAGACTCTGTAAGTGATGTGGCTGAACGGTTATGCTGGTTTTTCTACAGCGTACCATCGCTGCTACTATGGCTTCCGTGATACAAGGATCACTCCGCAAGCAGCTCCTTAATTCCCTCTTACAGTCTCAGGGGTTTCAGCGCTCCCTACTCCCTGACTCCCGATAGCTCGGACATTCGTCGCAGACTAGACAGGCTTTCCCCCTGGATTGCCAGATGTAACGAACTAGAAAACCAATGTCAGAGAGAGCGCGGTGGCGGTATCCATTGTGCAACGACCCCTAACATTCGTGCTCTCACTGGGTTATGTCGTTGTAGACAAACAATGCTTTTGCCTGCACCACAGTCAGCCCTTGCAAGATGTGAAAATCCTGCTGTGTTCTGGAAAGACGAGATTCTCAGGTTGAGAATGCCTGTGGTCGTTGTCATGTATCACTGTCGGGTCGCCTAACGTCCCCTCTTTCTCACCGGCCCAGGCCCAGGCCAGTCTTAGGCCCATCTTATTCAAGCATGAACTCGCCGAGGACTCTCAAAAGATGGACTCTTGGAGAGGCTGTGTAGTGTCTCATCACTTCATCGATCTAATCAGATGTTCTCAGAGAGCTGCCCTGGCACCTAGCCATTGTGGATTTCACGGACCTATTGGCCGAACTCCGCCAACGCGGGCGATGTCAGTACCGAATACGCAGCGGTATATTCGGGCAGACGGCCGCAAATGGGAAGGCTGACAGCAACCGGATGAGATCGCGCATGTGGTGAGAATGAACCTGAATTCACGCCATCTTCTAGAATCCTTCCTTCTCCTTGCCACTCATCAGGCGAAAAAGGCTGACGGACGGAAGAAGTAAAGTTCCAGAAGTCTTGAGACATGTCGATCAAAGGCGAGGAGGGGTGGACCGCAGCGGGGAGCGCGTCAGCTGTGCAGGGGCGGAGAACGAGGGGCCATTCCTCCTTTGCCACAGCCAACGCCTTGGGAAAGGCGAACAGACATCACCTGTGGCATATGGCAACTGAGACAAGAGTTCTGATTTCATCTTTGTGGCCATATGCTGTGTGAAGTCAATCAGCGGCAAGGCTAGGCGTCGGGTGCCTCCGTTCCAAAGGTATTCTTGCAAGCACGCGCCAAAGAACGATCACTCAACACTGTGAGAGGACTCCGCAGCTTACCACCCTCCGAGCTGGTCACCACTAGTAGTAAAAGGCCAAACAACTAGACAGTGCCAAGCTTGCGGAGCACGTGATCGACCTCTCCGAGATTTACGTCCTGCGTCCTTCGGCCTCGCCTCGATTTCCAACTTCAGGCGCAAAATCCATCTTCCGGCAACTGCGACGCCAGCTTCGTACTCTTAATCATTTCTCTTCGTCCCTAGTTGTGATCTTCTCTTCTCAGAAAAATCCCGCCGGGTTAACTCTCACGCGATGGAAGAGGGAAAGAATGCGAATCCGCTGGTCCTTAACCCGTCAGATCTTCCAACCCGAAAACGGCGAGCATCAGCCCGAGATGACCATACTGTCGGCCACTCGACCTTTGCGTATCCCGCGCCATCTTTTGCCGTCGACCCTTTCACACGTTCGGCCAGTCCGTCCTCTCTCGACCCGAGTGACAGCGACGCCGAAGAAGAGCCTATTGATGCCCAGGAGATTTACGACTTAGTAGCCACCATGTCTGACCCTGAACACCCTATTACTCTAGGCTCCTTAGCCGTCGTTTCCCTGCCCGACATTTCCATCAAGCCCACCATTCCGAACCGTCCGAATTCAAATCTCCAGACAGTCACGGTCTTGATCACTCCTACAATCCAACACTGCAGTTTGGCCACCGTAATAGGACTGGGAGTGCGGGTCCGGCTGGAAGAGTCGCTCCCTCCCAGATTTAGGGTTGACGTTAGGATCAAAGAGGGTACACATTCAACCGCCGATGAAGTAAACAAACAATTAGCAGACAAAGAGAGAGTGGCTGCGGCTTTGTGGAACCCTACATTGCAGAGTTTCATCAAGAAAATGCTCGAGACTTGTGAATGAAAGAAAATACAGACTAGCAAAAGGATTTGGAGCCGCAATCCACATGTTCACCGAGGTGGGCGACACCATGAAAAAAGCATACACCCGAGTCCCATGAAGATTGATATCGACAGAAGGTATCCTCAAGAAGCCATTTCCACCGGCAAGGGTGGCCCCGGGATTGATCCAGCACGTGGAGACTCAAAGGACCGGGCTTTGGCAGCCTTTCACGTGATGGCCATGAGAGCGTAGTCCTTGGCTTCCGCCTCTGCAACTACATGATACCCTTTAGCGAAGATGCCGGATCAGGCCACGTCTTGTCATGATCATTATTACTCAGGCAGGTGGAGGGACGAGACAGCCTTGGTCAACAGGCGCCAAACAGCCAGAAACCGGTCGATGAAGAAAGCGACAGTGGTGGTCTGCTGCTGACGCACGGACAAGCTGAGTGCTCAGCTTCTGTGGGGATTCAATTGGTGGTGCTCGGCTACTAAGTACCCTACACGGGAATAAGTCTACTTGTGCACCGGACGGCTACATGCACACTCAGCATTGGCAGATATGTCACGCATACTTATAGATTATGTGTCAGGCTCCCAAGGCTGACAGAAGCGAATATGGCTCCGGGCAGAGCTTTGATGCTGCATATCGAGGTTGAGGAGCATCCGGAGATGCCAAAATTCAATCCAATCTGCTTGGCCTCGTATTGCCAAGCTGGAACCATGGAATCACTCCAAGTCGGGCAAGGCACATACGAGGTAACAAGACGGAGTATACCGGATAAAATACCTGTAATTACAACCGAATTCCGGCCATTGGCCTTCTTCAAGGACCCTACGAGTGCTCCTTGGGGAGGTCAACACATTCCAGTTCTGTACACACGTCTGCGATCGTGGCCTACGAGTAACAATCACTTCCAAGACTTGTCATGGTGTTCGATATACTCGCAACAGGAAGTACAGCGGTGCCTGTTTGATAAAAGTACTTGGCTCTTGAACGCATCTCATTCTTCGTCTCATGTGAGTGCTCAGTGGTTGGGATTTGCACCGGCTCGGATGTGTTGCGCCTTTGTGTTTTGATTCAGCTGCGGCCTTCTTCATACTATGCTGCAACCAAACACATTGAAGTAGGACGGTTTAGCACTCTTCTGTCCACCAAATTCGCTGTGCTCTTGTCGTCAAACGTGATCGAGTTGCGGCCTTGGATTGCGCGACTTTGGCATGGCCCCGAAAACCACTCCCGAAGGAAGAAGGCCGACCATCACAATTCTTAGATGCGGTCGTTAGGCCACGGTCGCAGATATCTGCGCAGACTAACAGACTGCACTGTCGAACCGCCGAATCAAATAAGTCTGATGTGTCTGATATACTCACAACAGGAAGTGTATAGCACAAATCGCATCTATCTTCGATGAGATGTTCACCATGATCTTGACTTTTACCTTCTGCGAATGCGTCAAGGTAGCATAGTCAATGGAGTCGCAATTCTCGTGAGTCTCTATCATTCCTGGCCCATCAAACTCGTCTGACTTGGCGGTATGATAGTGTACTGTGTTAGTTCTGCGTCAAACTCAGTCCGTGCCTGGGTCAATTGCGCCTTTGCTCTCGGTAGAGGCTGCAAAGTCCAACTTGACAAAAACTGTCACCACGGAGCCAAGGATATGGAACTTCTACAGTTCCTAGAGAACGGCCATGCCAAAAAAGCAAGCAAGCTCGAAGGCTCAAAGGAATAAATGAAGACGGACACAGAGCGGCGCACGGCGCAGCTTGAGGACGAATCTGAAATGTGCGAGAGCATGCTGATTTGGATTCGCACACTGCGGCCGCGAGCTGGAGGTCCATATGTGTGCCGTCTCCGTGCATTGCATTTTGATCAAAGAAGATTGACCCTATCTCCGAATGTTGCTGCGACCATGAGCCGTGAATTGGGATAGGTCAAAACCAGCAGTCCCACATATAGCCCCGGCAATACTATGTATGCGACATTCGACAGGTGGCCTACCTGATGTGGCTATTTTCTGAAACAACCTCATTTCAAACCACGTGTTGCTTTTTGTTTTCTTTTTCCATCCCACTTTGGCGGACGGGAGAAAAGGGGGCGGCCGTGGCCTGTGGGAAGCGACTATTGATGTTTTGCAACGTCAAGCGGAAGTTACCCTGTGCCAGCAGGAGGGAGGAGGCGAGATGGTCCTACCCGTGTAGAGTGGGAGCAGTCTCAGTGGACAAGATGGTGCCAGAAGCTGTGGAGAGGTACCAGGGCCTGGCACTGATTGGTAGTTAGCGTCGAATCCTCATTCCCAAGTTCGTGACGGCTCGGGATGCGATACTGGGAGTCGTGAATCTCAACGACAATGTTGGTACAGGTGTCTGAGGGGAGCATTGTGCTTCCCAGTGAAGACGACGGGCTTCAGAAGAGATATGCAACGATGAGACTGTCAATTGACCAATGTTAATACTTCCACTGGGCGCGCCCGAGTATTCCTCAGCTCAGCTCACTTCCAAGGTTGTTTTTTTGAAGGACACAAGACAAAGCCGGCATCTTTCCGATTCAACATGCATCTGCTCTCGCCGCTCGATCGCTGATGGTGTTTACTGCTTTCTTGCCACGTCTAGGAACCATACGAGACCACTTCGCGATTGCAAGACTTGATGGAAGTTGAGCGTCGTCGAGGCTGCGGCAGTCACTTTGGAGCACTCAAGCTTGGAAGGCTGTGTTGGTTTCCAGGTCGATTGTCTTCACATTTTATGATAACGAATGCGAGCTCACTGATCTGAAACAGGATTTTGATGCAGATTTTGTCTTCGTTTTCGATCAGATTCCTCCAAGCGACCCTTCTGCCCAAGACTCATGGCTCCTCGACAACACGCACTTATCTGTCTGCCGCGTTACTTTTCCTTGTACAAGCTCAATCCTTCCATGGTCCTCAGATCCTCACCTGAAACATCTGCCACTGCTTCAAATTAGTACAACTGTGAGAGGAATACTCGGACATGACTGCGAGGTGTGGAATTGGAGCGCGCACAAGAGATGGGCGGCTTTAGCAAGAGAAAGATCGTTCAGATGCTGCAGTGCTGCAGTGATATCTCAGGATGAGACGAGGCTATTGCTATGAACAGGGCGACGATATCCATCTGCTGTACTCGTAGAATACCTCCCTGTCACCTGCTCGCACATATTAACCAGGTACCTAAGTGTGCATAGAAATGGTACTGATTCTATGTCCCCGAAATGTCACGTAATGGTCAGTACCTGGGTACGGCGTATACGAAATTACCAGGCACTACTGCCTGGGTAGTAAGCAGAGCAACAAACTTTGCCTGAATAGGCAAGAGCCGGATCGGCGCAGATCTAGGCCTTGCTGTCCACTCACTTGCAGCACGTGGGAGAATGCGGCTTCTCGATTGGCAGACAAAAGTTAAAAAGCACCTCGCGCCCTCCTTCACTATTGAACACGCGAAGTTTTCCATTCCCCAATTTTATTTTTTTTTTGCTCGTAAGCGATCACACGATTGTGCTTAGCTCTGGTGCTTGGTTTGAAGAAGATTTCAGCGCAACGAGCAGGCCGATGGCGACTGGCGCCGCTCATATGCCGGGTGGAGGGAAGGGCGGTTCGAGAATCAAGCAGCCGGCAGCGAGCGAGCCCAGCGAGCCCAGTGAACTCGGGCAGACCATCCAGGCGCCATGAGGGCGCTCGGCGCCCGCCCCAGAGGGTCGTATCCTCATCCCAGTAACTGTAGCCGCATGTTGATGCAAGCGGCCGAGTAGTGCGGGCGGTGGCCAAGGCGTTCACGCTCAGATCAACCTCACCTCCACCGAGCTATCGTCTACAATCACCGATCTATGTACCCATCGCATGCGTGTTCCGAGCTCAGTTGATATCATGACAGCCACTGTAGACCTCGGGGGCGATAGAAGTGACGTTTGGTAGGAAGAACCATGATGAAAACCCAAGCATTGGCATATGCATTTTCGTGTTGGCAGAAGTGACCGAGTAGGAAGGACATGGTTTGCTGAAGGTCCATGACATACAAAAACAGCTCCTTGGCAAATGGAGCTGTGAGCACAAACTTTTGTCGCGTGTCAAGCGCAAAGTCTTTATCTCCGTCATGGATTTTGACTTGCCGAATAGTAGCGCCCTAGGCATTCTCAATGTTAATAATTTTGGTTTCTTTTTCTTTCTCAGCCTGCGTGTGCCTCGTGCCCTCGTGCCTCGTGCCTGCGGTCTTTCGCCTTGAGCACAGTGCTCTGTGCAGTGTGCAGACTGCGCCCCCGTCAATCTCGAGACGCCCGAGACAACGATCAGTCGACAGTATTGCTCCAGTAGCACCTCGTAGAGTGATTCCTTCTTCGCTCCTCCTCGTCCCATGTCCACTATGTCCACCATGTCCACCATGTCCCGCTTATGATGACCCTTGTCGGCAATGGTCCATCCACTGTTTGCTTGCTGATGAGCATGCTCCATCCGACCCATCGCTCCACCTACGACCCTACGACCCTCCCACGGTAGCCTTCGTCTAGCCCTCTAGCCCTCTCGCCCTCTCGCCCTCTTATCGTGCAGGCCGGTCCAAACCCAACAAGTCATATCATCCGCCTGCAGCACTCGCCCCCCCTCCTAATCTCATCGATGACCCTTGCCTGCGCCGATACCAATAACGTCGGCACGCTGCACGCCCATCGTGTACCCAGGTGGTCGCTTGTGGACGAATGAATCGAGCGAAGTGCGGCTCGTGGCTCTCTCACGCCTACTTTTGGTATCCTTCGCCCGTTGCCAGCTCCCCTACAGTCTCTTTCGAGGCGTGTCGATTGGACCACCCGGCCCCTGCGAGGCATCCGTCAGTTCCGTGCGACAAGCCTTTTACCACCTCGACCTGGGGCTTTGGGCTTGTTGCTTAGCCCATGTCCGTCCACTCTCAAGCTTTGGCCAATCGCCGAGCTGCCTTGGCTGTCGTCAAGATCGTTCCTTATTTTTCGGTCGCCTCTCCGCTTTTCGACACAAGCTTCTGGCGCCCTTCTGTTTCCCATAAAACCGCGGGTACCCTTCTTTAACTTTGCTTTCCCCTTTGCCAACCTCACACTGTTCAACAACATCTTCACTTTCAACAGCCAGCGGTCACTGTATTATATCCTTGGTATACATCCCAGTGATTGATACACCATGGCTGGCAACGGAGAGGACGAGGTCACGAGATACGGGCCCAACCCTCCTCATGGACCCGATGTCTCGGGCACCCACGCTCCTTTTGAGGACCCTCATATCGACATGACCTCGAACGAGAAGGACGTCTTCCGATACCTCCTGAAGCCCGATGACTTGTACGACGAGAACGGAATCTACTGGGCTGACCTTCCCATCATGAAGCGAGTCAAGTTCGTCTCCAAGGTCAACCGACAAGAGACCAAGAGGGAGTTGGCTGCCTTCTGGCAAGTCTTCAAGAACGACCCTCTGGCCCCTGTTGGCTTCTACTTCCGCAACATGGTTCTCCCCGGTGCCGGTCTTGGTCTCGAAGGTTACGTGCTCTTCTCCATTGGCAACGTCACGCCTCTCTTCCAAGCCGCCTTCAAGGACTGCTGGAAATCCAACAAGATCTGCAGCAAGACCTGGATCAACGCCATCAACTACCTCGAAATCTGCGGTATCATTTGCGGTCAAATCCTTGTCGGCATCATTGGTGACTGGATCGGCCGTCGCTGGGGTCTGATCCAGGATGCCACCATCATGTTCATCGGTCTCATCATGCTGGTCTGCTCCTGGGGTGTCACCCAGAACGGATGGGTTATCTGCTACGCCTGGTCTCTGTTCTTCTACGGTATTGGTGTCGGTGGTGAATATCCCATGACTGCCACCTCGGGTATGGAGAACGCTGTCGGCTCCGGCAAAGTGTCGACCCGTGAGGATCGCCTGCACAGAGGTCGCAAAGTCGTCAGCGCCTTCTTGATGCAAGGTTGGGGTCAATTCTTCAACCAGGTCATCCTCATTATCCTGCTCTTGGTCTTCCACCACGGTAGCGGTAACGCCCCGTACTCCAAGGTCGCTGCCCAGTACACCTACCGTGTCTCTTTTGCCATCCCCGCAGTTGGTACCGCCTGGCTCATCTACTTCCGTACCTTCAAGGTCAAGGCCGGCGCCAACAGGCAATTGAGACTCGCCAAGAAGAAGAACTCCGTCACCGGCTACGACGTCGAATCGCTCAAATTGACCTTCTACTACTTCGGTGGCCGTGTCATCGCCACCGCTGGTACCTGGTACATGAACGATATTTTTTTCTACGGCAACAAGCTCTTCCAGAGCGAATTCATTGACGTCATCTCGCCTCACTCCACATCCATCATGCCCGGCTGGTTGTACAACCTGATCAACGTGGGTGTGTCGCTCTGCGGTTATTACCTGGCCAGTTTCTTGGTCGACAACAAGCTCTACGGTCGCAAGCACATGCAATCCATCGGTTTCTTGATGGATTTCATCTTCTTCATCATCCCCGGTACCCAGCTCAAATACTACACTTCTCCCAACCACATCAAGGAGTTCCAGACCATGTACTTCTTGTCCTCGTTCTTCCAGCAATTCGGCCCCAACTGCGTCACCTTCCTGGCGGCCGCCGAGGTCTACCCTGTCGCCGTCCGTGCCACCGCCCACGGTTTATCCGCTGCTGTCGGCAAATTGGGCGCTTTGACCGCCGCTGTTGGCTACAGCTACTGGTCGACCCAGACCAGATTCTGGATTGTCCCGTGGTTCGGTCTTGCCGGTGTCTTCCTCAACGTTCTTTTCATGCCAGATACCACCGGCCTCGATCTCAAGGAACAAGAACGCCGCTGGGCGTACATCCGCGCTGGCCGCGAGAACGACTACCATGGAATTGCCATCCATCCCAAGCATCTGTCCTTGTGGGAGCGCTTCCGTGGCGTGAGCAAGCCGTATGATCCGGAACTCGACTTCAAGCAGCGCATCGAGGAGATGCGTGGCGAGTGGGAAGCCCGCATGCAAGCTAGAGCCGAAGAGAAGGAGCATGACGATCTGGCCATGGCTGATGATGAAGACTTCCACTCCGATGTCTCGTCGTACTTCAAGCGTTCCACGAAGTCACCCAACCTTCAGGGCATGGAGAACGAGAAGATTCCTGAGGATCGGGGATTGAACGGCGAGAATGGTATCTAAGTGCCTTTGTGTTTCGGATATACGGAAATGGGAGGCTAGTACAAGGGGGACGAGGTGAAATCTGTGACCAAGCAGAGAATGTGACAAAAGCAGGATAGACATTGTGTGTTGTTGTTGCTGCTGCTGTGTGCTGTGGATGTTAATCAAGGCAAGCCTGGATCCTATGGACAATATGCATGCGTGTTGCTTTGATTGTGAGAGATACCCCCCTGGCCCAACCCGACCACCCACCAACCAACCCTGCTCGTAATTTTTGTGACCACCATTCTCTTTGTTTCTTTCGATTGATACCACGGCTCAACGCCTGAGAACTATATATACACTGGTACTGCTACAACGGGTACTGATAATACAAAAGATGAAAAATACAGTATATGATCGTGAATGTGAAGATCGGAGATTGAATATGGTACGCCACGAAAGTGTTACAGCTTCTACCAAATAAATTCACCGTGCATGGCTCGTTGGACAAGCAAAGAGCCAAGTTCGGCCTGTTATCAGACGCGCAATGCTCCCTTCTCCTGCAGCCGTTGTGCGTGGATTGTATGCCAGATGAATCGAGTTATGAACAAGAGTGCAAAAGCAAAGCGCGGGGGATTTCATCCTACATACAGTCCTTGGTGGAGGGACGCCACCTGGCCTCACCTGCAGCAGAACAGAGCACAGAGAGGCCAGCGCGAGAACTGATGGGGGGAGACACCACGGACCACGATCCCCCAACTCGTCCTTTTCCCACAGTTCCTATTATTACCTATCGAGACAACTCTCCCTGCAGGGTTGCTCGCCAGAAAGCACCTCAGAGTAGGCATCGCCGACAGGATCGGGCATGCATTTCTCTTTTGAAACTAAACTCGATGGGGGCTTGTGACGGAACAACCACGCCACGGACTCGCTGCGAGAGAAGAAAGCAGCAGAAAGGCGATCATGCTCCCCACCTCCGATAGATTTCCTTGCGGGTTAGAAGAAGCGAGGAGGACGAACGACTAGTGGGCCATCATGGCAAGAGCCCATCGCCCAGTGGGCCCCATTGTACCGTAGGTACTTTGTATTGAGGAGGAAAGCAGCTAGTGGTGGTTTGCCAGATGCGGAATAGGAAGAAGCGACCAAGGGGGGAGGGTAGTGAAGATCATGACGGAAGAAGAAAGCCAACGAGATAATAGTATGAAACAGTATCCTCAGGAAGGAGAGACCGGGAAATCGGTCCGAAGGGGGGTGAAAGGAAGATGGTAAAGCGCTGGATCGGGAAGGGGTTGGGGCCTCAGGCTCCGTATGGCGTCACGGATGGTTGAAAGACTGAAGGTGAAGATGAAGATGAAGATACATACCCAAGTCAGGTTCAAAGCATGAAGGCGAAGTCGAGATAGATTCCCCCTTCCTCCTAACCACCCTTATGCATCAGTATCTCCACTAGATCGTCGTACCGGTACCGACTACAATTCTAGGTATACATTACATACCAGAACTATTCGAGTACAATGTAGGTAGGTACCTACTTAGGTATGAAATGAAGCAATATATACCGACGAAAAGGTTGACTCGCAACTCGGCTTTCATACCTCATCAGGCAATGTAGAAGACACCAAGGATCCCATTCCTTCCCCCTTCCCCCTCTCTCCTTCGTTCAAGTCTTCGTACCTACCTACCGTTGACCCTTTCTGGACAAGGGAATCAATCCATCCTTGATAATTATGTCCACGTTCTCCATAATCTACCTTACCTTACCTTACCTATGCGAGCTAGGGAGGGTCGGGTTCCCAGTCCCGCATCGCTCACTTACCTATCTCCATCATCTTGATCTTGATCTTTCTCCCTGCCATCCTGTGATATCTCTGGGTACATACGTACAAGTGTCCATTCCATCCCCCTCCAAGTCCTCATCGTCATCATTTTTTTCCTTCTTTCTCTGCTGTGTTCATTTTCATACCTAGGTAACTAACTAACCACGCCTACGGCCATCTGTTTCGTCATATCCATTTCCCCCTTTCACCCTCGGACACCGGACGGGAAAGAAAGCTCCGTAGGTAGTGTCAAAAGTTATTCTCTTTCTCTTTCTCTTCCTCTTACAATATGTACTCATCGACTCAATCTACCACCACCCCCAGATCACTCACTCACTCGCTAGTCCGGTCACACACACACACACACACACACACTTCTGACCCCCCATGCCCACTTGACACTCCAAGGACCTCGTTTCTCTCGAGACGGGTTTGGGAAGTCGAAGGTTCCCTATCTGGTAACATACCAAGCCACTAACCAATAGTACCGGGGGAAGTACGACATACTAGTTTTTTCTCAACTCCGCTCCGCTCCGCCCAGCCTCGCCTTACCTCGCCTTACCTCGCTTCACCTCGCTTCACCTCGCGCGCCCGCCCCAGCCAAGAGCCTAACAGAGGGGACGAATTCATGTAGGCTCTGCAATGCGGGACACCGTCGTCCTTATCTGATCGCGAGACTGGGCCTGTCATGCCCGCCCACCGCCGCCTTATATCATACGCTACGTCCATGCCTTGCCCGTTAGATGGCTCTAGGCATCCACTGGACCGAACATTGATGGCACTTGAAAGCCGATGCACAGGATGCCGAGAGCAAAACGTTTGATTATCTTATTTAGACTGTCGTTATCACCGCGTCGTCCACTCTCCCCAGCTTCGGCCGCCCTGTCCCTTATTCCTCCTCAGACACCCATTCTTCCTCCTCCCCCCTCGCTCTCCTCCTCTCAAGCCCACCCACGACCTCCCTCGCCGCGTTCAACGTCCCCTGCATCCCCTCCAGCAGGCGCATCAACTCCACCTCAACCTCCTCATTCGAGGCGTTGGCGGACATCGCAGCCGTGCTGGGAGGAGATGCAGGCGGGACGAAGGCGACGAGGGGGCCGTGCACACCACCCGCCGGAATCGCCGTTACATTCGACGTGACAGAAGAATTCGAGGCCCGGTGCATGTTGGTTGCTGCTGGGTGGGAGTGGCTTGGGCCAGGAAAGCCGTCTTCGCCAATACGCGCCGGTCGTCCCAAAGCATAAGGAGCCGGACGCGGGCCGGATGCCGTCAATGGCGTGGTTGTTGCCGAGGAATACCCGGAGAGCATCGTCCTTCCTCTCCCCGAGTAAAACCCACCCATGTTGACGTCTTCATCCATCGTTGCAGGCCCCGGATGATCTCCATCGTCATCGTCGCGCTCAAGGCCGAAGGGATCCACGTCCGTGGACGAGGCTGAAACGTCACTGTACGCTTCAGATAGTGCCGTCGAGGGTCGAGGGATCTCCTGTTCTTCAGCTTGTACAAAGTCGCCGATCGTGACCGGCATGGTCATTTGGCGAGCTAACGGGGCTGGACGAGTAGGTGTCGGTCTAGACGCGGTGGCAGGCTTCTGGGATGTAAAAGTGGCGGATGGAGGAGACGATTCCACGATTTCTTGCTCTTCATAGTCGTCGGCAACTTTTGCTTCAGCCATGGCGGAAGAGAAAGACCAGTCCATTGTGTTGTGTTTCTTGGTTTTTTGGTCAAGATTACCTCCTACCTCGACCCCCTCTTCTGGTGGGCCTGGGATATCATGACTGCCAGTTGAATCTTCTTCGGATGGGACGTTGATTTGTGGGATGGTCATTGCAGCCTCGGACATCGCGCTTGCAAAGGACCAGTCCATTGTCGCGTGACCGGGTCGGGAAGATGTGATTTCAGCCGGCTCTTGCAGCTCAGGGGCTTTTGTTCTGTTCTTAACAGTCCATTCCTCTTGAGACATCGCAAAGTCATGCGCGGACGTGCTTGGCGGTGCAACAACCTCTGCGGATGAGGCTCTTCTGGCGGTAAGAGATTGGGTATTGGGATCTCGGGGGCCTTTAGAATTGGCCCGCTTCTCTCGAAGTGTAGATGCATCCGCAAGTCTGATGGTCTCTTCTTTCATGGGCGTCGCAGCGTAAGCGGTCTGGATTTTGTCGTCAGTTCTTGGGGCAGCTGCGACTGCGTAGTCGGCTTCATCAAAGTCTCCGAGATCAATGACGTTGGATGCGATAGAGCTGGGCCGGTCTTCTGCCATTGCTCGAAATGGTAAGTCGGATATTCGACGTTGTTCCGGGATCGGAATGAAATCGGTCTTGGTCTTGTATTCGTATGCAGGCTTGTTCTGGTCAAAAAGGTTGGAGAGGTCTGCTCCTCGTTTGACGCGGGCTTCAAAGTTGGCCTTTTGAGCTGCTGTCATCTCCTTTGGGGGTGAAAGACCGCTGGGTCTGGTCAAGCCTTTGGGTGTTTCTTCTCCGGTCATGATTTCATTGGGAGATAAATTCGAGAAATCGGGTATCTCCAAGATTGCAGAGACGCGTTTTTCGAAATCTTGAGTCATGCTAAAGTTCCATTCGTCGTCAGAGTCAATGTCGGCGTCGGGATCCTGGGTAGAAGCAGCCGCTGCGCCACCGGGCATGAACAGAGAGATTCTCTGGCCGCCACTGAACAGCCATGCATAATACGTTTGAACGAGCTCGGTGAGCATGTGTGTTGGGTGCGTTTCTTCCGTGTCTCGCAGGAAATCGTGTTGTAAAACATCCTTCATCGATGGTCGCGTAGTAGCATCAGGAGTAAGTGAATACGAGACGAGTGAGCGTAGACCGTCACTGAAAGTCTCATTTTCTGGGAGAGAGATTGCCTGCTTCAGGCGTCTCATCCTCATCTTGAGTTGTTGACGTTCGCGTAGATCGCTGTTCGGCGGCCGTCCCATTGCACATTCGTAGATTGTGCAGCCGTATTCCCACACGTCGACCTAATAATTTTGTTAGCCTTGACGTGCAGTACATGTAGCTCTCCGAAATGACCATCACTACTCGAATATAACTTACCTCATCTGAATACTCTGGATTTTCCGTCCACAGCTCCGGTGGCATCCAGTGCAGAGTTCCTATGAATGTCTTTCGCTTGTCTGTTTGCGTATCAAGGATTGTGGCAACCCCGAAGTCACACAGTTCAAGGCGACCTTCTTGGTGGATGAGAACATTGGCAGCTGGAGGAAAGACAAAAAGTCAATCTTCGGTTCGGGTGCCAACAAGGGGCTAGGGGAAATGAAGGAAGTCAGAAAACGTACCTTTAACATCCCTGTGCATGATGCCTGCTTCATGAAGACCTTTCAGAGCCTTTGCTAATTCCCGTGCGACAATTATGATGTACTTTTCAGAAAGTCTGTCGTTGGTAGCTCGCATCTACAGTGTCAAAAATCAGTCAACACTGCAGATTTCAGATATCCAGACTCCCAAGGGGCATGGCAACCAGAATACAATGACAGCCAAGCTCAATGTCTTGGGCTAGCAACAGGTTGCTGCAAACTCAGTGACCACGATGTACACAATTAACAAAACTTACCAGGGTCTTGACACTGCCGCCAGGGCAGTATTCACAAACCAGCCACAGTTGACTATGCACGGGCAAAGCTTCGATCATTTGGTTGAGGTTTTCTGCTCCACTCTCTTGAGCTTGCCGCAGGATCCTGATTTCTCGGTTGAAGTCTCGGATCTGTTCGTCCTTATGATCGCCAAAGGCATGAAAATCCGCTTCATCGACGTCAAGGACTTTGATAGCAACAACCTTGGAAGTGGAAAGTTGACGTCTATGATACGAGTCAGGAGAGGAAAGCCGAAGGCCGGAAACCTCAGAATGACTCACCCTTTGTACACTCTACCAAAGCTACCTTTACCGATCAACTCATCAAAAGCATAGTCAGGCTCAAGCTGCTTGGATCTTTTGCACTTCTCCTCAACTGCTCGCTGTTGTTCCCGGGCAAGACGAACCGCCTCACGACGGTGAGCTGTCATGGCTGCAGCTGAGTCAGGATGAAGACTATCCATTGTGAAAGTTGCACCTGCTCGGCGACGTTGTTCGAAAGTTTTTGTTCTCTTCAACCGCTCAGACTCGTCCGCTTCCGGAGAAGACTCAAGGATTTCAAGGGTCTTTTTACGGTGTGCGATAACTTCAGCTTCTAATTCCTCCTCGTCTCGTGTTGCCGGGCGGTGCTTTGTCGCTTCGTTGAATGACTCCTCTGAAAGGAGACGTCGGAGAACAAATTCACGGGTGAGTGGTGTGTACTCTGACTCTGGAGATTCAAGAGCCCCTTGGCAATCCGCGGGAGCGGCTGGCTTTCGTCGCCGATCTTCTGGGACAGTTTGTGCTGGAGTTGCTGGTGGTCTGGCCTTTCGAACACAAAGCGGAGGCGGAGATAGCTCCTCCCAGAGTGCTCTATCTTCTGGATGCTCAAACTCAGAGGTTTGGGCGGTGCCAGCAGGCTCACGTGGGAGTGGAAGCCCTGGTGGTCGAAGAGGTGATTTTTGAGGAAGAGCAGGAGGCTTTTCAAGATCTTCACTAAGTCGGAGTGGAGACTTGGCGGGAAGATGGGGAGGTCTGGCAGGCCCAGCGTCACTTGGCGATTGCTTGCTGTGCTTCTGCCACCAGTTGTCCGGTCGGAGTACTCGTCTTGGCGCGCGAGAGAGTGGAAGACTGGAGTCCTTCTCGTTGAGTGGTGTTGGTGAAGCGTGTAGCGAGAAACTGGATGGCGATACGGCGTTCTCACTGTCCTTTGTTTCACCTAGAAAGGGTGAAGATAAGGCTAAGGCTCCTGTTGAAGTTGCGACTGCAGACTCAGGTGTTGCTGGGCAATATTTATTTCTAGGTGAAGGATTTCGACCAGTGAGACGTGCAGGACGATGCGGAGGTCCACCGGGGCGGTGTTCTCTTCGGGAACCTGCAAAGAAAGGAGACTGTCCGGTTCGAGTCTGGTTATAAGATGGGGTACTTGTCGATGTGGACGAAGAAGGTGGAGAGGGAGATGTATGTGGAAGGCAACTATCCTCTCTGACGGCACCGCGATTATACGGAGATGCTGTCACTCGTCAGCTTGTCACTCTCTCCTTGTCCGAGGGCTTTCCCGTCAGATCAAAATCATCTTGCCGGTTGCAAAACCCAGCGCCGGCGGCGCGAAGGCCGACGAATGATTATTTGGCCCGCGGGACGACTTACAAAGGGGGTCTGGAGCCTTGTCCTCAAGGGATCGTTTCTTTTTGTCGCCTGGGGACATAGTTGTTAGTGATTGTTGAGGTTGTATAGTCGGTGATAGAGAGAAAGAGCCAAAGCAGTGTCGACATGGTGAAGGAAGAGTCCCTCCATGTCGGCTCTCTTGCTGCGTGATCAAAGACTTACCTTGCTAAGGGCGCCAACACACTGCTGTTTCGTTCACTTTGTTGGGCGACACCGAAGTGTACGGCTCTGCCCCAAGCCAGCACAATCGCGAGCTAGCGCCTATGTCTTCACGACACGGAGTTGACCTTGTCGAACTGATATTTTACTGCACAATTGCTATCGGGGACTGGATACAAACGGTGAAAGGGTGTCGTTGTAGATATTATCCAGCCCGAAGCCCTTCTCAACCACTCTTGGCTTCAATCTGGACAGGAGCACCGGCAGCATCCTTCCGTCGTATACGAGGCGGGTAGCAGTCGCGGTTCTGGATATATGGCTGCAGGGGTCGACTCGGTACAGGTATGTGCACAACCAGAACTGGAACCAGCGATGAACGTGAAAAGGGGAAAGGACTTGGCCATGAAGGCGCTATTCCTATAATACACTAGCGTGCACGGACCATCTCAGCCTCGTGATAGACACTACAAGGCTGTGAGGCTTGCGGCTCAACTACATATGACTGCGATAGAGGGTGACAATTTGAGAAGCCAGGTGTGACAGAGGAGTCAATATATCCTGTTCATACCAGTGCGAAGAATGCCGGTATACCTTGCGACCAATATTGCTACCGCGTGACACTCAAAATCCCATCCGCCTCCTTGGGACTATCGGTTTCTTGACCACTCCATTGCTGCCCATCTTCTTAACCACGGTGCCGCCACTTTTGGCCCTTCCGATCAACAAGCGCTCTTTCTCTTCATCTGCCTGGCGCCTTCTCTCCTCTTTCGCCCGATCTTCGGCCATTTGTCTCTCGATCTCCATCTTGCGGTTGAACTCACTTTCAATGATCCTCTTATCCTTGGCGCTGTACTCCTTCGACTTCAAGCTGTAGAAGACACCACCAAGGTCTGCCAGCCAGTGTGGATCCACCGCAGTAACACAACTCATGTACTCCTTGCTGGTCAAGATCAGTTCGTGGTAGACGACATAATCCGGCGGATCCCCAAGCCCGTAAAGAGCCGAGGTGGGATGGAGTTGGACAGTGACGCTGGTGCGTAGGTTGAGGTACTCTCCCACTCCTCGCCGGCGGGCAGCTTGGTGATAGTATCCGGAGCATATGCACTTCCGTATGATATCCCAGTCTGTCCCACACGAAACGAGCTCCATTTTCTGCTGGCCAACCATAATGTCGTGCAATTGCTCCCGAATCTCTTTTGCACGACGCAGTGCTTTGGGATGTAAGAAGTGCCGAACACACCAACCGTCACTGTATCCGTTACTTTTCCATTGTGTATACACGTGCAAAAGCGTTAGATGATCTGACTCGTGCACGAAGAACTTTTCTCTCGCCGCATCCGACTCCTCTTGCCTCTCTTTCGGTCTGTAAAACACAGACGGCACAGATAGCATACTTACAATCGTGAGCATCTCCTCACTGCAGCCGTATTCGGTAGAGGATGTGATAAGCATCTTCGCCAGCGAAGGATCCATCGGAAAGGCGGTCATCGTGCGGCCGATGGTTGTCAGGTCGCCAACGTGGTCCAACGCCCCGAGGGCCCAGAGGTCGAAGAGTGAGGTGGTAATTGTGTCTTGCGGCGGAGGGTCCATAAAATCAAAGTCCAACAAGTCTTTGACACCAAGTGATTTGAGAAGCAGCACCGTATTTGCCAGATTCGTCCTTTGGATCTCAGGAATCGTCTGAATGTACAACTCGTTCTTGAACGCCTGCTCAGTGTACAGATGAAACGCTTTGCCAGGTCCGGTGCGGCCAGCGCGTCCAGCTCGCTGAGAGGCATTGGCTTGCGAGATAGGGGTGATCTGCAACGTGTCCATTCCCATCTTGGGGTTGTAAACTTTCAACTTGGAGTACCCAGCGTCGACAACGTACATGATCCCATCCACTGTCAGGGAGGTCTCTGCGATGTTGGTGGCAACAATGACTTTACGGACACCAGGCGGAGCAGGATCGAAAATCTTTGCCTGGAGATCCGCTGGCATTTGGGAATATATTGGCAGCACCATGAGCTTCGGAGGATTCACTAGCAGGCGGAGTCTCTCTTCAATCAACTCGCAAGTTACCTCGATGTCCTCTTGACCTGTCATGAAGACGAGAATGTCTCCGGCGCCCTGGGAGACATGAATGGCGAGAACTTGCTTGACGGCACTGTCCACATAATCTTCACACGGTGAGCGTGAATACTGAATGTCAACTGGGAACGTGCGGCCAGGGATGATGAATTCTGGTGCTCCTCCATAGAAGCGAGAGAACCGCTCCGAGTTCATAGTGGCAGATGTAACAATCAGTTTCAAGTCTCGGCGTCGTGCAAGAACCTTTTTGATCAGACCCATCAGGACATCGGTATTGAGAGCCCGTTCGTGAGCCTCGTCCATAATGATGCATGAGTATTTGTCTAGATCTCGTTGAGTCAGGGATTCTCTAAGCAGTACGCCATCCGTCATATCTGCACTGCGGTCAGTGTGTCGTTTAGCAAAGGCATGACAGAACTTACACTTGATCACCGTCTCGTCGCTTGTGCAGTCCTCGAAACGAATAGCATATCCCACCAGCCCGCCCAACTCGACTTCCATCTCCTCACTAACCCGCTTCGCGACACTCATGGCAGCAACTCTTCGAGGTTGTGTACAACCTATCAAGCCATGATTACCGTAACCCTCTTCGTGGAGGAATTGAGTCAGTTGTGTCGTTTTCCCCGAGCCTGTTTGGCCAACGACGATGATGACCTGGTTGTCTCGGATGACACGCATTAGCTCCTCTCTCACAGCAAACGCTGGCAGATATTCTCTTTGCTCCTTTAATGTCTTGCTTTTGCTGAATGCAGAGCTCCCAGTGCTCTTCTTGAGATGGGTCGAAAATTTGCTCTTGCCGCTGTCCTCGCCCGGTGCCGCAGCAGCGCTGTCCCCCTCATCTTCTCTCACGCCCATTATATTGCCCAAAGCGGTACCTGCAATATTTGTGGCTTCCTGTGCCTGTTTCTGTCGCTCTTTTTGCTGTCGCTTTTCTCGAACGACCTTGCTCCCCTTCCGACTGAAGACGGCCATGTCACTCTGAGGGTCACGCACTGCTGGCACCGGTTCGAGTTGTTTTGTGAAAACGGTCTTCCCGTCCAAAAATGGAGGCCTGAGGTCATGCACCAATAGATGTACTCTGACAGCATCGTCGTCATCAAAATCCTGAAATTGATCCCGCCTTTGCGCAACTCCCGATGTGAGCATGCGGTTGGCTTCCCAAGCGTCAACCTCCTTTTGCTTCTGCGCCGCCTTGGCCGTCATCCTCTTGCCCAATTTCTTGTCCAACAGCGCCTGCTCGCGTTGCTTGTCTGCCCAAGTAGCATCCGCTCCACCGAAAGGGTTATGCGCCTCATCGCCGAAGGTGTGGCCAAACTCGTCTCCGGTGTACCAGTCGCGGTCCATAGCTGCGGTGTCCTCATCGTTGAAGAAAGGCTCCGGGCCATCAAACTCCTGTTGGTGTGGCCGTGAACGGGGCGAGAGCCTCTGGTTTCTGTCGGACGGCCTTTGTGAGCGACCTTTAGATGCGGATTGAGGCTTGAGGGACGGGCCCAGATCATCGCCCGGATCGGGTTGCGCAGAATGGAAACCTCCTGCGAGTTTCCGCCTCTTGGGACTGTGATTGCGCTCCATTGTTTGGGAGAAAGGAGGCGTCGGATCTGAATATCGATTAGAGATCTCTAGTAGTGGCAGGAGACAAGTGAACAAGACGTGAAGCAACTTCTGTGGTGCAGGAAAAAGTTTGGCCGGAGTTTATGCGGGAGCCTTGCGCACGCACACTCACTCGACTTGCATTCCCCGCCTCCGCAACCCTCCATGCAACTTTTTGATGTTCTGTCAATTCCGACAGGATGGCGTCAGGACAGGAAGCAGCTCTGCGGAAACAGCAAGGTACCTAGGATTCTGATATGCTGCGCGCTGTTACTAAGAGAGCACCAGACTTGCAATCGCAGTATTCCAACTACAAGAATACCCTTCAGACGCTTGCGCAGAAGGTAGGGGAAATTGAACAAGAGATCGAGGAACACAAGTCAGTCATATCCATCTTATCACTGCAAGTTCGTCGTGGTGCGGTGATATTCTAGACAAGAGGTGCATGACTCTGACAGTGGCTTCTGTGCAGACTTGTGATGGAAACGCTTCAGCCACTCCCCCAAGATCGCAAATGCTTCCGACTGATAAACGGAGTTCTTGTTGAGAGAACGGTGAACGATGTTCTCCCCGCGCTTAAGACCAACTCAGATGGGCTCAAGCAGGTCTTGGAAGAACTCCTCAAACAGTACAAGGGCAAGCAGGACGAGATGGACAGGTGGAAGGCGAGTTTACGACCCGTGCATTTCTTGGACTCCTGCTGATGCATTAACACAGAAGAAAAACAACATCCAAGTCGTACAAAACCAGTAAGGGATGTTTGCAAGAGCGGTCTCGGGAATGTGGCAGATGTATAAGTGTACCAGGTAGAGAGCGAGACAGCTTGAGGAACCAGACTGCCGCAAAATACCTCGTCTGCTGCCGTCAAACTGGCTACCCCGTTACCCCGATACGTTGGCCTTCAAGTCGTGAAAACGATGAGGTCAAACCAAGGCGTGGCATTTTGATCATAAAACTCAACTAGCAACTGCTGGAGCGACTTCACCACTGGCTGAGGCAGCTGCCGAGACTTTTCATCCATAATTCAGTTGGTTTCTGCCTTTGAACGATCAACAAACGACCCCGTAAGTAAATCCACGACAGCATCTTTGACCGCCTGGTATCGTCTTGCCTTGCCATCTTCTCCTCAAGTATTGACCTGGTCTTCATCCAGCCTCATTCTGACCTTGCTCTTGCCACCTTGACAACAATCTCTCCAAAATGGCGCACAACTACCCAAATGGCAACCACCGTCGTCTCAGATTTGCACTTCCACCGCTCATCAGTCGACCACCACTTTTCTGCTGTCCCGTGGCAGAGAGTAACCCAACTCACTTGCCCCGAAGCTTTGTCAACCCTGGACGCCACTTGATGAACTCCCAGCTTCGGAAGTTCCTCGAGTGTGCTGACGATGCAGAACACACCTTCGAGAAATGTGATGTGTCCCACATTATCGAGGTGACAACTCGGGCCCTTCATAACAATGCTCTACCATCTCACGGTTGGCCAGCAGAGCAGCAGTGGAATCTCCGGAGCGGACCGTCCAATACTTCTCTGACCTCCTTCACTCCTCCCCTAGAAGAGACCGAGGCAACCAAAATGGCGGTTGATGACGAAGAGCTGAGTGGTGCAGAGATCCCATACAGTACATATCAGAGCATGTCGACAAGATACTTTATCAGCCAAAGCAGCGACAAGACGTGGCAAACCCCACCGAATTCTCGAAATTATCAATCAAACAACCCCAAACCAAATCCAAGCAAGACGGGACCTGAAAGATATATGGAGATACCACCTTTCAAGACATTGCCATACACTTCAGAAGGGAGTGCGGGAGGAGCTGGCGCTCGACCATGGATGCCGTCGTGCTCGGTCTTGATGTGGTGTACCAAACACGACCAGTTCTACGAAGTCCACGTGTTGTCCTGAGTGCCGATAAGAGGATCGAAGGATAAATACATATCTAAGAGCGAGCAGGCTGGGTCTTCTAAGTCGGGGAGAGAGAAGCGTTGGTTCTGCACGTGGTGCTGGCCTTGCATATTTTACCGAGTCGATACAGGAGAGCTATGATACTCCCTGCCTGCAAACATGCTATGTACGAGGTACACACTTGCGATAGGAGCTGCAATCTTCACACTTGTGGGCCTACCTAGGTACATAGCTCACGTACGCAGATACCAGCTCAATCATGACGAAATCTCATCCACGGACATGTTTTGATCATAAGGCAGGGTGGAACTGTGTCTTGAAATGGCGTGCTTCCTCATGCACACAAGGGCACATCTATTTGTGTTCGCAGGTAGCTTGCTTGTCCGGTGTGAAACTAGACTACGGAGGAGATGATCCCAGTATTGTCCGTGATGCCGGATCTGATATAGCTGCAAGGCTAAGGTAACGGCCGTCTCTCACTGGGTCAACAGGTAGCTGCCTGCGCCAGCCTAGCTAGTCGGCTTCAAAAAACATCGGAGAGAGGATAGCATCGCCCGCCGATGGGGCCATAGATCATTATCGACGCTCTAAAGCTGCACTTGTCTTGCATCTTGTTTGTGCCGGGAGCTCCTGGAAGTCCATGTCGGAGGACACGGGTGCTCTCAGCTCTGTGCCGGATATTGACCACGGTTACATCTTGGCTTGAACATGGATACAAAGTGCATTATTACCCATGCACATACTCAATTTATAATTGAACATCGCCAGCTTGCGGTAGGTCCTGAGGAAGAAAGTACCTATTTGATGATGCCTTGGTGGTGCTGGGGTTGGAGCCGGAGCAGGTTAGCCAAGTACGAGCACTACCTACTAGGGGTGGCTAGGGGTGGCAGGTAATACCTTGGTAAGCTACCGAGGTAAGTTTGGGCGTGCAATAGTTCCCCTCGCTAGGTAGCCCCGGTGCCTGTGGGTGCTTGTGGTGCCTGTCGACGCTTATCGTTGCCCGGAGGTACCGAGTACTCGTCACCAAGTCCTTGCTGCACGAGCTTTTTGCATGGCCGCAGGGCCGTTGGTCTCTCTGCAAGCAGTAACTCAACTCTGAAGCAGCGTGGCGCCAGACCATCAACGACAGTCGAAGTTTTTCTCTCTCTCGTGCTACGCCACCCTCAGTCTACCGCACACCGACGACCTCCTATGCATTGACCCTTTCCCTACCCCGCCTCCTCCCTCAGCAGCAGCCCTCACAGATGCAGTCCTGACAGTCACCGGTTTCTGCCTGAAACACCGCACACCCACCACTGCTCTGGATGGGGTTTGAACACACTCCCGCACCTCCAAGGATTGCCCCAGCTCCACTGAAGCTGCTTGCCTCTCGTACACCAGTCGAACCTTGTCGAATACCAGACTTGGCGAGACATGGCCGGAGCTGCAAGGGAACGGGCTCCACCTGGAGCAGACACTTCTGCACTGCTTACTGGTGGGTGACTGGTGGTCTTTCTTCTCCGCGCCACGTTCTGCAGGTTCCGGCCGTGATGGGCGACAAGTGCCGACAAACTAGGCTGACCCTCCAGCCCATTGACTGGGGGTTGAGACTCTTGAGAGTTCATGGGTATGCCCAAGCTCCAAACCAGGGAGGCAAGGGATACATGGCTCGATGGATGGACCAAACGCAAATCGGGTTCTTCCCAGTGAGTCACTCGCCACCGTCTTGGTTCCCTTTTTGCACCTCGTCTGATTCGATACCTGGTGGTCACTCATTTCTGTAAAGCCAGTCAATTGCAAACCCAGAAGCAGGGAAGGGGTAAATGAGAAGGACCAGAGAACTGCCGAAACAGAGTGTCCATCAGTCCAGCTCTGGGCATGCTGAGGTTCACCCGCTCTCTACCTACGGGGGACGAATACACACAGTCCCCAGAGCTCCCCCAAAGACTGAGTCCGCTCAAGCCACTATTACTCCACCTCAGTGGCCCGTCCCATTCCATCTCAAAAAGTCTCCTGCAAGAGTTCGCATCGTCCAAACGCCACCAAACCGGCGAACACTCATGATCGCTAAGTATTGCAGTCAGGGGATCTGCACTGGGCCAACGACAATCCTTTCCTTGAGCACACATTCTCGAATACCTATCGATTTTGTGCAGATCTCCATCGTCTTGCCTACTTAGGGTCTTCTGGCCCTCTATATTGGCTCGCTGATTCGGCCTTACCATCTTGCAGACACCTCTGCTCGCTTCTTTGCACCAAAATCCTCCTGTTGGTTCCAATCGACGCCATGCGGCACCTGGCATAATCGTGCGCCGCTCAAACCTCAGACGACCGCCTAGGACCCTCCTTTGGCGTTTCCATTTAGGCGCTTTGAATATCTGCCCTTGCCCGCCTTCCCTCGCGACCTCAACTCCTTGTACACCTCCTTGTCGTTCGGACTCGTTCCTCACACTCGTTACTCCAGGACCCGGGTATTTAGGTGGCATTGCAATCTGATCCGTTGGGATTTCAACTTGTAAACTATCTGCCCTGCAAGACTCTCCTTACCTGCCACTCCTTTGAAGAAATCTCGTACAGCGTCTGGATACAATTGGAACGCCCAGTACGTCACGCGGTCGCCACTGGATTTCACCACCTGTTCCTTCAATCAATTGAATTTCAACTGGAGGAATAGCTCTCGGGTTTGTTCGAAGTACTTTAAAAATCCGCCAAAGGGACACTGAGAGTGGTGTCTTGTCACTCTCGGTCCAAGGCAGGCAGCCTTTGAGGATCGGCGGCGCATATCATCGAATATCGGCCCCAGCGGAGGATCACTTCAGTGATTACAAGGGCAAAACTTTCTATATTTCGACCTCTGTGAGTTCCATCTCCTCACATACTCTCGTTCCATATCAGACTAATGCCTCGCAGACCACAAAATGTACTTTATCAGCTTGCTATCGGTCTGGATCACCAGCTCGCTGTTCACCGCTGCCTCTGCAACGCCGGTGGTCAGGAAATCGCTCAACCCCAATCGCTTCAGGATTAGATCACCCTTGACCAACGCAGACTTCTCAGAAGACTGGCCTACCAATGTCGTTATGGTCGGAGGATCCCAGACGTATGGCTTTTGGGTCCCCACCGACGGTACCTGGTATGATCTAGGCAACATCGAATGTCTCGGCTTGCCGGCATACGCGATTGGCGACTGTGACGATGTGACCATTGACCAGATTGGCGTCGTGGCGGGATACGGACCTTGCAGTTTTGTCGGCAACGACGGCTATTCATCCACCCTTTCAGGCGATGCCGGCGATGGCTACTATACGGTCGGCCCGCCCCAGAACATCATGTCTGCAGCGTGTGGTCCTTCCTGATGGATTTCAATTTCTCTGAGCCAGCCAGCAATCCTTAACTCTCACGACTTCCAAGCGACCGATTTTTTCTTTGGATGCGAAAATGAAGCACGATAATAGACTTTATTTACTGACTACTTCGCTTCTCATGGCTCCTCCTTCCGGCAAGCCAACCTGCGCGCCTCTGGTGGCGGGTCAAACTCCGTCGCGTGGACCGAATTAGCATACTGGACCTCATTTCCAGCGAAAACAGCAACGCTCATCGCCCGAAAATACCTCTCCCCCATACGTCAACGGCCGCCAACACACAGGGCGTCGAAAGCATAGTTCTGGGCCGGAATATATCTAGATGCGGCTGGGCACCGGAGGAGGCACGAAGGGATCATGATCGATGAATCAGTCGTTCGAGGCCCCGGTCGTGGAGCAATCCCTTAATACTCGACAGGTATTACCAGCAACCGAAGGAATGGTGGATTTTGTTGCAACTTCCAGACTCTCGGCAATCAGATGAACCCGCAATCCTCCCTTCCCCCCTTTTTGATACCCAGGTCGCAAGAAGAATCAATATCAGTCAGTCTCTTGTCAAACGGCTCTCCTCCAAGTAACTCCCTCTCCTCCCTGTAGTGTCTATGCTGTTTCGTCGTGATGGATGATCAAGGTGATGGGATGGCGTGATGCTGGCGGCTTCTGTAATCTCCCATTCCGACTAATCCCCCGTTCTCTTTTCTTTTCCATTCCCCTTCTCCCCTCCCTTATCGACACACAGACATACGTACGTACGTACGTAAAATGTTGTAATAATCCCAAGGGCGAGCTCGCTCTGGTCCCTCTAGCTCCGGGTTCCGTTCCTTTTTACAGGGGTCCGATCCGATATAAACAGTCAAAACGAGACGACGGAAGGGAGGCCTAGGTGTCGAATGAAAGCGATGAAAAAAAGAGAATCCTATTTGTTACCTACCCATCGCTGTAACGTGTATGGTTCATGGCTCATGTACATACATATATAATATCCCCGCTCTCTCTCTGCGTTTCTATTTCTACATATCCAACTCTTCCAACCCGGATGCCGAACGAGGCGTCTCTGCCCCAGCCTCCGCATATACCGTCCGAATCTCCTCCAAGGTGGTCGCAAAGGTCAAATCATCCTCCTCGTTGCTCATCAAAGTCACAGCCCCGCTCAGGTGTAGTTTCCTCTGGATATCATCCGCGAGATGAGGTTGCAGGGGTCTCCAGATGACGATTCGCGTGCCTTCGACGGCGTGGTGGTGTTGTTGTATAGTCTCGGTCAGGACCTGGATCGCACAGCCGTCGACGCTGGTGCATTGACGCAGGTCGAATATGAGTACTGTCTGCTCGGTTTCCAGCTTTTGGTGAGATGCCCCTGTAGGGGAATGATGGGGTATCGTCGGAGGCAGAGGTCCAGATCTGGCTAAGTCGTGATCGAGATCGAGTGCCTCTAACCGATCTTTCAGGTCGCTCGAGTTGGCAAATGTGAAATGTCCCGAGACGGTGACGGTCAGAGTCCGCATGGACGAAAGCGCTGCAATGTGCGCGAGGTCTCTATCTTCCAATGTCTGTGTTGACGAGTCCCGGATTCGCACTGTGGACCGCCAGAACCCTCGACGTATAACCAGAGCCACAACTGACCATGCGAGCCCCAATGCCATTCCCAATGTGATGGAGTGGAAGATCGTGGCCCCAAAGACCGACGCCATGAGCGACAACTCAGGCCACGCGTGTATCTTTGCAAAGAATACAACTTCGTGGGGACATTCTTCAATCATGGAGACTCCAACGATGGCGATCATGGCTGCTAGAACGCCTCTTGGGATGTAGTAGAACGCCGGGAGGGCGAAGAGGATGCAAATCAAGGTAATGGTGCTGAGCAGGACGTTGCTCATGGGTGTCCTCCCGCCTACCGAGAAGTTGAGCTTACTCCTGCCATAGCCCCCAAATCCAGGCAGGGCGAGAAAGCAACCTCCGACAATGTTGGCGACGCCGAGCGCGACGAGTTCCTGGTTGGAGTCCAGAGGGACATTGGATGCCGACGCCTTGTTCGCCGTGCTGGCCTTTCTGAGACTTCTAGCTGTCAAGGAAGACTCGAACAGGCCCAACAGAGCAATCACAAACGCTGTGGTGATGAGATTCGAAATGTTGTCCTCGATGTTGTGAAAAGTGAACGGCCAACGGAATGGTATTCCCAGGTTTTCTGGTGTTCGGATACGGCCCAGCACCTCAAGGCCGTGCGTATGCCAGCCACACAGCCACGTGAGGAAGGTCGAGGAAGCAACGACCACAAATCTATCCGGGAAGTATGCAATTCTAGGATACCGTAACTCCACAAAGCTTCGAAAATGTCTTGGGATTTCGTCAGCCTGGTGGTCTTAAGAGAGCTCTGAGGAGTGGCTCCTGCTTACCTTACCAGCATGACAATTGTAAAGCTCGTGATGGAAACCACGGCTGTGAGTAAATGCGTATGCTTGAGGTTGGTCAGGATGAAGAGAAGCTTTCTCGCAGGACTTCCTCCAGACACGCTTGGGTCTTCTTTTGCTAAGCTCCCAAGACCCAGGCCTGTGACTGTTTGCTGTATCACAACGTTGAGCCCGACAGCCCCAATAAACCCCCGCATGAAAGGTCGACTGAGCACAGAGTCCACAAATCCCAATCTGCTCAGGCCCGTGAGGAACAGCACCATCCCTGTAAAGGCAGTCACGGTACCGGCCACTTGGGCGTTGATCGTCTGGTCCTCCTCTCCACCACCTTCATTATTACTTCGATCCGTGAGCGCGACGACTGTTCCCACAAGCAGGGAGCCTGGAGCCTCTGGTCCGACCACCATCAGGGGACAAGACCCCAGCAGTGCATACACAAGCGGGGTGATCACGAACGAGTACAACCCGCTGATAGGATGGGCGTGTCCAAGGAGGGAGAACGAGATGGAGAGCGGCACGTAGAGTGAAGCCACCGTCAACGCGCCCATAAAGTCCCCTGGGAGCGACTTCCATTGGTACTCGGGTACCCATTTTAGAAACGGCAGATAGCGAGATAGTATACGCCCCAGTTTACGTCCTCCTCGATGGTGATGTTGTCTGTGAGAAGATGACATGGTGGTCCGCTCTGACTTTGGTGGTGGGAGCAGGTCGTCTTTCGATGAGGCACTCGCGGTCTCGAGGTCTGCTTCGCATATCTTGAGGAGGAGCTGCCGTTCGTTCAATCCCGCCTCTTCCATCACATTATTCGGCCTTGCCATCACATTTCAGCTGCCTTGGTGAATGTAGGTGATTGCCATCGGGCCCGTCTCTCAATCAAATGCGGGTTAATATCCGGGGAATGATGGTCATATTGTACGGGTGTCAGAGCAGGTAGTTGACGTGATTGAGCACGCGGGTGGATTTCTGGCCCCTAAACATCCTGGTTGTGTAGATTAGAACAGTAGCCGACGAATGGATCTGGGGATTGGAAAAGCCTAGTGACCGATGCAGAAGCGATTCGCAAAGGAGGCAGATGTGCATCTGTAGTGTCAAGCTAAGACGCTGCCCACGCACTGCCACGGCTCGTCCATGTCTCGATGCCGCGTCTCTCACCGACATCTTGGTACAAGGAGCCTGTTTATTCATGCCACTTGATCTAATGCTAGAAATATGTTCCCCCACGAAATTCGCCTTGTCTCTTTAGACGTCCATCTCAATCCTATGTCTGTGCCCAATCCCACGCATGTACAAAGTTCACCGACTCCCTGATGCGATTCCGATTTAGGAGAATAGAAAATAGACATGGATCCTATCGACCCTTCGCCTTCTTCTCCTCCTCCCTCACGACCTCGCCAACCACAATCCGACAGAGCCATTCAGCCAACTGCTCCACGCTCCACCCCCATTTGATCTCCGCCGCGTCTGCTCTTATTTGCCTGCCTTTGTACCAACCGTGGCTATATTCGCATTCCTGCATAAACCTCTCGAGAACCTCGGACTCGCCGTCGCCTACCGTCCATGCAAACTCGCCCTTAACGAGTCCATTCGCACTTTCGTCGATCACCATCTCCGTCCCCTTCAGTGCTCGAACTTCAGGACGTATCATCGCGTGAGGCGGTGCATGGAATTTGGGACGGAGTGACTTCCTGTAAATGATGTGGAGGGTGCGAAAGTGGGTGTTTGAGAAGGCACCACTCAGAGCCAGTGGCCTCTTACTGGAGCGGAGAGGGTCAGATGGGTACGACGGTGGAATGAGGTATGACGGAATGGGTTGCGACTTTGCTTCGGCCTTCTCGGAAGTTTTAGTCGATGAAGAGATTGAGGCTTTCGTCCTCTCCCAACCTGAGCTTTGAGACTGGTCTTGACTTTTGTCGGAAACGCTTGAGGACATTGTTGGCTTAATCGGCACTCCTGGTCCGTCGGTATTGTGCCATCCCTGAGTCTGTGAGTCGCGATCCGAAGTTTGGTTTGATCTCCAGATCCAACTAGGCCAACCTTTGCTTGGGTTGGTAACTGACGGTTCGTCTTTCGCCTCAGTCCTAACGCTCACTTTCCGCTGAGTTTCCAAGTCCCCCTCAACAACAGCTGGCGGGCCGTCATCAGTTTGCCTCGTTTCGGTTTCAAACAATTGCAATTCTCGGTGCAATTGTACCCCAACAGAATCCTCAAAAGAGTCGTCAGTCGAAGATCGCATGCTGAAGCTGCTTTCCTGCCCATCAATGTCCACTCCCCGGGATCTCTGGCTAAAGACGACTTTCCTGATCATGTCTGTGGCATCGGGTTTTACAATGCCCAATCCCTGATTGAAGCTATAGCGAGAACCTTTCATTGCAGAGCGAGGTGTCGGTGGCCGGGCTGGAGAGTCCTCTCTCCCTGCGTCGCCATCGAATGGCTTTGCTTGGAATTGGTTGGGCCTAGGAGGTGGCGTCGATATGGATATCGAGGAATCGTTGAAATTGACCGGGATCTTGACAGGTTGTGGAGAAGAGTAGGGAGATCCCGATGACTGGGAAATCTCGTTTGCTAAGTCGACAACCTCGTCCAGCTCGTCATGCGCCGTTGGTGCTTCAGCCTCAGCTGTAGGAGTTGACTGGTCAAGCGCGACCGGAGCGTCTTCTTCTAGCTCTTCTTCCTCGGAGACAACCATATCTTCGCTATCCACGATTCCATGTTCAGCGGGTTTCCCCCTTGGTGTGCCGGCCATCAGATCGATATCGAATTTTCCACTGTTCCTCCTGAGTCTCAATTGCTGTCTCTTGATCTCACCAGCGCCAAACCGAATCTTGCTTTGAGGCTCATTGTAAAACATCAAGCTACTCACATCATCAATACCAGATAGCAATGTGCTTTGTTCTTGTGGAGCATCAACATTCTCGCCTCTCTTCCAGGGACTTGGTATCAGGCTTCTTCGAGGTCTGTTGATAACTTCTTGAGCCCGTTGTCGTTGCCTGACTTGCTCAGTGTGGGTGAAGAGGCTCTCGGTATTGGACTGAACGGCTGACCCTGGACTTGATGAATTCTTGGCCTCGGCGAGCCAGATGTCTGTTTCATCATCTGCTTCGACTTCGAGATTAAGATGCGATGACTCTTGTCTCTCTGCTCTTGGAGTGGGCTGTTCTTCCTCATCGTCGCTGTCAATCACAATGACTTGACTTTCACTAGCATTTTGGATCTGCCTGGACACCGCTTCTCTCTCAAGTTGCCATTCGCGTTCCCGCCTCGCTTGCGTATCGAGGATTGATTTCTCGGTATACTCTCGTGGGGGATTTGGAGGCGTATGTACCACAGATCCTTCACCACTGCGTCCTTTGCTGCTGCTCGTATGAATTGGAGTATGCTGAACCAGGTTCTCACCTCGCCAGACCTGCGCACGAGGATGCTGTTCGGGATTGACCGGCACCTTCGCATTCGAAATCTCGTTTGATTCTGAGCCTTTATCTTTGGAAGAAGCCGATTGGTTCTCGGGAGGCGATGTCAGTCTCTTTGCGAGCTCCTCGCCAAAGCGGAGGCCAGCTCTGAGCTCGCGTTGGGTTCCGCAATCAAAGCCCACGAATAGAGCTCCATCTTCTTCCAGCCCGGGATGGTTTGAAAATGTGTCCTGCTTTCCTGCCAGCGCTCTCTCGCCAGAACGATCTGGTGACACTACTTCTTGCAACGCAATGCCTGCAAAGACGGCACCAGCTGACGCACGATGTTGATGTTGCGGCGTCCATCGAACTTTAGGTCTCGGTGGCGACGGCAACTTTGGTGATGAATATGGTAGTGGCGTTACTTTTCGACCCACAGATACTGATGAGGAGGGGACTTTTAGAAGACCTTGGTCCTTCTCCAACGCTGGCGGTGAAGACGGAACTGTACTTGATAGCTCACTCTCGTCGGGCTTGATGGTAGGATATGTGACGGCCTGAAGCGGAGCGGCAGGATTTGAAGCTGGGACATCACCGTTTCCTGTCTCCCCAGATTCAGCGCTCGACAGTGTCTCCAGATCATTGATGTCCGAAGGATGGAGGCTGGCGGGTGGTTCCACATCAAGAGGGCTACTCAAAGCTCGTCTCACCGAGGGTAAAGTGTCCAAATCGATCATAGTAAAACCCTCACTTTCCAGTATTGTATCAAAAGCTTCGTTTTCATGCCGCCTTGGAGCGTCGTCATCATCAAGAGCTTTCCCCACGTCGTCAGAGTCCCCATGGTAGGAGGAAGTAGGTGAGGGAGTTGGATAGCTCAGCGCGCTGTTAACGGAGACCTTTCGAACTGCTATTTGCTGCTTCACTGATGTACTTCTCGTCTTTTCGTTCACGATCGAGTCTTCATTTTCGAAGTCATTTCCCACGATTGGCTTTGTCGACAGCGCACGAGGTCGTACTGACACTCGGTTAGGATTGATCTTGCGGAGTTCTGGTGACTGGGATTCAGCCAGAACGTTCGTTTGCTCGACGACGTCACCATTGTCTTCGATATCTGTATCTGGTCGCACCTCAAATCTTGAAGCGCTGGGGTTGGCCCTTGAAGATTTTGACGGAGAGGCCTCCTGCGTTGAGCTCGCCGCCGCAGAAACGCTCTTGCGAGAATTTCTCCTCTTTCGTGGTGATTTCTTCTGTTTCAGCCAGTCATCCTCTTCCGAATCATCCCCCAGCGGTATTATGTCCAGATCCGTCACGCTCTGTCTCCTGCTGCGGCTGCAATTCTTGCGATCAACACCTGGTGTTTCGCTTCTCTTGCTCCTTGTCGCATGCGAATTGGAGTTTTTCCCTCTCGCAGAAGTTTTTCGCCCTCCATCCTCAGGGAACTCGTGTTGTAAGGATCTTTGGGTCGCGCGCGCTCTCGGCTTCATTAGGGACGCGTTGCCTTCCATGTCGGCGTCCTCTGGCTCTGCCTCCACGGTTACCCTGATCTTCCAGGGACTCAAATTCTGTTCCGAAACGGTTCGAAACGGAGAGGAGGGGGCTGCTTCGTATTTGAAGGTGTTTGTACTCGCAGGTCTGCCTGTGGTCTTCATTGCCGTGCTTGAGTATTGCCGCTTCGACGCGGGCTGGCGACTGCCAAGTGTGATGCTACCATGTGAGGCTTCATCGTTGACTGAGGTTGCCAGGGGGTCGGGTGAGCTTAGGTCACCATTTCCGTAGGGAGTCACGGAGGGCGATCGGGACATTTTGTTTGTGTGGAGGGCGTTGGTATGCGCGGATTCTTCCGACAACGATCGATGATCAGACGTGCAGAATCACCACCAGCATGATCAATGAGTTGTTTTCAGTAAGCATGTGATACTAAATATCTGCTGATAATCACTGCTTTTTTTCATCTACTGAATGTACAGTATGCAGCTAAAGTGACCTATCCACAGAGTCCTGAAAATTGTCGCAATGCATTGTTTACTATCGTTGTTTACAATGACGTTAATTCCGCACCTTCTGATTGGCTGCAAAGAGGCGCCTCAGCCTTGTCCGTATTGCCCGCCTTTCCATATGCTCTTCCCCTTTACGCGTCGCTCTCAACTTTCAAAATGTTGAGAAATCATACGTTGCATAATTGAGCGCTGGTCCAGTTGTGGGAGAAAAGATCTCGTAGTTGCTGACTCCCCATTCGGGATGGTTGACCCCATCGATCCAAGCCTGAGTCTCGATCACAACACACCCGTGTTGATTCACAAACTTGGCTGCGCCCTGCGTGCCATTGTTTCTTTGCTGCTGGCTTTGCTTGACTGGGATTGTCCCGTTTTGGCCATTGCAGGTGTATATCTGAAGACCTTGCTGGTTGGTGGACACGTCCAGCTGAATGCCAGTGGTCTCCGACCACAATGCAAGCACAGGGTAATTTGAGGATGTCGGACCTGCATTAGCCGGTCTGTCCAAGATGAAAGCGTTGTCAATTCCCGTGCAGCCTTCACCGCAGACGCCAGTAGCGTTATCCACAGCGTCTCCCAAAAGCTTGGGGGAAAGGAAGTCGAGGGCTGACACATTCGAGACAGCACCCAGAGCGCCAGTGGGGATCAGGATAGGGTCCACGACGATATATCGATCGGAATCTGGCATCCACAAAGTCGTATCATTTAAGATTGTTGCCTGTTTGAATGCATTGAGATTCCAATAGATGTGGTTTGCCAGCATGATGGGTGTCTCCTGATCCAATGCCGACGAAACCATGCTGCTCGTCAATCGCGGTCCGACTTCACCCTGCGGACCACTGGGGAAGGTGCCCAGGGTGAAAGTCGCCGTCGTTAAGACTGTGCCTGGAAATCCCTGGAAGCCAGTGTCAAGTAGACTGAATGTAATGCTCGAGCTCGAAGAGGCAACAACAGTCCAGTTCCGTTGGTCATATCCAACTACACCCCCATGGAGAGTATCGGCGCCGGCATTCTCATTGGCGGGGATATGATAAGTCTGTCCGTTCAAGGTAAAGGTGCTATTCTTGATTCGATTTGCGTATCGGCCAACGACAGCGCCAAAGTAGGTCTATAGTGGAATAAAACTCGTGTTAGCAATCAGAGCACGATCATGAAGGGCCAAGACTGAGCGTACATAAAATGTCTCGACCTCCACAACACCGCTTCTGGTAAAACGCAAGACTTACATGATTTGTTTCTGTGTCGGTCAGATATTGGGTGGCATTGTCATATCCAGCCACGACGTCCTGATAGTCACCGTTGCGGTCCTGGACCAGTAACGAAGTTAGGCGAGCTCCATATGGGATGAATTTTGCGGTGATATTCTCGGCGGTCAGAGTATACACAGAGAAAGGGTAAACTCCTGTTGGTACAGAAGAGTTGGAGCTAATCTGAGCCAGAACTGGCACAGCAATGGACCATGCCAGAAGAAACCATGGAAGATGCGACCACATTTCTGCAAGAGGCCTTTTGGCTCAACTGTTTACCTAGTCGTCTCACAGCCACTGGAACGTAGAGAAGGGCGAGCAGAGACAGAGGAACCCTGGGATTTATACTCGGCGAGAGTTGTTGGTGTGCAGGTTACATTGTGGTGATCCATCCGAGATGCTGTAGCAAGTTGGGTTGATTCACATGATGTTATGGTGGAGCTGCCTTGAGCTGCATAGCCCTCACCCGCCCTTCATCTCCAGCAGGCTTATGCCTTGGTCCTAATACCGGTCCACAGATGGCAGAGGCTCGAGGACAAACTGCGGGGGAGCTGGGGGAGTTGAGAGAGGAGATGCGTGGTGGCCCTGTTGATCTCACCCAGTCTGGGGAAATCCATGACACCTTGCTAGTGGTGCGGCTGTCGATCATGTTGTTGATTGGTCTTGTGCCTTGTCGTCTTCGGTCCATTATGCACCGGGATGCGGACAAAGGATCTTTCTTCGCAACATGCCACCGGCATGTTGCCTACTTGAGAGAAACAACCAAGGGCCATCGGTGCGGTGTGGTTCAATACCTAGGTCTGTTTGATTCAATGCATCTAAATTCTCGGCACGTGCTATCCCCGTCCTCAATTTGGTAGTATCAATACTCTGTTGTCCACATGGCTGTATGAGCTTTCCTTCATGTTCATCGTAAGGCCAGTCTCATGGCGCATTTCATCATACGAGCACCCGATCTCACTGTACCCCTGCAGTTTTCCTTGGATCCACGTCCACCAGGTGAATGTCAAGATATACCGGCCAATCCGGAGCCAAGTTGCTTCGTGACTCTGACAGCGGCTTGAGCGCATCCTCGATCGCTCTCTTGTCCATTTGGCCTTTGGGCTGGCTCTCAATTTGAGCAATTTTCAAGAGATCCTCCTCGAGCTCTTCGGCCATTAATCGACTCGGTTGAGGTAGGAATGTGCCTTGACGCCCTTGATGGGTGTGTAATGTTGCATATGGCAGTGCTGGGCGGGTTGCTGCTTTCTCTGCCAGGTCACTCAGGGCATTGAGCCCACTCATGGCACCAATTGTTCGAGTTGATCTCGTAACATGCACGTTCTGACTGGCTGACCGGTCCATCTCGGGAGCCTCGAGTTCTTCGTCTTCCTCCGAGCCTGACTCGGCAGATCCTCGATCTCGGTCATCGTCGACTTTTTGACGCCTTCTTGTGTTGCTAGTCTCGCCTTCCTTCCGTGACGTCGAGAAGAAATGACGAGCGGCAATTTGTGCTTGGTGCGATTGGAAGTTGAGTTCTTTGTCGGTGAAGAGGGAGTGAATGGAATACAGCGGGGCAGTTTGATTCGCCAGCGCTGCACGACTGCGCTCTCCAGGCGTGGAAATGCCGTTCCGTGACGGGGAGCCGACATCATCGTCTGCAAGCTTACGCTTACGCTTGTTTGTAACCTCTGAAACACCGTTCATGTCCTCCTGTTCACGGTGCCTGGTAAAGCGTGTCTTGCGACTCGTGTGGTTGCCGCCAGGGGATGCTGGGTTGGTGATGCTGAACTGACTGGGGTGAAGGAGGAGTGCATTGGTGTCCGCAATGTCAAGTTGTTCCTTCTCTTTCATCAATCGTTGTCTCTTGCTAGATAGTGCTTGAAACAATCGTTCTCGCAGGGTCGAGGTCATATGTTCGCATTCTTCTGCGGCGAGGTGGAGACGATAATCACACTCATACTTCAATCTTTCGAGGCGGGCATTGTGATTGTTCTGTCTAGCGGTCAGCATTATAGCCTGACTGGCCGGGTCGAATGTTGAGTACCATGAGCTGGATGAGAGCTAGTTCCTTGGCCTCCTTCGCATCGTTGATCTCATGCACGAATTCGGCGTACCATTTGCCTGCCAGCGAGGACATTTGAGATTGATATGGTGTACCTGACGCTGCCAACTCGGCAATTCTGGCCACCTCTTCTGGTGAATCTTCCAGAGGTTCGGGTTCGTAGGGGTCAGCCTGGGAGATGAGGCTCATGTCATGTTGCAGAGCAATGAGCTGTTCTCGGTAGTGCTGCTCACGGTTGTTGTTTAACTCGTTGTGGAGCTCCTGCTGGTGCGCGACTTGCTGATTTCTGCGCTTGTCTTTCTTCGACATTGGCTGCGCAGGAGGGGTTGGCGACCGACGATGGGAGTATGCAGTTCCATCAGGACCAGCCATGGGAGATGCTGGAGATGGCGAGTAGGCCATGTTGAGACAAAGGGGTTGAATTGAATACAAGGCCGTCCCCTAGACGATCTGGGAGAGACGCGAAAATGCGTTTAGGTATGAGATAACAAGCACATGTGCTTTGGGAGAAAATACAGTAAAGAGGGCGCAGGGGAGATGGGATCTGGGGTTGACGCACAGTGGATTCTCCAGTGGCACGGAGACATAGTGACAAAGGTGCCAAACATGACAAACATGACAAACAGTTGGTTCATGCGGCCCTTGGTATTGATTGAATTGGTGACAACAATAGGACGGCTTCACTTCAATGGAAACATGGCTATTCTCCTTCGTTGCGCCTATCTCTGAAGAAAAAAGATGCTCCGAATCTGGAAGTCCATCATTTCGCCTGTTTACAGTCCTCCCATGCAGCCAACCTTGCCCACAGATCAGCTTTCGTCTCCAGGCGACTCTCTGCACTCCGAAGCTTGGCCAGCGTGGCGCCCACTGAGCCTTTCACGGACAATGCTTCCTGTGAGCATGTCCTGATTCTGCATTGTGCAGACAAGAGGTGGGACTGAGTCTGTTGTGCGTTGTATTCAGCTGCTCTCAATCACAACTAGGCGTGCAGCATCACCAATGCGCTCACCTTTCATGCGAGATGCGGATCTCAACCGCAGAGAGCTGCATACAATTGCTTAAGTCGGCGAAATGATAGCAAGCATGCCGCCAAGTCAGGAACAACGGGCAGGTCTTAGGTGAGCCTTCAGACCCGATCCCACTCGTATTCATCGTAGCATGTTCGGGTCGTACAGCTTGAAGCCAATCGAGCGGGACCAGTGTATTATTGTCAAGCTTCTCACCGCTCCCGCTCGCTCCAGACTTTGGTGCGAGACTCCAGACTGGGGGACACTCGGCAGGCCCGATACTCCGATACATACCCCTCTTCCACCCCTACCTTGGTGATACATAAACATTTTCCTCCCTGCTTGTTCAACTTAGCATTTACGAGGCTGAAAGTTCGAACCTACGTATCTGATCCTCACAATTGGAAAGAGCAGGTAGCGTCTTCTGAGCTAGCAGATCGCAGTTTCTACGGAACACTTTGGTGGGCATAAAGTTTCTTCCTGGAGCATTCTGATACTGCCGATCCCTCGCATCGCTTGCATCGCTATTTGGACCCTCAAGAAATCATAGCACATTATATCTCTAGAACAGCAGGACTCCTCTTTCCTACATCATCCAGCATGAGTCCGACCGTTATCCATTCCGTCCTCTTGTTCGACGGCCATAAAACTCAATCCAACGCAACTGTCGTTTTCGATTCGAACAGCGGCAAGATCACATCTGTCTCGACTGGTTCTGGCAGGGCTCAACACCCCCAAGGCGCAACCATCATTGATGGGACAGGCCACAGTCTTCTTCCAGGACTGATTGAGTCTCACATGCACTGCCACCCCCTGCATCTACCTCCAGGATCTGACGAGTCGACAATCTTGAGATCTCCCCTGAAATGCGGCGTCACCACCGTCTGCGACATGCACTCTGACCTGGCATCTGTACAAAAATGGCGCACAGAGATCGCCGAGGAACTTGCACAGGCCAAGAAAGGAGATGGCACAGTCACTTTATCTGACTTAAAAAGCTCGCTCTATGGTGCCACTATTGAGGGAGGGTGGCCAAAACCGATCGTCCTGGCCGGTCATCCGACCGAGGAGGTAAGTGTCTAGATCACCTCTTGTGTCCGCCTTGTCAAGTCTGCATGATGATAGGCCGCCTCGCTGGTGCTCATTTCACTGACTACGTCCAGGTGATTGAAATGGTCAAGCAATGGCCTAGTTTGACACCAGAGACTGCAGCAGATTATGTCAAGAACCACAAGGCGAACGGGGCAAACTATATCAAGCTAATGCAGGAGAATTGCTGTTCCCTCGCCATCCCCACAAATTCGATACCAGTTGCCACCCTCGAGCTCCAAACCTCCGTTGTCAAGGCAGCCCATGCGAATGGTCTTCCGTGTGTTGGACATGCACTGAGCGTTGACATGACTGAGATTGTCCTCAAAGCCGGAGCGGACGGTCTCACCCACACCTTCGTTGATCAACCTCTCCCGCAGCACATCATCGACCTCTACAAAAAGACTGGCGCATTTGTGATTCCTACGTTAACTGTATTGGCCAGCCTGACGGCCGAACTACAGGATTGGAGGGAGCGGTTTGCTGATCTGGCATACAAAAAGGGAGTCATTGACGAGGCGACCAAACAGAACATGGTCGAAATGCTCGGCATGAAGGATCCAGCCGCCAAGTTGGAATATGCACTGAACACAGTGGCAAAATTCAAGAAAGAAGGCATCGATGTCGTTGCGGGGACAGATGCCGTAGCAGGTCTAAAGGGCACTGGAATCGGCCCCAGCCTGTGGATGGAGCTGGAGTTGTACACTCAGAAATGCGACTTCACCATCCCGGAAGCTTTGAGCTCTGCAACGGCAGTAGCCGCGAAGAGATTTGGCTTCGCCGATCGTGGAGAAGTAACAGAGGGTAAACGGGCCGATCTTGTCCTTGTGAAAGGAAATGTCACCGAGAGGCTGCAGAACCTGTGGGAAGGCGAGGGTATTGTCGGAGTGTGGAAAGAGGGCCTCAAGGCTGCTTAGATTTGTTGCCGAAACATGAACGGGCAAGTAAGACACCTCTTTCGAAATCTTCAATTCCCTCCACAGAATCCTGACTCTTTCTTTCAACCTTTCTTTCCCACAACAAGCTGAATTGATGCGTGGGAGTCGTGCCTAGATGGGAGGACGGGCAGGAGGCTGCATGTGTCGTTCGCAGCCGCTCTAATCGAGCAGAGGAAGCCAGCTGGATAGAAGAATCTGGACCGCGCAACGCTTGCTTTGCATGTTCCTCGGGGCCCCAGATCTTGCGCGGTTGATACGTTGCAGGAGAGTATCATCACAACATTCTCCAGAGAGACATGAACTACGGAGACCTGTTGGCGAGTGGTAGGTGCGGCCATCTGGAGAGCGCAGGTATTGATGAAGAAGTTGTCGAATTGGTTTTCTGCTACGCAAACAAGGTATCTTGCTGAAGCAAGTTTCCTGGCCCCTTGTCAGATCAAACCTCGTCGGTTGTTGGACAGAACAAGAGCCTGTCCTTTGTCGAACCTAACCGCCAGTTTGAAAAGGATCTGCTATAACATCCTCGCCACGCCAAGAGCAGGCTTTCGAGCATTTGTGAAGTCTCACGCGCCAGCTACTGCCTGTGTTGGTTATTTCCAGGATTGGTAGGTTCCCTGACAAGCCGTGATTCACTGACCGAGGACGCGCGAGTGAAGGATTGATTCGGTCGATGGCGATGCGGTAACAGAGCCAGCCTCCCACAGTGGATGTAAATTCACACACCACTGCCTCAGAAAACAACAAAAACACAGCTTGGCGAAGGCAGTCATCATTCTCCCTCCTAAATCTTTGCTAAATCTACATACAGTGATCATCAGCTTTGCAACTGACCAATCATCCCGCCACCAAGAAACCCTTTGGAAAAAAATCGAAATGCGGAAACACGTTTTACAAGGGGTATTGCGGAAGATTAGCCTGCCTCTGCGATATTTTTTGAGGAACAAACCTGGATCCACCCAGAAAGAGCCGTCAGCAGGATCTACTGAGGATGTCGAGATCCCTACTGCGAATCCAGCCCTTCAGCCAACTCCAGATCTTCAGCCAACTCCCGCCCTTCAGCCAGCTTCAGACCTTGCGCCGTATCTTGAACGCGTCTTTGCCACCCAACGACGCACCATGGGCAGAGTAAAGAGTTACAAAGTAACAATTCGGCAAGCTGATCCCGTTCCAGAGCAGCACGCTGAGTTAATTGGGAGTCCAAAAGCCAACGAGTCGGATGTCCAAATCAATGATGGGGCTGCCATGCGCACTGAATCAATCATGGCTGAAGTAACTTACGAGCAGACACCGTCCAAGTCTGCTGAGGACGGTCATTTGTCCCAGACAGCCGTCGAAAGTGGCACGGTCGCACGTGCGCAAGTCCCATCATGGCGCCAGGTCGCAACGGATGACAAGTTGAACGGTCCTGGTCCAGAGATTCGAGATGTGGATTTGCCATCCAGAGCCAATCACTTGGAGGAGAACAACCAGCAACATGCGGCCGTCGGAAAGAGACAAAAGTATGTTAGATTTGACACGACACGGAACCAGACTATCGTGCTTGAGACACAGCAGACTCCAGTCAGAGGGTCTGACAGACAGTCTCAGATCCAAGTGCCTGCGCTCCAGCAGCATCGTCCTGTCGTGTTTGAGATACAGCAGACTACATCCAAAGGGTCTGATCAAGAGTCCGGGGTCCAAGTGCCTGCGCCCCAGCAGCATCGGCCCGTAAGGCGAAACAGGGCGGGCACTAACCAGAGCTCTGATATACTTGCCATGGTAGAGCGGATGTCCTACGGTCCTACATACCACTACAATCCTTGGTACGACTACAACCCTAGATACGACATGATGGACGGAGGCCAGACAAGACAAAACAGCACGCATCGAAGACTTTCGGATCTCTGGACATCAGTCCACATCGAGTTCGATCGGGTCAAGACCCCTGGAGCTCCAATGAAGCCGACAAACGGACTTTGCGCAGCAACAGAACCACCCTCGACGACTATCACTGACCAAGCGCAGGGATGCAAATGGCTTGTGCAGAAAGCTTCCATGCACCTGGGACGTATCCGTCAGATCAAGCGGCTGCCGAAGACTCATAGGGCTAACGGTGTTGGTCTGGATAACGCCACATGCCGACTACCTTGCGTCGTGATGGCATATCTTTTCAGTGGCTTCACGGAAAAAGGTGGTCTGGAACTTATGCTCGGAATCTGTTCGGTAAGTTGGCTCAAACTGCAATAGCTATGGATCCGGAGTGCCCAGTGGGCTGACATGCTGCAGGTCATTTCGCGCAGCCAGCGAGATTGCAAACAGGATCCTCAACATCCATACAATAAGGTCGAGCAACCCAAACACCTCATTCCAATTGAGCCAAATGGCCCGAACCTAGGGGCAACCCCAAGCAAGGTCTGTTTGGAGAGGGGCCGCTTCAGCAAGCCCAGCTGGATCGACACAAGCAAAATATACTACGTACCAGCGGGTCTCCTTTATGAGGGCAGATACTCAAATGCGCGACTGTCAAAGGGACCGTGGCTCAAGATGAGAGAAGCCTTATTTCTGGGATCATTGGCGGAGGAGAGGGCGAGGTTTGAGAGGGCGTTTGATCTGTATCAGGCTAGACACAACAGACAGAGACAAAATGTCGTTGCCGCCACTCCCGTTTGCCAGGATTGGCGGGCAATCCTTTGGGCGCCAAAGAAGAAGAGACAGGTACCCGGTACACATCAGTGACTGTTCGAGGATCATGAGCACTTGTCCGGCATTGTGAGCAAGGAATGGTGCGATTCAGATGGACGTGGACTTTGTTTTGTGGAGTTCGAAAGATCGGTATGGATGGTCAGAATGTCCATTGGATGGTGCGGCTAGCATACGACGCCTCGAGACTGCCTGCAAGGGCAACGGATTGTATTGGACAAGTTGGTTACACAAGGATACGAGAATGGGATGTCAGATATGAACCCCTTCTGTAGGGTTTTCATCAACAGAATATCGACCATTTGCGACATTGAGATCCGCAAGTATCAAGACAAAGATGCAAAGCCGCCCGCAAACCTCCTAGCAGTCTTGGTCTTCCATCTCTTCCTCATGCAACTACATCACGACACATCCCCTCCCTATTCTCTCTAAACGAGATATCTCTAGTCCGGCTTAAGCAGGATCCGAGACGCCGAGGATCATCAATACCCTGTATTTGCATATCAGCGATGGCCCGGGGAATGAACCTAGATAAGCCGGCTACACCTGTTCCTAGCTGCCGGATGGGAAACTTTCAAGCTACTGCATTGCTGCGTTGTCACTCGGTACCCGCATCAAACACTCACCCACCACAACGATGCTGGGGGGTGATATATACCTAGGTACATGTGCATATATACCGAGTACTTAGGAATCATTTCTCTCATCGCCTCGACGTTTGGGCTTGTAAGTTCTGCAAGGTGCCGACCGGGTGTACAGTCTCCAGGCCCCCCTTTTCCCCATTTATCTATCTCTCTATTTATTGATCTATCTCAAGAGAAAGATACAGCATCACTTCTGCCCTTCTTGACTTACCTTCCCTAATCCCCTTTTCTCTCCTCCATCTGTCTCTCTTTTCTTCGAAATCGCGATGTTAAGTCCCCAGGAAGAAGATCTCGAGAAGCTGGCAGAGACATGCCTCGCAACGGCAAGACAGATCAAAGAGTACCTCTCCGCAAAGAATCACCCTCTCCCTAGCTTCGACGAGAACGGTCCATCTTCGTTTCCACCCGGTGCGACGCCCGAGTTCCAACAGACCCGGCTTGAGCTGCGCACGGCAGCCAAGCGACTGTATGATCTCGCCTCCGGGCCGGACGATGTCGTGACGTGGCATCTCTACCACTGCGTGGGTAACTTTCCTTTTTCCCCCCAAGGTACCGAGAAGAAAGAGAAAACAGAAAACCCCCATCAAATGGATAGATGGGTAGATAAGATAGATAGCCCCAGCCTCCCTCCCTCCCTCCCTCCCTCCCCGTCTTTCCCCTTCCTCTTTCTCCTAGATAATTTGTTGTGTTCTCACCAAACCAACATTGTTGTGTCATATGTAACAGAACCACGACCTAAACGCCTTCCGCTATGTGTACAGATACAACGTGGCCGCGGGGGTCCCCCTGAATGGCACAATCAGCTACGCCGACCTCGCAGACAAGCTGGGGCTCGACGCATCACAACTCAAGCAGATGTTGCGGCAGGTTATGCCACTCCACGTCTTCAGAGAACCTGAGCCGGGGTTGGTGGGCCACACGGCCGCATCGCGACTTCTCGTCACCCACGCCGGGATCGCGACCTTTATGGGGTTTTTGGTCGAAGACACGTTCCCGCTGTGCGCGGTCCAGGTCGACGCGCTGGAGAAATGGGGCCACGGACGGCCCGAACCCACGAGGACCGCGCTCAGCTATTACTACGACACGGACCTCCCCTGCCACGATTACTACGAGACCAACCCGGCTGTGCGCGACCGGTTTGGGAGGCTGATGACACACCTGACCGCGAATCCGTTGATGGCTAACGGGCACGTCGCGCGCGGGTTCGACTGGAAGGCCTTGCCGAAGGATAGCGTCGTGGTCGACGTCGCCGGAAACGCTGGGCACTGCGCCATCCCGATCGCCGAAGCCACGGACCCGAGCGTGCGCATCGTCGTACAGGACCTTCCCAAAGTGGTATCCGCGGCGCGCGACCCAGCCACGAGCGTGATCCCAACCCACCTGCGCGACAGATTCGAGTTCATGGCGCACGACTATTTCACGCCGCAACCCATCCACGGCGCCTCCGTCTACTTTTTGAGGATGATCATCCACAACCATAGCGACGCCCTGGCCATCAAAGTCTTGAGACATATCGTCCCCGCCATGACTCCCACATCGCGCATCGTGATTATGGACCAGGTCATGCCGCCTGCCGTGGGAATGCTGCCCGAACCGCTCGAGCGCATCAAGCGGTCCCAGGACTTGCAGATGATGTTACTCCTGAATGCAAAGGAGCGCGACGAGCGAGAGTGGGCGGATTTGTTGGCCAAGGCCGGTGAAGGGTTGGTGGAAGACGTCTTTGCCGCCGCCGCAGCGGGAGAGGGAGAGGATAAGGGTGATGCTAGCAAAGGGAAAGTGAAGAAGTTGGGCATTGTGGCCATAAGGACTCCGCCGGGGAGTATGATGAGTTTGATTGAGGTCGGCTTCGTGGATGAGGAGGCCATCGCAAACGGCGAGGCGGGCGAGGCTGAAGACGGTGCAGATAGTTCTGGCGCGAATCGTAAGTGAGGATCTGTGGATGGGAAAAACGTTCAGCTACCAGGTATTCACTCGCACAAGGGGACCCCAAAACGAGAGGATCCTAAGGTAGACAGACGGACTATGGCAGAAAATACAAGTTCAACAATTGATGTTTGCATGAGACTTGTAGAGAGGGAACGCCTTTGTAGGTCCCTAAACAAACCGATGGAGACACACGAGAGCTCAACATCGGTTCGCAGGGGATTCCCAAATGTCGTCCACCACGGAGACACACGAGAGCTCGACGTGGTTCTGTATCAACAGAGAGACCTCCTCAAAAGCTCGACATTGACTGCTGAGGGAACTCCACGGAGACACACAAGAGCTCAACGTGGCTTCCTCACACACAAGTCCACTTTGATCCGTTATCAGCACACTCTGCTTTTCCAAACAGCGACTCCCTGATTTGCAAGGCACGCCTGACATGATGTTGCAGTCCTGGTAAAACAATAGCTCGACACGGCTCTTTCAGACAAATCGGCTTCCATCCGATATTAACACGCCCTCGTCCTCAAAAAGTGCCTGTTTGGTATTTCAGCGCAGGCCTGACGTGTTGCAGAATTGGCTAGATAAGACCTCTTTCGTCCCTTCAATACCCATTTTGTTCCATTTCCACAATCTCGTCCGGATCTGTCACCCAAACCAACACTTTCCCGCGATTGCTCGCCTCCCGTGCGGCCTTCAGTCCTTCCTCGAACTCCTTCTCCCAGAACTCAATGGATTCTCTGGTGTCTCTCTCTGTCCATGTCTTTTGTACAAGGGATTCTACATACGACGACGCAATCCCGGCTTCGACGTATGTTTGCGGTGATGGGGCATTAGCACCATTTAGCAGGTCTTCCGCCCACGAGTCGTATTGGTGCTCGCGTCCGTACTCCGTCATGCCGTCTTCCCCAATCACGGTGTTGTCCAACTCTTCGCGACTCATGAGTCTCGTCACTGTAGGTCGTTTACTAGCCGGGACGGGTGTTTCATGGAATTGTCTGCCAGCATACTTCTCCGCCGTCGGCGTTCCCGGCCCGAGTTGCGGTTCGGTAAATTCTGTTTCTGAGGCTGGGGGAGACGATGAACGTGATCGTGCTTGCTCGCTCAGAGAAAGCCGAGAAGATTTGGCGGGTTTGTATTTTTGAGCGTCTGATCTCGCCTTGTTGAGCCGCAACTCTTGTGTCTCGTTCACCATGATGCTGTCTGTGTGTCCTGTGAACCCTGATTGTTCGAATGGAGTACTTTGTGGGAGTTCTGCGTGTGACATCCGAGGGGTACTGGGTTGAGGTGGTACTTCTTCCGGTGAAGTCGCATGATGCGGCGTGAACGTGTCATCTTCCTCTTCGTCCTCAAACTCGTCCGCATCAGGAACGCGAAAGTGACCGGGTCGAGGATTTGCAAGAGATGGGCGCCAGGTGTCATCATTTGGATCAGTGACGTTAGGATCAAGGTGGAATCTAAAGGTCCCATTCCCTCTGGTATTCTGCATTGTGGTCGGCGAATGTATGTGATCCACGTCAAATGGAAGAGAAGATGAGGAGTCCGGCGACTGACTTGAGAGGTCAGCAAAGGTGCTGCCACGATAGTCACCAGAGCGACCATATTGGCCATAGACGGCTTTGACTGAGTCAACCGGATTGATGCGCACTGATTTGACAGATCGGCCGACTGAACCGAGATTTGTGCCGACCTGTCTCATTGCAGAACGTAGGGGAGTCTGTGGCGGAAGTTTAGTAGCGGGTGTGGCAGGTTGAGCCTCTGCTAATGATGATTCGCCGATGCCCTCGACTTCGTTTTCCATGTCAAGATAGCTGTCATCGATTCCAAATCCGCCGCTTTTCGGGCCTGGGATATGGCCTTCAACTGAAGCGAGTTTGCGCTTGTTGGTGCCTGGGGTATCGGTGGGGTTGAAGTCCGCCGCCTTACTCTCCGTACTATCGGCCATAGCTGCCAATTGTTCCCGACCTGCAATGGTGTTGGCTGTTCTGCGTTTCTTGAAATATTCGCGAGTAAGGATTCTGCTATCCACAGCAGGAGAATTGTGAGCAGGTGATTCAGGTTCGTGCAGAGTTATTCGTGGTGTTGGGGTAGGACTGCCTTGTTCTGAGAATTCCTCTTGTTCTGTGACAGTTGTGTCTCTGTCTTGTGCTTGATCTGGATCTTGGTCTTGGTCTGGACCACCCTGACTGCTTTGTTGTGGGGTTTGTTGTTGCGTCTCATTTTCTGCCGGACCTTGTGTACCGCTACCAGTGAGGTAGCCTAGAAATTTCCTCACGCTTCCCAGAATGCCTACTGGGGTCGGGGTTGGGGCAGGGGTTTTCGGTTGCTGAGGGCTCGGTCGCTCTCGCAACTTAGGACGTTTTTCGTGGATAGTTGGGCTGGACTCGGGGCTCGTGGGCTCGAAAGCTCGATGGAAGAAGGGAGATTCATGCCGGGAGCTGAGTTTTGGGGGTGCAGAGGTCAGGAGGCTTCGGTTTCGAGTCTTCGAAAACAGGAATTTGGGCTGTTCGGGGGTGACAGCCTTGCGCCGCTTCGACGCGTTCTGGTCGGTGCTCTCGTCTGGGTCTCGTCGCCGTTTTGCGCTCGCGGGCTCTAATTGGCATTTGCACGTTAGCTCGGCGTCCGTCTGGGTCGACGCATCTCTGTACTGGGGCTTTCTCTGGGGGAATGGTCCACTCGTTTCCGCCTCCGTCAGGGAAGACGGGTCCACGGTGAAGCAGCGGGGGGCAGAGAGCTCAGAATGGGGGTAGCGGGAGACAATGAGAGACGCCATGGACGCAGCGTGTCCAAGGTCGCGCGGTTTTCGCTCACGTTTGGTAGGTTGGTACTCGGAAAAACCCTCTGGCCGGGCGCCTTGTCCACGGGTGTGGACCATGGTGAATTGCTGGGTTGTTCTTGTGTGAAGTTTTTGGATCGAGAATTCCGAGACAAAGTGACGGACAAGTGACAACCTGGAAACAATGCAGATGATGGGAGCCGAAAAGTCAATTACCGTATTGGGATTAGTGTACTTTGGGTCTTGGCATCAACCTCGATGTCTTTAGCGGCTTCTAAAGAGACAAACACCGGCACAGTCTCGACATTGCGTCTTCCCGATATACGAAGTGGGAGATAAATGTCGTCACGACTAGGGTGGCCTTTGAACGCAGCAGAGTCTCACACTTGCTTTGGTAGTAGTTGCTTCCGACCTTCTAGGGCCGACAAGCTCCGTTCAAACCAGCGTCCACCTCGTCGTTCTTCAAGTGCCTTCTTCCTTGTCAAGCACAATGGACATTGTCATTCTATCTATCCTTGGCTACCAAATCGATGCATTCTGACGCAATGGCTCAATTATCTCTCGACAGATCGCCTGCCTAAATTGTGCATCGTCCCAGCTGAAGGCATACTCATCAAATGAGCATTTGAGGCACCTCGCAATGACAATGCGGTATTTGATTGGCAGCACGCCGTCACTCTCTTCGTGCCATTGAAGTGCTCGAGGCAGGCGAGCGAGGCGCGAGTCATCGACACAGGTCAAGTTGTTTTCAGACAGCCAAGCCTCGAATGGCTTTTGGTGGCCGATCTCAAGAAGGAGGACGCCAAGTTCGAAGAGGGCATCGATGGGTTTGATATGCTGATGAGCCGAACCGACAAGAGCCGCAGAGGCGTTGTGAAAGGTTTTCGAAAGGAGGGGATTGCTCGTGTAGTATACCGGCTTGCCACGAGGGTGAAAGAATGTAATGATGTTCTTTGTCCAACACTCCTGGAGCCAGCCTGTCGCGCCTAGCTGCACGATTGAAGAGGCCAGCTTGAGAGCTAGGATGGTGATATTCTTGGGAGTAATTGTGTTGTTGCACTGTAAGAGGTCTGCTAGAGTTGTGGTATCCACATCTTCCCCGTGATTGAAGCGTGAACTGACAGGCAGTGTGGTAATCAGGTTGTCTAGTAAGTGGAAGCTGTTCTCAAGATGTTCAGCGCGTCTGATGGCGTGACAGAGATCCTCCACTGGCCTGTGAGAAGCTGTCTGCAACCTTGACACGCTGATCACAGTCTGGCACCACTGTGTACCAGAAGCATCAGCAGCAACCGAGATGCGAAAGCTGATCTCCGGCCGCGGATTCGGCTTGCTTGCTTCGATCTGAAGCACGCGATCCTCCAATTGCAGGGTGATGTGGTGCGAATCCAGACAGTTGGGCAGTCGGGCACTTTGCAGAGCGTCGTGCAGGCTGTCGGCATGCTTACGGATGGAATGAAGCCTCGTGGAGAGATTCAAGGCCTCCAGCTGATCGGTCGTCTGTGTTTGCAGACGGTCAAGCATCTCGCTGTCGCTAATGAACCCACTTAGGGTCAAGTTCGACTGGTCAAGCTTTGCCACAAGCTCTGTAAGTTCTTTTTGCTTCATGGTGAAATCGACACGCTTCCTCCAGCCGAAGCTGCCATTGACAAGGGGATCAGCCGCAAGAAGAGCCTTCAAATCATCTTTTGCTACCTGGAAAATAGGTCAGTCGCAACAGACGGACCCTGTTCGGGTTGAGCGAGTGTTCATCTTGAGCGATAGTACGGAGCTCATTGGTGTCGTTCGAGTCTTGAACCTTTCTTTCCAGAAAAGGGTGGTAGCCAGATTTACGCTTGACAACTGGAAGACCATATCAGAAGTGACGGCCGAGTATCAAAATGGCATAGGTCAAGAACAACTCGAAGGTGTCGAACTATTCACTTTTGTTATCCAACTCTCGGATTTCACCCGCTTCGGGCAGCTCCATTCGCAGACACTCTACTTTTGCATACGTTATGATGTCGATAGCCGAGAGTATTGGGACAACAACAACGGGCTCAATTACCAGGTTAAGTTTTACGAGCGTGACCGGTGGGATATTTTAGAACAATTAGAACGCCGCGCTGCCGAGGAGAACCGCCATTAGCCTGGCGTGTGGTGTACAAGGACGGACGGACCTTGAGCAGGAGAGCTTCCCATTCTCATTGAATAGAACTAAAGCTGTGACTGCTGACTTGTTGGCTGTACTTTCGACGCGGAATGCTCCTCCCTCTCCAGCTGTCTCGGACTTCCGGGTGTCGTATCGCACGCATCATGTCACTTGATCCGGATACACTATCGATACCGTGCTGCCACGAGCCTCCCTCTAATCGCACACAACTCTCATTTTTTGAACAGGGACATGCCCATGCTCGGCACTACTCACGGCCAACACCGCAAACCTTTCATTCACCTCCAACTCCCACCCACTTCACAGGCTTCTCAGTTTTCGCTCTGTGCGATTTTCTTCGCGGCCCTCTGACTCTTTCCCTTGATGAAATTCGACAAATCACCCACGGGGAGTGTGATGGGGAAGTCGACGCTTTCCAGTAACTGGACCAGGAGGAGGTACCACACCATCATCGTCAGGGCGAAGGTGAATGCTCCTGCTGCCTGCACTCTATGGGTCAGCTTTCGGGGATCCGGCAAGGGGGGCTCGGTGTACAAGGGGTGGAATTCTCGGTACAGGGAATGGTGTAGAAGCTTTGGTCGAACAGGGTATTGGGAGGGGAAAATGGCAAAATCGATATAGATGCTAAAGAAGCGCTCGGGAGCGAGACGAGGCGACTCACTATGGTTAACCTGCTGCCCGCGTGCACGTTGCCGAGCGCCAGGTTCCAGAAAGCCCCCGCGGCACATCCAAAGGCGAAGATCAGGGTGAAAAGCGCGGAGAAGAAGACGAGATTGGTGCGCAAGGAGCAGACGCAAAAAATGGTGGTGATCATGGCGAGCGAAAGGTAGTAGAACCCTGTTGTATTTCACAGAAAGCGGTATTGTATTAGTAAATGAGCAAGGCAAACAATGTTTTGGTAGACTTCCTTGACACTACTTACCGACGGTAGCGTAATAGCTGGATTCAGTCATGCCATGGAACGAGTCTCCCGTGGGGGAGTATTGGACGCCGACGCCGAACCAAGGGATGAGTTGAGTACCGGCCACGATCCAGAAAGTGCCGTAGGTGAAGAACAGGCACATGGAAAAGGTGTTGCCCAGGATCCATTCGGCGATGGCGCCCAGGATCTGCAGAAGACCGCCGAAGAAGACCATGACCGGGCTGTAGGTAGGATCGGTGGTCAGTCGGTCAAGTTTAGAGGGTGGTTTACGTATAGTATTTCCAGAATCAAAACGAGGAGGACAGAGTTACTCACATAAGGGCACCTCCTAAGCCTCCTGCACCACGCCAGCCCATGTTTGCGGCAGCGTACGGAGTCGCAGCCATGACGAAGCCAATGAGAGCGGCAGGTGTTGGGTTACCAAACTAGTAAAGGAGACAAGACCGTGAGAACAAGCCAGGCAGCTTCGAGGGGGGTTGGAATTTCTTTTACCTTCTTCCTCAAGTCTCCGGCAACATTACGCTCTGGAGAGAGGTACAGGGCTTCGAACACATCGCGAGGGAGGAAGACACTGTCTGCCGTCTGGACACGGCGAAGGAAATCTTCTTTCGAATTGAGGTGGTTCAAAGGAGCACCTTTGACCTCTTCCATTGTCAAGGAGGCGAGTACACGCGGTTTTCTGAGGTGGGAAGGAAAGGAACAAATGTGAGTATCTCCAAGTTTCTTTTGGGTTGTGAAGCAAGGATTAGACTCCCCAAAGGTCAGGCCACGAAAATATAGACGCGAGAAGCAAGCTGGACGTCTGGGACAGCCGGCGACGCCGGTCTTCTTGAAAGTTTTTCAACATTTCGTCGGCATTTTAACCTCCCTGCATTGCCGACTCGATCGATGCAGTCAGGTTCCTTAGGCCACGTTGGTTGGGTTGATCTCCATTCAGGAGAACAGGTCGCCATGTGCATTCCATTAGCGGGGAGTCAGCGGTGCACGACGACTGGACGATGCAACCCCGTCAAGCCCCGTGGGGATTGTCGCACTTTGCCTTGGATGGCGTCGAGGAGCGAGTAGGCACATAGAGGAAGGGGTTTCTGCGGTGAAAAGCGGGTTTGTTCCCCTTAGGCTGTGGGGATAGCGACCTACCTAGGCAAGGACAGGCCCAAGTCATGTTTGGCAGCAGCTGGGGTAGAGGGGGAACGGAACCTTCACTCTCCGTAAAAAGGATCATTCAGCACTTGCAAGGGTCTATGCAGCCGGAGGCAGAGCGGAAGGAGAGGCGCTGGGGGAGCCATCGCTCGATCGAAGGAGGTGCATAAACGCGATGGAAGGCGAATGGAACCGACTGGCTGGGGAGCTCCATTGGTTTGCTAAATCGTGCTCGTGGATCTTGACATATTCACTTGCTGCGATGATCGTTTCCAACCCGGAGCCGTGCCTGCGCCTGGGTAGATGGTTGCTGGTGTCTCGGAACCTGGCTGGGTGTCTGGAAAGCCCGGATGACAGCATCTCAGAGTTTTCGAGTCGGGGAAAGGGTAGCATTGCTGCTCTCGGAAGTGAAAACGCCACCTTCGTGCGTTGTAGCCTGTGGGGTGATGGATGTGGGGAGAACTAGTGAGGAATCAGGATGCCCCCAAACGTTTCGGAAGAAGAGCTTTCCTGGGGCATTGCCGTGGATCGTTTCCGCAGTGACGAAGGAAGAGTTGATGGGATGGTTGAGAGGCCCGAGTTCAAGGATTTTGTGGGAGAAGAAGTTGAAACAAGATTTATATTTCCAAGACACCGCCAAGGGCTCTATATAACCCGCTGGTGCCATGGCACTTTCATGATTACTTCTCACTCTGGGCGGAACATGACGCCCTGAAGATAAGTGCCTGCCGAGGCAACGGCCCGGGTCATAGCATGAAAGCCTCAGTGCGCCACCGCTTATGGCCGTTGCACATTGGCTGGATGAAGGCTCTGGAGAGCATGATTCTTCTCCGGAACGAGGACTTTTCGTCCTGACTTTCGGCGGAGAACCTGGCTCGCTAGATTCCCTGCCTACCTGTGTAGGTGATATCTATTTCTTCCGCCAGATTGGTTCATCTGTATCCGCATCTTCGCTTAAGTGCGGGATAGAGAGCACAAATGCAGGGTCTAGACCTTCACTTCCTCTGGAACAGAGTTCTGGTACACCGACCGTTGCTGCTCGAGAGGAAGAAGTGTAAGTGCCCTGGCGAAGAGGACACCCGCCAGTGACGGCAGAACAAATGTGCGGTGACAGACGCAACAGACTCGCCCTGGTCTCACTAGCGTCGTGTATAGGAGCAAAAACGTGTTCGGCCTTCCAATCGCTTCAACAGATCCGGAGCACAAGGCAGAATCGCGTCGGAACGTTGCCGGCGTCGAGAAAGGATTTCACAGACACCAGCGGAGTGTCGCCTAGAATAACAATATGTACAACTAGCGGCCATCTTGCTGACCGCGTACACAATGATGCATTTCAAGGCCGCTTGCATAGCCTTTGACAAGAAACCAGCACCAAGGAGCCAGCGCTGTGTGTTACAGCGTCAGGTGTGAAGTAAGAACAATGAAAATGAGGGTCGAGAGTCCTGCCATGCTGCCATTCGGAACGCGCAATCCCGCGACTGCTTGATTCTGGGTCCCGCCCTCAACGCTGAGAGCACCGCCGAAATACGGCTGAGAAGATGGAGGAGACACGCTCACATCCTGGCTCGTCTGATTTTGCAGGAGGTTGTTTCGGAGTGCACACGAAGGGCGAGTTCCACTGGCTGCCAGCTGCGTGGTGTTAGGAATGGAATTGGTGACCTGGATGGGGAGGTTGAAGATTGTGTAGTATCCGGTCCCATTGATTCGAAACGATTGATGGATCGAGACCTTTAACAGAGTCAGTACACCAGAGAGAGCAAGAGAAGGCGGTCCTGATCGCACATTATAAGAGCCTCTATCGGATGAGCTCCCGGAATCGTCGTCACCATTCCCAACCAGACAGTCAGGCCATGCCCAGTTGACATGCTTCACGGTACTGCCACTCTCCTGTGCCATAATCTCCGCACATCCCGCATTCTGAAAGCCTTGGCTGGTTGTGGAGTTACAATGGAACTCTGGTGCTTCCGAGCTATCGTTCAGCCAGCCATAACTGGTGCCATTCGATATCGTCAAATTGAGGCCCGTAACATAGCTGAACAAAAACATGGTGATATTGAGAATCTCGGTCTCAACGCTAGGAGAGTACGGAGGCTGGGGGATCCGGCCATCTCCTGAGATATCAAGAGCGACCTGGAGGAAGTCTGCGGACCACGCTCAGTATCCTCATAATATGTCTATTCGCGTATCATGTCGGTATGCACTCACCACCCCCTTCAGGCGTAAATGGCTGAGGTGCATCGATGATTGCTAAACCTGGTGTATATATTTGACCATTGACAATGGTAAAATTTGCTGTAGCGTGAGCGCAAGCAGTAAATATCAGGCAAATGAACACCAGAACCCTGGGTAAAGAGGGATGGGCCACTGAAGCATTCATCTCAACGAGATGCGAGCTCTTGGAAACTCTGCATATCTCATGAGATTCAGTGATCCTATGCGAAGCTATCTGTAGACGACATCTCAGCAGCCGGCAATTGTCGATGGGATGGATGGCCATCAATTTGTTGAAACCGCAATCTCCCAGAATTGAGACGCGAAACCGGACTCCCCCCCCCGGTCAGTCAATTTGATTCCTTACCTTCCATGCTCCAAGCGTGTAGAATTGCGTTTCGCCTTTGACAAGAAAACCTGTATTGTATGCTCAGATTGCCACCATAGAACCTTGCAACATTCAAACAGGGACATCTAAGGGACCAACGCCTCGGTCGCAATGTTGATGGAAAGATGGGCGTCAGTTCCGAGCTTTAAAGCGGCGCAGAACTTTACAAGTCTGTGTCTCTCACGTGACCACAATTTTCAATGCAGCCTTTTGAGCTTCTTTGCTCGTAGACTCCTCTCCAGCGACCGTATCCTCACTGTCTCCGTTTTCAAGGTCCCTATCTGGCTGACATGGAGCAAGTCTGCGCACGGTGTGCGAGACTTGGCCTCAGGCCAAGGTCTACTGTTCCATCGATTCCACTGACCACCAGTTCCAGAGGATTCTCCAGCTCAACAGTCTCGTACGATGAAGGTAACGCACACACATCCCCCGTCCACATCTCGTCGTTTCGGAGCATTGCCAACTGACCATAACCCTTGTCTAGGTGATCAAAAGCCATCCCGTCAGCCAAGTGGCAGACCTCTGCCTGGCTCCTCCCTACGCGGCGCGCTCGACAGAAACACTGCCAGCAGTGGCTCAGCTACTCGACCACAAACGACTCGACCCGCAGGAGCAATTCTGCGTCGAACAGGCTCACCACGAACGCAAACTGCTGGCCAAACGGGAACCGCTGCTCGAACCGGGACAGCTGCCGGAGCAGCAGGAGGAGCAGCTCGCGCACCACCTTCTGGCCGCCTCCTACAACGCACGGGAGCTCCTCGTCAAGGTCAAGGTCAACAGCTGCTAATTCGACGAACGGCCGGTGGGCGTGGTCAGGGTCAACAACCACATCAGGGACAGTTTGGTGCCGCTCAACAACAGTCTCCACGACAAGACCGATCTAGAGGAGCTTCTGCACCTGCATCGACGGGCAAGCGCACCACCGACCGCCGCGTTCGGCGCCTCGTCGAAAAGACCAAAACCTCCCTCGCCGAAGAAGAAGACTCTTCCGCCTTCGCCGCCGAAGACCTCCCCACCCGTGTGGAGAATTACATCAACACAATCGTTGACCCACCCGCAAACCCGACGACAGAACTGCCCCATGTGCCCGGTGAGTCGCTCTCCGTGACCGAACTGCGCAAGGACTGGCCCAACACCCCCCTCTCCAACTCCGGTTTGGTGGAAAGCGTGCAACAGAGGATTGAGTGGCTCGCGCACCGAATTCCGCATGGCTACCAGACGCCGGGCCAGTTGGCGGAATGGTACACCAAGGGGTATTTCACGCGCTTCGAGTCCGAGGCGGAGAAGGAGGAAGTCCTAAAGATCGCGCAGGAAATGGCCAAGGTGGAGGCGGATAAAGAGACGGAGAAGAACAACGTCGAGACACAGCCCAAGGATATGGACTTTGACGACGTGGTTTCCCGACCCGGCGAGCACAAGGGCCTCGCGGACACCTATGTGCGCGGGGTGTACCCGGAAGTCAAGAAGCAGAAGATGCCCTTCTTGGACCAGATTGTGCGCAATCTGAACAACAACGCGACTTTTCCTCATGGCAAGACCGAGCAGTTCATGCAGACGGTGCAGAAGGTCATCGTCTCGCGTGCGCAAGGAGGAGGGCCCGCACAGAAGAGGGCTGAAAAGTAAGGGTTATACCTGGTACACAATACATTGGCAAGTGACGCAGAAGAAAACCAGGATTGGGATCGTGAATGTGCTTTCAAAGACCTGAACTAGACACAATGTACAAAACTTGTTCGAGCCTCTTAAGATATCATGGTTATGTCACACCGAACCCCCGCGCTGATCATCGCCCATCAAATGTAACAAAAGGAATGTTCCATTTTGAAACGAACGCCCAACGCCAGACAGCCTCCATAAGTGTCCAGGTTGATATCATGTCGCTCATCCTTGCACCTTGCACAACAAGCCTCAAAGACGCAAAGAATCCAGGTCCTCCCACCCAGACCCCTCGTAACTGGTACTGAATGAGTTCAGAGTTCCGCCAACGAACACGCCGTATCATCGTTGTCCACCACCAAGCTCAGTTGTTGTGGATCCAATGCTGGAATGCAGACATCGTTGAAGAGGATTCGACCTCGACACAAAGGGCAGTTTGACCGGCCCTCGTGGATCAACCACACGACCAGGCACCACCTGTGGAATTTGTGGCCGCACCCTAATTTGTAGACATATTCTGCTCTGCCGATGTCGTCCACCTGGCAAATGGCACATTCAAGTGGTGCAGTATCTTCTGCACCGGCACCATCTGTAGAAGCAATCAATGGACATGGTCTCATGGCCTCTTCTTCTTCGTCGAATATGTATGCTTCTTGGACCTCAAGAAAACGATATTGCTCCAGCATGAACAGGCCAAGAAAGTACAGTGCTGGCAGAACATCTCCGTCCATGGTGATTAAAGTTATCCGCAGGACATGTACCTAAATGGCCCAGGTCACCAGGATGCCGTAGTTGAGCATTTCAAAAGTGGTGACTGTGGTGGGTCTCCGGCGTGCAGTCAACTGAGGCACCTGGACGATACTGATCGTGGTGGCTCTCCAGCGTGCACTCAACTGAGAGACCTGGACGATATTGATCGTGGTACGCCAGGCAAGCTTCTGCATATCGTTGGCGGCGATCATGGTAAGCACGGGAGCCAGGTTGATGGCTTTGAGGTAGAGCATCTTCTGACCGCTCAGCTTCTCGTTGGCCGTGGGTGGCTTGAGCCCTTCCAACACTTTGCATAGGACGTGGACTTTGTGGATCAGAGAATAGACATGGTAATCAATGGCAGGGTCCGTCAGAAGTTTGGTTTTGGCTGTGATGCAAGGTGATATGCATAGCGAGAGTTCGGACAGAGGGGACTCCTGCATTTTAACCTCGTCCGTATTGTGATGCATGAAGTAAAGAGCTGACGATGGTGGAAACGAACCCAGCAGAAAGTAGATAAAGGAAACGAGCGAAGATAGCGACCAACCAAATGAGATAAAAGTATAGACAATGTGGCCTTTCAAACGATACGAAAGACGATTGGGAAGAAGATTGATGTAGGATCAGAATTTCCATGATAGCCGATAAAGACTGTATCTCTATGCTATGGGGAAGGAGCCTTCCAGCCTCACTCCAGCCTCACTAGCCAGTGACAACTTCCTGGGATAATAAAGAAATTACAACGAGGCTTGCTTCGTCCGGACGCAGAGCATGGTGGAGGAAAAGGTAGAAAAAGTTCACATACTGACTTCAAGGCCGCAATCTCACTTCCGGTAAGGAGCTCTTGAGATGCGAGATTTGATAAACTGATGATCAGGATACTCAAGAGGAGAGACCGAGCAGACAGCGGACTTTAAGATCATGCCATTGGCATTGGTGGCAGGGTATAACTGCCATGTTCGATATTTGGTACAGCTGCGGAAGCTGCAACTGGCGGAGGGAGTTCACGGCGCCATTGAGGACTCAGAGGCTGAGGTGAATGCACAGTCAGCAGGCATGCCCACAGTTCCGTCATTTCCATTGTGATATGTTAGGCTCTCTGAACTATGGATCGTTTAACAGGGAAGAGAATGGAACTTGAAGCTTGGAAGGATGCATCAAGGTGTATATTCCCCTATCGCTATCGCCACGTGATACGCCGCTCCTCATCCCCTGTTTTGATGACGGAATCGCGGGCTGAGTAACGAACGCCCTGCCCTCATCATTGCATGTGAATGACGATCCCCGTCTGCACAAGCCGAAACCTTTCGACTACATACATATATATCAGAAAACCTCATTCACAGTGACGCGTTTCTAACAAAGACACTATCATAGACTCCATCAAAATGGCGCTTCCGCCAAAATTCTCCGGCCAGCTTCTGGCCTCGGCCTCTAGCAACGAAGCAAAGCACACCATCGAGCTATACTTGGACTATGTCTGCCCATTCTCGGCCAAGATGTTTAAGACCTTCTACAAGAGTGTGGCACCTGTCATTGAGAAGAAGTACACCAAACCGGGCATCCGCGTCATCTTCCGTCAACAGATCCAGCCGTGGCACCCTTCTTCCACTCTGGTCCACGAGGCTGGTGCTGCTGTTTTGAAAACCGCCCCCGGCTCCTTCTGGTCGTTTTCCGAGAAGCTGTTTGAGCAACAAAAGGATTATTTCGATGTCAATGTGGTGAACGAGGGTCGGAATGAGACGTACAAGAGACTGGCCAAGCTGGCCGGCTCTGTGGAAGGGGTTGACGAGAAGACCATTCTGGACTTGTTGTTGGTACCTGACAAGCCAGACAAGGAAGGTGGACTCAACATTGGGAACAAGGTCACTGATGATGTCAAGTTCATGGTCAAAGCGAACAGAGTCACTGGTGTCCATGTAACACCGACCGTCTTGTTCAATGGCGTAGAGGAACGCAGCATCAGTTCTGGTTGGACATTAGAGCAATGGGAGGAGTGGCTGCAAAAGAACGCGTCCTGAGAGAAAGGCGCCAAACCAACAAAGCAGGGGTTTGTGCCAAGGAGACCAAGAGACACTTGCAGACGACAATGAGTAGCGTGCGAGACCACCATCCATTATTTCATGGCTCAGGGCCGATCCAGTGGTTGAGCTGATAAGGCTATACTAAACCTGAGTGACCACCAATATCTTTGTGCCCAAATCTTTGGCCGTCGTGGGATCCATTCATCAAGACATACACAAACAGGTAGTAAGCACGCCCGCTGAATGCACATGTGAACACGGTTCCTGTGTTTCCGGAAAAACGCCCTCCCAATGCTGCGCTAGTCGGAGAAGTGACTTGGATGAAATTGTGTCAAGGTCAATGAGCAGGAGGCTGGTATCCAATCGGTCGCCTGCACGTGTCAGCGTCTGCACAGATGTGAGAGACGCCAGACTTACTTGAACAGGAGGATATGTGGTTCTGGCTCGTGGACTTCATAGTGCTCCCATCCCAGGCTCTGCATAATGTTCAGCTTAAGTATCACACGTACGTGACAGTCTCAAATACCTGTGTGATCCCCAATCCCCTCCATTCTTCTTCCCACAGCAACTTCAAAGTCCCCTTCGAGTCGTCGAAATAGTCTCTCGGAATGACCTTCAACATGGCTTTTGGGAGTTGTACATGACGGTATTCGAATTCGCTGTCAGAGTATCTGACGCGTATCAGCCTCGGACCGATAAGCAAGTTCACTCCATACACACCTTGCTGAATATCCGATACTGTCAACGAATTCCTCCAGTCGCGCCCTCTCAGACTCGAGTAACAACCTAGGCTTCTTGTTCCGCCGAGACATGTCAACTTCCGCCATATTGCTGGATTGCGAGACGCGATCGGTAGAGAAGACTTCGCTGTTCAAGGGTTTCTCGCTCGAGAGACGTGATGAAGGACAGTGAGGAAGTACCACGTGGCACAACCGTTAGCGGTGCTAGGGTAGCTGCGGACAGGTTTCGCGGAATGGTCTCGTGCTCTTGCGCATGCAAGGGCTGCGTAGAATGTGGAGGTGAAAAGAGCGAAACCGAGTCGGACGGTCTGTAGAATGTGTCGAGGTCAGGCTCCGACCTGAAGAGAGCGTTTGGAAACGGGCTATCGCGAGGGGTAGAAGCAGAGGACTGCGGCCTGCATTTGTGTTTGAGGCGGATCGTCCCAGAGGCTCGCCGAAGTAAACACAGACCGGGGAGCCAAAACCAACGGGCTAGCCTATGAGAGAAGGTGCGGGTGCCAAGATGTTTCGGATAAACTCAACAAGCAACTTCGGATCAGGCCGATGGCTTACCTAATAATCCGGCCGCTGTCACGTGTGCTGGTTTTCGCCCTGCGAAGTTGCGTTGTGTGTCGCGTCCCCGTTGAGATCCTGTCACCCCCATAAGTCTGTTTGAAGGGCGAGCGATGGAAGTCTCCCCAAGGCGCATGCAACTCCCACACCATTGAATGCTTTCGCAAGGGCCTCGTTTGCCCTGTTCATCTCCCCAATACCGAGTTACTGCACTTTGCACCTGATGGTGGCCCCTCCTGCGCCCGCATCCCTCATTCCTCGCCCAATCTCGAAACCTCGTGAGGCCGCGAAATCATGAGCTCGAAGCGCAGAAGCGGCCCTGCAGGCGACCCCGACGACTTTCTAGCCACGCCTGATCCCAAGCGACGCAAGCGGAGCGACGTAAGTATTCAAATAATTCTTTCTCACTCGCCCAACTCCCAACTTCCACTTACCACTTGCACTTCTCGACCGTGCGCAGAGTCGCGGAACCCCCGCCTTGTGCACCTCATGCTGCGTGCAATGCCGCCTCCACTTGACTTGACCGCAGTGCACTGCACTGATCGCATTCGCAATGGTTGATGCATCTCAACAGAGTTTCGCTAATCCAGGTGTGTGCAGGATACCCATTTCCCTGAGGAAGAAACTCGAGAGACCACCACAGACATTGGTCTGAGGCTCGTGAGGCAGTTGAAGAAGTCGCAAGACAAGAATGGCCGCAATGTCGCAATCCATTTCTTGGACCTGCCTAGCAGGGTCGACTATCCTGACTATTACCAGCAAATTGCCATGCCTCTTTCCCTCAACATGATTGAGCAGCGGCTGGAGAATTATGGATATGACAACCTAGAGATCCTGGAGTCAGACTTGAAGAGAATGGTGCAAAATGCAAAGGATTATAACAACAGTCGATCTGCAATCTTTGAAGATGCTGAGCGCATACGCAAGGCTTTGTCCAACTTTATGCCAAAGCACAATCCAGCGTATCTGCGACCAGATTATCGCGCTTATCCGACCCCGATTCCGCAAGAACTGCTTGATCAGGTTCGACGTCAATCCATGTCGTCAGAGGGAACCATGGCTCCGGAGAGGGTCAAGCTGGTCTTCTCTAACCCTGCGGCCCGGCGACGTCAAAGTCAGGCCACTCCATCCACGGACACCCTAACCGAGACGAGGGAAGATGTGAGGCAAGAACAGTTGAAGTTTTTGCAGGAATTGTCGGAGCAGGAAGATGCAATGTAACTCACCCCGTTGAGACTCTGCGGTGTATGACCACACAGACTGACATTTGTTGCCCAGCAATTTTGAGGAAAAGGTATCCAAAAAGGATTATCCCGACTATTACAAGTTGGTCAAGAAGCCGACGTCCATATCAGATGTCCGGGCTTTGGTAGAGACAGATGCAGTCCAAGATTGGGACGCGTTGGCGAAAGAAGTGCGACTCATCTGGGACAACGCGAAAGATTACAATCAGGAAGGGTCCGACATCTACCTGATGGCAGAAAAACTCGAGGTACTGTTTACCCTGGACACGTGTCTAGACGGCAGTATTGTGAGCACGCGCTAACGCTAACGATTATCCTGTTCATAGGCTTGGTCGGAGTCCAAGATGCAGTCACTTGGTGCTCAACCAAAACGCAATCTCAAGCTTTCTTTGTCACAACCAAAGCCAAAGGCTCTGCGACTGACGATGGCTTCGTCTACGCTCACACCAAACCTGGTCGGTGGTACGATCGACAGCGAATCGCTCCGACGACAGAAAGAAGAAATGGGTCAAGCCTTGAGTAAAGTGCACAGGGCGAATTCGAGGGCCGCTCAAGTTAACGGAGCAACTCCAGTGCCTTCAAGCGCTGCTCCCAGTGTTCGTCGAAGCGCCTCACTGGCTACAACTACTGAGCAAGCTGATACAACCACCAACGAGGTCAAAGTCAATGGTATCGCAAGCACTCCCCAACCTCAGGAAGCTGTGAGAGCTTCACACCCTCCTGCGCAAAATCTAGGACAGCAGCTGCCAACCCCTGTCCAAGAAGTCGAAACGTCTCTTCCGAATACAATGCCTCTCACGAACGGAGCCGGTCACCTCGAGCCCTCTGTGCCGCAGTCTTCTAGCCCTACAATGAGCACGAATCCATCGGTTTCCAACGACAATTACTTGAACCAATCCGTCATTCCCATGGAACGACGCTTTCGTGACCCTGGCAGAGGTAAGTTCAGCCGTACCCTTACTCATGTAAGCTTTTCCATCGGCCTCAAGTCTGCTGACATTGAGACCGCTCCACTCCCCAGGCTGGACCCACGCATTGCTCGCTTCTGTGACATTCATGACCAACCCTTCTTTGCCGAATGATCCACGTTGGAAGCTTGTGAGATACGGCTCGTCCACCAAAACCCAGACGAGCGGCTTCATCGCTCTGCCTTCTCACTACCGCGACCTGCGCATCGTCCCCAACACAACCGCTGAACTCGCCGGTCGTCGCCGTCATCGCATCTTTTTCATGCACAACTCCACCGTCTACAAGGAGAGCAACAGCAATCATGTGGAGGGGGCGTTTGAGGTCAGGCTCGTTCCTGGGGAGAATGTCCTTGTCGTGGAGGTGTTGGCGGATCTGAGGGAAGGCGAGAGGAAGACGTATGCGCCCAGTCAATTGCAGTTTGACTTTGAGAGGTGCACCTTGATTGTACATCTCAACAGCACATCCTAAGCTGTTTAATATGGAGAGGAGGAACTTGCACCTGCATTGATAACTTCTTGGTAGGAAAGAACTTTTTTCTTGGTCCAGATGATGGCTTGAAGAGAAAAAAAAACCGGATAGGAAAGCGCGGCGGTGGACGGACTGCTTTCGCACGAGCATATCATGTGCAATGGGATGGGATTGGCATTGTATTATGTGCTTGGTAGGACCGGGACCTCAGTGTACTCTCACAGACAGGGTTTTATTGAGTCGATGAGATGAAGATTGAAAGTGACTTTGTGAAATTCCAAAATGCCTGCCCTGCCAAGTGCTTCTTGCTCGAGGACAGCGTCCAGTAGGATATTTGGGTAAAGTGGCATGAGACGGTGATCAACCAACCGTACATTCATATCGTACCTGTTTGCTCATACGATTGATTCGTCTATACAGAGTATCTTTCCATTGTGTTCAAGCTGTGGTTGGCTCGATCCTAGCTAGCCTCAACCGAACTCCCCCCTACCTGCCCACCCACTTGCAGCCAGCCATCTCATGAAATGGAGGAGTATAACAATACAGCAGCCACGCCACATCCTACCTACTTCTGAGCTCTCGGCCCCGCGACACCAGCTCCAATTACACTGGGCAATTCCTGAGCTCCCATACTGTACAGCATGCCAATCGCGCCAGCTACCAACGCAGTCATGACCACGCCGAAAGAGGCAAACATGACAAAGGGGACAGAAATGTCTTTCTTTTGGCACGCGTTTCCGCCCCATTGGACAGTCTTCTTCGTTCCGTCCTCGTTGATCCGGACGAGGGTGGATGTGCAGCGGCACTTGAAGCAGTTGCTGTGGGCCTTGTAGCAGGAGCCGTGGCCGGAGCACGAGTTTGTGGTGTTCTCGCACGCGGATTGCGAGGTGAAACACTGGGGGATCACGGAAGGGAGGGTGAAGTTCGTGGACGTATTCGCGGCAGGTGTGATGGTCTCGAAGTCAGAGACGGAGGATGGGGACGGGAGGTCCAAGCGTTCCTCTTCGGATTCCTGTGCGGAGCGAGCGGCGTGCTTGTGGTTGTGGGCCTTGTTCTTCTTCTTGGGGTTCTTCAATTTGTTCGTTGAGGGAAGCAGGAGGAGGGTGGATTCGACGTTGTCAGTGGCGGAGAAGTGTTTGAGGATGCGGACCAGGGAGTTCAATTGGGTCTTGACAGACGAGGGGTTGGTGGGCAGGAAACTGTGGAGGGACAGGATTATGGGGATATTTGGAATCTCTGAAGCCGCTAGGCATCTTCCATTTTCGGCGGGATAGGTGAAGACGACCTCGACGCCCTTGCTGTTGGGTGCATTGCGAGAAGCGGGAACCTCATACTCGCAGAGTCCGTCCTTCTCCTTACGACTCCCGTCAGTCACGGCCTTGAAGTCGCTGAGCAAGTCTTTTGTTGGATCCGAAATCCACAGATCAGGCATGGCCATATTAAAGTCGTTGACCTGCATATCGACCCCAGATATTCTGATGAACAGCTTTCCTGGCGCATCTTTGGGGTGGCTCTCTCCAAACAAAGGGGCTTGGTATCCTCCATAGGTATTGAGATCTTCGAGCAGCATCGAGTCTGTGATGCCCAGGTATCGATCGGCCGTCAGGGCTCTTCTTCTCGCGATAATGGCGCTGGCCATTTCTGAATCGATCATGCCGGTCGATGGGGTGGTGATGGAGCGGTCGATGGTAAAGAGGTATGCGCCTTGAGCAGCGACATATTGGGCGAGTGCTGCACAGGGCAGTAGGACCGATAGAGGCTTCATGGTTATTATCGCCAGCTGAGCTCAATGTTGAGCTGTTGATTGTAGCTGGCAGCACTGCAGAGCATGAAGAAGTGCATACGTCGGGGGGCAGATGCACGGATAATTGTTTCGGCCTGAGGAGAGGAGCGACTAGTACTGGCCTCGCTGGTAAGGAGCTAGCGAGCTGTTAGAGCCTTAGAGGAGCAGTTATTAGACCCTTTCACGTGCAGCCGGCAGCAACGCCCTGTGCGACCCCTCGTCCGCCTGCGATATTGACATTTCAAGGCTGCGAAACTTCAACCCTTCTCCCATCGGTAACCGCACATCCTCTGGGTTTGTCTATCACGACAACATATACTCCCTTTTTCCGACTGCGTCATTCTCCCGACTTACTACTGAATTTACTGGGAGGAAGGGATTGCGCACGGGTCAATGTCACCGAGCACGGCTGCTGTCGACCACACATCAAGTCCTCGCTACAATGCAACCTACTGATGCCTCAACCTGCCCCTCCTTATGCTTCGGTTTTTATTCCGTAGCCCGCGGAGTGTTCGCGTGCCACTTCAAAATGGCCCCGTCGATCTCCAAAGGGTTGCAATAACCAGAAGATCTAAGTCCACGTACGAGAATCTCCCAGTTCATTGAATATTGCTAAGAGTTGACAGACCTGTCTTGTACCGGCTCTTCACTACGGTTGCCCTGACTTACTGTGCCGCTAAGGCGATCAACTATATCTATCCGGACTCTGCGCACGGCTCCAAGCCCCAAGCTGAGTCTGTCAAGAAGACCCGCAAACCCCAGGACCAGGAAAGACCATGGCAAGGGCACTGGGACAAAGCCAACGCAAATGGCTCGATCAATTCACCCGAAGTTATCCATTTGATGCTGCCGATTTGGATTCGACGAGCAAAGCCCCAGTTATGGGAGCCGGATGACCCAACCTGGAAGTCGTTCCAAGCCCTTCACGGAGATACGAAACGCCTGCGTGAAATTACAAGAGCAATTCAAGAATCTCTGAAACAAGAGGTGGTTAAGAAATATGGTCGTACTTTGATGGACCTGGGAGGGAAGTTCGCCTTTCACGCCGGATGGAGACTTGCTCCGCCTTTGTATGCCCCGACAACCTATGAAGTCCCATGCATATTCTTAGAACCGGGCAAGATCAGTTATGGCTGGAGGCAGCTGCCAAATAGCATGGGCGGGAAGATGGATCGCGTTTTTCATCCGCTTGTGCTTGGAAAGGCCTTTTTCAATGGTGTTAGGGAATTTGCCTGGGCTTCATATCTGATCACCAAAGCCCGCCTGATGGATCGGCTCAGTTCCCTCGGCGCGACCGACAAAGACTCCATCGTATCGCAGAAAACTCTCAGTGAAGAGGAAAAAGCCCACAAGCGGTTGAAGTTTGGAAAGTTTTCGGAAAAGGACAAAACAGTTTGGCTTCCTTTTCTTCGTGGTGACTACGGCGAGCATGACTCCAGACGCGCCTACCGCGACCTCGTCAAGTCCATGACCTACCAAGGCGCAATCGAGTCCGGATGCGCTGTGTTCCGAGCATATTGGATTTATGGACAAGAAAAGATCATGCAGTCGTACGCTCGAGACAGCGTACTGTTCGTGGGAGAGATAGCCTTCGTGGGAGACAGAGGTACCTTGTTCGTGCATGCCGTGGCGGTATACTCCCCCGAGACGGATTCTCTCATTGGACCACCCATCCTCAAACATGCGTATGTCGTCCCAGACAGAGAGAAATGGGTGACAGACAAGACTGCCGAAACCGACGAAGATGGCTTGCGTCAAGAGCAGAGACAAGAACAGACGAAATTGATTGCTCGAGAGGCTCTGAAACCATCAACAGAACCCGAGGAGGCACAGCGGACCGGGAAGCCTCCTTCGGCTGAGGGAAATCAGGAGAAAAAGAGTGAGAAATGATTTGATATCCGATTGCTCTATACACAGCGCAGGGCGTTATTCAGGGTCTGGGATTTCGGGCAATTTTGCATGCGCTCTGGGATGGAGCATTTGCCATGACTTGATGAATTGACTTGAAGAGCAAGTTTTCTCACGGATAGTATGTGCCTGATTCACGCCAGTTCGTCTTCAATCTTGAGTTCTAGTGGTGAATTCTTTCTTCACTCTGTCCCATACTTCCTTGGACTTGGCCCTCCTCTCGCTGAATCCAGAAGGCTAACACTGCCTCTTCTGCGCAGGCACCCGGATTCCCAAAACCAATGCCACACAAAATGCCTTGGACGATGCTGGGAACCGGCGTCAGATCCAGCATTCTCTCCATCTGGCTGTATTTCATCCTGAATATGCTCGTTACGGTCACGAATAAGCAAATCGTATCCCGGACAGCATGCCCCTGGCTTCTCACGGCGTGCCATGCATTCGCTACATTTGTCACCACGGGAGCGATTTTGCGCCTCCAGAAATCAAGATTCACCCCGACGACTACAGCCAGGTTTACTTCCCTCTCATATGATGACGATGGAGACGACGATAATAATAATGAGTCCGAACAGAAGCACCAAGAGGGAGATGGGGCCAGCAGACCCAGTCTACGTACTCACCTACGGATCCTCCTTCCATTCTCTCTCCTTTACACACTAAACATCGCTCTCTCCAACCTGGCCTTGGGGCTGGTGACTTTGACCATGCACCAGACCATCCGGGCGACGGCCCCAGTCATCACCGTCCTGATTTCAATCGCATGGCTTGGAAGGTCCTGGAGGGAATATCCCGTCGGTGTGTACGGGGCAATCACTCTCACAATATGCGGTGTGATCATTGCGAGCAACGCTGCATCCTCTGAAGCTGGCGGCAGAAGTCTCGTCGACCCAACAGCAAGAACAACCCCATTCGGATTCACAATAACCTTGCTCGGCGCCGTGCTGGCCGTGCTGAAAACGATCATGACGAACGAGTTGCAGCGGCCCCCTCACGCCAGTCGATGGGGATTGGGTCTGTCCTCGACGAGACTCGTGCAGTATCTCGCCCTTTACGCTGTCAACCAGACGGTGCTGCTTGCAAGCTGGACTGGCGAGATCAAGAGACTGTCGTCTTCCAACTTTGGACAAGGCGCGCCAACGCCGACTCTTATCCTCAAGCTAGGAGGCGGCGGAGATTTGCTTCGGATAAGCCTGCTCTGGCCGTGGTTGTGGCTTCTCAACGGCCTCGCCGTAGCGATGCTGAACCTCGCATCCTTTGAAGCGAACAAGCGGTGTGGACCGCTGAGCATGGCCATCGCCGCCAACATGAAACAAGTGCTCATTCTGGTCCTTGTCATATGCTTCCGCGATACCTCCAGGGAAGGCAGAGAAGGGGAACGACAGGCAGAGAATATCGTGATTCTAGGCTCCCTGATGACCACGATTGGTGGTATGTGGTATGCCTTTGCCAGCAGTGTTCGCGTGAAAGAGAGGCAGAGGCAGAGGCAGTGGCGAGAGGCTATCGAAGGCAACAGCAGCTGGACTTCTGATAAACGACCTCGAGGCTGGAAGGGATAGGGGTCGCCGGAATAGGACTCGAAAACAACAAGCAGAAGCAGTCAAGCGGGCGGCAAAACAGAAACACTAGGTAGGAGACGACTTGGTCGGAGCAGGTCAGAGGAGAATCAACACCCGTCTTATGATGATGCTGTTGGTATCTGTACAATTGTCCACAGAGATAGTGGCACACATGATACTTTTGCCCCAATAACCCAATGGATTTCGCTTTTTAGCCCTTCTTTCTCTGGTACAAATGTGCATGCATAAGATTTTTTCCCGATTCCTGTTTCTTTCCGTAGGTTCACAGTGATATAATAGTGGTAGTGATACAATACACCCACATGCATCCATTGGATTTCGTCTTGGTTACCGTCTAGTTCACGTATCTTAGACTTTTGTTGACAGCTCGCCATCGATCTCTTCTGCCCAGTGTTTACAATCCCCATTCCACTGGGTCGGTCTCACCCATCCAGAGCCTTCAAGCTCGCCTCATAAACCTTCTTGACCTCATCCTGTCCCTTCTTGACCACTTCTTCCATCTGCTTATGCGCCTTGCGCAACTCGTCCACAATCACCAATTTCCCCAGCTCCATCTTTCGGTGTCTCTTCTGCGCCTCCCCCCGCGCATTGCGGACCTCCTGTGATGCCCGCTCGAACATCTTTTTCGCCTCGGCGCGCGCGAGGTTTCGGGTTTCTGCGGTGATGGGGGGTACGGGGACGGTTATGAGGAGCGGGTTGGAGGATGTGGGTGGGTTGGATTGAGAGACGGAGGTGGTGCCGGGCGTGTGGGGAGCGGTGGTCTGGGGGACGAGACTGTAGGGGCTGGCGAGCAGGGCTGATGCAATGGGTTTGACGTGCTATAGTAAGGAAGAACGAGTTAGTAGCCGATTGATTGCAACTGCGACAAAAGAGACTGAAGTAGACCGGCACCGTCGGCCTCAAACGTAGAAGGGAGACAAAGGGTACTCACAGCCTCCTCAGCGCAGAAGATCTGCACACTCCTTCCCCCCTTAGCAACCACACTCGCCAGATCCCCTATTTTGGCCTTCTCTTTATGCGGACCGCTTCTCCCGGTCTCGTGGCCCTTGAGGTTGATCTCCACGGGCAGCGCCTCGATCATCTCCGGCGTGACTCTTCCCGCATCTTTCGTCTTGACCAGCGCCTCTTTCAGACGTGTGACGGCCTTTGCAATGCCCGCCTCGAGCTCGGAGAAGTCATAAGGGTCAATCTCAGAATCGCGGTTGCGCGTGGCCTTGTTGTCCGGGATATGTACTGCATCTTTGTGGGTGAGGGAGTCGAGCGAGGGGGATTTACGTGCGGATTTGGACGATGAGGACGATTTCTTGAGAAAGGGTGTAGAGGTTGAGAATGTCCTGCTGTTGAGATCTCGATGTGATTGTGATTGTGATTGTGTCGAGACTGTCAACAATGGGAGTGAACGTCTCGACGGGGAATAGGACTGGAGCAGTCGTGTCTGGCATTGGAAGCAGAGCGATCGCTGCGCCGTACGCTGCGGTAGCCGGTGATGAGCAGGGAGCAGTTGTTGCACAATCTGTGCCGCTTCTTTGCTCCGTGGAGGCATTATTTTGCCAATCGGTGTACGAGAATGGGTCAGGTTGGAAAGGTTCGCCAAACGTCGAGTTACTTGAATTGAAAAACGGCGAGGTGCTTTTCTCGTCTGAAAAAGTTGCGGCGGAGGAGCTACAGGCGAGTGACCCACTTGGGGCTAGTGAGGCTGAGAATTGGAAAGGCTACCGAGCACGAGGCTGAAGGCTTCAGGGGCCTCTTCTGTGAGAGAAGAGCCTCACCCCGTGCGGTTCTCCTAAATTTCCTGACCTAGACAACTAAACACTTAATAATAGATCTATGATTGCAGGCCAACAAGAAACAGAAACAGAATAAATCGGGGATAGAGGTAGAACGGTGCTTCGATCCGGATCATACTGCGGCTCAGCAACCATCTCTGCATTCAACCTGTGCAAAAGGCAGGCTCGCAGCAAAGAACACTATCTTCATTCTGATTTCAGGCCGAGAAACGAGATTTCCGCTCTATCTTGACACATACTAAGGCAATAACATTTCCCTAGCCTTGTGACGAGCCCAACCAGCAGCTGCTGGCCCTAATTGACCCACCTGAGAACTATCCGAAAACGACGCCAGCCACATTTCTTTTGGAAAATGCCATGTATACTGTCATGAGGACGGGAGACGTATCTCCGAGGACTTTTCCGGTGATTTGGGAGCCTGACTTATTGTGGCTTGGTAGGATCAACCAATTGTCGACGAGATAGGCGTCTACCTCGTAGCCATGGCCTTGGTCATAGCTCTCTTCAGAGCCAGTTCCTTCTTCTTCAAGTCGTCTGGTGTCGAATCCTCCAACTCGAGCTGTTGCATAGCCTCACTCAGGGCCTCCTCGATCTTGGCCTTGTTGCCGCGCTTCATCTTCATCGACAACCCAGGGTCATTGATTAACTCCTCTACACGACCGATGTAAGACTCGAGTTGTTGTTTAGCCTCGAATTTCTTGGTGAATGCCTCGTCGCTCGTCTTGAACTTGGCAGCGTCCTCGACCATCTTTTCGATTTCAGTGGTCGACAATTTACCGACTGCGTTGGAGATGGTGATGTTGGCACTTCGACCAGAGGATTTCTCAGTAGCAGTCACTTTGAGGATACCATTGACATCAACCTCAAACACAACTTCCAGAGCAGCGTCTGTCACATCTTGTTAGTTGGCGGTCCCAGAGGATAACAACAAGGACAAAAAACCGACCTCCGGCACGCATAGGCGGGATTGGAGATAAGGTAAACTCTCCCAGAGAAGTGTTGTCTTCACAGTTGGTCCGTTCACCCTGGTAGACCGGAAACTGGACAGTCTGCTGATTGCTGAGTCATCCGTTAGCAATAAGATCATTCGGCAGGTGAAGGTGACTTACTCAACGACGGTGGTGAATGTTCTATAAGAAGATGTTAGCAAATGTCATGGCCACAGATAGGATTCTGGTGTAACGAAGTTGTGAATGGCAACGGGGTGAAATAGTGGTGTATCAAAAGACCCTGAGCTCCTGCCAGCTTGGTGGCAGAGGTGGCTACCCGGGCCGTGGCGAGCGGGGATCCCGATGTGGGGGAAGCGTTCCAGGGAAGGAACGCCTCGACGAGATGGAAATGATAGGGGAGGTGTATTGAACAACAACATGAGACGAGGGCATAGGAAAACAACATGGCATAAAAATATAGGAAAGAAAATGAGATGGCCATGCCTTTTCTTTATGCAAGGGACTGTGTTACCGCGAGGGACAACAGGAGCGAAGATGTTGCCTTCCATGGCCACACCCAGAGAAAGCGGAACAACATCGAGGAGGAGGAGATCGGCGGTCTCGGCAGAGGTGGCTTTGCCCGACAGGATACCTGCCTGAACGGCAGCGCCGTAGGCGACGGCTTCGTCGGGGTTGATGCTCTATTAACAGTCAGGAAGAACCCAAGCCGGTGAGTGGTGTCACGAACCTTTTCCAACTTCTTGCCGTCGAAGAAATCACTCAGCAGTTTCTGGATACGAGGGATACGGGTCGAGCCACCAACGAGCACAATCTCGTCCACCTTTGACTTCTCGATGGCGGCATCTTTCAAGACTTGTTGAACTGGCTCCAGAGTGCCGCTAAAGGCCTTGGCATTGAGATCCTCAAATCGGGCACGGGTGATGGTAGCATTGAAATCCTCGCCATCAAACAGGGAATCAATCTCGATTGTGGCCTGGGTTCCGTTCGACAAGGTTCTCTTTGCTCGTTCGCAAGCGGTTCGAAGTCGTCGAAGGGCACGGGCGTCGCCAGACAAGTCCTTCTTGGTCTTCCTCTGGAACTCCTTCTTAAAGTGCTCAAGGAGGTTGGTGTCGAAGTCTTGACCACCCAAATGGGTATCTCCAGCAGTGGCCTTGACTGTGAAGACACCACCCTGGATGTTCAACAGGGAAACATCGAATGTACCACCACCAAGATCGTAGATGAGGACATTTCGCTCCTTGTCTGTTTTGCCGGATCCAAGACCATACGCGATGGCGGCAGCGGTGGGTTCGTTGATGATACGGAGGACGTTAAGGCCGGAGATGGCACCAGCATCCTTGGTCGCTTGCCGCTGGTTGTCATTGAAGTAAGCAGGCACAGTGATGACGGCCTTTGAGACTTTCTTTCCCAGCTTGGTCTCTGCAACTTCCTTCATCTGTAGCGCAAGGCGTTAGTGCTTTGCCTGGTCCACGCAGAAAGACGAGCGCTTCACCTTCATAAGAACCATGGACGAAATTTCCTGCGGTGAGAAAGTCTTGGTCTCGCCCAAGTATTGCACCTGCACCATAGGATTGCCGCCCTGGTCGACAACCTTGAATGGCCATGATTCAATATCCTTCTTCACCGTCGGGTCATCAAATCGTCTTCCGATCAATCGCCTGCGCTGGGAGTTTAGAGAAACTCAGTATTTTGTATGATGGATTCCACTGACTTGACATCAAAGACTGTGTTTTCCGGGTTCATCGCCGCCTGGTTCTTTGCAGCCTCGCCGATGAGACGCTCCTCGTCGGTGAAGGAGACGAAGGAAGGGGTGGTGAAGCTACCCTGCTCGTTGGCGACTGCGAGGATGTTTTAGTACAGCCCCCTCGGTTGCGCGGGTCGACGGAAAAGACAGTCTTACTGATTTCGACGTTTGTGCCTTCATAAACGGCAACGCAGGAGTAAGTGGTACCTGAGGGACTCTTTGTTAGAGAGCGCAGACGTCGGTGAGGGCGGGGAGAAGAGTAGCATACCGAGATCGATGCCGATGGCACCCTCATAGACTTCGTCCGCCATGTTGATGATATGAAAATAGACACTCCTCGACCTTCTATGCAGGAGGACACAAGGAGGAAAAACAAAGGTGTAAAGGTGTTGTAGGCAAAAAGAGGTGGAAACAGCCTACCGCAGCAAAAGTCTACCCTCCGAGAACTTTTTGAGCCACAGCCCACGGACCACATAAATTTTCCAAATTTTGGCCAAGACACTCGGTAACTTTACGACCCGCTCTAATCCGATCTAGGCTACAAACAAGGCCGCCTTGTCCTCATCATAAGCTAGCCCATATAATCTTAGGGCTAAGTAAGAGGAGGAGAACGGAGAGTGAAATATTAAAGCAGCGCCTCGATACCATTTTTTCAGCTAGCTTGAGAAGAGATTCTGTGCTTTGCCTATTTAGGGATAGCTCCCTTTCCGTTCTTTAGCATCACAGACACAATTCTCAGACCACAATCCTCCTTCTACCATCCCTGCCAATCTTAAGGTTGGAGATGATCCGATATCCAGACATTGGCCGCCATCTTGTTTGTGTGAATGTCCCGGCTCAAAGTTGACGGTCCCCACGGAGGACTCGAATTCGGGCCAATGCAGACAATCGAAGCAAATCTTCTGAGAAAGCAAGACTATTTCATTCACATCCCAATACCTATCTATGTCTATGAGAATGGCGCCATCTAGAGAATCTTCCCACGGAGAGATACACATACAGCACTTGTGCCACGAAAGAAAAAAGGGTACATAAGGTACAGTTAATCAGATCCTCACTTTTCCAGTAACACATCACCATGGAGAGAGTCCCAGCCCCTGTATAAGGTCTGAAGAATTTCGTTTGAGCCCTTGCGCTACTGCACCGGCGACTCGTTTCCCACAAGCACATGCCCATCTTCACTGCCACCCTGTTGACCCGGTTTCAATTTGTCCGGGAACCAAAGAAGGAAAGTCACTTGGACAGTCCACATTGGCGCCGCGTCAAAGACGTACGTCGGCCACTCATGTGACAGCAGAAACGCATCCACGCCCATCATATACTCGACCACCCGAAAGAGCGACCTCACCATGATCAACGCACTGCAGATGTATACCATCTTCAAACCTTGTCTCCACGGGACATCATTCGACCTTGACCTCGCATCCTTACCGACGCTTCTCCGCATCCTCACGTGGAACACCAGCGCCACAACGACGAAACATCCAAACGCGATCAACTGGATAAACAGGCCAGCGATCACGATGTATTTCCCTAGCTGTTGAGTCTTTTTCTTGACCGTCAACCCCGCACCATTTCCCTGCACATTTAGCGCCAAAATATCCGCCAGGACGAACAGCTTGGTCATCCTTGCGGGCCGAATGATGGAGAAGCGCTCGCCATGGACGCTGCGAATGAGGCGGCCGAGCACCATGTAGACGGTGGCGGCGTAGCAGACGGGCGCCAGGAGGATGAAAGTGCTCTGGATCGCGTAAGGCGCAATGAGATCGGTACGGTAATAAGCAAATACGCGAGTGCTATAGCCGATGGTTTGAACTGAGGCAGAGAAAGAAAGAACCCGTTAGCACCGAACAAAAATGCGTCTTTTCAGGTAAGCCAGAACCCTCATATCATCCAAAGACGGTCAGCCAGACGGTCAGCCGGCGAGCCAGCCGGGCAGACAGGGAACAGAAGAGACTTTGCGACATTCGGGGCATTTTAAACTTACACAATCCACCAATGTCAAAGGGGATGCAGAACCACGACCGCGCCTTGACCGTGCGCCAGCAAAGTCCGCCGGTAACGCCCGTGAACAACACAATGAATACGGCTGCCGCTGGAACTGATGGAAGGTACTTCCACAGGTAATAGTCTGTGCCGTCGACCGGCTTGAGCTGGGTCATTGCTTGCGCTTTGTCGTTGGTGCGTTGATGCAGGGGGGCCAACGATCGAGGCTCTGTGTTCTCTCATACAGGACGAGTTCGTGCCTAGAAGCCGGGCTGTTCCTCTGTCAGAAGGGAAGGAAGTTGTGTGATCATTGAGTACGTGACTGCTCCCTTCACTTCAGGCCAGGACTGGAGTATATATATATATATATATATATATACCATATGGAACTTACAACACCACAGGACTGATAGTCGCTGAGGCGCAGGGCCGCAGGCTCAATCATACGGATCCACAATTGGTACTACAATGCTTCGTCCATCACGAGCAAAGCCACCCTTTTTACCGGATCCGTCCTCATACAATTTGCCCACACGAGCTTAGTGTACGTGTAAGTAGCCGTTTTGGACCTTGAGGAGTATCTGCTCGAGGCAAGGTGCAAGCCCCACCCGATTTACCGAGTATGTTTTTGGCTTAGTGTACGCGTACACTAACAAGATGGGTCTCTAGGTGGATTTGAGTATAATGGCAGCCTTGTCGGTTTGTTGGCCTGCGACTGGCTGTAGAGAATTCGGCTGTGGCATTCCCACTTCATGCTTCCAGAGAGACAACTATAACTAGGCAGCAGGATTCTTTTACGGTACCTGTCGACAAACTTGGTCTGTCCTTGTATCTTCCGATGTGTTGGCGGTCCAGAATACATCCAGAGGTTTCCAGCCCTATCCTTCAAGGAGTCAAGTCCTCCTGAAGCATTGCTTTTGGGAACTTCAACCATGCATGCCAGTGCGAGTCCAGGTCTCCACAAATAGACTCGATGAGGAAACGACCGCTGTCGCCGAACAGCCACAATTTGCGGTACCGATGCAGCAGGACAGCAAAATGAGCGAGGATGATGAGTGCTTCCGCTTGCCTTTGCCGCAACAGATCTACGTATTCGGGAGGGACGAGCACCGGCCAAGCAAGCACCGTGGGCACTGCAATTTTTGTTCCAGAAGCGGCACGCTGCGCATTGAAGACCCGCTGAAGGTGAGAGATGGACTCTCGATAAGTCCTTTGAGAGCCCTGGGTTGCGTCGTCTATGACACTTATCATGTCACAAAGTGCGTCACATTCGGACCCATCAGCATCCGTGGATTCCATGAGAGCTTGAGTCAATTTCAGACGGGGTCCCAGCTCTGACTCAAGCAGCAGATCCCGGCTTTGGTCGATGACGGCGAGCATGCCCCGGTAAACACTCAGACAATGCGTAAATCTCTCAACGAATCGTTCGAGACTATCTCTTTGATACCGCAACGTCTCGCAGAGCAGATGGATCCCGACCCCGGACGAGAACAGAAACATGCGCACGCAATTGGCCGAAGTCACTTCCAGGACCGGGTTAGCTTCGTTGAAGAGCGAGAGCGCACGATTCTGTAGACCCGTGGCGTATTCGCGGTAGGTGTCACGAAAGTTTGGGGTTCTCGTGCTGAGATGCAAGGCTGACGTTGCGAGCATTTGGTGCATCAGATACGGGGTCTCCAGGGCGTGTTTCGCGTAGATGTCGACTGTCAAGCTATCCGGTGGCCCTGGTTCTTCGATGGAGCGGTACGCCTCGCTGGAGAGATTGTCGAAAAGCTCCAGATGCGTCATATTTACACTGTAAGGATCGAGCGGCCCCTGTCTGCTGCTCATGGTATGCTCAGCCCATGGTGGTGGAGTTGGCGTCGATGCCCTAGTGGAAGAAGGACCGACAGAGCCCGCTACTTGCGTATGGGAGAAAGCCCGTACGATATATGGAGAGTCGGCGTCGAGAAATGAGCACCTAATCTCTGCCGAAGCGCAATTGACGCATGTTGGCTGGTTTTGGTCGCACTGTACAAGGTAATACTTGTTCAGTCCTGAATCAAAAGTCTGATAACATATATGTACGTACCTTTATATGCCGCCTTTTGCATTCGAGACACCCGTTTCTGGACTTTTTGTGAGGCCGACGAGACATAGTTCGGTGTGGAATATATAATAGATATTCAAATGACACGCCAATAGCTTCTAAAGCAGGTTAGCTCTCTAGATCGAATATAGCATGCCCCCTCGGAGCAAGACGTAGACCAGGCACTTTCGACCATGCTCACATTTAGAAATTCAATGGTTAACGGACACGGTCAGACATTCATACAATTCTCTAAACGGATCGAACGTGTCAGCCTGTCCAGCATGTCTCAGCGTATCTGGAAGATACAAAAGATGCTGGAGAGAAAGAACCGGTAGAGGCACGAGGAAGGTACAGCGAGTTGTTGCCTGGAGAATCATCCACTTTCGCTTAAGGTCGAGGCACATCTGTCTCTTGTGCTTCTGAGCGGTGGCTGGTGTGTATCATCTGGGTGTCTCGTGCTCAATGGGGACTGTTTTGGGAGATGGGCCAGGCAGAAATTTGCTGATATCAGGTTCGAGACGGGGTGTGGATGGGGGATACAGATCCAGGCCACTGGGCAAGCTGGAGGAGGAATGAGAAGAACGAGGATGGTTTCCGTCCTACAGTAGGTAATATTTGCATTGGGTATCACATCTCAAGTGGTCCTAACAGCGCCCCTTTCGTCAGCCGTTCCTTGCCTGATATCGTCTTGACCGTTGTAGAACACCGCCCGCCTGGTGTCATCTTCGATCAATCCAGAACACCACTTTCTCTCAATCCGGCAAGCAACTCTGGTTCCAGGAACCTCTTAACATCCACATCTTCGCTCAACCCTTTCCTCCGCCTCGTCTTGAGCACGAAGTCTCTCGCCGCCTGCTGGGGCGCAGCCATCTCCAGCGGTCTGATGCGTATGCTCTTATCCAATGGATCTCCAGGAACCACATCCCAGCGGTCAAAGACCAGCGACACACTAGCAGCTCCTTGACTGTGGATCCGCAGATCTGTCTCGAATCCAAAACTGTCAATCACCGGGAGGAGGGCTTTAGCTGCGTACAATGGCGTCCCGGCCACAGGTCCATCAGAAACGACATGTCCACGCCTCTTCATCAGCACTGTGTAGAGGCCAGAAATCGAGTCCGCCGGGCCAGTCATATGCACACTGTAGACTGGTTCCATGAGTCGAGGGCTCGCCATCAGGAAGGAACTGTACACCGCTCGTCGTGCGGTCGGTATGATTTGTCCACCTCCTCGGAATATAGGCTCCGTTGCTAGCTCAGCACCTGTGACACGGAATTTGGTGTTGCGGATGGGCTCTTCGCACAGGGGTCCTTCACGCGTGCCCCACGAAAAGCCTTGCTTGATACTCTCTTGCACAGACTTGAGCAGCTTTTTATCCGTGGTAGAAGGCAATGTATCGTCACATAGAATGTTGGGTCCCATCTCGTCTGGACCAAATGCCCATATTGATCGAGCAGCCAGTTTATCCCATTCGTATTTCTCTTCAAAGAACTTGGCGACTTTCCGGATTGGATCTCGGATTTTGACGATGCCAGCCTCAATATCTTCAGCAATTCCATCATCCAGTGGTTCCGAGATCATGGTCAATTTGTTCTTCTTGTTGGGCGTCAGTGCATAGCACATAATAGAACTTGTTTCGGTCACGGTCTCGCAGAATCGGGTGACGGGATCCGAGACTTTGATGTCCATTTCGGCGTACAGCGTCCGCAGGTCGTGTAATACACAATCCATGTATAGTTCACCTGTTCCTAAGACAACGTGCTCTCCTGATTCTTCAACCTTGGTGGTGATGAGGGGATATGACTTGTTGATCTTGCGCAAGCCTTCCAGCATTTTGGGCAGTTCTGATGGGTTAACAGGTTCCACGGCGACCTTGAAGACGGACTCCGTGAAATGACGAATCGGCTTGAAAATATAGGCATCCTCATTGTCTGGGTATTTCTCAGAGACAACTGTGGCTGTCTTGACGATGGAGTTGTCAATTCCGGAGAGAAGCACGAGATTTCCCGCAGGCACCCCGGAGACCGGAATGTTGTACCGCGAGCAGGCGATTTGTACGCCCATGATCGTTGCAGTGGTCGAATCTTCCTCATCTTCAAGGCTGTATGCCTCTCCAAGAACGCGAACGACCTGATCCGCTGATGCTGTACCGGACATGATGCGACCAAATGCGTTGAATGTTTTGGCGTCCGCGGAGCTGAAGAGCTTTGTAACTTCCACAACCAAGGGTCCGTCCGAGTCGCAATTTGACATTGACTCACCGACTTTCGAGTCTTGAGGACCTGTGTAATAATTGTCGAGCATCCTCCTCGCGCCGTCGACAGGCGAAGGTATGTGTTGCACAACCATGTCGACAAAACCACTTGCAGTCCCAAAAAATTGAGCGCACACCAGTTTAAGCAACACCCTTGCGTCGGATTTGAGCTGTGACGGTTTCAGCGTGATACCTAGCGTCTGTAGAGTCGGTCCAAGGTCTTCAGGGCTTTCACTGATGGTGTGGGAGAACAGCTTGTAAATGGGCTCCAGCACAAAATTCACGAAAGCCCTCTTTGACCCTTCTTCCATCCCTTTTCGGGTGAACTTTCGGCTTCGAGGGTTGAAGAAGATGTCGCCCCATAGCCTCCTGGAAAACTCGGTGGCGTCGACCTTTGGGTACGTTTCGGCGTACATCTTTGCGAACGACGGCAATGTGAACACCCAGTCCATGGACGTGCATGCAAAAGCCACGTTGCCCTTTTCGGGCGACAACCGCCTCTTTTCGCCACGGCCCGGAATGGTGTTCTCGATGACTGTATTGACCTCTTCGACGACATGTTTTAGTTTGAAGTACGCGTCTGTCGGTGGGATCTTCAGCTCGAGGATTAGGCGGTCCATTTTGTTTATAACCAAAACCATGGGTATATCCTCCAAAACAGCGTGCTTAATGACTTGCTCGGTGTTGATCTGAACCCCTTCCACCACGTCCACGACGAGCACCACCCCATCAACCAATCGCAAGCTCGACGCAACCTCATCCACGAAATTCACATGACCAGGGGTGTCAATGATGTTGAGGATGTGCGATTTCCCTTTTGTGCCTTGCATGACCATGCTGATTGGCGCGGCTTTAATCGATATGCCTCGTTCCCGCTCTAGGAAATGTGTGTCGGTATATCTTAATTGTTCATCCCTCCTCCTGCCTACCCTCTTATCCAGCCTCTCCTCCAAATCATGTGTCTGCATGACCAACATATCGACGAATGCTGTCTTGCCATGGTGTAGGTGTCCCGCCACAGCAATATTTCTGATACCTTCGGGAAAATTGAGGAGATCGGTCATGAACTCTCTCGAGTAGTGGACCGGAGGTAGGTCTGCTTCCTGCACCTGGAATTTTTTCTGCGTGACGGGCGCAATTATCGGTTGTGTGAGCGGCTGTGCATCCTCTTCCTGTACCAAGGTCTCGACTTCTTCCCCGTATACCTGCTGCGCCGTGGGATAGTATTGTTTGTCCTCGTGCAAAATTACGGCATTGGAGGGTCCTTCATCATCGACGTCCATAGATTCATCCGCAGGAGCTTGCTCCTCGGGCTCGGACTCCTCGTCGTAGACATAATGTTGGGGGGCCTCACCATCTTGGGATGCCTCTTCGTCGGAGACGGCTTCGCCGATGAAGTTGCCAAACCTGTGTTAACTGTCAACAAAACGTCCACGGTCATGAAGTTTCGGCGTTTGACTTACTCGTCATAGAGGTCATCCATATTGATTGATGGGCTACTGGAGCTAGAGAGTTCGCGGCGCAAAATGAAGTAAATCCCTTGAACTCCGGAGTTGGAGTCGAACAAAATTTAAATGTGGAGTCGTCGCAGTCAATGCAGGCGACAGCCTTGTGCAGCCTTATCCAGCCTTACTAACGCTCTCATCTCCTATTCGCAGTCGCAAAGGCGGTGGAGAGTGATCTGAGAATCAATCAACAGGGCTGCTCCCCAGGGGCGACAACAAACGCGCTCGTATTGTGATCCAAGCACTAACTTTTGAACTGAATCTGGCTCTCCTCTAAATCCTGGACCAACCCTTACTGAAGAACACGCTTTTAGCAGCGGACCACATACCAACGCTTCTGTTCTTCACAATATGAACGCCCCTAACCTACGTATGTTCCCTTGCAGATTTGGCGACACTTCCATTTCACATCAAGAATTCGAGGACTAATGCGCTCGCGCCACCGCCTCCGTTGCAAATGCCAACGCACCCAATTTTGCCCTTCTTGGCCTTCAAGACACCAAGTAGTGTTGCAATAATTCTTGCACCCGAAGCACCCAGAGGATGACCAATAGCCACGGCTCCACCGTGAAGGTTGACCTTGTCCGCAGACAGACCGAGCAGCTTCATGTTGGCGAGCGCAACAACGCTGAAAGCCTCGTTGATCTCAAACGCGTCCACATCTTCTTGGTTGACGCCAGCATGCTTCAGAGCCTTTGGAATAGCAAGCGCTGGGGCGGTGGTGAACTTGCTTGGTTGTTTGGCAGCATCTCCCCAACCCAAGATCTTCGCCAGAGGTTTGATATTCAGCTCCTGCAGCTTGGCTTCCGAGACAAGCACTACCGCTGCGGCACCATCATTGAGAGGCGAGGCATTGGGAGCAGTCACAGTGCCGCCATCCGGGATAAATGCAGGCTTCATTGAGCGGAGCTTCTCGATATTCAGATTCTTGGGCTCATCGTCTTTGTCGACTGTGACACCGGGCTTCCCCCGAGCACCAGGCAGCTGGACAGGAGCAATCTCGAAATCGAAGAGCCCATCCTTCTGTGCAGCTTGTGCTCGCTGATATGACTGAATAGCATATTCGTCCTGCTGTTCTCGGTTGAAGCCATGATCCCTAGCACATTCTTCGCCTTGGAGGCCCATGTGCTCTTGTTTACCATATGCATCTGACAGTCCGTCTCTTAACACACCGTCGACCAATGTCTGGTTCCCAAATTTGGCACCCGTCCGCATGTTGGGAAGATAGTGAGGGCAATTCGACATGGACTCTGCGCCACCAGCCACGACAATGTCGGCATTTCCGGTCATGATTGTCTGCGTGCCGAGAACAATGGCCTTGACGCCCGATGCGCAGACTTTGTTGACAGTTGTGCAAACAGTCGAATCCTCTAGGCCGGCACCGAGAGCGCATTGACGGGCGGGGTTCTGACCGATGCTGTAAAAGCAGTTAGACGGGCCACACTGAGAACTGAAAACATGCAAACTTACTTTGCTGACAGAACATTTCCAAAAAAGACTTCTTGGACATCCTGAGGCTTGATCTCCGGAACTCTTTCAAGGGCAGCTGTATCCAATCAATATACCATTAACGACCGAGGGGCGGTGAGGGGAAGGCTACCTTTGATGGCGTGGGAACCGAGTTGAGGTGCTGTCAGCGAGGATAACGAGCTGGAAAATGTTAGTGATGTTGGGTATGGCTAAGTGTGCGTAGTTCGTACCCCAGGAATGACCCGACAGGCGTTCGTGCAACTGCGACAATGTAGACCGCGGGGAGTGAGGGCTTGGGATGCGGGACGCCGTTGGTAGCCATGATGTGTTGACAAGCAATGTTGAATAATTCAGAGACGAGGCTACGCAGACGATATATGAGGTTCGCTCAAGCCCACGGATAGTAATCAATTAGTTTGTACAAGGAAAGGCACAAGGTGCAGCAAGTGCAGGAAGGCGAATTGTTTTGTTGACTGCGATCTTGAATCCCCAAAATTTTGGTGTGGAGAAGATGTTCATAGCTAGCACATGGGGCCACCTCGGATGTGTTCATTGTTCACCTCTGCGACAGTTGTTAGCGAGGCTGCGAGGCTATCCACTTGCTCCTCGGTCACCGTTTCAGCTACGGCAAGCTCGCTTGAGCCACCCTCGCAACCTCACAGTGGTATCAATCTCAACTTGGCACCTTGGGAAGCCGTTTACTTTTCATCAAGTTCAACTATAAGGGGCGCTCTCGTTCAGATACGCCATGTAATTTTGGCAATGAGTCCGGGGGTTACCCCGATGTCAATTCTCTTCATTGCCTCGTTCCCATGTTCTAGTAAGAGATGTCTGCGAGAGAGCGTGAGAATTGGTAAGGTCCCAAGCGCAGTCTGAGTTTCAAGGTCTGGCAGAATTGTAGATACAGAAATGTAGATATTGTACTACACTTTCTACTCAGTGAAGTCTTTGCAACTCTTCACCGACACGTCACAAAACAACACACCTCATTTCCTACCCAAGCCCACGAGGCTAACTCCAGCTGCAAATATTGTTCCCGTTTCAGCTTTCTTTGAACTACCTATTCCGTCGGCAAGAGCTTCGAGGGATCAGACATGTCAATTTCAGAAAGCTCCTAGGCTCTACTGATCGAAAGCCCCTGCGCTGCGGCTAGCAAACTAAGTAAGTGACAGATTTCTCAACGGGTTTCACATCTTCCTAACGTTCGTCAGCAGCAATGGAGGTGGCAGAAATCGACACGGTCAATGCTGTTTTGGCAATTCGACTTGAGCTGCAGGACCTAGTGACTGCCTTACCGGAGGTGCCCAGCCATGAAGAGATAGCTCAGACACGCGATCGAATTAGCACCCTCCTCTTCCAGCTCGAAGAACTCGCGACATTCGATGCCGAACAATCAAATGTGAGAGTGCAGCGGAGCATCTATCGAGCCATGCTCTCCGACTTCCCGGAGGTTGATAGGCTTCTCACTCAAGGAACGCACTCCACGGGGCGGCGATGAAAACCAACTACTTGACCAGCCAAGTGGCAACTCGAATTTACGAGTCGTGGGCAGGGACGGATACTACGAAGACCCTCGAATCAAACCTGATGGAAGGACCAGCCTGGAAGCATACATGCACGATCTCGATGCCGATGAAGTTCACCCACCCGAGGAATGCTACATTTGCATGCAACAAACCCCATATTCTCAGCTCATCGCTCATGAAGAATGCGAGCATGTCTGGTGCCGTCCATGTTTGTCGGAAAGTTTCGAGTCGGCGCTGAAGAATGAAAGTCACTATCCTGTCCGATGCTGCCGGAGTCTCCCCAGCATCTCCCATGAAAGTCCTGTCATTGTGCGCCTTCTCGGGGAGGAAACAATTGCCAAGCTGAAGTTGAAGATCAAAGAGTACGAGACAGCAGACCGGACCTACTGCTACGAGCCCACTTGTTCGACATTCATTGACCCAGACACGTACATAAATGGAAGGGCCACTTGCCGCTCCTGTGAGAGAAACACCTGTGTGGCGTGCAAGGCTGAGTTTCATCCCGTCTCTGAGTGCAGGGAACCTCATGACGAAGCCTTTGACAACTGGAAGAGAGAAAGTGAAGCATCAACATGTCCCGGTTGTCATCGCGTGATTCTTATCTCGCACGGTTGCAACCACATGAGGTAGAAACCGCCTTTCGTATCACCAGTGGGTCTGAATACTGACTCAAGTCACAGGTGCCATTGTGGAACGGAATTCTGCTATCAGTGCAATGCTCGCTGGAAGACTTGCCAATGTTCGCAATGGCGTGAAGATAGACTCCTTGAGCGAGCTGGAGTCATCGCCGTACGTCAGGGTCGAGCCGCCGAAGTGCAACGAATTGCAGCACGAATTGCAGAAGAATGCAGGAGGGAGACACACGAAGAATGCCGTCACAATCACTGGACTAGACGTCGAATAGAGGCCTTGGACGATGACTTTTGCTCGCAATGTGGCTGGGAAGCGGACATTTTTCTATGGGAATGTGATCGCAGCGACATGGTGGTTTGTGGGAGGTGCAAAGAGTTCTATGCACCCTAGAGCACAACCAGGGTCTTGCAACCAATTGCGGAGCTTTCGATGCCTGCTGAAAGAGCAGGTTTTGAGTAGGTGCGAACAGTGGAGGCTGGTGTGTTCGACACTGCACATGCATCTCGGTGCGCACAGAAGACTCGGACCGATCAGCAGATTTGACGAGAGATTGGCTGACGCCATGAGAACAAGTTGATAGCAGTTTTCGCTCCCGAAACATCCGATATCGCGTTCCGAGACCTCACAAGTACTTGTAGATATTATATACCTTCCGCACTCCAAGAGCCTGTCTATGGCCAAAGCATTTCTGTTTGCCGCTCTTCTCTAATTCCCTCCTTCCGCGTCCATCACACGAAGCTTTTGAAACTTAGGAGGGCCCGGGTATCTGTTCACACAAGATCATAGCCTCGAACAGTCGATTATGAGGAGGAGGATCGGGGTGGACTAGAGGCCGCCGAACGTGTTCACGACGGGGAAGGTATGCTTTTTATGTTCCCTCAATTGAAAGCTCAATATTAGTCTTTTTCCGTACTTGACAAACAAGAGCACAAGTGTGCGCGCGACTAGATACAGAAGGGAAAAAAAGGCCACATTTTAACTCACTCGTGCTTAACATCAACCTTTGTGTTGGCGATATCTTGGAACCCTTTCTTGGGCGCACGAATCTTCAACAATCCAGCCTCCAGCGTGACGCTGACGTTCTCTACGTCCGTGGGGAAATTGACGTATCGTCTAAAGGGGCCGATTCTCCTCTCTCCAATCAACAGATGGACGCCTCCGGCGTGAGGCTCCGGTTGTTCTTCTTCCACCTTTGTGTTCTCGGCGTTCCCATAGTCTGGCCTGTCGACTTTGCCGGACAACAGCAGGGATCGGTTACCTGTCCAGGTCACGGTGATGTCTTCGGGCTTTTTCACGCCCGGCACTTCGATCTCGATGAGGTACTCGTGGATAGCGTCGCGAAAGTCCAGGTCGGGCTGGTTCGGATGGTCTTCTGGTCTGGGGTGACGGCGCGCAATGTATTGGAGCAGCGACTGGTGCTGGTGGTGTCGCTCGTGCGGGTTGTCTACCAATGGAGGTGGGTAGTCATAGTAGTACGCGTAGGCCATTGCTTCGAGGATGTCTTTTCCTGAGACCGTGGTGAAAATGATTAATGAAAATGAGGGTTTTCGGGTTGCTTCTCGTTGTCCTTGTGTAGATTTGCTCTGCGGTGCAGCAGCTCTCCTATTTATCAATTGAAGTCTGAAGAGGAAGCCGCGAAAGAAAAACTCCCTGACAACGGAGAGGGACGCGCATATTTATTTACCCTACCTGATTGAAGAGCTCGAGGCGGGGCAAAGCTCCTTGCGGCATTGTTCGAGCTCCCCTGCTCGGTCCTTCATGTGCCGATGCGTCTTGTGATCATTGAGCTCTCTTGTTTGTCCCATGTACTCGGAGCTATCTCCACAGGCGAGGTCCTCGAGAGGGTCTGGGTCCTGAGGTAGTTCGTCTTCTCTCCGGCCGCAGCCGGCGAAAAAAGTTCTAATGAGGGGCCAAGCTGCACGATCTGGGCTTTGCGACGAAGAGCTATGCAGGTTTGAAAGTTGTCATTGGGTGCTCATCTCATGACTGCAAGGGGAAAGTAGCTCACATCATCATGAGATGTGAAAGTCGGGATATGCAGCAGTGGAGTGATGTCTCCAGTTCCTGAGTGGCCGTCATTACGGAGCAAGCGAGCGGTGCTTACGTTTCGATGCCCCAGCATCCCATCAGGGGAACAGCTCGCCATGTCGCAAAGACAAGAAGGATTCCGATAGAATTGTGTTGAGTTCTGCGTCGGCTTCACGATTGCGGCCATCCGCATCTCAGCTATGCATGCACAGTCATCGAAGTGCGCAAATACTGGTAGGTGCTGGGGAGCCAGGAACCGGTCGACGCCCTCAATGGCTTGTTCGAATGACCGTCATTACAAGAGTGGTGACGCCAAATAGTCCGCACATCCTCCGGCTCGGCATTACAACTAGCTGTCCTCATCCCTTCGAAGCTCTCCGATGGTCTATTCCAACTTCTTCTCTGCTAGACAGTTCCGCCTGCTTCTCAAATTTGTCGCCGTCATATGATCTAACATAGTTCTCGAAGCCAAGCACGTCTCGCTCTGTATGCCCTGACAGTGGTTCTTCCTCTCTCAATCCCTCTCAGCTCGTTTGCCTTGGGCGAATAGCTGATTCTTGGCTTCTTGAATCATGAACAGGTGATTGTTGCATGCAAATCCACTAAGGTGAGATGTCAACGACACGTGCGCATCAAGCTGGTCGACTCTCAACTTACGATCATCCGTATTCGACTGGTCTCACTCCCGCAGAAGGTTCTGGCTGAAGCCCTGATGAAGAGGGCCAGGACTGGGAGAAAACGCGTCAGATGTGCCTGCATGTCTGCAGATCAGGTAGGGGAGAAAAGAGATATGTAAGGGCTCCATGTGCCCACTTACCGGTCCTCTGCCGGTGACAAAGATCCAAAACTCCAGAAAAGTTACCAGTTCTCGCAACGTGCATTTCGAGCACGAGCATCAAATCTTCGATATTCCAACTGCAATACCTCCACACAACTATCAAGGATTCAAAACGGAACTCGAGAATTCCATAATGGCGACACTTGACTGCCTGCTCCACCCTCACCACATTTCGCTGGTTGACACACACTCATTGCGTGCCAAGCTCCACCATGTGGGTGACGCCTACTACAACGTGGACGGGTTGCCCTCGCATCGTGGAGTACTCGCTCCAAAGTTCGATGTTTTCGAATTAGATGGGGACTCAGCAGGGTGGCTCCTGGTTGGCGACCTGCCAGGAATCGATTCTGCGGATGCTATAAAGATCGAGTGGCTGGACGGTAGCACCGTCTTCCTTCGCGGAACAATTACGACGTCTTCAATACCGACTTTTGGTGAAGCTGGAAGCAGGATCATGAAGACTGTTCACAAAGAGAGACATGAAGGGCTCTTTGAGCGCTCTGTTACGTTGCCTGGAAAGGCCGACATCAAGGGGACGAAGGTAGAGGTTAGGAGCGGAGTTGTCTTTGTGAGAATCCCGAAACAGGCTGGGGCAGAGGCTGTGTGAAAGGGTCGATTGCAAGGGAGAAGTTATGGGTTTAATGGTTTTGGGAGCGGCATGAAAGGTCCAGAGCGGTCTCCGCTTTTATTTTAGGACGTGCTAGTGTGGTTATCATCTGGAATATTATTTTTGCTTTCTTTTACATCTCTCGACGCTTTGTTTCCATTTCTGCCCGACATTGATAAGCCGTCTTTCTTGTGACAACTTCCTTGTCATGATGACTTTGACCCCTGGCGAGGCTGACAACGGTGGCCAATTAGCGGACGCTCATCTCATCGGGGCGCTAGTTGTTAGCGCCCAGGCACGTGACACAGCCAATTCTCCGAATGGCCTTGCTTGCCTTGCTAAATTTGGCCTTTGGGGGCTTGGGCCTCTGTCGACCGTCCCGTCCAGCAATTCACGCTATTCACATTCATCGTTGGATGTATGAATCTGATCTGATCTGACAAGCCACCATTTCTTGAGGCACACTGGACCAACTGTCAGGTCTTTTCATCAACTTCATACTGTCCTTTCGCGCATATTGTCCGGCTGGACCGTCTCACAAGTTCGCAAACCTTCCCGCAACGCGTCGTCTCCTCGATTCCCACTCCTTGTCCGACCTCCGCCTCCTCCTTGTCCCTCGCGCTCCGTCAGAGCCTCCTCCGCCCTCTACTCCGGTTCTCCAAGTGGGATATTTTCCACTGTCATTCGCGAGGAACCGCACAATTGTCAAGCCTTCCACCGTTTCGCTTTCAATCACATCAAGGGTGCACATTGACTGCGACAACTTTATCGGGAAACACACACCCGAGATTCTCGGATTTCCCCTTGTCCCTCGTTTATGCTCCGAGTGTTCTGCTGCATGGACTTTTCACAGTCTCGGGCAAGAGACGCGCACAATACGGTCATACGACGAAAGCCTGTCGCTATTCTAGGGTGCGGTTGAATTGAGTCGGCTACAGCACAGTGTCGAAGAGGCCCTGGGTGTCGAATGTTTACCGGACTAACTGCCACATATTCATGCAACGCCCCCTGGGTGTAATCCAAGAATGGCTGCTCCGCTTGAAGAGCTAAATCAGGGGAATTCTGGCTCCCTAAGATACACCATCGGCGCTCCTCGCAACCAAAATGACATTCCTCCACAAAACTCCAATGGTCAATACACGTACTCCACTCCACCAAACCAGGCAAACGGCAATGCAAACGATGCTCACTACGACAGTGATGCCAGATATTCCTCCGACAGCAGAACTGGAAGAAAGAGGTCCGTGGGCGGGCAAGGAGAACGGAGTAGATCAAGAACAAATGGCAGCACAGGAAAGTCATCCAATTCTGGAGCCCGGCAGTGCAGAAAGTGCAACGAGCCTCTGACTGGTCAATTCGTCCGTGCGCTCGGTGGGACATTTCACCTGGACTGCTTCAAATGCGCCGACTGCGGCCAGATTGTTGCCTCAAAGTTCTTCCCTGTGGATGCTGAGGATGGATCTGGACAATTCCCCCTCTGCGAAACAGATTATTTTCGGCGTCTGGATCTGCTATGCTTCGAATGCGGTGGCGCACTTCGTGGCTCATACATTACCGCTCTCGATCGCAAATATCACATCGAGCACTTCACATGTTCAGTCTGCCCTACCGTTTTCGGCGCTCAGGACAGCTACTACGAGCATGATGGGAGAGTCTACTGTCATTACCACTACTCTACGCAGTTTGCGCAACGATGCAACGGTTGTCAGACCGCTATCCTAAAGCAATTTGTCGAGATCTTCCGGAATGGTCAGAATCAGCACTGGCACCCTGAATGTTACATGATTCATAAATTCTGGAACGTCCGACTTGCACAATCGGAGACCCAAGTGGAGCAGAAAGACATCAATGCTCCTGTTACCGAGGATGAGCGGGAAACTGTCAAAGAAGATGAAGAAAACATGGAGGACAAAGTCTACCGGATCTGGAGCACCCTTTCTACCTTTGAAGAATCCTCTGCTTCCTGTATCTCAGACATGCTTCTACACGTCAGTAATGGCGTCTACGTCGATGGAGTCATTGTTGCTCGAAAGTTCATCTGGCACGTTGACATCCTCTTCGGCGCTATCGACACCCTTGCAGCTTTGGTCATCAAGGCTCAACTCAAAGAACTCGCCTACGGTCGAGAAGCGAAATTGCTCTGCAAAAAAGTCGTCGCCTTCTTCACACTTCTCTCAAAAACCCAGGAGACTGGGGTGCGAAAACTCGGCGTCACCCAGGAGCTCTTGTCCTTGGTCACTGGTCTGGCTCACTACCTCAAGTTACTCATTCGCATCGGTCTACAAGGAGCATTGAAACTTGAGCGTGAGAAAGGATCGCCTGAAGGCCTTCATGCTTTCTTGGACGAACTTGCCGACTTGGAAACAATTAAAGAACAGGAGATGAAATCACTGGATTTGCAAGAGAGTGTGGCAGGTCTTGCTAGTCAAGAATCAGATTGCTGCTCTGCATGCATGGAACCCATAGATGACGAATGTGTCATGATTTACGGTCGAAGATGGCATGCAAAGCCTCGTCATCTTACCTGTAGTGTGTGCCAGCGAGATTTGACGACCGACCTCGCCTATGCGATGTACAACGAGAGAGAAGAAAAGGTATACTGCATTGATCATGCAAGACGGACGCCGGACACAGTCTCTGGCTTCGCCCATGTCACCAAATTACAGCAATATGTCTTTTTACTCCAGGTTGCCTTGGCACGCTTGCTTGAGGTTTTGAAGTCTGGCGGTACTCTACCACATACTTCTGATGATCCTAATCTGACACCATACAATACGAATGAAGGACATCATGTATCACCTTCCGGAGAACCGGTCACGCCTCATCAGAAGATGGGATCACGGTCTAGATCTTACGCAGGTACATCGAGCCAACAAGAGTCTTCCTTAGAGCAGACTGTGGGTGAGATGAAGCGACTTCGGTCCACTCGAAACGAACGCACCCTTTCCACAACATTCCGAAAGGCTCGAGAGTCTAAAATCCTCTATGGCCCAACTGGTGTGCGACCAGGCTCTCAAGGGGGTGATGGCCAGGATACCCGGAATCCAGGGAATTTCCAGATCGTTCAGGAGAAAGATCTTGATGGTCGCATGAAATCGGAACTTACTTTTGGCAATCAAGAGGGTCTCACCCTGGATGACATTCCGAGGATTGTTGCGGCTGAGCAGGCAAAGGAACAGCGGCCGAACGCTTTCCGTCATGCAGGCACCAACCTGATTGGTCACCGAGGTAATGAACCTAGACTTGTCAATGGGCACCAGCGAGGTTCGTCTGGTGGTGCTGCTGATCTCCTTGCCGGAGAAAGCCCTCTCAGAACAAAACGATACTTTTCGGAACTGTCTGCACTGGAGTACTTTATCGTCCGGCATGTGGCCGTCCTTTCGATGCAGCCCTTGTTAGATGGGGAATATACCCTTGAGGATTTACTAGGTCTCATTGAACAGCGCAAGCAGACATTCTGGGGCAAAGTCAGTCGTGCACTCCGTGGTGATGCTGGCGTCAAGAAGAAAGGAATTTTCGGCGTCCCATTGGAGACACTAGTTGAACGTGAGGGAGCAGAATCAACCAACGGAGTCGGACCTGGTGCCCTCAGAGTTCCAGCCATCGTTGATGACTGCGTATCTGCAATGAAACAAATGGACATGTCGGTCGAAGGTGTCTTCAGAAAGAATGGCAACATCAAACGCCTCAAAGAGACGGCAGAAGCAATCGATGCAAATCAGACGCCCGACCTCAACCGAGAAAATCCGGTCCAGGTTGCTGCGCTGCTCAAGAAGTTTCTGAGAGAGATGCCTGAGCCGCTGTTGACATACAAGTTGCAGAAGTTGTTCATCATTTCCCAAAAGATTGTGGATGATGAACGCCGAAGGAGGGTTCTGCATCTCACATGCTGTCTGATGCCAAAGAGTCATCGCGATACTATGGAAGTACTATTCTCATTCTTAAAATGGGCAGCCTCTTTTTCGCAGGTTGATGAAGAGTCTGGCAGCAAGATGGATATCCACAACTTGGCTACCGTTATGGCGCCGAACATCTTGTATGCAAAAGAGAAGGCACCAGGCGCAAGAACACCTCAAGTTCCACAAGTTGATGATAGCTTCCTTGCTATTGAGGCGGTCAACACATTGATCGAATACAATGATCTGTTCTGTCAGGTATGAAGTCAACAGCTCATCTACTATCATTTCGGGCGCTAACTTGGTGTACAGGTCCCAGAAGATCTACAGTCCATCTTGACTGATACGAATCTTCACGGCAGCTCTGCAGAACTTACAACCAAGGAGATATTATCCCGATATGGTCATATTGCTAAGGGCCAGGTGCAGAAACAGACCGTCGCAGCACCAGATGCACCAGTCCGCAGCCCCGCGTCAGCTTCGAACTCTCTTGGACCCGTCGCCACAAGGGTGGACGTCGACCCGTATCAGGCTAACGCATGGCAGAAGCAAAGTTCTGTTAGGCCTGTACAAAACATAGTTTCAGCAACATCGACGTCAGCAAATGAGTTCAACTTCGGCGTGCCTAACAGCCCGTATGCTCGAGACCGTGCAGGAAGTGCTGATAGTGGAGGAAGTCACGGGGGTGCGGCGGGTGGACGACAAAGTTACCAGCCGAGAGCAGGGCAAATGGGTGTAGCAGGTTGAACAACCATATTCGAATTCAACGCAAAAGAAGGTATTTACATTCTCGAGGCGGCATCCCTCCTCATTGACCGGCTTCTGGCGCACGACTGTCAGGATTCCACTAGTCAGACGCGTCAACCTCGATCGGAAGACTACGGCGGTCAAAAACATTTGCACGACCTTAATGACACGAAAACACTTTCCTTTGTTTGGTGCTACTCAAAGGGGACAACATGAACGGCCTTCGATGCATGACGCCACAATTGCGGAGCTTTCGTCGACTTTGCTTATTTCTGCTCTTGGACAAAGCTCTCAACAAACTGAGCTTTTCAGCCTTGGCCGGTGGTGCAGCCAAGCGCTTTGCAGCTTCGCTGGGCAAAATTCATTTCAATTCTTCACAGCAAGCGGTGCTTCGATTTACACCACACTGTTTTCTGAGCTTGTGGGCTTTCTTTTTAAGAGCTGTTGGGTTCGTTTTCTTTACCACTCCTCGATCATGTCTGGAGATGTGCGCTGTTCGATAAGCATTGAGCAAATACGATTATTGTCCAGGCTTTGCGACATACGAACTGGGCACGTCGACAGAAAGGACATTCTCGAGAGATTGAGTTAGGGCTAAGCTTGAGCGTCATTGGTGGGGAGACCAGTGTTGGATACGGAAGTCGGTTCTTGAAACGGGTCGACTTTTGTAATTGATATGGGCCATGAATGCGAGCCATTCTCATCAGGAACAGGAGGATTGGAAGAGAGATGCGAGGGGTAACAATTGGCAACCATACTGTGCTGTGCTATCCAAGTGCTGAAGTCGGGCATGCTTCCGGTATTGTCGACTTGGAAAACAAGGGACACAAATGACGTGAGCACAACCAGATAGATCCCACTGCTGATTGTCTCAAGGGCAGCACGTCACCGGAACTTGTCTTGCAACTCGACACCCCCCCGCTCCTATTACAAAGAAGGGAAATGAACTGCAAGGAGCTGGATTGGTGGACGACGACTTCTGACTGGTACTGTGTTCGGCTGAAGATATCAACGGGGCTGCTGGGTTCGCTTGTACATTGGCTTCCACAAGTCAGATGTCACACGATCCAGGTTTTCAATGTTTCGCTGAGAACAGAACACAGTGTTAGTCCTTCGCCCTTGCAGGTGGTTAGCTGTAACTCTACTGTCTATCTAAACATGCTCAGTGCTGGTTGACATCAGTTGACCCCGTTCTGCCCATTTGGCGCCTTCCTTTGATGGACGGCATCCATAACCCTCCCCAACCTCTCCACTGCGTCTTCAGTAATCTGATAATGCACGACCAGCCGTCCACCACGGGCCTTTAAGCCCTCTCTGCTTGCCAGCTCGGCGAATTCGTCCGCTGAACAGCCCTCATTGGCAAGATCCAGCCAAACCATGTTGGTTTCCGTTGGGTTGGCCAATCTCCCACCCTTGGCGGTCCACATCTCTGCTACTTTCCTCGCTCGGGCGTGGCTGTCGCGCAACTTGCCGCCTTCACCGTTGGGGCCGTGGCCGAAGTTTTCTTGCACGGCGACGCGAGCGGCGGCGGAAATGACGCCCGCTTGGCGCGTGCCACCACCCAGCATCTTGCGAATCCGTCGCGCGTGCGCGATGAAGGGCTTGCTCCCGACGATGATGGAGCCGATGGGCGCGCCGAGTCCCTTGGAGAAACACATGCTCACACTGTCAAACTCGCGCGTGAAGTCAGGGAGACTGCCGGCGTCGGCGGCGACGGCTTCCCAGATGCGCGCGCCGTCCAAGTGGAGTCTGATACCGTGGGAGCGGGCAAACTGAGCGATTCGGCGGAGCTCGGACAGGGGCATGATCATGCCATCCAGTGTATTTTCCAGGCTGATGACTCGAGTGGGACAGGCGTGGATGTCGTCTGAGATGATGCAGTGTTTCTGGACGTCTTCGAGGGTCAAGTGGTGGCCGTTGCTGGGGTGGACGGAAATGAGCATGGCGCTCGAGAGGCAGCTGACACCGCCAGCCTCGTAGTTGTGGATGTGTCCCCGGATATCGCACAGGACCGAGTGAGGTGGTTGGACCAGATGGCTGCGAAGAGCGACTTGGTTGCCCATTGTTCCGGACATGACGAGCAGTCCGGCCTCATGGCCTGCCAGCGATGCCACAGAGGACTCCAGGTCATTCGTCGTGGGGTCCTCGAGGAACACGTCGTCGAGCAGTGTGGTGTTTGAGATGGCTTCGAGCATAGATGCCGTGGGCGTAGTCATCACATCGCTGCGGAAATCATAGGCGGCGGGACCAGGTTGTTGCCAAGCGTTGACCTTCTTGTGTGAGGCTGCGTTGCTGTTCGCAGCTGTGATGGCAGAGTTCTGCTTGATATCGGCGAAGGCATCCGCCTTGTCCTCAACGGTATGCGAGGAAGCCATCTTGGAAGTGCAGTGATTGATGCCTCTGGTCGATGAAAATTTTGGAGTTCCAGATAGCGGATGCAAGTTCAAGCCGTACGCTGCTCGAGCTGATATGCGAATTTCGGCTTTGAAGTTCAACCCTTGTCTAGATGCTGCTGCTGCAAGCATGGCAAGGCATACGCAGTTCTGGAAAAGAAAGAAACGGCGTCTTGTTCCGACATCGGTAGAAGGCAATTGATTGGAAGGGCGTGCGTTTTCAGTTGCGCACTCGGTATATTCGGGGTGGAGGTGGAGGCGGCGATGGGCGCTGCAAGATTGAATCCAATGATGGCCAGGATTTTAGGGGCATTTGGCTGCTGCCATACAGGCACCCAACAGGCATTGGGCGGCGCGTATATTCACCTTCCCGAGTGGTACTGGCCACGGCCCATGGGGACTTCTACGGTAGTGGCCTAGCGGTGCTACTCGTGCTACTCGCAGTACTGCCTATCACGTGTCTGGTCAGAGGCAGTTAACGCGTTAAGCCTTTTTACGCGTCTCTGTCGCACTGCGCACTGACAATCCCGCCATTCCTGTCCCGTTCATACACCTTTCGCACACATCCCAGAAGTCGCAGTCAATGTCCGCAGCCAGCATTGAGACCTGGCAACGGCATCAACGAGATCACCGTCATCGACATCGACATGGCCCCCCCTTCTCGCCGCATGTCACAATCAGCATCACCGCACGTCAACCTGCACTGTCTTCAATGCGACAGCCAAATCGGCATCTTCGACAATGAATGGACCCGCCTCACCAGTTCATACGTCCGCCCTGTACACCCCGGCACTCACTTTGGGACTGAGGTCGCGACCAACAAAACACAAGTTGTCCCTGAAGGCGTCACCCAACGATCCCTCGAAGGTTGTTCTCTTGCCGAAGTGTTCTGCACAAAATGCTCGGCCGCTGTGGGGCAATATTGCAAGGCGGCTCCCGCAGCCGCCCAGAGAAATATGTTGTATGGACCGTCCGAGTGCGCAAGAAGAGAGATGTGTGAGACTGACGGGATGCTAGAAACCAATATCTATACAAGTTGTCGAGGACATACTTGAAGAGCAGCGAGACGAACAAGCGGGTTGATCCTGTATTTGGCTATGCTGGGGACGCTGTCAAATCAACTCCCAGACCGAATGCCATTTTAGGTGCGAGCCTCGCTGCCTCTGCCCGGTACTCGCATACCCCATCCACCAGAGACGAGACACCTGCAAATCTCCGGCCCGTGACAGAATCGCAAAGGCGATCTTCCGCACACATTTCATTGCAAAACAGCCAGGAGACTACTCCGTCGCGAACGGCAGCAGACACAGAGCCCCAGGACTCAATCGTACTCCAGCACACAATACAAGGTGCACAATTGAAAACGCAGGCTGGGAGAATGACCGATCAGGAGGCTAGGACACTGGAGCACGATACTCAAATCCGAGCCATCTCTTCGGTCCTAGAGACGTTTCGTGAGACCCTAGATGAGATCAAGACATCCATCGAAGAACTCAAGTCTCAAATCTCGCCGCCCCGTCTCGATAAGCCTACACAAATCGACTTCGCTGGCGGCATCCACACAACGATCATGACACTGAAATCGGCTCAGGCGAACGCGCAAGAGCTGGAAGAACTTCGTGCTGAAAATGCCGCCCTTAGAGCCAAGTGGGATATCGTGCAATCAGCCATGCTTAGCGCCACTGGACAACCAACCCCGAGCTCATCATTTGAAGTACCACGCAGCTCCAGTTTAGGTAAACGCAAACGCGACAGTGACATCCCAAGATCAAGGTCGATGGTGCCATCAGTTGCAGCGATACAAACCCGGTCTTCTTATTTAGAGGCCGTTTCGTCTTCTACGCAGATGCCGACTCCACAGTCAAGTAACCACTCCGACAGGCAATCTGCCGACGATGCCACTAGCTCGAGAATATCGACGCCAGAGCAAGGTCTAGGCAGCTTAAACTCTCACAATATCCCCAACCACGGTGATCAATATATGACTCAAAATAACGATTCCTCCGAATCGTCTTCCTTGCGCCGAAGCCTAAGAAACTGTCTGCCACCGGATCATGACCAACATACAGACACGGCTAGCTCAGCTGTGCGCCCGAATTCTCTTGGAACGCCCGAGGTAGATACGCAAGCAACTAGCATGGCCTTGAACGTGCATGAAACTCAACAGCAGCCTATGACCGGGCTTGTCGAGGACTCGTTACAGTCGTCGTCTCAAGGAGATGAATCTCAAGAATCAATGCTTGTTGGGACTGTTCCTGGATCTCAGAACGACGAAGCTCAGCCACAAGAAATCAAGGAAGCTGCTGGCCGAGAAGACAATGGTCGACTGCTTGACAGCAATGAGGAGCTTCCAATGGACGTTGATCCTCTGGAGACCTCCGAAATCCAGTCCTCGATTGGGAAAACCGTTGAGGCTGGCGATGACAATCAGAGCCGTTCTTCCACTTCTCTTGATGTTGACGGAGATGGTACAACGAGTTTGGACACGGAACCTTTTAGTGAAGCCTCTTATGTGGATGACGCCTCTGATCATTCTGTACCCGCCAGACGAACTCGCAGCAAAAAGAAGGTGAAATCAACGCGAAGCAAGACCGATTGCATCATCGACAGCCGAAGCGTTGCCCCTGAGCCAGCAGCAGTACGTCGTGTTCTTCCTCGCCGAATTGTTGCGAACCAACAGCCACGTTTTGAACACTCAACGCCGGAATCGATCGAGCAGGAGTTAAAAGAGCTGGATGGTCCTAAAAGACCTCGACAACCTAAGCCTCACATTCATACGACTACAAAGATCCTTAATAAAGAGCTCAAAGAGCTCGGCCTGGAGGATTGGATCGAAAGAGACAAAGACGATCCCGAGTACAAACGAGTCGTGGAAGAGGCGAGGGAGCGGAAACGAGAACAGATGAGATTGGCTGCATTGGCGAAAAGTGGAATCAATCTTCCAGGAGCCGATGAACGAACAGAGTCAGCCCCAACTCTAGAAGATGCATTTCACCAAGCCGCTGATGCTCTAGGCGTCGTCAACTACGAAGAGAATGGTGGAAAACCGTTTAGAGTGGTAAGCGCATCTCAGGCAGCAGCTAAACGGGCCCTCGGGACCGGAGAGCGCAGGAAGAGACGTGAACAACGAGAAGAAGAAATCCGCCGAAGAGACATGCTAGCGAAACAGGCAATGGATATGAATGAGTAGAGCTCGACACTGGGTTTCCGATGAAGGATAGAGCGGCCGACGCGGGACAGGAACGCGTTTCATAACGACAGACGCCAGTGCAAGAACTTCCAGGAATCATATGTGGATGCATTGATAAGGCACGGGCAAACCTACCTACCTAGGTAGTATCTGAGTACAGATCGATGCGTGCATGCTCTTTACACCAAGCCTACGAGAACTACTCGGTATATTCTCGTCTTACCCGTACGGATATGGCGCGTGACGTCCCGCCTTTGATAGGGAGTCATCCTCGCAGATAGCTAAAGTACTAGTAAGCGAATGCCACTGGTGCCGCCATTTTCAGGTATCCATTGGCTCTGAACCTACCCGGCTCGTAGGCTCCGAGACACGCTACTCTACCTAGCCAGGAACGGGGAGCCGGAAAGTAGGCGGGCGAAACCCACACGAAGTCGCCTGGCCGCCTGGAGTTTGGGGGCCCAAAGCCCGTCTCGATCGCGACGAGCTGCAGGGGTCCTTTCTGCGCCTGCGTTGGCGGGGAAATTTCTTCGAGAGCCGCAGGTGAACTCGACTTCATTTATTCTCGCCCTCGCACCCTCTTCTTGCTCTCGTCGCTCGTGTTTCTGTTCGGCCGTTTTGATAGTGTTGCTCTTCTTTGCATGTACCCGAGTCCAATACTTTGCTCGAAACGAGTCTGCCTTCTCAGCTCGGAGAACGATTTGTAAGGAACGCCCCCCAAATTTCTCGAGTCCACCACATGGCAATAGCTAACGGCTTTCCAACAGGATCCGACCTCGGGCGTCTTCTTTTCCTCGCGCAATTGTCCTCGGTAGGTTCTCTATCCTACTTCACTCGAGTTTAGCGGATGCTTTATGTTGTTGCCTGGCGACATCCTCGGGAAGAGTTGGTACTTTCACAGCATGTTTGCTTCCTATTGAGAGGTGCTCAAAGCATGAATGTTCGCCATTGAGATCATGTATTGGAGACATGTCTCTCTATTATGGCTCAGCCAACAGAACTGCTTGCTGTTGCGGTCTGAACAAGTGCACTCGTTGTCAATGGAGAAACTGGTTGCCGACACTAGCGAGTAACACGGACATTGACAGTTGCGTTAGGCTGATTGACCATCTGCTGGACAAAGGTCTATTACCAAGGTATGTGTGGTGAGATTCATATCTTTCTTCCGATCACAAGGTGAAAATGTCGACGCTTGAGACGTGGTTGTGGGTTCAGATTCAGAGCCACTCCAGCAGCTTATTAGGGCTATACTTTTCTTTCCTCTGCCCATGTTGTTTCCCCTACTTTCACGAAATGGGCACTGTTAACGATAGATCAGGAAAATACAAAGGGCCGAGCCATGTTTTTCTCTCGTTGACCCCATCAATCTGGATCTGTCTTTACCCGGACAAACATTATGCGATTTGAGAGGGTGAAGTAAACCATTTGTCTCTGGTCAGTGTGCCTTTGGACTACGAAACCCAATTCTACTCACAACTTTCCTACAGTATCACCTGGCTGCGAAAGAACATACCACTTGAGTGCAAACCCCACGGATCCCTCTCAGTTTGACCTCTTCTGCTCTCTGGGCATTCCAATCTCTTGTGCAACAACTTCAATACTGTCATCATGGTCTCTCAACCCACTCAGCCTGCAACGCAACCGATTGAAGACCCACGTCGTCTCAGGAGAAATGTTTCTAATATTTCGGACGAGGATGCCATAGACGTGATATGTCTGCTGAGTCCAACCTCCCCGGCTGCATTCGATGCAGTAAAAGCCAACCTGTTGGTCTCGCCCATGCACATCTTGCAAAATGCCGACCTTGAGAATATCAGTCAAGACGACCTGCTTTTCCGTGAGGAGTACAATCAACCGCGAGATATAGCTTTGCGAATGTCCTCGCCTGTCACGAATCTGAAGGACGGTTTTCGATTTGGCCGTACCAGGAGTCAATGCGATGTGCTTCTAACCGCGTACGACCATGACACCTTAGTGAGTAAGGTGCATTTCAAGATATTTGTGAACAACCAGGGTAGCCTTATGTTGGAAGACTTGTCTACCAACGGAACTGTTGTCGATGATGTCCACCTCAGGGCGAGAGCTCGGCGAGACAATCCGGCCCTCAAGCCCGCCACTATAGTCCTCAGGCATGGTTCTATTATTTCTCTCTACGGTGGCGGAAGGAAGCAAGAGGTCAAGATGATGGTACGGATACCGAGTCGGGGTGACTTCGAAGATGAATATGAAGAGAATCTACGAAGGTACCTGGCGGCAAGAGGCGACGTGGCGCAATTCGCTTCCATGCGGGAGAGCACATATGGTAATTATTGGAACGGGGGTTCCTTGTACAACTTTACGGGTCTGCTTGGGAAAGGAGCTTTTGCAACCGTCTACAAGGTACAGACAAAGGAAGAAGGCGACATCTACGCCGCGAAGGAGCTGGACAAGCGCCGTTTTATCAAAAATGGTGTCCTCGATTTGAAATTTGACAGCGAACTCAACATCATGAAGAACCTCAAGCACCCTAATATTGTCAACTATGTCGACTGTCACACTTATCAACACTGGATTTACATCCTGATGGAATATGTCCCCTATGGTGAGCTTGCGAAAGAACTCGGGAAACACGGAGCTATCCCCGAGGCCGACGTCCAACAGATCGCAAAACAGATATTGCACGCTCTCTACTATCTTCATCGACGAAACATTACCCATCGTGACATCAAGCCGGACAATATCCTCATAGCGTCTCGAAACCCTTTGGTGGTCAAGTTATCCGACTTCGGCTTATCGAAATGTGTGACCGACCAAGAGACCTTTCTCAAGACGTTCTGTGGTACGCTTCTTTATTGTGCACCTGAGGTATATCCTGACTACGCAAATTATGCTCAAGGATCAGCCCCGAAAAGACGTCGGTTAGGAGAACCTGCAACAAAACCACCTCCGTCTCCCTACGATCAGTCCGTGGACATGTGGTCCTTTGGCGCCGTCATTTTCCATCTCCTTTGTGGAAAGCCCCCAGTGACCGGGCGAGGCGATGACCGCGGCGCGCAAATGCTGAACAATATCATGACGAAAGATGTCAATTTTGACACGCTGAGACAGGCGGGTGTATCAGAGACTGCGATTGATTTCGTTGGGAAGCTTCTTAATCGAAACCCTGCTCTACGACCAAAGGAGCCCGAATGCTTGCGGCATCCGTGGCTTCGAGACTTACCTGATCATTGCAACTATGACGATATCGAGCAGCCGACTGAGGAACCGCAACATTGGCTTGACGTTGTTGATGAAGTTGACGAAGACATCATCGACGGAGAGTTGATTGATAGCTTGAATCAGCTAACCCAGCCACCTTCCTCAGAACGCACTCCAGATCGGCCTGCGAAGCGTGTTCGCACTATAAGGAATATATCAACAGCGGCAGAAGACATAACATACCCTCGTCTCCCGGAACCTGGTGAAAGTTTCCTGCCTTTACCCACTGCGCCAGAACAACCAGCACAGCGTCTCTTTGGAGAGATATCCGCATCCGTTCTGCGTAGTTCGGGCGTATTCGGCGGCGAACTGAGCCCATCTACCCCAAGGGGAGTACAAGATATCCGGAATCGAGTGGAACAAATCAGCGTGAATGATTTTGGGAATCGCGGGCCTCCGAACATTGCAGAAAACGCCGACAACTCTGGCCAGCCACTTCAATATCCTCAGGTACTTGGCGTGCCAGAAATTGCAGGTGGTTCAGCTGCAAGCCTTATGGGGGCAGAACACCAAATAGGTCAGCTCAACATGGCTTCTCCCGAGGCAGATATCTCGGATGCTGCGACTCCAGAGACTACTAATCCTGTAACTCCTGAGACACGTCAACTATCGCCGTCGGCTTCGGTCACTCCACACGCGCATAACGAAGCTGCGGATCCAGCTCAACTGGCCGAAGAGCCTGTTTGCACTCGTCGCATCGACCTTGACCTCGTCGAGGACCCTGTCAATTTTGAAGCGGAGGTCGAGGCGCGAAATGCGTCAAGGGCCAGCAGGCTACGAGCAAAGGCGGAGACTTTTCACGGAAACCTGACATCCAGACACTCACCGCCGTTGGCTGAGCTTGCAGTCACGATTGACGCGAAGACTGGTCACGAGGTCAAAAGTATGGGACAACTGGATCGCTTTATTCGCGTCGCTCCAGACCCGGAAAATCCAACCAGGACGAGTTCTCAAACAACGCTATTCATCAAACCTCCGCGACGATATGGCAAGTTCACCAGCATTCCTGGATCTTTTGCCAACGTCACCATCAATCTTGAAGCTAGATTCACGGTGTGGGGACGAGGCATTGATTGCACCATCCAATACCCTGACGCCAAAGACACGCGTATTCCCAAATATGCGCTCAAAATCACGTTCTGGGCGCCTGGTATGGAGGCTCATGTCGACGGGGGGAATGACTGGACTGCGCTTCCCGGGGTAAGAACGCTAATTGCTACTTCTGCAAGCGGGTGCGTCCTTGTCAACGACGTCGAATTGCGAAAGGAGTCGCCCTCGGGAGATGCAGCCTTGTTCGGCAAGCTATACACAGGAGACATCATCACCATTTTCGACAATGGAAAGGGCGAGTTTTTGAAGTTCAAGGTGGAAATCACGTTTGGGGACAGCGCACGACCGAGGCCCGCTGGCGAAGGAGGGTTCATCGTCCAGGAGGAACGACACCATCACCAACGCATGAAGGAGCGCGAGAGTATGAGGCTAAGTATGAGAGACAATGCTGGCGAGGTGCCCATGGTGCCAACCGTGCGAGTAGGGCCAGTTCTTGAATGATGATATGCCTGTTGGATGTCGGGACGCTTGGAAATGAATATGTCATGATAGAGCTGTGCTTGTCGAGCGCTTCGAATGCATCGAGTTCCACAAGAACAAAAACAACACAAGTTGCATATGTTCAACTTGAAGGTTTCTTGGGCCAGGCACTGTGCAACCCTCGCGGCAGATTTGACTTTTCTCGATATTAAAGGCCAGCCAGGCACATATCAGGCTCTGATAGGGAAGGGAGGGTGGACACTGGACTTGATAGCTAACTGACAGAGGCCCACTTGCGACAAGGGTCTGAGGCATTGTGGCTCACCATCGTCACGCCTAGAGTGGACCCGACGACCACTGTGGATGTTGTGGGAAAGGAGTACTCGGTTGGTAACTCATCCTCGCATGCGGCTTCCCACCAATATCTGCAAAGCCAGCATAGGTCGATCGCAGCACAGCGGAAAGCGGAGACCTAACAGCGGAGTCCAACTGCACCAATGTCTCAAGAGGTTCCACCGACTTTTGTGCCTGTCCCTGAATATTCCTGCGCATGAAAAAGAAGCGAAACGAGATGTAGGGACTTGGGCCTGCAGCACCCTATTGTAAGAGTTTCTGAGGGTTGTGGGATGAAAGAGAGGCGATTGTGACTATCACAGGCAATGGATGCATTTTGGTGAAAAGACACCTGTCATTTTCTGATCTTTGCTGAGCAGTGAGAAGTGCTCCATTCGGTACAGGTAGTTGCTGCAAGGTGCCATTCTCGGCCGCCCACATGCCTCTCGACCACTTGTCCCTATGGAGAAATAGCTGAGCGGCGAGGCGGGTACCGGTGAGGGATGGGTAGATACGAGCCACGGAAGTCGACCAGTTTTCGAGGACGCGGAAGGCGCTTGGCAGCTATTAATATGATACCTTACCTAGTAGGTAGTATCGCGGGCGCAGGCGGGTTACTAGGTACTTGGGAAAATAATAACAGATTCGAATTCCAGAAAAGAAATAACCCGAACAACCCCTCCCTTGGAGTCTGGGCTGCTTCCGTGTTTAATCTTTTAGTCAATTGACAATGAGACCATCTATGTGTGGCTGCTGATTGCATTCGCAAGCACCGCAATCACCGCAACCACCGCAACCACTCTCATCCCCGGTCTTGTTGCGGGCTTTGTAGATGGTCCTGCACCTACAGTCAGATGAGCTGAATCGACATCCCGCGCCTCTCTTGTCGACACTGACCCTCCGCGCCCTCACACCATTCTGCCAACACCTCAAGTAGCAAGACAATCCTCCGCTCCACAGTACTCACTACTGCCAGTCGCTGTCCCCTCTGATGCGTATCCAAACCCTCCCCGTCCTGCGACCTCCTTTCAACCGTCCTCTTCTCCGATGTCCCATTCTCGATCGGTTTCACCACTGCCCAACGGAGGATGGAACGCACCGGGTCTGACTGAGCGCAGCTCAACCCCCAACGGCGGCGTGTACGCAGGAGTCAACGGTTACAGCAACAATGACGATCAGTGGGCTGCGGCAAAGGCAAGAAGTGCTCAAGTGAGAGGGTACCCCAGCGTCCAGACCAAAAATGAGGGCTTCTTTCAGCGGTCCAGGCGGAAAATCTCCTCGACGCTGCCCACCTTCAGTCCCTACACTCCTTCGTCGGCCAACTGGAAAGACCCTGAGAAACTGGGCCGCAGCCGGTGGTCTCCCGGAGGCAATAAGAGTTTGGCGAGCATAAAGACTTTTGCTGGCAATGTCTTGAGGAGGTTCAAGTTTCTGTTCATCATACTGTCCATTGTCACACTGACGACGGTTATACTGTCCCAGACAAGTGAGTCCCGCTTACACACACCCATCCTGTTCTGTCCTAACTTCCCGTCCTAGACGTGCTGTCCAAATACCGTGGCAACTCCCACCTCGGTGGCGGCAGCAAATTCGTTATCATCCTCGGAGCCAATGAGGGCGGCGGTGTTATGGAATGGAAAGGTCCTAGAGAATGGGCCATCGAGCGCGACAGCGTGAAAAACAAAAAGAGATACGCCGAGAGATGGGGGTATATATTGGATATTGCAGACATGAGCACCAAGAAGAGGTACGCTCACGAATGGCGTGAGAGCTGGGAAAAGGTTGACCTGATCCGAAACGCCATGGCCAGGTACCCAAAAGCTGAATGGTACGAGAAAGCATCTGCGAACGAGTTGAGTGACGTGTGACTGACGGGAAGCAGGTTCTGGTGGCTCGACTTGAACACCTTCATCATGGAGCCTTCGATATCACTGCAATCCCACATATTCAACAACCTCGACAAAAACGTGTACCGCGATATTAATGTCTACAACCCTCTCGACATTGCCCACCCTCCCATCACCGAATTCCTCGATCCTGTCGCCCGGTCACCCACTGGCGACAATCTGACATCCTCTATCGACATCATCATCCCTCAGGACTGCGATGGTTTCAACCTTGGGTCTTTCTTCGTTCGACGATCTCCATTCACAGACCGTCTCCTTGACCTGTGGTGGGACCCTGTCCTCTACGAGCAGAAACATATGGAGTGGGAACACAAGGAACAAGATGCGCTGGAGCACCTGTATGCGTCGCAGCCATATCTGCGGACACATTTCGCATTTATTCCCCAACGGAAAATTAATTCATTCCCCCCTGGTGCATGTGGCGTCCATCCGGAGGAAGGACAGGCTGTCCCAGACGAAAAACCTCTTCTGGACCCCAGATTCCACTACAACGAGCACGAGCGGGACTTTATGGTCAACATGGCCGGATGTGAGTGGGGCCGAGATTGTTGGGCGGAAATGTACATGTATCGCGAACTCAGCAACAGACTCAACCGGTCGGGGTGGGAAAGGTCCAAAGATTTTTTCCGTGACAAATGGACAAACTTGATGAAGACCTTGTTCGACAAAAAGGCCAGGCCGCAAACTGGTTGACACCCCCACCATCCCATTCGGTCACCACTGAGTTGGATGGGCAGAAGCGATGAGATCGCCACAGCATCCATAAACGGGCTGGCTCGACATTCTCTCTAATTGACGCAACGTCATCTTGGACTGGCTGAAGCTCTCAGGAATCTATCCACACTCATCGACTTTTCGAGCGCAATATGCTAAACTGTCTGGAACATGTCAAACCTCAAATGGCTGGGACCAATTGAACGACCATCAACAGTTTTACACCTGCGCCTTTGTTTTCTCCGAGCATACCAGAGGACAAACAGAATCACGCACTAGCTCGGGGTGGCGCGGAAATTTGTGTCTTTTCAACGTGTATACTTAGTTAGACGGATAGGCATTGGGGCGATATTACCAGGGACTGGCTCTTACGGAAACGAAATAGAATAGCGAGCGGGATTCTTTCCAATGGGCGGAAAAGAAAATATGGCATATGGCATGGTCCACTACAGTAGTACTACTTCTCAAGCTGTTGTCGGTCACTTGCTTCGGGATCTGTTGTGTATCTGAGTATCGATGAAACCGAGATTAATAGAGACAAGACGTCAGTGGCACGACCGAGATACGGTACGTTCAAGGCATTTCTAATCTGTGTTGAAACGGTAGAAAGGGCTCGATTTTGGGGCGAAGTCGGGTGTAGTTCTCATTCAGCAGTTAAGCAACAGAGCTCACGCTGGGCCTTGGGGTTGAGACTCGCACTCACTCACGCACTCAGCCTTGCCACCCTCCCCGGTCCCATTCAGCCTTGTACCGAGTACCGAGTTGCAACTGGTCCTGTAGAGCGTGCTTCCTTCATACCTAGGTAGATAACCCCTTTCTTTTGCCGTTTTTGGCAACGCAAAACACTTCTTACAGCTTCCCCCTAGCGGGAATGCCAATTTGGGGAACATTTGCAGTATGTATTTAGGGTGATATCCGGGGGTTTTGGGTGTGTACCGAGTACCTTTTACTCCATTCGTGGGGGTGACATGCTTTCAGGTCGTCAGGTATGAGGCTTATGGTAGCAGGGGGGTGGTCTCTAGGTAGTTTGTCCGCGGGTCCATCTTCTTCCCATCATATGTGGTATCTAGAAGCAGTGCTTCCACTCTCGTTATTTCCCTACCTACCATAATATCGCTGTATCCGTAAAGTGTCCTGTGCCTAACAATCCAAGACCGAAGTTGGCCTCCTACGCCGTAGTGGTCCCCAACCAGGCCGCGGTAACGGGCCCCAACGCCTCCTTCAACCAGGCCGTGTCCAGAGTGACGCCATTCTCTGCCGTGTCAAAGCCATGCTCGCCGGGCTGCACGACCAACATGACCTTGTCATCCCCAAGCTTCTCTCGGGCTTTTGCAGTCCACTTCTCGCTTCCCTCCACGGGGACTGCGCTGTCATCGCGCCCGTGAATGATCAAGATGGGCGGAACCGCCTCGGCACCCGTGGGGAGGATGTCGTCGAGTCTCTCGAGCGGGAACAGGATCTTCTCGTCGCCGAGTAGTTTCGTCATCAGTCCCTGCTGAACCATCGAGAGACACAGCGGCAGTCTCTCGGGAGGGGTGGCTGAACTGATCACCCTCCGCGGCCTGCCGTGTTTGGCATCCTCTTCGATCGAGGCGAGGTGCGCCGCCATGACTTCCTTGGGGATCGTGGGCGCGCCCAGCACGACCTTGGGGGTGCTGTATTCCTCGGTGTAGAACCGCGCCTTCAGGTCCAGGACGGGATACAGCGCGATCGCGGCGCGGATCTTCATCATCCCCGGCGAAGGGGAAGCCGAAGGTGAAGCCGCATCCAGCGCGCTCTGCACAGACAGGTACCCGCCGGCGCTTTCGCCCGTGGACAGCACCCGGCCCAAATCGACCTCGACACCTGGCGAGGCGGCCGCGAGGTATGCTGGGAAGGATGTGGCAAGCCACGTCCAGAAATCGCGCAGGTCCTGCATGATCTCTGACCCGGTGGCTTCGGGCGCGAGCCGGTAGTTGGGACACACCACCACCGCGGAATGAAGCAGCGCGTACTCGACCAGCCAGTCCGAAAACCAGTCGGCGTACAGCGCCGTGCCGGTGATCAGGAAGCCGCCGTGGAACTTGACTATTATAGGCCGTGGCGAGGGCGAGGGTGATGTCGATGATAGGACGGTCTTGGGGATCAGGGTGTAGACATTGATGGCGTGGTTGGAGACGACTTTGTACGTCGTCTCCAGGATTGTGAAGGATGAGTACTTGGGGGAATCCATCTAATGATGATGATGATAGCCTTGCAAAGGAATGTTGGGATCCCGTTGGGTTCCTAGACAAGCTTGGATAAAGGGAAAAAGAGACTTGGCTCTGTTTCCTTGGGTTAGGAAAATATGCAGCTTGCTGCTCGTCGACCTCGGAGATTCCTCTCGGTATTTATACAGAAAGTATCGAGACCTGGTCTGGGTGTTTTTCACACTATTTGCAGGCTTGCTCGCTACGTACCTGCGTCAGGGGGTTGCTACCTACCTAGTATGCATCTACATACTAATACACCGCACCCACGGTGGGTAAGGCCAGGACAAGGCCCACCACGTATCATCAGGCAGTCACTCCAGAATCTGCGTCTTTTCTCGGCGATATCAAAGATCAAAATGAAGAAATTCCCCCTTAAACCCGTCCCGCGAAGGTTGATGCTAGTTGCTGGGTCGGGCGTAGGAGAAGCCGACTCGGGGTCAGGCGTGTGAGAGATGACAAAGGATGTAGGTATACTCATTACTCGAGGTGGGTGAGAGCAAGGCTGCTTTGAGCATCAGTTACGAAGCCAGACGTCAATTTGCAGATACGGGAAGCTAATGACAAGGCTAGGCGCCCCATTCCCCCTGCCTGCAGTGGGATGAAGGTATGCGGGTGCCCATTACCAAACTCCCCCCTAAAGCCACAAGAGGCCGTTGTGGATGGGGCGGTTTGGGGCGCCTCTTGGCTTTAGTGGAGCTGTGCGTATTCACGAGTCAGGCGATTGTTAATCCAAGGACTGTTTATCGATACCTAGGTAGGTAACACTCGGTTCGCCAGGGCCTCCTAAATGCATACGAGTGCATTTCTGTTGGCTATCTGACCAAGAAAAGATCATGATGAATTCCGCGAGACAACAAAATGCTGGGGAAACAGCGGAATGAGGCCGACGCATAGTTACACTCGACCATGTTCTTCCTCCGCTGCCTTCCTACTCGTACAGCCAGCGACTCAACAAAGAGCCCGACTTTTCGCAAACCATCAACACTCATCCGGACTTGCAAATGATGCACATGGACGGTCGAGGGAGGGAAATCCAGACACCCGAACGAAGAGGAAAGAAAATCCGTCGCCTCTCGTCAAGAAATCACGGTGTCTCCATCTTTGCTGCTGCCCCGACTGATGACCCTCATCAGTCTCTCGGCCACACTTCCTCTTCTCTCGCTGCCGTCTTTGTCCCTGTCTCTCTCCTTCTCCTCCTTCTTCCTCTGCTTCTCCTGCTCTTTTCGTCTCTTGCGCTCCTCCTTGCTCTCTGGCGCGGGCCAGCCGACCTCCCAGTACGGATTGCGGGACCCCATCGGCCCTCCCCACGCCAGAGACTGCAGCCCTCCAGCCCCGCCGCGCAGGTCGGGCAACATGCCATGCGAGCCGGGCTCGACGTACATCTTGGACTCGGCGAATTCCTTGAGCGCGGCGAGTTCTTCTTGGCTGTTGGCGAAGCCGTGCGACGCTTTGTATGGTGGGAGTCGGTCCCTCCTGGGGTCGGCTGTGGCCGTGTATGAGGGTGGCGACGCCATTGTCTTGTTGAGCGAAGCGAAACAGTAAACTTCTTCGGCGGGGTGGTTTGGCCGCTCCTCTCTGTCCTTTGGGTCCTTGAATGTGACAAAGGAGAGGAGCAGGTTGTTCTGTGTGAAAGCTACCTAGGTATGGTGTTGAGATTGACTTTGTGGCGAGAAAAGGATCCTTTACGTATCATGGAGAGATAGAGTGGGCCATTTGATTATAAGTCTGAGCGGCATTCGAGATGATGAGGACTTCAGGAACGAAGACCGAGATGTGCGGGTGCAGCGATGGAGTTGGAGTGGCGCCAGCATCTGGTGACCCGTCGTACCCGTTGTTTGGTCTGTTTTTCTGTTTTTCCAGGTTTCCATCCACCACCTGCATCTTTCTATCTTTGGGGGGCGACGTCATGACTGTACTGGTGACAGCTCCCTACAATAGATGAACTCGTACGCGGTAGAGGATCTCGTTCTCATCTCGCCATGTATTCCAAGCCTCTTCGGCCGCGTCACATGGCGAGAAACAGAAACAGAAACACGAAACACGAAACACGCCCAACGACGCGCGGGACTCATTGGCCGCGTTCTGGCCCTTATGGCCCTTATGGCCCTTTCCCCGCGATCCCATGATGGAACTACTGGCCATATCACAGGCTATATCACAGACCAATGTCTTGGTCTTTTCTTGGTATGTCTTCTTGGATGTTTTCAAATACAAATATCACACCATTGCCTGTAATCATCGCTTTTATCCTCCTTCCAAGTCTCGTGGCGTGGGAACAGGCGATAAGAACTGAAAGGACCGCAAAAGAAGCAGTCGCTTGGAACAGCGCGGGCAACCCGACCACCCTGATCAGCGGCATTGCGACGATCCATGGATCTGAGTTGCCGAAGGTTCCAATGCCCCGGATACTTGTTCCCGCGAACGAGGTCATCATGGTGTCACTGGTGTGGTAGGTGTTGAAGCAAGTAACGGAGCCAGGTACGGAGATCGAGTGTCTTGACCCGGCCGCGACAACCGGCGACCTGCTATCCCAAGTTGCCAATAAACACTTTATGCTCGGCAGATCGATTGGCGCTCGCGATACGAGTTAGCATCTGATCAAGCGGGGTCAGTGGAGCGTAAGCTAAAGGTACACCAAAGGGTGTTTGTGCGTTAGTCAACCCTCTTGGCTCTCGCGACACCACATGGACATGGCGGCTCCTTATCAACCAACTTCCACACAAGTCAACCTCGGATTGGTCCTACCAAGTGAGTCTGCATAGACCGGCGCATGATGGCACTAGGCCCATGTAGAGTTTCTGGCCCTCAATTGCAACCTCTGAATCGGTCATTCCACAGCTTGGACGGCGTTCTACTGAACACTTCCACGGGACTCATTGCGAGGGTGGTGCCATCAATACATTTGCAACATGTGGAACAGCCTCATTTCAGTGCCCCTTCTGGCAGTCATCGCCTGGCTGTTCCTTCAGATTGCCCATGTCTTGTACAATGTCCTTCTCCATCCCCTCCGAAGTTATCCAGGCCCACTTGCAGCCCAGGCTTCGGGTTGGTACAAGACCTACATCGAGCTGTTCCTGCAGAGAAGCTGGACAGATGTCCTGGTAGAGCTGCATCAACGCTATGGCAAGTCAGCGACAATCGGAAGACGGATGACACTAACATTGGCCTCAAGGAGACGTGATTCGTGTTGCCCCGAACGAGGTCTAGAACAACTTCGCCGCACACTCTCGTTTGTCCTTGACTGATTTCTGAAAAGCTCCATTTCTCTAACCCGCAAGCGTACCACGATATCTACAACAACGTGAACCGCTGGGACAAGGACAAGGGATCGTACGAATGCTTTGGCGAGGATCACTCCTCGTTTGGCTTCCTGAAATATCACGACGCTAAGCAGCGCAAGGATGTCTTGCAGCCGCTGTTCTCCCGACGGAACATTTTACAGATGCAAACTCTTGTCCGGAAGAATGTAAGTAGACCACCGGATTTGCGTTGAGAGCTGTTCTGACTCTCTTGCCATCAAGATGGACCACCTCGTGGAGAGACTCTCAGAGGACTATGCAGCCGGGAGGTCGTCGGACTTGTTCTTCGCCTTCAGATGCTTTACCATGGATACCATTACTAGTTTCTGCTTCGCCAAATCTGTGAACGCCATTGATGTTCCCGGGTATAATGCCCCCATCATCGAAGCTATGGAGGCCTCGGGCCCGGCCTTCATCCAATTCAAACATTTACCCTTGTTCCGCAAATTTGTCTTCTCCCTTCCACCCAACATGGCCATCAAAGCCTCACCCGAGACGGCAGGCTTGACCCGTCTCCAGGTCATCTTACGAAACCAAGTTGACGAAGTGACCGCGAATCCAAGCATCCTCGAGGAAGCTCCCCACCAAATCATCTATCATCGACTCCTCGATCCCGAGGCGCACAAGGGTCAGCCGATCCCCGACAAGCAATCACTGTATGAAGAGGCGCAGGCCTTGATGTTTGGGGGCGGCGACACGGTCGGAAACACTCTGATGGTCGGCTTCAATCACATCTTGCAGCCGTCAAACCGCGACCTCTACCAATCTCTCCGCGACGAGGTCCGTTCCGTCTGGCCGGATCTGGCGACTCCGCCTCGCTCCTTCGAGGCGTTCGAGCCTCTCCCGCTCCTCACCGCAACCATCAAAGAATCCCTGCGCGTCGCACCGGGCGTGGTGTCCCCACTTCTCCGCGTCGTCCCGGCCAAGGGCGCAACAATCGCCTCCCATCGAGTCCCGCCCGGCACGGTCGTGGGTATCTCCAGCGTCTTCGTCCACTCCTCCCCGACAACATTCGACAATCCAAAGACATTCATGCCCCACCGATGGCTTTCGACGGGGAGAGACCACCTGGAATCCAACCTCGTCGCCTTCAGCCGCGGCCCCAGGTCGTGTCTGGGCATCAACCTCGCCTGGTGCGAGTTGTACGTCGCCTTCGCCACCATGTTGCGTCGGTTTGAGTCGCTGGAGATCGACGCGGATTCCCCGCCCGCGGACTTGAGGTTTCGCGACTCGTTCCTGCCGAATTTCTACGGCCAACATCATCTCAAGGTCAGGTGTAAGCCAGCGACAGAGTAGCGAATTACCTACGCACCCACTCACCCACCCATTTGGCTAGTGAGGGGGTGAAGCGTTATCTAGGTTACTGATGAGGTAGAGGGGCAGAATCCAGACCAAGCAGTGGAGACAGGAACAGAATACAGAAGGTTTTGATAAATAATGACTGGTGTTGTTCTATCCATAAAATACCTATCAGGGCTGCGTACCGTACATACCAAAGATGTCTTTGGAGCAGGTTGGGTGTTTTACCACAGTACCTACATAACATAACCCAGCCGGCCCCCGTGTTTTTCATCGTATTCTGGGACCCTGCAATCACGGCCTCCATAGCTGGACCGATGAGATCGACTACATACCTAAGCAAGCACGGTGGTAAAATGGACCCAACCGACCTGCCCTGCCCTGCGCTGCCTGCTCATACCTAGGCAGCTAGGTATGCCTGAGGAGGAGTCGATTGACCCACTCATCTAGACCGGGCATGTACGCGTGGGCATCGTAGAAGCCATGCAAGATGCCTCCGACGTCCCGCCAGCTGTGCAAACCCATCTGGCGTGCGTGCCGCGCGAGGTTTTCGGCGAACCACCAGGTGTCGTCGTCGCTATCGTCGTCATTGCCACTTCGACCGCGGGTTGTATTGTGGTGGTCACTATTGTCATCACGACGGGTGGCACCGCCACTACTGTTACCCGGATCGTGTTTGTTCCCGTCGTACCGTGAGGACGGGGGATTGTGCTTTTTCTCCGTCCAGCTACCCACGCAGAGAGCGTAGAGTAGGGCGTTGCTCGGGTCAACTTGCGGTGCTTCTCCTGTGAGATCATCATCACCGTCACCAGGCCCATCGACGGCGAGGGAACGCACAATCTCCGCAACGTGCGTAGTCAGCGACAGGGTGGATCTGAGCCGCGCGAGGAAGTCCCGCGCGTTGACGAAGACGGTCTGCACGGACTCTAGGTTCGTCCGGTTGAACTCGAACATGATCAGGAACGCGAGCGCAAGCGCCCGCTGCGTCTGCCAGTAGAGGTTCTGGCGCGGACTGGGCATGGGCTGTTCCGTGGCCCGGTCGAAGTTGAGGTGATGCAGCGCCTCGGTCTTCAGGATAAAGTCGACGAGACGGCTGTGCAGAATGGTGCCCTGAATGTGGATCCAGACTTGGACCATGGAGAACAGCTGCTCTCCCGGGAGCAATTCCGCGGGGAGACCAAACACGTAGTCTCCAAACAGCGTCTGGACAAACAGGGTGCGCAGGGGCTCCGCGGAGACACAAGGGTCGAGTCTGCAGAGCATGGCCTGCCGGAAAGGTTCCAGGTAAGCCTTGGGCGGCTCCAGATACGACGCGAGCACCTTGGGGACCCATTCCTCGACGTCAAAGATGGACAGCGAGAAGCGGAAAACCGACAGCTGCTTGTTCTGATAGAGGACACGTAGGAGAAAGCCGAGATCCATGACACCGCCCTCCCGATCGTACTTTTGCTCGAGCAGCGTCCGCAACGTGTTGGCGTGGAGCGCCGCTTCGTCCAGGTCTCCGGCAATCAGAGCCCCGCGAAAAAGCATTGCCACGCTGTCCAAAACGAGCGATTGCGTCTGACCGACACTGCCTTTTACCAATTCCCGACGGAGAGACTTTATGGTTTGGTGCTTTAGCAGGAGCGCCTCGTCCTGAAGACCCTCATGAGGGCTGGTTTTGATCATGAAGGCCACGTTGATGAGAAGGAGGGCTCGGGCACTGCATTCAAGGCGGAGCGCTAGTATTCCGTTGTGGTATTCCTGAGTCTGCAACGCCTCGATCCGGCGGATGGCGTCTTCGGAGCCCATGAAAGCCGGATAGATCATTGGCAGATAGCCATGCTTATAGAACGTCAAGATCTGGTTGACGCGTGGGGTGATATGAATCGCAAGAGCGTCAAAGGGGTCCGAGTTGCCCTTTTGTAGGATCGACACCAAACCTGGCGAGACCAAATCTTGGTTCCATGTTGTCTCGCTCGCGCCTATCGACTGTGACTCTTCGGCAATCTGCCGACGTTGGTGATTAGCACTACCGGCGCCAAACCGCTTCCCCCTTCGCCATTTGTGCGATAGTCGAGCCGCATGAGATTTAGCGGTAGCCTGGTATAGCTCGCGATCGCGTTGAGAACTATCTCGTGCAAGCACAGGCAGGAAAGTGATGTCGAACTGAGCCATGCGTCGCTACGTATGCTGATGAAATTCTGAAGGAATGCCTGTCATCCACCCGAGTCTGGTTTTGGAACTTCATTGTTGTCGACCACTCTGGCTGGCATATAGTCCTTATTACCCAAGTTCTAGCCTTTCCGCAACCATCGAGATCGTTTGTGTTTACCAAAGGATTGCATATGTAATCGTCTCGACTCAGGAAAAGCATGGTGCCCACGTGGAAAATAGTGCACGAGAATCACGCCATAAATTCCCTGTTTAGAGTAAAAGGCATGGATGCTGTGGTGTTTAAGCTCTCGGCTTATTAAGATGGTTGGATAGACTCAGTGAATGGCGGTCGATAACAAATGTCGAATTGGGAAACATCCGAACGACGTGCATCCCGCAGCACCAACCGAATATGGGAATTCTATTTCCCAGCTCGGCAGGAAATGAAACACGAATTCTTTGTCAACACGAGTACGCAGAACTAAACAGGGGCACAGAGGGCGCTGAGGCATCAGCAAAGCTTACCTAAAGGCGCCAACCTGATAGACCATATCAAAAGTACAAGTAGAGCGACACGTAGGCATTCGAGACTCTGGACTCCACTGTAGATACTGCCTACCATTGCACGCAAAGTGTTGCCCCCTGGTCTCCTACCTGAAGACGCGTAGTCCTTTCCGGCAAAATGTCGGGTCTGCACGAAGCTTTAGTCAGCTCTGCGGCACACTATCGGTGACGTTTCTTTCACTTCCAGCTTCTCAACGGCACCGTTAGCTTCAGGCTCAGTTCGAATGGTTGAACGAAGCAGGTTGTCAAATGATGGTAGGGAATGGCGAAGAAGAAGACAGATGGTTTACAAGCAGGATCTGCTGGCAGGCATTACGGAGTATGCGCTTGGTACACATAATCACCCGCTAACCTATATTGGTACTAGCTTCATCTTGAGTCTTGGCATTCTTGGCATTCCATCTTCGGGCTAGCGGCCCGTGCCCGTTGTGGCCCGAGCCAGGATTTCTATCTGATGTCCGAAGCAGTTGTCTACCTAGGTACCTAGGTATCTTGACGATATCTGATATTTCCCCACCTTTGGACCATTTGCGAATTCCCATTTCGATTTGCCTTTAGACTTGTTCGCTATGGCGAAATTGATCGAGTCAACCCTGGACGCCACCACTCGAGCAATGTTGCAGATCCCCTTTCAAGAATTGACAAGCCGTTTCGTCCCAACCTTTCAGGGCGGCTTAGTTCCAGACTGGCTGTCACTCTAACGCCTGGTAATGCCCTGTTAGCTCTGCCCTACCGAACCTGTAACATGGCCGCCAGGACTGAGCACTCCTTCCTTGCTCCGCGCCGAGCATTAATCGCCTGTAACACTCAACCTAGGGTTATACGGCGCTCTATATTTCATCTTGAATTGCACCTCCAGATTCGTTGCACCCATGTCACTATCACAGTCCAGAACCTGGCCCCTGATTCAATCTTGTTTCGATGTCTTCCTGATCAAGGTTTGCAGGCCAATTCGCAATGCCCTCCCACTATCTGGACTTGGCCTCATGGCCGAGACCGTGATCCAGATGACGAGGCCTAGTTGAGCTTGCCCATGGGCTCCCCAAAAGGAGGGCAGTTGAGGACATAAGAACATGCAGACTGCCCTCGTATTCTCTTTGAGATTTGGTACAAACCCTTCATACACTCATTTGCTGCCCATTCAGCTTCAGTCACTCGTTTGCCTTTCATACACTCGTTACCATCATGCGTTCTTTCAGTTTCTTTTCTGCAAAGTCACTCATTGCCATTCTACTTTCCTTGAATGTCTTGTTCGTACAATATGTCGAATCCCTCGATAGTACAGACACCATTACGTGGGGTGGGTCAAATGACAGAACCGGCTACCAGAACAACCACAATATGGATCCAGCTGTGGTTGGAAGTGATCAATTCGGCCTCCTCTTCAAGACTCTGCTCCCCGGAACATATCCCATTGGCGGACAGAACGTACCCGAGCAAATATTCTCTCAGCCGTTAGTCTATACTGGCTCGGATGGTGTTCAATATGTCTATGTTGCAACCACTCAGAACAATGTGTACAAAATAGTTGCAAATACTGGCGTTATCGTTGCTTCTCGGAATCTTGCTCGGCCATTCTTGGTCAGCGATCTGGACGGGTGCGTTGATATCAACCCCACAGTTGGTGTGACGGCAACAGGTGTCATCGATCCAGATACGGTGTGTAAGTCCTTACCTTCGGCGACCTCAGATTCTAACCCAGACCAGGATACATTGTATTTGACATCGAAGACGTACATCGATCAAAGCCTTACAGGACCGACTGGGCGCCCAAATGGTCGCTACTATATTCACGCCATTAGCACAGTTGACCTTTCTGAGCGGCCCAATTTCCCAGTCAACCTTGAGGGCATGGTAGCTCGAAACAATCCCGTTCGGTCATTCAATGGGGGAATTCATCATCAACGTCCTGGTCTGCTTCACACAGGTAACTTTGTGTACGCCGGTTTTGCTAGTCACTGGTATGTATGGCTCCATTTTGCCCATTGTTGGAATCAGAGGGATCCATCTTTCTGTGTGTATCGTTTTTGTGACTGAACAAATTTGTCCCGTTGCAGTGTCCAGTATAACTTCACCGGCTGGATTGTAGGCTGGGACAAGACCACCGGACAGCTCGTGGAACAATTCGCCACTGAAGGTGGTGAGTCATCTGCCCCCCAACTACCAGAAACGCCGTGGCTGACAATTCACAGCTGGCGTTGGCCCTGACACCCCCGGAGCGGGAGTCTGGATGTCTGGTGGTGGTATTGCAAGCGACGACCAAGGTTCTCTGTTCTTTGCTTCCGGCAATGGTTATGCTTCGCAACTCAATGGCATACCGGTCAATGGGAGAAATCCACCGACAGCACTGGAAGAAGCTGCCGTGCACATGGCAATCAATGACAATGGCTCTTTGACCGTAGTCGACTTTTTCATGCCCTGGGAAAAGGTACAACTTGATGGTGCTGACAAAGGTAGAGATGCTCCCTCAATGTTGAAATGAAAGCTGAATTTGGCGCAGATCTCGGTACATCTCCGTTGGAACTCCTCCCGAGTCAGTTCTCCTGTGGTGACGTCGAACGCATCGGCGTCGTTACCGGAAAGAGCGGAAAGACCTATTGGCTGAATCTCGACAATCTCGGAGGATATCAAAATGGGCCAAACAAGCTGGACGACGTGCTCCAAGTCTACCAGAACGAAAACTCCGTCTATGCTGGAGCTGGTGTCTACCCGCTTGAAGGTGGCTACATCTACATCAACGTCATCCAATACCAGACTCACGTGTTCAAATTCTCCTGCAATGATGGCGTGCCATATTTCAACAAGGTCGCTGATTCTCCGGAAAAGAACGCCTACATCCTCGGTGTCGGCCACGGCACTGTCACTTCACTCAATGACCAGCCTGGGACCGGCCTGGTGTGGACGTCGGATGTCGAAGGGTCGAATCTTCGAATCTACAACGCCATCCCCGACGAGAATGGGCTCATGACGGAGATCAATTCATTTGTCACACCAGGGACTACCAAGTTCACCAGACCTGTCTTTGGAAATGGCATTGTCTATCAGGGCACTACCGTCGGCTATCTGTATGCTTACGGAGCGCCTGTCAATTTGCCCCTAAACTGTACAGCTCTTCAATTTGGGACGGCTAATCTCAACACAACCACAGCACCAATGACTGTACAATGTACAGCCAACACCGCGGTAACAGTCACCGCTGCAAGCCTTTCAGGAAATCCAAACTTCGCTCTTGGCGGGTTGTCCAGTTTCCCTCTGACAGTCGCCCAAGGACAACAGTTTTCATTTCAGGCAACCTTCACCCCACAGACCGTTGGCCCGCTATCTTCATCAGTGATCTTGAATACCACTCAGCAAGCCGCCGGCTTCAGCATCAATACTCCCGTCCAATTGAAAGGGACTGGCCAGAGCCAGGCTGCTCTGCTGATGGTCACTCCAAACACCGTCAGCTGGAACGGTGTCATTACTGGACAGGAGGTAGGGGGAGTCAACCAATCTGTGGTCATCAGCAATCTTGGAAACAGTCCTCTGTCGATCAACAATATTAACTACTCCATTGTGGGCGAGACTGGACCTTGGATCTCGCCTAATGGCACGCAAGCAGCAACTGTGGTCTCGGCTTTCACATTCTACGATATGCCGTCGTCAATCCCTCCCAATAGCGCTGTCACTGTCCCGATCAATTTCGACCCTCCGTACTCCGGCAACTACGCTGTGTTCGTTCAGTTTGTATCTAACGGTGGAACCCAAGTCATTGATGTCCTTGCAGCCGGATCAGATGAGCCGAGGGCTGTCCTCGAGTTCCAGAGCCTGGACGGTGGATGGGTCCCATACGACAATACTACCGCCTTTAGCTTTGGCAACGTCACGGAGAACACCAGCACGTATCTGAAGATGCGTTTGACCAACAATGGCTCTGCCAACGCCGCGGCATTGTCAGTGACCGTCAGCAAGCCTCCCTTCGGTATTGCCGGAAGTATCATCGGCGCCAATAACCAAGTCGACCTTGCAGAGGGCACCCTGGTGTACGCGGGACAAAATCTCACCGCAACGCTCTATTGCTCCGTCCCCAAGAGTCAAATCGATGTCGACCCATACAATGGCACTGCGCAATGGACCATGAATCTGAACGATCCGAATTTTGGAAAGCAGTATATCCAATTCTTCTGCAATGCTGTCTCGGAGCAAGCACCTCCCTTGGACCCGGTCACCCAGCAAGGCATCTACAGATATGGAGGCTGCTATATGGAGAACAATCCAGGTCGACAACTTCAAACTAACATCTACAGTGGAGCCAACAACACTAATGAACAGTGCATCTCGTTGTGCTCAGCAGCTGGGTACATCTTCGCTGGCACACAATACACGCAGGAGTGCTGGTGTGGTTACAACCGACCGAAGACAGTGGTAGACGACGCCAATTGCAATTTTGGGTGCACCGGCAACGTCAATGAGATCTGTGGTGGCAACGGCATCGACGGAGCCGAGTCATATATCTCCCTCTTCGGCGACATCACGCGTTGGAACGGTAATTCTACAGACGCTCCGGGGCCCTACGTCAATCCCGGCACGTTAGGATACAACAGCCTGGGCTGCTACACCGAAGGTTCCAACTCCCGAGCCCTGAGTGTGCAGCCCAATTCCAACAACACTGTCGTCTCTTGTCTCCAAGCTTGTCAGGGCTATTTGTACGCGGGTGTCGAATACGGTGGGCAGTGCTTCTGTGGGAATACATTGGCGGCAGGCTCCGTGAATGCCAGTGCATCCGACTGCAGCATGACCTGCAACAACAACCAGACGGAATACTGTGGAGGTCCGAACCGTCTCAACATGTACATCTACGGCAACGGCACCCTTCCGAGCACGTCACCTTCAAACGGTGGAGGAAACAACAATCCCACTACGCCGTCAGGTCCAACAATTCCGCCCACAGTCGGCAATTTCACCTACCAGTCTTGTTACACCGACATCCCCGGACGCGCCCTCACCGCTTTCGCGCTGGCCGACAACAGCATTACATTGCAGACATGCGCCAGCAATTGTACACAGTATCAGTATTTCGGTGTCGAGTACGGTCGGGAATGCTATTGCGGAAATACCTTGGGCTCAGGGAGCGTACCGGCGACTGACGGACGTTGCAACATGGCATGTTCAGGCAACTCCAGCTTCATGTGTGGAGGACCCAATGGGTTGACTCTGTATCAAATTCTGAACTGGACCGCTTCAGCTCCTGCACCGCCATCCACGCCGACGGGCCCAATTATTGTCCCCAACGTCGGCAATTTTCAATATGTCGACTGCCACACGGAGATCACGGGTCGTGCTTTGACGGGCAAGGCAGTCGCATCGAGCGACATGACGGTGCAGAACTGTGCCGGAAACTGTACCGGCTTCACGTACTTCGCCGTGGAGTACAGCCAGGAGTGTTACTGTGGGAATGCCCTGGGCTCTGGCTCCGTGACAGCTACGGATGGACGATGCTCCATGACTTGTGGTGGCAATTCATCGACCATTTGTGGCGGGCCCAATGGATTGAGCCTTTACCAGTGGATTGTGCCTTCAAGTTCCAGCTCAACCTCGAGCACGACGAGCACTACCACGCTGAGCACCTCGACTGGGGCATCTTCAACTTTGGTGACGTCGGCAAGTGCATCAGCGTCTTCCACCTCTTCGGTCCTGTTTACGACATTGTTCTTTAGCAACACTTCGGTCTCGAGTTTGAGTCAATCCTCTACGACCAATATATTCAACACCACTCTCTCGACACAGATAGTGAGCTCCTCAATCACTCCAGGAGTCACTTCCACCACGTCAACAATCTCGAGCACAGCTCCGTCGTCGACCACGCTCGGCTCTGCAATTGCTGCGACCTCCGCGTCCAGTGCGCCAAGTTCAAGCTCGAGCACTTCTTCAACCTCGATCCCAAACAGTAGTACTTACTCTGCAGTGCCGACAACGTCGACTCCATCTGTCGCTGCCACATCCTCAAGCTCGTCGCCAAGCACAACCACCACTTCAGGTTCCAACTCTGGGTCATTTTCATTCTCAGCGAGCACGGCAGCCAGCATTTCCGGCACGACAGCCGCATCCACAACCACTGCTGCTGCGTCGGCCGTGACGACTTCGGCAGGTTTGGCAGCTCCCTCATCATCAGCTTCGCCTTCAACCACTTCAGTCACGTCATCAAGAACAAGCTCTAGCACTTCGTCCTCGCCGGGTCCGAGCACCAGCACCAGCACGTCCAGGTCTGGGTTGTCGTCAAGCAGTGCTGGCTTCACTACTAGCTTCCTACCTGTTCCTTCGGCGACCAGCAGCGCTACAGTCCTTTCAAGCTCGACTTTCGCAGCCACGAGTCAAACTGGGGTTTCCACTCTGACAACAATCTCAACCCGTCTGACCACTTTCTCCACCTTATCCACCCTGAGCACGGGGACATCTTCTTTGACCACCACCACGTCTTCGATCCCCCCGAACCCCTTCTTCCCCGCGATCTATGTCGGCTGCGCCGCGGAGCTCCCCAACGGACGTCTCCTCTCGGTCGCTTCCACGACAAGCTCCACAATGACGATATCCTCGTGCATTTCATTCTGCTCGGCGCAAAACCTGCCCATCGCCGGCGTCGAGTACTCACGGGAATGCTACTGCGGGTACAATCTGTCGCCCTCGACAGCCGTCAACGCCACGGGATGTAGCATGGCGTGCGCGGGCAATGCGCAGCAGATGTGCGGCGGGTCCAGTCGCCTGAGCATCTACAACAACACCGCGCTGTCCCCTCCGGGAGCCAAGGCGAGCATCGGGAACTATACCTACCAGGGCTGTTTCACCGATCCGTCCTCCTTGCAGCGCACCTTACAGGGTTACAGTACGACCAACGCGACCTCCATGACGCAAGAGTTCTGTATATCGACCTGCCAATCCAGGGGTTACAAGTACGCGGGTGTCGAGTATGCCCGGGAATGCTATTGCTCGAATCAACTTGGCCTGGTGAGCAACGGTGGGGGCCAAGGGGCGCAGGCATCCGAGGGAGATTGTTCCATGCTGTGCGTCGGCAATGACGACGAGTTTTGTGGCGGGAGTTCGAGGATCGGGGTTTGGATGAGTGGTTCTTGACGCAACGAGGTCCGTCCGTCGTTGATGGTGCTCCTTTTTGCTTTCTTCTCTTGACCAAAATTATTCTTCTCTTCAGATTTTCGGCGTTCGCTTCAGTTCTCTCCCCCCCTGTGTGCGAGGATTGGGGAAAGGAAGACAAGGGATAGATTTTGTGGGATCCTTGACACTTTGTACGAACACATACATGGGACTGTTGTAATATGAGAGAGGACTCTAATTTTGATCAATGCCGATTTTCCTGCGTATCATGAGCAAAGGGTTTTTGCATCGAGTGGTCGTCGTGTCGCAAAGGCGGACTTCCCAAATCGCCCCCCTCAAGAAATTAAGTGGCCGAGGATTCCTCAGGAATTTCACAAAGATGGATAATACAAACCCGGTTCACAGTCTCACCCCACTTTGTAAAGCCGAAGCGTGCGCCAAAGGGAGAGGAAATTAGATAGGTAGGAACGAGATACAAAGGGGAAAGAGAAGAGAAAGAGGGAAGGGAAGGAACTTTAAGAAAGGGTAGGTAGGCAGGAAGAGCACCGTGAAGAAAAAGAGAGAGGGAGAGAGAGAGAGAGAGAGAGAGAGAGAGAGAGAGAGAGAGAGAGAGAGAAAGAGAGCCTCAAGAAAGCAAGCCTGGCGGCCTTGATGTGATTTGATTGGCGGCGAACCATCGTTTCGCCTTGAGGCTGATCATGTCAATGTACAAGTACTGGTGGAGGACGCGCTCGACCTCGGACCACGCGCCGGACAGATGCATGTCAGTGGTCGCGAGCCGGATGAGCTGCGTGCCGTGGTAATCACCAGAGGCATGGGCTTGCTCGGCCGACGCGGATGTCTGGCTCTGGCTTTGGCTCTGGCTTTGGCCCTGCTGTGCACGGACATTGCACTCGGCAATGGTCCCCACGTACAGACACCACAGCCTGTCCTCTCTAGAACGCAGTTGTGTTTCTGCAGAGTAGGAAGAGGACGAGGACGAGGATGCTGCTGCTGCTGCTGCTTCCAACTGCAGAATCCTCGCGTCAAGGTCGCGCAGTGTTGTCGTGACGAGGCGGCTCATGTCGAAGGCCCACGACCCTGCCTCCTCGAGCTTGGAGCCCGCGTCCATCCTCTCGTGCGCGGCGCGGCGCACCCAATACAGCGCCGCGAGGGCCATGCAGGCCTCGGCCAGCGCCGCGGGGGAGGACTGCACTAGAGCCCATTGGTCCATGGTGTCCAGGTAGTGGTTGAGCAGGTGGCCTTCGAGGACCATGATCTTCATGGCGCCGTTGATCAGCAGTTCCAGGTTGAACAGGTCGCGGTTGAGCATGACGATGCCCAGGGCGTCGAGCCACTCGCGTATACCGAGGAAGATGAAGCGCAGGGCTGGGGACAACGAGGGGGACAGATTTGCGGACGAGAACGGGAATGCCGACGGGTGGTGGTGGTCCTCGCTCCCGTTCTTGTTCAGGTCGTCGGTGATCCGTGCGGGAAGGTTCTCCTCGGCCCAGCGATGCAGGTCGAACGACGGCCTCGTCAGGGAGAGGCACGCTCGCGTAATGTCCTGCTGCAAGACTACCATCAAGAGACGTCGCTCGGCAATCACGGTCCTCCCAACGGGCTGGAGAAGGCGCCTCAGCATCGACCCATGCACGGCCGCGGCCGGGAGATTGCCCGCCGCGATCTCAGCACAAAACAGCGCGTAAACGTCCCACGCGGCATCGCCGACTTCCTGCGAGCCTCCTTCTCCAGCACCACGGCGCACGATGGATTTCCGCAGATTGCTGGTCGCTTTGCCGAGGTACTGCAGGGCCATGATACGGGAGCGATCGCGGGGCGTGAGCTTAGACAAAATCGCCGCCGACCGCGCGAGGTAGGCGTAGCCCGCCACGCCGCCGTCGTCGAGTCCGCGTACACTGTCACGCCAAAAGCGATCCATGTGTAATCGGCCGCCGACGACCGCGGCCTCGTTGGCGTGGAAGGCGGGCAGAATGAAGTCCCGCGTAAAGATCAGGAGACGGTTGACTTCGGGCGTGACGACGATGACCTTGCTCGAGAAGGGATCAGAGTTGCCCGCCAGCACCACCGGAGAGGGGATGCTGCCGCTCTCATAGCCACTGTCATAGTCTTCGGTATAAGGGGACGCTTGTTGTGCCTGTCTCTTCTCGGTGTTGTTGTTGTTGGTGTTGTTATTATTGCTGTCGCCGCTGCGGTTGCGCCCCTCTGCCAGCAGAGCGGATTGCTTTTCCCGCCGCCTTTGATGTGCCTGTCGCGCAATGTGTGCGTTGATGGTGGACTTGTTGAGGCCAGACGACGCCCTCCCTTGTACCTCGAAGACGAAGGTCACTGAACTGTCGCGACCATTGCTCATGGCCGCATGTTTCCCAACCTGGTTGGTTGTTTTGTGATTATTACTTGTCCCCCAAGCAGCCCATTCAAAAAGGAGAAAAGTGGCCGTGTTTCTCGCAAGCCAGCAAAAATTCGTATTAATAATGGTGATCAATCTCGGATCGGGAATCGCTCTGCAACCTGCACAAAACAAGGAACGATCTGTCGAGGAAGCGGACTTTGCAGCAAAAGGAGAGGCCTCAGTAGCGTGTCCACCGAGCCACCTCGCTTATGCGTGGCTTATGTAAAGGCGCATGCTTAGTCATGGAGTTGTTCCGCGCCATTGGCGTCAGCTACTGCCAGATTGGGAAGAAAAGTGGAGAGCCGTCCCCCAGAGTCCCAGACGAGGCTGCTCGGCTGCTGGTCCCTGGCATTAGACAAACGAATCTACCGACAACGAGCTGGTTGATCAGTGAAGGCCATGATGGCCCCAAGGGGGTTATATCTGCAGGGTCAGCATCCCAAGCGGTTTTCGGAGCCGGGAGACGCAGTCTCCATTGGACCAGGGGCGATACATGCGCAGTAGCCAACCTTACGCTGGCCATGCCGAGTATCCTGTTCATAAGCGTATTAAAGCGTCTCTCGGTTCCTGGATTAAAAGTTGCCTGATCCTGTTCTTTGGTTGTCCAGATCAGCTCCTCCCATTCCCCCCCTTCTTCTATTGCGAGACCAACAAAGGCAACAAGCCAACTTGGAGCTTTCTTGTTCCCCAAAATGCCATCCGGCGGCTGTCTCTGCGGCAAGATCAGGTACGAGTATGAAGGGGAGCCGTTGAAGATTGTAAGATTCCCCTTGATATTTTGGCATACACCACGCCACCCACCCCATTGTTTGTTCATTATAAGACACGGTGGGCGGAAGGGGAGAGGCAGCAGGCTTACCAAGCAAGTTGCAAGCAAACAATAGCTCACCTGCCACTGCGCTCAATGCCACAAGTCGACGTCGACCATGTTTAGCACTGGCATCTTCCTGCTGGACAAGCAATTCAAGCTGCTACTGCCGTCGTCGGACTCGGAGTCCGCCACGCTCCAGACGTACTCGTACCCGCAGACGTCGGACGGCTCCATCCAGACCCTGCACTTTTGCAACGTCTGCAGTACCACCGTGTGGAGGACGGGAGCCGCCGACAAGTACGCCGGCATGCTGAGCTTGCAGCTGGGAACGCTGGATGATCAGCAGGTCAGAAACCAGCTTGCGCCCAGCGTCGAGTACTACGCCAGCCTGAGGACAAAGTGGGTGCCCGAGATCAATGGGACTGAGCAGGCTGAGGGATGCTGAGCAATGACCCTGGGGGGTTGAATCTGGAAAAAGGTCAGACATAGTATGGGGTGAGGGCTCAGGGGTATGCAGGATGGAGACGTCGACGGAGATCGAGAATAAAGCGTTCGATCGACGCCGGCATACCGCCGAAAGAGCGACGCGATATCTCCTGAGCGTGGCGTTGAAGCGCGGCCAAGGTTGGAGGAAGAAGGGTCTTCAACGCCTTTCTCATACGATAGATACGATCCAGCCGTTAAATACGGGGATTGGCCGAGATGAGGGCGCAAGATATTTGTGCCTTTTTGGCAAGCGGAAGCGAGGCCAATAAGTTGATTGTCTGGCCAAGTTGTGCTGTTCAGGATGACAAATGCTATCTACTGTGCTAAGTGGTAAGCCAGGCCACATCGCACCTTCTGTGACACTTTTGCACAACTGGCGGATATAAACGAACTCCGGGAAATCCCTCCATTCTGTGTACAAAATCTCCACCGTTGGTAAGGGACCATTCGAGAGCCTCGGAACTAGATACTGGTGATGGCGATTTTCCGATTGGACAAGAACCAGTCAGCATTCTAGCAGATGCGGCACCCAATAGCACGCCAGGGGATACACAGCCAGACCAGGTGGTAGGGACTCAGGGGTGTCACAAGGCGGACTCCCGCGCTCATTCCACCTTTTCGGGCGATTCTTCGACATGGGTCACCGCTGGCTTCTTGTCCAAGAAAGCTCCCGTATTCACTTGAACGTCGTGCAGCGCCTTTTCTTGGATCTCGGTCTGATACGTCTTGAACTTGAAGACACCGACGCGCTTCTCGAATAGCTCGTCAATCTCCTCCAATGATCTCCCTTTCAGCTGCACTCTGTCAGCCAAAGCGCTTCTTGTGACTTGAAATGCTATCTTACCTCTGGAATGCAGAGAAAGTAGAAAATTGCGCAAACAATATTGCTGCCGAACCAGATGTAGCCATACTTCGGACCCTTGAAAATTTTAGTGAATGAATTCGAAACTCTGGCGAACTGGCTGTATTCACCCAATTTAGATCGGTAGGGTTGATGAAATAGGGCGTGCAGAAACTGGTGAGCCACGCAAAGACGTATTGAATCGAGGTTGCCGATCCCACAGTCCACGCACGCAGACGGGAACTCACCAGCTCTGTGGCCACGGGATACGTCGCAGCGCCGACGCAGCCTGGATACGTCAGCATTGTCACACCACATGGGAAATATGGGTACTCGAACCGTTATAGAAGAACCCCCAAATGGCAACCATTGCCACTGTGACTTTGCCAGTCTCAATGGTAAAGGGGTGGACACTTTGCGCAATGGCCATCCCAAGGAAGCACAGACTTGTCACAATTGATCCAAAGATACAGATGAATCTTCTGCCAACCAAATGGCGCATGGCGTACATGCCACAGTTGACCCCAACAAACCCGATACAGGTAATCATGATTGAATACTGGAAAGCTTGTTTGATCCCGGCAATTTGGAAAAAGTACGTTTGGTACGCGATAGGGAACCACGAGCCGCTCCCTGCTTGGGTCAAGATAGTACCCCAGCACAAGAGCGTCCTTCGCAAATCGGCACCTCGCTTAAAGTCAGCCGTGAAAGTTCATATACACACGTGCCAGCTTCACTCACCGCGGAACATATCCAAGAGCCCAACAGACTTTGCAACCCGCCTTTCTTCCTCGACACCGCGAATGATTTCGGCCCATTCGAGTTCGAAGTACTCTGGAGCCACCGAGTTTGCCCGCAACGTCTCCAAGGACTTCCTGGCCTGGCTCTCTCTATTATGGTGCAACAGCCACCGAGGCGTCTCAGGAACGAAAAATAATCCGATGCCCAGAAGGACTGGCACAATGTAAAGACTGCCAATTGGAATCTGATAAGACCCTTTATCCAGACGGTCCTTGGTATAGTTGTCGACGATGGTACCTAGGATGGCACCGATATTGACCCAATAGGCAAAGAGGGCAACCATCACTCCTCTGAGATGAGCCGGTGCGATTTCAGCGGTGTAAATGTTTGAGAAGGTGACAAGGAAGCCATTTGAGAATCCAAGGACAATTCGACCAAGATAAATCACCCCCTTGTTTGTGGTGCCAATTTGAATGGCCAGTCCGATGCAGTTCAGGATGCAGGCCAACCAAAGCGCCGTCTTGCGACCGTAGAAGGCACCGAAGGCTCCAGCGAGAATCGACGAGAGGAAAGCACCGAGCGTCAAGAGGGAGCCGATCAGTTGTTGAAACGTGCTGTCAATCCCATAGCCAGTTGGCTGGCTCGGATCTGGAAAGCCAAATACTTTCAGAAAACCGGGCATAGCCTGGAGGGCGCCGATTGCGGCACTATCGAAGCCTTTACAGGTTCTTGTTGTCAGTTGCCTGTTGCTCTGGACTCAGCGCCCGACAGGCTTAACTAACCATACTGAGTATTGGCAGTCGCGACAATGCAAGCAATCATCAAGCATTTGCGATTGGCCCAAAGGGACGTCACCGGCAGGGTGACTTGGCTGGTGTGTGGAACTTCCGACATCGTGGTACTGTTCGACAACAGATTAAAGCTTTCTTTCTTCCCCAGTTGCCTCTCATCCCGCGTGTAGGAGCCCCCTGGGTTATATGTCCTCTCGTCCCCTCCACAATACCCCGGCCAAATCTGGGGTTCCCCTCCACAAGGTTGGCGGGAGAGATGCAATATCTGGTCAAAAAGCCAATGGGTTTGGTTTGGTTTCTTCCGAGGTCGAACGTCCACATGTGGAGCTTATCGAGCCTGCATCGATCCACCCTTCCTATCTCAGTCGCTATTCAGCTGGGAGCTGGGACGAAAGGAGCAATTGGACTTGTAGCATGCAGCACTCTCTTTCATCGACACAACACGAGTCAACTCCGCATGTGGGGAGCACAGACCCCGACCTCGTTCTTCGTCTGAAAGGACCACTCATGTGGTGTTTTAGATGCCCCAGGATGTGGGATTTGCTCTCCCACGACATGCTCAGAGCTTAGTGCGTTGCAGATATGTGACAGAGAGTGGGAGTGGCGGTGACAACTTAAAGCACCCAACCTCTCGCAAAAGGCTCTCGCCTCAGGCCTCGAGATGATAGCTTGGCTTCTGTCGTCGAGCCTCGACTGGGTGGCCCTTGGATTTCCCTTTGCTGGTCAATGGCTCTCCTCACCTTTCTGATGTTTCATGAGCTCCTGCTGTGCACTGGGTGCAATTGCAACAACTTTGCCCCACATGCGGAGGCAGGGCAAGGGCATGCAGATTATAACTGCCGCCTCTTATTGTTTCGCGCTGGAGTCATCTGGCCCGGCGATTCGCCGCTGCAAGAGGAAAGACGGCAGGTTTGATGGTCGTTGGTTAGAGTTGTGATGGCTAGGACAACCATGCCGGAAACAGACAAGCATCGTCGTTTCATTGACGAATCAGAGAGGATGAATTCGGAAGGATCTCACTGCGCTGCAGCATGCAGGTATGTCCAGCGCTGTTCTGAACGACCTTGAACGTTGCTAGCGTCGTCTGGTGAGTCGATGGAGAAGACCAATACCTCCACAGTCCCACCTTTCGACACCTTTGGCACATAGAAAGGCAAGAAATGCCAGTATAGGAAGAAGGAGGACACCGGACAGTACAAGACGGTGCGGAAACTTGAGCCGAAGTCGCGATCGCTCATCATCCACCTAGCACATTGCAATATTTCAATGATCTGGACAGTTATGGTCGACAGTGTTGGCAAGTTGGAACCAAAAACTTAGAAATTAACATGACGCTATAGACATCCATAACAGTGGCCAAACTGGGTCGCCAACGCTGTCCATTTCCTGTGATACCAGTTGGCGGCATTTCTGGGCTTAGCCCGCTGCATATGTGTGGTTTGGTGAGTTCCCAAATCATTTCTCTCTTCAAGGTAAATAGTCGAAGTTGAAAAAGGCTCCACCATGATGGAAGCCAGTTAAATTGGACATATCCAGTATATTGAGTCCATCACCATACTGATCTGACACGATCGGTTCCGGAAATTGATTCATGGTGCTCCATACGTCGCCGAGATTGGTAGAGAGGTCAAAATGCTGTGCTTCAAGGAACTCATTAGTGGGGTCATATGGAGGAGGAATGAACCTTGTGTCGTCGCTGCCGCCGCCTTGCATTGCAAACGGCATGGTGGGTTGTGGAGGCGCTTGATTCTGCATGTCTCTCCGCATGGCCTTCTGATTGAGAGAGGTCGATGGTCTTCCATCTGCAGCCCTCCCGCTTGACATTGTGGGTGCATATGCGGCACCTGGAAGCGACGTTGTAAAGGGTTGACATTCTGGTGCACTGCTTCTCATTAATTGGTCGGATCCGACAGTATCGCCTGGTTGCGCCATTGAGCGATCAAACTGTGTTTGAATGGGAGACCTGGAGCTGGTTTCATCGATGGTCATCTCTGATAGACCTTGACTATTCATACCGAAGCTCCCAAGAGATCCATTGATTCTATTAGAATCTCCAATGGTCACTTCAGTGACTGAGGGCCATTGCCGCTGCAGACGTTCTCGAGTCTCGGCAAATTCTGCGGGGAGTAGAGATATCATAGTCTTCCGAAATATTAGCCCTCGCATGGAAAAAAAGATGCGAATTCATCCACTAACCTCTAGAATGGTTTGCGTCCTCTCGCCAGCATTGTTGCGCTTCGCAAGAAGAGCAATCGCCTTTCGGCCGACCGATATATCCCTGAAAGCGGATTCCCTCCCTTCCCATTCGGTAGAATCGAGAACCACGAACAGGAGTGTCACAACAGATCCGAAGACCATGTGCAAGACGGTAAAGCCTCCGCCTTGGAGAAGGTCCTTTTCGAGCATTCCTCCGCTCAAGCTCAAAATAGTATGACACGCTTCGATACAGGCCGCGGCATACGGGCAAAAAGTGATGTTGGACGATGATGTGTTTTGAGCAGAGGCTTTGGAGAGGTAGTGCAGGAAAGGTCTGTAGAGGTAGATTTGGACGTGGGCATGCGACATGCGAAGTAGATATTGCGTCCTGGGCAGGAGAAATTAGCGAGTTCAGACCATTCCTGCATCCAGGAAGGAGGGCTGCCTACCGTAACAAAGATCTGGGTACCGATTGCGATTTTAGACGCAAACCAAACGGCAGACTCTCTATCCACCCTTTTAGAGCCCTCTCGATATCCTTGACCTTCTCAACGTTGACTAGATATGTTGTTGGCTGCTTTCCGTGCGTTTTGCTGATCCCTCTGGGCGGATATATATCCCTCACAACCTGTTCCAGGATCTTGTAAAGGGCGATGATGGCATTGAGGCCCGCTATTGTACACACTTCATCCAGAGGCTGGGGTGAAATGTCTGTTCTCGTGATATACGCATCATTAACTTCCATGGGCAAATCTTGGTCGACATTTTCGTCGTTCAAGAGCCTAGGCATGCCACACGCCGTTGCGAAGTAAATCCCCAGAAGTCGCAATACCCAGAAAATCCGCTTTCCTACTTCCCGCTCGATTAGGTCGGCGTGATTGGACTTTGAACGATGGAGACCCATTCGGAGGGCAAGCGTCAGTGCATGGGTCACGTATGAATACACGGTTCCAGCACGAGCGGTGTCTATAGTGAAAAGGATAAGGAAGATCATTGTTTGGAGGGAGAGCCCATCAGTACAGTCGCCGACGTCGATAAAGGCACGGCTGGCCGCAAAGTACTGTAGCCTGTCTGAAAATTAGCTTCAGATGCTGCACTTGATGATGTAGTAAACTTACCCTTCGGTGATCTGCTGCTCACGAGAGGACTCCATAGAGTCTACCTGAATGAACAAACATCCTAGAGCTAGGACTGCATAGAGAAGAGGGAGGAAGCGTAGCTGTTCGGCTGTATAGTCGTTGGGTGATATTGTGTATATGTTCTCAAAGGAGCGATCGAAGCTCGGTCGATGTAAGATGGGGAACAGGGAATATGTGTCCACAGCAGCATCTACCAAGGCACGAGCTCTTCCTCTGGAGGGAAGACAGGCGGCAGCCGCAAGAGAGTAATCACAGTCGAATAGTTTTGCAGGAGGCCTTTTTGGGGGCCGTAACCGCGAATTAACACTGTCGCTTTGCCAGCCTTTTATCCTTTCTCGCATCCGTTCGATGAAAGCGCGCTCTCCAGAGTATCCCTGATATCCGTCCTCAGCTTCCTCAGGTGCGTGTCGCGTGATGATGAACCTGGGCGCCATCCAGGACATAGTTTCGTCAAAATTCTCTGGGGAATACTCAGAATGTTGATATTGGCTAGGTTGTCCGGCCAAATGACCGTCTGCCGCGGGCGGCGTACGGGTCGCATTTGCCGGCTGAGTGAGGTTCTTGATGCACGATTCCAAAGCTTCAATCCTGGTCTTGAGAGACTCGACGTGCTCCGCGGTACGGAGGCGTCTTCTCTTCCTGCGGCGCGGTTCTGGATAGATACAATCTAATGACGTTAGGAATTCTGTCGAAGAAGCAAAATTCGTTTCGCCTCTGGCTGACCTTGAAAGGATATCGCACAGTGTCTGCATGGGTTCTTTCTGTCACATTTGATCTTGCGTTCTCGACAAGGAATGCAAGCTCTTGAGATAGGGTGGAGGTTCTGCGCCTCGCGATTCTTCATGCTCTCCTCCCGACGCACGCCGTGCGATCGTCCTGAGTCGCCATCGGCAAGTGCGTGGCGGCTGACATCTGCGCCATCTCGAGACTCTTTTCCAGTCCCATTATTCGGAGCCTGAGGCCCCTTGCATTCGAGGGACTGCATGTGATCGATTGGGTGTTCACGGATGATCCACTCGTTCACCATGTAATTCGCGAGAATGTTGATAAGATACGAAAGGCGGAGTCACACTCGTGAGATATAGGAGACAAGGAGGGCGTCGGTTAAATCCTTTTCTGCAATATGAAGTTCATCTTAGATAGCGCAAAAAGAGAAGATGAAAATATGGATCGATGGGTCAGTGCGAGGTGACGAGGGTCAAAATAACAGTTGACGCAGGGGGTCTTGCTTGGATTACAGGCGCCGTACGAGGTACAGGTGACTTCATGCGTGAATTAAGTGACAGCTGGATCTCTTCGGGCAGCCGTAGGCGGTCATGCGCCCTGACAAATAAATCCGCTAGCGCCGGGCCCTCATATTTTAGGCGGGTGCAGGCACGGAGCCTGTTTATTTGACCCCTGTAACCAGCTACTCAAGTACCTAATAGTTCATACCCAGGTAGGTATCTACATGTACTGTACTTGTGCCACCTGTCCAGCCCCTCTTCTAGGCACCCGAACGCCGATCGACCACCCCCATTACACCACACCGATCCTCCAAAATATGCTACCATGTATCCGTCTAGCTACCTACCAACACGCCACTCAAATATCATCCAATCTGGCCAAAACTTGATGACGCTGTGATTCCGACTATTCTAGTTTTACAGGGTAACGCTCTCTCAGAACACCACCATACTGCCGGAGGAGAACTGGTACTGGAATCAAAGCGAGAGTAACGAACCCAAGCAAAGAATTTCCCCACTGTATCGAAGTCAGTATACCCGTCAGGCTTTGACGAAGGTCATTTCCACAGAGAGGCTCACCCCATATCCAAGACTTTGATATAGCGAAGGCCCTGCAAGTGGAAGGAACGCCCCAAAAAAGGACCTCGTTACCGTCACCGAAGCTATTCCGGAAGCCGCATACTGAGAATATGCGTCGATGATGTACGTTTGGATGGAACCAAAGATCCCAATCATGCCAAATCCGAACGGGCACAAGCCAATGATAGGGACAATCCAGTGTACTTTTGCTTGGATCGACCATCCGTACCAGAAGAAGGATATGGGAACGAAGAAGGCAAAAAGTAAGCACATTGTGAGTCGCATCTCGGGTTGGTAGATTCCATTGTTGGCTCGAGTGAGACGGACAACGATCCGGTCGCTTGTAAGCCCAAATAATGTCTGTCCACATTGTATTCCGATTCCCAAGCCAATGTATGCGAGACCTGTCAAGTCCGGACTCCAGTGATACGTTTTTTGAAACACGTCGGTGACTGTCGTGAAGAGCAAGTAGAGACATCCGTATATCAGTGCGAGGTAGACCGCCAATAGTCCCACAATTGGAGACAGCAATAGCAGCCTCAGAGGCCTTATCAAGCTGCGAGCAAAGACGGCTGTTGCGGAGCGCTTGCCCGTGACGTTATCGTAGCAACTTGTCAGATCGTCGCGTCCCAATTCTCGTGCAAGGCGACGGGTCTTGTAACGGATGAGGACGGCGTGGTTAGTTTCGCGGTAGAATATGAGGATGAACCCTGTGCATGTCCCTGCGGCAATCAAGAGAGTCCAAAAGACCTAGATAGCAGACAATAAATTAGCCCTGCCTGCAAAATGTGGCTCAGAGAGCGTACCCATCTCCATCCCGCGCCCTGCGCTATGAAGCCTCCACAAATGGGACCGAGGACAGGGCCCAACAGAGGGCCAGCAGTGAAGATGGACATAGCCAGCCCACGGTGTTCCTTCTCGAACATATCTGCTATCGCGCCCCCGCCGATGGTCAAGCAAGCAGACCCACCCATGCCTGTGAGCAACCGGAAGACGATCAGGGCTGAGATGTTGGGCGCTAATGCGCAGCCAATCTGCCACACCACAAAATGCAGCGAAGCAATATTCAAAACAATTCTTCGACCATATATCTCACTGAGAGGAGAGAGGAACAGCGGGCCAACCTATAAAATCTGGGTTAGAATCCAAGCAGGTGCAAGTCTTCCTCTGGGATTGAGAGGATAAGAGAACAATACCGCGTAGCCAAGGACGTATGCTGAAACAACGAACGTGCTCAATATTGTTGAAGTGTTGTTGAAGTCGGCATCGGCGAAGCGGACAGCAGGCGCAAAAACCGAAGACGCAAAGGGACTATCAGTTTGAGGTTCCATCCATGTCAGATCATCGTATATCAGGTAAGGATGGAGGGCTGCACCTACCTGATCAGGGTCATTGAGCTCACGAGGGAAAGAATCGTCCATTTTCGCAATGATGTGTAATTCCGTGGGTTCTCTGGATCATCTTGCCCTTCCCATCCAACAATTCCCTTATCCAGGTCTTGCTCTGGAAGCAAGTCCCTCTTCAACTTGTGCTCTTTTCGTCTGCCTTCTTGTTTTTCACTGGATGTTTTCTGCAATGATGGTTCTTCTCGGGGCAGCTCAGAATCGCTGGGTATTTGTGGAGGTTTCTCTTCCTGCGAGTCGAGGGCTGTCGGGACCTCGACATCTCCGTTATTTTGGTCTCTGGTGTCCATTGGAGTCATGAACTTCGTCTTCAGGAGGATCATCAACTCTGAGACGCAATGATACAGTGATTGCCAAACAAGGCTTCGTCAACATGTTTGAGCAATGCTTTTTGCCTTGCCGTGAGGCTTTATAAACATCCGAAAGACACGGCGACATCTCGACGAAACACGCTCTGAAATTGCTGTACTCGTATGCAATTGAGTCCACATGAGGTCAACCATTCTGATAGACCGGACTCCGTTCACGAGATGAAGTGCCTCCGGGCTTTTGAACGACCAGTTCTCCGTGATTTGGGTTAGTGCTTCGTAAAAGGTGGGCCCAAAGGTGGATCGTCCAATATACGAGACCAATCAAGTCTCTCCCCCCCAGAAGCAAACCATGACATCTCAACAGCTTCCTTGCAGAAGCCCATGACCTGCAATATGAACAACTAATCCATCGACTGTCGTGCGTCATTGGAAGAGCATGTTAACCTCAATGACGGACCGGGGTCTTCTAGGGTGCCGAGACTTTGTCGCGAGACACTGTATGTACGACCCTGCTTTCAAATAGGATCTCCTCGCATCCACTGGACATGAGACAATTCGACCCAAATGCTCCAGTTCTCACATGCAGGTCAAGATCCGAATCGCAAAGTCCGTGAAAGGGTGTATGGAGATATCGGAGACAGGCTTGGTGGGTGGCATCTTTGCAATCACCTTTTAAAGAAGACCAGACGCTCCAGAATGTTCTTACTTCCAGGGCCAACGTCTTGCGAAGACAACGGCATTCATTAGGACTCTGCCAGTTTCCACTTGTCCACCTTCCTTTTCACACGCACCCGCCAAGATGACTTCCCACAGACCAGATACCTGCTGTTTCAAGGGTTTCAAGCATGAAGGCGAAGCAACCGGACAAATTGAGCAATGGAATTACTTCGAAGTCTACGTCAAATACCCCGAGAACAAGTCTACGGAGAAAGCGATTCTGTTGTACGTTTTGTGACGGCCTAGTGACCACGAGCCCGGGAACGCCGCCTTTGCAAGCCACTGAGCGCCCTTTGGACTGATGTGCACAACTGACAAACTCCAAAACAGCTTGACCGATATCATTGGCCACCGATCCATCAACTCCCAATTGATGGCCGATCAATTCGCCGCCAACGGATACTTCGTCGTGATGCCCGACCTCTTTTACGGTGATGCGATTGAGCTGAATAAAGTCGGCGAGCTCGATATTGCCAAATGGTTTGTGGGGGGATACAGTGCCAAAGGCATCGGTCACGACCCAACCACTGTTGACCCGATTATCGAGACATGCTTGTCCGAGATGCGACTCAAGCATCACTGCAAAGTACGTGGAATCCTTTTCGAGGATCGCGATTTCTCTGTTCTTCGCTCCCCAGTCCCACATGTTCAAAATCTTCCCCCTCCCCACCCCGTCTCAAACCTCTGACGCTGAAGCAACACAGAAAATCGGCGCAGTGGGATACTGTTTCGGAGCGAAATACGTCGTTCGGTACCTCCGTCCGGATCAAGCCAAGATCGACGTCGGATACGGTGCTCATCCAAGCCACATCGCAAAGGACGAGCTCGAGGGCATCAAAGGCCCCTTCGCCATCGCCGCCGCGGAGAACGACCACGTTTTCCCGCCCGAGAAGCGCCACGAAAGCGAGGAAATCTTGAAATCATCAGGCCTGCCTTATCAGATAAACCTGTACGGCGGGGTTGCGCACGGGTACGTTTAAGTCCTTGTCTTCGTTTGTAACCGAGTCCTCAGAAACACGAGTATTCTGGAGCACAAGTTCGAACGGACTGAGCTAACTGCCCCTGGGGTTTTTCCTCTCTAAAGGTTCGCGGTACGTGGAGACCTGAAAGATCGCACGCAATTGTACGCAAAGGAAGCATCTTTCTTGCAAGCTTTGCAATGGTTTGAGGCGTATCTATAGAAATGGGAAAAGGTATATATGACGGCTTATCTGAGTGAGAGACATCATGGAAAGATCGCTTGCTTAATGAGCTTGTGAATTGATAAATAGATAGATGAGATAGTGACTAAGTCTCACGGGTGCTGCAAGTCGTACATTCCGCGCGAGTAGCACACGAAGGGGTACATGTACTCCGTTCCGCCATCAATTCGTATCCAGGATGTGGTGCGAGGTGCAGTGTGCCAAGGACTGGAGAGTCCGCCAAGCTCGAGGGATTCTACCCCAGGATCGTGGGAAACCTTATGGCACGCTGCTCGAAAAAAATACCTAGTGGGCATTTCGCATTACTGTGCTGTCTGATCTCGCGTGACCATAGTGATGACACAGGGAGCATCATTCTGACTGCCTTCATCTGTGCCACATCTTATGGACACATGACCATAGTCACCCACTGCTCGACCGCCCAAGATTCTACCTCCCAGGAGGAAATGATATGATGAAGATGAGAAGGGCCTGCTCCTCGGCCCACAACCCAGAACTGCGCAACAGCGGATCGACCCCAAACCACGCCGGTCCAACCAAGCGTTTATGCAAACGTAAGTAGGAAATGGTATCTCAATGGTCAAGGCATCTCAATCAACACAAATGAAACGAGCTTCGTCAATCTCATACAACCGACCCCACGTGAACATCGTACAGTGCTTCGACTTCGACTCCGACTCCCACACCCATGATGGGTGGAGAGGAACATTGACTCTCCGGTAGGGCTGATGTTGTTCTTTTCGTCGTCTCCCCAGCTTTATCGACGCTCATATCTTGAGGGCAGCCTTTTCATCAATAATGGCGAATGGATTGGTCTTCTTTGCGACGGGTCGTTTTACGCGCATGACAGCATCTTGGTCTGCCATTCTCCTGCCTAGTGCCCGTTCAACCTTTGCGCCCAGGCTCAGTTTGCTCAGATCGTCGGTCTTCTGCTGTGAGGGGACGAAGCGCTGCTGCGATAGACGCTTGTTTTCCAGTCTGTCCAGGCTTTGTGTGATATGGCGGACCTCAGCCAGGCCGGTTTCCGGGCTGACTGTGATATTTGCAGCGCCAGAGCCGGAGACGAGAGTGTGCGAGTTAGAGTAGGTGCTGGTAGTGGTAGCAAAGGAGGGAGAAGCGGAGTAGGTTGAGTAGCGTTTGGAAGTACGCTTCGAAGTGAGCTGCTCAAGGGGTCAGTGGGATCTCGGGACCAAGGAGGGAGGACTTGGACTTACACTGGGAGCCATGATCGGCCTTTGGGATTCAAGAGATCGGCGAGACATGGCTGCGGCGAGGAGCTGGTATGTTTGCAATGGTTGCGAGTTGTGTGGTCCACCCAGCACCGGGGTCAAGTGATGTCAATGTGTTGGAAGGACAAAGTCGATGGTTCGGACTGGCCAAACACCCGTGCTCTTTCCCTGATGACCCCAGATTTTGGTATACCAAAATGCTGGGAATGTGGGAGAGCGGCGGAGAGGAGCAGTACCTAAATGTTTCCAGATCCAATGGGCGCAAGCAAGGGTTATTAAGTCTGAGTGTGCACGGATTGAGTCGAAAGCAGCGGTCACGGTGGAGTGGGAGATGAGCAAGCGTGGCCCAAAACCGCAATTCCGCTGGTGATCAAAGTCAAGTCCGGACTAGACGTTCCAACTGCCAGTTTGCTGACGCCAGCGAATGGAGATCAATCTTTGGTGGCTCTGGCAACCTGAGGAGATTGGGCGTTGACCTGGTATCTGCCGTAGTACCGAGTATGGAGAGCCGCAATGAAGCTGAACAGAAAGGTGAGTTCTGAGGGACGTCGAGCAGTAAGGATATCAAGGGACGAGGGATGAGTCAGGTCGGAGAATGGGACAAGGGATGAGGAAGTACTCGTAGTCAGCGGTAATGCTAGCGGGAATGGATGAGGCAGATTTGTTACTCCAGTCGATTAGCCTGAGGAAGATCAAGGGTAGAAGAGAGATAAAGAGGAAGGAGGGAGATGCAGCCTTTCGGTGTAAGTGTGCTGCGTGTCTAGCACTTAGTACTTGTAAGAAAGTGGTGGTGATCGCTGATCAAGAGCTGCAGGCACAGCAAGGCACACAGCAGTGACAGCACCGGACGGCCGGGCTCTAACTTGCGGTGTTAGGGCTGGTGGGCTGCCTTCCCAGGTTTAGAAACAAGCTTGTTTAACCCTTACTGCGTGGTGGACACCCTGGGCAACCTTTATGAGGGGCTTTTGTTTTCCTTCTGGGGGCGTAACCCTCCGGAATCTCCTCCCCTGTTCAGTCATTAGGGGCCTGTCACCCACCTGTGGTGCCTGGACCAGTCACAGCCGGCTGTTTCTCCCTGGTACCTGGTTGTCCGGCGGCCACCCTTACCGCTTTCTGTGGCCCCTGCAGCTCTGCCCAGTCAAGCCACTGCTTCAGGATTGCATCCCAGAACCCGAAATCGAGTCCACCACGTGGCAGTGGACGGACCTTGACCTGCATGGTGACCAGTGACCTTTGACCTTTGACCGCCCACAGCCGTTACCACAGAACCCAGAACTGGGAATCGAGAGGAGAAAGAAAAAGGTAAACGGTTCATCGATGCATCCAGCCCTTTGATCATACCACTTCTACCGACTCACTACCGAGTACGTACACCGTGATCCCGCTTTTACGAGGTACACTTTTCTGGTCTTCTTCCTTTTGTTGTCCGACGCCTACCGATCGCGTGCTGTGCTCACCCACTTCCGCCGCCTCAAAGCTGCTTTGGGCAGATTGCAGAAACAATCCGTCCGGTCATGTGGCCCCATGACGAATATGGTTAACCAAGCCTGCCAACCGAGATGGTAGGTGGATTTTGTTCTGCCTTTGCCTGTCTGACACCAGCACCTTTGAATCTTTGGTCAGTGCCACTGATCACCAAGGAAGATTGACTCGGGGGAAGCTAGAAGGGAACCAGAAGGCCTGGTCAGGTTTGGCCGTTTCCAAAGGGAAAATCTCCTGCTCCATCCTATCCTTAAAAGTGCCTCAGTCCCTGGGATCGGATCTCGACTATGCGCGCCAGTGTTTCACAACCTGGGCGGGTGCCCCCAGCTGTCACCGTGACCCAGGCCCAGGTCAAGGTCCATGCAGGTTGTCCGTCAAGCTGCATGCAGCCTGCGGCCTGCGGCCTGCCATGGGTCAAAGACTTTCCGAGGATGGCGAGCGTCAAAGTCCGAACAATTCTTTTACATCATGCCTTTGTCAAACACCCGCAGCCAATCTCGGCTCGCCTTGAATGGCAGGCAGGTCTTGACGTACGAAGAGGATGCTGGACGGCGTATGCTGCTTGTGAGTCTGGACACCGTGAGAACTTTGTCTTCTGGCACAAGGTGCGGGTAGGGACAACAGAACCAGATAGTCCAACTCCGATGCATACGGTAGCGACACACGAAAACAGTGGCAACCTCGGACGAGGAGAAGCGCAGGGCAAGGAACTCACCCTGCCCCAGGCCAAAAAATTCAAACGGGTTGAGAAGCCCAACCCCGGAACGAAAGGATGTTCACACCGGCTCATTACAAGTAGCTCGTACAAACCCAGGCACGCCAGGTCATCCTCCATAACCCATTGATCGGCGCCCTGTTTGGTATTGGCTCATGGCTGTCAGGGCCATATACCTGGTGACCCTGGTCGCCGTTATGCTCATGGTCACCGTCATCCATCAATCATGCCAACCAAAGTAATGCCAGCCTTGCGTCCACCATTCGTTAACAATACTAGTCGCGCCGAAATGCTTCGCCAACCAGAATGCTATTCCACCAACAACGCCGAAACTGCCCACAATCTGCAGTGCAATCCACCCCCGTGCACGCATGCTGTCCTGCCATCTCAACAGCCCCAGCGGATCCTGCATTTGATAGCTGGGCATCACTTCGACACCATATGCCCTGCCGATTTTGCCGCCCTTTCTCACAAGGGCCTGCGCGTTGTCTCCCTGCTGCAGAGGCACGATCGTGCCGTCGCGGACTTCTTCTCCCATTCTTTCCACCAGCCAGACAGCTCTCTCGCCTCGTGCCAACCGCTCGTACCGCTCCCTTTCCCTTTGCAGGCTCAACTGTAATTCACTCGCCCATTTGCTTAGCCGCATCTGCGCCAGCCTTTCCTCCCGTTGCGTGTGGTCGGCGACTTTGGCCAGTGCCCAAGAGTTCGATGTGTTGAGTGAGACTTCTGACCCCACAGGGATCAACACGCCAGAGTTCGAAGTGCTTAGTGGTGTTTGCAGTGGAGAGGTGAGCGTTGAATTCCGCATCGAGGCGTTATACGATTGTGACGGGAGAGAAGGCGATGGCACGGAGGTCAGTCGTGGATGTGCCAGGTGCCAAGTCACGACTTTCCTCGCCGCGGTGTGGCGTAAGTAAGCGACTGTCTCAGGCTCAAACATTGATTCTACGAGCAACCTGAGCTCGGAGGGCAGGAGCGGTTGGATGTATTCAGGGGACATGAGGAGGGAAGCGTCCATCGTGTCGAGGTCGGGACCATTCGTTGAGGTTACTGTGAAGGGTGCTGTTGCTGGCGGTGTCGCTGTGGCTTGGGTGGGCTCTGGGGTGAATGCGACTGATTCCGCTGTCGAGGGTATGGATATCGGGAGTCGAGGTAAGCTGGACATGCTGGGGTCCAGACTCTGTTTGATGTATTGCTGGTCTTCAAGAGTGAGGAGATCCGACTTTGCGATCAGAGGAATGATGTTGCATAGTTCAGACAACTGGCGAATACATTCGCAGTCGTCTTGCATGGTATCTGTGGACCACCAAGGTTAATCACCACTCGGCTCCTGAAATGTTACGTCTGGGTTCGAAGCAACGTATTGGCTTACCTTTCGAGATCAAATACAAGACCACGTCGACCTGACTCGCGCCCCGCCCGCTCAACAACCCTGAGAACTCGCTCGTGAGCTGATCAACACTCACCATGGCATTCACGAGCTGTTGCTCTGCATAGTGAACGAGCCTCTCCAGCTTAGCGGAATCACCGGTGTCCACAAAGCAGATGTTTCGTTCAAGCACGGAGTCTCCCATCGATTTGCGCCGGCGCAGGATGCGAGACTCCTCGATTGTGGACCACCATACCGGATACGGTTTTGTCGAGGCATAAACCTCGTTAACTGCCTCTGAGACACTGGTTGGGGTCCGGTGGGAAGCGTGAGACGAGCTCGCGGCCATAATCGGATCGACGTGGACAATGTCTTCGCAGAGCTGGACGATAGATTTTATGAGAGATGTCTTTCCCACGCCTGTATTACGTGGTACAGTCAGTAAGCCTGCGTTCGGTGCACTGTTCCATGTCTCTTCATGCAGAGAATAAGAAGAAGGTAACATACCTTTGCGACCTGCAACCATAATCTTAAATCTTCCCAATCTCTTCCCCCTTTCTGTGAAAGGCCGCCTGGACGGCATCTTGATACTGGGCATGATAAGTTCCGGTTGGCTGTCCTGTACTCCGCCTCCCATTGAAGACAACATTTCAACACCACCGACTCGCCCAGCTCTAGCCTCATTTTCGTCTTCGTCACCACTGGACAGTATTGCCTGACTGCCCGTCTCATCCGCATTAGTCAACAACTCATCGTCGGAGTTGGCAGACGATCTCGTCTGTTCCGATTTCCGCGAGGCGAGGGATTTCGGGCTGCCGGGTAGAGAAATGTCTCGCGAAGGTAAGGGCGACGGAGTGACAGCTCTCTCGAGGAGGGTTTGAGGTGGGATAGCGTTGATCTCGGGGTTTGCGCTGGAAGAGCCTCGTCGGAAGCGTTCACAGTTCGTCCCGGGCTTGATGGTTGAGCGGCGTCGACTCCCACTCCTTGTTACGCTTGAGGTCTCAGCTTGTCGGGGTGTGGTGTGCTTGATGGAAGGCCGTTCGCGGTCGGCTTCCTCGATGGTATCCTGCAGACTGCTCAAGGGCGATGTCGACGATGGCCCTCCAGCACTCCGGTCGGAGTGGTGCGGCTTGACGGAGGCATCAGGATCTCGTGAGAGGAAGAAAGTAGTAGCAGGATTGCAATGGCGGTCGCGATCACCAACTAATGAGGGCGGGTGCGAGTCGGCATTGGACGGCTTGCGAGGGCGTGGTGGCTCTGTTGTATTGTTATCGAGGCCGATCCCTGGTCTCATCGTGCAGTCATCCAGAGGGTTCGAAAGAGTAGACGATGATAGAGTAGGCAAGGAGGATATGTAGAAGGCAGTTGTTGTTTTCTAGGTTGAAGGACAGGATTGACAGCTGACAACAAAGCAAGGTACAAGTCAAGCAGGTCACCGACATCGCGGCCTGAAGTTACTCCTCAGCCTATCCTAGATATTACCCCACGACAAGCGCAGGCAGGACTCGGCCTCGTCGGACACACCACGCGGGGCCGATCCTCTTATCGCGTCGCATCGGCTGCCTCAGCTGATTGTGCCTGTTCCTCCCACTTTCGCGCGTCAAGGACATATAATAAATACCACTCTTGGTGATTCATCAGGATTGACCCAGTTCCCTACCGATACAAAGTTTCGCAACTTTTTTGGACCAACCCGGAATCACCATTAGGTAGGTTATGTCTCATTCGCAATGAGGGACTACTGTACAGTTCCATGCCCACGCCCGTGCCATCCCATCTCTAGGGAATCCCAAGATCTCGGATAACATATTTCCCCTTCGTACACAGACAAATACATGACCTCGCTCGAAAAGACGCGCTTGCCCTGGACCATGACTCTAACAAAGCCGATCCGAAGTTGTTGCTGTCCCGCTCGCTGGAGGTGTGAAAGGTGACGGAAATCCCACTTTCAGTGTCGTCCTGAACAATTCTGAAGCTGGCTATGCGAATACCACTGCTGGATCGTGAAAATATGTGTAATGTAATGGGAAGTACTTTTTCCAAGTACGCCGGTGCCAGGGAAATCGTCGAAAAACAACCCCATCACTTTTTGATCGCTCCGCTGAAATCCTGGGAATGCAAGAAGCAAGTGACGAAAGATTCTTTCAGTGAGCGATGCTGTGTTTCAGCATCCCGCACCTGGACAACCTCACGCAGCTTGGCCTTGGCCACGTCCCTTGGGAGTGACGGTACCAGTGCCAGGCTTCCCACCCCGTTGGAATCCCCCACCACGTCCGGCATCCTTGGGAAAGTTGGTCTGACTTCCAGATCGGCCGCTCTGCATGCCACCCCGGCCCCGGTTGGCGGTTCCACCACCACGATTGAAGTTAGCATTGCTGCCGCCATATGCATTGGGACGGGGTCGACGCTCTTCGACGTAAATCTGTTCAGTGCCGACGGTGTGGGGGTTAGCAGCAACGGCGGCAGCGTAGCCGGCGGCATCAGCAAATTCGACAAAGGCACAGTTCTATCTTTCGTTAGTGGACCTTAAGAGTAATCAATAAAGGACGGGACCTACCCTAGGTCGCGCCACGTCGAAATATTTGAGCTCGCCGTACTTCTCGAGAACCTCTCGAAGGATCCTAGCATCGACTTTGTCGTTTACGTTCTTAATGTACGCCATCGTGGTCCCCTCTGATACGGTTCTGTTCGGTGGTCGATTGCTCTTCTTGCTGTGATCTGCAGTTTGCCAGCCATTGCTCTGTGAGGTCGGGGTGCTGGAAGTTGTGTTCGGGGTTGCTGGTACAGGTTCCACTGGAGCTTTAGGGGCTTGTGTAGGTTGCGTAGGTCGGGGAGCTTTTGGTTGTGGTGCAGGAGTCAAAGGAAGGGCGGGAACAGCTGGCTTTTGAACGCCACCTCCCAACATGCTGGCCCAAGTCTTTTTCGCGGGAGGTGCTTCGGCAGGAGTTGGGGCTGGCGCAGCTGCCTCTGTGGCCGGTTCGGCTGCAACGGCTTCGGGTTCAGCAGGCTGCTCGCTTACGGCAGGCTCGGTAGTCTCTTGGGCAACATTGTTGGCCTCCTCCGTGGGACCTGAGAGCTCTGTAGCCTCTGCTGCTTCTTCAGCAGGAGCAGGAACGGCATCGCCATTGACCTCGGCTGCTTCTTCAGCTGCTTGTGTTTCTTCCACCTTTTCCTCCGCCAGTATCTCGTCAACCTTCTCAACAGCGTCCTCGGTAGCAACGACGTCTCCACTATGAGATGGGATATCTGCCACACCTGCAGCAGGGGTGGGCGGCTCTTCAGCCGGGACTTCTGCCTGAGGTTGTTCATCTTCAACAATCTCGTCCTCATCATCACTAAGGTAGCGGAAGATATCGTTGAGGACGAAGTAGCCGTTGGGTTGTTCAGCAAGGACGAAAGTTTGAACAAATTTGTGATGCGGTTCTGACTTATTGGACATCTCGCCAATCACCTGGACTACAATGTTGTTGAACGAGGCCTGGGAGTCGACATTGAGGACGCGCACTTTGCAGTCTTGGAGATCGAGGGCTTTAATCTTCTCGCTGATGGCCTGTGTTTCCTCCTTGTCAGCAAAACCTGAACACCTCTTAAAAGTGACAACGTACCTTTGTCCCAACAGCAGGAACGACTTTCTCAGCCTCGACGCCCGTGACCAGCTGTGACTTCTTGGAATAAAACAGGTGGATCTTTTCTGGACTCTTAGATAGAGTTGTATAATACTGCTCCACAAAGTACCAGCCAATCTCTTGAGGGTCTGCCTTTTGCTGAGTGGCGGAGGTGGTAGTGCTTTGAGAAGCGGAGGCAGCATGAGCCGGCGCAGAGGGGGTCGAGGCGGCAAGTTCAGCAGGCTGGCCATAATGGGTTGCCCCGTACAGGCCATTAACAGGGACGGTCTCGGTCGCCATGGTGAGATATCAGCGTGAGAGCAGCCTGACGCGGTTCAGCGGCGTTCTTTTGGACTGAGAGCGAATCGCGTCGCTAATTGAAATAATAGGATAGGAGACTATGAGGTTGGTCGCGGATGGGAAATAAGAGGATTGAACCAGCGGCGCGGTCAATCAAGCGTGATAGATATTGCAGACTCTTAGTCGATAAATCTAGCACGCAGGCAAACAGACAAGTGATTCCTCCAAGGGGGGGAAGAAACAATGGATTGAAGCACAAGAGACGCGCAACAAGAAGAGGATGGTGGAAAATGAAATTATGAAAGGCTGGGGTATGTGATGGGTGATTGTGCGATGTGCGGTGGATGAATCCGAAGGTCAATTGCTGTTGCTTGGTGCACACTGCAGAAATCGCCTTTGTAAGGACAAGTCTGAAAAATATCAAAAAGCGGAGGCAAGTTGGAGGCACTCCTAGCCTTGGCGGGTCGAGATCGCTCTCCACTGTTGAACGTGAATGGCGGGCAAACATTCCCTCGCTTTCGATCGCTTCTCGCTCTACAGTCACGATTGGTTTCCCAGCGAACTGCGGAACGAACTGTCGAGCATAGCCAATGTCGGTTCTTACTGTGACGTGCATTATGCAATCCCTGATGGATGTACCTATGGCTGCCTACACTTCAGGTAACTTCTTTCACTTGTGGCACAGAGCAACGCTCCTCAACAAGACATTCTATTGCTTGTCCGGCAACATTGCACCTCAATGGCCACTCTGTTCAAGACGTGCTGGAAACCCAGAACAAGTGGACTTGGAGCCGTAGGGCCCGTTGCCAATGGCCAACTAGCCATCCAGCCCCCAAGTCCTAAATGGAGTCTCTACCAGGACAGAAGGTGCATACCTATACGGACACAATTTACAGGGCCATAGCATGCACGAGATACACTGCCAGGAGAAGCATAGCTGGAAGCAGGGTTCCTCTCACAAGAAGAACCAACTCCATACAATTTGGCAGCGTCTTCCCGGCCTCCCATGAACCTGGTGGTGGTCGATGAATGACGCAACTCATCTTCCAAATACAACACTTCAGCTAATAGGAAAGGTTGCAACCTTGCTAGAAAAGGTTCACGTTGGCACCAGCGTATCCGAGGACCTGTGGATAGACCCTTTCCCCGCCTAGATCTACTACATGATCCCTCCCCGCAAAGGAGATGTACTGCGGGCATGCGGAAAGGAGCAATATAAAGCAGGGTGCAATGTGAGGCAGACTCACATTGACCTCCGTAGAGGTGTGGCCAGGAACCGTTCGTTCAAGGGATGCACGTATTGTGAATCTCTTCAGCCCAGCTGTCCAAGATGAACGGCATTTCAGAACATCCCGTAGTCCTCTATGACTACCAATTCGCACCGAACGCGCAAAAGGCCCGGAATCTTCTGTCAATGTGTCGCATACCATTCCAGGTTTGCGAACAGCCCTTTGTGATGCCACGTCCTATTCTTGCGGGCCTAGGCATCACCTACAGACGGATCCCTGTCAATGCCATAGGCCGCGATTTGTATGCCGACAATCGTGTCTTCATGGAAGCTGTACAGACCGTCTTCCCAGCGAAAGCGGCGGCTCTGACCCAAAGCCCGGCTGACCATGCGTATGAAGCTTTCGGATACCGCAGCTTTTGGGTCTGTCTCCCACTTGTGCCCATGAAGATGATCAGCACGGAATTTCTGAAAGATAGGGAAGAACTATTCTCGGTCTTTAACCGCCCAGACTACGAGGAACTACGGCCCAGTGCACTGGCCGAGTTCCGCCAAATGTTGGACGATGTCGAGAATGATTTTCTGGCGAATGGCCCCTGGATTGGAGGGGACAAATGCTCCATCGCCGACATCCACGCAAGTTGGATGATTAAAATGGTGTTGCAGACCATGGACATCCAGACTGAGCCAGGCTTCTCGGCCGAGGACTTTCCGAAGGTCCACGCTTGGATCAATGGACTTCCACTGCATACCGCTGAGAATGATGCCGATAAGATCAGTGCAGAAGACGCGAAGGAAAGGATCTTGAGCTCGGGCTATGCTGCGGAGGATATCGGCATTGATCCTGCGGACCCTAACGGACTGCAAGCAGGAACGCACGTCTCAGTCGGTACCACTGACGAGTAAGTCACCCCTTCGACTGCGCGAAAATCCGCTGGTTGACTAGCCCGCAGTGCAAAACCTGGCGGCAGACCACAAGAGGGTAAACTGGTAGGCCTGAGCAGGCGGGAGATAGTCGTCGAGCTGCCCAACGGTCTTCGCATGCATTTCCCTCGGCTCGGCTTTGTGTTGAAGAGGGTGTGAGCAGAGATCCACGCTTCAGGACGCTCAGAAGAGACGCATAGCAGATTGTACTGCAAGGCGGTCTCTTGCCGGGGGCAGGTATGAATGGTGTCACTGCCAAGTTGTTTCTTGGACCAAGCTCAGCGTGATGGAACCTCCACACTAAAATTGTTTTCATTCTTCCTCGCCATATATCGGCCATACACATGCATTTGAGGAATTCAGTAGAACCCAGGACGTGGTGGAACGGCAATGCCAGAGGTTGGAGGTAACGGATCAACAGCCAAAGCTTTATCCTGAGCGTCGTTGACGGGATTGGCGTCTTGTTCTTCCTTGGCCAGGCGCTCATGTACTTCGCGACTTTTCTTCTTGTTGCTTTGCCAGACTCTGTCCTCCCTTTGAAGTTCTTCCAGCACTTCTTCCCATTCACGCTCTTGCTTTTCATCTCCGGTGCCTAAGATCTTCTCGACATCCACTTCTTCGCCATTCTGCAGCCTTGTAACCACCTCTCTCAGCTTTTCTATCTTGATGTCCGCTCTGCGAGAAAAGGCCACGAATTCGTTCTTGACACCCATAATTCGAATGGCCTGGGAGCCGATCAGAATGTAGATCCAAATGAAATATGTCGCCGGATTTGTGGGTTTCTTTTGCAGAGGCTGCTGGCGCTGTCGGGATCTGTCTCGAAATGCTCTCGGGATGATTGAATCCCATATGGAAGTCTGAGCTATGCGAGGGAGACGGCCCTCTTGAGAGGTTGTATGGCGGGATCGGCGCAGCCAGCGTAGCCGGGACTGACCTGGGCTCAGTACATTTGTTCTGACCAGACGAGTCTGAGCTAGGCTGCAGCGTAGTAGGGGCTTCGTGCAACTCATTTATCTTCAGCAAAGAGCGGTGTACATGAATTCCGGCGTATAGTCTGCAATTCAACTCTGATACTTTAGGAATTCACTCCAGAGAAGTTTCATGTGCTTCGCGGAAGCCAACTGCGCCAAGTCGGTATTTAGCGTCACCGGCGTCTCAGCGGCGAGTTCCATGTTTATTTCATGGCCGAATGTGGCCATTACGCGCTTCAAACCATCAATGGCGTACCAAGTATTGCATTCAACATAATCAAATCCAAGTAATATCCCGACCGGTAATATAGTGCGCCATGCACTTAACGATAATCATAGCTTTACAATGACAATACTTCAGGACGCCGTTGCTCCTGCGCCGGTTGATGTGGTTCGCGCCCACCTCAACCTCACGGCCCCCACGACAGGAACCTTGAGATTTTTGCGAGCAATTCTCGGCCTTGGTTCCTACGATGAGTGTGAATCCAAGGCCGTTCGCGCTTCAAACAAAAGGGTCGGGAAAATAAAAAGCTCTGGTATTAGTCGACCACCGATCAGGCCCGCGACCAGAGACAGGAAAAAGCCAGGCACAGCAACCCAACTCCATGAGAGCAATGACGAGCAGGTCCCACGTCTGTCGCCGGCCGAGCGGCGAAAGATTGCCACTGAAATATTCAACTCCACGTTGAAGAGACTCGGAGAGGCTGTCAAAGCTCTAAGAGAATCTCCAGCAACAAGCAGCGCGCCGTCCTTTGGGCCCGGTGACGGACCACTCCAAGCACGATCATCCGACAGAGAGCGAAAAATCCCCGCCATCAACTCCAAGAAGAGCACCCCTTGCCCTCATCCAACGGATTGGGGCTTATTGGCAGACATTTCATACTCTGCATTGCAGTTTTTGAGGAAGGATGATTCCAAAGATGTGATATCCACCGCGGACAGCAACCTAGGCCTGGATAATGCCGCATTGATCTTGCTAGACAGAAGCATTTCCTTGAATCTTACGACCCAATCACAACGTCAGCTCTGCGACGTCTACGAAAGATACTGGGGAAATCAGGTCAAAAGGAGACCTGCTCCTCAAGCAAGCATCGCGAGGTTTCTACTGGGGCGGCCAGATGCAGCAGATAACAGCCACAAGTTCCGATTCACAGCATCTTTGCAAAGCCAAGCTCTGCGCCTTTCTCTACTGGTTGGCGCAAAATGTGTCGACCTAGAGCTTCTGAGGACACTTCAACAGGAAACCGTTGGAAGTCCAGCCTGGATTACGTCAAAAGGACTGGACAAACAGCTCCTGACATTAGAACAGTCTTCCTCGCAGCTCCGCACTATATCTCATGCCTTATCTAAGCTGTACGCGCTTTCCACGAGCTCACAAGCAGGAAACTCATCATCTGAAGACCTTTTCAGACTCTTTTGCTTGTCGTTACGCATCAAGTTCGATTCCTGGATTCACTCTGGCCACTTACCTGAACCTGCAACAGAAGTATGGCGACCGCTTCACAGAGCAATCAAGCGACTATTCGCGACATCCAAGGATATAAAAGGGTCGACAACTTGCATGTTTGAAGAACTTGCTTCATTTCACAAGCTTATGGAGGTAGCAAAATGCGAATTTTTGGTTCCGGCAGATTTGATGGAGACTCTGCTGCATGTTGTCCGAGATCCAGACGAATATCCTCAGCTCATTGCTCTGGTGGAAGAGCGCCTTCGGCAAATCAGCGGCGTTTCGCATCTGATTCTACGGTGTCAAATCACGTTACAGCGTCTAAGAGTTTCAAGTGGGTCGTCAAAAACATTGGAGTCGTTAAAGGGTGTGGAAAGAGCTCTTGCAGAGGCAGGAGAAGTCTCTGCATCAGATCTCGACCGGTTTCTACTATATCTGGCCCAGCTTCGCAAAGCAGCCGCGGAACTGATCTCGGTTGACAAAGCGCGACCTGTCACGGGAGAAAATCGACTTTCCCAAGATTTCCAGTCGACTCTTATCCGCTTGACCTATTGTTCTTTCAACTTCCTGCGTCGCCACACCGGCTCAGTCCTGCTGCCAATACCCGAAAATTCAAGCATCGAGAATCGCAAGGCCTTCATGATTACGTTCCTGAAGTCCATTGATGCTGTGCTGTCCACCGAACAATGTGCTATCATGGGAGACTCAGAATTGGCGGCGGAGGGATTAGAAGCCCTCAAAGGTTGCTCTGCAGTAATCCAATCTCTTCGAGCTGAATGCGCTAGCTTGATTACGCTCTACCAATTGGAGTCGTCGTTCAACCAGCTTAGAGTACGGATATCTCAGTTGTTTTGGTCACGGTACTTGGAAGTCGTCAGAGAGAGCAAACCTCCTTCGGAACAGGCCAAGATCCTAGACTTATCCCTTGTGGGACTATTGGACTTGCCATTGAACGATCGAGAGGGAGTGCATATCGCCCTCAAATATGAAAGGTTGGCAGCCTGTTATTTGGAGATGCACGACTTTCAAAGGGCTAACGCCGCTCTTCGAAATGCCATCGATACCAGCATTAAGGAAGAGGTCCTCAGTCATGCTGCCGACCTGCTCCTATCTGTTTCATTTTCTCGTGCGTGGTCAGATTCGAATCCGGGATGCAAAGCTTTTGGAAGAGTCCTAATCACGTATTCTAGATCAGTCCTTGATCATGCCTCGACAAATGGGAACGATGGGAGCTTTTATGATGACCCATCCTTACCAGCCTTTCATCGCGCAGTGCTGCTCGAGAAACAATTACTTGCCATGTTGGAGCTAAGCAAGGATGACCGTCGTCTCAGTCTGTGTGCAACAACGGTGAAGACCATATTGTCACTCATGCAACAGCCGCAATATCATGTGTACATCATGAGGTTCATCAATCAGCTATTGGAGTTGGCCTTGAGGAAGCGGCTGCCACCTTCGACCTTTGTAATTGACTCCTCTGTCATTCACAGTCTACTCACAGTCAGCCTTCCCGCAGGGGAAAATGTCTTCCTGGGCAGATATGAGCCAGAACTTCGGTCGCTCCTCTGCCTCCAACATGGATTCTTTGCCGGACTGCTGCCCATCCAAACTTTGTCGCAAGGGGTAAAACAACTGTGCGAGATCGTTCTGGGCTGCAAGACACGTGAAGAGACACGTGTGGACTGTCTTGATGCGGAAGCACACATCGCTCCACTTCTGCTTTTCGTCGAATACGCAGCAATTCTTGGAGACTGTGATACTGGCCTGACGGCTCTGGAAGCTTTGCAACATTTAGGAAATCTCGGAGTCCACGGTCAAGAAATATCACCCAAGAGAATCCTCCTCCGCAAAGGTCAATTCTACGACGTGCTGAGGGAACTTCAGTCCGCCCGTAAGGTATTTTCCATGGTCGAAACGACATATGAAGGCAAGAATGACCCAATGTTCGAAGCAGAATTTGCACTCGCCTACTCGGAACACCATTTGTATGCGGGAGATTTAGATCAATGCTCCATGTGGCTAGAGCGCGCTCGAAATGCATGGCAGGCCCGGGAAACATCAAGAAACAGGGTGTCGAGCAAGGCTAGGTTGCGAGAACAGAGTACATGGTGCAGAGCTGCTCATTTGGCATCGCGACTGGCTTATGATTCAGGTCAGCTGGCAAAGGCCATCGTTCTCGCACGACAATCCGCCAAAGTCTCAGCAACTATCTGGTCTTCTATTGAAAGAATCTGCACCTCCGCAACTCCTCCACAGTCAGATGGCTCGTTCGATCCTGAACTGCACAGTCTTTCCGTCGACTTCTCCAATCTTGACCTGTCCTCCGCTCCGGTGGTACGATTGACGTCGAGCGCAATTGTGCTTGGGCCCGAGGTGTCGTTGTGCTGCTCGGTGTTCAGCCACATGGCATTTCTGAATGCCCATTGCGGCATATATCAAGACGCCGCTATGTTCTATGAGCAGACACTGAAGTCTGCGCGGAAATGGGGGCATTCGATCCATACGATAGTTGCCCTGAGTGAGCTAAGTCTGCTGCACGCCCGAGCTGGTCAGGTCGAGAAGGCACAAAATACAGTTCACGAGCTGTCACAACTCACGAAAGACTTCCATGTACATTGGATACGGGTCCTTGTGTCTCTTAACCAAGTCGAAACATATCTAATACTTGGGGACGACTCAGCCGCTTCCCGGTGCTTGGTCGAGACAAAGCACCTTCACCTTGACAAGGATTCTCCGTCCATTAGACTGGCTGTGAGCGAGATTCAAAAAGTTACTGCCACTAGCGCCTCGGCAAAGCCTTCAGGGAGGAAACGTGCTGTCAAGGGACAGAAAGGGAATGAGTCGATCAAATCTACGCCGAAGGAGTGTGCATCATCCTTGGAATCTTCTTTGGAGCTGAGTGGCTTCATTGCGAGAATATCAATTCTGGAGTCTAGACTACGGGCTTGCCATGGTTACGCGGATTCGATGAATCCCTCAGATACTGGCTTTCGATGCGACAGATACGGCGATGGCCGGAGCTCCACATCAGTCGCTCTCAGTTTGGTCCACTCTGCGCTCAAGATCTTCTCTGAAGATACCATACATAATGTGCTCGCCGAAACAGCTGTCGCAATTCCCGTAAGGTATCGATCAGCGAGGAAAAGTGGCAGGGTATCATTTGTACAAGCTGCAGGCTCTCGGGCACTCTACGGAAAGAACGATGACTCGAAGAAGAGGTCGAGGCAAAAGCAGACGGCAGAGACATTAAAGGACGGAACAGCACTGCTGCTTGAAGCCTACGACATCCTCCGGCAAGTAAGCGACAAAGAGCAAAATCGAATAGCCTGCGACACTGTTCACACTTGCCACAAACTGCTGACCCAGATCAGTTTGCTTTCATCGGCCTTGAACCAACCACTGGTCAGCTGTACTTCAAACGTCGTGTTGGACATAACGGGTCCGCTCGATCTTGCCCTGACACGCGAGCGCTTTGTGACTGCGGGCGAGGTCAGTGCGGCCAAGGGAATAAGCATGGAAGATTGGCCCAGTGCAAAAACTGTCGACGACCACGGCGTGTTTCGGTTTCCAGACAAATTGTCGAATTACGACACGAGCCTTTTGCCACCATCGTGGTCTGTCGTATACCTTGGACTCAACGAAGATAGAAATGAGCTTTTTGTGGCCCACTTGGCGTACCAGAGGTCGCCATTTGTTGTCAGGGTCCCACTATCCCGACCAGATCCATCAGAAGGAGACAACGAGGAACTTGACCTGAAAAGTGCCAAAGCCGAGATGCAAGAGATCGTCATGAAAGCGAACTCTAGTGCTCACGATGCTAGGGGTTCTTCGGTCGATAAGGCTGTCAGAAAAGCATGGTATGCCGAGCGTCAAGCCTTAGATCATCAGCTCGCGACGCTTCTGGAGAATATCGAGAACATCTGGTTTGGCGGCTTTCGAGGACTACTCTCTGCCTGTGACATCGACGAGAGCGAACTCAGGAAATTCGGACAATGTCTCTCTTCAGCACTGAATAGACACCTTCCCTCGAGGCAGAAATCGTCCAAGTCATGCGACCATGTGATTGAACTTCATGATCATGTGCTGGAGCTTTTTGTGGCGCTCGGCCATCCTCGAGAATTGGAGTTGGAAGATGCGGTCACAGACCTTCTCTACTTTGTTATTGATATATTACAATTCAATGGTGAGCGCAACGCATATGACGAGATCGATTTTGACGCCATGTTGGTTGAGGTATTGGACGCGTTGCATTCTTACCACGATCGACGTTCAGTGTCGCGCGAGAAGCAGGGCCATGTGATTCTGGTCTTGGATAAAGAGTTGCAGCTGTTCCCTTGGGAGTCGTTGTCATGTTTGAAGAACCAAGGCATCTCCAGGATGCCATCCATCGCATCTGTTTGGGAACGGTTGAAAGTCATTGGAGGACAAGGGCACGACCTTGAAGGCTACATGATTCCGAGAACAGATGGTGCATATATCCTCAACCCGTCTTCTGACCTAAAGGCAACGCAAGAGACTTTTGGCCAGATTTTCCAGACTCAGCTGCCCGAATACCGTGCCATTGTCAATCGGCAGCCGGAGGGAAATGAGTTCGAGGCGGCTTTGAAGGACAGTTCGCTCATGCTCTACTTTGGCCATGGCGGCGGTGGGCAGTACATCAGACCTCGCACCATCCGAAGGATGGAAAAGTGTGCAGTGGCACTGTTGATGGGTTGCAGTAGTGCCAAGTTGACCGAGTGCGGAGTCTATGAGCCGCATGGAATGCCTTTGAGTTATCTCAGTGCAGGCAGCCCTGCAGTGGTGGGAACGCTGTGGGATGTCACTGATCGGGATATTGACCGTTTCGCAATGGAGCTTATGGCGGAATGGGGATTGATCGACATCGATGGCAGCTCAGGAGCACAGACACTCCACAAGCCTGGCAATGCCAGGGCTGGCAAAGATAATGGGAAAAGGCACCAGACAGGTCATGGGCAGAAAGCTGGACGAGTGTCTTTGGATGAGGCTGTGGCAAACTCTCGCGATGCGTGTTTATTGAAGTATCTCAACGGGGCAGCGCCTGTGATGTATGGGATACCCGTGTTTTTGGGTTAGAAGCGAGAACTATAATACCAAGTCTACGAGTCGCATGGAAACATGAAAGTCGCCGTGTTCACAGCCCGGGTTCTAGGCATATCTGTCGATCTTGTGTGCATGAGGCTGAAACATGCCATTTGGAGTCTGAGAGGATGCACAAGGCTTACACCATCCCCAATTGGGGCTGCAGTCACTAAGCTGGAGTTGGACTAGTGAAGACGCCTCAGGCGCCAGGGAGCTCTTCGGGTTGCCCAATAGGCGATGGACATCTGAGAGGAATTCGGAGCTGATAGGTCCCGACGCCGCCCAGGCAAGCCAGGCTGACCCCCAATGCCCCCAATGCCCCCTCGCCCCGTCACCGTCACTGCGTAACAAACTGGCAAGGCAACAGCCATTTCACAGCCTCCCCTGCACCTCAATTGATCTGATCATCTTTATCGTCTCCCCGTCTTCTCACAACCTCTTCTCACCACATCATTGTTTGCTAAACACTTCGTCCGTACTTGGCTGATGCAGCTCGACTCCCACCGCCGTCAATTGAGCATCACTATGCCTTGCCCGTGGTCCTCTCGTCGCTGCTCCCGCCGGGCAGCTGACGACACCACCATCCCCAATGCTCTTCCCTCTCCAACCTCTACGCCCGATGTGGAGGACTGGAAGAAGATCCGCAGATTCAATCTTCGCATGATGAGAAAGCAGATTCGCTGCGTCATTCTGCTCATGGCCCTCGCGGAAGCCCTCCGGGTTGGGCCGTTGCAGATTGTGTATGCTGGAAAGCATGAATATCCGGCTCCCGGGGAGGACGACTACGGTGTACGCTCCTTCTTAACAAGCTCTCGGGATGTTTGATGGTCGCTGACACTTTCTGCTGATCAGATTGCCTACACGGTTGGATATATTGTCAGCTGGTTGTACGTCTGCGTATTCATGATCATTTGGATGCCGCTTTTCGATGTAAGCCCACATCCTCCCAAATCGACGTACGTTATAAGAAAGCCGGGCGCCTTACTGATGCTTGTGCTTAACAGTGGTGGGTTCCAAAAACCCTTCCTGCCTCTGACGACCCGTCCAAATCCCCGAAAGCGACGAAAATTATCTGCCTGCTTAAGAAGCTCAATATGATCCTTCTTCCCATCTCCATCGGCTTCTCATGCTTCACGTATGTCTGGTACTTGATCCACACCTTCATCTACGTCGACTCTCGCACCTGCGGCTCCACCAAATTCCCGAAAAACACACGCAAAAACTGGGTCGTTCGTGCTTTCTTCCTTCTCGGTATCGCCATTACCACGAGCTTGGGATATGGAGCATTCCAGACACTGGAGAAATTGGACCTTGCACGGGTGAAGAATATTGAGTATGCTTTGATCGTGGTGCCCGTGCAAATCAACCTTGGCATCCTTTTGGGGACGGTCATGCAGTTCCGCATGGAAAAGAGACTTGCCCGTAGACAGGCGTTGAAGTTGCAGGCGGCGAAAGTCGAGGACGGCGTTGTCGAGGAAAAGGCAGCCCTGCTCGAGGTCTAAGAGGCCTCCGAGCGTTTGGGACAGCAATACAGCTTTTGGCTCGGTTATGCTGCGGATATTGCTCAATTCCCGAGGACAACCGGTCATAAGCAATTATTACAAAACCACTGGATCTGGGTGCTAGGCAGTGGAGACAAGAAAGAGCTCGGACGACAGCTCGAGTGACAGCAACTACTTAATGGGCGAGGACGCACATCAGCTCTTTTGGCAACTGTCTTCACAGGTCTGGGAAGCATCTAGGAGGGGATGAGAGCTTGGAAAGAAGGAGACACTAGGGAAGACAGCTGGAGGAAGTGAGTAGCTGGGGTCAGTTGGCATACGTTGGTGTTTCGGGGCTGGAATTACAGGTTTCCGTTCATCTTTAATGTGATGGTCAATTGTTTCATTGCTCCTTGACTTCTCCGACCCGGTATTTGAGACAACCCAGCACACTGCCGTGTCCCATCCTATACCCAATGCGTTGCCCGCCATGCTGCGTGTATTGTCCGAAGCTGGCTCTCGATGTGAAACTCGACCACCGTCCCAAGCCCGTGGCAAAATCGGTGATGAAATCCGTCAGGGAGAACTCGGAGTCGAGAATTGATTCTGTCCCTCCCACACTCCAGAGAACCATGGCTCTGGCCCACTCACTTGACATATTGTTGAACAGATGTCGAGTCGAGGCGACCCAGTCAATGAGACGGCTGCAGCTCACTGACAAAACTTCCTTTCACCCATACACAGTACAAAGGGAAAGCTCCGAATCTCGCCCTGGCCTTGTTGGTTGTTCGGCCTTCCCTGGTCGCCAAACTCGCCCTCGAATTTCTCGACGGTCTTGTCCATGCTCCAGGCGGTTTCGACGCGAACATTGACGAAGCCGACCTCGTTGAGCAGGATTTCCATCATGTCGCGATTGATCCCGTGCCTCTCGACGCCGCCCATCCTCGACTTCGCGTGGAACCTCTTCGATTCTGGTCCCGTGTCCTCAAAGTCCGTTAGAGCAATGCTGCCCCCGTCCTTCAGGCAGCCGAGCATGGTCGTCAGCACCGCCCGCAAGTCCGGGATATGGTGCAGGACCAGGTGCGACGTGATGAGGTCGAACTTGAGCCTTTTCCCATTAGGTTCCTTATCGTCTGCTGGGGGGAGGCTTTTGTCCTCGGGATCCTCCAGCAGGACCGCCACAGGCACAATGTTCTGCGGCGCCCCGTCTGCCTGGAGTTTGGTTTTGAGAACGTCAATCATCCCCTCCGCGGCGTCGACGGCGACCAGACGTCTCGCATACGGTGCCAGCATGAACGAGAGCAGGCCCGTGCCGCAGCCGATCTCCAGGATGTCCAGTCCGTTGGGGCCCGGTGGGTTCTTGAGCGCTGGGAAGCGCGAGAGTATTGCAGTCGACGCATGCCTGCTGGCGCTGTGGACAAAAGGGTTCCGGTCCCACGAGGCGGCTTCGGCGTTGAAGCGTTCGTTGCCTGACCCGGCGTGGAGGGATGAGACGGCGCTGGCCATGGAGATAGATCCTTGGGAGATTGAAAACGACAGTAGTTCGTCTGGTTACATACGCCGTCCCTAATCTATCTGATCCCCCTTTTCGCCGCCGGACGCTGATGTACTGTAGTCAAGCTTTTCAGACGCTTCCGTCTTCTCAGGTCTAAGCGAGGCTTTATTCCGACAAAGCATAATCAATCACCCCACGATATGTACCTCCAGCAAGCTGCCCCCCTTTCCCCCCCAATGGCAAGACTTTCGTGGTCAGATCAGCCCGCCCACCCACCTTTGCTGCGGAGAAACCCAAAGTTCTATTCCGAAAGTCGGGGGAATAGCCAAACGTCTTTTTCAGTTCGACCTCGGTTCAAAGACTCAAAAACGTTCCTCTGGAGTAAGAAGTGCAGCAATAGAGAAGTCTGGTCATGCAGGCCATCAACGAGGCTGGCTGGCACAGGGTATGTGAAAGGAAGCATTTATGTATCGTAAAAAGTCCCGCCTGGTCTGCGGGTGTTGAACTTGTTAGGGGGTTTCCTGATCCAGGATACCTCGGGTCTATCACAAGCATTGCCATACAATACGAGCATACATGCGTATATATACACACTTCTCCTCCTTTCCTAACCGTCACCTCTTCCAGCCCGGGCAAGCAGCAAAAGAACAGGAAAGAAAAAAGGGAGTGTCCCCGATCCAAAGAGTGCTCCAAGTATCAGGCAGGGCGTTCTCGACCGTCTCCCATTTCGTCTACATCTAAAACACTGCACAAACAGAAGCCTTCCTCAAGGCCGGCCCAAGGCCCAAATGTGACCTTCCCAGAACGCTGGCTGTATAATACATATTTACACACACCACACCTGACCTGAATTGCTCGTTGTTCTGGGGTTTTTTTAACCCACTTCTTCCCACATAATTTTCCCTCTTGTCTCCTCTTAGGCACGCATCATGGACCCTCCTCCCACGGGCGCAAAAGTCATCGCCCAAGCCCTCCACGACCTGGGCATTCCCGTCATCCACACTCTTGTCGGAATCCCCGTGGCCGAAATCGCCGAGGAGGCCATCGACCTGGGGATCCGGGTGATTGGGTACCGCAACGAGCAGGCGTGCAGCTACGCGGCGAGCGTCTATGGATATCTCACGGGGAAGCCCGGGGTGTGTCTTTTGACGGGCGGGCCGGGGATTCTGCATGGTATGGCTGGGGTAAGTCACACCCCGTGGGCTTTGTCGTTTGTCTTTCGTTCCTTTGTGGATGATGGTGTTCTTGTTCTTGTTTTTATATATCTTCTCTCTTGGCTGAGACCTGATATTTCGTCCGACACAGATTGGCAATGCCTCAGCCAATGCGTTCCCCTTGCTCGTCCTGGGCGGCTCGTCCGAGTCCAGCCTCGCCACCAAGGGCGGCTTCCAGGAGATGGACGCCATCGCCCTGCTGACGCCGCACACCAAGCGCGCCATCCGGCCCACGTCGCGGGACCCGGCCACCATCGTCGCCGCGATCCGCAACGCCTACCGCATCGCCTGGTACGGCCGGCCGGGCCCGTGCTTCGTGGACCTGCCCACGGAATTGATCATGGAGCCAACGGTTCCAGCGAGAAGATCGACTTCGCACCATCCACCAATCACTGTTCTGTCGCCGCCCAAACCGTCGCCGGATCCCGCCCTCATCGTCGCGGCAGCGGATCTCCTCAAATCCGCGTCCGCGCCGCTCGTGATCGTCGGCAAGGGCGCAGCGTACGCCCGAGCCGAGAGCTCCATCCGCAGCCTCGTCTCGACCCACCACTTACCTTTCCTCCCGACACCCATGGGCAAGGGCGTCGTGCCCGACGCGCACCCGCTCAACACATCGGCCGCCCGCTCCGCGGCGCTCAAGCACGCCGACGTGATCCTCCTCCTGGGCGCGCGGTTGAACTGGATCCTCCATTTCGGCGAGGCGCCCAAGTACCGTCCGGACGTCAAGATCATCCAGGTCGACATCTCCGCCGAAGAACTCGGCCGGGCCAACAGTCTCGGCCAGCCTTCGTTGAGCATTTTCGGAGACATTGGGTTAGTCGTGGATCAACTCTGCCAGCAGCTCGGGATGGGGTGGAAGGCGTTTTCGAGAGATACATTCCGCTCCTCCTCGCCGTCGCCGTCCTCGTCAAAGCCGTCATACTTCTCCGTCCTCGCGGCAAGTGCAGCCAAGAACGAACAAAAGTCCGTCCGTCTGGCGACTACGCCTACCAAGCCCAACGCTCTGCTGACGTACGAGCGTGCCTACCACATCATCAAGTCTCAGCTCCACGCCCTCTCACCCCCTCAGGACGGCGGGGTCGTGTATGTCTCCGAGGGGGCGAATACGATGGACATCTCACGCAGCGTGTTCCCTCTCGAGCACCCGCGCCAGCGCCTGGACGCTGGCACATACGCGACCATGGGCGTGGGGATGGGATACGCGATTGCCGCCTGGGCGGCGTACAACATCCCTCATCGCGCCGCAAAAAAGATCGTCGCGCTCGAGGGGGACTCGGCGTTTGGGTTTTCGGGTATGGAGATCGAGACCATGGCCCGGCACAAGATGGACGTCCTGATCATCGTGATGAATAACAGCGGGATATACAAGGGCGATGCAGCGGACGAGACGGGCTGGAAGGAGAAGCAAGCGCAGACCGCGAGTGATGATACGAAGATTGTCACTGTCCCCAGGGAGGGCAAACAGATTGATGGCAGGAGAGGACTCCGGAGTACGTCCCTCTTGTACGAGACGCGGTATGAGTGTCTCGCCGACATGGTCGGTGGGAGAGGCTGGCTTGTGCGCACCGAGGACGAGTTGGCCGAGGCGACGAGGCAGGCGTTCCTCGAGACGGAAAAGGTCTGTGTCTTGAACGTCATCATCGATCCCGGGCTGAACAGCGCGGCAAGCTTTGGGTGGATGGAGACCAAGGAAAAACACGGCGGCGGAGGAGGGGAGAGCAAATTGTGAACAAGCTGGTTTTATACCGGACAATATCCACCTGCTTCTGTACTGAATCTGAAATTCCGATGTCTCACCTTTTTGTAGATACTATCGGATTGGCGCGAGGTGGAAAGGGGAGACCACACCTGCAGCACAAAGGAATTATCCAGCAATTTTTTTGTTCACGACAGCCACAGCCACACACTTTTTCAATTTCAAAGCATTTCCCAGCATGAAATTGAAGACACTCAGAGCGGAGGATGCTCCAATTTTGTCATGTTGACAGTGCTGCAATACAGCTGCAGGGGCCCTCCCTCGACCTGCCGTCCGCTAGAGAATTTACGAAACAGCGGTGGTTGTGCGTGTCAAGGCCGATGCATGCAGGAGAATCTCCGTGACGACGTCTGAGATTCTAGCAGAGCGCTCAACCGCTGAAGGGCAGGAGTTTCTGAGCGATGGGCCGGCCTAATTCAGTTGCGAAACCCGACCCGGCGGCTCGTAAGCGCTGGGATAGGTTGGATAGCTGGTCGACCATATGGCCGCCCGAGGCTGAGCTGGTCCCACCGACGACGACAACCAAAATATATATATAGAGGAAATACTCGCCAATTTCGTTCGTCAGTCTGCTATCTCTCCCAAAAGAAAAGAGACGTATTGGAGAAGTGTCAGCGTTTAGCTTTAGAGGTTCATCTGCTCTTCCCCCCAAACTCTTTTCGCGTGCTGACTTAATTCACAGAAAGACTGACTTGCTCCGGAGAAGATAGTATACTCTGCCTCAAAAGAGGTTCACCAGCATCACGATGATCTCCGGCCAGGTCCGTGCTCACCACGTTCAAGAACTTCGTAACCTAACCCAGGATAGTTGAAGGGCTTGAAAGCCTTTGCCAAACCTCATCGCCCTAAACCAGCAATCGACCATCCACCCCGTCCCAGGTCGGGTCGGAATTAGTTGCAGAGATTTGCTGGGTTCAAAGGAAACACGCCATGGTCAAAATCGCAGAGACCTTCGTTTCATGGAACTGGAGATATCTGTCTGGGTCTCGATGAAAAGCAAATCGGTGTAGTAGCAGTTGAGCAATTGGGACGAGAGCTATATGTTCTGGAGATGGTTTGGAAACGTTTTGGAATGGAGGATGGTTTTGGCAATTACTGATCTTCGCCGGCGAAGCATGGAACAAGAGTATGATTTTGCTGTGTGATTCCATTAAAGCAGCGTTCAATCTTCCTTGTAGCAGATAATCCAGTTGAGATAGCCAATAGGCCAGGTATGACAAGCTTGACCACTCTTAAACTTCCAATTGACCAGCTTCTCACTCGGGACATGCCGGCGGAGGAGAGCTTCGACTTCCTCGGGCGTTCTTGTCCTCAGACACGAAATGTAGCCATCCCAGACCCAGATGAACGGAACAATGGGGACGAGGTAGGTGAAGAACAGATGGCCCGGTCTGCGGAGAAAATAAAATGGCGTCATGAGCATTGCGAGCGGCCAGAGCAGACTGACGAGGATAAAGGAACTGAGGTGTCGAGACTGGAGCTCAAAGATGCTGAGTTACAGTTACTCGAGACGCCCCAGAACAGAAATAGAGGAACACTCACCAGAATCCGTCCGACGTCTCGATGGTGTTCTGGAGGATTTTTGCACCAAGGTCATCGTCAAAGTGGTGGAACGCCAGACTGAAAAGACGCATGACCTTCTTCCCCTTTGCGTCGGGAACGTCCTTGAGCAGAGTCTCCTGGGTTGGAGCGTTCGTGGCGTCCACACTCTGGGGAATGTAGCTGATGTTCTTGCTCTTCTTTGCCGCTGCCTCCCAAGCACTGACGTGTGGGCTGATGTCGGTGAGGACAAATTTCACTTCTTCCTTTCCCGCAGCACGAAGCTCGCTGTTCAAATGATTCTCAATGTAAGGTGTCGGACCACCTGCACCGGAGGCGAAGTCGACGTAGACATACTCTGAGAGTCGAGGACCAAGGACGGTGGATAGCACGCGAGAGACGAGCGCCGCTGGCGAGGTGGACTGGATAATCGGCAGTCTATTGATCCAACCCAGGGTCAGGTAGTCTTGCACTTTTTCTCTGAGGGTTTGAGGGAACCTGCAATCTTGTTCAGCACATGTCTCGAGCTGCGGGACAGGGAAGGACGGTGAATACCATGGCTGATCGTTGACTTCGAAGAAATGCCTCCGACGAAGCCAGACCGTCTGGTTAGCGGGCATCATTGAGATGCGGCACAACTCTCAAGGTTCTGTTCTGACAGTCCATAATAACACCGCCAGACTGGAGGAATATAAATAAATGGGGACTATACATCTCGGGTGCCTCGCAACATTTTGGGGTGGGAAGGCGTTGAATCGTGTCTGAAATTAATTAGTGAGTTTCAGCCTCGAAAAGACGTCATTCAACTGCTCCTCATCACCTCGTAACCTCGTATTCCAGGTTGTTATGCATTATTATGGCTTATCCAGCCGGCATCTGGGCGGAACAGCGATCAGCTTGAAAACCTTTGAACTCTAGCGGTGGTGGAGCATTGCTAAACTTGGGACGAGAAATCGTAAACTTATCTCCTTTGAAACGGTCAAATACTTCCTACTCCCCTTCCGGGGCTTCATTTCAACCTGTTCGTCGACTCCATCCATCATCTCTAGGCCCTCCTAGGTCATCCAGAAATGCTCCCGCCACATCTCGGATTCCTCACCCACGTGGTCATCGAAATCCCCGCGTGCCTCTCGTTCTATCTCTTTCCCTCGCGCCAGCTGGGAGTGTACACGCCGCATGCACATGCTGTTGTTCGGCAATATGCCGCGCTTATACTGGCCTCCGTCCTGGTGGCAATGGTATTCGTCAACCGGCCCCCAGATGATGTGTCTGGCAAAGTCGCTGCAGCGCTAGCAATCTATCATGTTGCCCCTTGTATCCGGTCTGTAAACAGATTGACTACACAGGCACAGGCGCGAAAACCAATCATCGTTTCTGAGGCATTTCTCTACCTCGTTGTACATGTCATTTGCTTTGCTGCGCTACTCCATGACGCCTGGTGCGCCCTGTACATGGAAAGTCACCCTTAGAGATGCCGACACAGCCAAGCCTTCAATACCGCAACCTCAGTCAACGTCCTCGGCCACCAGGGTCTCCGTTGGGCTTTCAGTTCCTGGGTCTGACCCTTGGTTGCTTCTTTTGAGCATCATCATCTCGACGGCAATCCCTGGGCCGAAGGCACACGCCACGATGTGGTCTGTCGTCTCACCCTCGAGCAGTCGATTCATGACACTAAAGATGGTGGCGCTGGAACTATTGCCGTGAGTAATGTAAACCTCATAGCTTGCGCGAAGAAGCTCAGGTTTCAGATTCATCGCTCGTTCTACCCCGGTGATAATCGTGGAGCCGCCAGGATGAAGCGCCCAGTCATATTCCGAGGCCTTGAATTTTCCCAGATCGACAAGCTCTGGTATCGATCCTACCAGGTCCTCGAACATGGCAGGGACAGCAGCCGCGGCTAGTTTGGGAACTCGCTGCGTCAAGACCACTTTCCATCCTAGCATCCCAATCAGCAGCTGAATGCTTCAACAAAGAGCACACTGTACTTACCAACAGGGTCAACGTCAAACCCCAGATCCTTTTCAGTGTCTTCAATAATCTTATGGTCCCAACCTAGGAGCTCCAAGATCGGTTCTTCGTCATAGCGGTCGCTGAAACCATTACCGAGGACCACAGCTGAGGCACAGTCACTGAACAAGGTGACGCCTATTCTGACCTCCTGATTCTTGTGGATCGAGTCCAGCTCAGATCTAACGAGGGTGCTTGATATCTCGCAGGCAAAGACCAGGATGCGCGCAGGCTTCCGCCGAAAGCTGGAACCCAGCGCAATGTTCGCTGCCGTTCGTAACGCTCCGAGACCGCCAGAACAACCCACTCCGTGCAGAAGGACTTTTTCTATGCTGGGATTGAGACCGAGTCCCTTGATGACATAATGGTCATAGCCTGGATTGGCCGAGTTGGTACAGGTAGTCGCGACAACGTGGGTGATTTCGGACAGGTCTCCTCCCCATTGCTTGAGAGCCTTGCGGCAAGCTTCTATTGACAACTTCACACCGTGGTCAAGGAACAAATCGCACAGCTCAGCTATTGTTGGGGGCTCAGGCGCATTCGCAATGGGGTGATCAATGTTGCCAATTGCAGAACGAGAGTCGATCCCAGTATATTCATTGATCCTCAGCACCTTTTCGAGTCTAGAAAAATACGTCAATGGGGCTCAACTCTCCAAATCAGTGGATGGAGGCTCACGCTGGGGTACTGGGGTAAAAGCGCCTGGCAAGGGTGGCCAAATGGTCTGGCTTGATTTCATAAGGAGGGTATTCGACGCCAATGCCATGGATATATAGATTGGGTCGTTGGTATGGCGGGGTGACCTTGGTGTGGCATGCTGAGGGCGACATGACTGTGGTGGTGGTTGTGGCTTGAGGGAGTGGTCGCGAGAAGTAGGGAATACGGGCCCCCAACAGTTTTTCGAGTGATGACGTTGGGATATTCTTGTATGGATGAAACACGGATAAAACAGGCGCCTAAGGAGGGTTGTCTGCGGGCGTTGAGATAATGAGCGACGATTGAAAAAAGAGAGGAGCGTCTCAGTCGGCGATTAAGTGACTTTCCCACTGAGGATGAGTACCTAGGTAGGTTTGGAACTTTGAGTGAGCGGTAAATGCTCGCAAAGGTGCCATGTAAGAAGTTGGGAGGTACTAGTAACTATGTGAAGGCTGGTGCTCGTGTGCGTCGGGACTCGTCCTTGGAAGGAACCCGCGAATCAAAGGGCGAGGATATCATCACCGTTTTAACCGCATGATTCGACTGGGGCGATCTATTAATCAGGATCTAATGGGATTGTTGCAGAAAATAGGCATCCTTGTCCTGGACTCCTGCGAACAACGCAGTCAGGAACTCTGCCCTTCCGAGTGGCTCTAGCTCGCTCCCATCTGCACAAGCTCACAAGCTGCATCGGGTGGCCATCACCTCCATCACCAGTGACCAAGTCCATCTCAGCCCGTATTTTCCGCGTCATGGCCCCCATCGACAGCCTCATAAGGCTCGCCACCTCGGCTCTTGGGCCATAAGAATCGCCTGGTAGTAGCCTAACGGCTCGAGCACAAATGCTGGCTTTACGGCCGTTCAATGTAATTAGCTGCCGTCAAATCAGCGATGATTTGGCTCACGACCTCCATCGCACTCTTGCTGGGCCTCTCACTCTACTATGTTTTCGTGCGAAAGCCCAGCATTCATCGCCATGGTCAACCCCTGAGGCAAGCATTCCATTCCATCCCATCAAAGCTGCCTCTGTGAGATCGACTATGCCCCTAACCAATACCCACGCAGACATGCGCCAGACTCCCTCCCGCTCCTTGGAAATGCCATCCAGTTCCTCAAACCTCGCCATGTCCTCTTCGACTGGTTCGTGAAATGCCAGCACATATTTGGCCATGAGACATTCGAGATTTCCGTTCCTTCGCTGCCTCCCGGCGTAGTCATCAACAGTCCCCAAGTTTTGGAGTATGTGCTCAAAAACGAAGCAGCCATCACCAAGGGCGAGTTCTTCAGAGAACGATCTTGGGATCTTTTCGGTAGGTTGCTGAGTTGAACATGAACTGTCCCATGGTTGACCTGACGTGAGTAAAGGTTATGGCATTATCAATGCATCAGGCGAGTTGTGGCGCGCACAACGGAAAGCCGGGTTGAAGTTCTTTAGTGGCACAAATCTCGATATCATGATCGATGATGTTCTACCAGAGATCTATCAAGATTCCACCATGAACGTCCTCTCTCAAGCCGCCCAGGATCGATCCGTAGTCGACTTACAGAGGATCTTCCATGATCTCACGACCACGGTGGTGGGACACATGGCCTACGATGTAAGAAAGACATAGATTGAGATCTGGTAGCTAACTCTGACGTATACTCCCTTCCTGTCCAGATGGAAATCGAGGCCTCGTCCCCATTCAGCAAAGCCTTCGACCACGCCTCGTCCCAGATTGGTCTCCGCTTTCAAAACCCCCTCTACCGCCTCACCGAGATCTTCACAGGCTCTTCCTTCCGCGCGGCGCTTGTCGAAGTGAAACGCTTCGGCCGTCAGATTGTGTCCGAAGCGCGGAAGCGTCGTGCTCGAGAAGCGTTTGAAAGTCTCATCACCAACACCCACGAGGAGGAGACCACGCTCAAGAAGCAGCGTGAACAGCCCGACAACGACGACGACGAATTTGGGTTGGGATTTGGATCGCTGATCGATTCGCTGATCGAATCGTTGGGAGATCCGAAAATTGTTGCCGATGCAGCTCTCAATTTCCTGTCTGCGGGTCGAGATACCACGGCCCAGAGTTTCACCTGGACGTTCTATGCGTTGCTGAGACATCCCGAGGCATTAAAGCGGGTAAGAGAAGAAATCGATTCGAAATTCCAAGTGAAGCCCGCTCCTACAGTGGAGAAGAAGTCCTTAGATGCTGCTGCAGTTGCATCTGCTGAAAGCGAGGACGAGGATGTTGAAATCGACGTATCAGCCCTCCAACCCAGCTCCCTTCCTTACACTATGGCTGCCTTCTACGAATCCCTGCGCCTCTACCCACCCGTCCCCTTTGAAATAAAGCAGACCACCCAACCCGTCACTCTACCGGACGGCACCTCCTTGCCCGCCGGGGCAGTGGTAGTGTGGTGCATCTGGGCACTGAACCGGTCCTCCTCAACATTCGGCGAAGACGCGCACTCGTTCCGCCCCGAGCGCTGGTTAGAAACCGATACCTCAAAGCCGAATTCAAACTCAGACGCGGACACTAACACCGCGCCCGAACAACATACACTCAAATTCACAGGCTCCAAATACTCGGCGGGCGAGTTCCCCGTCTTCAACGGCGGCCCGCGCAGCTGTTTGGGCAAGAAGATGGCCGAGCTGATGGGCGCGTGGGTGCTGGTGCGGATGCTGTATGAGTGGGACTTTGAGGAAGTCAACGACGGTCTGAACATGGATTCCTTGTCTGGTCAGCGCCGCAGCGCCAATTCCTTGACTCTCCCTATGGAGGGCGGTTTGCCTGTAAGGGTCACGAGGAGGAAGCGGAGGAGTGGTGGAGGCGTGAAATGATTTGCTATACTTGACTAGGATCCATCGCACCGTGTATGTATGTGTCGAATGGTGAATCTCTGCTAAGTCTATTCTACAACACTACGGGGTACGCGGAGTTGCATTTATATTGCCTAGCCTCGCGTAGCCTTGCGTTGCATTACACGCGATCACGGACCGAGCTGGGAGTGGGCTCAGAGTACTTAGTATGGATGGATTCAGGAGCATTAAAGAGAGGAACCTTGAGTTCAGTGGTTTCAAAAAAGTGCTCATTGATAGGTAGACATGGCCAAGAAGAATCGAAGTGGCTGGAAAGGTTGAGCTGCACATGTGTACCTATTTACCTTAGCAAGACTACCTGGACTGGATTGAAATGGTTTGTATCAGACAGAGCTTGTGGGAGGTCGTCACGTTGCAAGTAGGGTCCAGGAAGAGTCAGCCTCGCCCGCCAAAAGGAGACCGGTGGTACGCCGTCATTTCCATGCCTGCTCCGTTCCAATAGGTAATCAGCAATCATACCTCGTCTACATCCTCCCCAGCAACACTTTCATACCGCATGCCCCGACCAGTCGTCGTCCTCAGCTTCAACGGCACCTCGTACATATGAGCATAATCGACCACTTCTCCGCCCAAATAGCCCACTCCGTTCTTCCTCCTCCCGAACACGGGAGCCGGATCACACCAAAAGTCCTGGCAATTGCCTACAATGCCACGACTGAAGGGGTTGGAGTTGCGAGATTGCAGGTGGCCGTGCGATGCGTCGCTCGCGGTCACCATGAATGCGTCGAGGCCGAGGATCTTGGTCCACCGTGTGAAACAGCCGTCGGGTCGGCGTGGAGCCGGCTGGAGACGGGAGGACGCGGCAGCGGTGTCGTTCAGGGATGTAGCGGCTGCGGACGCGCCTTGGGTGATGGGGTGGTGGTGGTTGTGGGTTGGGAGTAAAGGGCGATGGTGGTCGTGCACTTTATCGTGGCGCTTCATGTTTTCATATGTGGTTTGATTCTTCGAGATCTGGATCGTTTGGACCACGATTAGCATGATCACCCACACGAGCTGGAGGCAGGTCCAGAACGTCAGCGCCACAGTCCAGGGGTCGCGGAGGACGAAGGTACATAACGAAGTAGAGAGGACATGGCATTTAGCGAGGGCGTCGTCGGAGGGTGGTGGGAGGAGGGCAAGGTAGGACAGGACAAGCCGGACATAAAGAACGATCCCGATCGCCATGCTGAGAATATAGATGTAAAAGTGGCGAATGTTGTTGTTCCCCACGCAATTGTCGATCCACGGACAGTGGTGGTCTTGTTTTGCGACGCATCGGTTACAGCGGCGACAGTGTTTCGATCGTAGGGGTTTTCGAATCATACACTGGACGCAGAAGTTGTCTTCGTCGAATTTCCATAAGGAGAACAACTCCTCGATCATAGCACGTTGCTGGTTTCGCGAAGCTAGTTTCGGTATCCACCCAGGATCTTCAATCATTGAGAGGAAGTAAAAGTACGCTGTAGCGGCGTATAAGACAGCGAAACAGACCGTGGTGAATGGACTTGTCCAGAACGTCATCGGGAGTATCGAGGTCACATAACTGACTCCCACCCAAAAGAGGGTCCCGGCAAAAATGCCAGCCAGATAGGGTGTCTTATGGATGGCGCGAAATTCTAGCGGGCCGATCATCGCAATTCGTTGTGCAGCATACTGCATTCCCAAGCAGACAACCAAAAATAACGGAACTCCGATGTAGACGCTGAGGTGACTGATAATGTACAGGCCGATCATGATGATCAAAAAGGGGTACAAAAAGAAGAATTTGGACATTTTCGAACGATCTCTGACCACGGTGTGTAGATTAAGGGGGAGGGTCTTGATATTTCCAGAAATGTCGTATCCATGGTCAGATAATGAGCGCTGGTACGCTCGTTTTGTGTTCATCTCCTCAGCGCAGGTGATTGGCGTTTTGCCTTCGTTGGTCTTTGCGAATCTGTCCGCACCGTACTCGATGATTTTGTCCAAGCAGGCTTTTGAGCCTTTCACCAACGCCCAATGTAAGGGTGTATATCCATTGTCGTCTGTAGCATTGACGTTGGCTCCCCATTTGAGGAGGAGGTCCACGCAGGCTGGCCAACCCTTGTATCCTGCCCACATCAGACTAGTATGGCCTTGAGGATCCGGGATATCGACGGGGATATTTTGTTGTAGAAGGAGGATCAGTAGCAGCGCATTCCCATCTATCGTTGCTAGGTGGAGGATATTGTATCCTTGACCGTCGGTCAATAGAGGATCTGCGCCGTTCTGCAGCAATAGGTTGACGATATAAAAGTGACACCTCTGCGAGGCCCACATTATGGCGGTGGCATTGGATTCTCCTCCTTTGGCATTTACATCCGCACCTTGCTCGACCAGGTACTTGCACACAGCATATTGGTTGTTAATAGCAGCCCAGTGCAGAGGAGTGATTCCCTCGTCGTCTTTGTATTTGGCGTCGTATTTGCCAGACTCGATCATTTTCTGGATGTGTTCAAGGGCGCCTATTCGGGCACATTGCATAATGTCCTCTTCCAAAGGTATGTTGGACGCTGCCTGGCCATTGTGGACAGGAGCCAGTTCGACATCCTCCGAGGTCACCTTGGGGGAAGCCGCGTTGGCTTTGGAAGTAGGAGGGTGGGAAAGTTTCTGGGAGATCGGAGAGGACATGGCGCTTTGTGATCGAGACTACTGTTGTTGAGAGGCGCATAACGATGTTTCCATCATGTTTGAGGCAGGCTTCATTGAGATGTACCGTGGAAGGACACGCGGTTTGATCCTCCTGGCTCCTGAATCCTCTCAATTCGTCCGCAGCTGGACCCCAAACTGCAAGGCCGCTTCGCATCTGTCGTATAGGGGCCTGTCACGTGAAGGACATCGCCAAGAGGCACCCCTCGGCAAACGTGCCTCATCGGCCGGTTCATTCCTCCTGCGACCTCCGGGTTTAATTCGATTGAAGCTCCCCTTACAAACTAGTAGCTGGTATCCTCGACTTCACATCAAAATTCTCCTCTCCACTCCCTCCGGCCTATCTCATTACACCTTTTCCTCCTAGGAAGTTCCTCATATCAGCTTCACGGGTAGGCAAGATGATGTCGAGGAACGTCTTGCGCCAGTCTGGCCGCATAGCTGGCGCCCTATCTGCTTCGGGCAGAATAGCTGCAGTAAGCTCGAATCCCCTTCAGCCAGAAGTCAAAGCTTCAGAATCACGAAAATCAGCGTCAATGAGGCCTTCTCAGCACGCTCTGAGCTCAAAAGTTATCGATTGAAGCTCTGCTACCGTGCCGTGGCTGGATCTCGAGCTAATGAAAATCTTCGCAGTCCCGTGTCGTCACCCCTGCGCCTCTCAATGCTGCCTCAAAACAAGTCCGATCATATGCTGCTGATGCCAAAGCGTCCCCAACCGAAGTCTCCTCCATTCTCGAGCAAAGAATTCGTGGCGTGCAAGAGGAGGCAGGCCTTGCCGAGACCGGTCGCGTTCTGTCCGTCGGTGATGGTATTGCCCGTGTCCATGGCATGAGCAATGTCCAGGCCGAGGAGCTGGTCGAGTTTGCCTCTGGTGTCAAGGGAATGTGCATGAACTTGGAAGCCGGCCAAGTCGGTGTCGTGCTTTTCGGTTCGGATCGTCTTGTCAAAGAAGGAGAAACTGTTAAGCGGACTGGCCAGATTGTGAGGATATCAATGCGCTCGTTGAATGTTTAACAGCTAACAGCTTCCAGGTCGATGTCCCTGTCGGCCGTGAAATGCTTGGTCGCGTTGTTGATGCTCTTGGTCAACCTATCGACGGAAAAGGCCCAATCAAGACCACCGAGAGACGTCGTGCTCAATTGAAGGCTCCTGGTATCCTTCCTCGACGATCAGTCAATCAGCCTGTCCAAACCGGTCTCAAATCTATCGACGCAATGGTACCCATCGGTCGTGGTCAGCGTGAACTGATCATTGGTGATCGTCAAACCGGAAAAACCGCCGTCGCCCTGGACGCAATGTTGAACCAGAAGAGATGGAACAATGGCAACGACGAGACAAAGAAACTCTACTGCGTTTACGTCGCCGTCGGTCAGAAGCGATCTACCGTTGCCCAACTTGTCAAGACTTTGGAGGAAAATGATGCCATGAAATATTGTATCATTGTGGCTGCAACCGCCTCTGAAGCCGCCCCTTTGCAGTACATCGCTCCTTTCACTGGTGTAAGTTCTTTTCCTCCGGATGGAAGCTCCTCTCGCCCTCGCTGCCCGAATCTCGCAATGGCGGACACCCCCCATCCATCCATCATATACTAACCACATCTTGTCCAGACTGCCATCGGGGAATGGTTCAGGGACAACGGAATGCACGCTCTTGCTGTCTATGACGACTTGTCGAAGCAGGCAGTTGCCTATCGCCAAATGTCTCTCCTCCTGAGACGTCCTCCTGGGCGTGAGGCTTATCCGGGTGATGTTTTCTATCTCCACTCCCGACTCCTGGAACGGGCTGCCAAGATGAACGACAAGCACGGCGGGGGCTCTCTGACTGCTCTTCCCATCATTGAGACCCAGGGTGGAGATGTGTCTGCCTACATTCCTACCAACGTCATTTCCATCACTGACGGGCAGATTTTCTTGGAAGCCGAGCTGTTCTACAAGGGTGTTCGACCTGCGATCAACGTCGGGCTTTCTGTCTCGCGTGTGGGCTCTGCTGCTCAGCTCAAGGCCATGAAACAAGTTGCCGGTTCCTTGAAACTCTTCTTGGCTCAATACCGAGAAGTCGCTGCTTTTGCGCAATTCGGTTCCGATCTCGATGCGGCCACAAAACAGACTCTCAGCCGTGGTGAACGTCTAACGGAACTCCTGAAGCAGAAGCAATATAGCCCCATGGCTGTCAATGAAATGGTTCCCCTCATCTATGCTGGTGTCAACGGTCATCTGGACAGCGTCCCCGTCGGCAAGATCTTGCAATGGGAAGCCGACTTCCTTGCACACTTGAAGAGCGACCAAGCTGAACTTCTCTCAAAGATTGACAAGGAGGGTCAATTGAGCAAGGACCTCGAACAACAACTGAAAGAGGTGGTTCAGAACTTCACCAAGAACTTCTCATAGGTAAGTAGTCCCGAAAAGGCCAATATGCAGCAGAATGGCTGACATCTCGCAGAGCTGCGGTGAGAAGGTTTGAAATGTTTGTACAATGTTCTCGCCTGGTCAAAACTGGACGGCACCACTCGAGTTGAGACACGAAAAAGGTTGATTGCGAGCTTGATGCAATTGCCAGTCAAGAGGGAAAGTGTCTCATTGTAATTAGATACAGAGCAGTCCTCAATCAATTCCATTTGTGCTTTGGGTCGTCGCAGAAATCCCCACAGCAGTCGGATTGTCGATGGTGACAAGACAGAGTGCGTTTCTTCCACTGCCCCAGGCCTATCTCTGGCCGCACGTCGCCCAGTATGCTGAGTGTCGACTACCTTTATATGATATCTCTCTGTGCATTGTTCTTGTGCGGGACTGAAGTCCAACCCTAGTAGCTCTGTCTGCCATTGTCATAGTGGCGACTGTCATTTTCCAAAGCCGTTGAAATCCCAACTCACAATATATAACAGGCCAGTCAATTCTTGTGGCACCTGTTAAAAGCGACGTGCTGACGGTTGATACTAGGGACCAATATTGGCAGCGATCATTATTCGATAACGTCTTGAGGCTCTCTCGTATATCCCCTCACGCAAGGCCATGATAACACCGCTCGCATGCTTCTAACTCGCAAATCACATACTGATAAAAGCTTGTCTGCAACCGGTCCGAGGCGAGATCGTCTCCTTGGCCAGATCACACTCGATACACTTCCGCACAGCTTCAGCGAACTCATATGAGACTTGTACCTCGATCAGAAGCTGGCCCTGTTGGAGGGCGTGAAAGTCATGGGGATAAGTACGGTTTCAAGGCCCCGTAAATCGTCTAGATTGGTGGCCCTAGGATTCTAACCTCCTTTAAAATGCAACAATATCGATTGAAAATACAGCAGTGGAATGTGTTTGTAAGTCAAAACTCCAAGGGGGTAAAAGCAAATTATAGAAAAAGGCATTCATGTGGTAAGGCTCTGCCCCGTCATCCCTCCCGTCTCGGAAACGACGCTGACTGAACCCAGCACGATGCCTCACAGGGCATAGGATGTGTGATGGCATGCGCCCCTGTAAGAGGTGCCAGGTAGATGGCAAAAGTTGTGAAGACTATCCAAAGATGACCCCGGCAGATGAGACCGGCATCAACCCCAGCGGCGAAGCATCCCAGCCCCAATACTCGCCCAATGCAAACCCAATCCGCCAACCCTCTGCGGTCAAGGTCTTCACGGCAGACCACCCAGCAGCGGATACTACCACTTCTGAACCACAGAATCCGTCAGGAGACACGAAAGTCTGAGCAAAACCCCCCACCCCCTCTCCACACGCTATCGCCGCCTGTCTTTAATACCACCCCCTTCCTTCACCCTCTTTCTCCTTTTCAAGACGGGAGCCCAGCGTGTCAGAGGACATTTGCACTGCAAGTTGGAGGAGATATCAAAAAAAAGACCCGTCTGGCCCGAATGGCTGCGAAGGAAATTGAAGGTGAATATTTACAATTTGCTGCCTCAGTAGCAAGTTTTGGGAAAGGGAACGAACAGAGGAAGGCCGCTCATCATCAAGGTGTCGGGTGCTTTGATCAATTCTACCTAGTCCATCAGAACGCACGAGACAGGATTGATCCCGCCAGTGGCTTTCACTTTGCAGAAGGGGAGGGCTGATAGAGATGGGGTTCTGCTACACTTGAGACTTCATGCTTCAACACTTCAGACTTTATACTTCGTTTTCCATACCTTCTACTTCAAATTTCATATTATACGAGTCTTTATCACCTAGGACCCAAATTTCACCGCCTCCTCCGCTTTGTTGGTGGGTCCCGGGGGAGCACAAGGCTGACATGACAACACATGTCTGGTACTGGATACCTAACATAGCATGCTAATGAACACCGTACTCGGCACGTTTACACGGCAATTCAGTCCCTAGGACCGGAAGAAAAGGCGGGGGAGGAAAATAGAGGAAAAAGGGTTGCGTGCTGGATCGTTCGACAATGTCCGAGTAACATTAATAGCCCTGGTCACGAAATCCCTGCTTTCTCCCGAGCTACAAACGGCATGATCCGAGGCGGCGGAGGATGGATCCACATATTACGGCTCGTTCCTTTGTTCGAAGTTTCCTATTCGGGTAATTTTATGTCCCAACTCAAATAGCCCTTTTCTGCCACGGCCTGACACGGCGCAGAATCCTTGCTCCAGTAGTGACGCCGGTGACGCCTTCCCTGACATGGAGATCCCGCCACTAGCAGGAGGTGAGAAGAGAGGGGGGGTTCGGATGGGAAACATCGACCCCGGCTGGTGGCGGCCACTCGAATAACAGTCCCCGGTGCAGAAGACAGCACAGCACAACACAACACAACCTGGACTCGACTCAACCTTTACCCTACCGCAGTGCGGCTTGGCTCAGCCATTGCTTTCCAAAATGGAGGCGATGGAAAAGACAAGGTGAGACATCCAGCTCTCAGAAACAAAGCAGCGTTGCTTGGAAAGATCCAGGGAGCGGTTTCTACTTATTCAGACTTCTTCTCTCCGTGGCGCTGGAGCTCCCACTGGCGCTCCCACTGGCGCTTGGTGGCGGCGCAGGCACCATTGGCAGAGCCGGCATTGGACTTTTGCTGACGTTCTTTTCATACCAGTCACTGTACGCCTCGTTCCTCATCACCTCAAAGTCTCGACTGCTGAGGTATTTGAATACCTTGGACGTGATCCCCGCACCATGCACCTGGGGCCGCTGCGGCGAGGGGCTGAGCTTGGGATCTATACCTTTCTCCCGGGTTCTATGATCAGCAGCACTCTTCTGCGCCGACACCGAAGGTTCCAGACTTCCAGCTACGCCTCTAGCGATGTGAGAGGACACATTGTTGGCCTTGGAAGAGGAGGGTTGTTCCGTCTCGTTGACGGCTGGATCTATGCTGTCCGATTCTTCCCCTTCCTCATCTTCTTCACCACAACCGAACAACCACGATGACAACACAATCACCAGCTTCCCCCTGGTCTTGTACGTCAGCCTACTGTATACCTTCAAGGCATCAATGACTGCTTCGGTCAAGAACACCTCTTTCCTGGCTCCACCGTCAGCCCGCTTGGAGGTTTCGTCCGCGTCGACCCATGACTTTGCAAGCAGCCAGACGCAGACGTCGAGCCTCACTTGAGCATTATCTGCACAAAGTGAGAGTCTCTGCAGAAATACGGTAGCACTGCCAGGCGACTTGAGGAGATCCCACAAAATGAGATTCAGCAGGTACAGATCGAGGAATAGAGCAAGATTTTGCTGGATTGACAGGGTCCTCCCTTGAGACTTTACCAGGACGCTCTCCACAGCGTGATGGATTGTCGACTTTCCCATCGCAACCGACCAGAGACTGCTTGATCGATAGGATATGGACCGGCTGTCTATGTTTGGTTTCACATCCTCATCACTTCGACGCCGAACTACTTTTGGCTGTGACCTGCTGCCGTCTCGCTGCATCGAGTGCAATGTCTCGAGGAACCTTCTGGTGGCACTTTGAACGTCCAACATGCTGGTGGCTTCAAGCTCCGCCATCGCAAAATACGCCAAGGAAAACATTGGGTGGGACATGAAGCACAACGCGGAGAACAGGGAGCCCACTCCACGTTTTGAAATCATCTGTGCCAGGCCTTTGAGATGGACTCTGTTGATCTCAGGACTCAAAGAGCGAGCGTCGGTTGACATTGCTAGACAAACACAGAGCAAGGCTTCGTCCGACGCCTGTGTCTCGGGGTCTGCCAATAATTTCGCGATATACTGGTATGCTAGGGCTTTTCGCTGATGCAGTCTCTGTGGGAAAGGCTGACGTCGAGACCAGGCCAAGAACATGTCGAAGAATATCAGAGTCCATGGCAAGCCGCCTGCGGGATACATCTGAATACCCCTCCATGCAATGTCCCTACACGGATCGAAAGAACCAGTGCTGTTGCTGCTCCAGAAAACCGTTGCCTGGTATTGAAGCCACTTGATGACGAAGTTCTGTTCCTCGACAGTAAGTGCATGAGGGTGTGGGCGGAGATCGTTCAGTATGGAATCCGCCGCCGATGTTGAAGATGGTTGACGCCTTTGGGCCGTCACGCTGGGAGGAATGGACGTGGTCGACTCGGCTGTGAGGCTTGGTGAATCCCTCGGACGATTCTTGCGACGTCTCCGTATCGCGGAATCCAGCTCTTTGACATGCTCCTGGTCAGAAGATGCCGAGCTCGATAGTCCATCTTTCGGCGATATTTCCTGTTTTGCGACAGAAGCCGTGGCAGACGCACCGCGACGCCGATGCGGAGCTCTTTTTTTCTGTTTTCGGAGGACCCAATCATGCTGACCGCTGGTCGAAAATACTCGAACCTGAGAGTCGAACGTTGGAGGGCGTGTGTCAACGTCGTGCGATGGGGACTCGGCACTTGAACTGGGCTCGTTTTGTGGCTCTAGTTGTACACGAAAACGATTCCGAGACATCGGTAAGGGCGAGGCCTGCGAATTTCGGAAGGTATTGACTTTTTGCTAAGGAACGAGGGGGCAGAAGAGGTGAAAGGCATGTGGCCCTTGTTGTTCCGGCCACCTCCTCCGGAGAAACGAGGGTGGTTGAGGGCAGGCGATCGGCTACAAACGACGAGCAGAAACCGTCGGGCAATGGGCTCGCTCATGAGTGTGATAGGGCTTCTGGATGTTATGCTGGAACAACTGAAGAGGATGAACAGAGGCACGTATCAGCCGGCCGGCCAATTGGTCTGCTACGCGGTCTCGTGCGTGCGGATAATCGGATATTGGATATTCTGTCCGGCGCCGATCTGTTGGATTGAGATACGAGAAGGGCCAAGCGACCCTACATATTATTGATTGAGGTTGGGGCCCCGACAACCGAGTGTTTGTGGGAATCTTGAAGAATCTGAAGCCTGAAGCTCATCAACCCGAGCATCACGCCAGGGCAAATTCGGTACGGGTCTTGCCATGTTTGACATGGGCGACATGAAGCACGAGCAGGTGGCATGGTGCGTGCAAGAGGTGAGGATCTCAGTGGCTGAGAAGCCGCCGGTTCCATTGGGAGCCCAGACCCGGGGCGAATGAACCGGGCGCTGATTGATGGTGAGGCTGGTGGGCCAGTGGGCTGAGGTACTGGCGCTGTTGTCAGTGGAAGGAAAGCCTCACGAGCCATGGGCGAGAGACGCCAATCATGGGGGGAACAGGACGGCTCACTAGGCTTTGAGATTCCCCGTTTGGCTTTCGATCCTGAGGTGTGGCCCCTGGATGGCCCCGACCCTAGGCAGTAACGAGTGGTTTCGCCCTAGAAAGGACTGCAAGTATCTACGAGACAATGAGGACGTGGTGCATAAGATGGATGAGAGGCGAAAAAGAGCTTACGAGTTACAGCGTCGAAAGATGTTGGATTCAATTCCTCCTCGTGGCCGTCTGACCATAGCAGAGAGGTACCTAGGACTCAGGAGACTCCGGGGTGCGGGCTTGCAGTACCCAGGTACCTAGGTAGGTAGTAGGTAGTAGGTACCTTTACTGGCATTCACGGGTATAATACCGAGCACTCGTTACCGTAGGGGGGCCGCAGTGCTTCAGGGGAACTTCGGGGGGCACCGGCTCCAGAGAAGCCACCCACCCTCACCAGCACCGCCACCACTACTACCACCACCAGCGGGGAGGAAAATGGGAATGCGCCCGTCCAGATTTACTCGTATGAAACGTCAGAAATAAACCCTGGAAGTCAATCGCACTGCTGCTGGGCTGCCTCCACCACCACCATCACCAGATCTCTGGGCGCTGAGATGGTGTGCTTGGGCTCGTCTTTCTTTCCTCGACATCCTCGGCTCTAAACATCTGCTCCGTTCCCGTTCTCTTCTACCACGTCGGGCCGAGTAACTCGTATGACTGCTCCGTACATTACTAAGTACCTAGGTATCCAAGCTCGGGTGCTCTACTACATACTGCTGCTACAGCGTGTCGGTCCGAGCTTTAGTTACCTAGTACCTACCTACTCGATAGCACGCAAGCTGAAGGGCAGCCAAAGCGCCTGACCAAACTACTTGCCCAGATAGTAGGCATTACAGATGTCATTATCATCCCCCCTCCCCGCTCCTTGGTGTGTCAGTACTCGGTACCTAGGTAGGTATTCACCCACTTTGATGATGACGGAGGGTCGGACTTATCGGTACAATACGAGCTGAGGTGGAGGGTGGAGGGGGAAGGGGAGCGAAAAGGAGGAGACAAGATTTCCCATTTGCCGAGCTTGATGGCACTCCCTCAATGATGCAAAGTGATAGCATTATTAATGTCAGAGCACATACAAGAACATTCATTCGCACGCGGCCTCATGATGACTCGATGATTTTATATTTCTGCTCTACTGCTGCTGCTGCTACTGCTGCTCCTTTCAGAAGGCTTTCCCGACATTCCCATTACTACCTGAGGTACTACAGTCACAGTTACTGCCACCACCGCTGCTACAGCCCGCAATTGCTTCGTTCCTCGGCACCAAGATCTCCTGGTGTAGCCTCGCGACCATTCAGTTCCTGTCCATCAGCTTACAAATCCTTGCACAAGGCTACTGCCGGTGCTAACACCGCATCGCCCGTCATGAAATCGGCCCACGTCTTCAAAAAGGGAGAAGATCAGCTCGACGTCCAGATCAAGGACATCCCAGTCCCCAAGCCAGAACCTGACCAGGTCCTCATCAAGGTAGTCGTCTCCGGAACAAACCCCAAGGATTGGAAATACCCCATCCTCGTCAAAGGCGCCACAGGACTCAACACAGGCGACGACATTGCCGGCTATGTCGAGGCCGTCGGCTCCAACGTCACCGAATTCAAGGTCGGCGACCGCGTAGGTGCCTTCCATGAAATGCGCACGCAGCATGGGTCCTTCGCCGAATATGCCATCGCCTGGGAAAAGACCACTTTCCACCTCCCCAAGCAGACCTCGTTCGAAGAGGCGGCAACTATCCCCCTGGCTGCCATGACTGCCGCCGTCGGACTTTATTGCCGCATGGGATTACCCGAGCCATGGGTTACTGTGTCTCAGGCCCGTAAAGATGCTGTCGCAGGCGGAGTGGTCGTCTACGGCGCTGCATCTGCCGTGGGCGCTTTCGCAGTGAAACTCCTTGCCCGCTCCAAAATACACCCCATCATCTGCGTTGCCGGTCGGGGCATCCCGTTCGTTGAAGGCCTGATCGATAAGTCCAAGGGCGACACCGTCATTGACTACCGCAAAGGCGATGAGCATGTTGTTGAGGGCCTTCGCGCAGCTGTACCTGCCGGACAGAAACTCCTTTACGCCTTCGACGCTGTTAGCGAAAAGGGTAGTTACCAGAACATTGTCAAGGCTCTCGATCCGCACGGACACATCAGTTTGGTCCTACCGGGGAAGAAGTACGAAGAGATTCCCAAAACGGTCAATCAGACGCTCACAACCGTCGGCTCCGTGCATGGTGTACCCGACGACCTGAGCGACTTTGGGTATGCCTGGTTCAGACTGTTCAGCTTGGGTCTGAAGGAAGGCTGGTTCAGTGGACATCCGTACGAGGTGGTACCTGGTGGATTAAACGGGGTACAGACCGGTCTGGAGAATCTTCAGCATGGCAAGGCTAGTGCTGTGAAATATGTATATCGCATTGCCGACACAGAGGGTGTGGATCGGAGCAAAATATGAGAATTTGAGCTGCCTCTATGACTTACAAATGGAAGCCAGAGATGCTGGGGCATCGAGGTATGCCGCCAATGCACGGCTTCAGGGTTCCGACCGCGTCGAGAGGGTGACCAAGTACTGATAAATGTCCAATGAAAAATTGTCCAACTTATATCAATCGCCCCATCGACGCTGTGCAAACCGGGTCCAAGTGGTTCTCGAGTAGTCTTTGCACTCTAAACGTCCCGACCGTTAAGTTTCCGTTGTACGCAGTAGGTGGCTAGTGCATCATCGGACACAGGTCGGGCTGACCCTTGTAGCCAGCTGAATGCTAAGAATGGATGCTGCAGGAGGCAAGCGATGATGCTCCAAGGAATCAAGACACTGCGTTGGTGACGTGATGTGAGGGTCCATTGGAGTTTCGCGAAGCTCCCTAATATCCTGGCCGATGCTCGAGCACAACACATCATCCCTATTTGGTCGGGATGGTGACAGGGACACCGGGACGTATCTGACTTGGCAGCTGCTCATGGGTGCACACAACTGTCTGCGCCCACTGCTCGATCGTCTATGTCGCATTTACCCATGGTCAACTTCGTGCTTGTCAAAATTGTGGGGGACGTTCAGCAGCCTGAGGAGCTGTCGATGGATGGCTAAGCATCCATCCTTTGTTGAAACTAGATGTCTTCCAAAGGCGCATTACAGAGTTTCCAGCGAATAGGCGGAGGCATAGAGGTGTTCATGAATTTTCCGATAACAAGTCCGATGATCTTGGTCAGAATATTGTCGGAAGAAACAGGAGTTTGCCTTGTTAGAACTACTCCATATACCACCTTGTGTGACCAATTCCATTCTGCCATTGACTCTAGCTTCAAGCAGTCTTTTTCGACCAGCTTGTACCAGCAGCTTTGGTTCTCCCGTCCGGTAGGCTTGAGGCAACAACACACTGGCAAAGGTAAGGAGGAAGGAGCAAACACAGCGGAAACGCACTTGGGCGTGACGAGTGGCATGAGATGGATATTCATGAGAAGGGACCCTGGTCAGTGTGCAGGGGTCCAAGAGCGCCCAAAGGTAAGAGTGAGAAAAGTTGGTGAATCGATATTCCTTTTCAATGAGAGAGTGGAGAGCCAAAACTCAATCAATATTAATTATGTCAATAGGCTGGTCCTGCTCAATTTGGACATAGTAGTGTCAGACAAGTTTTTAGGGTAAGCATGCATGATTTGCTTACAGCAAAGGCCCCTCGGGGCTTGTCTCCGCAATTTGCACAGGACAGTCGTGATGTGACTGGGGAGAACCTGATAGAGACAACGGGTTAGCTAGGAAAGACCCCATTTCAATGCGGTCAGCTGGTCCAGCCTCAAGCAGGGTAGATCTTTGCGTGGAAACATCCAGCCCTCTCCCCAGAGGGTCCGTGTATCCGCATATGCCAATGTTCTGTACGGGATGTGTCGGCAATTGAAAGGCGCCGGGCTTGCAGCTGCCATCAAATCCATGATCGACAGATAGCGCAAGTTTAGAGCAAAATGAAGTCTTGATGAGGGGTAGGACAGAGATTTGCAGGAAGCACATCATGAGGGATGGCTTGCCGTCCGGACCAGTCGGTAGGCGTCGGCACCAAGGATAGGGCCCTTTTTCCCTCTTTCTCGGAGGCTTTAACTTTGCTAGGCTGTTGCCCTTCGCCCTGTGTGGTGCATGTGCTGCAGCTAAGGAAGGCTTGGGAGGCAGTCTCCCGGTTGCTTTCAATTTTGGTGAGGCTTTGTCAGTGACCACTGCTGGGGAGAGATGGGCCTAGCGAGCTCGTGAGGCTTGTTAGTGCTCGAGTCTCGGTACTCCACGTAGGTCTCCGGGGGGCCGAGCGGCGTTGTTCAACCAAGCACCCCCAAGCATCGGCGGCCAAACCTCGTCCAGTAGGCGGGTTTTAGCGGGTGCACGGGGACTGCGCAGTTGGTGTTTCATGTTCCTCCCTCAGCTAGACGGGCGAATGGCAGCTCTCTAAGGCCATGGGAGCGTCCGAGATAGGCTAGGAGATTGGTGTTGATCGAGAAGTCCGCCAGGTTCTTGTGTTTTTCCCTCTCTCTTTCCTGCAGGTGCCAGCTCAAATGTTGCCAACTACCGGTCGAAGGGAGGGCTGAGACTGGGTACGTAGGTCAACTTGCTCAAAAATCCTAGGTATTGTGTGCGATGAGGCGTCTCGAAGACTGTGCCCAAAGGAAAACGAGTAAACGAAAACCCACCTCTGTATGCCCTGGGCGAGTTTAGTTCGATTCGACTCGACTCGACTCGTCTGCCCCTCTTGCAACAGTTTGCTTCTGAGAGTGTTACCTTGATGGTTGATCCTGTGCCGTTGTCGGGTGTTTGATTCTCGATTCGGGAAATGAGCAGTCCGTAGGCGTTTCCGAGATGAAGATGACTGGCAAAAAGGACACATCTACCAGGAATCTCGCGAACAGGGAAAAAGGACTGACTGATGACGATGCTGGGATCGGACAGAAGCACTAAACGATTTCTGTCCTTTGGGGGCCTGTTCTGCACTTAGCACTTAGCCTGGGTTATACTTGTTAAGTGGAAAGTGTTCCTTGGGGGGGACTACTGGGCCAGTGGCAGCAGCGAGCAACCCACGCGCATGCCTGTCCATGCCTGCCTATGCCTGCCGATGGCCGTGTTTGCCCTGTGGCCCTGTGGCCCTGTGGCCCTGTGGCCCTGTGGCCCTGTGGCCCTGTGCGCAATCCAAAATCTTTAATCCACATCCGCCATCCACTGGCAATGTCCACATCCAGATTCTGACTTGGCTCCTCATGGAGCTTTTTCACTTCCGTTTGCATTTCTTCACTCCCGCATTTTCCCATTTCCACCCTGCCCGCAATATCGCTATAACCACCACACTCGCGAGCCATTTATCCACCATATACGTAGACGTTCTTATCTTGCACTCACTTCACTTTCCCCATCCGTCTCTCCTTTAGCCCAACGAGGCCGATCCAGACTTTATATCCCTCCAGTTGGCTTGCTGACCTGTAAGGAGTCACCAAGCCGACTGGAACGGAGCCCACCACCAGCCTTCCAGACCTTCATGCCGCGAAACCCTGCGGCGAAGAAGCACCAGCACAATAACCGCCATGAGAACGGTCTTGTAGGCCCCGGCAAACGTGTCACCAAACAGAAATCGAATGGTCATCTCAATGGCACCGCGAAGGGCCCTGCCCCAACCGAACCTGCTCCCCAGTCCAGCCCGACCGACAACTCTGCGAGCGCAATAGCCAACGATCGATCTCCCGCAGCTACCTCTGAATCGCAGCAGGACACGTCCAAAGGCTCCCTCAATTCTCAACCGGCGGCCGGCGAGTCCGACTTGAGCGCTGCCAAAGAGAAGGATACCAAGTGGGAGACGAATGGATCGGCCATGTTACATCAAAGACGAGGCGATATGCTGTCTTCCCGATCCAAGTCCGCTCAGGACATCAGCGCCTTTCATCTGGCCTCGACAATTCTGCGCTCCCGCCCGGCCTGCGATACTGTCTCTCTGCTGATCGTCCTCCTCGCGCTGCCGTCGATGGTGTTGACCATTGTCCAGGCTTTATTCGCGTCTTTGACTCTGATGCCAGGAGGTGGTGCCCCGGCTTCGCTAATATCCTTGCTCGACATCTTTCAAGGCTCGGCCGGTGTTCCCAACTTCAGCACTACTGCTATCGTTGACACAATCTGCTTCGGACTGTGGGTCGGACTTTGGACGTGGGCTCAAAATTTCGCGCTCGACCTGGCTCAGATACAAATCGCGATTACGCTTGGAAATGGCAGTTCTGGCAAGAACAGCAGAGTCAATACATTCTGTGTGGCAGGGGTGCTACTGCTGCACCTGGCGCGGAGTCGAGATGTTCGTCGATTTCTCTATTCGAATCTAGTGCCTATCGACCTCCTCTCCCAGACCGGACTGATGGACTATCTAAAATTTCTACCTTCGGACCACGATTTCGGCGACAGTCCCGGCCCACCGTCATATTTTAGGAGTCTATTCGCCATACACATAATCGCGCAAGGTGTCATGGCGAGCTTCCGACGTTATATATCCTCATACACCACAGGAACAGCCAAATCGAAACGCATAGATACTGAAGCCTCAGCGGGATCAGTGTCGGATGCTTCGGTGCTGGATGGCTCCGCCCCTACGGCTGTCTCGTCGTCTGTCGATTACCAGCCGCCCCCAACGCCTGGATTCAAAGACGGCAAAGATAGCAAAGGCATGAGCGCGAAGAAGCGCAGGCGTCAAGCAAACCACGTCAGAAGCAAACAACCGTTTTGGGCTGCTCTAGCCAGCACCAAAGTCCACGTCTTACGAGAAGTCGAGCACAATAAGGCTCTCCCAAGCGTTGGGAATAAGGAAGGGAGCCCTTTCGAAGCATCTCACCAGGACCTCGTTTGGATCATCAATGTGGAACCTTCATCGATCTCATTTGAAGCAACCTACATCTACGAATCGGAGCAAACACAAAAACCTCCCCAGGGAGCAGATTGCAGGCCGTTCTACGTCCGCATCAATGGCGCCAAGTGGCACGCGGTATCCCTCGAGCCGCTCGAAAATTCTTCCCACAATGACGGCGCTGGTGCTCAGTGGGCGGGTACGATTTCTGGGCTTGCGCCCAATTGCACCTACACCTGTACATTCATTAGCTGCGAGGGAGATGAAGGCTTTGCATCCATCATGGTCAAGACGCCGATGCTGTTGGATAAAGATGTGCCCGCCTCAATGGCCCCGGCGTCAGTCCGCCAATCTTCAACGCCATCTTCACCTACCACCACCCTGAAAAACTCCATCTCGACCGCGGAAGCCAAGTTGAATGAAGCTCGCAATCGACTCACCAAAGTTCGACGTCAGCACAGAACCGCACTGGTCAAGGTGGAAAAGGAGGTTGATACCTTTAACACTCGACTGAAAACCGCCAGTGACGACACAAAGCAAAAGCAGAAATTGTTGCAGGCTGAACGAAATATCCGACAGACCGAGGATGCAACCCAAGAGCTCGACGCCGCGCTCGAAAACCTGGTTTCTACGCCTGATGATGAGAGTGAAGACCACGCCGCCGCCAAAGAAACCCACGATGAACAGCAGAAACTCCTCTCTGAAGCCAACGATGCTCTGGCAAAGGCACGTTCAGCTGCGCATGATGACAAGGCTTGCGTCAACCAAGAATTGAACACAATTGTTACGCGAAAAGAACGTCTTACTGCCCGCAACTCTAAGCTGACCGAGCAGCACGATAGGATCACTCAAGCCAATGCCCAAGGACTGAATGAGAAGGAGAGAAGAGCTGCAGAGTCAAATGCCAAGGGAGCCGAGCAACAGAAACGTGAGGCCGAGCTCAGTCAAGAGATCTATAATCTGGACAGGGACCTGAGGAGTGCGAGGCTGCGGTGGGAGACCAATCTGCGCGACCTTGATATCTTGGAGAAACAAGAGATGGCTCAAAGACAAATGATGCTCAGCAACAGTGGTCCTCTCACACCAGAAGGCGAATTACCTGGCACTCGTCCTCCCCCGCAGCACGCCCGTCCGTTTGCGTTTGGGAGCTTCCAAGCATTTCCCAACAGCCCCGTCATCCCCGAAGTCCAAGGATCCCCTTTCGCTGCATATGCCAAGACGCTGCCTTCAGGTGACCAACGACGACCGAGATCGGATACCAATCGTTCTGCTGGTGGAATTAGCAATTTCTCTGCCGACTTTGAAGATGCCGACCCGATCCCGCCGATGCCTACCACCACCGAGTACGAGATGAATGGTCGTAAAGGAAGTGGCAGCAGTAGGGGCAAGAACAATGGCAGTCCAGCAGCAGCGGGGGTCATTGGTGGCGCATTGCGTAGTCCGCAAAGAGGGAGCTACAGTCCAGGGCATATTCCGGGTTCAACTACGTGGTAGGACCACTTTGGTCGTCGTTTTGGATGACTCGGGCTTCATGTCGGCTAGTTGTGGGCTTTGATGTAGTCGACTTAGGTGGTAGGTGATTTGCGATAGCTTCTCCCAAAAGCGGTTCCTGATCTATATATATCGTAAACGAAGTGATTGCTGCGTTTGACTCGTCAAATAAGCGTAGTCTTAGGCTCTGCTGGGTCCTTTCTCAGGGCCGCCCATACCTTGGAAGCTGATTCACTACAGAAGAGGTCGCTCAGGGTCACTAGGAGGAGAAAGTTCTGCTTTGTACCTAGATACCTAGGGGGTTGTCGCTCAGCTACTGCGACTCTATACCCAGCGAGCCAGCACCCCTAATAGATTCCTGCGAAATGAGTCAGATCAACCCGTCACGTGATGTTCGTGCCCAATAATTTCTACCTTACTAGGGGCCTCATTTTCTCATGTGTCAATCGAAACCTTGCCACGACATTTATACATGCGCAGTCTGCTACGAACGTGTAGCACAAGTCTGCCCATCAATCGACGCATCTACTCCATATTCCCACCCTCAGGCCTCAGCTGTCGCCCTCGGTACTGCGTCACGATGGGGAAAGACAAGAAGAAGAGCAAGGAAGTGGTGAAGAACCCGAAGGGCACGCGAGATTGGTCTGGTGAGGATATCGACCTGCTCAAAGCTATCAGGAGGCAAATCGAGAAAGTGTTCGAGCACTATCGCGGGCTCGAGCTGGACACTCCTGTTTTTGAGCTGCAGGAAGTTTTAAAAGGGAAATATGGCGAGGATTCCAAATTAATTTACGACCTGCAGGACCAGGGCGGCGAGCTCCTGTCACTACGCTACGATATGACGGTGCCGTTTGCCAGATGGTTGGCCATGAATCCGGACATTGAGACCTGGAGGAGATACGCAATAGGCAAGGTCTACAGGAGAGATCAACCTGCTATCTCGAAAGGACGCATGCGTGAGTTCTGGCAATGTGACATCGACTTTGCGGGCGAGAGTGCTCCCATGTTCAATGACAGTGAAATGATTTCGATCATCGTCAAAGTCTTCGAAACCCTCGAGTGGAGTGGGAGGTACACGATCAAGATCAATGACCGAAGAATATTGGACGGGCTCTTCGAGGTATGCGGCGTCCCCGACGAAAAGATCAGGACGATATCCAGCGCTGTGGACAAACTAGATAAGCTGCCCTGGGCTGAAGTAAAGAAGGAGATGGTGGAGCAAAAGGGTCTCGAGGAATCAGTCGCAGACAAAATCCAGACGTACGTTACGAGGAAGGGAGGGAAAGAGCTACTTGAGGAGCTACAGAAAGATGAGGCTCTTATGAGCAACCCCAAAGCCAAAAAGGGCATTGAAGAGATGGAGCTGTTGATGCGTTACCTACGGAGGTGGAAGGCTCTGGACAAGATCTCCTTCGATCTATCTCTGGCGCGTGGCCTCGACTACTACACGGGCATCATCTACGAAGTCGTCACTGAAGGTTCTGCTCCTACATCCACACCTGCCCCGCCGGCCGACTCCGCGCCTCCCATGGCACCTGTTGCTACGAATGGCGCCCCCAATGGTATTCCTAAGAGGGAAAAGAAGCAAGTCACTGAAGACGAAGACAGATCTGAAGACCCGTCTGTGGGGGTGGGCTCGGTCGCCGCGGGTGGTCGGTACGATCACCTCGTCGAACGATTCCGACCCGACGCCAATATTCCCTGCGTCGGTGTGAGTTTTGGGATTGATCGCATAATTGCCATTACCAAAGCTAGGATTGCAAAGGGGGAAAAGTTCAGCTACATTACACGCAACCGAACCGATGCATATGTCATGGCATTTGGCGGTTCCGGCTTTGGAGGAATGTTCGAGGAACGGATCGACATTCTCGTTGCTCTGAGGGATGCTGGTATAAGAGCAGAGACCTTCTGGAAACAGAAGGCGAAGCTGCAGAAACAATTCAAAGAGGCAGACCGTGCTGGGGCACCAATTGCAGTCATCCTTGGTGAAGATGAGCAGGCAAGAGGTGAGGTGAAGGTTAAGCAGATGGGCCTTCCAGAAGGGGACCCCGAGAAGGACGGTGTGCTTGTCAAGGTAGATGATTTTGTTGCGAAGGTCCGGGAGCTGCTAGCAAAGATAGACGAGTAAGAGTCGAGGTCTGGGGAAGGGGGATCTAGACTATTGAGTTTCGAGGTGGCGCTCCGAGCCTGCAAGGCTGTATTATTAGAGCATCGGCTACGTAGATAAGGCTGACCAATCAGAGAACCAAAGACCGCGTCCTGCCACAGGTCCACGCCAAGCGCCCATCCTACGCCCAGCTTGAAACACCCCTTTGTCTCAGCAACCATTGTCTGCTACAAATCAACCTCAACCTGATACCCTCCAGCCACTGGGAGGCTCAACTTCGAGACTGTGATGAAGAAGCAAACGTCGCAGCTGGTGTTTGAGATGATGCTCGGCCAATCGCGACCTGATGGCCGCCCGCTGCAACCACTTCGCCTCTCCTTGCCCGTCTCTTACCATGTTCACTTCGTGGCATTCGCTGTCTGAAGCCGCTGTCCGGATGTCCATCACACCGAGAACAGTCAGCTCCCTTCAATTTGGGTCCTCGTCCATGTCCCCTTTCCATCTGGACTTCAAAATGCCCATTTAGAGTCGCGGGTTTCGCAATATTTTCTCATCCTCCATCTCCCATCTTCCTCATCCTCCCCCAAAAGAGTCATTCGTTCTCTGTTGCTGGTCCAGCATCTAATTTTCAATTCTCCTTTTTGCCATTCCTTTGTGAAAAAGCATTCCAATTCTATCGCGATGCCGGCTGTCCGCTCCTTTTTCACTCTATCCGTTTTGGCCGCTTGCCTGGCGCAAGTACGTGTCTCCTGCACTTCCCCGAGTCCTGTGTGACTGCTTGGCTGACCCGCAAATAGGCTTCGGCTGGTTCCGACATGGGCTCTAGTTGGGGCAATGGAGGTAGCGGCGGGATGAACCAAGGAGGCCAGTACGGCAGCGGTGGCTATAGCAGCGGCCAGGGTGACTCTTGGGGGGGCAACAGCTACAACAGCCAGTATACCTCGTCCTGGGAAGCTGCACCGACCACTGCCGTCCAAGCCCAGAGCTGCCCTTCTGCGAGCTGCCCGCCTCCCATGACCGAGACTATGACCGAAACAGTCAGTGTTTATCTGAGATGCTTCGACATGTGTCAAGTTTGGCAGTACTGACATCGAGCATTGCAGACCACCGTGACGGCCGTGTCCCCTTGTACCGGAAGCACCGTGACCGCCTATGTGACTCAGTGGATGAATGCTCCTCCCGGGTGCTGGTGTGGTTCTGGTAGTCCGCCTCCCATGGCCTCCGGCTTCGAATGGGGAGGTATGGGCGATGCTGCCATCTTCACATCCACCAATCCCTCCTTTACCCCTGGCCTTTCATCGATCCCAGCATCTGAAGCTGTCGAGACCGGTGTGACGGTGGCTGGTGCTCCACCCGCTGCGGCACCTACCGCTACTGTCTCTCCGGGTGGCTTCTTTGGAGAGTCATCGAGTAGGTTTCCCAATGCCCTTACCATTGCGACCACGCCGCTGACATTTCTTCCAGGCTCTGCGATGACCACATCTGGTACGATACCTTCTGGCCCTAGTAGCAGCGTCTCATCTAACATGGCTAAGCCTACTAAAACAGGGGAGGCTACTGAGACAGAAGCTTCGAGCTCGGCTACCGGTACCAGCTCATCAGCAGCAGCATCTTCCTCAACCTCGACAACTTCCACTACGACCTCCAAATCCTTGTCTTCGTCTTCATCATCAACGACAACAACGACAACCTTATCCTCAACTGAATCCGCCGCATCTGCGGTGGCCGCCTCGGCGACAAGCGGCGGGTTTCCGGTCGGCTCATTCGATACTATCGATCCCGCAACCCTTACGCTCAAGAACGCTTATACGCTAGGCATTGGAAGAAGAGCACCTGTACCGACTATGTTATCATAGACTCGCAAAAGAAACGAAAACCCCGCAACATTGAACGAATATACCCCGTGATTTTGAGGACATGGACGACATTGGATCGGACAAGTTATTATTGCATTTCATTTCTTGTATATTGAGAAGCCGGACTCTAGGAAAGACATTCCCTGGTCCCTAGCTTTTGGGTGGCACTATCTTATCGGAGAGTGCCTCGTGCTTGATAGGAAAATCTGACGCAGCGGTATCCTGGGCGCGGAGTGTATCTGCGTCGTCGGGCCCTGCTTTACTACCATCACCACCTTCCATTCTAGCTTTCTTTGCTCTTCTTTTCATCTCGCGTTTCGAAGGCGGTCTCTCTTCCGCTGTGAGCTGATTGTCCTGATGGGCTGAAATTACCAGACGTGATTCGGATGCCTTCCGTTTCAATCCATTGACGATCGTTTCCACTTCCTTTCCCTTCGGCATTTGATTCCGAACAACTTTACGTTGAGTAGTGTTCTCTTTTCTGTCCCCTCCAGCCCTGCTAGCAGCCGAAGAGCTCTCACCTCCATCGATGACATCGATAACACCTCGAAAACTTGACCTTTTGATACCCGCCAACCTGACGACCTTTCCGGCTTCCTCACACAGTGCTTCCTTTCCCTTTTCTTGCCCCAGTCCCCAGATCATTGCCAGATTAATCACGTCATGAGGTCCTCTCACTCCCAAGGCATTTTTGGCTTCACTGCTCAGGATTATTCCCTTGCCTCTCGTTGCCCGAATCAGTGCCGTTGCACCACTGATCAAATTTCTCCTCGCTTCATTGTTTCCTCCCGCCTGAATCGCAGGCGAGTAGGATATCTCAAAACGAATCCCGCGCTGCAGTGCCCCAGATACAGTTTTGAACTTCAAGGGGAACGACAGACGTTGAGAGAAGTCGAGGGAGATCAAATCGCAGTCGAGGGACGTGCAGCAGAGTTGGAGTGTCTTCTCCGTGGTTGGGCGCAGGGCAAGCAAGGAGTATGCCGGCGAGAACTGGGAGAGACGGTGGTTTTGAGTCGTGTCGGAGATCGTGAGCGTCAGTCGCGTGAGGACTGTGCCGATGCTCGCTGGAATGGTGATTGATGACACAGGGATAGGCTGAGGTGTAGACGGTAGTTTGCCTGTGACAGAGACAGAGATAGCGAGCACCGAATATCCCAGTTCGGCGTGAAAGGCGAGCGTGTGTGAGAGGTCTACATGGTTGGGAGTGTACACCACGTTAAGGTCGTGGAAAGGCATGGTGTTGTTGGCTTTGGGGGACGCGACTCTGCGCCGGTTCGAGGGCAACGACGAGCATGTTGTCACTGAGACCGGTCTTCAGTCGAGGTGCAACTCAGATCTCACCGACGTGCACAAAGCTTTTGATGCTGAGTGAAATTTAAACTTGTGAAAAAGAACCGAATTTCATGGTGCAGTTGTGGCGCGGCGGAAAATATGTCCGTTAGACTAGTACGAGGTAGTGATCCCTAGTCGGATCCCTGCCAACGTGGGATGCCATGTAGATCTCAAGGCTACCGCAGCAGAGATCGCTTTCCGTACCACAACTACGGCTCCCTCAATTCCACCCACTCATTTCTCCCATCTTCATTGTTTGGCTTATTGCCTCCAATTATTAGGCAGTCAGTCGCTGGCCGTGCCTTTTCCTTCCCTGCCGTTTAGCCGTCGCACACTCCAGCCGTTCCCTGCTCTGCTTCCCTCCTCCAACGCATGACACAGCCACACGATCTCCTCGCAGTGCAGCCGACGCAACCGAAGCCATGGCGCGAGTCTACGCCGATGTCAACGCCAACATGCCCCGGTCATACTGGGACTACGACTCGGTAGCCATCTCGTGGGGCATTTTGGAGAACTACGAGATCGTCAGGAAGATCGGTGAGGCTTTCGGCGAGAGACAAATATATCATGAGGTGGAATAACTGACGGGCGAGTTGTGCAGGTCGCGGGAAATACTCTGAAGTCTTTGAGGGTATCAACATCGTCAACTACCAGAAATGCGTGATCAAGGTGCTCAAGCCGGTCAAGAAGAAGAAAATTAAGCGTGAGATCAAGATCCTTCAGAACTTGGCCGGTGGTCCCAACATTGTGGCATTGTTGGACGTGGTACGGGACAGCCAGAGCAAGACGCCCTCTCTGATCTTTGAGAATGTCGACAACACCGATTTCCGGACCCTCTATCCCCGCTTCGTGGATTACGACGTGCGCTACTACATCTTTGAGTTGCTCAAGGCGTTGGATTTCTGTCACAGCAAAGGGATCATGCATCGGGACGTCAAGCCGCATAACGTTATGATCGATCATGCGAAAAGAAAGGTGAGGGATAGCCAGATCACACAAGCAAGATGTTCTGAGTTGGGAATATTGCTGGGTATGCTGACGGTGTTGTGACTACATAGCTTCGACTTATCGATTGGGGTCTCGCTGAATTCTACCACCAAGGCACAGAGTACAACGTGCGCGTCGCCTCCCGCTACTTCAAAGGGCCGGAGTTACTTGTCGATTACCAGGAATACGACTACTCGCTGGACATGTGGTCGTTGGGAGCAATGTTCGCCTCCATGATCTTCCGCAAGGAACCCTTCTTCCACGGAAACAGCAACTCGGATCAGCTCGTCAAGATCGCCAAGGTGCTCGGTACCGACGATCTGTTCGAGTATCTAGATCGCTACGACATTGAGCTGGACGCGCAGTACGACGACATACTTAGTAGGTTCCCGAAGAAGCCGTGGCAGAGCTTCGTCAATGCGGATAACCAGCGCTTCGTCAGCCCGGAAGCTATCGACTTTCTGGACAAGCTGTTGAGATACGATCACCAGGTATGTTACACCAAGCTTGTTGACCATACTGTGTCTTGATATTGACTGTTCTGCGATAGGAACGCCTTACTGCACAAGAGGCCATGGCACATCCCTACTTCGCCCCCGTGAGGAATGCGGCAGCACAACAGCAGCAGCAGAACTCCCAGAACCATGTCTCTTGAGCGGAGCTTCAGTGCGAGGTGCGACCACTCTTTTCTGGCAGCGGTTCACCTCAAAGGACAAGAGCACGGGGCATCCCAAGGATGTTTCTCCGACCGAGTGATGAGAGATGACGATGAGGATGACTCAACCTCCACAGCGCCGTGGTAGCGCGAGGACAGCAGGTTCAAGAAACGGCCCAAAGAGGTGTAGTTTGGGGAGACCAGTGGAGGCCAGCATGATAGGATGTTAAAGTCTGCGAAATCGTCTTTCTCGGGAGAGGAATGAAGGGGCTTGGGGCTTGTGTTGCAAGGAACTCAACTCACTCTTTGGCACGCTAGCGTAATACAATTCTCGTACCATGTCATTGCCTTTGGTTCTTCTCGCAACCATTTTCTTTCTACAAGGTTGTGTGTGAGCTCGGCCTGATTTACTCAGTCCCTTTCCTCACTATACTAGGTATCTGCCCCACGCGCCCTCCTTTCGCTCAGTATCAATAGCAAAATGGGACGCGGAAGTTGATGAATCTCTCGTCCCGTTCTGCTGCTCTTATTGACTTTGTTTATATCTCGGCTACTTGGCAGCCACTGGGTTCATCGGCGGTCTGATCATCTCAGCACCTATATTGTACCGATAATTGCATCGTTTCTGGTGAATTATCTGATCAAGGTCGAGCCTCTTTGCTCAGTCTGGCTTCATGCTTGCAAGACGCCCTTGGTCTGAGCTCATTTTGAGACTGTTTCACACTGAGAATACAAGGCACAGTGGGTGGTCGTGGTCATGACAGGTCTGCTGTCTACTTGCATTGCGGCGAGATCAGCTCCGACGACCGTGGCAATGAACTTTGGCTGATTTGTTGGAGTGTCGCCTGGCAGCCCAGCACCCGCTTCTACAACCATATCTACTGGGGAAAACTTGCCTGACGATGCGGCTATTATCTCTAGATGAGGAACTTGGTTGATGAGGAACTTGGGTCGAAGCAGACGGGCTGTTCGTTGATGTCATAGTTGCCAAGGCGCTAGATGAGGCTGCTTGGACCACATGCTCGTCCTCACACTCCTTCTCACACTCCTCCTCACACTCCTCGTTGCTTGCAAGCTTCTCCAAGCGATCGGGTCTTTTTCGATAGACTATTCAATACATCAATCCTGAACCGCGGATCTTTGAGAGCATACTTGATATCTGTTGTCCTGGCCTGTTTGACAATCGTGGCGATGCACTCTCCAGGTATCCGAATGCTTTTCTCCGTTTTGGCACCACATTCGTAGGACTCCGAGTATGGTAAGCTTGCCAGCATTCGTGAGGACTTCCCAAGTACGATTTGAGCATCGAAGAGGATCTGCTACTGCACAATATCGGTTCGGAGTCTATTCGAAGACACCGAGACTCCTGGAATGGATGGGTTTGAAAACGTCACCAGAACGATACTTTCCTCTGAAGACAACATTGCCAAGCCTACTCACAAGGTCAGGGATATCAATAGCGAAGACGATAAAAAGGAAGATCACATACTACCTTGGAAATTCGAACATATTACTCGAATTATCAGAAATATCTCCATCAACCTAGCAAAGACCCTGGGCACATCGGAGCGTCAGATCCGGGTCCAGAGGGACGAAGGTAAGGTCAAAATCTGACATGCCCCTATCAGAGAGCGGCAACATCGGCACCATTTCACACCTCCTTGATTTCTCACTCTTTGATTTCATGATGACTAGTCCATCGTTCTCAAGCCAGCTTCAATAATATACTATCTCGGTAACCGTTGTTTGCTCGAAATGGCATGGGTCAGGGGCCAGATGGCCTTACCTTGGCGTGGGATTGCGCTCGAGGCTTCCGGTGCCTTGCTGACTTGCATTAGTCCTTGGCCACCCAATCACAAAACGTGACTTCTTGGTAGCACATGGACTGCTATCGACACATTTCTTACTCCTACAGCTTTTCCTTCACGCTTAGGCCATATGGAGTCAACATGCAGTGTTAGCCAGGGCGAATCAGCCGCTTCCTGTCAACCACACGAATTCTCAGGGAATACCCGGGTGGGAATTGACCCCGTTTTGAGGCTGCATCTCCTTCTCATCTAGCTGTGCCATGAGGCCTGAAGCCTACTCAGGCGCTATGTTCAACTACAGGAGCGGACGTCCGCCAACGCCACGCATTGACTACGAGAAAGTATCGTCGCAAAGGGGTCACCGCTCCTTCGTGTGGACAACAGATGTTTATATATTGTCTGGTTGTCGTATCAGAACCTTGAGCGTCTCTTCCCGCTTCACTTGGAGCTACGCTTCCATTGCCCTTGCCGTTTGCCCATTCATTCGCAGAAGCAAAGCATCACCATTAGCTGAGGGTGCTGGGTTTCATCGAGCAAAGTCAGCCTGATTCTCAACAAACTAAGAACTCCTTGTGTTACACGATCCCCTGTGGCTCTCGGAGATCACAAACCGACCTGTTTCAATTGTCCTCTCAATCCTTTCTTTGGTCCTACCTGACAACCCCCTATAAAAGCATCAGGCTGTACTGCAGAGAATTGGCTCAAGCAATGATGTCGGCCCCATCGGACAACCTTACGACCCTTCTCGCCTTGCGCGACTCTCTCAATGCCTCAATTGATGCGCTTTCCTTGCTTACGCCGGAGGAGAGATCCCAGCCACCCCGTGTCAACCAAGTGCGTGAGCAAATATGGTCCACCGCCACTCGAATTGCCAGCGAGACCGTCAATCCTTCGCAACAAGCCACTCTTATCTCTTTCATGGTGAGGAAGATGCTGCGATACCCCAGATTTTCAGCCCCAGTTTGTTTGTTGACGCCTTCCAGCCATGGCTCAACGCGGTGGTGCGGACCGCCCTGGAGCTAGACCTGTTCAACCTTCTTGGACAGTCAACCACTGCATCCGAGCTTGCGCAGAAGGCCGGAGCGGACGTGACGTTGATCGGTGAGCTCATTCTCGGACGGCGGGAGGCGGCATTGTGAGAAATTGTCTGCTGACATGACCCTCAGTGCGCATCATGCGGGTCTTGACGGGCTTTCACATTGTCTCGGAGCTTGGGGAGGAAACGTACGCTGCAACGCCTGTTTCGCGAGCTCTAACCATGCCAGCAACGGCGGACTTGAACAAGCACACGTGAGTCTTCCTTCCCATTCGTCGACTCTCTCTATCCTGTTGATCAGGCTTCTATTGACGTCTTCTATGCTCCCTCAGATTTGACAGCAGCTGGGGCTGCATTGGAAAGATGCCTGCTTACCTTGCCGAGCTCGGCTACAAGAACCCTGACCAGCCCGAAAACACCCTCTCACACTATGCAACAGGGACTGACTTCTTCGCGTACCTGCGCAATGACCCTGGGCGTCTCGCTCGCTTCAACTCGGCGATGAAAGGAGCGGCGGGGTTACTGGTGAGCCCTGTCCCGAGCTCCCTGCTTGAATCTGGGGCTGGTGGAAGTGGCGTGGTCATGGTCGATGTCGGCGGAGGCCATGGTCAAGTCACGCAGAAAGTCATGGAAGAGAATCCGCATCTCAAGGGGCGTTTCGTTGTGCAAGATCTCGGCGCTATCATCGACGAGGCACGTGCCAGAAATCCTGCATACGAGGTCATGGAGTATGACTTTTTTACTCCACAACCTATCCGTGGTAAGTACCGGTGTCGTGCGATAGATTCCTTGCGTCGGGCTTTTCCCCCTTCGGTCGCCCTCTCCAAAAAAAGAAAAACCCCTCCTCTTCCTAACTGCCTCAACTAACGCTTGCGCAGGCGCACGCATCTACTTCATGCGTCGTGTCCTGCACGACTTCCCGGACTCCAAGTGCCGCGAGATCTTGCAGAACCAGATCCAAGGCATGGTCAAAGGCCAGTCAAAGCTGCTTATCTGCGAGACCGTCTTACCGGCTGTCGGGTGCAGTGGCTTCGAATCACTCGCGGACATCAGCCGCACTACCTTCAGCTCGATGCAACGGAGCGAAAAGCAATGGACGGCGCTCCTGGCGAGCGTAGGCCTGAAAATCGTGAAGATATGGCCATCTAAGGTAATGGGACCATTTGCTGTCATTGAGTCAGAGCTCGAATGATTCATGTTGTCTACTGAAACATTTGACAGTTGGCGATGTTGTTTGGACAGGGATAGAGCTTTGAGCAAGAATATGTGGAGATAGAACCTTTGTCTCAGTCGTACCTGGGTGTGTCATTTTCTACAGCGTTCTCCTCCTGCGAAACGAGGCATGATAATGAGATCGAATACTACCTGGTACCTAGGGAGGTACGCTATCGAAAGCCCCTGAGCCCCTAGAAACAGTTAGCGTCTTGCCAAGCATATGACACGTGCCATGAACAGCTCGTAGGGCGGCGCTTATGCTCGGCCGTAGCAGCAATTCTCATTCAAGGCTCAGTTTGCGACTCATAAAGCCCCCATAAATTCGAAATTGTCGTCACAGTCATATTTCGAGCCTAGTTCAGCTCGCATAGTCTATGGCTCTTTCTTTGTTGTATTCATCTCCCTCGAATTGACCTGAAGAGCAAGAAACCAGTGCAGCCACGCCGCAAGGCAGTCGAGCAAAATACTTATCAGATCTTTGTTTCGGCGCCCTCCTGCTTGGAGACGGCTTTCTCGTTTCAACATGGCGCTCAATGCCGCCTCACATAACATAAGTATGTCGAGTATCGAACATTGACCAAAGATCGCGACAGAAACTGACATGCTTGCAAGCTGGCTCGCCAACTGGTTCTCCCTCTGGACCACCGCCTCCAGTGTCCTCCGACATAACCTCTGCGGCCAAAGGCTCGGCTGCACAAGACGCCATGGGTCAGAATGTGCCCGGAAAGGATCTGCAAGACAACGAGAAAGGTCAAACCGTGATGGGTGAAGCAGGCAAGGAGAAGACTGCAAAAGAAAGTATGCAAGATAACACTGAAGGCCCGCATTGACAAACCCTTTCACCCTCGCAGTTGTATTTGGATGATCCGAACTGCACGACCGAGATATGACTCACCTGAAGCAAAGTACCGGACTGCCAGATGTTCCATGGTGTATGACTGGGAAAGCATCTATAAAGGATGGGCAAGGTCTCGTAGCCATATCGTTCTTTTTCCCTCAATAACAATCCACTCGTTACACCCATAACGTCGCTCTGCTCCTATCCCGCTTCGTCCGAAGGATATTAAGTCTGACCATCATGCCTTCCGCAGTTGAGAAAGAACGTAAGAAGGCCGAAAAGCTCGCCAAGTTCCAAGAAAAGCAGTCAAAGAAACAGACTGCGCCCGCTCCTGCAGCCGAGGCCGCCACCAAGACCGCAAAGAAAGAAAAGGTCAAAAAGCCCGCCGCCGTTGATGCCTACGAGCCGCAAAAGATCGAATCGGGCCGCTATGAGTGGTGGGAGAACAGAGGCTACTTCAAGCCACAATTTACGAAGGACGGGAAGATCAAACCAGAGGGCAAATTCGTCATTCCAATACCTCCACCCAATGTGACGGGGTCACTGCACATGGGCCACGCCCTTACGAACGCGTTGCAAGACACAATGATTCGACACGCAAGAATGAAGGGAAAGACTACGGCCTGGGTTCCCGGCTGTGATCACGCCGGTATAGCCACGCAAAGCGTGGTGGAAAAAATGGTTTACAAGACCGAGGGAAAGACCCGGCATGATCTAGGCAGAGAGGTCTTACTCGAGAGGATTTGGAGCTGGAAGGAGAAATACCACGCCAACATCACAAACCAGCTCAAACGTCTGGGAGGGTCCATGGATTGGACACGTGAGGCTTTCACCATGGACGACGATCGCTCCTTTGCAGTGCGTAAAACTTTTGTCGACCTATTCGATGAAGGTATCATTTACAGAGCGGACAGGTTGGTGAATTGGTGCTCTGCTCTGTGCACCTCTTTGTCAAACCTTGAAGTGGACAACAAGGAGCTCAAAGGGCGAACGAAGTTGAAAGTGCCGGGGTATGACAAGATGATCGAATTCGGTGTTCTCACTTACTTCAAATATCCTATCAGCAAAGGAGACGGGTCAGACAAAGCTTCGACCTCATCAGATCGCTTCAAGGGCTACGAGTTCATCGAGATCGCCACGACTCGTCCGGAAACCATGCTTGGCGATACAGCCATTGCCGTGCATCCCGATGACAAGAGGTATAAGCATCTTGTGGGCAAACTGGCCATCCATCCCTTCATTCCAGATCGCAAGATCATAATCATTGCGGACGAGGAAGTGGAGATGGACTTTGGTACTGGTGCAGTGAAAATCACTCCTGCACACGACCCCAACGATTTCACCAAGGGCAAGAAGCACAACTTGGAATTCATCAATATCCTCAATGATGACGGCACGTTAAATGCGAACGCAGGGCCCTATGCGGGACAAAAAAGGTTTGACGTGCGTTATGCTGTTATCAACGACTTGAAAGCGCTCGGCCTGTATACAAAACAAGAGGATAACGCAATGACGATTCCGATGTGCCAGAGGAGCAAAGACGTGATCGAGCCAGTCCTAAAACCACAATGGTGGATGAAGATGGCTGATATGGCTAAAGCGGCAGATGAAGCTGTCCTAGACGGCCGGATTCTTATCAAACCCGAGTCGGAGTCGAAGCGGTTCCATTTCTGGATGCAGAATATCCAGGATTGGTGTATTTCTCGACAACTCTGGTGGGGTCACAGAGCACCAGCCTACTTTGTCGAGCTCGAGGACAAGACAAGTGACGAAGCCGACAGCAAGTACTGGGTGGCAGCCTTGGACGAGGAAGAGGCTCGAGCTAAAGCAGAAGAGAAATTTCCTGGAAAGACGTTCACGCTGAGATGGGATGAGGATGTGCTCGATACTTGGTTCTCCTCCGGTCTGTGGCCATTTACAACGCTTGGGTGGCCAAAAGAGACGTCAGATATGCGAGAATTGTATCCGACCAGCATGCTGGAGACCGGATGGGATATTCTATTCTTTTGGGTGGCCAGAATGGTCATGTTTGGTCTGAAATTGACCGGCGATGTGCCTTTCACAGAGGTATATTGTCATTCCTTGATTCGAGACGCGGAGGGACGGAAGATGTCCAAGTCATTGGGAAACGTGATTGACCCGCTGGACATCATTCGGGGTATCACGTTAGATGATCTCCACAAGACACTGTACGCCGGCAACCTTGATCCAGCAGAGATCGAGCGTGCCAAAAATTACCAGAAGACGGCATTTCCTAAAGGGATTGAGGAATGCGGTGCCGACGCCCTACGGTTTACACTGGTGAACTATACCACTGGTGGCGGCGATGTGGCCTTTGACATCCGGGAGATTGAAGCAAAGCGACGGTTCTGCAACAAGATCTACCAAGCGACTAATTTTGCGCTGGGAAGACTTGGAGGAGACTTCGTCCCCGATGCGAAAACAACGGACAACCAACCAAAATCACTGGCAGAGAAATGGATTCTACACCGACTAAACATCGCCGCTCAGGAGGTCAATAATGCCATCGATGGGCGGGAATTCTCTGTGGCTGCGGGTACCCTGTACCAATACTGGTTCACCCAGCTGTGCGACACATTCATCGAGAACTCAAAATACATTCTCACTCCAGAGGCCCCTGAAGATGAGAGAAAGTCTGCTCAGCAGACCTTATACACAGCCCTTGAGGGCGGTTTGCTGCTGATGCATCCTATCATGCCTTTCTTGACCGAGCATTTGTGGCAGAAGCTTCCGCGTCGGCAAGGTGACACCACTGAAAGCATCATGATCGCGAAATATCCCGAGTTCAACGAGAAACTCGACGCCCCTCAGGAAGCTCAAAAGTACGAGTTCATCATGGACATTGCGTCGGGTATTCGAAGCTTGCTTTCGCAGTACGCTTTCAAGGAGCCTGGAGACATTATCATTCAAACCTACTCGGACTCGGCTTTCAAGACGGCGTGGGAGGAACAGAAGTCCATCAAATCTCTGGGCGGCAAATACCTTGGCAAGATTGAAGTCATACCACCATCTACGAATCCCTTTCCGCCCGCTGGGTGTGCTCTGCAGAGCATCAACGCGGATGCTGCCGTGTATCTCCAGATTGCTGGACGCATTGATGTGGCTGAGGAGTTGAAGAGACGTCAGAAGAGCATTGAGGATGCCAAATCCCGGGCGGAGAAGAGCAAGAAGATCATGAGCGGAGCCGGGTGGGAGAAGGCGAGTAAGGATACGAAGAAGAAGGAGGCAGAGAAGCTGCAGGATGCCGAGAGCGAGGTGAAGAGATTAGAGGAGGCGATCAAGGACTTGGAGAGGTTGAAGCTGGAGGGTTGATGAGAGACCAGGACGGTCACAAAGGAGTTGAAGCATTGACCTTCGCCTTCACGATTGTTGTATCAGAATACTAGCATTCTCAAAAGGGTCCCATGCAAGAAGGTACACCCGTCAAAAGCTTGTTCTTCACAGGGAATCACAAATCTCAGGAGATGCAGCCTTGCCGGATCAATAGTACCCAGGTATCTAGGTAGGCTCGGCGGCGCCTTTGACAATGGATCTTTTCGATGGAGTCTGTGTGCCGTTGATTGAGCCGAGCGAACGAACAGCAGACGACAGAACGCAGCTTGTAGTTGTGGTTATAGACTTGAGAATATGCCTACAGAGCGTAGATTGAGCCCAACTCGCTAGGATCAAGTAGCGATGTCGGGGAGTAGCGGGAGGGATGACCGTCGAGTTCCGGGGCCGGCAACGATAGAATCATAATTGACTTGGAAAGGTGCATTTAACTTCAGAGCTTCCTGACGTACGTAGAACATCCTTTTGAAATCCATTCTGTCTTGCTGTGGGCCTCTGCGACGCGTCCAATTGCGTGCTCCGCGGCCATACACAGTTTTGTGTCGAAATTGTAATTTTTCTGTTTGCAGACTTTGTAAGCCAGAACTCGCAGTCACAGCAGCATGGGTTGAAGAGTTCCAGAAGAGTCAATTGACAGTCTTTTTTCCCACTTCCCCCTTTGCGCATGCGAGCTGGGCGATCTCCCAGCAAACGCCCCCAGCTTCTCCCTTCCCCCCAAATGCCGCTGACGCACTTGTTCCGCGCTGAAACGCGACACATGTCCTCCTGTCAACGAGCTAGCCTCAGCATTACCAACTCCAGTCAAACACTGTTTCGGGGTCGAGGATGCAGAGCCTCAGGTTACTCGTCCTATAATAACAACAATAGATTGCATGCTACCTGGCATTCTCCGAGAACGTCCTTCCCTGCCCTCAACCGCCTCTCGAACGTCCCTCCTGTACGAGTGTCAATGACGCGCTCAAATACCCAGCAACAGACGAGAAGTCATGCGGGACACTCCCATGGCCACGGCCACGCACACGCACACGACACCTCCTACCTGACCTCTCAGAACAAGAACGATGCCGGGGTCAGGATCACAAGGATCGGGCTGTTCGTCAACCTGGGCATGGCCATTGGGAAAGGAATAGGGGGTGTGGTCTTCCACTCGCAGGCACTGATTGCAGACGGCTTCCATGCCCTCACCGACCTGGTGTCCGACTTCATGACCCTGGCCACCATCTCTTGGTCGCTGAAACCTGCGACAAATCGATTTCCCAGTGGATATGGCAAAATTGAGAGCTTGGGTGCTTTGGGGGTGAGTGGGCTGTTGCTCTTTGGAGGTGTTGGTATCGGCTTGAATGGGTTGGATGCCCTTTACACACAGTTCATGCTTGATCCTGCAGCTGTGGCGCATGCCCATGAGCATGCTGAACATGGCGGTGGAGGGCTGTTCTCCTTTCTAGGACATAGCCATACCCATGGACCTGTGTTACCAGACCTTAACGCTGCTTGGCTTGCGGCAGGCTCTATTGTGGTGAAGGAATGGTTATATCGAGCCAGTAAGTCTCGGCATGGACGTCGACCCTCTTACACACACCCGCTAAGCTAGCCTACAGCTATGAAGATTGCCCGAGAACGCAAATCCTCTGTTTTGGCCTCCAATGCAGTCCATCACCGCATCGATTCCCTGACCAGTATTGTGGCCCTTGCCACTATTGGCGGCGCACACATATTCTCGGACGCCTCGTGGCTTGATCCCGTGGGTGGACTGGTCATTTCCGCCATGGTAATAAGAGCAGGTTGGAACAACACAAAGACGGCTCTCCTCGAACTCGCAGATGTCACTGTGGACGATGAGATCAAGAGCCTAGTCCGCAGAGCCGCGTCTAGAGCTCTAAAGGGCGATGCTACAAAAGGCATTGAGCCTGTTGAGTTTGGGACCGAGACAGAGATCAGAGACATCCAAGGGGTCAAATCTGGTCAGAACTATCTTATAGATATTGAACTCGGGGTGCCCAAGGACTTTACCCTCGAGCAGATGGAGAATATCGAAGAAGCGGTGCGGGAGAGATGTGGCTCCAAAGTCCGCGGGGTCAGACGAGTTCGAGTCAAATTTGTCCAGGTGGGAGACACGCATGCCACCCTCGCCGGCGACTTCATTGCCACGGACGTGAGTCCAAGAAGCAGTCCGGAGCCGGAAGATGAACGCGATGAACATGACCACCACCATCATGAAGAAGGGCGAGGACATGACCATTCTCACGAACACACAAATGGCCATGCGACAACCTCGAGCAAAAAGAAAAAGGATTCATGAGCCATTCATTATGGGAGCCTCGTGTGGTTCCACCATGGAAACCGATTTCAGCGGGTTGCGGAATATTATTACGTCCGGGTGATATCAGGCTGATATCATTTGCGCCAAGAGGTCCATCAAATGTTTCTCCCCTCATCGCCGACGCGCATTTACTCCACCTCTGCTTTCATCATTCGGGAATCTCCTTTGTTCTTGAAGGTGTGAGTATTTGTTATGTTTGACTGTCGGTAGACAAAACGTCGTGTCTGATCATCTGTTCAGCATCCGAGTCAACTTTCTGCTCAGATCCAAACCATGACCTCCACCGGGCCTCTATATCTCGGCTTCGATCTATCCACCCAACAATTGAAAGGGTTGGTAGTCGACTCAAGCCTGAAAAAGATCCATGAAGCCAAGTTCGACTTTGACGCCGATTCCAAGGGTTTCAACGTGAACAAGGGTGTTCTTGTGAATGAAGCCGAACATGAGGTTTTTGCACCAGTGGCAATGTGGCTACAAGCCATCGATACGCTTTTGGGTCGTCTGAAGGACGACGGCCTCGATTTTGGTCGTGTCAAGGGGATTTGCGGGTCAGGCATGCAGCACGGGAGTGTCTTCTGGAACGCAGATGCGGAGCAACTGCTTTCTCAGCTCGACCCTTCAAAAACACTAGAGTCGCAGCTCGATGGTGCGTTCGCACATCCGTTCAGTCCCAACTGGCAGGATGCAAGCACCCAGAAGGAATGTGACGAGTTTGACGCCATCCTGGGCAATGAATCGCAACTAGCAAATGTAACAGGCAGCAAAGCACACCATCGCTTCACTGGCCCGCAAATCCTGCGATTCCAACGTAAATACCCAGATAAATACATCAAGACATACCGAATCACCCTTGTCTCGTCTTGGATTGCTACCGTCTTCCTCGGAAAGTATGCGCCGTTTGACATCTCGGATGTCTGCGGCATGAATCTCTGGGATATCAAAGCCGGCAATTGGAATGAGAAATTGTTGGAGCTCGCTGCAGGACCCTCTGGGGTAGACGCGTTGAAGAAGAAACTGGGCTATGTGCCTGAAGACGGCGGCATCCATCTGGGCACCATTTCTCCCTACTTTATCAAGCGTCATGGCTTTTCGAATGAATGCACTATCATCGCCTCGACTGGGGATAACCCTTCCACGATTCTCGCATTGCCGCTGCGCAACAACGACGCTATGGTCAGCTTGGGCACGAGCACCACCTTCTTGATGTCCACTACCGAGTATAAGCCGGATCCGAGCACCCATTTCTTCAACCACCCGACGACACCGGGATTATATATGTTTATGTTGTGCTATAAGAATGGCGGGCTAGCAAGGGAGAAGGTCCGCGACGCCATCAACGAGAAGCTAGGGGTTAAGGAGAAAAATTCGTGGACAGAGTTTGACAAGTACTTGCTTGACACGCCGCCCCTTGCACAATCCGACGAGAAAGACCCAGCACATTTAGGTCTTTACTTCCCTCGTCCTGAAATTATCCCTAACCTCCCGGTTGGAGAGTGGCATTTCTCCTACAACCCTCAAACTGACGAGCTCAACCCCGAGAAATCCGTCCCACAGCCCCCAGAACAAGACGCTCGGGTCATTGTGGAGAGCCAATTCCTCTCCCTCCGTCTCCGCTCAAGGGAACTGGTGTCAAGCCCTGCACAGGACATGCCACCCCAGCCACGCCGGATTTACCTAGTGGGCGGCGGCTCACGCAACAAGGCCATCGCCCGTGTGGCAGGTGAAGTCCTGGGTGGGTCCGAGGGCGTGTTCAAGCTCGACGTTGGTGAGAATGCCTGTGCTCTGGGCGCTGCGTACAAGGCCGTGTGGGCGGTCGAACGACAACAAGGGGAGACGTTTGAGGAGTTGATTGGGAAGAGATGGCGGGAGGACGAGTTTGTCGAGAAGATTGCGGACGGGTATGATGAGAAGGTGTGGGGGAGGTATGGTAACGCGCTCAAGGGGTTTGAGGAGATGGAGACCAGGTTGTTGAGAGAGCATGAGAGGAAGTGAAAAGTGTTGTTTTTGGGGGGTGGCACACACAGTCTACCTTACCAGGCCTGTACCAGACTCTGACGGGCTAAAAGTATCAGAATCGAACCGAATCCAAATTGAATGACTACCTATAACCGCAATTCGTCGGTCCGCGGTATTTCGAGTCAATTGCGCTTTTCTTGGGCATTTTCTCCACGCGTTAACAGATAGATTTGATTCTAGTAGCAACCACCACCTGCAGATCTGGGCCGATCGAGACGAGAGAGCAAGGCTACGAGTATACAAGCTCCGGTCTTAGGCCTGGACCAGGGAAGGGGAGTCAAGCAGCGATTCAGCATCCCTCCCGAACTCCCGCGAACAAGTTCCAGCTGTGCCGACTTGAACACGTCGTTTTTGTGCTTCTACATGTCCAACGTGCAACCCGGCACAAGAGAGAAAAAAAAAAGGGGGGGGGGGGGGGGGGGGGGGAAGGAGAATATTGGACAAGTGGTAGAATCGGATCGGACGGGGGGTTTTATTGCAGGCGGTTCATGCGTCGACAGTCCCAAAGAAAGTGATGGTACTTGGTCGATATGTCCTTTCTTCAATTCGGGTGGCAAGAAGTGTTGCCCTTTTGTTTTGGTGGTAGATAGGTCAAGTATACAGCGTTTAGGGCTTCGGATAGAGCTTGGGAGCCAAGGTCAGGGCTAAGTCGTCGTCGTCCGCTTAGACAAGCAGGCCTCCGAGTGCTTGTTCGCGCATGATTCATGAATGATCCTGCGATACAGTATTCTTGCTGTATAGACCATTTCTGCTTCGAAATTGCTTTGAGGCAGGTGGGTTGCGGGAGTCCTTCTCATTTGCAGTGCTTCTCGATCCGCCAGTTTACAGGGCCGTAGCCAGCTTGGGTTTGCTTGTTCCCCTGAATGGTAGCCCAGCACCCCCTTAACGCCGTCTTGCCATATCGTACATGAGCCCTTTTTGTCCTGTTCACTTGAAAAACCGTCCCATCACGTTACTCGCCAGATTCCTGGCGAGTCCAGAACCCGAGAGGGCGGATCCCGCGAAATTCGACGCTTGGCTGAACTTGTCGCAGCGCGAGAAGGCGACAGTGTTGGTGATTGTGAGGATCAGCGCAATTACTGTGTTCCGAAGGTTAGTATTCACGAGCATATTGTAAGGCCACTCCCTCGCTCCGGAAAGGTTGCGAGCCTCGCAAAAGAGGTACGTACCAACTGTGACCAGCCAGATCAAGTCCTGCAACCTCACCAACGCGAAAATCGCAAGTCCAACCCACAATGCCGGCACAATATACATGCTCAGCCAAAAGAATCTCTTGTCCGTCTTATTCTCCACCCTGCCCGTGCCCGCTGCTGATTCAAAGACCCAGTGCGAGTCACCGGTGGCAGTGTTGACTTCATTCCACCAGCGAAGGCCCACGAGTCGACGGCCGGCGATGTTCTTGAGGTAGTAGAAGTCGATGGACAATAGGAGGAGAGTGAGGATGAAGACGAGGACGAAGTTGCGGATGAAGAGTACCCCAAAGAGGTACATGAGGAGACTTCCTGAGCTCGAAGTGTCAGTAGAGCCTCTCTCTTCCATTGCGGTGATTGGGTTTGGCAGCATATATGAGGACGGTGTCTGGACATAGACTTACCTATTCGGAAGCCTAGGTATGTGAGGAGAGTGATGGGATGGGCACTGAGGCGCCAATTGAGGGTACCAGGCTCATCTGCCATATTGCCAATTAGGTCAAGTCCTAGTTTATCTTTCGTGCTAACTGCGTCGCATATTCAGGCGGGACAGATTTGGAGCTTGAGCCCGTAAGTGTGAAGACAATGAGGCTGGAAGTCTGGAAGGGAGTGCACGCGTTGCACACATGAAAAGCATCCACTGAGCCACGTCTATGTAAGGCGGGCGGAGAAGACCAGAGTTGCACCTACTGGGCGCCTATTGTAACCTGCTGCTTTAACTGTATGGGTGGATTATCTACCGGCTTGGGTGCTTCCACCCAACTTGAGCCTTCTTCCTATGCAGACATCGACGAGCTGAACCTCAGCAAACACATCATCCATTAATGTGAAGACCAACAACGGAAGGCTGGATGGCTCCTCCAAGCACAATAGACCGATAATGTCACCTTCCCTTCCTCCCCGTCCGGCGAGTCCACGAACAAGAACACCTCAAAACACCGCTGTCCATCTGCCGGGCAATCGAAAGATTCGACCTTTGGTCTATGCAATCGGGGTCGCTGGCATAGTCGCATCAGGGGCATTCATTGGTGCCATCTTGAAGACTGACAGGCAACAAGAGGCTGCAAGAAAGGTAGGCCAGATGCATCGCCTCTCATCTTCACATGCCGCCTCTTCATCCCTGATCAAACGTCCCTCAACTCCATACCTGAGACCATTTACCCTGTCTCTGCATGAATCAAAAGCTGACAAACCCTCTCTTCCTCCTCCAGCAAGCGCAGAAATCCTTGACTCCGTCAACACAGTCCAATCCAACTCCAAACGAAGAAACAGGCGAACGAGTGGAAGCAGCTGAACCCGCAATCGCCGCGTTGGGTGATAATAAGGTGTACCTCGGATCTCTTGAGATGTTGGAGACGAAGCGCGCCCAGCTCTTGGGTCAAAAGGTCGCGCTAGAACGAAAACTTCAGGACTTTCGAGAGTCTCAGCGAAGAAGAGCCGAGGAAGAGAGGGAGAGAAAGGAGTTTGGGCTGAGGAGATGAGGCTGCGAACCTTCTCATGGTCGTCCTGGCCGTTTGAGAACCAGGTTTCCAGACACATCCTTCATCACCTTCTCATCTCGCGGTCTGAATGGAAGGTTCGTAATAGCCACGTCCTCGGGGGATGTCTCTCGCACAATACCAAATGGCCCACGAGCCGCGCGGGTCACCGATGGATTTTGTTCAACTTGCGCGACAACGGTGGCATTGACATTGACAGTATTGGGGTGAGGACTATCTCCAATCACAACGCTTCCCTGCTCTAGGCGCTGGATCAGACGTCGATTGGCGTCCTGAAATAAACGTGCCTGCAGCTCTATCACCGCCGAAATATCAGACTCGGAGTCTCCGTCAAGCTCGAAGTCTCCCCAGGCTAATCGAATAGCCATCGCGAGATTTAGGCGATCCAAAAGTACAGAATCTTCATCCATGACCTCGACAAAATGGATTTGCCCAGTCGAGCGAGGCTGTCCAGGTCGTGGGTTGTCATTTTGGGCGCTTCCATGACCGGAGTGGGCTTGATCGGTCTCTTCTGGCTGGATGGTTCTCTCCTGCTGCGAACCTTGGAGGTATTCAGCGGTTTCAGCACGTTGGTGTGGCTGCGGGCGGCTCATGCTCTGATTCTGAGGTGCCTGTGGCTGTTGAAATGGGTCGGGAACATGGATGTTGGCAGGAGGAACGTGCAGTTCGTGCACGTTCTGGTGTGGCTGAGGAGAGATCCATGTCACAGTCCGTTCCCCGCGGACACTGCCTTTGCATCTGATGCATGGCTCCGAGGTGAGAAAGTATACCTCATTGAGACGAAATCCATTGCAGAGCTGCCTCGGTTCCCGAAGGCTAGCTGCGAGACAGCGACTAGGCTCAACATTTGGCTCGAAGATCTGTCCACACGTGGAGCATACTTGGGCAGTTCGCGTTTCCTCACAACGACACATTGATGTCTTGGATAGGTATGCGCTGTATCTGCTATGCTCTCGGCTGATGTTTTTGTATCTCTTGGTTGAGGCTCATAGACTTGTGGTGGACACCGGAGGCATGTCCAGCTTTGTATTGGCAATGAGAGCATGCGGATGTGAGAAACCGCTTGTGTGCTCCTTGAAGCACGTATAAGTCCGTCCCAGCTAGAATATGCCCTATATTATATTTGTTAGGTAGTAATAACTTGTGTGGACGAAGAGGCAAGGGAGGAAGCGGCGTGCGCCATTCTTATGAAAAGAAGCGGTAGTCTTCACCTGCTGGCATCTTCATTCACTACTAGGTAAAGTCGAACCCTTGGGGAGATGCGCCTCTGACGCGGCGGGATGGTACCAACTTGTGCGCCAATCACAATCGTTCACGGTCGCCTTGCCAGTAAAATACTGGTATCCGGGGTGTCGAATCAACCGTATCATCCATGATATCTATACAGCGAGCCTGTGGAAAAAGTCGACCGTAAAGACCAAAATCCTCACAGTCTGCCACGTCGAGCGATTTTGTCTAGGTTTCCTCAGAATATTCGAGTGCAGATTTCCCTACATTTGATCTTCTGCCCCTATAATCTCAGGATACTACGCTACTCAGTGATTATTTTTTTTATCTCAGAATACCTTGAGCATGGTAGTCGAAAAGGATTCTTGAAGTGTCGTGAAAAGACAGAGGTGATACGCGTCAGACTGCGGTATCTTGCTACAAGTAGGGGGGGCTCCAGATATCACTGCAGGGGGTGACAGGTACCTACCTAGGCATCTCCAGCAGTCATGGGATTCCAGGTTGTTGAAGAGGCGGACTAGCCGCCCACGATTAGTGGAGACCCTTCCTAAAGGAGAAGGAGGCCTGACTACCTAGTGGTGAATGTATCACAGGGCAGCAGGGCAGCAGAGCAGCAGAGCAGTAGAGCAGTAGAGCCGCGCAAAGGAGCCAGCTAAACGCGCCTCGTACTTTCTGCGCCCTGATTCTACAGCATCGTTCATCATCTAGGACGTCTGGACTCGGGAGACATCCAGAAGTGGTGCATGCGCACACACCAGCAGCAGGATCGAAAACGCAAACTTGTATTGTCATTCCCCGTCGCGCGATAAGTCAGAGCGCGCGTAATATTTGGATTCCCATCCATGTCCAATGACTCGAGACAAAAGTTTGCATAGATGCCATGCAAAAGCAGAGAGACCGAAAACCCGCACACATATCTCACACACAAAACTCCAGCTCAGTACCCTTTGTCGACCCATGTGTGCCATTTACCTTCGCACCTACCGCCCCCCTTGACGTCTCCCGCGTACCAAATTCACCAGTATTCCCGAAAAATGCTGCTTCACATTACGGCTAGACCCCTTCCATTCCCAGCCGACGTATGCCTCCACCCAAGCGAAGCACCCTCTCAAATCCGCCGGACCGTGTCTCAAAGAACCTCTACTTCTTCGACGAGGGTCCAAAGTCGGCTTCCACAGCTTTCTGCGCGTTGCGCTGCTTCTCAACCTTGAATTGGGCCACAATTGCAATGTGATCACTCGGGAAGTGAAAATTCGGAAATCCGGGCACTCGTTTCAGATATTCGGGGTCGATGGCTCCAAGCAACCCAACCACTCGCAGAGAGTTGCTCGAGTACCAGATGTAGTCTAAGACGTCGACAAAGTTTGGCGTGTAATTCGTGAATGGCATTTCCCCATCAATGGCGGCATAAGAAGACTTGAGCGTAAAGTTGTGCGACATACCCGCGCGGGAGAAGGCACCATAATCGCGGCCATCAAGATCGGCGTGATCGGCATTCAGACCTTTCTTTGTGAATAGATCGTAGACTGCGGATCCAGCTCCCGAGTTGAAGTCTCCGCAGATAATCATCGGGATCTGGGGACCCGACGTATATGACAATGACGGCCCAGGGTCCGGTAGCGGCTCATCCTCTGAATCAGAGAAGCGGAAGGCCTGCTTGTTCGTCGCCGGCGGAAACTTGGCGTACTTGTCAGTGAGCTTTGACAACTCCTCCATGAGGACAGCCGCCTGGATCAGTTTCACGTCTTTGTACGCAGGATCCCAGTAGATGTGAGCATTAACGACAACCACGCGAGAACCGGTGACACGATTCTCCAAGAACACAACTGTCGCAATGTCATCTCTCTGCCAGACCCGGTTGAGCATGTCTGCCGATGCTTTAGCGCCAGGTCGCTCTACTGCCTTTCTTCCGAGGACAAGATGTTGAGTGTCCAGCACCACATATTTCTTATCTTTCCAGAAGGTACCGCATCCGTCGACAAATCTAGCAGCGTCACCCAGCGTTTCAGCACGGCTTTTCTGTGCATAGTATCCTTTGTAGCCCGATATGGAAAGTTCACCACGGAAGTAATCATCGTAGCTGTTCCGGTCCAGTTCCTGAAGGCAAACGATGTCGGCGTTCATTTCCCGAATCTCCTCAAGGATCAGAGTCTTGCGAAAGCCCCAAGTAAGGACGCGCTCAGGAACGTAGCCATACTGCTGCTGCGTTGCGTAGCGGTCGCACAGAATGTTGTAATTCAGTGCCTTGATTGTGTCCTGCGTTGGGTCATTCTCCTCGATTTCCTCGATTTGGTGCCATTCTCTTTCTCGGGGAGGCGGAGGTTCTAAAGAAAAATTAGCTGCAAAGCACAAAAAGCAAATACACGAGACAGACCTGGCATGCTTTCACGGAGATATTCAATCAGTTTCCTCGTACCCCCCTCGGTAATCTTGTCGCGTTGCCCTTGCTCCAGTGGATTTCCATAGATACCGAGCACCTCCAATTTGTACAAAAAGCCGAGTTCGTAACACAGGGTTTGAATGTGGTTATTGAAGAGGAGAAGCTGCTTGAGGTTCGTAAGCATGCCAATCTCTTCTGGCAATTCTGTCAGTTGATTAAAAGAGACATCCAGATGCTCGAGGTTCTTTAATTGTCCAATCTCCGGGGGCAGGGCTTCTAGTTGATTATATACAAGGTCGAGGCGTTTCAAGAAATGGTAGGACGGATTGAATAGCACAGGCGAAAGCGCACAGAGACCCTGGCCACCCAGATCCAGCTCATCCCAGGTTTGCCTGCTAGAGGACTGTCCATTTGATGTGGTTGTCCGATTGTTATCTGTCTGAAGATCTTCCGCAGCGGCCCCTAACGGGACGTAGTTGACACCCTTGGAGTGATGCGCCACCGTGCGCGCTCGCTGATTTGGGCCGTTGAGATCTTTGCTTTCTTCCCAAAACTGCTTTTGTTCCCTCCAATATTCATTGTCTGGCTCGTCCGCATCGTCGTGCGGCAGTCCATTACCATTTCCGTTGGAGAGATGCTCGTGAGCGTAGGTGGGTAAATGAGGGGTTCCGGATTGAAAACCGCCGGAAAGATTGTGCTGATGTCCTAATTGCCCGGCATGATGGTGCTGACCGTGGTGTTGGGCGACGCTGTGATGGCCATGATGGGGTGGCTGGTATTTTGGCAGGTGAAGATTTCCGTAACGCTGATGGCCTTGTGCTCCATTCATGAGACTGTGCTGTGTCTGATAGCCATTCTGGGAGTACATATTGAAGTTGTGCCCGACAGAATGACCCACGGGCGATCTCGATGGAGACGGGGTGTCGTTGGTGAAAGGTCTCCGTGCGCCAGAAGGCGAGGTGACTCGATTCTGATTCCGATGCGAAGTGTGTTGGGTGGGGTAATACTGCCCGGCTCCAGGCTGATGGAACCGGAATGCACCATCTGCCATCTAACACGGCAAAGCGGTAGGGCCGGTGTATTTTTCTGATTGTGAAGCGGAAGCGCGACGAGATGGAGGAGGCGGAGGGGCTGGGACGACTCGGTACGTTATGGAAGGTCGAGCGGAGGGCAAGCAGAGTCTTCGTTTCTTCAACATGAGATCCGGCGAGGAACTCGACGTCGACAGGCAGGCTGGTGCAGCTCGGAGCGTCCAGGATAAACGGCACCGGAGTGTTCGATGGTGAAGATGAGGAGGCGGTGGTTCGGGAAAGGATAAAGGTTGAGCAAAGGCAAAGCTTGAGGACAGATTGTACAGCTGCGGGTGAAAATGCCGCGGGTGTTGTTGTCACGCGGGCACTGCGTCGTTACTGTGTGTGTTGTGACTGATGGGATATTGAGCTGATATACGGCACAGATATCAATGAAGATGGTGAATGAGCGAGTGTCGAAAGGTGTGTGAATTGCGCAAGGAGAGTGCAGTCAGGGTGGGTGGGATACGACTTGTTAGAGCACGACGACTCGCCCGTCGCCTCTGCTCCTTGCACCTGACTGGGCGACTGCAGTGTCTCGCTGTGAGGCGGCCCCTGCGCTGCTCACAAACGTCTTGGCATTGTTTCAGCGTTTGTCCCGATGATTCCCAGGAGTCAAAGAACAGTTGACAGCTTTTGTGTCTGTTGTCTTAGTTGGGTTCAGTATTGTTTACACTATGTGTCGGGTATTATGACTGTTTCATCTGTTCATCCTCCATCGCATTTTGTTACCAGACAAGATCCTATGTGCAACACCCAAGACTGTGTCTGACCGTATCCTCAACTCCGCGGCAATCCTCTCCTCTCATCGACACCGCCTCCCAAACTATATACTGATACAGCTCGTCGCAGTGATCGCAGTCTTCTACAATGCGCCATTGCTCTTGACATACTCGACGTGGGATCCGTCTTGTGGATTCAAGCTGACCTTGCTGGATTATGAGGGTCGTGACTTTATGAACCGCCCCAGACATCGGGGCACCGCCGTGGGTTTACAGGCTTCGGTGGTGTGCGGGATGTGCCCCGGATAGTTCTTCGGCTTGTAGTGGCAGTTTTGTCGAAAATGACAACCTTTCAGCGAAGCTGTCGCCTGGATTTGTCGGGCTGAAGCTGATTCTGGCTGAGCAAGTCTCACATGCTCTGGGAAAGTCGTCCCGTCTAGCGGCTGTCTGATCCTGCAGACGTCCACCAGCCTCACTAAATGACCCTTAGGCTACCCGTTGAGAGCGGACAGATTTACGAAAGGTCCCTCGGACCTCTAGGCTCGGCAGGCGCTCCAACCGGGGGCGTGTCGCATTTTCAAAATGCGACACGCCCCCGGTTGGAGCCAGCAGCCGCCACGGACGCGGAAGCCTTTAACCTACACCCACTTCGGGTGCAGCATACGCTTGACCTCTTGCAACTTGCGACGCCAATCGCCATGTACGTGTGCCGACTTGCTCCACACGTCCATCTTTGCACTGACGCAGGTCATTCAGGAATATCGTTGCTTCATGGAGCGGTATTTTTTCAGGAAGTAGAGCGCCTCGATCTCCTTCTTCACAAATTCTGCTCGCTTAATACCTTGCCGTATCTGCTCCTCGTCTGTCAGATGAGCCTTGGACATGAATGCCTTGTGCAATCTGGGTCGGAAATAGTCATAGCCCAGCGGATAGTGCTTGCCCATTTCCAGCAGCTCTGCGAGTGACGTTAGCTTAGGAGCCTACCTGGTAGTCAAGTATTGGTATGGTTTTCATGGTTCTCCCACCTTTGTATATGCTGATCACTTGTCTTCTGAGTTCCAGGTTCATTTTGTTCGGGTTGTTCAGTGGAAGTCCACGGCTTGATACTATGTGATGTGGAAGCAATAGGGTTGAGGGGAATGCTCTTCAGGCACCATGACGTCGAAGAAGCGAGCGCCAAGACTCTCGCTTGTTAAGAACGAGGATTAAAGGATCGGGTCTCCTACTCAGCTTCTCTCATCTGACAGACTCCAGATCAACTCCTCGTTGGCTGCTTCTGCCTAGACAGTCATCACCCCGGATCTTTGCTTCCATCCTCAGGATCTGGACCACAGTTCGATTTGCGCCTAGGATAGGTATTCCTCATATCGGAACGAAAGGCACAACTATGTGACTATCATATTGACCGCCAAAGTGCAAAATATGCTTCCCCTTGTTTCCTGTGTGGAATTGCCCACGCAGCGGAGTGAATTCTGCCAGTGTCATCTGATGACCTGCGACCCTGAATACCAGCTTTTCACCGGCCTCAAATTGAATCGCTGCAGGCCATATTCCGATTTCCAGCTTCACAATATGACCTGGAGGGATCTTCCGCTCTTGCGTGTGATCATGGGCAGGCCAATGAGGCTTGGATAGTTTCGGATCGATCGCACGATGGCTTGCCCTCAAAATGCCAGACGGTCCAATATATTTCAGGCTGTTTATATCTTCAACCTCTTCCTCGGACGCGAAACCAAGCGCGTTCAAGGGGACGTTGATGTTTTGCAGGACCTTTCCATGTCGGTCGGCTTTGCGAATGATCACGAAGACGTCCATGTCATCGTGGTCAGCACATGACATGTATATCACCGCCCTCGCCGGACCGATGAGGGTAGATCTTTCGGTGAAAGAGTAGACGAACTCGACGAATTCAGGGTCGTTGTCAATCTGCTGAGCTGTGAGGTCTGATTGATACGAGACTTTGCCCGATTCAGCAATCCCCGGCATTTCTTTCAAGGCCTGTTCTCCTGAGAGCCATAGTGTCTTGTACTGAGTCTGAGGGATCGGCCAGGTCGAGAAAGGGATGTTTACGATCGGGGGCTAGTACAAGTTATCTCAGCCATGTTTCTTTCACTCACGGGCCCTTCCACTGACCTGATCATAGCGGATTACCGAGATTCGAGCCTTTGGAGTCTCCTCCCAGTTATTCTTGATACCTTTGGTGTAGAGGTCTAGGAACTTCTTCAAATCATCAGTGGTCTCCTGCTGGTACAAGTCGTGCCATTCGTGGGTTGGATGCAAGCGGAGCCTAAGTCAAGCAACTTATTAGTCTTGGTCCTTGCAGATCACCAAGGACCTGAAAAGCTGACCATTTCTTATCGTGTGGTATGTCTTCAAATCCCCTGATTGAGCCAACAGTGTGCAGCCCAGTCGACATGCTGGTAAGTATGTACGCAGGCACGTTGATCAGTTCCACTTTCGCCCGCTTGTCCTCCCAGTATGCATTCATGAGCGGATACTTGGCCAGCATGGCAATTGGATCCTCCTGCAGGTTTTCACCTGGCGGCACGAGGAGCTTAGCAGTGCTCTTCTCCCTTTGACAGCGCCCTGGTATACTCACCATATAGGCCATGGTCTCTCAAAAAGTGCCAAAATGGCAGATACGGAACTCCTCCGCGACAGAGGGATTCGCGATACATGTCGCTCAAGCCTTCCAGTGGCAAAATGCAGCTCAGATGAGGAGGTCTCTCTGCCGCGATGTACCACTGAGCCATTGCCAGCCAAGAGACACCGATCAAAGCTACATGGCCATTGCACCACGGCAAGCTTGCTATGAACTCGACGGCATCATGGCCATCCCTCCCCTCGGCAGTTCCGTTCCACCTGAGGCTGTCAGTGCGTAAACAAAACAGAAGAAAATAGGAAATGCGAACCTGTGATTTCCTTCAGATTTGAAGCTGCCCCTGGCATCGATATTGACTATAGCGTAGCCGTGTGCAGTCCACTCGGCAGGATCCGGCGCCTCGAAGGACTCTAATCCGGAAAGCATGCTCTTTGGAATTCCAACTCGGCCTGGAACCAGATCTAACCCTAGAAAGCCTGCATGAAAGCGCCAGAGAAGTGAGTGACTGTTTCCCAAACCACTCGCTAGGGACAACCACATGATGAAATAGACGCTTACCTGTTCCAGACTTCCCGTACGGACCCCAAGCAATCAAAGCGGGGACCTTCTCGTTGACATCTGCAGGCCGAAAGACATCGGCGCGAAGGATGATCCCATCTCTCATCGGCACCTCAACATCGCGATCCCAGATCGTTGCGACTTCAAAGCCACGACGAGAAGGATCCTTCTTGTAGCCCTTGGGCAATGTGGTCGACGATGGATTTAGGCCGTTATAGTTCGCATGAGGATCGTCGATAGACGTGATCTTCTTTTGTGCGACTTCTATGCCCCCAACAGAAAATATCTCTTTGGATGAAGCCATGCCGTGCTCAAGACGTTGGCTCAGTAAGTGGGACACAGTTGAACTTGGGGCGATGTTAGCTCTGGAGATTGAGAGCGAGACATATCATTGCAGCTGGCTGATCTCCGCCTATTTATCCCTTTTCTCACGGTCTCGATCCTGGACATTATTTGAGGTTCAAGGGAAACTCTAGGGAGTCCGTCCTCGGTCGAGTCTCGCGGACGACATGAACCCTCTTTCGCGTATGGATGGGAATTGGCCGGTCAAACCGTCAGCACGTCTGACTCTTCAAATCAATCCATCACTCGATTGTTCAAATACGAATCCTTTTCAGACGCCAGCACTGCTTAGCTATGCCGGTAATAGCAGATCCCATTCTAGACTTTCGGTCTGGCTCTCGACGGGTCCAGAGAGGTATCCATAATACGACTGCAAAGGTATGCGTTCCTGGAGCGAGGACCCCAAATCATGCAGCACCATCTGGGGTTGGCTTAAGCATTCGAATTATCGCCATTATTAGCAGTGGGCAAGTTGCCCAAAATGCAACTATATGAACAAAGTGGATCATAAGTGGGAGAACGTCCCAGAGTGGTTCTGCAAGTAAGGCATCCAACCCGTATTCTCACCCTCGGCCTTTGGAAGTTTTGGAACGAGGCGGCGAGGCTGCAAAAGCTGCTAGCCTGCTCGCTGCACAGCTTGGGCCGAAAGACCGAAGCTTGGGGACGGAAGATGCCGCTTCAACCAAGAGACTTATTCATACATAAGCAAGGCCCAGCCACGACTTGGTGATGAGATGGGATGCCTGAAAGCCTGAAGGTGAGAAGCAAGAGTTTTTCCTTTTTTAGTTTTGGGATGGTGATGAGGCTGGACCCAAAAGGGGGGAATTTATTACACCCCTTGGCCAGGCCGCCAAGTATACACTAGTATTAGGTTTGGGGGAGATGGAGCTTGTCAATACTCTTTATTAATCCATCGACGGCCTTGTCTACGTGGTCAACAGAGAACTCAATACCATCAGGCCCCTACTGGAGTTGGAGTTCACGGGTGGGAGGTCAAGGGCGAAATAACGTGACAGTCCTCAACATTGCAACCAGCCATCAATCACACCATGATTTTGGTACGGCTCTGAGCGCCGATGGACGGAGCCTGCTGGAAGACGGTGCATACTCTTCTCGAGACTGTCCTGTCTCTTTGAATTTACGTACCGCTCTGTTCTCCAACAACAGCAAGCTGCGGTAGAGGAGGGAGGAAGGCAAAGGCCACCTGCATCGGAGACTTAGACATGTCGGACAAGTTTCATGACCTGGTACGAGTACGAAGATGCGGAGACATTCACGTCCGAGGTCCAAGTTTGGTTGTTAGTGCGTGCTGCTGAAGTGCTTGTCTGTTGGACAGGATGCGGGGAATACTGGGCAGGGTGTACCTAGGTAGTCAATAATGGCCTATGGTAGTCAAAGTCTCAGGCGATCCCGCGACCGCGACCGCAAGATTTACCAGTGAGTAGTACGCGTCGTTGACGATATGCGAGATTTCCGGCGCCGAAGATCGGAGGGATACTGATTTGACCGGAGACGAGAGGATTGCAGTGTCTGCGAACGGGAAGAAAGAATGGAAGGTAATTAATTAAAAGATCTCCATAGAAAAAATGAAATAGGGTAGCTGAATAAATGGCGCAGGGCCGGTTCAAGGGCGTTTTATCTCCGGCGAGATTCCATGCCAACCACGAGATACTGTAATAATATGGAAACAGATGCGAGGTGCTTGGTCAGGAAGAAGAAGCCCACCACTAACACCCGCCACTTGGGTGCCACTCTCCAACGACCTCCAGCCACCACGAGGCCATGCGGAGTACGATCTGCCGAGTACCTGGACCTGGGACCTGAACCTGAACCTGTCACTCCAGTTGTTCCAGTCATGATCGGCAAACACGGCTGGTGACACCCGGTGACGGCCTCGTTCATGACGTCGGCGATATCGGAATTGACCATCTACCGCCTATCGCCATAAAATCACCCAACTCCCAGCGCCCAAGGCCCAAAGCATGCCGATGAATAAATAATGGCCTAAATAAAACATAAAACACATATCGCACACTAACCATGGCTGATATACAGGTGCGCGACCATGCCATGTCGCCAACAGAGACCTTGACCTCAGACCTCTCCCGCCAAACCACAAACTCGGATTATGGCGATCTGGAACCCGACGACTTCGAGGAAAAGTCGCAGGACGACCGCCCGGCTGCGTCCATCGCGACAGGCCGGTCGGCCAGTCTCAACAGAACAGTCTCTCGAAGAGAGACTATCTTGTCGTCGATCAGATCCCGGGCACCCATAGGCGCTTTCACCCATCCGCTAGAGCATCAGAAGACGACAGTCGAAGACCTGGTCGACTTCGACGGCGCTGATGATCTGTACAGGCCCGTCAACTGGAACATGAAGAAAAAAGTCCTCACCACAGCCTTGTACGGGTTCACCACCATGACCGCCACCTGGGCGAGCAGTAGCTACAGTCCAGGTACACAGCAGGTCGCCGAGCAGTTTCACATTGGGACCGAGGTCTCGACGCTAGGGACGACGCTTTTCTTGATAGGATTCGGGATCGGCCCCTTGCTTTGGGCACCCCTCTCAGAGGTCTATGGCAGAAAAAATGCTGTCCTGCCGCCCATGTTTGTCGCTGCCTGTTTCTCCTTCGGAACTGGTGCAGCCAAGGACATACAGACCATCATGATCACCAGATTCTTCACCGGGTTCTTCTCCTCCGCGCCTGTCACTAACACCGGAGGCGTATTGAGTGACTTGTTCCCGGCGTCCCAGCGAGGCATCGCAATCGCGTCGTATGCAATGGCGGTCGTCATCGGCCCGGTGTTCGGACCCATTGTTGGCGCCGCCCTGGTCGTCCAGCCCGGCCTCAGATGGCGATGGACCGAGTATATCACTGGAATTATCCAGCTCTTTGTCTTGGTCCTCGATGTCATTTTCCTGGACGAGTCATACCCTCCTCGACTTCTGGTGTACAAGGCGCGACGCCTGCGACATCAAAGCGGAAACTGGGCTCTTCATGCCAAGTTTGAGGAGTGGGATGTGTCTGTGACAGAGCTGGCGCATAAGGTGAGCATGGCTTGGTTGAATGATCCCCGAATCAAAGAGTGATGCTGACCGACTATAGTTTTTGGTTCGACCGTTCCAGTTGTTGATGACTCCAATTTGCGCACTGGTGGCCCTCTATGCGAGCTTCTGCTATGGGATTTTGTACATGCAACTTGGTGAGCATCTTCATCTCTCAGCCTGTGGAATTCAGACTGACCGACGGCGTAGGTGCCATCCCCATCATCTTTGGCGAACACCGCCACTGGAAACTACTCCCCTCTGAACTTCCATTTCTGGCGATTCTCTTGGGAGCCATTACCGGCGCCGTCATCAACGTTTTCAACCAACTGGTATATAACCGCAAAGCCGGAGGCAAAGTGGCGCCTGAATTGCGTCTGCCGCCGATGATGTTTGGATCTTTTCTTTTCTCGTCAGGGCTCTTTGTCACTGGGTGGACGTCCGACCCGAAGTTCCCATGGATTGCCCCGGTCATCGGGTTGTACATGACTGGTCTCGGGTTCTTCACCATATTTCAAGCGGCTTTGAACTACCTCGTCGATACATTCCAAAAGTACGCTGCCAGTGCAGTGGCAGCCAATACATTTTTACGATCAGTCTTTGCTGCAGCGTAAGTTGTGACCCCTTTTATCGCTTCTGGACTGTGAATTGGGTGCTGACGTGATGGCAGGTTTCCACTCGTCGTGACTCCCCTGTACCATAACGTTGGAGTTCCCTGGGGGACGAGCATTTTTGGGTTCTTTGCCGTCGCGCTTATACCCGTGCCGTTTGTGTTCTTTGTTTTTGGCAAGCGCATCAGAGCAAAGAGTAAATGGAGCAAGTTCTAGATTTCACGAGATTGAAATGCAGATGTGGATTTTCTTACAAGGCTCCCCCCGCGGTATAGGGAGGCCTAAATGGCCGGCTAGTAGGCTGATCCGAGAATCAAGCGTACCAGAAGACGCGAAATTGGTTACCAATCATAAACTAATAGGGGTTCAATTAAGCACCTGGGGAGCCACTTGCTCGGCTTGCACAGCGCTGGCCATCTACGAGGTATAAGTGGCTCGTACTCTATCCCTCCCTGGACATTAGGGAGCAGGGCCCATCGGGGCCAAGATGCTGGCACCACTTGCATGCAATGGATGACCAAAATCCCTTCCAAGCTTCTCCTCGTGCTCTTTCTATCTCGACAAGACATATCATATGGCACGTGTCTAAAACACCCACTATCCCAACGGTTGCAGCAGCCAGAGGAAAGGGCCGCCTGAAAAGTTGACGGACGGTGGGATCCTGTCGTCATTGTTACAAGAATCTAAAGATGCGCGGTTCTCGGCCCAATGCCTAGGGATCTTCCCAGGTGCGTGTTTCTTACCTTCCCATTGAGGCCTCTACCCCAGTCCTCGTTATCTATCCTTGCTTGTATTGACTGCTTCCCTGCCGGACTGCACTCGATTATTTGATGAGCGGGCGCGAGTATTGGTTCTCGATGTCGTCAAACGTCTCCTCCTCGTTGCATCGATCAGCATGCAGGTTGATTGACTGATTGATTGAACCGCGATTCCACTCAACCTAGGCTGCAGCATTTCTTCCCACCGAGAACTCTCCATGCTCACCAGGCATCCCTCGATCTATTCCTTATTAGACGGAGCCCGCTTCTCTCTGGACGACATTCCATTTATTCGGGTGCAGGTGGTATTGCTGTACCTTGCTGAGCACCATGTCGTCGGGCGAAGGTCAATGTGAGAACAGCTGCGAGGAAGGTCTTGCAGAATCCGCGCCATTGCTGGCTACTTCACCCGACAACGGCGACGATGGCAAACAAAAGGACCACTCTACGCTCCTCTGGAAAATCTACATGGTCGTCTTCTTCTGTAACCTGGGATTCCAAATCCTGCAACCGGCCCAGACGCAGATCTACGAGACCATCTACTGCTCAGAATGGTATCGTCGACACCCCATCGACTTATTACCATCACCCACCGGCAAAATCCCTGAGTCATATTGCAAGATAGGGCCCGTGCAGACGCAGATATCTACACTCAAGGGATGGTACGAATTCTTCGCCGCGGCGCCGGGTCTAGTGATGGCCATCCCAATGGGGATCCTCACCGATGCCGTCGGTCGACGACACCTGATGATCCTCAACATCACTATCCTTTGCCTAGGACAAGTTTGGGTCACCTTTGTTACCTGGTTCGACGGCAAGATACCCCTTCGGGCAATTTGGGCAGGCGCGGGTCTCAACATTGTGAATGGTGGAATTATCGTGACGGAGTTGCTGTTTGTGGTAAGCCCTCGTTGCACCTTACATTGCATGTGATACGTTGCTGACGAACCTTACAGTGTGTCTTGACGGACATCAGTCCGAGCGATCGAGTGTATGTTGTCGAGCTTTGAGGACTGTTGACCGGACCTTGCAAGCTAAATCTTGAGGTAGAGTAGAGACCTTCTTCCGCTCCACGGCATTTGGACACTTCGCAAAGGTCCTCGGACCCGTGATCGCAGCGACCCTCATGCGGCGCGATCCGTGGCTCGCTATCTACCTTGGACTGGCTCTGCTAGGCATGACGGTGATGCTCGTCGCCACCGTGCCAGAAACCCTGCACATGCAAGTGGCTGCACGGAACGACCAGGCCGAAGGGCAAGGGGATCAGACCACCACGACATGCGCAGATTCCCGAGGCGACAGCATCATCCGCAGCAGATGGCGACAACTCAACCTGGGCCGCCTGATCAAGATCTGGAGCGACTGGCGCCTCATATTCGTGGCACTGACCTACCCGTTCCGGCTGGTCTGCTACGCGCTGAGCGATCTGCTGCAGCGGTACGTGTCGGACCGGTACGGGTGGACACTCGCGGACGCAACACTCGTCTACTCTTTGCAGGCCGTCGCGGCGGGCCTGGTGCTATTCACGCTGCTACCGTGGATTTCTGCACGGATCGACGCGCGGTTCGCATTCAGCACCATCCAGAAAAACGTGGTGCTGGCTCGGACGTCGCTGTTCGTGCTGGTCGTGGCTTATGCCGTCATCGGCCTCGCGCCCAACCCGGCCGTCATGATTATTGGATTGCTGATCGAGACGCTGTCGACAGGGTTTCCCGCAACGCTGCGCGCGCTGGCCGCCGCGCTGATCGACGCCGACGACAAGGGCCGCGTCTTCTCCGTCCTCGCCATTGTAGAGACCCTTAGTATCATGCTCGCATACCCCGTCACCGCAGCCTTGTTCAATGCCGGTCTCGACCGCGGTGGGGGTCCCTGGCTCGGTTTGCCGTACGACGTCATTTCCGTGGCCGCTGCTTTGGCCTGTGTCACCATGTGCCTTGTTCGCTTCGAGAGGCCTGTAAGGATTGTGTGAGGGTGGTGGTATCAGAGGGAGGAGGAGGGGTCATTTGGGGGAGAGAAGGATGCCAGGTGCTTAGATTTTACTCACTACTTACCTACATTATCTACCTAGAGGCAGATGGGGGGGGGCACCAGAAAAGAAAACAAAGAGACTTGGATGGACCCACGTACATAACATAGCAAACCATACCATACCATAATACCTTGACTGGACCAGAGGGATGTCCTTCTGAGAAATACCTAGATAATTGAATCCTCTTTCCCAAGTTTATACTTGTTTCATTACATACTTACGTACCTAGGTACCTACCAATAGTATACTACTGGTCATTCCGTGTGTATACCAAGACAGGTACGTACTCCAAACCATGTCTAGCTACCTACCTACCAGGTACCTAGCTACCTAGGTAATCAAGTGTGGAGTGTTCGCCCTCTAGCTAGATCTAGTTTACATACATACGCGCCTCCAGAATCCACCCCGATGTTCACAAATCAAAATGACACCTTCCTACCGAGGCTCCCCTTCCCTCCTTCCGCTCTCACCCCATGTAATAAAATGTTTCAAGACTACTCGGTACTCTGGCCCAATGGGCATATTATATACCTGCCTATGTAACAGCTTCTTGGGAAATGCCAGGTTGGTTTCTTCTCACCCGTCGATTGCAGTTCTATTCTCCGTTTCTATAAGGTATCCATCCAGGCTTGCTCTGCCTAGCTATATCAATTTCCGTGTCGTGTTGGCTCCCACTAGAGGCTGTCGGCGATTGTATAGCTAGCTGGGTTTACCAAAATCATTACTTGGTGCTATCCGCTGTATATCTGGTATCTTATATATCTTATATCCATTCCCACGATTTCCTGCCTCCAACCATGTTGCCCGATCCACCCACTATCAAGGTCCCCTCGTCGTACGAGTCCCTGCCCGTCAAGGACATCAAGGTCTCCCACTACCCCGAACATGCGCCGGAAGCTACTCCCGTCGTGGTGGTGACGTTGAACCGGCCGAAGCAGGGCAATGCGTTCACGGTCCAAATGATGCGGGACTTTGAGTTGGTCTACCCCATGTTCGACCTCGATGAACGCGTCAAATGCGTCGTCATTACTGGGGCTGGTAGGATGTTCTGCGCGGGCGCAGACCTCGAGATCGGGTTTCCTGGTGGGGGAGATAGGGAGAGGGTGGTGGATCATCGTGACAGGTGTGTATTTACGTCTACTCTAGTTGGAGTCGCAGTGTCGTTTTGCTCACTGGTGAGATTTACAGTGGAGGTCGCCTCAATCTGTGCATCTACCGGTGCAGGAAACCGACTATTGTCGCGTTGAACGGATCCGCCGTGGGTCTGGGAATGACATTGGGCTTGTCGGCTGCTATTCGAATTGCCCACGCGTCGTCCAAGTACGGCTTTGTCTTCGCCAGACGCGGGATCACCATGGAGTCCAACTCATCCTTTTTCCTCCCAAGGCTGATTGGGTACTCGAACGCCCTCTATCTGCTCACGACCGGCGACGTGTACAGAGGCGATTCAAAGCACTTTGGAAACCTGTTCCAGGAGGTTATTGAGGATCAAGCCGGTGTCTTGAAGCGAGCACTGGAACTTGCCACCACGATTGCGGAGAAGACGAGTGTGTTGGCCGGATTCATGAACAGAGAGTTGATGTGGAGGGGGAGACCGTCGGCCGAGGAAACTCATCTTCTCGACAGTGCTGTCCTCTACCACATGTTTGCCAACCCGGATTGTAAGGAAGGCGTGCAGAGCTTTATGGAGAAGCGAGAGCCAAAATTCTCGGCAACTCTCGAGCAAGATGGTCCACCCTTTTATCCGTGGTCTAGCGAGGTCGACACTGGCTCAAGACCTCGCTTGCATCCATCAAGCAAGGCGAAGTTGTGAACTGGCTGCGTATTCGGGGAAACAAGGAATCCAACTCGGCAATGTCTTCATAGTCTGGCCCTAGTGTGCTGTTCGTTCCATTTCGTCAGGGCTTCTTCCTCCCTCTTCTTTGCATGGTTCTGCATCTTGTTTATCGCGTCTGTCACCTCCTGATCAGTAGGTTTACTCAGTTGATCCGGATGTAGCTCTTCCACGCTTAATGGTTTCGCAAACGCCTTCACCCATACAAATCTACTCGAACCCGGGCCGGTTCCCGCGACGACAGCCGAGCAAAAGTTTGCCTGTCGCTCGAAGCAATCTCTGCTTTTCGGAGTTTTGGGAAACACCATGGCAAAGCAATGTGGCATCCCCTCGTAGCCCACGAAATCCACCACTCCACCACCCTGATGCATTCTGCGTGCAAGAATCGTGATCTCATCCTCCAAGCCTTCATTTCCCAAGCACAGCCATGCGGGAGGCATCCCCTTCCAGAGGTCCGGGCCAGCAGCTAGCGGTGACACGAGAGGATGTGCCATGACTGATGCGTTGCAGAAGATATTTGCTCGGGGAGGGCGTGTCGGCCACAGATCGTCCGGAAGAGGATCGGCCTTTGAAACTCCTTCGGCAGTAGGTGGATCCAGGTAGTCCAGATGAGCATTATTGTTTATCGAAGGCATTGAGCGAGATATGTCGGCCCACGCACTGTTAGGGCAAATGCCCGCCGGAAGTTCAACGGGGACGTCGACTCCGTGGAATTTGATGCTGCTCACACCCATTCTCTGCAGAGTCAGGAGGAGCTGCAACAATACCACGGCAAGATTACCACCAGCAGAGTCCCCAGCAAATACAATATGTTTCGCAGGCACAGGGTCGTGGGGCAAGCCCTTGGGAGGCGCCAGGAGCGACAAATAGGCCACCAATCCGTCGAGCAACTGAGCAGGGAAAGGATTTTGAGGAGCTAGACGGTATCTAACAGAATAGCAGCGACCGCCAGTCAGCCGTGCGAGACGGGCAACTGGCTGTCTGTGCGATGCCGGGTCCATCAGAAAATAGGCACCACCATGGAAATAGAGAATCGTGGTGCTAGTCGAAACGCTTGCCATCAGAATTCTATAATGGTCGTCTTCTGATACATCTGGTCTAGGTTCATTGGCAGGCACGCCTTTCCTGAAGCCAGTCCATTCAGCTTCCACGCCCACGACGTTGGGAAGATTGTATGTTTCGCTGCCGTTCCCAAGCTCCTTTATAGCATCCACGATAGCATCTCTCGGGCCGATCTCGTCAAGGGGTGGCGGAATGGTCACTTTGGCGATTAATATCGGCCCTTTGATTCCAGGGTCCTTCGTGGAGATGTGTTGCAGATATCCCATGGGTTTTCTAACACTCATAATAGATCGCAAAACAACCACAACCACCTCTGTTGTCAAATCTTGCTTTGATGAACTCGGTGACAGAGAGAGCGTGTTCAAGACGATCGTCTTGAGCAGTAGTGGCAGGCGGGGCAGGAGGAGCCTGACAAGGGCTCGCGGAGAAAGGTCCATCGCAGCATGCAAAGGAAAGATTGTCCAGAACGAATCTATCGCAAATCTGCGTCCCGAAGGAGCGAATGATAAAACGAACGAAAATCAAACTCTAGTGAGACAGGACTCGACGAAAGACAAACCTCAATGGAGGTGGACTGTGGAAAGTGAGAAGAAGCGCAGTTTCAGTGATGAGTGACAAGCGACAAAGGGCGGCGAGCAGCGAGCAGCGAGCAGCATACTACTTTTGGCTGCGACGTCATAGACAACAAGGCAGCAGCATCAGCTTCCTTTGGATATTGAATCTTCTGTTTCTTACATCCTGTCTAGATTTATTTATTCTCACTTTCTTCCTCTTTCACCACAGCAGCTAATAAACCCTCCTTCACATCGAATATGGAATCACCCAAGGAAGGAAACAAAAGATTTGACCCAACCAGTTTCCGGGCGATCGCTGACTGTACAACAGCAAACTATGCCCTTGCAGGGTCCTCGACCTCGGCTGGAGTCCAGTTACAGTTTCTCCCTCGCAAATTCCATTGTGGTCAACACGCTCCCTTCACCAAAGAAACCCATCTGTCTTGAGTCTTGACGGTGGTCCTCCCAAGACGACTTACGGGAAGAGACGGCGACATATTGCGCCGAAATCTCTCAATCGATCACTCGGTTGTTACCTTGTGACCCTATTCATGACCCTCCCTACACAAAAATACCCGCGATCATCTCTTCGGAAGACTCATCCACGAGCCAACCTCCCTGGAAATACTCGTGCCACGGGTGGATCCCTCTCCTGTGCCTTCCGCTTCTGCCTGGCTTCAACCTAGATCATGTATGATTGTCGATGGCATTAATCTCTTTCTGGTAGGGCTGTCAATACGACTGGACAAACAAGAGGTTCGCTATTTTTGGCTGCCGATACCCCGGGTTCACCTCCTATTGCAAAAGTGGATAACGCTCTTCGGGTTTGTCCTCCCCAGAAGCCCGGATCCCTACTTTCTTTTTCCCTCATACTAACGAGGTATTATTGCGGGTACGCTTCCCTCCACTACCGTACAGTCACAGCCCCCAAATCGACATGTGCTGGAGCAAGGGAAGGGCGTACTCTAGAACGCGACGAACAGCCTGCGAATTTTCCCATTGGCTTGCCCAGACACCTTTGCGTCACATTTTCGTGTTTTCTATGGCTTGGACAACTCGTGGCTCCAGGCTGAAACGTTTCGTTGCATGCTGATCCCCGGCACAGTATCGGGCCTTAGAACCGACTATTCGACAACTTGGTCATGTTTTCTGCCGTCGCTACACACCAAAACAAAGCATGCCCCTAGTTAGTGCATTGAGTATGCCTGTGTCTGCCTCGTTGCTTGGCCGACTATACCCGAACCTGTCTCGTGGCTCCATTTGGCGCTCGTTACCGACATCTCAATAATCCTTTGTCGACGAAATGACCTGATTTTTGATAGCTCCCAAATGTCCAAAAACACTCCGGCAACCCAGATGTCCTGAAACTAATCACTGACCATATACACCGTCATGACTTTGGACCACAGCATCTCGAGCGACCCGTCAACGGATATCACGTCCATAGCTTCGTGGGATTTCTCGCCAGAGTCGACCACACCGGCAAGTAATAGCTCGCGACACAACACCCAACACAAGACCCGAACACTGGCTCCCAACCTTACGCGACGGTCGCACAAGAAGTCTCGCGGCGGCTGCTTTAGTTGTAAGCAAAGGAAGATCAAATGCTCGGAAACGAAGCCCGCGTGCGGGAGTTGTTTGATGAAAGGACTCAGTTGCGTTTATCCAACAGAGCCAGCAGTGCGCAAGTCGAGCAATCTACCGCTGATAAGGCGAAATCCCAGCACTTCTCCATCCTTCCCAGCTGCCACCTTTTCGATCCTGGACATGCGATTCTTCCATCATTTTCTCACGATCGCCTATCCACACCTACCAGTCGACAATGATCATGTCTGGATCAATGATATACCCCAATTTGCTGAACAGCACCAATACCTGATGCACGCGTTACTTTCGCTCGGAGCCTCCCACCTCAGCCGCCTCACCGGCGTGGACTATCGACGAGAATCTCTGATTCACCGCGGTCAGGCGATTGCAGGCCTCAACCACGCACTCAGCCAGACGGCGCGTTCCTACGGGGAAGCTGACGCCATGCTCGCCTCTTGCTACGCCCTCACCTTTCAAGCTTCATACATGAGTGATGGCCTTTCCGACTTCATCACCATGGTGCGAGGCTGCGCCCTTACAACGGAGAAAATCAAACAAGAGCACTCCCCTACGGCGTTCAACCTGCAACCAGACTGGCATTTCAAATACATGGCGCCGCGTCTGCAGAACCTGCCATCGGTTGACCCTCAATTGCTACAAGATGCGTACACAGCTCTCGAGAGCATTCGACCTTTTTTGACTGGTGGCACGGAAATAGACTTCCACGCGGCACTGGTCGATGTCATCACCTCGCTGCAAGCCTCGCCTGCATCAGGCTATATACAATTCATCGGCGTGTATGGCGTATGGTATGAACTATGCCATGACTCATTCAAGACCTTCCTGGACCCAAACAACCTTGTCGCTCAGCTCCTTCTTGCTTACTTTGTAGGCGTACAGTTGTTGATGGTTCCTCTCGCGGCGCATGAGTGGCCACATCGCGCGGATGTAACTCGCGTACGCGTCCTACAGGGTACAGTCGAGTGGGCTCAAGGGATTTTTGAGCGACTTGAGAATTCAGAGTGGGAAGCGCACCTTGATTGGCCAAGGAATGTCATCGCTACTGTTGTTGCAGAGATCAATGGTGATGTGCTCCAATTGCCACCTGTACTGCAGCTTCATCTTGCATCGCAGGACATCACTCCGCAGTCAACGATTCTGACACCAAGTTGACGTGGTCCATGGGAACAGTAAGATAACGGCCGTATGGAGACGAACATATTCCACGAGCGGAAGAACGACAGAATGACAATGCCATTATATGGTAATGCAGGTCAGTAAACATTCGCTCAAGGGATGCGGGTCCAACAGTGAACTTACTTATCGTTTTCAGGATCAGCCACGAAGTGTTATTCGGAGTATAAGGAATACCTTCTTCAAAGCGATTTCTCTTACACAGGTGTTATCTGTTGCAACAGGAGGCTCTGTCCAAATGCGAAATTCAACACCAGCATACTGAGAGATGATTCAGGCTTGAACACCCACAGCTATGAGGGATTGGATGTAGTCTTTCCAAGGCAAGAAATCGAGATCCTCTTCTCCCAGATTAAACTCCCCCAAAAATGTGTGTATCCGATGGCAATATTTCCAGCCTCTTGAACCAGCAACGTGGTCAAGTCACTAAATGGTATGCACCCTGCAACCCGGTGTGCAAAGCCGACCCCAAAAGAAAGATCAAGCGACAGAGCTGTTTTGAGCGCCATGATATTTCACCGTTGCTCTCCTGCAATCCGAAATCAATCCTGATCGTCTGTCACCACTCTGGTTCTTGAGGCCTTTGCTCCAAAATTCGTCCTTGCAACGCCCTGCGCCCGCATCACCGTTGTTCAATGGAGGCACCGAATTATGATTGCTCGGTCGGTATATGAAATGATGTATTGATTTCCCACCTCTTTCATAGCTCGTTCTACACTGCTCCAGTGTCCACGACTCCGCATTTTCCACCCTTGGTCAAGGAGTGATGGTTCGCGCCGCCGCTCGGTCGTTTCGCGTCCGCCCTGCTTTCTCTTTCCTGCAGGGCGTGGTCGGTCTGTGTCTTCTGCGGTGGATGCTGCATGTACTTGACGGGGTGATAGCAGGCCAGGACAGTGAGGGCGATGAACATGGGCACCGCCTCGAGGACATACAGGCACCATTCGTGCGTGAAGGGGTAGCCGTCAATGCCCATGCCGAACTCGACGACGCGGTAGATGGATCGGACCTGTTTGCGCGGCAAGGCAGATTGTTAGCGGTGCGCAAATGGCCCAAGGGAAAAACGAGGAGGAAATAGGATATGTAGATATTGTCCTCACCTGGACCCAAAACCCAGCGATCCAAACCGCCCAGACCACCTTGCGCACGCTGGGGTCCAACCCTCCAGCATCTGCCGCCCCTGCATCTTTGGCCCTGCAGGAGGAGCTCACCCTCGCCCTCGTGACAAATTTCCCCAAGACGACGAGAAAGACCGTGAACGTGGCGAGCTGCAAGCTCAACCCCACCAGCAGCACGTTGGTACCCACGGTCTTCAGGTCTCCTTCCCAGTTGCCCGAGCTGGCGATGCCGGAGCCGGAGCACTGGGTCAAAAAGCTGAAGACGTCGGAGGTGATGAAGACGCGGCTGAGCCAGCGGGGCGGGATGTGGAACAAGACTTGCTGCTTGTCCGCAGTCAGGTTCGTCCGAATCAGACGCGTGAGCAGCAGGTACAGGCTCGCGCAGACAAAGATGGGCGAGATGACAATGTACGACGCGCTGACCGCGTACAAGGGTATCGAGCTCAAGTTGTGGATCGATGCGTTGCGGATGGACCACCCGGCCGTCGAGATGACGCAGGCCACGAAGAGCGGGATCGTGTATTTGTGCTTATACGCCAGACGGCGGGTGGCGATGAAGTTGATGTACCCGTGCCACAGCGTCAGGAGGAAGTAGAGAACCGAGAAGATCACGGCCGCGGCGGTGGAGGGCGTGTAGAAGTACAGGTTTAGGTCTGAGTCCGAGGTCGAGGTGGAGTTTTGCATCTTGGTTTGAAGGAATCTTTTTTGATGGAGGGGATGGGGCGACTGGCAAACCCTTTTTGGTGGTTCTTTGTTTTTGAATAGATGGAGCTTTTGGTGACGTCTGATACCAATCTTGAGCAAGGAAGGAACCCTGTTTGACCTATGTAGACTTGTACGTAAGTGAGAGTGTCAGAAGCGTATAGGTCTCTTTTCTGTCAAGGTGTCAGACGCAAAGACGTGATTGCTGCTCCGTCGCCGTGTGGTCTCTTGAAACAATTGAAGTGGTCCCGTTATTTACCGCCCACGTCCAGAGTATATATGAAAGTAAAAAGGAGACGCAATGTGTACGAGTCAACCCATCTGATGAATAGAAGAAAAGTACCTCGAGAGCAGCACGAAGAGAAAAAGAGCAGGGGATCTCTCTTCCTATATTTATATACGCCATCCTCGTCCCATTTTATCTTTTCTCCCCATGAACAACCCAAGCAAAACAAGCAGAATTGACACAATCTTCATGCTAAGGGAAGGGGGATAGATGAGAAAAAGAGTGGACTCTCTAGTGGAGTGACCTGCATACGGTCCAAAGATGCGTTGGGGTATATAGAAGAAACATTCTTGGCCTGCGTTCGTCCGCATTTTCTGCTCTGGAAGGGAGTTTGAAGGTGCAAGATTGGGGGGGTTGCCACGGCGCATCGCGCACGTATTCGGATCGCCATCGAATCAGCACTGCCGGACGGCGTTTATCGGGCTAGGGTTTTCCAAGGGTTCCATGATTTGTGGGGGACGATGTCTTCGCCTTTGATCAGTCCGTCGTCGTTTTCGTTTCTGAGACACGACAACAATCTGGATACGGTGAAGGTGCGGGTGCTTTTTCCCTCGCTTGGCGGTATACGGACGGTATCTATCCTCCTCGAGGGCCTTCTTCTTTGTAGCAATATCCCATTGTTCAGCGCTATGATCAAATGAGGCAAGATTCGAATTCGAGGTTGTCGTATTCTGATATCGAAGAAAAGCGGGAGTCAAGCCGGGGGAAACCCACGAACCTCTTTTTCGGAGAACTTTTCAGACGTCGAGAGAGAGTTCAAACGAAAGAAAGGGTGCTGCCTTGTGAGGCGTTCCCTGAACCGGCGGGCTGGAAGGCTCTGTTGGCGGAGCACGCGTAGACCCAGGCAGAAACATATTTCGCCCCCTCGTCCAAAAATGGTATGAATTCGTATCTGGGGCGAATCAATCATCTCCCCGTGGTGACGGGGCAGAAGACACCGGGAAGATCGCTCTGCACGGTCCTCGACTTGATTGGAGGAAGAAAACAGCTGTCTTGATCAAATCGCTTCGCTCATTTCCCTACCATTCCATTGCCCTAGGGGGGTTAGGAGGACGGTGGCCGAAGGTTTGAGAAAAGCCAAGGGGGAAAAACCGTACTCGGGTTGAGAAACCCCTGGAAACAAAGACCCTGGATGCCTGAACCTGACCTGATCGTCCTGTCTGTTGTGTGCACGAGGTTCAATTTTCCCGAAGCAGCAACTCTCGTATCCTTAGGAACCCCAGCTGGCTGGTGGGTCAAACCATTGTCGCACCTCTTCCTTTCCCGGCATTCATGGGGATCCAGAGGCGCAGCCACACACACACACAGCTGTGGCAAAGGCGGCATTGACTTACCGTCTCGAGAAAGACAAGGGGGAAAAGAAATGGAGCAAGCGAGGGAAGATGAGAATCCAGGCACCAGGGTAATACTAGTCAAAAGACGTAGGCCGATCGAGAGAAAAGTCCCGTTCCTTCGACAGGGCGAGGTCGCGTTGACCAATCAGTGTGCATGGATTGTCGCGAGGCTGCTCGTATTCGGATACACGAGGCTTGGTCCGTGCGAGGGCGAGGCTGCAGGACTTTCGCCGCTTGCGGGAGCGAGGCTGGGTACATACCTAGGTATTATGGCCGGGAAGGATCGCCGGGTAGGGAGAAGCATGTGTGGCATGCGTGGTGACCAGTAACAAGTGAAGGAGTCTTGCTTAGAAGAGGACCTCACGGTCGATCGCAGCAACAAAAAACATTCGCAGCTTCAGAGTTGTTCTGTCCATCCACCACGGCCTATTGTGAGCGGATGCTGTTTCTCTGGATGATCCCCTGAAAGAATTTCTGTCACTCGCCCCCGAGATGCAATCCCGCAAACAGCCTAGATAAGCGAAACCCCGGAATTTATGATGGTTTATAGGTAAGCACAAGCGGGAATCCAGTTGCAGACAAGTGTGGTAAAATTCTCAATTTGATTTATTCATGTCAACATCTAATATACATTGACCTAGGTGTATTATTGCTAAATACTCTAAAGAGTCATGGTGCCACCGGTCGAGTTCAGTTAACCGTAAACCAATGCACGGACTTCAATGCTCTCCCGGCCCTTGGCTCCCACGGGCGTTCTGGGATCCACAAACGCCGTGTGAGGTACTCTTTGACCAACGCCATCCTTGCTGTCATAGCACTTCAAGAACAGCCTCTCATCATTGTCCATACCAGACCAGTAATAGAACTTCTGGTTGTCGTTATACCTCACTGCCGCCGTCTCACCCGTCCGATGGGGATATCTATGCTCCACGGGCACGAGATCATTGTCATCGACGGTGTCGGCCGAGGCAAATCCTAGAGGATGCGCTTGGACGGTGCCGTTGATGGGCCGCCAAACATTGATGATTCGGTATCGGCCCTTCAAAAGCTCATCTGCTTCTTCCGGGTTGTGCAGCTTCACGCGCCACTCGGTCGATCGCGCCGTCTGGTCAACGTGCACTCTGGTGACAGGGGCACGGGGAGCCTCTGGGTTTGATCGACGGATGGTGTGGTCGAAAATGGTGACTTTATGTGCACCTGGGACCTTCTCCAGCAGCAGTTTTTCTACCTCCGGGTAATAGACCTGTTTGATATGTTCATCGTCAACAAATTCCGTCTCTTCTGATGGAACGCCCTGGATGGCTTCAAAAGCGTCTTTGTCGAGATAGAATTCGTTTTCTCGGCCGCGGATATCATTCATCTGGACTTCAATCACGGACTCTCCAAAGTTTCGCTGTGGCACGCCTTCGGGTTGTTTCTCAACAAAATTGTGCGGCTTTGAGCCGTCTTCGGGATCTCTGAAAAAGTTCAACTTCGTGTGCACTGGACCTCTTGGGACATATGAAGAATCTTGCGCCCCGGAAAGGGTGGTGGACACGGAGGTCTGAGTAGTCGTCGCAGACATGGTTTTCAGAGTTGCAGAAGTTCGAAGCAGGAAATGTTTCGCTATCGAGGATGAAGGCGGTGATCAGGACAAAGGCGAGTGTATCAAGAACTGCACTGGGTACAGAAAGGGCCGCCAACAGACACAATGGCTGACGGCATATATATGCGCGGCGAGGCGAGCACGCAATGCCGTATATTAGAAATCCGTTGGAGTCACGTCATGGCCGAGCCGAGGGTTCGCCGCCTACCCCATGAATCTTCGACAAACTTCGTCCCCGCATGCATCTTTCCAAACCAATGATGGCCCTGCGAAGATCAAAATGTAATCCGGGTGACCAAAGCGGTTGGCTGGCCGGTGTTTGAAATTCTAATCATCCGCAGAATAAGCCTAGGTAGGTACCTAAACGCGCTGACATTGCCAAGAGACGCCACTGCAGTCTAAGCGCAGTGATCAAGCCCTTGTAGCCCTTGCAGCTTGGTAATTTCTACAGCTCGCCTTCTTCGCTGCCGTAGTCGACCTTCTCGGCGTCGTCTAGGTCGCTGATGCCATTCGAAGGCGGTTCTGGCTTTGGTGGCTGCGGTGGTCTCTCGTCTGCCGGGTAAACCTGAGGTACCCGGGATGGCATTCTCGCATGGTCACCGCTCTCGGGTTGAGTATACATGCCATTGTCCCGACTTTCCGGTCGATGTTGTGATGGAGCTTGTTCTGCGTGGCCATTGCTGTAACTCGAAGGTGGGCCATTCCAATTGGAGCCTCCAGAGGAATGTCTCCGAGAATGGTGGGAATGTTGCACTGATGGCCGGCGGTGCTGACTAGACTGCGGCACTCTGCCAGACGACGCATTTACAATCTCGTCAATTCTCCTCTGCACATCGTCGCCGGTGCCTCTGGAATCGTTAGCAGGTCGATCGTCTGCAGTGGCCGCAGGGTGACGGGCCAGCATCCTTTGGGGAAGGTTGACATTGTCATCCCGTGAATCTCGACGAATCCTCTTGGGTGAAGGTGCTGCCGGGTCCTCGCCGGTGGGTCGCTGTGCTGGCATGCTTGATCCCCATTCCCCAGAGTTTTGATCGTCGGCGACATCTCTGTCACGTTTGGCACCTTGACTCTCACTTTTTGCACTGTCGACGGGCGACAGGTCAGGCTGCGGTGTGGCGGGTTGTCGGGTTCGCTCAAACAATGCAAGATCATCGTCTTTGGTGTATGCATCTTTTTGACCTTGGCGGGGTAAGGTCGGATTCTCATAAACATCTGCCATCAGATTGCAGCCCTTTTGAATATCATGGAGATCGATGCCCAATTGCTCCCACCACGGTCGGCCCCTCTCGTCGTCGGGAAGGCTGATGCCTGCAAACTTGACCCCCATATATAAGGCACTCCCGGCAATTGCCGAAGGCGTCAATTGGAGGCACATGGTGGTGACAAGGGAATCATTCAAGAAAGCCCACGATGTGTTTCGCAGCTGTTTGTTTGCCTGGACGTCGTAATACCGGAGATAGTCGAGGAGGAGACGGTAGGGCTGCTCGAGCTGTAAGTCGAAGCACAAGGCCTCGAGTAACAGGTCTTCGTTGTGCAGAATCGTGTCTCGCCATTTCCAATACTCTTTGCTTTGTTCGTCCACCACCAGATTTGGTTGCTTTTGGGCGACCCGACAACATGCGACCACCAGCTCCTTCATCTTGCGATAGTTTTCTTCCACCTTTGTAGCCAAGAATATGGAAGTGGCCGCGACCGAGTAGTGGTGGAATCCGGGTCTGTTGTTTTGAACCATGGCATGGCGCATGAAGAAACGATGCAGGTAGACAGCGGCCGTAGCGAGGGTCAATTGCGGCAACTTTAACATGATGCCGACCTGGGTTATGAAATTGACACCTTTCTGTCTATTGGCCAGCTCTTGAGTCAGAGACATTCCATCCAGGATACTTGGAGTTAGCAGGAGTTCTTCAGCTGTGAACAGCCATTGCGACTGGGTCCTTTCCAGGATGGGGTTTTTGGAGACGGGGGGGGAGGCGTCATGGCGCGTTGTGTCTTGGAACGAGGGCATCGTGGGTATTTCGTGGCAGTTGAGAGGCTGAAAGTGAACCGCAAAGCCTTGCTGTCGGATCCAAGTCCAGGCGGTGGGCAGCACTGGCTAACTCTGATGGTCCGACTGCGATTGCAACATTGAGCGTGAGGCAAGGGCACGGCCGGATCGTTTTGCGTTGGCGGTCGCCGTTGGGGTGGCAGGTTGCGGAATCAACAGGAGATCCCCGTACTGAAAACACTGGTTATTCTCGGGACTGGCCGATCCAAGATGAAAAGATGATGGCAGGTGAGGCGATGAGGGTTTGAATGAGAGGGTGCGGCGCTTTGGTGGTGTTGACTGCGGGCCAGGACAAGGCTCATTCAAACGTGCGAGGGGGAGCCGACTCGCCGACAAGGCTGGCACAAAAAGTGCAGTGCAGGCGCAAGCAGGTTCATACTTGCCGAGTTGCTTAGCTAACCGATGGGTGCAGTGCCGTATAGCATAGAGCCCCTGGTCGCAACTTGCAAGGCAGGTAAACCGTGCCGACTGTGGCCGAATTGCCCACGCTAAACATCGCGTTATGTCATCACGATGTCATGACATCATGCCAATCCCCTCCGCCGTCCCACCTCCGTCCCACCTTTTCGTACGCAGCATTAATCGACTTTCTATTGTTCCTCCAGCACCGTTGCAATGTCTCTCAACGTCATTTTGTTTTTTCTTGAGCACTTTGTGATCTCAGCCACCGAGGTATCAATCTGTATCGTTTTGTCTGGATGTCTACCTAGGTAATGTCTATCAGAAATCCGAATCTTGGCCGCACGACCTCAAGCGACTACCTGAAAGGGCTATGCGGGAGACGCAAACAGATACTGTGCATTGCACTTCAAGTTTTGGTTGACCATGTGCATAGAGTTTGCATGCGGAGCCATGCAAACGCCCTTTTGGGTTGATTCCCTCGACCTCCAGACCAGCTCATCCAATCATGGTCTACCAGCTGCACCCCGAACAAACTCCTCCTGCAAGGCTCTCACATATCAAACCATCCTCGCAGTCCAGTATTTCAATTTGTGATAGTGGAGGGGTCTTCAAGCAGCATATCTCAAATGCTCAATCTGCACTAAGTGATCTGCTCGGTGATCTGCTCGTTGGTCTAGCGATCTTTTGATGTCGCCCAGTCAGAAGTGATACTCTTGCTTCTGCTAGAATTGTTCTTACACCCCTAAATCTTGACATCCTCGGTCCCGAGGCCCCCTCCAGCCGTACTGCTGAGATCCGGGAAATTTCCTTTGCGGGCTACGCGGTAGAAGCAGCGCAACTCGGAAGCTCTGGATACTTCAGAAACCACGAAAACAACGAATGCAAATAAACGAAAGGGGCGTTTTAGGAGGGGTTGGAAAAGAATACTCGATTCTGCTAAAGGGGCTCGGGGGTTAGCACAGGATGCCGAGGCCAAGCGACCTCGACTGTAGCCAAGTATGAATGACCCGACTCGATCCTCGCCCGCCAATACGCGACAACCTGTGCTGCTAACGCCTTCCTCAAGTAGAGAGGGAAATCCATCTCACGGAGGAGAATGACCGAAATGAAGACGCCTGGTTCCCGAAATGTCGCCAGGTTCTAAAGAACGATGCGGCTCGCTGACCCAGTCGTAGCGACTTCTGCACACGCCCAGTTTGGTCAAGTGCCATGGTTAACATCGGACTCACACGGCTCCGGTGAATTTGCGTTCGGAAGATGCGTACGAGACACCTGGGTCGCTTAGAGCAGCGCTTGGCCCTCTTTGCGTCTTTGCGAGTTCGGGTACACGAGCAGCGTCTGCAGCAACCCGTAGCGAGTGCGTCGACGTATGTAGCTCGGGGAGTTGGACGCCGGTGAATGTTTCTTTGGCTACAGCGACCGTTATTTGGTGACGTAGCTGTGGGTGTGAATGGCTTCGGGGCTCCTGGTCAAGACGCACCACTCTTCTCACAGTCGCAAGAGAGAGAAAGAGAGAGAAGCATTCCAGGCGTCCCTCGTACTCTGCATTGCCCGATCAATGACTTCGGTCTGACTCGCACGACGGATCATCGCTCCAACTATGTTTCCGAGAACGGCGCCAGACGGAGGATGCAGAATGTGGCGGCTACATGTTCGCCGTACGGAATACGGAGAACATGGACAAGATCGACCCGACTGCACGGCCTAGTGGGCAAGCCTAGTTCAGCCCACTTACCTAGCGACTGATACCTAGGCACCCTACTCGGTACCCTTCCAGGCACCATGGGTACAGGTTACAGGGGCCAGGGCCCCTGCTCGGGCGGGTGGGCCTAATGAACCACAACTGGCGAGTCAATTAAGTTAATTGCTCGCAGACCGTTAGTCCGCTTGCTGCAATAACCATGGCTACCCAGCTCAAGTCAGCTCCCAAGCCACCCACAAGCTACCAAGCTCGCCGCTGACTTCTCATGATTCCCCATAATTTTGATTCCATACCTTCCAACGCTTCCATGATTTCCTTTCCATCCATGTTTACTTCCTGCTTCAGTTAGCCCAAACTATGTGCTCTGCCCCCTGTCCCGGTTCCTCAGATCCTAGCGCCTCCATCAATTCCCTGGCGCCATTATACCTCAGACACCAACCTTTGCAACCTTTCTCTGTCTTTCTCTCGCACACTGACACTCAATTCACACTCCAGACCACTCGTATCAGCCACGATTCGGCCGCCTGCTCTCCGTGTCTCGCGCTATCCTCGACTGCTTCTCGCTCTGTCTCGATCTCCTTCATGCTCCCCGAATCGCACCCTTACCTCATCTGACTGGCACGGCTTCATGGTTATTCCTCTCCCTGGTCCCTCAGCCGCTCGGGATGTCTGGTCGCAATGCGCCATATCCTCTCCTTTCCATCCATCGCACCCCATGCCGTATCGGTCTCGCACCTCTATGCGTTCTCATGTGGATTCTCGGCCAGATGAGCCTATTTCCCAGTCAGTAGGTCTTCGCGAGCTAAGTCCATGGATGAGGCTTAGGTCCTACAACGTCCAGCAAGGGCCTTGATACAAGAGCCAAACACACTTTGTGGGTGGCGATTTGCCATTTCAAATCCCTGTCAACCGGCCTGACCATGGCGCCTTGTGGGTTTCTCGCGATCAGAACTCTCCTTTATCCGCCCTATACCCCCTTGTGATGCTGAGCTAACATGATATACAAACACCTCACCCTCCCCCAGAGGCAAAGACACACTTGCCCTCGTGGTGCATTAACCCTACATACTAGAGATCTTATGTACGAGAGAGTTACAGAGGACATCATCAGTTGTGACTCGACCGCATTTCGCGCAACTCCATCCGCAAGGCAAGTACCTGGAACAAGACTGGCATACTTATAAGCAACCCGAGATCTCGATCCAAGGGACGCACTGCCGCATCACGTCTCCAGCCCACTAAAACAGCTTCCTCCACGCCAGTCCCTTGCCGAAGCGCCGCGGCGCACTGCAGTTCTCCGGGGACCCCCATACCAATAACGTCTACTGCCGATGTATCAGCAGCGACCTAAACTCAATCAGGAGAAAGCCACCAGTACCCTCCCCAAGCCCAGCTCCTGCGATTTCTGGGACACGAGCATATGCATGGTCGATTGAACTGACGCCATAGCCCTGTCGCGGTCCTCCATCTTGATTGCCGGTCGCCTTTTTCGAATCATTGCGCACCGGGATCGGGTCAGCAAGGTCTGAGCGATCAGCCTCGCCTTTTACCTAATCTGAAGACAATCCTCGTTGTGGTCTACGCCTCAAATCTGTTTCCCCTACTCGGAAATTGGGTTCTCCTGCGACGTGTCATGCCACCAAAAGCAAAACGATCAAAATCCCCCGACTCCCAGTTTCTGTTCGTCAACGAAGATGCCTCGACCGTAACCCGGACCACCAAAGACGCTGAACTGGACAGGACAAAGCAGAGTCATGTACAGCGTCAAAATTTTGCTCGCAAACGGCGGTTGCGAGAACAGTCAGACCCTGCCCCTCAGCAAGCCAGCAGCCAAAGTTCTGTCTCCTCAAGTCCTGCAGTGGCTGGTCCATCGTCTTCTACAACTCAAGGGGGCCCTTCTCAGGGCGCAAGTTACTTCGATATCATACAGAACATCGACCTTGAAGATCCCTTGTTCCAATCAACCAGCCCTCCGCCCATTTCGCAGAGTGCCCTTGACCCTCAGCTCTCGGCACTATTCTCTGACCCCTTTGCTTCCTCGCCGGCGTCGCCTCCTATACCTGCCCAGCAAGTTAACATTTTTGGTTCCTCTCACACTTATCGTCCGGGTCATTACTTCGAGACGTCGTCCACGAGCTACAATTACCCCCAAACTACAAGAAGTGTGGCCAGTCTTGTCAATCCATCAATCCCCTTGGGTGGCTTCTCCAGCCCGCCGACCAACACTCACCGGGCCTTGGAACAATGGGCACCGCCTCTAATCAAGCATTACAACACGGTCATACTACCGGAGAAGTTCTGGAAAGACACTCAAAAAGTACCCATGGGCCAACTCCGTCATGCCCCCCTGATTCATGCAGACATGCAGGCTTGCATGACGGAACCCGCGCATATGTATGCATTTCTCGCCTCTGCCGCAGCTCAGATGATTGCTCGAGAAGGTCGTCTGCTGTTACCGAATGTCTCAGAGGAAGATAGTATTCGAGTGCCCCTTTTCTTCAAAACCAAAGCCATACAGGCTCTACAGGCCAAACTCGCCAATGGACAACTCGATCATCATACGGCTGTGGACCTTCATCGACTCTATGCAGCGGGAATACACTCTGACAACTACGAGGCGGCCGAACCACATTTCCAAGCCCTGCTCTCTATGGTTGATGCTCTTGGGGGCCTGAGTACCTTTGATGACTATCAACTGGAGAAGATCTTCATGCTGGACTGTGTTGCAGCGCTGAAGCGGCTCGGGGTCCCACGTCTAGTTGTGACTTTAGATCCCGGCCCATTACCGGACAGCTTGTTGCTTGATATTGAACATCAAAGTCGACTTCATCCGCAACCGGGTTCTCTGCTGGAGATCTTGGTGGATACCTTCAGCGAATGTCAGGTTTTGGCCAACAGCTTCGCCGACCTTGTCCAAGTGTTGAGAATGTCAGCCTTCTTGGCTACTTCCCCTCATTACGTCCACGAGTACTACAAGTGGTTTAACTGGCGGAGTCTGATCATTTTGCACAGGCTTCTGTCGATGCCTCTACATTACACCATGGATGATAGGACTGATAGCGTGAGGATTGCCACAGCCTACTGCGCTGTCCTGCTGCGCTCCCCGACTCTGGGCCGGCGAGCGGCATCGACTTCAGTCAATGCCTTGCGAGTGAAGCTGGAAAGCACGGATCTCGGGCTTTTGTGGCAGCCCCGCACCGATTGTCTGCTCTGGGTGGCCGTTTTCGGAGGCGTGTGTTGCGCTGGTGGAGAGGACCTGGAGTGGTTCGTGCAGCTCGCAAGGACTGCGGCAACCGAAATAGGGATTGGAAATGCGAGGGAACTGGAAGACTTCTTGGTGGCATACGTCTACGATACTTATTCGCACCGGGAATTGGTGGCCCAGTTCGCTGGTCGAGTTTGGCCAAGACGAGATCCATAAGTGCACAATATAAGGCAGATGACCTCAGACTATCGGCATTTATCTCCCATCAACGCCAGTTCAGCATGTTTGCGACTCTGATGATCCGCCGAAACAACACTCGAGCACAGGACCAAGTGGGATGACTCTCCCCACCTCCCAAATTTCCCGAGTGTCCATTCCACCTCTCACCCACAACCTCTTGCTTGAACAGGACAAAGGCAAGGGGCAAAATTTGCACACCACTCGGGGAAAGGCTCAGGCTAGCCTTGCACCCACAGATCCTAGCATAATTGGCTAGCGGTGCCTAAGCTTCAACGCTGGCGAGGCTTGAGCAGCTTACGTTTCTGTCGGAGAGATGCCACGGCTTCTGTGGGCTTGCTTACATCAGCCATGAGTTCAAACTATCATGCAGGTCTCTGTGATTACTTGGACGAGGTGATGAACATGTACTGCGGCTGGGGGGCGCATGAGGAAACCTATTTTGGCGATCAGAAATTGTCCCGATTGGTGCGAAGATCATGTCCAGATATCGCACATATACCGAGCCCTGACTGGTCACCGAGTCTATGTTTCCTTCCCGAGTCATCTCATGAATTGATTGTGACGGGTGCAAAAGCATACGATGCACACGGCGGATATCATGGTGAATTCCGAAACACAGTACTGACCAAGAATAGTGCGAAGTGGTGGGAAATCATGGACAAAATTAGATGTCAGCTAACTGATGGAGAGGGTTGCTAGAGGAGATGCCAGTCACGAAAACACGAGACACTGATAGCCTGTCGATACGAAAGGATTGCCAACGACCAGGATCATGAATTGGGGCCTCCCATTCGTTCGCTGGTATATTGGATAGTGACGGGATGAAGCGCCGAGGTCTGATTCACGACTTTAAGAGCACGACGACTAACGCATACACGACAATGCATGACGAATCACGAGAGGATTTGGCAAGCACAGGCTGATATGAGAACCGGGGCTATGCTGGATACCGCGAGCGAGCTCGATGGATGCCCGTCCTCGGTGGTATACAGGTTGTGCGTGAACTGAGACATATGCTGAACTAGGCCAATTGATCAGATCCGGCTAGTATTTACTATAGCTGGGAAAAGATAGCAGTCTGAGCACGTGTTTGAAGCGGACGAGAGAAGTAAACCACCATTGACGCCCCTCTTTGACACCGAAGGGTAAATGGTCTCCATAGGTATCTAGGTAGATAGATACTGGTGGCGTTGATGAGCCTCGCGTCTCGAGCATTTACAAAAAAAATTTTCTATTTATCAATCGTGCCCGCCGTGATATTATCTCCACAACCTACGACAAAGGGGAGCAGGTAGCGCCGTGCTCTACCACAAGCACAAGCACAAGCACAGGCCCGGGTTGCACGGAACGCGCCGCTTGGGAACTACTATTGACCACCTAGGTAGTTGGCAGCTCGGCAGCTATAATTAATACCCATCGCCATAGCTAGCCGTAGCTAGCCCTAGCCACATATATTGAGTAGACTCAATTTTGTATATACCTAGTAGGTAGGTAGGCAAGTTTCATGAACGTACGTCGCTTTCTTTTGTTTATTTTTTTTCTTTTTACCTTTTCCCTTCAGTAGCCCCGTCCTGGATGGATTATGCCGTGCTCGTGAGCCCGCGCTACAATATGCTCCATGCCGCGCCATGCCTGCCGTAAAATACCACGCAATGCAATACAATGCAATGCCAATGCAATGCAACACAGCGGCATGCAGAAACGCCACGCCCACACACCATGCCTTGTCGATGCGCTGGTATGATCCTCATGAAATGCAAAAGAAAATCATCAGACAGGATAGAGAAGATGGAGGGAGAGAGGGAGAGAGTGGGTGAGTGAAAAGACGCTTCAGTTCGTGCGCGAGTACTCCCTCCTCAAGACAATCGCCTCCTTCATAAACGGACTGCGCTCCCTTAATCTGCGACCCCAGACCAAAATCCCCACAGGCGCCAAGGAGAGCAGCAGGGCTAAAAACCCCAGCAGACTGCTGGCCCAGCGGAATCCCAGGTTCGTGTACATGCTCTGAGCGGCGAGGGGGAGGAAGGCTGAGAAGAGGTTCTCGCCCAGAACGACGGCCGCGCATGCGCTGCCGGCGTACTTGGCGTAGGCGTCGACCACGTAGTCGGCGATGGCGACAACCACGACGTTGACGCCGTAGCCGACCATGGCGAGGCCGATGGCGGGGGCGATCCAGGGCGAGGAGGGGGTGGCTGTCCATCTTCAAGGAAGGTTAGTTTCTTGGGTCTGGTGGAAGGGTGACTACGAAGGGGGGGGGAAAGAACTCACCCGTAGACAAACATGCCGCCGGCCACGCCGACAAAACTCCCCACAATGCTCACATACAGCCGCGCTTCGGGGATCGGTGTCCCCGGGACTTCGGTGTTGCGGGACACAGAGGCAAAGTACAGTTTGGCATTGATGAGAACACCAGTCCAGCCGACGAACTCGCCAATGACCACTGCTGCTTGGACGTAGCCGGCCTGCGAGGCCGTCCAGCCGTACAGACCCGAAAAGACCTGCTCGACAGACTGGGTAAAGACGTAGACAGTACCCAACATGAAGGACGACCAGAGCGTGAAGACGAAGAGGACGGGCTCGGTCAAGAGCATTCGTAAGGGTCGTTTCGTGCTCCGGACCAACTTGCGCGGCAGACTTAAGTGATTCCCGTCCTGGTAAGGGCCGAGGATCGGCACGCCGTAGGCCTTTTGCAGTTTCAGGGCCCGCTTCTGGAGGATGATGGTGCCCCGGCTCTCCTGGAAGAAGAAGACGTAGATGGGGAACAAGGCGCAGTACCAGATCAGTTGCATGTACGAGATCCACCGCCACGACAGGTTCTCGAATATGACACCAGCAATCACGGGTCCCATGCTGCTGCCAGCGAGGTAGAGCGTCACGAAAAGGCTCATGGGGATGGTGCGGGCGCGGTCGCCCTCCCAGATGTTTCCGATCAAGGCGGCGGCTGTGTTGGAGAGGACCGAGACGCAGCCTCCCGAGAAGAAGCGCGAGACGATCAGCGTCGCGAAATTGTGCGCCACGGCCTGCGGGATGATGAAGCACATGAAGACGACGTACGTGGTCAGGAAAGCCGGCCGCACGCCAAAGTCCTCCATCAGAGGCAGCACGACCAGGCCGCACAGCCCACCGCCCAGAGCCCAGCTGGTGACGGGCCAGTACGAGTTTGGAAACTCGGCGTCGCTGACGTGGAACTCGTCGTTGATGGCTGCGTGGGCGACGGTGATCATGGTCCCGTTCAGAATCGTCGTGAACGTTGCCATGGTCCCGACGGCAGTGATTGTCCACTTCTTGCGCAGCGGCCAGTTGTATGGGTTTTCCGGGTCGTCGGGCCCGTACCAGTCGATGGCGTTTGGACTGATTCCGTCACCTGCACCAGCACCTGCACCGGCAAATCCAGCTGTATTGTGCCCATTTTGGATCGGGATGGCTACCTTCGACTCCTCATCGAACCCTGTCATGAGCAGATCGGGGTTTTCTCTTGATTGTGAGAGGGGGGCCAACGGTAGAGTGAGGATGGGTTGAAAAGAACGAAACAACGGAAGGAACCTGTTGCAACGAGCGGAATGGGAAAGGCAATGAGACACACAATATCCTGCGTAGAGAAAGACAATGTCCCATCAAGGGAGAAGTGACCGTATAAGAAAAAAGCTTACTAGGTATTTCTATCCCGAGTCAATAAGTGGCGGACGACCAGGCCGGTGACCAAAGGATTGGACCTCACCTCACTTACATTTTTCCCGGCCCATTACCAATATAGGATTCTGGAGATGCCGGACTTGAGCGGACTTGACAAAGAGTGCAAACTTTTGTATGACGACAAAACCCTTTGGGAGAAAATCTCACGGTGCCAGTGGGTTAAATTTTCTCCAAACCGTTACCTAATGAATTGCCCGGAGTTGGCGACACCGCCCATTGTCCCGAGTGCTCGGGTTCCGCACAAAAAGGGCTGCGGCTCTTGTAGGAGGGATGGAAGATGCGGGTTGAGGGGAGCCATCGACGTTGCTTGAGCTCTTCTGATCATGGACAGTGGCTCGATGTTGTCCGATGGAAAGGGAACTCCAGGAGGATAAGGAGTGTGTTTATTGATTGTCATTGGAAGTCCAGACAGAGCCTTGTCGAGACTCGTGGTGCACGTGCGGCCCAAGGCTGACCCGACAAAATGGGAAAGTGTGTTTGTCTGACAGAATATTATTTCCCTTCAGAACTCCCGACGTCCCTTATGGACGAGATTGGGCTCTCTTCTGGAAGAAAGAGGGTGCGCACTGCCTGATTGCACATATGCGATCCTGTAGCTGCACCGACTTTGCGCTCCTCGAGTTACTCTCTGCTGGCCCAAGGGGAGAACATGTTCGATTCGGAGCCAAGCTGTCATCATTTTCTATATTTTGGTGTCTATGATCGTGGTATGGGATGTGCAACAAAGCCCCAAGGCAAGGGTGGCTCTGTCTCCCGAGTATTGGTATGATAAAACAGGCTCCTGCTTTCCTGCGTCTTCCCGACACAGCTATTCTCCTAAATACTCAGCTTTCCCAGTTCCTCTCGCTTCGCATCATAGATGTGGTACCCCCAAACTCGCCAACACCAAGTTCAAAATACTAACCACACCTTCTCCCAGAATCAAGCCACTCGCGAGCACAATGACTTTCGTCTCTCCTCTACCTTTCCATCCTATCCACCATAGAGATATCACTCCACCAATAGTTCGTGCCAGTGTGAAGCTGGGAGTGTTGTACATGCCCACTGCCACTGCGATGCCACCAGGGATCCATGGGTGTAAAGCCTTACACCAGGGCTTAGAATCTCTGTATGCGAGGAGGTATATCCGAAGAGTGGTGGTGAGGATAAACACTGCACCAAAAACCAGAGCGAATTGCCAGGCCATCGGCGGCAGACCTTTCCCCGTCACCAGTCGTGCGGTAAAGATCCACACATAGGCCGTGGGAATCTCAAACAGGTCTCCTGGAATCGGGTAGACCGAGACGTACAACTTATAGACTGCGGCAGAGACGAAGGCTCCCACAACACTCCCTATAAGCTGACCATAGAATTGTGCCTTGGGTGACGCCCCAATTAAATGTCCCGCTTTGAGATCTTGGAGGATGTCGCCAGCTTGAAGCGCCCCCGCTTCGCTCACAGCTCCCGCGAGTAAGTTGATGATGATGCTGTGGTTTGCATGTGGGCCAGTGGGCGTGATCAAGGCGAAGACCAATTGCGTCAATTTGGAAATTCCAGAAACGGGATTTAAATCTGTTTCACCGAGAGCGCGCACGCCCATGATCGAGAGGACGAGAGCAAGAAGGATGGCGAGGATATTGAGGCTAATAGGGATGTAAGCGCCAAAGGATATGTGGATGCACACAACACAAACAATCAGTGTGATGGGAAGGAGGATGGCGACGGTCCGGCTGGACACAAGGTGATGTGGTGGCGCATCGTCAGGAGGCTCGTCTGATGGGGTTTTCAGTGGATCGGTGTGGGAGGACTGAGGTGCTCGTACGGTCGTGTGGAGGGACATATATCCGGCAAGTTGTTTTCCGAGCAAAAAGTCGGACCAGGAAGAACTGTCTCTGTAATGTCCGCGGAGGGATAGGATCCAATCTGGACCATAGTGAATGGTAGGTCGAAGGAACAGCCAGCCTAGATTGACGACTGCATCAGCCAGCATAATTGCCAAGCTGACCCAAACGATCCAGCCTTTGCTCCCTGTTTCCCAGTCATCCACGGGTCCCGGCGCCCAGCCGTTGTTTTTAGCTATAGGACTCAGTACCGCCCAGCCTCCAATAGCGCCGAGAAGCATGTGGAAGGTAGTGGCAGGCCCCATAATGATACCTTGTCCAACATATGCCGGCGAAGGATTGAGCGTCCATTCCCAGGTGTTCGCCAGGTAGGTGCCAAAGATGGGTAATTTGTGGAGGATGGGAAGGAAGTATTGGACCAGAGTGTAAGCACCGGAGGCGAGGAATGCAACTACAAGAAGGCGGATTTGTCTTTTCCAATCCCCTTGTATGTTACGTTCGTCTGCTTGCTCCGGCTGATTGTCTCGATCGGTCTCCCTCAACAGTTCTTCGCGCTCCTCAGTGCCTTGAGTTTCGATCTCTCGATGCTTAGCCTCTTCACTCTTGGAACCGCCATGCAGTACACTTATCATCAGGGCTGTAGCAGTGCCACTGGGGAATTTGAGACGCTCGCGAATGATGACCTGTTTTCGCAAGGGTACGCCGAATACAACGCCAAACAAGCAGAGACCAACACCCCAGACGAAGAGCCTCCACAGACTCAGATCGACAGGAGCACCCTCACTCTGTTTCAGCAAAAACTGTATAGCAGGCATGACTCCGACAAAACCTAGTCCCAGCGGCATGGTGCCTACCGCGCCAGCGACCGTCTGGACAAGGACATTTTCCATGGGCGTGAATGGAAGAACCAAGTAGCGAGATATCGACTTGAAGACGGCGAATCCAATCAAGGAGGCCGGCATCGCCATCCCCGAGACCCAACCAGTTTGCAACCCAAAGTAGACGTTGGAAAATGTTATGATGACCCCGATCAGTGTACCAACGGCAACCCCTCGAAATGTGAAATTTGTCCCATCCAGAGCCGAATCATGCACGCCAGGGACGGCATAGCAGGCATGGTCAGATCGAGTGCGGGAGATATCTTGCTGTTGACCAGCCTGCGGGAGTAATTCATGGTCTTCGACATCGGACGTGGAGGGAGTGCCTCTGCCAGGAGCCAGTTCATGATCTTCGACATCGGTCGTGGAGGGAGGGTGGGTTTGAGAGGGAGGGCCTCTGTCGGGAGCCATGTCGGGCTATGTTCAGGATGTTGAATCTCGATATGGTATCCCGATCCAGAAGGTCCATGAGGAGGGGGGGTGAGGAGGTGCCGATGCCCAATGCTGGTGGAATGGTGAGTGAGCGTACAGAGTAGATGCGGAAGAGTGACAGTGACTGCAGTGCCATTTCTGGCGTCATTGTTCCGTTGATTTTCTGAGCGTCACGTGTAGTGCTTAGGTACCAGCTCGCCAGTCTCCCGCTTGGGTGCCGCTGGCTGTCCCGGCACCCTACAGTTGGGTTTGGGTTACTGTACCACCTAGCAACTAGGGTACCGGTAACTTTATGGTGGGCTGATGGTGGGGTTGTGTCCCGAGGTGCACCTAGCACTCTCCTTGGTGCGGCTAGAGCTTGCGGCCAGAAGCGACCTCCAGGTGCCTCTGCGAATCCCGCATTGGCCCATCCAAACCCCCATCGATCGGTCTGGATTCACCCTGGAATCACCATGTCTCCCAAAGAATGCGCTCCTAGCACTGCGGTCCACCGCCATGCACCTTTGAGGGCATCTTTGGGTGCATCTCATTCCTCTGGTTGCTTCTGCCATGCGGCACGAGGTTCCCACTTCCCGCCCGTCGTGGCTCCCTCCATCCAATCTCGTGGGTTTTCGACATGTTCGATGACGCCTTCATGCCTGCGGTCGGTGGAACAAGCGGGCATTTTCTGCCAGTGCATCGTGCACCCTGAATGCCACCTATTCTCGAGTCGAAAACTCCCAACGATCGTCGCACTTGCCGATCTCCCATGGCTGCCACGGCTGCCCATTTTGGCCTATCTTTGAAGTGTTCCTGTGACTCTCGGTTATTCCGTCATTCGCGATACGAACTCGAACTTGGGTCACCCAACATCGTTACCTCCTCCTCACATACGCTCTCCTAACATACCTAGGTACCATACCATGGCTCGACCTTGACTTATAGCAAAACTGCCGTGCTACCTCATTTCTCATCACAGCTATGAGCGCGAGCCGATATTTGCCTGCCTCTCGGTAGAAAATCTGCAGTCTGAAAGAGCAGGGTATAGGGTTACTGGGGGGGTTATAGAGGGGTAGACAACCCCCTCTGCCTCTTCTGACCATGGCTCCAGAAGCGGCGCGAGAGCGCGAAATGCACAGGTATTGCTCTTCTTCGCCCTGCTCACGATCTTGCACGCTCACACGGCTTATAGGTACTATCAGCCGTGGCTCGAGACCTTCCTGTCCACCGACTTCGAACCTGCCTCGGACTTCCCTCCTTCCAATGATCAGGCCCAACCGCATCGACCACGTTCCTCCAGAGACAAGGCGCTGACAGCCTTTGCGCAACTGGGCTGTCTCCGCCTCAACGCCAAAAGATGTATAGTCACTTTGCTAGGAACTACCAGGCAATATATCATAGCCGAGGCTACGAAATCTTTGTCCCTCTTGAGCGACGCTCACCACGACGATGGAGATGAACTGTGGTTCGGAAATTCTTTCATTGAGCGAGAGGGTGGCATCTCGGCTGATGCCATGTATCCTGATGAATATACCGCCTCTGATCCTGATGGCTCTTCCTTCACCACGCCTGCGCTGGTCGTCAGCGACATCTCGACCCATGAGAAATATAAAACTCGAGGCTACGCTGGTCGGGGCGTTTCCTTTTATTGTGGCGTACCAATCACCACCCAAATGGGCCATGTCATCGGGGTTTACAATGTTACCGACGACAAACCACGTCAGAGTCTCTCGGCAACTGAACTTCATTTCCTGCTCGACATGTCCGTTATCGTCATCCAACATCTGGAAGGTGTGCGAAACGATCGTGCTAGAATGAGGGGAGAGCGCCTCATTTACGGCATCGGGACATTCATAGAGGGTGATAAGGCTGAAGCGGCCCCTGGAGACGGGTCCAAATCACAGGGTGATAAGTCGAATGACTCCAAAACGAGCCAGAATGGTGCCTCTGAGAGCACCAAGACAGCAGAATTCAGGGGCTTAGTGATTGGCGACGCAAATGCACCTGTTGAAGATTCGAACCGCAAGGGGGCCCGAGACCGTGCCAATGGCAGAAAGAAAGCAACGTCTTCAGGGATCACTCAGGAAAGCATCCTCAACTACGTGTCTAGCCACACACAGGCGCCACCCCCGGCCAAAACGCCCAAGGACAAGATATTACAGGAGTCTCGGCAGGTTTTTGATCGTGCCGCTGCCGTTCTCCAATACTGCCTCCGCGCCACCGGGGTTGCGTTCCTCAATGCGAGCTCCGCCAACCTGAGTTCAGGCTCGAGCATGAAAACTTCTGGGGCTGCTGTATCCGAATTCCATCATGCTAAATCTAAAGGAAGAGGTCACTCGGACCACCAGAACGGAATGCAGGGATCAGATTTGCAGGACGGTGGAGCGAGGGACGATTCTACGGCCTCCAGCGACGACGCTGCGAGCACACGAAGCAACAGCGACTCATCCGCCTCCCAGGGCAAGCGACAGGTATGTGAGATTCTGGGTATTCGGACAGTCGATGCCCATCAATCCATCAGCCTCGCCGATCCGACTATGCGCCGTCTGGTCCGACGTCATCCAAAAGGAAAATGCTTTTCATTCGACCAGTTTGGAAGACCGGCCTCCAGTGACGACAGCTCTGAGTCTGCATCTGCGGCGGAAATTTCCCAAGGGGATGGTGATCAACCAGCGAAAGTAGGACACCATGTCCCCACAACCAACTCTCTGCTGAAAGCACTCCCCGGCGCAAGGAAGATTGTCTTTCTGCCGTTGTGGGATTTTGCGAAAGAGCGCTGGCACTCTGGACTGGTTGTTTGGTCAAATGATGCAGGCAGTCTGACTAACGTTGAGGACGATATGGTTTACCTCAAGGCTTTCAGTAACGCTGTTGTGAACGAGCTTAATCGTATCGATTTGGCACTGTCCGATACCGCCAAGTCAACATTCCTTGCCAATATTTCTCACGAGCTTCGCTCGCCTCTTCATGGTATTCTGGGAAGTATTGAATTTCTCCACGATACCGCCATGGATGACTTTCAGTCGTCTATGGTCATAAGCGTTGAGACATGTGGAAAGACGTTGCTTGACACGGTCAACCATGTGCTTGATTACGCCAAAATACATAGTCTGTCCAAATCCCATCGCCAGGATCCAGCTTCTGCACAGGACCGTACGCAACGGAACAAGTCTGAAACCAACCTTACGGAGGATTTTGACATGGCGGTTGTGGTGGAGGAAGCGGTTGAAGCTGTGTACGCCGGGCAAGTCTTCCGGACCGCTAATGCAGACGCATTGGAAGGTAAATCGCCAGTTCAGACCGCTGCCAGTCGAGCCATGCAACAAAGGCTAGATCGAAAGGCCAATATCAGCAAAGGGTCGGCCAAAGCATCAAGTGCTGTTCGCCTTACCCTAAACATTGACGACCATACCAACTGGTGGGTCAGATCTCAACCTGGTGCCGTCAGGCGGATTGTCATGAACATTCTTGGGAATGCATTGAAATATACCACCAAAGGGAGTATCAATGTTGCCCTCGAGGTTGACCGCTCCCGAAATAAGAGTAGCTCAAACCTACACATGCTGCTGAAAATCGCCGACACCGGCCGCGGCATGTCGGATGATTTCATGAAGAACCACGCATTCACTGCATTCTCTCAAGAGGACACGTTGGCAACAGGCACCGGGCTTGGGCTCAGCATTGTCCGACAGATTGTCGACTCTCTCAGAGGGAAGATCGACCTGTCCAGCGAGAAAGATGTGGGCACCGAAGTTAGAATCTGGCTCAGGCTTCCAAGAAGTGAAAAAGATGTGAGTTCGTTCCCTGAAGCACACGTCATTACAGACATGCGCCAGCGCATTTCAGGACGGGAGATGTGCATGCTCTTGCCCTATGACGAGAAGAACAACGAAACAGATGTCCGTTATCTGGTCCCAATGCCAACAATAGAAAGCTCAATGCGAAATTTGGTGTCTCAGTGGTTTCGGATGAAGATCACCACGACAAAGACCATGGATGGCATCTCACCGGACTTCTTCATCTATCCTGAGCCTCCGCCTATTGACTATCTAATGGACTACCACGGCAAGCCAGAAACGGAGAAGGAGGTTCCCGTCATCATATTGTGCACGAATGCATTTGAAGCTGCATCCCTGAGGTCCAATGGTATACACTATCTCACCGACATTGGTAGAGTCATTGAGGTGATTGCGCAACCTTGTGGGCCGCAGAAGCTGGCCAAAGTACTTAACCGGTGTATGCAACGGTTGGAGCTTCTGCAAAAGGACCATACCAAAAAGCCTTCGAAGACGGCTGCGTTGTCGTTCTTCCGAGGCAGGCACTCAGATAAGGAGAGCATCCGAGCGACAGAAAACACACCTGGCAAGGGTGAAGAACCCGTCCAGGACGGTGGCCTTGGCTCCATGCCTGACGGTGACAATGCAGCCAAGCCCGAATCGCATGAGACTTCGCGCGAGCCTCCCAATGAGACCCAATCACGACCTCAAAAACCGTCATTAACAAAGATGGGCACCTCGGACGGTGCCGTCACATTGACCGAGTCAGACGGCACAAAAAGCGCTGCTTTACCTCGAGAACCTGACACAAATAACCCGCGAGTCCTGGTGGTCGACGACAATCACATTAACCTGCACCTCCTCGTTACCTTCGTTCGCAAAGCTGGCCACCCGTTTGAATCGGCCACCGATGGCTTGAAGGCTCTAGAAGCATACAAGAAGAGCGTCCGCGAAGATGGTGGTCGAAACGCCTTTAAACATATTTTCATGGACATCTCGATGCCTGTGATGAATGGGATAGCATCCGCCAAAGAGATTCGACAATTCGAGAAAGACAACAAGGTTGATCCACCGGCCAAGATAATTGCTCTGACGGGTATGGGTAGTGACGTTGCCCATAATGAGGCGATCAACGCCGGGTTCGATCAGTTCTTGAGTAAGCCGATTGTAAGTCTGCCTTGATCCAAATCTGATGCCACTGAGGGGGAAAACACAGCAAAGGGACCCATCTGACATTTATACTGACGTGTATCATTGTAGAAGTTCAAGGACCTACAGAAACTGCTTGTCTGAACGCCAGTCGTGTTGATGAGCTATATGCAACCAGGATCTACGCTATGGGTTGTTGAGTTTTGTGATACCGGCATGCATTGCTTCTGGCGTGGTCTGGGAATCAGCATCTGACATGTTGATATGCCTCGGCGAAGGGCGTCTTGGAGTAAAAGTCACGAAATGTAGGGAACCACAAATGGCCCGGAGATCCTTGTGGAGGGTTCACTCGCCCCCCTTGGAGCATCGATAAGGCTTTGCATAGACCTGGCTTGACACACGCATCGCTGTCAGAGCCGATTCTGTCAGAACACTTACGACAGGCAGCATAAGCTCATTGCAACGTATGATGGATTGTGTAGGGGTTGCGGCGGATGCTTCGTGGACGGGCGTGAAGAGCAAGGCTAATCAATGCGTTGAGCTATGATGAGAAAAGCACACATTAGTAGGGACCACCACCACGGCAACAAGGTCCCTTGGATCAGACCAAGCAGCCTATCTTGCAAGAGATCCATCCTTACGCACCGGTCTATGATGGTACGTGTTATATGTCTGTATACGAGATATATCTGGGTGTAACAAGCAAGCAACCAACAATGGTAGAAATCTTCAAAACAGTATTACACAATCTGAACAAGTTTCTTGGCGGGTCATATTATGTTGCTATTGCTAGCCACCTCTTGTCTGCTGGCTCTGGTTTTTTTTCTTCTTCCACACTTTCAACGTTTGTTTTTGGGTAGACCCTTCTTCGCTCAATTGCTTCCCCAGTCACGCTGGCACGAACCCCGACAAATCCCCGGCATATATATACATGTGCTTCCCCCTTCGGAAGGCTTTGCCTCGCCCCCACCCCCTCCCCTTAATCAACTCCGCCTCATGTCCGTGTGATAGTGTGTGTGTGTGTATGCTGCAAAATTCTGCTGTCGTTTACCAACAAAACCTCTCCGTGTGCTTGTGTGTGTGCCAGATCGAAAACCTGAACTGTTGCCCTGTGAAGAAAGAAGATGGGAAAGAAAGAAAAAAAGGGTGAAGAACAAGATGGGGTATAATGAAGTCCAGTTCAAGAAGCGCTTTCAAAACGAAATTCAAATTCAGATTGTTGTACAAAACAAGGGTTTTCGTTCGGTCATGCAGGCAGATCGCGGATGGTAGGGTCGATTCGGTTTCTACCCAGCAGGGGAGGGAAAGCGTATGCATGTGGAGAGTGAGGCCGCCCGTAAAACAGATAGGCTACTTTTCGGACATTCAGCTGTGGCCAGGGAAGTGCGGGCAATGGATATTGTGATCGAACATCGAGTGCAAAAAACACCTCGGCGAGGAAGGACCGGTCGATATGACTTTGGTATCCTTGTTATGAACCAGGCAGGAGATTGAAAGCGATGAAAACTTGGCTCGTGGGTATCCAGATATTCAAGTGGTATTGAAATTGAGCCAGGTCTGGCGCAACCCAAGATGTCGCTTCCGGTAAACTGTGTAGTCCACACAAACCACTTCAGGAGAGATTTTCCAACCCAGCCAGGTAGTTCCAATATGGTGAAGTCAATGTTTGCGGATGTCAGATCGAGTCAAATGTAGACCGCTGGACACGTCAAGTTCCCCGTGCTTTGGATTCGAAATGTACCTCCACTCGCCTTAGGTGGTCACTCTCTTGATCCATAGCCCAGTAGGTTGCTCGTAAAAGTCGTCCTTGTCCCTCCGCTTCTGCGCACGATGCAGCCTCAGCTGAACGTCGTGCTCCTCGTTCTTGACATCCTGGATCTCCAAATTCAGATTGGTTATCATCTTATCGACTTCCTTGCGCTTTCTCGAGTCATAGACGATTGCGTTCTTCCTCAGTGATTCCTGAAGTTCCAAGATGATTTTGTTTAGATTTCGTTTACGCCGAGCGAGGTCTTCCAGTCGGGCTGTGAGAAAAGTGATTTTATCAGCAGCCTGGAGTTCGACAGGTGTTGGAGGAAGGGACTTGGTGGCCGAAAGGCTGGACATCAGAGACACAGCCCGAGGTTTCCCATTGCGGTCGTTGGCATTCGAATCGTTGCCGACAGCCTTTCTGAGGATGTTCGACGACTTTCGCCCCGAGATGGTTGAGAAAGGGGAGATGCTGCTGTAGTTGTCATAGCTGCGATGGCCACTATTGTTCGCCGCAACACGTTTGCGGAGGACGATTGGTTCTGGAACGGCCTCGGGTGGTAGCTGGATTATGGGCACAGGGCTGCTTGTCAGTTCCTCTCGTGCGATGGGACTGGAAGGAACATGACTGCTATCTTCTGCCGCGCTGGTCGCATAAGTGTTCCAACTCGATGAGGTGTCTGGTTCACGTTGCAACGGAGGCTGGTGCATGGTGGGATCGAATGAATCTTCGCTGGAGCTCCTGTCCGGGCCGATGAAGGAGGGGGTGTTTGAACCCAGTGTAGGGCTGTCAGCTCCATACTCTTGGACGGCACTGTGCTCAGGACTTTGGGCTGGCTCGGCGGCGGGTGGACGTGGGCCAGGGCTTTGGAATGGGCTGTCTAATAGCCGGGTATACTCAAGCTGTTTGGGTGACAGGACTTGCGGCGACAGCGCTTGTGGTATTTTTCTGGTTTTCAGAGGGGCGACAGGCTTCAGGCTTTCCTCCGAGTCCACAGTTCTGAGGTTCGGAAGTTGTGAAGCCGCGACTGAAAGTGAATCGATGGGAGACATGGCAGTGTTTTCGACAGGGACCGTTTCTTCGGGCGTCTCGCTGCTTGTATCTTTGTCGGCCATCTTATGGCGCTCTACCAGCATCAGCGGTCGAGTGCGAGCTTCTGGGGTATTTTTAACAGGCTCGACTATGGCATGTCTACCACTTGCCCCCTTCCATGGAGGTCGCTGGACGGGATTGTCCAAAGGGTCTGCGGGATCTATTCCATCTGCTGGTGTGGGGGACGAAGACTTTGTCCAAGCCGACTTTTTGACTGCTTCCCTTTCCTTCAAACCAGCCAAGATTTGGCGCGTTCTCTCTTTAAGCTGGGGGTATGACTGGTCGATTGCAGATGATGGGGCTGCTCCAGGACGGGCGGAAGGTGGCTTCCCTGCCTGACTGGGTTCGCCCGAATATTCATCCCATCGAGTCTCTTCGTTGGCCTCTTTCCGCAGATTCCATCGCTTTTTAATGCCTTCCTCGGCATTGTTCTGTGAAACTGAAAGGGGTAATTTCCGCGGTATCTGACTCTTGAACGACTTGTCTGGCTGCGTGGGGGTTGGGTGTGAGGATTCGATCGGAGAGACCAGGGAGGCGTCAGAGCCGTTGGGGTGGAATGAGGTCTGGCTGCTCAAAGGTGAGACACTTGCTTGACTGGCATCATGTTGATGTCTCGGCTGAGTCGAGGGCTGTGGTGGATTGTAGTCGGAGATGTTAGGAGAGGCCGAATCCTGATCGATGGAATAGACCGACGCTCGCTCCTCCATGGGAGGCACAGGCCGACTGCGGACGAAAGTGGTCAGTGTGAGGAAGGAATTCAAGAAAGAAGCCAGACGCACAATGGAAGTTCTGGAAGAGCAGTGGCCGCAACACTACTACGGCGACTGTACAAAGACTCGACCTCGGGGATTGTCTCGAGGTATCTTTCATCCATTGTTGGCTCGGGATAGGGATAAGCTTGGTAGCCCATTTGGTAGTCTGGTATGTTGTTTCGTCTCCACATGCTTGCGGTTTATCTCGGGAATGTTGCTTCGGTACTTAAAAAGGGTTGCGACGCTCCGACACAAGGAGAGTTCGTCATAACGCGGGCAGCTTCAACCAAAGTTCAGCGTAACGGGTCAGTGATGAGCGGGAGGAGGTGGTGAAGGTGACAGATGTGAGTTTCCGATGGGCGCGAGGTGCATGAGTAGTCGGTTGTCGTGTAGGTTGGTGGTGACTTTCTGCGGTCGATCTTGTTCAGTAGGTTAGGTAACGCAGCAGTAACATTTCTTTGTGATGAAGCGAATATTACGGGGAGCCCAGGGGTGAGATGCGCTGTCTCATTTTGCTTGTCACTTGTGCAGACTCAGAATGGCGATTCGACGAGTTGCCGATTGGCTGAGGGGCGAGTTAATCAGTGCCCGGAGCGCAATGGGTCAATGTGGCAGAATAAAGGTGAAACAAGGAACGACCGCCGCCGTTGATTATTTCAGGGTCATTCACTGTGAGACACAGCCGCAGTTCGAGTCAGCTACCTTGTCTCCAGGATGTTCTGATACTTGAAGAGCTTGTCTTATTTCCCATGCGCTCACTTGACAGCCGAGCGACTCTTACTACACGTGGTGCCTGCCAGCTATTTACGCGTCGTGATAAACTTCAAGGTTTGTTGTCATTACCTGACTTGTACTTGGTGGTGTGGAGATTGAGCACAACCCCGACCAGTCAATAGGGGCCCAGGCACCCACCAGGGACCTGCAGTACCGGCGGGCCGGTACACAGTGGCTTGCATCGCAGTAGGCAGACTCGGCAAGTGCCCAGGGGCCAGGTGAGGCTCAGCAGCCTCCGCAGCCTCTTTGATGGACAGCGATAATCGTAGGTATAGCGGAGGTGAACCAAGCCAACAATGTCGATAGAAGCCCCCCGAAGCCCCCTCTTCCCCTTGGCCTAGCGCCCTCCTAACCACGTTCTTCCAGTGGCTTCAGGTACCAATTAACTGCTCAGTCTTTACCTAACTAGGTACGGTAGGCCCTGGTCGGGAAACGCACCCCTTCGGAAATGTCATCCGTTCCGTCACCACCTGCAGGCTCCTTCTCCTTCCCCTTTGCCTACAGCAGCACTGATGCGGCGATGCCATCATCCGAACGAGCCGTGACTCCTGCGCACCCAATGAGAACCACGAAATACAATTTCAATTGATCGACGCCTAAGCAAACTCTGGCCTTGGTGGCGTTTCTCTGTCTGTGCTGTATACCTGCTCGCTACCATGGTACCATTTAATCCTGGTGTCCCCGATTAGCTTGCTTTTTCCGCCCTCCTTGACGCCCGATGGTCAAGAACGGTACCAAGAATACTGCCAGAACCGCACCCCCTAGAGACACCCAGAATGTCGCTTGATATGGCCGATACCTCACAGCTCCTGGCCCTTGGGCAGCCCCTCCAGCGGTGTTGTAAATGCTCGTTTGGATGCCCAGCCCAACCGTCGCAACAAGCCGGGTCGCCGTGTTGAACAGGCCTCCTGCCACCGACTGCTGTTCACTGGGAAGAGACGACATGACGTACATGTTGGTGACGGTGAACTCCAGGTCCTGCGACAGCACGCTGAATAACAGTGCTGGAAACGCAATAGCCCAGAACGAGATGGACGTATACAGCGCACTGAAAAGTGCAGAAGCGATCACGGCACTCACAGCCCCAATGATCATGATCACCCGGTTTGACACTCGGTGCATGATCATTGCTGCCAGTATGTTGACAAGAATTCCTCCAATTCCCGCTGGAAGAAGGTGGACGGCGACCATCAGCGGTGACAGCCGGTTGATCCTTTGCCAGAGTAGAGATAACCAAAAGAGATTCCCAGCGAAGCCGTAAAACCCAAGGCAGAGCACGGCCACCACCAGCGTGAAGTTGCGATCTTTCCAGACCCTCAGCGGCATGAGTGGGTATCGGAATACGCTTTGCCAATAGATGAAGCCAGCGATCAGGACAAGCCCAACCACTAACAAGGCAATCACGTAGGGTGTCCGCCATCCATGTGGCGCGTCACCTGCCAGAGTCAGGGAGGCAGTGAACATGGCAATCCCACTAACAGCGAGGAGGGCTCCCAGAAGGTCGAATTTCAGGAAAGTGTCCATGTTGAGCCCTCCGAGGCTCTGTTCGCTGTCCGGAGGGGTTGTCCACAGCGCGGCAAAGAAGAAGAAAGCATAAATCACCGCCATGACCCAGAAAGCTGCTCTCCAGGAGGAAACCTGCATCGTCACTCCACTGATAAATGCTCCAAGCACGAAACCAACCGGATTGCCTCCGGAAAAGCAGGCAAATGCTCTGTTCTTTCGTCGACTCGGTCTGTCATAAACCGCCCCCAGCTTGCCAATGGCCGGAGGAACAGAAGCTGCCGAACTAAGACCAAGAAGACCACAGAAGATGTCCAGAAAGTAGGCATTGGTGGCAAAGCCCGTGATGAGCAGACAGATACTGAAAAAGGCCAGACTGCAAAGAAAGAGCAGTCTCCTTCCAAACAAATCCGCCACCCGGCCAAAAAATAGCAAGAATGTGCCCGCTGCGAGGGTCTGGGCTGCACTAATCCACGTCACTTCGGCTGCTGTCATATTCAGGTCTTCGCCGATTGAGTTGGTCAAGCAGAGAATGGCCCCGGTGAAGATGGAACTCTGTCCCACAGCGATTGTCGTAGTAAGAACAAAGAGGCATTCCTGAAAGAAACTGCTGAAACAGGCTGGACGAGTGCCATGGGGGTCGGACTCGGTTGGAGCGAGTGATGTTCCGATCGATGTCGTCGGTTCGACCTTTGGAAAATCAAGGGCCTGTGTCCTTGCCTCGACGTCAGGATCCTGGGATGGATGGGCCTGGGTTGATTGTTTCTCCATTGCACCACAGCCGCTTGCTGCCAGAGGCAAGCGAACAAGTCATCGAAGAGGACTAGAAAGACGCCCTAGCAACCTAGGAAAATCCAGCTTGATTGGGACTGGGTACGGAGGCAGGGGAAGCTCAAATATATTCTCGCACGTTGGGAGCTGGGGCAAAGGCCGAGCAAGGATGAGCGAGCCGACTTAAAAGCGACAACCGTCCCGTCGGCAATCGAACTCGGGGCGCCTCAAACCCCCTCCTCGAGTCCTCAGAGTCCTCACCCACGAGTCAATCGTTCATCCATTATGTCAGCTGCCCTGGGCATGGACGGATCAGTTCCGCCTTCGGTGGAGGCCCCGGAGATGTTCGCATCTGCTCGCAGCCTTATTATCAAAGTCCGCGGGCCCTCATATCTCTTTAACAAGCCCGTGCATTTATCAGGTTTGCCAGGGAGAGCCTCAAAGGTCTATCGGTTGGTTGGGTTTCCGTTGCCGAGCTGCCTTTACTGGTAATCTTCCCGCAGCTTGTGCGTCTGGCCTAAGGCACTACCCGTAAGTGGTTCAGTTTTGTTGGCTCTATTTTTCTGCTCTCGTCTGTAGTCGTGCTATACACGACACCGCCCATTGTACACCTTCGTCACTTCCTCCTCTCGAGACGGGACTGTCGAGATTTCGCCGCGGATTACACCGCTGAAATCGCTGTTCGTCCTGTCACTCCTTGCCCTTCTAGTCACTCGATTCCCACGATCTCGCACCCTTGCTCAACCCTCTGAACTGCCTCCCGCCCTTTCGCGATTTACATGTTCCGTCCGCCAGTCACTTCGATGGTCTGTCCGTTGACGTAGCTGAACAGTGGCGAACACACGGCCAAGATGGAACTGGCAGCCTCAGTCGCAGTGCCTGGTCTTCCCAGAGGGATGTCCCTGTACGCTGCACTTGGGTCTTCGCTTCCTTTCCGGTCGGCAATTTGCTTTCCAGGAATGCCCAACGCGACACGTTGGCCGTCGGCGGTGGTGATGAAGGCCCCGATTTCCTTTGCACGGGTCAACCGCGTGTCGATGTGGCCGAAGGCGATGGTGTTGGCGCGGACGCCGAACTGTGTCGCAAGAGGAAAGACAAGGTCAGCATCAGTATAGCGAGCGACTCGGACCCCAGCACAGGAGGTAGGAAACATGGGGGTCTCGAAGTTGCCGGCACGGACAGAAGGTCAGGAACAAAACCACGTACCTGCGGGCCCCACTCCTTTGCGATGGTCTTGGTCAAGCCGGTGACGCCGGCCTTTGCCAAACTGTAGTTGGCCTGTCCAGCGTTGCCGTGGGTGCCGGACGTGCTGGAGATGTTGATGATGACTCTCTTCTCGCCGTCCTTGACCCGGAAGTACGGGGCGGCCTGCCTGACCAGCCGGAAGGGGGCGGTATTGTGCACATTGATGATGGTGTCCCACTGTTTATCGGTGATCTTGTGGATCACGCCGTCCCAGGTATAACCTGCGTTGTTGACGATGATGTGGATCTTGCCATTGCCGAACTCGGCAGCTTTCGAGACCAGCACGGGGAAGTAGTTTGGGTCGGTGACGTCGCCCGGCACCGAGATGGCGCGCTTGTTTCCTGGCGTGGCGTCGTTGATGGACTTGGCCACGGCCTCGCCCTTGGCGGCGTCGACGTCGCACACGACCACCTTGGCGCCCTCGTTGGCGAACAGCCGTGCGCACTCGGCCCCGATGCCCTGACCGCTACCTGTGATCTAGTTTGGAAGCGATTCGTCGTCAGCTGAGCCGTCCAACTCGAAACCCAAAGAGAGAAGACTTCGTGCTGCTGCTGCTGCTGCTCCTTCTGCTGCTGCTAAGGGGAGAGACTCACAATAGCGACCTGCCCGGCCAACAGGCCCGAGGGGTAATTGAGATGCGACGCAATCTGCTGAGCTCTTTGCGCCATGGCTTGCTCTCTGTGGGCACTGGCAGGAACACACAAGGAGGTTGAGACGAAGTGAAGAAAACCAAAAAAAAAAGCTTCAATGACGGGTGCTTCTCAAGTTTTGGATTTTGGAGGTCAAGTGCGCAAGTAGTTCATGATTTTGCTTTGCTGGGTTAATGAATGAATTGGAATAGTAAGACGCAGTCAGTACTAGTCAACGCAGTCCCAAGTCCCAGAGAAACTTGCCGAGGCATCTTTGACCATTTCGTCCCTCCCTCAGCCGCCGAGAGCCCGTAACCGAAATGGCGACTCTTGCCGTCCCGTCGGAAAACTTGTGCCGATAGCTACTAGGTAGGACTGAGGTGTCGGAGTCTCTACCTATGAGGTATGTACATAGGTAGGTACCGAATAGGAGGGAGAATTACCTGAGGTATCTAGGTAGGTAGGGACCTAGGAAGGTCGAGATACATATCTGCTCTCTGGATTGGATTCAAAGGTAGATTATGGAACACGGGGTACCTATTTAACTACCCTCCTTTGCCCACCTCGATACCTTCATAGACGTTATATCGTGTAGTGTACGAAGGTACCTATCTAGGTACCTAGTGTCGAAGTCGTGTCGGGTCGAGTCGACTGGGCCGATTTCCTCCGACTACCCCTGCCCTGCCTGGAGACGGGTTCCAGAGCACCGAGTACATCACATCACATCACATCACATCACATCACATCCGCTATACCATGCGCAGACTTGCGTGTCTGAGACGTAGGTATGTCCCGTGTTTTATGAGATATGCAAAACATTACATGGATGAGGACTAGGGGACTGGGATTAGGATCCGTCCACGCGCCAGGTGTGAATTATCTATCGCAGCCTCCCTCCACAAGAGAAGATGGTCAGTTAACAAAGACATCCAAAACTTTTTTTTCCTTGGATCGGTTTCGACACAATTCCACCCATCAAAAACCCCCTATTTTCCCAAGACCTTTTCCCCTTCCTGGAGAATTACCCAAGTGAGAATGGTGGCATTGGTATATAGATGATCCCTGTTCTATATACCCATATATACCATCATCATCCCCTTTAGAACTTGACAACCCTTCGGGGGGAAGGGGACCAAAAAAGCCGCCGGAACCCAAACGTGTCGGAAAAAAAAGGATTCTCCCAAAAGAAAAACAGGAATGGAATCCATTGTCGTTTTCATTGTGTCACTGCAAAGACTTGGTCGCTCGGCACTTCTTCCACGGGGTTCTTGCTGAGACTCTCGTACAGTTGGAGGTAGCTGCCGATCAAGAATGCCCAGGAGCCCCTGGAGACGGAGGCACGTTCAGTTAGCACAACAAAATTCTGGAAATTGGAACAAGGTAGTTCCTGCGCAGAAGGAAGTGTTGGAAGAGGGCAGGGGTCGTCCATTGTGGACAAGAGAGGGAGAAGAAGAGATAAACGTACCAAAAAGTAGCCAACCCGGCCTCGTACTGGGCTCCAGAGTTCTTATACGCCAGCCCCAGAGAGCCGCAGAGCGTGAAGCCCAGCGCCCCCACGAGGTTCCAGAACGCAATGTGCCACCCAAGCAGATGCGGCGCGGGTTTCCACCACTTCTGCTGCGTCTCGAGCATGTACAGCGTGCTGCTGACGATGAAGCCGCTGCCGCCAATCACCTGGGGGATCCAGTACGCGGCGTTGAGCCGCCACTCGGGCGTCAAGTGGTTGTAGATTCCCGGCAAGGCGGTGATGCCGGAGATGCCGAAGACGGTCGCGCCAAACAGTTGCGCCGAGCCGGCCAGGAAGCCGAACTCGTGGAGGTAGTGCGTGCGCAGGTCGTGCCACGAGGGGAACCATCGCCAGGCCTTTTTCCCGCCTTGCCTGAGAGGTGGTTGCGCCTCGACGACGGTCAGAGGAGAATGTTTGCCGACGAAGTTCCGTCGGTTCTGGTGGTGGTGGTGACAGTGGTGGCGGTTGGCGACGACGCGCAGTCTCGCTGTACCTTCTTTCTGCTGGTCGTCTTCGTCGAACAGTTGCTCCACGGCCCAGCCGAAACAGCCGGTGTTGTTGGCATTGATGGCCTCGAAGATCAACAGGATAGAGCCAGTTTCGAAGAAAACGATGGCGCCGATGAATGCTGTGATCCCTCCTCCATAATAGATTTCGCCGTTAAACTCGGTCGAGGGGGCTGCAACTGGTAGCCAGACGAAGAAACCCTACATTGGCCAGCAAGAGTGGTTAGTCGAGTGTACTACTCAGCCCTCCTGGGGTGGTGTCTTAGAGACAAAAGCATACATTCAAAACCCAGACAACACTGCCCCAAGTGAAGATAAAAGCCACGAGCCACGAGATATCCCAGATCGGATAGTACGTCAGGGTTTTGACAATGGTTTTCAAAACCTCTCTGGGGTCCGACGTTTTTCTCGGAGTCACAAAATATGCCTCTTCCCCGGGCTTGGGTCTCTGGACGAGTAAGGGATGTCGGCCTTTTCGATTGTCTCGCGACCGCCACAAAAACTTGATATTTTTGGCGGGCACGTCGGAACCGGAATAGTGCTTGGGAATTTGATGCTCGGCTTCACGGTCGACGGTCTCCTGCGATGTCTCGACATCCTCCGGGGTTTTCTTGGAGATGGATCCGGAATGGTCGAAATGGGCCCGGGTGGGATTGAGGAAGCTGAAGGGCCCCTCGGCGCGGTCCAGTGTCAATCTGTCGTCATGATGGAAGGGCTCTCGCGTGTGGAAATGCCTGTTCCGGGGAGGCATGGTGGTGGTGAGGCGGCTGGCGGCAAATAGAGTATCGCGATGAGACTGGGTGTTACTGACAGCTCGTTGCAGCACTGATGTGTATTATTTCCATTGCCCGAGGGCGACCGATGAGGATGACAGGGGGAATGATGGACATGTACACACGGACGTGAATGAAAAGTTGGCCCCCCGTGCCCCCCTCGAGTGTCGCGGGTTTTAAATTAAAAATGATGTGGTTGATGACGACGCTGCAAAGTTTTAGGCTGATCGGCTTCCCAGTCGCCAACTCGCCAACTTCGCGACGAAACAACAATCCGCCAGCTTGCTGAGCTGAAAGTTCATTAGGCCAAGGTTGTGGCTTGATCCCCGTTCGCATGGCCATCAAATAAGCTTCCAGAATCGCTTCACTCGCCAGTCACTTTTTGCTTGATTCGAACATGGCCTGCCCGCCCCTTCGCATCCCCGTGTGCTGACTGAGCCACCCGCCTCGCCGCCAATGCTTAGTGGACGACACACCTATACTACTACGGTGCAAACATCGGTAGTGACAAGAAAAGGAGCTGCCTTATATGATCAATTCTGCTTGAATCAATTCGTCCTATGTGGTCGAGAGTTCGGTAACGTTGGCTCTCTTGCGCACAGGCTTGTCAACCTCGGTTGCAATGCCAGGCGAAAGAGGCGATAACTACAGGGTACGAGGCACTCGGTACACGCACTAGAATCACTGCGTTTCGGAGCCTGCGCTTGCAACTCCCCCTGAAGTCCCCCACGGGCACTCCCAAGCTGGCAGCCCCTCCTGGCAGCCCCAAGCCGTTCGTTGCGGATGAACATGGTATCGTGCGGTGATTCAAGTGATAAGAGTAGGCTTTTGGGCGAAGGGATCTAACTGTCAACGGAGACGGGATTTAAAACTATTGAAATGCCCTGCCTGGGAGAAGCCCAAGAGGAAGATTCGGTCGAGCCGGGTGGAAGCCACAAACTATGTGGCTCTCTATCACGAGGTTGTGGGATTATTGGCCATCTCAACATCGTCCGTCTCCCCAAAAGTTGGGTCAATTGCCATCAGATCCCCGTCTTCGGGGGCCCACAAATTGGCATTCTCAGCCAAGTCAACATCTGGGCTAGTAGACGGCATCCCGGTGAGTCTCTCAAAGTTGTTGCTTCCTTGAGATCCAATTGATATTGCAGCCGAACTGCTGGTATTTTTGCTCAAGGTTGAAAGCACCGACCAGGGTCGGTGCAATCGATCTCTTGTTTCGAGCATTTGCGCAAGTGTTCGCTTGGTATCCAAGCTCATGGAAGACCGAATGCTGTTGATCGACGATTGGAATGAGCTGGCGAAGCTGTTTCGTGAAGTGCTGTGTCCAGATGAGCGAATCGATGAATGGGCTAACAAAGCAGATCCTGAGAACGACGTGCGGTCGATTTTTTGCGAGGACTCGCGCGTGCGAAAGGCCGGTACAATGTATCCTTCCACCAAGAACCAGGGTACTCCGCTCATTACCTGGGTACCTTCCGGTGCGGTGGGTATATCGTCCATCCGTAAAAGGTAGAGTCTAATGATTTCGGAACTCTGTGTCGGCCAGGCCGTGAGCGTGGCATTGATTTCAGTCTCGAGATAGTCACCAAAGAGCGGGCCAAAAAGTCGACGCCTAGACTTCTCAATTCCCGAGCTCAAGAAACTTTGGCAGATCGCTGCCAATGCCATCAGGACGTCAAGTTTCAACGGCTTGACCCCATGTGGGCATAGTGGCACTTGATATATTGATTCGGTATTCTGGACGAGCAGATCGAATGAGGAGATGGCCAAAACGCAGGAGCAATACATAGCCCAAACGGCAGATACTCGCGTCCAAGCAGAACCCGGCGAGCGAAGGCCGACCCTGGTAAGAGTATGCCTATGCTTCTTCACAAAAGCTTTGCACCATTCGAGTATCGTCCTCAGTGCCATCCTGGCTTCTTCACAATCGAACAGATGATTATGATATGCCACATGCGGCTCGAGACACCGTGATGCCATATGCCAAGTACCGCTTGGTAGACCGTCTCTTAACATTCTCTTCAGAGAACTGATGATCCAGAGGTATTCGCGATCCTGGATTTCCGGTAGAATGACCTCGAAGCGTTCCCCAATGCAGCTGACGGCAAGGCGAAGCGCAGTCTCCTTCGGATCTTGAAGCTCTGCGAAGGCAGAGTGGTACTGCAATTGTGACAGATAGAGATTGAGTAAAGCCCCGTCAAGATTGTGCGCAAAGCCATATGCCTGAAGTAGGGGCTGAACATTTAACAGCGTTTCGTATGCAATCTCTGCCCGGGCACCAGGACTAGAGTTTCGGGCGCAATTGATGGCCGCAGTGACCATGCACCGCACGGAGCTGTGGATTGACGTGGCCGACAGGGGGTATATCTCGTCCGCTGAGAGCTTGCTTGTGCAAGCCTGCCAATATTTGTATTCAACAAAGAATAGATCGAAGGCATCATCGAAAAGGCGGCCGGCGGCGAGAGTGGCAGCAACCCCTTGAATCTCGCGAACTTCTGATGCAGAGAGACTCAGGGGACCCTCGAAAGCGGGCCAGAGAGCGAGCAGCGAGGAAGGCGATATCACCTTGTAGTGACTCCCTTGTGAAGGCGAAGCGCGATCCACCAAAAGAGAAGAAGCCTCCTCACTGAGCTTCCTGTCGGTTATCGACGCATCGTCCGTTGAAGCAGTCTCCGCAAGCGTTAGAGGAGGAGTCGAAGAGATCTGCGAGGATTGCCTCTCCAGGCGACCGCTGCCAACACTCGTGCGTCCCGACGGAGAGGAAATGATGTCGTGCGAATTCATGTAAGGAGAGCTTGTCCGTTGCAAAGGCGACATCTCCGGTGAGTTTCTGGTAAGAGAACCAGCAACTTGGGATTTTGGTCCACTTCGCGCGGCTTGTTGCTCGAGTTGCATCCCTCCCGAAGAAGGGGGACTCTGTTCCGCTAAGGTTGTCTGGTCTTTTGTCCCTCCCAATACACGGTCAGGTCGCATCCTGGCGTCGGGGCTTGCCCGTAAGTTCGGATCCAACGGGCTGTCAAGCGCAACGTCCGGTACAGGACCTGGTATAACGTGTGGTTCGACGGAGCTGTCAAACTCGAAATTCAGAGAACTCGCAGCCTCGGTCGAAGGCAGGGGTGGATCGACAAATGTGGCCTCGTTTGTGTCCCCATTCAGACCCCATTTTTGTATTTGGCGCCTGAGCTGGGCATATCTGACTAGGTCAGTCGACATCTGGACGTTCGCGATTCGACATACGAAGGCTCAAAGTTCCTCCTCTTCAATGCTGCCAGTATTGTCGTCTTCGAGCACCCTCCATGGCGAAGCGTAGTGATCAGCTCTCGAAAGCCTTCCCAGGTGACATTCGAGATGCGGGGGGCATTGCCTGGCTTGTCAGGGTCGTACGGACGGAGAGGCTTTCGGAAGGGCATATCGATCGTAGCTCCGACTGTGAGGTGGTAGAAGGTGACGGTAAGGCTCAAGCACTGCACTCGAAGTCACCATCAGGCTGAGGACATGAAGTTCGCCTGGAACTCCCAGGACTCCCAGAGGGATGGCGGTCCCTTTGAGCGAGGGACCAGGCTGAGAACGGTGAGAGTCTCTCGAGAAGAAGGAAGCAACAGTCGGGCCATGATGGAACCAGCCGCAGTTGGCCTGCGCCTCCGAATCACTAGCCCGCCCTGCGCTGGTGATAACCTTGGAAGTGATGGAAAGGCGGAAGACGTTGAGACCAAAGCGGTCATGGGTGTCAAGGGTGTCAAGGTGGAGCTTCGAGTACTACTAGCAGCCTCCGCATGGCTAATTCCCCAAAAGCGTTTAGAGGCGATTCCGGTTCATCCAACGAGTGGCCCAGATGGTTCCGTCCCTGAGACCTCATGAGCACTGAGCAGGCCTGCTCGAGGACTCGGCTCGGCGGACATGGGGTTCACACGCCACGTCTCAAGGCTCAAGCATCTCGCGCAGATCAAGCGACTTTCTAGTGCCTGCTTATTACGATATTGGGATGATAATTACGACTCCACTCCACTCTATGCCTTGGTCGCGTGTAGCGGGCGGTGAAGTTTTGAGAGGCGCCACGCCTTGGTCCCTCCCGCTCTGAATGTTTCCATTGCTTTGACCACAACTAGGATCCGCCCACACCATCAGAACAACCCCAGATTACTCCTTCACCTCGCCGATGGCAGAATGGAAAGCGTCCTAGTGCTGATGGGTTGTTGAACTTGCCGCTTATCTCGATAGGGGAATTCGCAAGGTCAGAACAGTGATCGGGCAGCGATCTGCAGAAGATGTCGCCTGGGAACTCGAGCCACCATGCTCATGCTGGGGCCACGAACAGCTTGCGGCTGCGCAGCCAAAAGAGGTAATTGACAATGGGCTCCCTCGTGATATCGCCGCGACAGCTATAAAGCATCGCAAGATGGCAGAGCAGTGTGCAAGTTCACGGATTCCCTGGTCGCCCATTCCAGCTCGGCCTGTCAGGCACTTTTTACAACTCCCCGGGGTCGAGTAACCCGTTGCGCTCCAAAATATCAAATTGTCTCTAAGACATAATCCTGCTAAGTCAAAACTCAACACTTTTCTCTAGCAATCAGTAAGTACTCCACCATGAGAAATCCCCCCACGCCGGTCACTTCTTTACTAACAGAACCCCACCCCCAGCAATGCCCAAAGGAGACTTTCAACACCTAGGGGATCACCATAAAATCATCGACGGTGTCCACTACCCCGCTCAAATTCTTGAGGGAAATGAACAACTCGTCAATCACGCTCTTGACAGCGTCAGCCTTGAGGGCGGAGAAAAGTGGAACCATATCGAGCGGCCAGCAATCAGCAATGGTCAGACAAATTCGACCAACGGGGCAGCTCCATGGCATGCTCTCGTCGCAGTCAAGAAGGAGGACGTTCCCAACGGGGACGTTTCCAGAGATGACACTCCCAATTAGCCTATCAGTTAGGCTGCGGATCTGATGATCCGAGAAGGAAGGCTTATGTGAGGTGAAATAATGACTGGAACTTCGAGATTGTCGATGCCGTGCACAAGTACAATATATGAGGACATGTAATAGAAACTACCAGACGCAGCATTTTCCTGTCCGCACGCCCGTCGCCTCCTGAAACCCTTCCGTCCCGTTCCCCAGACATCCCGTCCTTCGCTCATCCTCTTGAGCGAAGCGGAACAGATATGATACATTGATACCCAGACCTGGAACGCCCAACCGCTGCCCTACATCTACAAAAGCTGGCCAACGCTTCATCATGGCTAACTTATTTCTCGTACCTGTGGACAACCAGTTCAGAGCGTCGTGCATACTGCTGCTCCTAGCACTCAGCCTCGGCGATGTCTGCGGCCTCGTCCTCGCCCAAGCATGCTTTTCCCATCGCGAGTTTTCGCTAACGGTTCACAAGTCGGACACCAGATTCACTTGGCAGAGCAAGTCAGTATCAAAGATACTTCATGCAATGCAGGTTGTTTGTCCATATCAGGCCTGGGCGTGTGGTGACGAGAATGTGAGGCACTAGTTTGGGCTTGGAGGGGCACTTCGGCTTAGGCGGCTCAAGCGTTGGCGGCGAAATACATAGAGACATCCCTGCTGAATCTGCTGAATCTGCTGAATCTACAAATGGTTCTTGATAAAGCCCACATTGGATTGGCATGTTGGCGTCCGCAACACTCGGGAAGAGCAGACATTGCGACAAAAACTACGGCATAGGCTACACCGTCCGTCAAGTCTTGATACTGTGACCTGCGCACACAGACTCACCCAAGTATATCCATTGCCCTTTTTAAGGCTACGGTCCTGACATGCACTCGGAATGCGTCTGCTAGATAGATCCGAATCAGCCTCGTACCTAACTTTCCACACCCTCCTCTTTGCTGAAAATGCATGGACTTCTCTGATCGGATTCACACCCCTTGCTCGGAATATCGGCATCGAACACGACCGACCATCTATTCCGGATGAAATTTGAGAGTCGTACAGCGTTCTCCGCCGAGGAAGCGGACGATAATTCCTGCTTTGAATGTCCTTTTCAAGCTTCCATCAACCTCTATACGACGACGTCTATTGTCGGGTTGACCAATGGGAGCGTAGATGACGGGGAGATCTTCATGCAGGACAGGGATCTCTTCATTCCGTTTCCGGTCTAGGCTGGTCGACTAGGATCTGACGAGCTGGGTGTCCCCGCAATGGCCTTTCATGCTAGCAGCAAGCGAACAGTGAGAGGTTCTTGTCTCACCGACGGCAGATTTCATCCTCGAATCGATGGGATGTGGAGTCGGGATATGGTAACTCTGGCTTCGGCCGAAGTAATAAGTCTCGGTGGAATACAACAAGGCGATTCTAGCAGACGTGGGTGTATAAAATGGCTGAAGTCTGCAACGGATATCCTGTTCTTCCCAGGTCCTTCAAACTTCCTATCCCCAGAAGAACGGAGTACTTGCTCTAACTTTCCTCACAATCACCATTTCCTCCAATCAGCTCACATCTCGCGGTCATGTCGCCAGACACACTCTCTCTAGCTGGCAAAGTGGCCATCATTACCGGGTCAGGCAAAGAGAACGGCATTGGTGCAGGCATTGCTTCTGCCCTGGCGCGCAATGGTGCTGCAGTGGTTATCAACTATGTCTCCGATACATCTGCGTCCCGCGCCGCAGGAGTGGCCAAGAAGATTGAAAATGCCGGAGGCAGGGCTGTCGTTGTGCGCGCGGACGTGTCGACCCAAGAAGGAGCGAAGAACCTGGTTGAGACATCGCTCAAGGCTTTACAGGTAGACAAAGTCGACATTCTTGGTATGTGGCATCTCGAGTCAGATCCCCCTTTTCTCATCTTTCAGGCGCATATAGGCGAGGGCTGACGTGGAATCTCATTATGGGTCGAAGTGAACAACGCCGGTGGAGGTCCACTCATCGATGTCATGCAAGCGACAGGAGAAGACGTGGAGAAAACCTTTGCACTCAATGTCTTCGCCTCGCTGTTTATGACGCAGGCAGTGGTGCCTGTGATGCCTCGAGGGGGCCGCATTATCAACATCGGCTCCATCGCATCGAAGATGGGCATGGCGCCCGTTGCGTTGTATAGTGCAGCCAAAGCCGCAGTGGACACACTGTCCTATGCCTTGGCCATGGAGGTATGTAGGATTATTGTCGACTGATGGTTGATGGCTCTCTTCCCACATTGTTCTTATCGCAGGCATCTGGGATGACAATTGACGGGTCTTTTTTTGCAGCTCGGACGTGGACATGGAATCACGATCAACACAATAGCGCCAGGGCCCGTTCAAACAGGTGAGCAACTTCCAGCAATTGATCATCCCTTGTTCTGAATCCTGCTCGATCCATGTGGCACTAACCTTTTGGGGCACCGCAGATGGTCTGCCCCCGGGCGCGGTGGGTGACGCAATTCCCAAGTTTCTCGTACCACTGACGAGAGCCGAAGAGAGAATCGGAACGGCCGAGGACATCGGCGATGCGGTTCTGCTTCTTACCTCGGAAAAGAGTCGATGGATCACTGGCCAGTATATCTCAGCGAGTGGCGGAATCACAGGTGGATGAGACTGGATGGTTTTGCAAGGCCAAGGGGGGTTCCAGAGTTGAACGGGTCCCTTAAGACTCACCAGCAAGCGTGCCGCAATCAAGTCTCCCTAACTTGTCTCAGAGAAACACAAAGCGTGGTCAATTTCAAGGATGACTTCGGGGACTCTCGTCTCCATCAATTCATCAATCCAGATCAAACTTTTCGCGACATCAATGGCAGACTTGCCGCTTTCAATTCCCAAGGCTCTCATCGCATTGACAGTAGCCCTCACATCGAGTTTATCGATTTGGAATCGCAATGAAGTGACCATGATAATAGCCCAAAGCCTGAGTTCCGGAAAGCAAGTGTCGGTATGAGATGCCATGGAGGCGTAGGCCGAGAATCGCTGCTGCAAGATTGTGAGCTCGTCTGCTATGAGGGAAAAAGCTTGCTTCACATTGGCAATCAAGATGAGCGAGGCGAGTCTGACCACCTCGCGAAGCACTACCTCCGAGGAGGGGCTGATATTTGGGTCATCGTCCGTGGGTCGTCGTAATGATAGTAGAAAGTGCAGGACAGGTGTGATTCGTTTCGCTGCTGCGGCTCCGTCTTTCCAAAATAGGGGTTCAACGCTATTATTATTCACAAACGCTGCCAAATGCGCGGTTCTTTCCAGGGCGTTTGCCATTTCCGCAAGTTCCTCGGAGGAGTTACGAATCCGTATGAGGAGATCTTGCATAGACGGAGACAATGAGCTGCGTTGAACGCTCGGAGTAGAGAAGCCACTAGGAAGCGAGAAGCGTGGCTTGCAATCGAAAACGGAGGCGCCGAGGATATCAAACCTGAAAAACGGTCAAAATCTTGGTCATACGAGACACCTGTCCGCTCTCGCGGTTTGCCCGTACCAGGAGGTGAACATGACGGTATTGCTGTTCAGAGCCTGAAAGCCCCCGCGAAGCCGGACAATGTTGCTTAGACCATTCATATGGACATCGTAGCGGTTCCATTTGCCGACAGTAGACTACCGCAACGGTTATCATCAGAGTCTCATTCAAAAGTGGGTGAACCAACATCGTGGCAGAGAAATCCTAAGATCGTCGTAATGACACCCTGACTGATATTGTGGGATTCCATCTCAAGCCTCTGAGCCACTTGATTGAGGCACAAGCTGAGGTACTTTGAGGACTCCTCGGAGTCACTATGCTCACAGCCTCTGCGTTCAGTCATCTGATGGAAGAACAATGCTGCGTTTGCCAATGAGAGGTAGAAGGCAGTGGAGTCAATGATGGCCATTGCAAACCACTCATTCCGAAATGGTCGATACATGTAGTCCCCCTCGCTATGCACTGGAGGTAATGAGCCAGAGGACTGCAGCAAATGCTTTGGAAGAGAGCATACTGAACTGGATCAATTGACGCGCTCTACCATCTGTTTCCACGGGAAATAATGCGTAGGGATGAAGCGAATAAGGAACCACCCCGTAGCAAGGCAGGGTTTGATGTGCAGTGTGCACACATGCCTCCACGTCGTTTTCAAGGGCAAGGCTATCGGCTTCTGCCGGAGGAAGCCTCACCTCGAAAGTAATGGATTTTGGACGCTTCTTCCGCGACTCGGCAACGCGAGCCATGACATGATGTCGAACGATTCTTTGGGTGCTCCTTTGCCTAGAATCATTGGGCTGGGATATGTTGACAAAGGTGAAGTCTGCACATCTATCGCTGCTCCTCGTCTTCTTCACCATTGGAGTTGGGACTGGGTTGTGAGGATGGCTTGAGTATGACGCGGTGCCGCTGGGGATGGACGAGGAGCAGAGGAGAGCAATATTACAAGTACCTAAGTAGTCACGTTAACGAAAAGCGCCCTTTACATTAATTAAATACCTAGGTACCTTACGTACAACAGTGCGACTGGGCCCAAGTGCCAGGGGCTTATTTGTAATTGTGTAATTGTGTACGATTTATGTCAGACAGAATAATTTCGCTCCCCCCAAATGGCCGCCAATTAGCGTACACATCGAAATCTCAATCTGGCAAGTCTATCGCGCGACCTGAAAAAAGTGTCGGCATCATTGAACATCCACGACATTCACGATATTCTCCCTGCAGGCCGCCCGACTCTCTTTGCATCTGGCTCATATATGGCTCCTTTCACCCGCAGCTCATCCTTCCTTTGTTGTGCCCAGCGGTAGTGCCTTCTCACATGTCTTCCCAATCGCTCCGTTCCTCGGGTCATGCGCAGATGCTTTGAGCAGCTTCCATCCAGAAGTCAGTTGTGCAGTCATTCAATTGCTCCGCGTCTGTCGTTCTTCAGGGCTGGATCGAGTCAAAAAATCTTCTCCTCAAAGCTTCCATCTTATGCTCCGCCTCTTCCTGCGACTCGGAAATCACTATCATATTCCTACCCCCGAAATCGATCTGAAGATGGCTCAAGTCCTCCTTCCCGGGACGTCTCCGCTCCCACCCAGGTCAGAAATACAAGGAAGAGCAAGGTTGTTCGAAGGAAAAGGAGGCTATCGCGAAGAGATCCCGTGGACTGGGTCGCCGAGGTGGAGAGATTCCTTCCGAGACACTTGAGTCAGCTATTTGATTTTGAACCTCGAACCAACATCCCACCTGAGGTGAATGTTGAGGATGTGCTTCGAACTCTCATTGGCGCTCGCGATCAGGGCGATGTTGATGTTCTGCGCTTTATGGCGCTCAGTCAACGCCGATACAAGGCTGTCGTTCACCTCGCCGAAACCTTGCTGAAGGCGGTTGCACTAGCAGCTAATGAGCCTTTCAAAGACGAACTCCCCTCCAACATTACTTGGCCCCATGGATCATTCGCGACGAGAGGCGGTGCTCCCATTGAACTCGAGCGCACTTTGCACGTCAGCCGACGACCTCTTGGTAGTTCTCGGGAGTCCGCTGAAAGCACTTTGTCCGAGAAGAGCCAAGATATGACGATGGAGCTCATTTGGTCTCTCCTCGCCGACCTTGTTTTGGCTTCTACCAATTGCCCCTCGGATGAAGGGAAGCAGATTATGAACACTGTGCATCAGATCTTGGCGCTCGTTCACAATCTAGGACTCGTCCCAGCAAGTATCTATACCTACTGCCTCCCACAAGGTACAACAACAGTTCAACAATCGCCTATCCTTCATCTGCTGAATTCGAGAATCTTGTCGACGCTCTCCGATGCTGTCTGGAATGCCTACCAGGAGGAGATTACCGCCGGATCTGGCAAACCAGAGACCAGCCCCTGGAATATTTTTCGAGAACCTCCCCCTAGTCGCCTACGACCCAGGAGGCGAGAGCTTGGACCCGAAGTGTGGCTGGAGTTTATTCTCTGGTGTTGCGTTGAGGCTGGATATGCCGCAACCGGAGCCCGAATTGTTCGATCATTACAAACGGACGTAGACGGCCATTGGCACGCTATTCATTGGAACGACGATCGAGCGCCTTCAATTGACCGGGATCAACAGACCCGCGGACGACAACTGCAGAGCGAATATGAAGTCTATCAAAATGAACAACTTCCAGGCGCTTCTCCCCTCAGATTCATCAGTGCCGAAGTTGTTCTGGCCATCGTCGACTGCCTGATAAACAACATTGGTGTGTCTGCTGCGGACAGCGAAGTGTCTGTCACGAATATCCTAAACGATATAAACGAGCTGATATCGTTTGCGGGATCGCATAGTCGAACGCCCGCATATTTCGACTATGTGGCTGTCCGTCTACTCCAGACTGAAAGCATGTATAATGTGGACAAAGCCGATCGTCTGCGAGAGTTGGCACACACTATCTCGCGGCTTCGGAGCCTATGTCATGTGGAGCAAAGCCATCAGCAGAGTTCAGGACTTGACTTTGATTCCATTCTAGACCACTCCGAAGTGCATGCTGGGATCCTCCACCAGGCTCTGCAAGCTTGCGTCGAAGCGAATCTTGTCACAAAAGCTGTCGACATATTCACCGAAATCCAAAAGATGGTTGACGGTAACAAGCTGGAAGCTATTGGAGAGTTTTTGTCCCTTTCACTCGGTCCAGAAGATGGCTTCTTTACTTCCAGGCATGCCAAAGGTCAGAGCGAATTTCTCAACACCTATGGGCAGCTTCCTACCTATAAATTGCCTCCATTCCTCGATCTCGTGAGCAATGCGAAGTTGTTTGGCGTGGGAGATTGGCTTCTATTTTCTGAGGACGTTGACGGAGCGCTGTTGCCTTCCTCTACCTGGGGAAAACCGTCTGTTACCGCTGCGTTAATTCGCTATGCGTCAGTCAAGAATGACCCTCTGCTGGTCAAACATATCCTCAACCTGACCAAGCGATCGGCCAGAAAATTGACCGTAAACGTTCTCAGGGCTTTGGTGGTGCATCACATCAATGCATGCGACTGGACAAATGCTGCTCTCAACCTCCGCGACCTACGGCGTGCTGAAGGTGGCGGTTACAGTCCTAAGATCGTCGCGAGTCTCGCAGCGAAGATTCTGAACCTAGAAGTCGATCCGGCGACCACGCTACAAGCAGACGCTGAGTCCGATCTTTCACAGGCTATGCTGCTGCTCTGCAATATTCTCGACGGTATTTATGACTCGCCACCCGCGGGCTTCAGGATTGATCAAAAGAAGACCTTCAGACAACAAGTGGGATACCTCCTGCGCCTCTTGGAAAACGTGACGGACAGCGAAATTGGGGACGCTGCCACTCGGTTCAAACCGAGATTCCCTGTCAGCAACGAGCCAAACCTTGCGACAGATACGTTCAATGTTCTATTCGCTGCAATCGTCGAAACTAAAGGTGTACTGGAGGGGCGCGACATCTGGTACTTATTCTGCAAAGATCCGAGGAATTATGCTACCTCGTCACTTCTACTGGTCAACGGCCACGACCCTGCCTCTGAAAACTACGCCACAGTAAAGGACGAAGGTGAATTTTTCGACGGGAAAGAAGATGATGTACCGAATGAGCTAGGCGGCGTTGGCAAACATGGCGAAGATAATTTTAGCTTGAGAATGAGGGCATTCGATCTTCCGATCTCCGAAGCCATCCAGGATGCAGGGGCTCGAACTCCCGTAGCTTTGCCCGTCTCGCTCAACCTAAATGCTGCATTCCCACACGAAGAGTTGGACTCAACCGACGACCAATTTTACAATACCTCCGACCAGGGGAACGAAGACACGGAAGTTCCTATCGAGATGGTGGACATAGGCGTGGTTTCGACACAGCCGCATCTGAATCCAATTGTCGTCCCCAATATGCGCACCTTGCAGATCCTAGTCAGAGGAGCCTTATCTGAAATACAAGCCAGAAAAGAGGGCAGAAGAAGTCATCGTGACCTTGATGCAGTCCTCAAATGGGCGGAAAAATTCTATGGAGTATTCAACCTGGCGCGTGAGGATATCGAAACAGAATTCCGCGCTTCCGAATCCTTGCCGAAGAATATGAGAATTGCTACGAGGCATCCCCGAGCAGCATTTAGGTCGTCGTCACGCGAGAAGTCCAAAGTTGGCGTTGGCAAGCACTTTACCAAGGGAGTCTTTGTTCCTAGACGTCCTGGCACTCGAGAATCAGGGCGGGAGACAACCTCGGTCAATGGAGCCGATGATGGGGCAGAAGTCGCCGCCGTGCATGAAACGAAGGAGAGAGAGGTTGAAGGTGAAAATACACAGGTTGGACTGGCGGCTATACCGAGTTTCAAGCTCCGGAAGTTTGCAACCTCCGTTCGGCACGCGTAGGGAGGAATAGATGGAGGTGGTGCGGTTCGTGAGATCTGGACACTTGCCAGGCCACTTTTGCCGTGTAGATTTAGGAACCTGCACTTTCCCATTGTACGATATCATCTGGTTGTTCTAGCTGTGCAATACCTGCAGAGCAAATCAACGTATTCCTACTGATACCACACTATTCGTCTAGCGCGAACTCGATAACGTTGGCGCCGACAAGGCTGGGAGCACAGGGGCACCAGAGGCAGTTCGAAGTGTTGACGGGGCGAGATGCTATTCCCCCGCACACTGGCACTACTCCGTAATCCCCACGGAGATGAGCCGGGGTAGATATCTACGTTTTTTTGTACTTGGTAGGGGAGGGAGAGATGGGTTAGTAGTAGTGGATGATGGCCATTGCGACGCTCGGGCTGGGGAAGCCCGAGGAGCGTTCGGATCCGCATCCCCAGTCTCCCTTTCCCCCCTCTACACAGCAAGTAATCATCATCTCCAGGATTTCCACCCCGCTACGTCCCCGGTCAGCATTTCTCCTCTTCCTTCTCTGGCCAAATCCCCCTGTCGTGGCCCAATCAGCCGTCAAGGCGCGGGAAGAAGAGCACCGAGTAATCATTACGAGGTCCTCCAGAATCTCCTTACGGGACGCGGGGAAAAGGGAGGGGAGGGCAGTGGAAGAGGGGGGAAGAATAGGAATAAACAACAAAAAGCGGCCATGAAGGTCTATCTCGTCTATCCCTCACCTTCCTCACCTCGCTAATAATAATAACAATCGATACTAGCCGCCATGTCCAAACCAGTCGATCGCGCCGCCACTCATGGCTGGGGTTCGACGCCCTCTCAGAGACACTTTATTAGCCATGCCCAAGCCTTGAAGGTCATCGATGCTGGTATCAAGCGTGCAGAGGCTATAGGGTAAGTGTTTCTTAGCTCCTTCTGCCGGCTCGAAGAAGGAATTGTCGGCTAGGGGAGGGACACGGGTGGTAAGTACTGTGTTTTGGCTGACGAGGAACAACGGCATAAAAGTGTACCGCAAAACATCGCCGTGCTCGATCCGTCGTCATGGCTTGTGGCCTTTGTCCATATGGATAATTCTTTTCTGGGAAGCATCGTAAGTCCATACACATACCTACCCACCGTCTGAAGGCAATGGCACAGTCATATCATATGATGGTCACTCCACGCGAACATATTTCCCCCTTCTGGTACCACTTCACCAAATGCGGCAAGAACCAGTTCTGACAAGAGTCTCCTAAACCAGGACATTTCTCAGAAGAAGGCCAAAACCGTGGTCCTCTACAACGGCATCCCCAACAACGCCTTGCAGAATCGCAGCGAGCCGGGCGGCGATCTCTGGGGCATCCAGGAGACCAACGGTGGCACGGTTGTGTTTGGCGGTGGTCAACCGATCTTTGACCCGGATGGGTATTTCATTGGCGCCGTGGGAGTCAGCGGAGGCACCGTGGAGCAGGACATTGATGTGGCGGTGCATGCGGTGCAGAGTATTGGCACGACCACCACCTTGTCGTCGTGATCGCACGAGACAGAGAGACAGAGAATGCGTTGGTCAACCCGGGGGTTGACGGAAGTGGCGCGCAGTTTAATCCGGAGACGAGGTCAGCGCTTGGGTTGGAAAGCGGTGCATTGCACGGCAATTGGATCCGTATAAAGTAAGCATAAGTCCTTAATGCAGGCTGACTTTACCATTCAAGGTATTTGGCCCAGATCCCGTAGTCGTCATCCATGTGATACGAGTACTGGATCTGACATGCTTCCTCAGGCGGCCAAACAGTAATCATGTGGTTAATGCTGGCATTGGTGCCGTTATCCCGTAGCTGAGCTTGCATTGAGAGGACAATTATATAGGCAGAGACATGGCGGATGATGCCTGAGGGATTGTTCTTCGACCTCCTGCCGGTAAGAACGTCCATCGTATACTTGGTGGTTTTAAATCCCTCACATGAATAAAAAAAAACATCTGATCCACCATTTGCGCGAACATCCCTTTCATCACCATCATCGGCATTACCATCATGAGTTGGGCTTCAGCATTCGCCCAGAACAGGGCAGCACAGAGCGATGCTTCGATGAGGGCGAACGGCGAGTCCCGGCCGCGACGAGATGACTACAACGTTTTAAGGAAGAAGAGAGACCAGCGACAGAACGACATGCAACGGCCGAGTCGAGACGCTTTGGTGAACGACAACGACGACGACGAATCTTTGAGGGCTTGGAAGGAGAAAGCGCAGAAGCAGAAGGTGTCGAGATGGAGGCGGATGTTTAGACGTCGGCGTACGACTTAAGAACCAGGTGGCATCTGTTGCTGGGCCAGCGCTCTATCAGGCTGTATCAGGCTTTATCTCTCCTCTTGTATGGGCCACTACCTAGGTATTATGGTAGTGGATGGCGGTGTAGGGAACAGAGTGCCCAGGTGGCTCAGTCCAGTTACGAGACAGGATTTCGTTCCGTCCAATGCGCTGAATTTGCGGTGCGGAAAACCCCTCGAAAGGGCTTCGGCAGACGCGTCTTTATCCGATCCATCCCGGGCTGATGTTCGTTGTTAAGGCTGCGATGTGACATGTCTGACAGACTGAATAGCTGGCTCCCGCCTGAAGTGTTGCGCCGAAGAGAAAACCGACTCATCAATATTATTATGCTATCGTGCTCACAAGGAGATTTTCACCTCACCAAAACCTATCTTCATTCTCAGACCTGAGGAAAACGCGCTTGTCTCAAATGAATCAGAGGGCGGTTGGGAGGCGCTTCGGAAAAGAGCCTCAACTGACTCAACTCGGGCTCGCCCAAGAGGCAAGTCCGCTTTGAGACCAATCAACAGCTTATGAGTGAGAACCTCACCCAAAAGCTTCAGCCAGCTCGAAAGCAACAGGCAGCAGCAATCATTATAAGTTGGTGGGCCGGTGCCGCCTCTTTTGTTTTGGACGACACTCCCCTGGTGCCAATATACAGTTAGCCAATCCCGTTGCCTTGTTTAGCCTTAACCGCCTTCGAGCTCGTATTCCGGCGAGTCCAGCTGAACACTCAGCCTCCACTACTTCTGAGTTTCTCCTTCCGCGACATGCGCCCCATTCTGCGCAGCCGCAATCTGCGTATCTGGCGGCTTCTGAGCTGCGATCACTACATATAACGGCCTTGCGATGCCCGCAGAGCTATCTGAGACGAGCACTTGCGTTTGTCAGAATGGCTAGCTCTGCAACCAAGTATGTCATACATGCACCCAGAGCTTATGTTGACTACAATCGCCATGCTGGAAACCGTAAGGCTGAGGCTCTTTTGATCCCGACGCGGGCTTGATGAAGTGGTGCTAATGTAGACAGGACGCCAACTGTTGGTTTCTGACCAGACAGCCAATATACTGACAAACTTCTTGGCCGTCTTCCTGGCGCTTGCGGCCAAAAGCCTTTACAACATTGCACGCAGAATTCTTAAGGCACTCAACCAACGTGGTGCAAACCAGGCCCCGGCGCCGGATGACGACACCGTTGACCAGGAGGAAAGACGGATGCAAAGACTTGAAGTAATCGACAAGTCCCACGATAATGAGACTTTAATCGTGGCAACCTTTCGCCGGCTTCTTGCCTTGCTGCACAAAGTCGTACCAATTCGGCCTCTTGGTGACACTACGCCAACTCACATTCGCATGCTAAGGCCAGAGTTCTGGTATAATATGTTCAAAATTGCGAACGAGAGTTCAATGGACTTTCTATGGTATTTCATCGTCGGCTTTGGAGCGCTTTTACTCTACTTTGGAATGTTGATATTGGGCATCATGTCTGCTTATCCAGTGGTTGGTGACTCGATTGCTTTGTCCCGGCATCCGCAATGTGGCCTCGTGGTATCCAATGACGCACAGAACGCCGCAAATTTTGCGCTGGGTCACAAGTACTACAACGATATCGCGCGTGAGAGCCTACAGTACGCCAAATCATGCTATGACCTCGGACGCGGCGCCAGCAGTGCTGCCGGCGGTGAATCTTGTTCGTTCTTCTACGAACCGAGCATCAAATATTCAATCATAGACAACGACACCTGCCCTTTCAAGATTGGGCGCGGCCACCTGTGTCGCGATGGAGAGAACAGCTCCTATACACTGACCACAGGGTCTGCGAGCAGCTTGCTGGACGACGCCAGCAAGGTCGTGGCCGATGCCAGTGTCCTCGGTATCAATTCGCCGCTTCGATATACGTTCCATCGGAGCATCACCTGCTCTCCCTTGCGGACGGATGGGCTTATTCATCCTTTCCTAGCTGATGATAACAGGACCATCAGCTTTCACTATTTCTATGGTAACCACACCGGTGAGTGGAATTGTACGTCGGATCTGCCATATTGCACTTTCGAGTCTAAGCTGTTTCCGGACATGAATCAACCATACAAAATGATGTGAGTCTGCCTCCTCGCGCCTTTCAAATCTTCCCGGGTTTATCTTTTATATCAAACTAACCAAATTTTCCAGGACAACCAGCACACGCCGTTTCGCTCCATGGCCATGGACACCTATCTTCGAGGTGAACGAGATGTACGGGGAGTCCGCTACACTCATACTGCTGTCCAACTTCGGCATTTTCTATCCCCACGAAAGCCTCGATCCTATCTTCCCCGCCAACACCACAGGGGGAGATGGCTGGTACACCAACACCCAATTCCACGCCACGGTCCTCGGCTGCATGAGTCGCACCCTTGTCTGCCTTCCGGACTCTGTTCCCAAACTCTGTTTCAACCTCACCGGCCTCGGCAACTTGGACGACAGCGACCCCGAGCACGGGCCTATCCGCGCCATGCTCTATTTTTCTCTCCTTCCCGACCTTGAAGCACAGCTCAGCTATCTCCTTACCGAATCCCTCGAAGCCCAATCCCTCCTTAGTGGGACGACATCTTCAGCCCTCTCTCCTACGCAATGGAAAATCGAAACACGTCAAATGTTCGAATCCCTACTCGCACGCACACAGATCACAGCAAGAAACATTGCCCGCGGGGTCCCTGGCGCGGAGGATTTACCCGGTCAGCACGATCTCATGCTGCCAGCGTGGCGGGGAATGTGCACGCGGTATAAGTTTCGGGCTACTGGGTGGAGGAATATCAGCGTTAGTTGGTTTCTGGCGGAGTTCTTCGCGGGGTTGCTGGTGTGTGTACTGGGTATTGCGAGGGAGGATGGGGAATTGTGGCTCGAGGAGCCGGTGAGGAGGCTAGCGAAGACGACGGTTGGAAAGTGGTGTTTGCTTGGGTTAGAGAGCGGGTGGAAGGTGGGCAAGGAGAATGGGGCCAGAGCGTGGAAACGACTGTGTTCCATAGTCAGCGAGTGCTGGTCGATGATCTGTGATGCTGGGCAAGGCTGCTGGGGAGGCATAGTCGGAAGCGCAGCATGGGTTTGTAGTATCTGGAGGAAATGATAAGATCTGCCATGAAATGAATGTGTGGATGACATTCGTTTGACCCCCCATTCGCCATCTAGAATACCACGTTCTGCATCCCTTTCCAACCGAAGGCCACAGAAGTCAACGATACAGCCCTCGATATCAACATCTTTCAACGCGCCCTCCTATAGATCGCCACACACTCTACCTCGCAGTTCTCTGCACGAAAGCAGCGGGCGGATTCTATACAATGGAGACTGCCGCACTGAGTGTTTGGTTACCCGCTGTGTGTGATGGGGGGAGGAATCCGGTCTCACTTTAATTGAAGAAAGGGAAGCCAGATCAACACCTACCTCCTTGTAGCTCACCTCCGACTGGGATGTTTGGTGATGCAGCCCTGCGCTCCCCAAATCCCGGGCGAAACGCGGGGTCTGGTTGCTAGTGAGCAATCACTCGCGTCTCGCTAATAGCGGAGCAGTGGGGGCCAAAGCATCTGGCACTTCGGCGAGGAGGGCGTCTGCAGGAATCCAAGGCGCAGCCTCAACTTGAAATCTCTCTCTCCCTCTCTCTCTCTCTCTCTCTCCGCGCGATACGGCGCCTCCTATTCAGTCACGTGCAAACGTGCTGCACCTTCAATCGGATCCCCAGTATCCACAAGTATTCAATAATGACAGTGTTCTGAGGTCAAGCACTCTCCACGTGAGCCAACATCATGGGCGACTTAGTCTCAGCCTGTCTATTAGCCTCCAGTAAGGTTTCTCCAACATCAACCTTTTCAACTGCAACAGTCTCAGACGGCTCATGTAAGTTGTGAGCAGTGGAGATCTCATCTTCGTCACCGAAAATCTTTGCCACTTCCTCGAGGGGATATCCTCGCGTATCCGGGAACCAGTAAAGCAGGAAGCAAACGAAGGCCGTCCCGGGGATGATGAAGCAGAGATAAAACTTCCATCTTATGGTCTGGAACGCAATCGGGGCAACTTGCAGCCTGTAGGAGACGGTAAGCATTCAAAGACTGTCGGCTGCTGAAGGGTTTCAGAGACATACCACATAATGTTCATTGCGCAGAGACCCGCCATGCCGAGGGCGATGCCTTTGGCACGAAGATGGTTGGGACAGATCTCGGAAATATAAACGAACTGGGTTCCATCGAGACAGATCTCCCACATCACCACATATACGAATAGCATGGCCACGGATGCTCTCAACGCGTTGTCGTTGGGATGTTCGAGCGCCTCTGGTGTGGTGTATGTGGCGACCAAAGCTGCCTCGATGGCCAGACAGCAAAGACAGAATTGAATCCCGAAAGCAATCAATTTGGGACGTGCAACCCTCTCGACAACGAAGAGTGCAAGGAAGCCTCCTCCGATAGCCACGGTATACCAGCCGATCTGGTACAGAAACTGCTGTTCTGTGTCATAACCCAGCGCACCGTACAACGTTGGCCCATAGTTGTTCAAAACTATCGAGATTTGGGTCAGAAGGACTGCAAAGTTTTCTTTTTCGAAGGGAAAAAGGTGGCACGTACCCAACGGACCGCTCAGTTGAATTCCAGCCGGGATTATAAAACTCATGATCGCCCTCTTCCGATAGCTCGGTTTCTTAATCAAAGACCAGTATGACGACTCGAGCGTTCTGTCAACGCGAACTTGCGTTGCAATCTGCGCCAGTTCGACGGCAGCCTCTTCCTCGGTGTGCAGCTTCTTTAGAACTGCTTCCGCCTCTTCGTAACGATCATTCATGAGCAGCCATCTTGGTGACTCGGGTAGCCATGGCAAAAACCCTAGCAGGAGAATTCCAGGCGTGGCGTTGAGAGCTTGGAGAGCTCTCCACCCGTTGTCGTTGCCCTGCTTCCAAAACGCAAATCCGACCCATGAAGCAAGGGCATAACCAAACAGCAGACTAATACCATGAATATCAACCAAGACTCCTCGAACACTCGGCGGAGCCACCTCACTCATCCAAACTGGAACCGAGGACACAATGTTATACGCCGCCATTCCTGCAAGGAATCTGAAAGCGATGAACATTTTGATGTTGACACTTCCTGCCAGCAGAGCGGCCGTCACACAGGCACAAGCCGCTGGAACGGCAATGCCTATTTTGCGACCCCATTTGTCTGAGATCGGGGACACGGTGAACGTGCCCAAAAAGCCGCCGACCTGGTACATCTGTTGACCCATCAAGCATATTAGTATTTGTTGCTTCCACCTGTTGAGGGTTCTCGACAGACGTGCTGAGGGAAAGGGTAGGCAACGCACACTTCCAGTCAACCCTTTCAAGTCTGACGCATTTGCTGCAGTATCCAATCCCATCACTTTGATAAATGAAGACTGGATCAACGTGGTCGATATCACCGATGCGGAGTAGCCATACATGCAAGAGCCGAGACTTGCAGCCACTATGAAGAGTACATTCTGCCACTTGAACTGGCGGCGTGATGAATGGTGGTACTCGGCCTGATGAACAGTCTGAGTGAAAGCCATGATGCCGCAACGCTTCTCAAATTCTGTCTTCTGTTACTGAGCGAGAGAAGCTCGTGATTTTGTCAAAAAGATATACCCTCTCAGGGAGGATGGATTGAGAGGATACTACCTACAGACATCGTCCGTCTTATAAACACCAGATACCGCGAACAACCACATCGTATCCATGTCCTCTGGCATGGCAAACGATCCGAAGACTGCAATCTGGTTGCCGAGATAGCCAGGAACCTGCGGATAGGCGAAATGGTGTGCCTCTGATAATGCTATATCTGCCCCAGACGTGCTTTTTGCCGTCGTCAACTCCGATCTGGGGTCCCAGATCCCCAGAACTGGGTTATTCTCTTTCGGCTTCTTCTCAAAACTCTGCCCGCTATCAAGTGTCGGTGTGGATACTAAGGTCGGTGGGCATTGCTGCTGGTTGTATGTCCACTGCCGCCCGAATAACCGCGAGAATATGAGCCGAAAATATGTACTAACTGACGATGTGATTTCAAGAAATGTGGTGCCAAAAACAAACCAATATTGTGAGACACCATCTTCTCACACTTTGTACTGTCTGCCTGGTGCCTTCGCTGAGCTTTCAAGCATCAATTTCGACCTACTCTTCACAGAATACAACCCTTCAAGTAGGGCTACCACTATGGCTGCGGCTCACCACTTCCACGTTCCGACTGGGAACACTGTGCGGGTGCGAATCATCGACACGACAACGAGAATTGAACAGGTCCCAAGCACGTTTTTGATGGAGCCAATCGTACCGGGCTTTACTCACATGCCCAAATTGCCATCCTGGTCTTTCTTGGTAGAGCACGCCTCGGGTAGGAAGGCACTTTTCGACTTGGGCGTCCCTCCCGATTGGAAGAGGATGTCCCCTGTCACCACTAACCACACGGTCGCCGCTGGTTGGACTGTGACCTCTGAAAAGAACACTGTCCAGATTCTCGAGGATACGGGCATCAGAGGTGAGGAAATTAATAGTATCATATGGAGGTATGTGAACCAAGTCCTCCTCACCGTTATGGACTGACGTGGATCTAGCCACTGGCATTGGGATCATTTGGGGGACCCTTCTACGTTCCCCCCCAGCACAGAGCTGGTCGTGGGACCAGGATTCAAAGAAGCATTCTTGCCCGGGTACCCAGCTAAGATGGATTCGCCAGTCAGGGAGAGCGATTTCGCGTAAGTCTTTGTCGAGACCGGCATCATTTTCTGCTGACAGACGCAAAGGGGACGAGAGGTCCGAGAGATCGATTTTACAACCTCGAAGCTGAAAATCCAAAGATTTGACGCTTTTGATTTCTTCGGAGACGGATCGTTCTATCTTCTCGATACTCCCGGACATGCTATTGGGCATCTTTGTGGCCTTGCTCGAACGTCGTCGAACCCTGATACGTTCATCATGATGGGAGGTGACCTTTGTCACCATAGTGGCGAACTCCGTCCTTCGCCCTATCTGCCTCTTCCCCAAGAAAGTCAACTTCGGAACATCTTACAAGGACTTATCCCATATGTGCCCACTTGTCCTGGCGCGGTACTGGGACATGTGCAGCACTCTCGGGGCCGAAATCTCAACGAACCATTCTTTAACCCGGCAATGGGGCTCGACATACCGACGGCAATGGAGAGTATTAGGAAGGCTCAAGAGGCTGACGCGGATTCTAATGTGTGGTTCATATCCGCGCATGATGACAGCCTATGGGGTTTGATAGACTTTTTTCCGGCACATGTGAATGGTTGGAAGGAAAGGGGATGGGGCGCCAAAACCAAGTGGTCGTTCCTGAAGGACTTCCGTCCTGCCTTGGAGGCTTCCGCTGAGGCGGGGTCGTAAGAGGCAAATAGCTGGACTACCCAAGAGCCACTCTTAGTTTCAATATCCCTGTTGTTCAGAAACGTTTAATGGTACCAATCAGGACCTAAAGCCGAGATCGTTACCGGCCACTCTCACACGTTGTATCATTTATCCAAATGCTCCGGCGGAAGACCGGCCACTTCCAACCGAACCCATCGCCGGCAAAGGGCAGCTGAAGCTCGGCATAGAAGAACGGCCGGTGCATGGTCTTCCGGAGGCTAGCTCAATTTGATCCCCTGTCTCTGATAAACAGAAACACCCCGCTTACAAATGGATGTCTCGGAGTAATGTAGTTTTATCTTGTCAAGAGTGGTTTATTGCCGAGACTGCCAATGATCGATTACGGCTCGCATTTGCTTGAAGACCTTGACAGCTGCAAAACGCCCTTTTTACGCCGTGGGCATATCTATACTTCTCCATGACGGGAACAGGCCACCAAGTTCAACAGTCTCCTCTCAGGGAAAAAAAAATAAAAATCATGCCCGACCAAGCCAAATATATCAACAAGCTCAAAGGGGTGCGAGTCTTGATCATTGGAGGAACATCAGGGATCGGATTCGGCGTGGCCGAAGCAGCCATTGAGCATGGCGCGGGCAAAGTGATTGTCTCTTCCTCACGGGAAGCGCGAGTCAAAGACGCCGTCGCAAGACTGAAGGCGTCCTATCCCTCATCGACCGCTTCGGTCGAGGGGTACGTATGCGATGTTGGAGACCTAGCCACAATGGAGGAGAACATCACAGACCTTTTCAATAAGGTCGGCACACTTGACCACATTGTCTACTCGGCCGGGGACAGCCCGCCTTTGAGGCCCTTCGCATCGGTCGATTTCGCCTTCATCCAGCGATCCGGCTACATCCGCTTCTACGGGCCTTTGCTGGTGGCCCTCCACGGCCACAAGAACCTCGTGCAAGGCCCGCAGAGTTCCATAATCATCACCACAGGCGCGACCAGCGAGAAGCCGTGGGCCGGGTCGGCGGTGGTAGGCTCGTGGCTAAGCGGGCTTCAGGGCATGACGCGGGGACTGGCATTGGAGCTGAAACCTCTACGGGTCAATTTGATCAGCCCGGGAGGCATCGATACGGCGCTTTGGGATTACAGAGGTCCGGACGAGAGAAAGGCGGTCATCGACGAGCTGACACGGGACACCACGGTCGGGGTGATTGGAACTGTCGAGGACGTCGCCGAGGCGTACATCTATTGCATGAAGGATCATTTCGTCACTGGTACCATGATCAGCTCAAACGGCGGGCGCTTTCTCGTGTAGGGCCGTAGTAAGCTCCTACGGGCATGCTTGCCTCGGTCCGGGTCTGATGTATCTTGACCGTGATTTTGCTGCCTGGCCAGAGGACAGGAGAAAGTAGAATGGAAGAGTTTCGGCAGTCCCTGGCTCCAGGGCCTGAGGACGAGACTGCCTAAAGAACAGCGGACAGCAGAATATTGACAGTTGAGCATAAAAGATCTCGCGTAGACATAGAGGTTGTCGAGAGGAGCGGATTTCTGGGACGACGTGTTGCACTATCCTGGGAGGTCGTACACACCGGTCATGGTATCTGGCCGCATTATGAGCATGCTTCGCACTGGATCAAGGGTCCCCTCCATGTTCACTCCAACTCGAGGTGGAATGTGGCCGAGGTAGCGGTTGAGTTTGTGCATGTAAGAAGAACCTCCACAGTGCAGTTAGATACAAGGCTATTTCGGCTCACCGGCTTCATGGCTTGGCGAATTCGGCTATTGACTCGGAGGTGGGTTGGATGGAGCCAAGACTCTCCGCCCTCCGACCCGCCCCAAGCGACCACGGAGACCCGAGCGGTGACGTGCTGCAGCCTTAAAAACGCCTCTGTGTGAAATGTGCGCACATCGTCGGGGTGGTCCGTGAATTCTCTCTCTTTCCTCTGTGCGAGAAGCAGAATTCTGTGAGCAAAAGCACTAAAAGATGAACACGAGCCAGCTCCGTGGTAAAGGCGCCATAGTAACAGGTGCCGGCTCAGGTGAGACGAAGACTTCCCTTCCCCGACACCTGCCTTTGAGTTGAACGATTGGGAATGGAAAGAAAACAAGCTTTGTATAGAGACTGAATCGCGGAATCCCAGGCATCAACCTAGCGTTTGCCCAAGCGCTGCATCAAGCAGGATGCCATGTCTTGATCATGGACATTGCCCTGCACAAAGACGCCGTGGCCTGGATCGACTCGGTTTCCAATGCTCAACCGTCCGGGGCGAAGATCATCTTCTACAAGTCCGACGTGTCCAAATGGGCTGAGCTCGAGAAAGTGTTCGACGTGTTTGCCGGCACGATTGGGGGCGTGCCTTACATTGTTTGTCCTGGCGCCGGGGTCTACGAGCCTGTAAGTTCCGCCGCCACGCTGCAGACCCTGCCTGTCCTTTTGCTGTTGTTGCTGGACGAGGGGAATCCCTTGAGTTTTCCTTTCCTTTCCTAATTCGGGGAGCAGTCGCACAATAGCTTCTGGAAAGACAACGACACGGACAACCATTACAAAGTGCTCGACATCAACCTCCTGGCTCCGATCAAAATGTCGCGCATCGCGATCCGGCGCATGCTGGCTGCAGACGCTCCAGGCATCATTTGCTGCGTGTCAAGCATTGGCGCGCAAAAGGCCAGCATCGTCACACCGCTGTACCAGGCGTCCAAGCACGGCATCAGTAGCTTCGTGCGGTGCATGGCCGACTTACACAAGCTGGCGGGAATCAGGGTCGTCGGCGTCGCTCCCGGGATCATCAAGACGCCTTTGTACTCTGACCACCCCGAGGCCGGCAAGTTTGTGGACCAGGATAAGGATTTTATGCTTCCACCCGAGGAAGTGGCTCGTGGTATGGTCGCAGTTTGTTTGGACCCCAAGTATCCGCCCGGCACTATTCTAGAGGTCGCCGACCTGGACAACTGGAGGGAGGTGATGCTGCTGAATGACCCTGGGCCGCAAGGGCGGGCAATCCTCGCGAGCAAGAAGCAGGATGCCGTGGCGGACGTGATGGCTTGGATTGAGAAGGACAAGCAATCGAAACCCAAAGTTTGAGGAAGCGTGTACATCGGGACTAAGAAAACACTTCTGTCGGCTTTCTTGGATTCTTTTGTCTTGCTCCCGAATCCTCCAGTCTTCATAAGGTATAATAATTTGTGATTTAATTTAAGTCTAAGAACGACGCCGCCTGTCCACAGTCCACGAGCTGTATCTACGGGGGAATAACAATGCAGGTGGCCCTCAAGGGCAACGCTCCCAGCCTCAATAGTAGAGCAGCTTAGGCTCCACTTGGTCAAGGTACCAGGTCTGATCCGCACCCTCTTCCTCTCGCGTCGAGAACCCGTTACCCAGGAACTGAAACCGATTTCCCGTGTCGTACGTGTAATTGAAGTCCTCGAATTTGGGCCTCTCCAGCGCATGGAACCAGTGCAGCCGACTTCCTGGGTGGATTGCAATGATGGGGCCCGAAGATCGACCGTTCTTGAACCACGACCGACAGTTTCCCGCCCAAGCGGTGCGAGGCATGAAATAGTGGATGTGGATCGCGAGATCGTCGACGGCCTCTTGTTTGACGTCGATAGCCTTGATGAGTTCGACTTGGGCCTTGGTGATCAGCTGCAGGATGTATTTCGAACATTGCTCGGTGATGGTGAAGACGCTGCCGTGCGAGATTGGGGCGTTCGGCCCAAGGAAGACTGACCCGCTTCCGCGTTAGACACCGGACGGACCGAGTAGAGGGGGAAAAAAAAGAGACCTACCAAAGTAATTAGGGAACTTGGGGATAGCCATGGACAAGTATGCCTGCGGCACGTTGGGCTCGCCCCAGACGTCCTTGATGTGGACTCCGTCACGGCCGGTGATGGGGAATCTGGGGGAAAAGGAAACGTCGAAGCCGGTGGCACACACGATGGCATCGACGTCGATGTGTTCGCCGGTCGACATGACCAGACCTTTCTCGTCGACGTGGTCGATTCTCGCGTCGGTGATGACTCGCACGTTGGGTTTCGCGAAACTCTCGAGGTACCCTACCCCGGGCGTGATTCGGCGACACCCCACCGGAAAATTCGGGATCAGCTTCTCGATCAGATCCGGGCTGCCTTTGAGGAGCTCGATCATGCTTTTGGCGGCATCGAGCCGTGCTTTGGTGGCCTCTTGAGCTCCGTTGACAAGCATGCGGAATTTGGCATTGATCTCGACCTCGACGGCTTTCCGAAAGGCTAGATACTTTTCAGGGTTTTGGCGGAAGAGCTCCTTTTGCTCTTCGCAGAAATGCTCGGGCATGTTGCCTCCGCGTAATGATGGGTAGCGCGAAGCGGCGCCCGGAGTGACCCATGTCGGCGACCGGATTAGGTGTACCAATTCTTTGACGTGCGGTTGCAGAGCCGGCACGATCTGGATCCCCGTGGACCCGTTTCCAATGACGGCGATTTTGAGGCCCTTGTAGTCGAACGATTCGGGCCAGTTGGCGCTGTGGACCAACTGACCCTGGAAGTTGTGCAGACCGGGTATGTTGGGCCACTTCCACGCGTTGAGGATGCCTCCAGCGTTGAGCAAATAGTGGCACTCGTCTTCAAAGATCTCTCCTGTCTCAGTCTTCTTGATCTTGACGGACCAGCGGCCGTTCTGTTCCTGCCATCTGGCTCCGATAACCTCATGTGAGAGCTTGAAGTAGCTCGATAGATCGTGTTTGGCCACGCACTTCTCGAGGTACTGACGGATCTCTTCGGCAGGTGAGAACATGGCTGCCCAGTCCGGGTTGGGCTCCCAGGCGAATTGATAATTGTGTGATGCTAGTGAAATGGGTTCAGTCCGTTGTCGCAAATGGTCAAGCCGACGATCTTGGCTAGCACAACTTACGGATGTCGCATTTACACCCAGGATACCGGTTCTCAAACCAAGTGCCTCCGAGTGCAGGGTTCTTGTCGTAGACAACCAGTTCCGCTTCCCGGAGGTAGTTTTTAATTTGATACGCCATGTTGATGCCACTGGCACCTGCGCCAATTGTGATTATTCGCACTTTTTTGATGTACCCAAGCGGTCTGTCTGTCACCGCATACTCGCCAGTATATTTGCGGAGCTGAGGTATGGTTGGGATTTCCGGGTCATCAACAGGCCGAATGATAACATGGCCGTTCACCTTCGTTTCCTTGGTCGTGAGGGCGTCTTTGGCGAGGAGTGGCTGCTCCATGATCTGGGAGTAGTGACAGTTTTCAAGCATTTTGAGAAGATGTCCGCATGTCAAAGAGTTGGCACAACAAGAGAGCCAGCGGAAAGGGGGTCACTTTGCAATTTCTGATGCTGTGAATTGGTGATAAGGTCGCAGCCCTGTACAGTTATATGGAAGGGCAGCCGCATGTTCACCTCAAAGCATTGCTCACGCCACAAGGTGTGGATCTGATCGGCTGACAGATCTTTAGACTGGTGATCTAGAGCGCCTAGTCTCTCATTCGCACCGGTTTCTGCCATTGCCGGATCTGCCGTGGTCTGATAGATATGAATATAACCGCCAATGCCGGACGAGGAAGTGTACTTAGCCCATTCGGACTAAGATCGTGGGTCGTCCGTTTTAGGATGCTCCCTGCACCCATACACGCCGCTGGCCCAGGATTCTGAGGTTTTTGCCATTCCAACATGTGTGGCCGCTACCGGGTCAGCTCATGCTTGAGTATCTCACGTGACTGCTGGGAAGGCTGGCGCAAGGGTGACTTGAAAATTGATGCCGACCGACTCCTTGACTTTGAACGCGTTCGGTCTTATGAGTACGAGGTAGTGAAAGATCCCAGTAGCCGAGCGCCTGAAGTCAGGATCAAACCAAGCCAATCCTGCGAATGAATCATTGTGTCTTCTTTTGGTTTGGACTAAATCTTTCCGGCGAATGAAAGGCTTGTCTCTGCTTGGTCAGATGGGATTGACTCGAGACATACATGTAGCGGGCTACGAATGGGCGAGAGAATCGGTATATCAGAATGCGATATTGGAGACGATTAGTTTCTAAGTCAACTGCTGCCGAACTTTCGAAGCCAAAGCATTGAAGTACTGCTTCTGTCCACATACCAAAAGACACAGGGGTGATATTCAAAATCTATCATATCAGAAGCGGTCGGCTATAGAAGCCTGAGCCTATAAATGTGGCTGCCCTAAATTTCTGTCTGTCACATATTCCTCAACGGTTGTCGACAAGTCTGTCTCAGTATTGACATCTCCATTGGGCTGTAGACCTCGGGCATTGAATCCAGTATGTGTGAGGGTCTCTCTTCGTCTTCGTCGACTCGCGTAGGGACTATCATCCCGGGAGCTGATATAGTAACCCAGATCAGCAGAATCATCCAGTTCCGTCTGCGAAAACCCATTGCCTAGCCAAGAGAACCGGTTTCCAGTGTACCTGATCTTCCGAAAATATCAGCATAGTTTGAGATGGGACCGAGGAGAACCACTTACCTCCCAGTCATCGCCCCGAGGCTCCCTGAGCGCCTCAAGGTAGTGGAGAGTACTACCAGGCCAGAGAGCCGAAACCCGCCCAGCAGCGGAGCCTGATTTGTACCAGGACCGACATTCTTCGATCCAGACAGTGTGCTGCATGAATTCCTGACAATGTTCCAAGAAGTCGGTAACCGCTTCGTTCTTGGGTGACATGGAGTGAATGTTTTCCGTCTGCCACCGATCGCAAAGGGAAAGCATGTAGTCTGCCTGAGCCTCAATCGCGATCAAGACCGGACCGCTTCCGATAGGACAATGCGGGCCCAAGAATTGGAAATAGTTTGGCATATGGGGTGCGGCAAGACCCAGGTAGGACCGGGGTTCGAGGGCCCACTCGTCCTGTAGATTCTTGCCATCGAGACCATACAGGGGGAAACGAGGCTTGAATGTTGTATCCTGGTCCTGATTAGCCATAATTTTCCCCCAAGGGAAGTGTCATACAAAGCCAGTAGCACATATGAGAACATCGACTGGATACTCGATACCATCATCGCACTTGCATCCTTTCTCCGTGATAGCTTCAATCTCGCCATAGACGACCTTGACGTTGGGCTTCGAAAGCGTCTCCAGGTAATTAATGCCTGGAGTCAACCGACGGCAGCCAACCCCCCAAGAGGGAATCAGCTTCTCCTGCAGCCAAGGGACATCTTTGAGCTTTTCGCGCATCTGCCGAGTGAAGTCCTCTCGCGTCTTCTTCTGTAGCTCGTGGTCTGGGAAGTAGATCCCCAGCATACTGTTGTTGTTTGTCTCATTGATCTTTCGTAGCAGAGTCAACGCGTCTGGATCGTTCCGGAACTTATCTTTTTCTTCCTGGGTATAGATACGTTGTTCAGTGCCAAAGGGCGGAGATATCCAGGTGGGCTCTCGAATAAAGGTTGTCAGTTGATCGACAATTGGCTGAATGGCCGGGAGAATTTGAATGCCAGAGGAGCTACGCCTGTTCAGTGAAATCGGCCCCTCGAGATGGGTGATGGAGATGCACATACCCGTTTCCGATGAGCCCAACGTGCTTGCCGGTAAGATCCAAGTTCTCATCCCAGTTGGCGCTATGCACCAGGGTTCCCTTGTAATTCTGCAGGCCCGGAATTGCAGGCCATCGCCAGTTGTTGAGGATTCCACTGGCGTTGATCAGGATGTCGCATTCATGATACACGGTACGTTGATGAGCAAGATCTTCGACTTGAACCTGCCAGATCCCCTTTTCATCGTCCCATGTTGCACCCACTACTTTATGACTCGTCTTGCAGTACTTTCCAAGGTTATGCTCGGACATGAAGTTGTTGAAGTAGGAGTATATTTCCTGAGCAGGAGCATACACACGCGACCAGTCATGTTTGGGCGCAAAGGACCATGTATAATTATGTGCCTGGACATCGCAGGCCACTCTGAAAGAAATCAGCTGCTGGATAGCCCGTAAAGCGTTGGTGGTGAGGCGAAAATCATAGCCTGGAATGGAGACCAGGGACGGTATACTCACCCAGGATATCTATTTTCGTACCAAGTGCCTGATACTTCCGGGTTCTTCTCGAAGACAATTAATGAAAAGTTGGTAAATGACCGTTGAAGTTTGTACGCAAAGCAAAGTCCAGAAGCGCCGAAGCCAACGCAGACGATGCGCATATGCCGCTCGGAGTGGATTGGGGGGTTTTTCCCAGACATTTTGAGGTATCGTAGCTGTGCAAAGGAATGGTCGAAGCAAGTTCACTCGCTAGAGTATCTTCTGCTTCAAAAATCCGTAGACTGAACGTAACATATGTATTGAAAGAACCTCGACAGCTTTGCAAGTTACCCCATCAGGCTGAATGTTGAGGGAGGCTGTCGGCCGGCAAACCTCATGAGGCATGCGGGTAATGCAGGGTTGTTGATCTGTTCATGTACTGGAGAGCTCTGCTCCTCCAGTTGTGATGTTCTTTACCGGATGTACGAGGTTGTGCGTGCGGACACTGTGGGTGCCGGTCCATAGCCGACGGCAACCTATGCCTCAACTACGTCTACAGTGGCGGTTGGCCGGTCTTTCAGGGTCTGAATTTGCTTGTATGAACGCCGAACTGGTACCTATGCGACTACACCATTAGACCAACTGGACTATCCGATATGAAGCGCTTTCTGAGGCAAGTTGCCGCACTCCGCAATTCATCTGGCGAGATATCCACCATCGACGGGAAGCGGGATCCCTGTCACCCATGCAGCATCGTCACTGGCAAGAAACACGGCTGCTTTTGCAATGTCTTCAGGCTTCCCAATCCCGCCTAAGGGGTGCTTAGCAGAGATCTCTTCCAGCTGACTCTTCCCACCTTCTTCCAAGAGCGGACCCAGAAGGGTTGTCATGGTGAATCCCGGACAGATGGCATTGCAATGCTGTTGGTTGCGTCCCATTAGTGGCAAGGTTCAGTCAGCAGAAAAAGAAAGCGAGCAATCAGACTTACAATACCCTTGGCGGCATATTCCAGAGCAATCTAAAGCTGGAAGTTAGAAGTTTACAAGCATAACCCTTTTGGACATATATTTACCGTTTTTGTCATTTGCATGACTGCTCCTTTGCTGGCGACGTAGCTGATCGACCCAGGCATTCCACCAAAGCTCAAAACACTCGCGATGTTGATGACTGTGACGATGTTAGTGGTGGATTCTTTTGGATAAGGTAGTTAGCTAGACTCACTCCATCCACGATCGGACCCGAATTTAGGCGGTTGCTTCAACATCTGCTCCACGGCATATTTACATCCCAGGAACACACCTCTCACATTGACGCGAAGGGTTTCGTCAAACTCGTGCAGGTCAGTTTCGTGCATTTGGCGGAACCCTCGGCGAGCCTCAAAAGATATCCCTGCATTGTTCACCAAGCTGATGCAGTCCTGTCAGTGGATTCGAGGCCCGACATTTCATGGGAATCTGTGTGGGCAATGTTTCTCACACATCAAGTCGGCCAAATTCCTTGACTGCTGTCACCACCGCTGCCTTGACATCCTCAGGTTCCGAGATGTCACATTTGATAAATGTCGCGTTTCCGCCGTGCCTTTGGACAAGCTCGTGCGTGGGATGAGCGTCCTCTCCGGGTAGAAGCGCTCTCGCGGTAGGAGATAGGTCAGAACAGATAATATTGGCGCCTTCACTTGCAAATCTTAGTGCAATCGCACGCCCGAGCCCTGAAGAGGAGCCTGTGATGAGACATGTTCGTCCAGAGAGTCGGCCGGTCATGGTGTCGATAAATGCACAGGTACTGGGTCTGCCTCGAAGTTGGAATCTGTGGTACGATTTTCAGTCCTTGGGATCCAAAACTCGTGTTAAGAACACCTCTAGTTCCCACTGTGATCCACTGTAGACGAGGAATGTTCGAAAGCTGCATGTCATCCACAAACATTGTCGGCATCCGGCAATCCATTTTTTGCCGCCAGTGCCGCCAGGCTCGCTCCTTTTCAAGAGGCTGCGTTTCCAAGCGAGATACACTTCCACCACTGGCCCCGTGATGGAAGTTTTCACAAGTTAGCACCTGTCTCAAAGTACAATGAATGTAATGTTGAAGGTGCACGAGGACTGCAAATGCGTAATGACGACCTCTGTGGCAGGGAAAGCTGCTCTGGTCACCGGAGCCGGATCTGGTCGGGTTTGAATCGCCCACGTTCTTGTCCTTGCAAGCCACTGAGACGAATGATAGGGATTAATCTTGCGTTTGCACGTCTTCTGCTCTCACGCAGCTGCAATGTCGTGTTTGCAGACTTGTCTCTTCGACCAGAGGCCCGTGAGCTCGTCAGCGCCCACCAAGGGCGCACCACGGCGCAAGCCATCTTCCAAAAGACAGACGTGTCCTCGTGGAAAGATCTATCCGATACTTACGAGATGACCAAAGATCGATTCGGTCGTGTGGACATCGTCTGTCCTGGTGCCGGCGTCTTTGAACCTCCCTGGAGCAGTTTCTGGAGACCGCCTGGGACGGACCCGGGAGTCGTGGACAATGTGACTACAAACGGCTACAAATCGCTCGACATCAACTTGAGCCACCCCATCCGATTGACTCAACTAGCTATCATGGACCAGTTGCAAGAGCTCAAGGCGACAAAAGGAGAAGGCTCCCATCCACCCCGGAGAACAGTTATCCACGTATCGAGTGTGAACGGTCAGGTCGCTCCATTGTGGACACCCCTGTACAACACGGCGAAACACGCACTCAATGGCTTTGTTCGCACTATGGCTCCTCTGGAGGCGCGCCTGGGTATCAGAGTCGCTGCAGTGGCTCCGGGGCTGGTCAAAACACCGCTTTGGACGACCGACGCGGAGAAGCGCGGCCCACTTTCGCAAGATCCAGCTTGGGTCACCGCCGAAGAGGTGGCTCAAGTGATGCTCAACATGATTGAAAAAGATGCAGTGAGCACTTTGAGTCGTGACGATGACGGAACGGACGAAACTCAGAGAGGCCTGGTGCGCGTGGCCGGAGGATCCATTCTTGAAGTATCAGGGCATCAAGTTCGAGATGTGGCAGCGTTCTTCGACCCTGGACCGCAAGGTATTTCATCTCAAGACTTTGACATGGACAAGATGGAAGACGGGGTCTTTCGAAATCTAGAGAAAATGTCTTGATCGAGTGGGAGAGATAAAGAGGGAGGGTTACTTGCCACTTCTCGATCTCGACAGTGGTCTCTATTTAGTAAGACATGTTGACAATGATGGTCTTGGGCTCTGTGAACGCCCTCAATCCTGCCAGTCCTAGCTCTCTGCCAGTTCCGCTTTGCTTGGAGCCCCCAAACGGCGCAGTCATGGCGAATAGGCTCACACAATTGATCCCCACCGTACCAGCATCAAACTCTGCAGCCACTCTCAATGCCTTGTTGATGTCTTGTGTGAAGACCCCGGCCATCAGCCCGAACTCGGAGTTGTTGGACAACTCAATGATCTCCTCCTCTGTCTTGAAGCTGTTGATCACAGCAACCGGGCCAAAAATCTCCTCCCTGTAGATTTCGGCATCCGCCTTGACGTTTGTGAATACAGTGGGTTCAAGGAAGTATCCCTATTGCATCAGTCTGCGTCAGCCAGACGGATGCGCCGGTCGTGTTTTTACGCAGACTTACCTTGTCCCCGATTCTTTTGCCGCCGGTCAGTATCTTCCCTTGGTCCTTTTTTCCGCGTTCTATGAAGCCAGACACACGCTGGAACTGTGCTTGATCGATGAGCGGGCCCAGCTCGGTACGGGGATCATCTGGATCGCCCATGACTTTGGCTCGGCCTTCGATCGCCTCCTTGTACTGCTGGACGAAGCTTTCGTAAATGCCTTCTTGAACGTACACCCTTGAGCCCGCAAAACAGACCTGGCCGGTATTTGCCGTGATGGATCTGACCGCCCAGTCTAAGGCATTCTTCACGTCGCAGTCACTAAAGATGACCACCGGTGATTTCCCGCCCAATTCAAGAGTGACTCTTTTCAGGTTACTTTTGGCGGCAAGCTCCTGGATTTTCTTGCCTGTAGATACCGAGCCAGTGAAGCTGACTTTGCGGATCCTCATGTGACTCGCGAGCAAGGCTCCCGTCGAGCCGTCTCCAGACAGAATTTGGAACACGCCGGGAGGAAATCCCGCCTGCTTGATGAGGGCACCTATAGCAAGTGATCCCAGCGGTGTCTTCTCCGAGGGTTTCAGAATGAAACAGTTGCCAGCCGCCAGGGCAGGGGCTGCTTTCATGCCGATAGACCCAATGGGCCCATTCCAGGGGACAATACCGGCAACGACACCCAGGGGCTCATTTCGTACGATTTTGAGAAATCCGTCTTCTTGTGGGAAGGTCTCTCCGGCAAACTTGTCGATCCAGCCCGCATAATAGCGGAAAGTCTGGCTTGTCAGCAACGGGGTCGTGCACATTCCGGACCAGGACGGTATACCTCAATTGCTATCACAATCTCGTGTTTACCCCATGTCTCAAACGGTGCTCCCAGGGTGATTCGTGTCAATTCCCCCAAGATGTCGATATTTTCTTCGATCAGGTCTGCCAATTTCAGCATCAGGTCTCTTCTCTGGACCGCCTTCAATCGCTTCCAAGCGGGGAGTGCATTCTCCGCCGCTCGCACCGCTATTTCGACGTCGTCCTCAGCTGCGACAGATACTTTGTCCGACACAAGGGATCCGTCTTTCGGGTTGAAAACAGACAGTGTCTTGCCGGCTTTGGAAGGGACAAAATCATTCTCAATGAATAGCTCTGTCGGGAGCCGGTCTTTGCTGAACTCGAGAGGCGCCATGCTGGAACAACGGTCGCTGTGGTTCAGGAGGCCCGATTAATAGTTTTTGATAGAGGAGAAAGGCCGATCCAGGAAATAGGCGTGGTCAATGTACTGATAGGTAGCGGGAAGCACGCATTAGGGCGCAAGGCTGTGAAGCTGGCAATACGCGGCATTACCGGTCCATCCTTCCAACTCAATAGCCGAAGAAGGCAGGACGGCGGCCAGTTCCTGGGGCCTCTGTGTGGATTAGTAGTCTGCTGCCTGAGCCATTTGTCTAGCAGACACGAATAATTTGTCTTACTGTCAGTGGTTGAGAAGTGCTTTTTGCCGGGACCTCCACGGAAACCTTTGTTGTTACATCCAGCACCAAAAGTCCCGAACAATCCCATTCGGGTTGTTCAAGCGTTATTTACATTAGCTATACCTGATTTCACAAAGTCCACAAAGGCAAGAGCTGCTTGAATGTTCCATTGGGAACCGTTCTTGTCTTTTTTTTACACATCACTACGACCAAGATATCAGAAGAGGAATTGGCCCTGAGTATTCAAAGATTCAGGTCCACTTGAAGGATATCAGGATCGAGGTCGTCCAGGAAGTCAAACAGGTAGTTGGCTTGCAACGACTCCATTCCCATAAACGGGATGTTGACGGTGTCCTCCAACAAAGCAGCAATCAAGGGACTGGTGTTCATCGTGACATAAGGAAACCGTTGCCGCCAGCTTGTGTCATCGGTCGCAGTGATGTCGTTGAGCGTGGGCGACGCCTGTGTCTGTTCCACAACCTCAGGTTGTCTGACAGCATTGCTGCTGAGTCTGAAAGGCTGGATATGGATCCGGTCCGTTTCTAACATCCTTTGAAAGCCAGTGAAGAACATTTTGGAGGAATGCCACAGCAGAGCCATCTGTTTGAGGGCAGCAAGAAGAATTGAGATTTCGGCGTCCGCATGGGTCGTCAGCGCCTCGATGTTTCGAGCATACAGCAGCGCTATTATTGAGATTGATATGTACCAGCCGGTTTGGCCCGGAAGGTACCGCAGCGTCCCACGAGCAAGAATGTCTTGGAGCGTTCTGGACACGCACGAGGCGGCGATGATGGCCGTCATCGACGCCCTCGGTAGTTTGTCCTTGGTCTTCTGCAGATGGAGCAGAATGGTCGTGGCCAGATATGGGAGATGCAGCATGTGCACATCCCGATTGAAGTTGACCGTCCTGTCTTCGGAAAGTGGCAGCTGGAGATGCTCTGGTAGATCTCGTGGCCAGTTCATCAGATCATTTGCTGGCATCGACCCAGGTTCATGAATCTTCCCTTGCGCAACCGCTTTGCCTACTCGACCGATGATCTCGCAAAGCCTGACCCAATGAACCCAGATCTCAGCTTTAGGGTCGCTCGGGTCGGGGAAATCCTCTACTGAAGCGATCCTCAGATCTGAAAAGTCAGGATCTATTACGCAAGGCCGGCCCTGCATCAGGGCAGTGAGACGCTCCCGGGCCTGTCAAAAGGGTTAGCAGCGTGGCAACATGTGGAACGCTTGCTTACAAACAATGTCCACCATATCCGTCTTCTCAGTCCGCTCGTCTCTCCCGGCCTCAAGACATGCTCTGCGTTCTGTTCTCGATTCAGACCGATTTCCTGGGCCAGTCTGATGGACACTCCCATCCACCACCAGTTGGTGTCGATACTCACTACGTTCGGTGGCCCTGAACTCCACCAATACAACAACATCACAGCGATTATCCTGACCAGGGGTTGATTCTCGTGGTTGTCATAAAATAGCTTCCGAAACCGCTGGAAGTACTGCGTGGGTTTGAGGTGCCGGATTAATGGAGGATTGAGTTGACTGCCGAGAACAGCCAATGCTTCGCGCAAGAGCTGCGAGCCGGAGAACTCAGACCACGTTCTCATGGTATCTCGGTCCAAGGTCGGACACCAGGTGTAGCAGTATTCGAAATATGTGTCAAGATAGCTCTCTTGTACCGCGGGGATCAGGTGGGTTGACTGTAGGTCTGTTACATGCTCCTGAGAGTCTGTCGTATCATCTTCTGCCAAATCCTGACTGAAGATTGACATGTATCCGCTTTCTCCAAGGTACGCCGCACGGTGGCTGTTCCCTTGAGACGACAGACTCAACTGTCCTGGTGTCACATTTGCCTGGCCGGGATTGTCGCCATCCACAACGGGCTCGGCAGCAGGTTCACGCGAGGGGCCCGTAGGACTCTTCTGAGCATGGATCGCGCTCGGCCATGCATCAATATCGGTGTGTCCACCATTGATTCGCCCTCCAACCCCACTGCCCAGGGCCACGTGAGGACCAGAGGTGATTGGTGGCACAACGTGGGGCCTGGTTTCCGGGGGCAAGGCTGGGTCGACAGGGTCTGCTAAGCGTGTCGGGGTTGCTCTGCGATCGCGTCTTCGGACGGTGCCTCGCTGGGAGGGCCGGTAGCCGTGGGTTGGTCAGTCAACCGGTCGCAAGCATGTGGATAGCAGACAGCTGCTTACCGGCATTCTGCAAATGCTTCAACACAACCTGAACATCGTTCTTGGAGTTGTCCGGGAACTATCTGCAGGTCACATTTGATCTAGATATCACCATTAACCACCGCCGCAACCCACAATTGGGGGCATTTGACGCACTTTCTTATCGTGGCAACGCATACACACAACCGTGGCGCGCTTATTCCGTCTCCTGTTCTCGATGCCCAGGGCATGGCTGTGAAGCGACATGATGCATAGACCCCAGTCTCGTGTGGCACTCGACGCATTGCCGCATGGGCTGGATGATGACCCGAATAGCCAAAGCTGAACAGGTTGAGAAGAAGCCAGGGCCTTTAAACGAAGCACAGCCGTTTATTGCCGAGGTTGCCGGGGTCCCCACATTCGCTGCACCAGAAGCGGATACGAGACCCCAGAGATCGAGTGGCGATTCATACTCGGTGGAAAGGATTCCTAATGGCATGGTATGCTGAAGCGACCCTGATTTCTAAGCTTCTTCAGGACGGGATTGGCTATAAACTTGACCTGGGCCGTGGACTTGGCCAGCCTCGCCAGAATAGTACACGTAGCTTGCCCGCTGCCACTATGCCCTCGGCCTGGCAAATTGCTCCCGCGGAACCCGAAGACTGGCGAACCACCGATGGCATCGAGAATTTGCGTCTGGTCCAGGATCTTCCCAAGCCACGACCAGAGCCAGGCACAGCTCTAGTCCGGATCAAGGCGGCGGCGCTCAATGCGCGAGATATGATGGTGGTTGCACATGATCCCATCTACCCCATCAAAACGCAACCGTACCTAGTTCCTTGTGCTGATGGTGCCGGAGTCGTGGAGGAGGTTGGACCCGGAAGCACTTGGAAGCCTGGAGATCGCGTCCTGCTCACTGCCATGCGCTGGATTGATGGGGATGTTCCCACATTGATTGAGTCCCAGGGCCTCGGGGCAGGCGCCATTCAGGGCACACTGCAAGAGTACTCGGTCGTGGTAGGTTCAACTCGGTCCCAACCTTGTGCTCGATGGGATGATGTCGGTGCTGATCTCTTCACCAGGCTGACAATCGATTGATTCGGGCTCCGGCACATCTCACGTTTGCAGAAATGGCAGCCTTACCTGCGGCAGCCGGCACAGCGACCAACGCGCTTTTCTACGGACCCCAGCCCTTTCGCCCAGGCATGACGGTCCTGACACAAGGGACAGGTGGAGTCAGCGCATGTGCCATCCAGATTGCTGCCGCCGCCGGCGCCACGGTGGTTGCCACGTCTTCATCGGACGAGAAACTGAAGACCGCAAAGGCCCTGGGCGCCACGCATCTGATCAACTACACCAAACACCCCGTGTGGTCAGAGGAGGTTCTCCGTGTTACTGGTGGCAAGGGTGTCGACCATGTTCTAGATGTGGCTGGCGCCGGGACAATCGAGCAGTCCCTCCTGGCAGCCAAACACGGCGGACTCGTGTCTGTGATTGGTTTCTTATCCGACAGTCAGCCTACCGATATCATCCCTCCATTGCTGTTTGGTGCAAAGACCATGCGCGCCATCTTCCAGGTTCGGAACGACATGGCGCAGAAAATGGCTCAGCTCTACGAAGAGCACCAGCTCCGGCCACCCGTGGCCGCCGTGTACAAGTGGGAGGAGGCCAGGGAAGCATTCAAGGCCCTCCATGCCCATTCGGCAATTGGGAAGATTGTGGTAGAGGTTGGCCCGTCATAGACTACAGAACCATGCACATGCCAGAGAATGGAATCATTGGAGCCCATAGTCCAGATAGTTCTCCATCATCCTCCGCATTTTCCCCCAGACTGTCAAGGTTTGGCGTTTGACTTTTCTGTCCTCCCGCCCCGGCAATTCCGGCAATGACCCCATGCTTTTCCAGTCTGGCAGCGATGGAAACTTCACATTCCCGCAAGAACTTAAAGGAAAGGTTGACACACCACGACGACAAGATGGGTGGACTTGATCTATCTCTTCTCACTCTTGCTTTGTGTCTGCCTGTTCGAATTTCCCCAACGTATTGAACGCTCGTCACAGTCTCCAGGGCGAAACGATGGCGGCCACGACAGACACAACTTCAGTTGCCCACCATGTGGGTGGTCGGCAGTTTCAGTTCTACAACATCATCATGATCCTCGCCATGGGCTTTGGCTCCATCAGTTATGGCTACTCTGCTGGCGTCATATCGCAGACTCTGGGTCAGCCGTCTTTCCTGAAATACTTCGACCTCGACACTCGCTCTGACGCCTCAGACATCATCGGCCTCATGAATTCTCTATACCAGTGTGGAGGTTTCGTTGGGACATTCTGTGTGTCTTCGGTGGCAGATAGATGGGGGAGACGAACAGGCATTGCGCTTCCCTCGATCATCAATATCGTTTCGGGCGCGCTTTTGGCCGGCAGTGTCCACGTCGGCATGTTCATCTTCTTCCGTTTCCTGGCTGGACTCGCGGCATATTGGCTTGTGTCTGCCGTTCCGGTCCTCATGACTGAGGTCGCCCCACCCAATGTTCGAGGCGTCCTCGTCAACGTCCACGGAGCCATGATCATCTTCGGGTTTGCTCTGTCCAACTGGGTGGGCTTTGGGTTCTACCACATCGACGAATGGCGGGCACCGTTCGCCTTCCAGTGCCTGCCCTCCATCCTCCTTTTGCTGGTCATCATCAAGGTCCCGGAGTCGCCTCGCTGGTTGATCATGCAGGACCGATCCGAGGAAGCCTTGGGGATCTTGCAAAAACTTCACACCCCAGCTGAGGCGCAAGTCGAGTTTGCGCAGATTCAGAAGCAAGTTCGCACGGACCGCGGCCTTGCGTGCTCGTACTGGGCCATGTTCACTAAACCCACTTACCGGAAAAGGTCGTTCATGGCGCTGTTCGTGACGGTGGGTATCCAGATGACTGGTCCGTTCGTGATCAACAACTATGGCCCAACTCTCTATCGAGGCCTCGGCTACGACACCGACAAGCAACTAGTCTATCAGCTCGGGTGGATCACGGTGGCTTTCGGAGGTGCATTGGCGTCCTTGTTCGCTATCGAAATGGTCTCTCGCCCATCCATTATCGCGGGCGGGATTCTTGGATGCGTGGCTTGTCTCACGGTCGAATGCGCCCTGGTCGCATCATACGCCACGAGTGCCAGCGACTTGGCGAACCCGAACTCGGGCGCGCTCAAAGCGGCCGTTTCCATGCTCTTCCTCTACGTCGTCTGGTTCGAGATGACAGTCGACGGAGGACAATTCGTATACTTGGGAGAAATCTTCCCCACCCATCTCCGGGCAAAGGGCATCGCATTGGGCATGGCGGGCCTCTGTGCCACCAATATCGTCTGGCTCCAGGTTGCGCCGCTGGCATTCTCCCACATTGGTTGGAAGTTCTACCTCTGCTTTGTCATCCCTGGTACAATATGCGGAGTGATCATCTGGATCTTCTTTCCCGAGACTCGTGGTGTGCCTCTCGAGAGCATTGCAGCCATTTTCGGGGATAGCGCCGAGTTGTACGACTTTGCCCTGGAGGAAATCCAAGATGTTGAACAGGCCGAGATTGCAATCATTGGCAAGGCCGAGGAGGCGAGAACATCCCATCATTTCGAAAATGCTTGAAGGAATATTGGTCAGATGGACTGCTGCAGATGACTCTTGCTCTTCGCTTCCCGCTTGGGTGGAATCTCGTGAGGATGATGGGTTTTGCAGTCGCTCCAACCGTATTATTGGTCGTCTCAATGCAGCAGATGTGTAAAGCGCGGCTTGGTTTTGACCCTCCCAAATCAATAATCAGCGTTGTTGGTACATACAATCACGGGTTTCGCAATCCGCAAAATCTGAAAATTTCGCACCTTGCTGGATAGTGGTACTGCTTCTTGTTCACGGCCGTTTCGTATCCAGGTAGATAAGATCCAAAAAAAAAGCATCGCAAGTTAGCCGGCTGGGTCTCGCCTTTGCAGATGTCTGCTTCCGGCTATCACAGGGTGTAATTATGCATTGGCACCCCGGCTTTTCGGCGACCCAGGCGGCAAGCAAAAGAGAGTGACGACATATTTAGTATATAAGGTTTAGACCACCAGGGTTGGGTTCCATGTATTGTAGGCAATCTGTACAACCGCAAGTTTGGGTCGATCCAAGATGCCTGAGGACAGCATTGATGTGTGGAATGATCCGAGAGTCCAGAAACTGAGTGCAACGCTCAATGGGGCTAACTACGGTAGGCCAACGACCATCTCCCTTTACTCTCCTGCAAGTGGATGACCAGGACTAATCCGTCAGGATATTGGCTCGCGGAGCCGCGATCGAGTCCTCGCGGTACCATTTTCCTGGTATGTGTACCCAACACCTTCCTCCGTAGTAGCAGGAGCTGAAGATGCACCGATACTTATCTAGATCCACGGCTACCCCGACTTATCTGCCGGATGGAAAAATCAGATCCCTATGTTGCTGGATATGGGGCTTCGCGTGGTTGCCATCGACTGCATGGGATATGGTCGGACCGTAGGCAATCCCACCAGACCGCCGCATAGTGGAAGGCCACTGACAAGGTGTCGATCAGGATTCCCCGTCTCCGATCAGGATGTACACGTTCAAACGCGCTTCAGATGACATTGCCGAGTTGGCCCGTCAAATCGGGGCTAGGAACATCATTCTCGGCGGACATGACTGGTAGGAGAGCTTGACTGCACACTCCTGGACTGCGATGCGCGGGTTCGTGCAGCCAGTTTCGACGCGAAGCGTTCTGACAATTGCGAATGTTGCAGGGGGGGCATGGTTGTCCAAAGATGCGCTCAATACCATCCTCAGCTCGTCACGCATGTGTTCTCGATCTCGACTCCGTATTTCCCGGTGGAGTCAACGTACACCCCGATTCGAATCGTTGCCAAAGCCCTGCCGACGTATGCATATATGGAGCATCTGGCCTCGGGCGAATTGGAAGACCATTTCCAGTCCGAGGCGGAGCTTCGGGCATTTTTGAACGGGTGTTTGGGGTTTCCCAAAGGACCTAACGGGGAGGTGGGCTTTACACCGGAGCATGGCATGCACTTTGAGAATTTTCCCAAGTTGGCCCCGACGCCTCTGTTCAACGCGCGAGATTTGGACTATTACGCGGCCGAGTATTCGCGGAACGGCATCCGCGGGCCCAACAACTGGTACCGAACAAGAGAGCTAAACTTCTCCGACGAGTATGAATACTTCTTGGAGCGCCCGGACGGCACCCTCAAGCCGGACCCCGGCATTGACCAGGACATCTTGTACATAGCGACGAAGAACGATCGGATCTTGACCCCAGCCATGTGTGCGGCATCAAAGCAGTTCTGCAGAAGGCATCGGATGACGGTGGTGGACGCCGACCATTGGGCTTTGTGGGAAAATCCCAAAGCCGTCAACGAGGCCATCCAGGAATGGCTCAACGATGTATTGCTCACTAAAAGCTGAAACAGGATTGGGATGTCGGTCTTGTCCTGACCAGGAGGTGCGACTCTGAGAGCCCACAACAATCGATGTAGAAGGTTGCAATGCCCCGGCCTTATTCCTTGCCCGAAGTCTGCTCACCTCGCCGCTCACAGAGACATATCTGCCCAAATGCAGTTGAGGAGCATGAATGACCGGCTTGGTTCGAGGATCTGGTAAGCTCTGGCAAAAAAGATTTGCTCTCTTATTCTAGAATAGCAGGGTTGAGACTTTGCCTCAAATCATGACGAATAAGCCCCAGAAATCTACTTGTGTCTGCCCTTCCGTCCGTTGGGCGCCTTTTGTCTTGGCATTGGTCTTGGCACTTGTTAGGCATGACTAGAAGGCATACCTACCTAGGTAGTTAGTTAAGAAATCCAAGCAAGTTTAGTTAAAGGTCTAGTTAAAGAGACACTGCACCCCAAATCCAATGCCAAGGGAAAAAGTACCCAAGTGACGGGACGGGAGATGCGTCGGACAGGGTGAACAGTCCGGACGCGAGCTGCTTCCTGCCCGATTGAAAAAATATGGCTACCTAGGTACTTCGCCAATCTTTGCGGTGTCGCAAAACTCATTATGTTCAAGACTTCTGTTCAATGCCCTGTAAGTCCAACCCGCCGACCCTCCGTAATGGGAGAACATACCACGATACGGGACCGTCAATGCCTAGCCACAGAATCTTCGACAGTTTCATCGTATTTTGCTTGCAAGACTTCGCTGATCGTGGTTTTCGAGGGCGATAAACTGCACACAAAGAGTATGCAGAGTCTTGTTTGGAAGAATCTTCTCCGCCGTTGTTCAAGGACACAAAGGGGAATCTGCCCCAAAGACACTGGCGCGAACCTCGTCAAATTTCTCGTCAAAGATCTCAGGGAACGCTTCAATGAATGCTGCTTCGAATGCGGCTTTGAATTTGGCTTCGAATCTCCCCCCACTCTTGACTTCCTCGCAGCAATTTTTGTAGAGTACGTCTTCGAATTGATTGAGCACTTCATCGCTCCCCCCCTCGTCTGCCTTGGGAGATGGCAAAGCGCTGGGGTTGCAGGGGCTGTTCTCACCAGCGCGCACCTGAGCGATCGTTCTTTCCAATATATCGTTCAGTGTCGGGCTGACGATCTTTCGCTCAACAGTGTCGGACACTCTGGTGCGGACCTCCTCGACCGTCTTCTCCCGGACAAGAGCTGCCATCTCGTCGAATCGCGGTTTGAGTGCATCTCCGAACTCCTCGTTGAATCGCATTCTGAAGCGCGCGTCGAACTGCTTGTCGATATTCTCATCGAACCAGATATTGATCTGCTCCCTCACCTTCGTGGCGAACACACTCTGATCGCGCTCCATGTTGCCTCGTATTTCTGGACGCTGATTGATGATGGAGGTGGATATGGGACAGGATAAAGGAATGGAGGTTGATGGTGGGGTGTTGCAAGGTGAGGCCAAATGTTGAACCTAAGGTTGGATTCGAAGTCAGTTGTAGCGGTTGGAGAAATCTTAGAACGGAAGTCCAGGTGATAGTGATAGATTTGATGCGCTGCAACGTGGTCTGGGCCCAGGTAATATCAACGGAAGTGAGACGAGTGACTCTTATATAATAACAAAGAAAGTGAAACCAGGGCAGTTTTGGCATAGGCAGCGTTGTTTGGGCAGTGAATGAACGAGTTGTTTGTTAAGGCGTGACCTTTACGTGACAAAGGGCTGGAAAAGAGAGTCGGCAGGCTGATTCGAGTTGCAAGGCCAAGTAAGTACTGGAAAACCTCATACGTGGATATGGAAGAAGAGTGCTAGTATTTGCTAGATTAATTCGAAGCATACTCGTAGAGACACACCCACAACACGGCTTAAAAAGTGGGTCGTTAAGCGGAGCCATAATCCTGGGGATTAACGTTGGGGGCAAATGGTGCTAAGACAGCAAGCAGCTTAAAGGGACCGTCTTCCCCACACTCCTCTCGACGAGCTTCACGCTTTCACCAGGTCAGAGACAGTCAGAGCCCGTCAGCTGCCACTGCTGTAAGAATATATGCTGGACGCATTGGATGATTTGAACCCGCGGACTTCCGCTTGTCCGAGTCAGCGGAGAGGAACATTGGACCCATGCGCCAGACTGCCTGCGAAAGGTGCAGGGCCCGAAAGTCAAAGGCAAGATATCTTCTGGTTCTGTGTTAAGACGAATAGCACGACTGACCCTATGCAGTGCACCCCAGAGAAACCCTGTCGGCCATGCCTTCAATCTGGACACGAGTGTGTAGCTCCTGGTTTGAGGTTCCCTCCGGCTCGCCGACCGTTGATTGTGCCCGCAACGGCTGAGAGACCGGTCATGCTGGAGGAAAGCAGCATCGTCGATCTGAGCAAGCAGGTGAGCGCTATCGCCAACCTGGGATCTCCTTGTCACCACCAAGAGCTCTCTTAGATAACAACCGGCAGCTGCTCGACCGCGACTCTGTTAGACCAGTGGTTGAAAGCGTGGATGCCATTCCAGGCAGTCATCCTTGTCGGATCAACGACTCTACGACTTTCCGTTGGCGCGATGAGTTGCCCTACGCTGTCCCGTCGCCCGAAGTCCTGAATATGCTATCAGACAGTTATTTCAGCTCGGTCAACTGGTTCATGATGGCAAGTCTAGTAATGAGCGGACAATCTTGTCCGACAAGGGGAGCTGACACGGGGACTTGCAGGTTCTGGACGAATCAAAATTTCGCGCCCTGTCGACTCTTGCCCTGGCCGGGGAGTACATGGAGACATCCGATCGCAACTTCTGTTTCTTGATGTCCCTGGTCTGGGGTCTGGGGGCACACTATCTGTGGACGAATGATGCGACATCCTCCAGCTTACCGATAAACGCAGCCTTGCGCTCGGAGATGATGAGCGTGGTCGATGTTGCATATTCGAGAATAATGGCCGATCCAAGTTTGGAAGCTGTTCAGATTGCTATTTTGTTGGGAAGCTTTCATCTATTCCATGGCTTGCCTTATCTCGGCTTTGCCATCTTTGGAAGTGGCGTCCGATGTGCCCAAGCGATGGGTCTGCATCGTCAATCACGCAGCAGCACATCCGAGACTCGCCTGGTTTGGTGGGCTTTGGAAATTTGCGACAAGTCTGTGTCCCGCTGTGTCTCCCTCATTGCCAGGATGCTGATTTTCGAAAGGTACGCTGCTGTCGCATTTGGGCTACCATGCGGCATCGATGATTCGGATTGTGATGTGCCCGAGATCAACGACAGTGACATTGTCACCCGCCCAAGGCCAGCATCTCATTCCGACCATTCGCCGTCACCTTTGACGTATCACAAGCTCAAGGGACGCCTGTACCGAATCATGGGCCCGTTCCTGGGTCGGAAAAGGCAGACGAATCAGCTTCGTGGCCTCCTCGAAGTTCGCCGCGAGCTGACAGAATGGCACACCAGCGTTCCGGACTGGCTCAAATGTTCCGGCGAGGATGGTCCAGGATTCGATGATCGGCCTATACAGCTGCAGGTGCAGGCCATTGCTCTCCAATTGGCCTACGATAACCTTCAAATGGTACTGTTTAGACAAGCTGTCTTTCCTAAGAACGTGCGAGAAGATCAGGGTATCCGACACTATCGAGCGGACGGGATCGGACAACTCTCTCAGTCTGCCACTCGCACCGCGAGCATCTCGACTTTGGCGGCTTCGAGGCTGATCTGCCGGTCTTCTCACGCCGCGATGCACGTTGCCATCTGCTCGTTCACGGCTGGAGTGATTCTCTGCCTAATGATTGCCTCTCAACCAAATAACCCCGAGAAGTCAACATGGCTTGCATCGCTGAAGAAAATCATCAACCTGTTCGAAGACTTTCCGAGCCAGAACTATCGACTCGCCACTCAAAGTTTGGGGGTGTTGAAGGCATTGGACTTCCGCGTGGATCCCCAGACAGCCCGAGAGTCAGCCGAAGACATCGGGCTCGGCAACCAACCACTGCTTCGTAAGTACAGTGAGCACACACCTGCTGGTGTCCATCCCACTCGATTCTAGTCTCTGATAATCTCGGTTTCCGCGGTTCGTCCTAACCCAAATGCAGAGTCGGCCACCCAAATCGTTAATCCTTTGGACAATCGGACGATATCAGAAGACGGCAATAATGCTGCAAGCAATCCCCTGGAGCTCAATTTTGGAGATTTTGATTTTGCGTCAAGTGCCGGGGGTCCCCTTGAAGACGTCGGACAATTGTGGTTATGGGAGGGCGATCCTCCGAATGAGGAGTGGATGTCGAATTTCACATAGTACCAAAACAACGCTGGATTGCCCTAGAGCTAATTTGCTTTACTGCACCAGTTACAACTCATCAAAGGCTTTCCACAGCCGCCAGTACAGTTGTGTGGGAAGAAGACGGACTCACTCCTCTTTCATAATAGGTGCACGCCATACAACACATCGGCAGAATGCCATATCCAAGGTTTGGGTGGGCTGAACATCGGCCTCGAGGAATATCTTAGGCTTTTACTGGCCGGCAGCCAATAATCGGTTTCACAGGGTCTCTTGTATCATCAACTTTGGGTATTGATAGGTAGGGTAGGATAGTTCTGAGATCTATCTCAGGAAAGAACGAATGTGATTCGTATCGGCCCTGGAGCTACTTCCAGTGCTACGTACAACTTTCTCTCAAATGCGCCATCGCGGCGAGTCAGAAATTCGTCACTTCAAGTTCTACCCAGAGACGGACTTTAGGCGTGTTCCGCGAGCTCGTCGAGAATAGTCCGCGCAGCTAGCTTTCCGAGATTATTGGACGCCAATGGTGAGTCACCCGTGAGGACATAGCGGTCTCGATGTGTTTCACCCGTGATACCCTTGTTGAGCGGGATGACGCCCAGCTTGCGGAGTTCCTCGCCGACGAGCCACGGCATCTTGCCCGGTATGTATCCGATCTCGACGTTGGGCCCTCGGTCGAGCGATTCCGGGAAGACGTTGATCTTATACCCCTCGTAGATGAATTTACTGCCCGCGGGCTTGTCCACGTTGGCGGCCAGCATGCTGGCTGGTCCGTGGCAGAGCGAAATAAAGTAGCGCTGGTGGGCATCTGCCCACCGCAGAATGTTGCCCACCGTGCGTGAGAAGGGCACGTCGTTCATGACACCGTGTCCACCGGGAACGAACACGCCAATGTACGGCGTGTCTTTCGTAAATCCCTTGCCCCAGACCTCCTCCAGGTTCAGCGGTTGACGGAGTTTGTCCTTGTATTTCTCGAAGATGTTCTTGACCGCGACGTCGTCCTTGGGAAACGCCCACATCTCAAGCTTCACCGGGTCACCGGAGATGGTGGCGATGTCGACTTCGAAGCCGGCCGCGTCGAGGTGGAGCACCGGGAGGAGCATCTCGACTGGATGATTGCCTGTGGAGAAGAACTCGCCGCCGGACATTTTCAGATATCGCTCCTGCGTCGCAATGAGGATAATTTTCCATCTGCCGCCCTTGTACGCGTTTGGATAGTCCGCGCCGTCAAAATCGGTCTTTGAAGGCACGTATTGCGTCAGGGAGAATGGCGACGGGAACCAGGCGTCAGATTCAGCCTGGTCCGGGACCGGATTCCGATCAGATGGATTGGACATCGTGCAGGGAACAGTGAATGGTGGTATGGAAATCAGATGGTTGCAAGGCGAGATGCAGCGCTCGTCTAGGTAATATATACCTTTTACTCACCAGTATGCTGGGCTTGACTCCAACGCCCTCGAGTGCCAGTCAGAGGTTGTAGTGTTGGCTCGAACGTCGGAGAAGCCGTGAACGTGATTGGTGGATTCTCCGGTCCTGGAAGGCACTACTCCGCATCTTTGGCCACAACGGGCCTAGCGTGAATATCACGGTGGAGGCCTTCTCTCTCCAAGCTCAAGAATGGCTGTGCGAAAAGCAGAGCTGACTGAAATCCTTCAAATGAACCGAATCAGACTTCCATCGCGGAAGTGTAAAGGTAGACCGCTCCTGCGCAGATTGTACCCTGATTGCACCGAAAGATTCACGAGTTAGTTAATATGAGCACCAGGATATACCTGCTCAGCTATGACAAACGCAACTTCAAGCGAAATCATGGCTGGAAAGGAAGAATAGCGGACTCATCTTGGTCCTCGGTGCGAAGTGTATGCGTCCTGTCCCCTTGATTTAGCTGCTTATTGCTCTACATACTTTGCTCTAGGTTGCAGAATGTTGGAAGTGACAGCCTGAATACAGCGAATGTGCCTTGCTGTGGATGACTTATTTTGGGATTGTTGGCTACTGTCGTTTCTTTTGATTGTGCCGTATTTGGTCGGTCGCTGCATCAAAAGCTTATAGACAAGTAGCAACCCGCCATTGCACTAAAGCCAGAACCAACTCCTTCCAAGCTAGTTGTTGCACAAAAGTCTCATTGCTGGACCTTGAACAAGTAACACGTAGGGTGCCGCTTCTGTAATACATTCCGCTGGGATTCTTTGGGATGGACAGGCGGCAATTACCACAAGGAGACGGCATTTAAAATCCTCGTTCTGAAGCCCGGACTTGTGGTAATACCATTCAACGATTTTGATTGTGAAGACTTCTGCCACCTTGTCGGTATCGCTGCCTGCCAAATGGTTGGCTCTCGATGATCATGACACCCACCCTCCAGTTTCGCAAAAGGCACATACCCATGAAACCCGGCCACCTGAATTTCAAATGCGTCCGGGAGGAGTGACACAGGGGTCATCTTTGGCATATATATTGGGTGGCTTGCCGAGAGCGGAAACTTGCATGAGTGACAGAGTTGTTTTCAAGGTTGTGCTGTTGCAAGAGTCGGCTGAAGAGGGCGACAAACGACACCGTTGTCCTTTTCGCTCATCTGCTGAGGTTGTTTGCCATACTGGCGGAAGGTCTAACTTCTCGACCGATGGACCTGTTTCCAAAGGCCGCCAAGACTGGAAGCTGATGACTTTTATCAGATCTGAAAGGTTACCTAAAATGGCATGTCTGGACCATTGTAAGAGGAGACTTCTTAGGAACCAAGATCGATGATTTGGGTTTTGCAAACGCGGCGGGGAGGAGTTTTCTTCAGCGTTATTCCCAAAGGCAGACATTCAAGAATCCTTCCCGATGTTCACACAAATCTTCGATCCTCGTGGCTCTCTAGGAGGGTATTGGCCTTCTTTATCCATGTCGCAAGGCGAATTGCATTAGCTAGGCCGAGATTCCGTCGGCAAGGTCTCTAATCCCATTTCACCAACAATACAGTTCTCGTAATTCAGCTGCGAGAGCCAGTGATATTTGGGGATTCGTGGCAAGTGGGGCACTTGTCAAATCCCCCGCGTTCACTGGTTGCCATGGAACTAGGTGTAGATGGCTGGCTTGGCACAGTTACCATTGTGGGATACCTATCTCCTTTTCCGGCGCTCTTTTACAACCTCACATTATTTTTGACTCGTTTCATTGCTTCCTTTGCTTCAGCGTCTGTTTTGCCCGAGAACCTCTCGAATCTGCGTGAGGGGAGAGGCTCCCCAGGTGTTAAATGGTCGGTGCCCGGCGGGCTCAGTGAGCTTTTCATGCGCGCTTTTCCCTGTTGGAGATCAGCTGTAGCTAACCTATGACCGATTATCCAGCCTCCTACCAAATCCAAGAAGAAGCCGGTGCTATTTATCTGGACCTGTGTAAGATAACTTGGGCCGCACTAATACAGTCAAGTCGTATTGAGCTGAAACAAACTCTAGAGCTCTTGCGGAGCGACTGCAATACGAGTTACGGTTAACGCGTGTCCCAGCTGTGGGCATGTGCGCTGCCCGGCATGCAAGACAGAGAAGGTCTCCAAGTAATGATAGCACGGATTTTGGGGAGTTTGAGCTCTTCAGCGACCAAGATTTCGGCCCCTGGCTCAGTGAGAGCTTATCGTCAGATTCAAAAGAAGCCAGCTTGGACCAAAGCTTACCCGTGCAACCCAACATACGGGCTTCCGCTGCAAGAATCATTCTCTAGAATCGCCCAAACCCAGACGGCAGAGCTTGACCGCCTGGTGCTTAGCACCGAAAAGAGTGTACCTCTGTTTCCGAGGCCGATTTCGCGTGCAAATGCATCGAGAGTTATCTCTTCTTCAGACTCAATCTACTACCTTTTCCTTGCGAAGTACTGGGAAGTGGTAGGCTATCAGAGCGAAGGCCGAAAGCGCTGTCCACAGGAAGACATAGATATTGAACTAGTCGGATCAAGCCCACGGAAAAAACATAAACTGGTCGACACTCCGCGATATCAACGGATCCTTAAAAATTGCATCACTCTACAAGGCAAAAAGACACAGCACCAGATATCCCAGGCTCATAAAATCTCAGACTCAAATGGAAAGCGATTTCTCAGATCGCAGAATGCGGGAGGCTCTTCCAATTTATCTCGACGAGGCAGAAGACGCAAAATAAGCCACGCCAACCTCGCGAGTATCGAAACCTTTGAAAATGTTGGTTTTGAGCTCGGCACTATTACTCACGATCGAATTGCAAAATCGCACACAACATTCATATTCGCCAATTCTTCTTCTTTATAGAGCGCAGCTGGAATTTTGCTGGCACGCTAATGTTCCAAGCTCCCCTGATTTAATCGCTATTGAGACGGTATGGAGGATTGGAAAACAGCGTCCCAGGGCCAAAGGAGTGGCTAAAGACATTACTCAATGAAGAAATGGACTCAAGAGATCTGGAGGCACCTATCCAAGGCTAAGGATATCGATAAATACATCGGTACAATAACACGTCGGATTCGCAATCTACGGACAAGGGGAGGGTCAGATGTACCCAACATAGGGAAAAGGAGTGAATATAGGCGTCAGGGGCGTTTGGGCAAGGTTGCCAACCGGGAATATGTCACGCTTATCCGCGTGACATCAAGAAAAGTGATGAGAAGTTCCCCTCCGCCGGTGTACCAACAGGCACGTCACCACAGGAGACAATACTGATGGCGATGGTCCAAAATAATTCCTTTATTTCAACAGAGAGCACTTGTACAAAAACCCGCCATGGATAAATTCTGCTGATTGCAATCAGTGCCTAGTGTGTAGGATCTCCTCCAGCCGACTGCTCGATATCCTCCGATTTCCTCCTCCATCTCCGCCGTGCCAAAGCAGGCATTCTCGGAACCGAAATCCTTTGCGGAAGCCATCTTTTTGTTTCGTCCGGATGAAAGGATGATGCTAGGCCGGACCATGCCCTCAGGAACAACAAATACAACCCCTGCTGAGCATATGCAAACCCCAGTACCAAGGTCAAAAGAACGACACATATAGCCATAAAAGATGAGAAGCTGGGAGTTGCGAATGGAAAGATCTTCTGTCTGACCTGATTATCCATGGAGAACATCCCTTGTGTGAGCACGAATGGAGTGAAGAGCTGCAATGTTGGAAGTGGATACTAAGCCTATGCTCCATTCAAAGGCTACCAGGTCTGGTACGGACTTACCATCACGACGTACCCCATCCAGTTGTTCTTCCTTGCGAGCTCTCTCTGGTCATTGCCAAGTCGAAGTTCAAGCTGCATGGGTGAAATGATTAGTTGCAAAACTTTGAAACTCAACTGTGCGAAAGCGGAGAAACTCACATTCTGGCTAAAGCAATCGCAAGAGTGCGCCGTATCCTCGAGTGTTTTCTTCATGGATTTCAGGTCACCAAAGATGGACTGAAGGTAACAGAATGATGCGTCGATCTCTCCAGGGACGTCGAGGAAGTAAGCAGCATACTCCAAGCAAAACTTGTCGCAGGCATCGACGGTCCGTGCTAGACATGGTGACAAAAGCGTCAAGAGTCTCCGAGTGGTAACAGCCCACTGGACTAGCTTTCGCATTTCTTTTCTCTGCTCTTTGTCTTCTCTGAAATATCGAGGGTTTGTTTGGCGCGTGAGAGCACAAGAGCGTTGCTATCGAGCATGTCAATCGGCCGGGCTAGCAAGGACACGGGGAGACTATAACCAAAGTTAGCTTGGATCTCAAGAATTCCACCACCAGTCTAGCCACGCAAGCTGTGAAGGTCATCCCTAAGGACCGAACCTCGTGCCGCCCTTCAAGTTGTAACGTACCGGTACCTCATAGTCGCGAACGCTCTGGACTACCTTGTTGACCACTTGGCGCCATTCACCTTGGATTTGGTACAGACGACACTGGAAGACGAGCAGGAACCACTCCCGCGGATCCTTGATGTTGTCCTCGAGTGAATAACGTCCATATGTGCAAGGATCCAGGGAAATCCCTCCCTCCTGGCCATCCTTGATATGTGCCATGACGGTTTCCCTAGCCTCGTTGTCACGATCGAAGTAAGACTCGACGAAACAATACCCAACCCATCTCCAGATGTCTGTTCCGGCAACCACGCAAGAATTCTGCGCTTGATATATAAAAGAACGCTGCCCGTCATTTTGCCAGTTAAGGAAAGAAACGTCGTGGGACTGCCTCATGGGTCGGCCATTGAAATCTCGTCGAGGATCTTCTATTTGAGCTTCTGCGTCCCTCCAGGCATAATAGGGAAGGTGAAATGCAAGTTCGAACATGCCATATCCTGCCAACTATACGACAAGAATGTGAGCACCCAACTTCATCACCTGCTTTCAAGTGATAGTGTGAGACTTGCATACTTACCGCAAAAGACACCCCAATAAACGTCTGAGTAGTAAGATGTCTATAGAGAAGATTTCGAAGCGCATATGCTTGGAGCCTTGATGCTGTTCCAATAAGTGCATGGAAGACCAAACCGTCGGGGTCAGTGACAAATCTTGCTGACATGTCAGTGCCTGTGAGTGAAGTCACGGCAGCAGTGGGGCAGGTTTCACGCACATTAATCTCCGCTCTGCATCTGGTATCTTCTGATCGCCTTCATCCAAAGAGGCGTCAACGGATTGATTTGCGGAGCTTGAAGTCTGGGTGCCAGCCACTGTTCCGCTTTGGCTGTCGCGCCCAGGGGCTCCAGCTGAGCACTCTCGGCATATAAAAAAGCGCTAGTTAAACGTTAGCTTGGGCTCTAACGTTAAAGTGAGGTCGCTGTAGACCAGATTCGACTCGATTTACCGGAGCGTTCAATGCATCGTACAATTGGCGTGCTGTCAGCGCGCCTCTCTGCGTCCTTGCCTGAACTCTTCCTTCTCTGAAGTTTCTTTCATCTAACCAAGCATTCCGGGGTGACAAACTGTGGATGGCCTCTGTTTGTCCGAGGAGCTGCTTGAATGTCGAATTGTGGCAAAACGCAAGCACAATGTCGGCCTCCGGAGTACAGGCGTCGGACTGGTCAGGTCCTCGCATGAACCCTCGGACGGCGTTGTCCAAATCTTCGAGCCAGCCAGTGCTGCCGACTGGGTTTTCTGATTCCCAGTCGGCAATGGACCTGAGATAAGATTCGTTTTCGGATTCATAGGACAGTTCTCGCCGTGTCGAGAACTCTGGGTCCCAGCGGATATTCAACAAGGAGCTGTGCGCTTGAACAGTTACCAAGCTTGGTCGTTTGGTCATCTGAGGCTATTCAGGGTAGTCCAGGCATATCCCAGGGGAGCGGACTGATCAAAAAGAATGCGGCTCAAACAACGACATGATATTAGCATTGTCAAGATAGAGACAATGTTGGCGCGTACCCAGAACCGGGAGGAGACCCCGAAATTAGACGACGCCTGGCAAATTCATACTGTAGCACAAGCTTCTCACCGTTCGATTTCTATGGCCTTGATTCTACCACGTTACCACGACTTTGGTCGTGGTTGCCTTCGGCACAGGTATACCACCAAACAAATGGGGCATAAATGGGTTTCACCACAGTTACGCCTTTTGATTCTTTCGGGCGTTGGAAATCGAAACCGACCATCCTGGTGACAAGTTCGCCATGTGCCTTGGATATATTTGAATCCATTCGTTCTTGTGCGGGCGTCGCTTCTCAGATACGTGGCCCGATGCAATCTCAAAGACCGTTCGTGTGCTTACACGTGGAGTCGCCTTGCAAAACACTGGTAATCAAGTCTCCTCGACCCAAGATAAGGCAACGGTCGACGTGACGTCGCAGACGCAGCCTGCGAATCGGCTTGGTCGTCAAATAGCATTGCAGCCCGACGACTCGGGCGTCCTGCCAATAAGACAGAATTGCCCAATGTCTGCTGACCTAGCTATCTTGCACCGCCCGCACGGTCTTCTGGCAAGAATGGTCTCCTTCGAATACGAGTCCGACTCCACTAGGACTGAGATCTAAATCCAGCTCCTGGAGAGGGTTAGACGAGAGCCAAGATAGGATCCAAATCTTCAGGAAATCGAGATCTTACATTACGGCTTGCAATTGGGCTTGAAGTATTGGTATCACGCGCCCTGAGACAACCGCATATTCTGTGGTACCGACTACGGGAGATGCTCCGTCCAGAACCCATGGACATGTGCGAAAATGCTCAAGGGCACCCCGCTCTCTCCACGACAATGGAAAATGTGGAGGCGAGCACAAAGTCCGAACCGGAGTTCGGGCCTCCATCGGAAACCATAACTATCCGAGTTGTCAGGTTTGACCAGGTTGGAATTCGAGTACTCCGCGTCAACCCATGACAAGTTGTGATCAGATGGCATATTATACCCGACTCATTGATCTTTAACCTCCCTATTGAGATGTCCAACTCTCTAGCCGACGAGAAGGCCCGCGCTCACAACAACCAGGTCGCCTCTCCCTAAGCCGATGTAGAGAAGCGTATCGTTCTCAAGCAAGACCTGTCAATCGTGCTCTAATCTGAGGTGGATAGATTGGAGAAGGTCAGATCGTCACAAATCCGAGCTCGGACTCCAACTTAAGCCGTCCACTTTTTCTCCAGGGCGAGGAAGATCGGCGTGCGGAGAACAGTCTGCATGCTTGCGAGGAGACGACAAGTGCTCCGGATTCGGACCTTATACCCATATATTAATAGCCAAGTGCCTCGTGGCGAGGCCACGTAATGGCGAAAGCAGTATAATATAAAGCATCCACAGCGACGGAATCGAATAACTTTGACTGTCATTGACTTGATTGGTGGAAAACCCGGTTGAAAGAAAAGCCATCTCAACGTTCGCTCTAGCTATGGACGCTGAAAGCGCTGACCAAGTCTCCACCCCCGTGACAATTATGCGCGGTGGGAGTAGCAAAGCCGTCTTCCTGCACGAGCGAGACATTCCTGGTCCAGGGGTCAAGCGTGACAGGCTCCTCAAACGCATCATGGGCACGCCCGACCCTTTGCAGATTGATGGGCTTGGAGGCACAAAGGCAGTCACATCGAAGATGGCGGTGATTTCAGCCTCGAAGAGACCGGATGCGGATGTTGATTACCAATTCGTGCAGGTCGCCGTGTCGGACGACGATATTCGCTACGATGCCAACTGTGGAAACATCTCGTCGGCCGTGGGACCCTGGGCCATTGATGAAGGCCTCATCAAAGGGTTTCGGGAAGGGAGGGTCCCACCCATCGCGCCAGAAATGTCGAAAGGCAAAAGTCACGTCAACGGGACGGCTACCCAGACTTCAAGCAACAAGATGTCACGATACCAGGAGATCAGGATCCATAATACCGGGACTGGGAAGAACATGATCGCACATGTGCCGGTAAACGCAGCGGGGAAGAGTGTGTCAGCAGGCACGTTCAATATCGCGGGTGTTCCGGGCTCGGGAGCTCCAATCATGCTCGACTATCGCGAGACAATCGGTGCGGCCAGGAATAGCGGACTCTTGCCCTCGGGGAATGCCATTGACGAGGTGACAATGAGTGACGGGCGGAAGGTCAAGTTCACAATTTGCGACGTCGGGAACATCTGTGTGTTCGCCTCGGCAGGGGATTTCGACATCACGGGTCATGAATCTGCGGCAGAGTTGACGGCCAAGAAACCACTGATCGAGGCAACCAGGGAACTGCGTGGGCGGGCGGCACAGGCGATCGGCATGTGTCAAGATTGGGCGAAGGTGGATGAACAGTCTCCTTTCATGCCCATGCCGGTGCTGGTCGCAAAGCCACCGCGTCAATATCCCGAAGCGCATGTCTCAGGCCGTTTGTTCTTGGACAACATGTGTCATGAGAGCATGGCAGGGACTGGATCCGTATGTTTTGCGGCGTGCAGTCGAATTCGAGGTTCCGTGGTCTCTGAAATTGTGGGATCAAAAGCAATCAGGGAAGGCATTTTCAAGATCGCACACCCGCTGGGCATTATGCCTGTCGCCGTTGAGTCCGAGCAAGGTTCGACGGGTCTTCCAGAGTTTCTGACACTCTCTTTCATCAGGACTGCCCGAAGACTGATGGACGGTCGCGCCTATGTTCCGTCGCATCTATTGGAGGAGTAATCGCAACTCGATGGCATACTCTCCCAAACAGAACAAAGACCTCTTTCGAATGATAAGAAACCTCGGGAGTGAATGGGTCTTTACAGAGTCGGCGTTGAACCCTTTCCCAGGTTGTCGCATGACGCTTGGCTGCCCCGAGATTTATGGTTTGCGATGAAAGGCCCGAAATCCGAGTTCGTACTTTGGAGCTCGCCTCCACATTTTCCGTTATTGCGCGGAGAGAGAGGGGGTGCCTTTGCGCATTTTCGCAGAAGTCCATAGGCTCCAGAGGGAACAATTCCCGTAATTCGGTACTTACAGAATCCCCAATCAGTGCCTGAGCGGGAAGGCAGGACGGGTGTGGTCTGGGACCCGGAGAGGCAACCTTGTGTTGCAACAGGCGTGCAAGGAATGTTCACTTTCTCCCTGATAGCACCGAAGGAATCTTTTCAGAATGATGATTTGTGTTATTCCACTCTACCATTATATTACACTATTTCTATATATTTCCAATCCTTGCGCATGAGAGTTTTTGCAACTTCTCCATTCATGACGCCTCGAATGTAAGCCTGGCCTAGGTTTCGATACTGGTGGCGCCCACTTGACGGAAGATGTACGGCGCTCTTGCACCTTTGACAAGCATTATCTTGTCTGTTGGCCTGCATGCCGAGCTGGCGAAACCAATGGACGGCTGGCGCTGCGTTTGACGATCTCCTGAGCGGACCAGTGCGAATATCAAACAGAATGGCATCAAATCTCCGCGCAGATATTCCAGGAACCGAGGGCGAGGGAAGCAGCGGACAACTTGCTGAACCAGCTGCTCGGTGGGAGAGATCCTCAGAACTCGGTTCTTGAACTTCCCATACGCATCCGGTTTCCCGCTGAATACTCTGAAAGCGAATTCAGCCACGTTTTCGTAGTATGAAATTTGGGTCCATTGGCTGAATGCGCCATGAGAGCTAAATGCATGGATTACAGAACCGTGCATTCTATCCAACGTTTCTGGTCCGAATATAGCCATGTCGCGTGGCTCGCGGAACATGTCCTTCTTATCGTCGAAGGAATCGCAGAAAAGAAGGTCCACAATATCACTCTCAGGGTGTAAGGTGTTGATTGAAAGCTCCTCTAGGTAGTATGGTCTGCTCAGTAGAAAGTCATCAATGAATGCCGCGAGATCTCGTAGAAGAAAATTTCCACCTTTGAAAGTTGCTGAGCGAAAGTCAATGCTGTTCAGGTGGTAGGCTTCGATCACTAAATGACCATTAGAGCAGTGGCTTGGTGATATTCTGTTTCCTCCAGCGTTAAAACGAGTGTCTGTCTCAAAATTAAAGTCGGGTATCGATCTATCCCACAGTGGCACCCAGCTGGGTCCGAATCTGTTCTCTGGTTTGTAATGGCTCATAGACAGGATTCTGGTAGCGTAGCCTCTTTCCGCGAAAATTCGAGTGTATAAATTGTATACATCTTCGACCGAAAGTACGTAATCGGGAGATGGGAAACTTTTGCCATCGTCTGCGATGTTGATAAGTGCAAAGATCTTGTCTCTAGGGTCCGTGGTTCGAAGATCGCGTGTATGTCGCAGAAGAGAAAGAAGTCTGCGGTCTTCAGATATTGTTAGGAGACTCATGAACTTTGTAAATCGACCCAGATCCTGGGCTTTCGCTAGTGCTGAAGTGCTCCGAAACGGTTGCCATAGCCGGCTCCAGGCATTGAGGTCGGGCAAGTTATCAGGGGTACGGTGAATTTTCTCGTTGGCTGCACGGTTAGATGCGCTACCTGCAGTTATAGGAATTTCGTTGGCCAGGGCTTCAATGATACCCCAAGATAGCCTCTTTGAACCGATCAGACATGTCGTCTTTGTACTGAAAAATATCTCCTGCAGAACCCAGGTACGAGTGAAATATGACTCTTGGAATATGTAGTCAATACAGCGTTGCCATGGTCGTCGTTGACCAGGGAAGGCGTTGTGATCGTTCAATTTCAAAAATTCCTTGAGGTTCCAGGTTGATTGCGTCCGGCGTAACTGAGCCACCCATCTCACCAGCCAATCCACGTCTTCATCGTGGCCCGTGCCTTCCCCAAGATAGACGAAGCATTCAGTGCCGCCAGCGTAGATGTCATTCATTCGAGAGACTTGTTGATTGCGTTCGCTGGTATCCCTTTGATTGATGCACACCTGATCGACCCAAACCCGCCGAAAATTCAATGCGCGGACGCGCCGTAGAGCCTTGTCTACGGCTGACGGAATGCGACACGTTTGGCCGTTCAGCTCCATCTCAACAAGGCCATCCTGATGATTCCAAGCATACGAAATGGTTGCGTATGGATCGCTCCGAGGCTCGTCAAAGCTAGCAAGTTCAAGATGCCCCCTCAAGCGTGTATCATGCTGCTCGCTTGGGCGAATAAATAAAATGCGAAACTCATTGCTGGAAGTCGGAAGGGCGCTGTACAGGTCACAGAGAGAGTCGCTCATACTTTCTCAACCATAGGCCGAAACCTGAAAAGCTGTCAAGGCTGGTGTTGCAATGCTGATGATGCGCGGCCAGGCAATTGTTATACACCTGAAGCAGGACAACGGCTCAGCGGCTCGAAGTATTAGTCTCGTGACCGCCTGGGCCTTTTACAACCAAACGCCTCGCTTGGCAACCAAAGGTCTCCCTGAGATGGAAACCAAAAGGCTCCCTAGGTTGGCAACTAAAGGCCTCCATTGGCAATTTGAAGGCTGAATGAGGGGAAGCTTGGACCCTCGGCTCGCTTTCCTCAGCCTGATCATACGCTTCCTGCACTGTGTCTTGTCAACACTCACATGCTGTACTCGCCAGATAGACGCTGGACTCTGATTAGACTCGAGAGAATTGTGGGTTTAAATTCGTCGCGGCACAATGTGGTATCCACTTTAGCTCCCAGGCACTTGCCAGGCTAGAATCTCCTTGTGACGGAATTAGATACTAGGTATATAAATTCGTCAAGTTTGGGGTCAAGTCATCACACCTGTAGTTGGCGATTTGCCCCTCGATGGAGCCGTGGCAAGCTGGAGGACGAGTCGACTTCGGCAAAAAGTTTTCACCGGAACCGGTTCAAATGACAACATTATTCTACATTGTGTGTTTCCACGTACTCGGTACTGTACCGAGTAATTTGGCTACCTACCTACCTAGGTAGGTAGAGACCTACTAGGGTACCGAACTCGCTACCTAGCGGGCTCGATACCCAGGGCTGAGGACTCCAGGAGTGTCACGCTTAACTACCTACCTAGGTACCTGCGGGAGCATACTTATCCAGTAAAGCGCTCTTAAAATGACCCGTCTCGCGCTCTTGCCTGTCTTTGACTACCTAGGTATCTAGGTACCTACCTACTAGGAAGGTAGTAGCCAAGCAGGAACACCATTCCGCACAGCTCTACCTGGTAATATGGGGACGACCTCTTTCTTTCTCCCGGACCAGGCTTCAGATTTCGAAAAGTATCTCCTGGTGAGACGCATGGTCACCTCGTTTCCCCAAGCAGAAGGCCGCAGCGGAAAATACATGGCGCAGCTTGAAATCATGCCACCGTCCCACCCAGCCATTCATCATCATGTCATCACGCGTTTGTGTAGCAACCCAAGGCGCCACGAACTGGCACGTTCCGAAATCCTAGCTAACCACTGATAACAAAGCCATCCGAACTACAAGGTACTACGCTGCCGACCCATCACATCTTGTTCGGAGCCAATTCGTCTGAAACATCTTGCTACCCGAGTGATTTTGCAGGGCTCCTTTCTGCACATGAGACCTTAACATGTCTGGCACAGTCTGCTACTTAATGTAATGGACGCCCACGACCTCGTCGACGTTACGGCGCCGCCCTCCAACAACGATTGCTGTCGTCAATATGACAGGTTCATTTGAGCAACCTGAAAAGATCATGGAGGAGCCGCCGTTTGTCGAGACCGGCTTCCAGCGACTGAGACATCTGACATGGGTAGGTTTTTCGGAGACCATGAGAATCAACAATGACCACAGGTCAGTCTCGCTAGCTTTATGCTGACTGACTTCGTCTACCAGGCATGGTTCACCTTCCCAATGGCTACGGGCGGCATGGCCATGCTCCTGTCGCCCAAGAACCAACCACACACCTTCAACGGCCTAGAGACGATCGGGGAAATCGTCTACATCTGCGACCTGTTCATCTTCACGGTCATCGTCACGGCCATCACATACCGGTTCATACGGTGGCCCGGCACGCTCAAGGCGAGTCTAGTGCACCCGACCGAGTCACTCTTCTTCGGCACCTCGTTCCTCTCGCTGGCTAGCATCATTGCGGGCATGGCTCTGTACGGCATCGAGCACACGGGCCATTGGCTGGTGGTGACGTACCGCGTTCTCTTCTGGCTGTATTTCTGCTGCACCTTCATCGCCGCCGTCGGGCTGTACTGCATGCTCTTTACCAACCCGCGACTCAAGATCCAGGATATGACGCCCGCATGGGATCTGCCCATGTTTCCATTCATGCTTACGGGGACCATCGCCGCCTCGGGGATCGAGTACCAGCCTCACGCGGCCGCCATGCCCATGCTCTTCGCGGGACTGACGGCGCAGGGGTTGGGGATGCTCATCTCGATGGGCATGTACGCCAGCTACGTGCGGCGGATGATCAACTACGGCTTCCCGTCGCCCGAGTCGCGCCCGGGCATGTTCATCGCCGTGGGCCCGCCGAGCTTCACGGCGCTGGCCATCATCGGGCTCGCGGACCACTGGCCGCGCAACGGGTACGCCTACTTTGACGGGCCCGACGCCATCACGCAACAAGTCGTGCGCATCCTGGCCCTGCTGACCGCCGTCTTCATCTGGTCCCTGTCGCTGTGGTTCTGGGCCATCGGCGTCGTCTCCTGCCTCGCCGTCCGCCGCACCTTCCGCTTCCACCTCAACTGGTGGGCCTTTGTCTTCCCAAACGTCGGCTTCACCCTCGCCACCATCAACATCGGCAAATCCCTCCACAGCAACCCCGTCCTCTGGGTCGGCTCCGTCATGACCCTCCTCATGATCCTCCTCTACGTCTACGTCCTGTGTAACCACGCCCGCGCCGTTTGGCGCAAGGACGTCCTCTACGCCGGCAAGGACGAGGACCACTACCACAAGGAGCGCATGGAGAAGATTGAACGCGAACGCCTCGCTGGGCCCGATCCAGATCCCGAGAAATGTAATTGTGCCACAACCACGGGGCGGTAGATGACTTTAAAAACGTTTTGTTACTTTTACAACTAGATTTGATAGAATTATACTTTCTACGTAGATAGATCATGATTAGATCAATAATAGATAGACAGACGGACGGCTTGTGAACGTCTCGTATATGTTCTTGGCGATTACTGTGCACGACACTCTTAAGGGTGAGCAATGGCGGTCGGAGGTCATGTTGGCTTTGAAGATTAGTATTCACTTCGAGCGCATCAGATTTGTGGACGTTCGAATATGTTCCTCGCTTTGCAGCACATGCATGATACTTTTTAGAGCGAGCGAGGACGACGAAAGAGAATCTGCAGAACGAAAATAAACGTGCGAATATACTGTGCAGCCAGACAGTCCTTCCCTCCATTCCTTGTCCAAGCTAAAGGAGGGACAGATGCCATAATATACAATAAACCACCTGCGCAGCCTGCCAGCCTGCCCCGGCCCATGGCCATCCAACCACTACACAGAAAGGCATCTCTCATTAACCCCCAGTCAGGCCTGACCATCCCATGCACCTTTCCTGCCCGTTCGCAATGCGTCCTAGACTCGCCAGTCCTGTCGTTGTCGCGTCCGCAGCTCTGCTGGACGTTACGAAATATGCCTAAGCCTTCTTCTGCTGGCTCCTGGTGCGAGACCCGATGCCGTCTGCTGAGCGAGGAGTCGGCTGCTTCTTCTGCTTGGCGGACGCGCCCTCAGCCTTCTTAGGTCGGCCGGCCTTCTTCTTGTTGTCGTTTGCGGGCTTTGTCTCTTCTTCCATCTCCGCATTCTTCGTCTCCTCTTCCTTCTTCTCCTCGGCTTTCTTCGGGGCGGCACCCTTCTTCGGCGCCGGTTCCTTCTTCTGCTTCTTAGCGGCTGGCTCTTTGGCCTTTACAGTCTTGCCATCGGCATTCTCCTCAAGAGGGCCCGCTTCGTCTTGCTTGTTGTCTTCTTCCTTCTCGTCCTTCTCTACGTCGTCGTGCTTCCTCTTTTCGCCATTCTTGGTCTCGGCCTCTTCTTTGGATTCCTCCTTTTTGTCGTCGGCTTCGGCGGCGCCGGCGTCGCCATTGGCTTTCTCCTCGACGTTGAGCTCAGAGGCTTTCTTGACCACGTCGTTGCCGGACCGCTCAATGTGGACGGCGGGATTGTTTGGCTCTGCGTTCTTCTTGACCTTGTTGCCGCGCTTGGAGGTGATGGCGACTTCGCCTTCGGTCTTCTTCTCAGCGACGGTGCCTCCAGGTTGGCCTCCGCCCCAGTTCCATGTAACTGCGACGAGATTGGTCAGCACCTTGTGTGGTCACGAACGTATAGTGCACATATCACATTATTTCACATTGTGCAGAAGGCAAGTAAGTCGCGCGCTCTAAGCGACCACTGCACTATCTGTGCGCAGGTGCTTGGGGTTGTTGCTGGTGCTCAGTGCGGTGGGTGTTCGTACCTTTGTCCCCTTTCTCAGGTTCTTCGCCGGGCATGGTGACGTCAGCGATAGTGACGGTCCGAGTAACTCAATGGGGCCGTGTTGGGATTGAAAGAAACGAGGGTAAATTGATCGCCAAAGCTTCGCGACCAGAATGCAGGGTGTTTGGAGATGGAAATGGGGGATGGAGGAGGAGTGAGAGGAGGATAGAGAAGTGCAGGGAAAGAGGAGGTGTCGAGGTCAGCTCGAGGGGGAATGCGCAGGGACGCATTATTGCCTGCGACACGGCCCATCAGCGCCCAGGACAAAAGCCAGTGGTTGCGCCAGTGGTTGCTGTGGGCGAGCTGTTGGTTCAACTTGGTTCGACTTGTTGCGGGCTTCTAGGCTCGTAAGCGAAAGCCTAGTGAGGCCCCCTCTTGGTGGCTCTGACGCCCCAGCCTCCCCCAATGAGCCCCCATACACCCACCAGAGATTCAGAGGAGCTGCGGCAGCCCATGCTGGCGCGCAGGCCGGGGCAGAAGCTCAGGGAGCTGGCTGCGTCTTGTTTCAGGGAGGCCGCTCCAAGCCAACACAACATGTGCCAAATTAAACGCCCATGGTCGCAAACCACTGCAGGAAGCTTCCATTTCGGTTCGCAGGCAGCGTGCATCCGTTGCATAACAACCAGTGGCTTGCTTTAGCTTGTGAGAAAATCAAGATGTGCATCTGAGGTTCCCCCAAGCCACGTCTTTGCTCCAAGGCTTGCTTGAACTTTGCTGCGTGTCGACTCTGCCGGGCAGATTGTGACTAGCTAGCAAGGTTGCAGCCAGTCACACAGACCTAGTTTGAGGTGCAATGGATGGTTTGCCTGAGGCACAAGTGCTAGAATCTTGTACATTGTGCCAAAGGATTATGGTTGCTTAAGACGCTCAATCTGAGCTCCGCAGCATGAATTCATTGTCTGCCAGCAACTGTTGGACAGGAGAAAAACAAAGTGAGGGAAAATATCGAGAAGCTGAATACGAAATACACACAAGGGGCATAAATTACCCGGAAGCCGAGCTGCATTTTCCGAACTGTGGCTCGTAGCTTATTGTGGCAGTTACGATCATCGAAATTAAATCGTGAACAGCCTGAGGCAGGCCACCTAGCGACTTAATCTCCGCTCAACACATCGAGGACGAAACAGCGGCGAGAAATAATTGTACAAGCTACCTGGACATTGCTATCCTCCTCCTCACCCGTTGTGGTTACCCGATCGTCCAAAAAACCTGTTGCCCCTCTTTAATCATCTATGGGTTTGGCCCACCACGGATTTGGCTGGTGCCATCCTCTGGTCCTGGAAGTCCTTCCTCGTCACCCGGCTCACGATATGCCCCCGGTTTAGCCGCTCCACGTGTGCGCTCGTCGATGATGTTGCTTTGGTCAATGGCATCGGCGTCGTCACGAGCTGTGCTCCAAGGTCAGCTTCGCGCATCCCGAACATGCGATTATTACATCACAACGAAGTCGATGTCGTGAACATTTGAGACACTCACCCAGCTGCTCGTCCGAATCAGCCTTGTTGGCATCAATGGGATCCTCCACTGTAGCGTCATCACTTTGCACAGGGATGTGGCTCTGGCCAGTGCGCGACTTGTAGTCGTTTTGCATCGTGTCAGCAGTGGTGCTGCCTTCAAGACCCTCGCCGGTGGGTTGGTATTCGTCTCCTGGAGCTGCCGACATGTTGAGATGGAATGAGGTGAATTGTTACTGCTGATGTCGATGAATGCAGAGATGTGTGTAAGTGGTGTATTTACTAGATCAAAGAGACCAGGTCGTCGGAAACGTTCGAACCGGGTTTATATGCTTCCCATGGCGCCATTGAAAGGGCCTCCTCACAACATCGATGTCAGAGCACCATTGCCATTTCTCTGTCGTCATGACAGCGGGACGTTTCGCACCCTTCATGCTTAGATCTGGCAGTCTACCGATAGAGTCGTGAGGTCATGAAGCCAGATCGCTATCAGTTGTCTTGAGAACAGTGACGAAAGGGCCGGGCTGAGGAAACTGGGGGGATCCGATGAACCCAATCGTTATGATCCCACGAGGACCTGGAAGACTCCGGAAGCAGCTGTCTAGTCCAGGTACGATCTCGACTAGAGTGGTTCTCCTTGCAGGAACGAAAGGGGAGCAAGGCGCAAGGCTGTGGATCTGTAACCAATCATGGTTCAACAGCTGGATCAAGCAAAGTCGTAGACGTCAAGACTTCGGATACCCCATGCTTCGCTTTGACAGACTTGTCGATCTGGCGTCCAAGTTCCAGATAGGCGATACATTTTAGGACAAAGAACATCGAGATCTTTCGTAGTCAGGGGTACCAGCTGCGGAGGCGCATTCCGGGCCATTGCGTATGAATGAGCTCGGTCTGAAATCTTGTCCGAAAGCTCGACGTCAGGTAGGGTGGTGTGGCAGGATGCCTTGCATAATGCCGTGCAAAGAAGAAGGTCAACTCTGCTTGTGGATAGGGCATGGGTGTGGTGATAGCTTGCTCATTACAAGCAGATATTAAAAGCTGGTATCGTCTTGAAAATGATGACTTGACATGGGGTGTCGAGATCTGCTCGAGGAAAAAGGGCTGAAAGATTCTCTAGAGGTTCGCATAGGTAACTTACTACTTATTCCACTTGCTGGCGCGGAAGAGCCGCCATGTCGTCGATCACGACAAAATCCAGGCTTGGAAATGGTCGGTCCAACGCATCTGACAACGAATTTCTTTTGGCCTTCTAGCTTCGCTTGCAGCATAACCCTAGTCAGTACTCGGTACTTATCAGTGTTTTGGCACCATTGGCATTATTCCTGTTGACTAAACTCTGGGGAAACATCCCCCCCCCGAAGTGCACGATTTTGTGGAGGCGTGGCGCCGTGGAGTAGCGGGTGATCCCCGGACCAAGGGAGTTTTTAGCAATGATAAGTGATCAGAATGTAGAGGACTTAGAAATATAACTCCTCCCAAGAACTCAGTCCCTTTCAAAGAGGCACTCTCTGCCAACTCACCTTTTCTGGTTCACGCAACGGACCGACCGGGCACGTCATTGTCGACTTCTACAAGGCCTCAAACTGTCCCATGCCCGGCTCGTCACTTTGGCTCATCGCCGGCAAAGACGATGAGCCATTCAACAAATCCCTGAAGGAACTGATCGGTAGCACCCTACCATCCAACTTCCCACACGCGCCTAAGCGCAATTTCATCCCACACGTGACGATCACCTCGGATATTGATCCTTCAAAGACATACGCATCATCCTCGTCGCCGCAGGAGTGGCTGGACGGCCTTTCTCTGCCCGAGTTCAAAAAGGAGTCGAACGAGGTCAACGTCGAGCTCGAGCAACTCGAAGCCGGAGAGCCCTTCTTCAAGAAGGTGACCCTTCGCGCCGCCAAAGATGCCAACTTGCTCAAACTGGCCGCGGCGTGCAGACAGCAGGGACTTGTGTTGTCCGAGGGCGACGCCAAGAGTTGGGCGGAGAATGATTATCTCCCGCACTTGAGCCTGTTCTACGGCGACATCCCCCAGAGCGAGGTGCAGAAGAAGATTGGTTTGATCGAGCTGCAGCTGGGCTTTGAGTTTGGGAGTCTCTTCGATTGCTGCGGTGGCACCTTGGCCATGGGCGCGAAGCTCGTGCTCGTGGATACCAGCAAATCAATCGAGGACTGGACACCGATTGCGGAAAGAGACTGTCCCTGGGTGATGTGGAAGATGGCCAAAGGTCTCCTGTAATGGTCTGTCTGTCTGCTCCATACGGGTCTGATATGCCTCTACGCCAGATCCCGGACGCGGTAGGGTCTATGAGTTATTCGATTGGTGTATTTGCTGAGGCAACGCTCGCAACTGTTGCTCCTTGCTTATATATATATCATAATGTGGTACGATCTAGCACGTTCTAACGCCAAATCGCTTTATGCGGCGGTTGACTCTGATTATATCTGAAGCAATCAACGGCAGCACCTATCGCCTAGTGAGCCTTTGCTGATTACAAGGCAGTCCACATGAGGGGAGTTTGGCTAGTGGGCTAAACTCTGGCCTCCTGCAACTAGTATCGACGCAGGAACCTTGAAACCCCCGGAGATTCTGACTCTCCCCAGGTTTTGTCAGATATGTCCTTGTCAGCAGCAGATCGCACCAACCACACGGCCCGCTACCTGCATCAGGATCTTCCCACCATTTCCCAAATCAGTGTTCTTGTTCGGAAGGACAAGTAGTGCACTCAACCTCGGGTGGTGGTTGTGTCCATTCACTACCGCAGCTGTCGAGAGCAGTCCGATCAGTGTAATCACAACAGCTCGGTTGCCATGTCTCATAAGTATCAAGATTTGTTTCTTCGCAAACCTCACCACTACACATCAGGCCGCCGCTGCCATAGATCTCACAACCATGGCGTCTGCACAGGTTCATCAGCTGCTCATCGATGTCAAGTCATGTATACAGCTCGCAAGGTCAGTCGCCACGGCTTTGCTTGTGCTGGCATTTGTCGGTCTCACGGTCCTATTCATCTACCGACTCTACTTTCACCCGCTCGCACGTTACCCAGGGCCCTGGTACATGAAAGTCACTCCGTTGTATGACTTTTACATCGGTGTGCGGGAACGCAGACATCTTCACTTCCAATATCTGCATGAGAAATATGGTACCCTTTGTCTCCAAATTGGGAGGATGAGGCGATGAACTTGCTGATATTCTTTGGTCAGGTCCTGTGGTTCGTTACAGCCCGAACTCTTTGGCCTTCAACGAACCTCAGGCCTTTCGAGGTGAGACCGGAATACTCTTGGCCTCAACGGTGGTAGAAAACGACCTGAGACCGTGCAGATATCTATGGATTCAAGCGTAATTTTCGAAAAGCAGATGCAACGACCGTCGGCGCCTCCAGCGACCCGGACCACCGAAACACATTCAGCGAGCCACTAACGGAGAAGGCCATGAAGAAAAGACGGATCCTCTCACAGGGGTTCTCGGAGTCTGCGTTGAGAGATGCTGAAGGTTGGCCACTGCCGTCTGTAAGGATCTGATGGCTAATTGAGTTGCTGATTTTTGATAGAATTCATGATTGAAAAGATAGACATCCTTTGCAAACAGCTGATCAGCCCCTCCACAGAAAAGGCCAAAGATATGTCGCTGTGGTTGAATTACCTAGCCTACGATATCATGGGCGAGGTTGTCTTCGGAAAGAGCTTCGACATGTTGACCAACCCTTCCTTACGATATGTGTTGGATCTGATCGACTCCATGGTGTTTTCCACGTTGCTGGTAAGACATCTATAACTCACTGCACGAGCCCCAATTACTCACTTCCAGCCAGGGAGGCATCGTGCCTTGGATCTATACTAGTGGCTTGATCAACATCCTCTTTCCCCGATTGTCGCGCACACGGACCAAGTTCATAGAGTATGTGTCCGGTGTTGTGGCAAACAGAATCGCCGCCGAAGACACCCCTGCTGCGGTGGGAAGACGCAAAGACTTTTTCCATCATGTAATGTTTTGGAAATTCCAGCTCCCGGATCCAGACACGTCAACAGGCTGACAAGGAAACTTAGCTTCTCAATGCCAAAGATACAGAAACCGGCAAGCCGCTGCCGATCGAGTTCCTCTTCTCGGAGGGAGTGTTGCTGGTCGTGGGCGGGAGCGACACCAGTTCTACAGGTGAGGTTACGCTGATAATACAAAGCTGAATCCCCCCGGTTCGGACATGGTTCTGACTTAGTTACAACCACTCAAATAGGCATGGCCGCCACACTTTTCTACCTGCTCAAATACCCCGACGCCATGGCCAAACTGCGCCATGAACTCGACAGCAAGTTCAGCAGCGTCGATGAGATCAAATCTGGCCCACAGCTGACCAGCTGTGTCTATTTACGGGCCTGTGTCGACGAGGCGCTGCGCATGGCACCCCCAGGCCCTGGGATTCTGCCGAGGACGGCTTTGAAGGTGATTGAGGCTCTGTTCTCTCGCTTGCGAGTCCAGACTAGCTAGCAAACTCATTGAGGGGCTCCTACTGACTGACTGTCAATCGATCGAAACAGGGCGGTGAAACTGTGAATGGCGAATATATCCCAGAAGGCGTAAGACAGGCGTCCTTCCGCAGCCATCCGTCTGCACATAAATTGACAAAAGGTCTTACGATAGATTGACGTCGGGGTCGGCTGGTGGGCTCTCGCCTACAACGGAAAATATTTCCCCGATCCAGAGACGTTCCGGCCTGAGCGATACCTCGCGAGTACCGACGACGAAGGCGCAGGTGCGGGTGCGGACGACGACACCACGTCCACCACGGCGTCAGGGCCCAAGGACTGCTACTGGGCGTTTTCAATGGGGCCCCGCAAGTGTCCCGGCATCAAGATGGCGTATTTGGAGATATACCTCACGATCGCGAGGCTGGCTTATCTTTTTGACATGCGTCCCGAGAGGCCAGGGGAGATGGATGGGAATTTTGAGCTGTTGGATCATTTTAGTAAGTGGGAAATGGTACCCCTGGTGTCCGCAGAGGCGATTGACGAGTGGCCAGATGTCAAGAAGTCGGGACCGACGGTGTCGTTCACACTGCGTAAGGGGAGAGAACTCTAGGTTATTACCCGACGAGGTGTTGAGGAGCCGTAATTGACCTATTCCATCTCGTTCAGACTCATCTAGCCCGCACAGCAGCTGACGATTGCTTGCTTGCTGCTCAATGTTGTTTGCTGTGCCTGCGGAAATGCCAGAATGGAAATCACTCACTAGTCCTCAATACGGAGTCTCCATATTCTCAGATCCTTCCGAAAGTCACCACTTCTCCATGCATCGATTACTCGCAACCAATCCTCGTACCCTTCCGCCCACAGGCCTCCCCTTGCTAGTTTCTTGAGGGCTTCCGGTCCCGAAGCCGCGGGTTTTTAGAGGTCGCCTTCGGCGTTGAAATAGCTGGGTGGACAGTTGGACATGGCGATGAATGCCGCTGCGCCAGAGACAATCCGTTGGGTCCAACCGGTCTGGGCCTCGACAGTTGGCTCGATGGTGAAGGCGAACTTCTTGGTGCCAGGACCCTGTCCAGCGCCGCCGCTTTCCTTTCCGACCCCCCTGGCGACCTCTGTAATGATAAAGGCAATGTGCTGCGCCAGCTCGTCGACCGTGGCATTCTGTTTAAGAGTGACGCCGGTTTGCGGAAGACCTAGCCAAAACAGGTCGGGGAAGCCGTTCGCGTCCGTTGAAACACATACAGGTGTTTCGCCCACTTTGCGAGCTCAGCCTCTTACCCTAGAGTATTACTCTTTGGATCTCCTGACGATATACCCCTCAATCATCGCGCGCAGATGGCCACCGACAAGTTCAGGACCTAGCCTTGTTTTCACATTCTGCATTGCCACCAAGTGTTTGCGCTGCGCGGCCTGTCGGAAGGCATGAGATACATACTCATAGCACCCAAAATCGGTGAGTCTAGGTAGGCAGGTACCTAGGTATGCAACATCTGACTTAGAAGAGAGTGGCTTTCACCTTGTGTCAATCGGCTGAAACTTTGCTGCCATTGGCATCGCTCTCGCTCACTCTCAGTTTGGCCTTAGGGAGTCTTTCTAGGAATTCTGGGGGCCACTGTATGTCAACTCAATACCTGTCAAATATTCCAGGTTACTTCGTACCGTCGACCAATTCAGCTGATCACATGACTGCGCGTTTGGAAGGCATGGACGCGTCTGCGGGGAAACTCATCGCAGCCACTCCAGCTTCAATTGCGCCAGACAAATCAACAGAAGAACGCAACATCAGGCCGAGCATCTTTTTGCTGTGCTGCATTGCCACGGATCGCAGCATCCATGCATGAATCCGCATCGTGCTTTTTCTTGCTGTAGAAATGGCTGAAGATTGTGCAAATCCGCTGTTGGCGGTATGGCTGAAGGAATGGATGGATGAAGCCAAGGAAAGGAATAGCAAAGGTTATACTGTGTATTCCGGCCTCCCCTCTGACATTACGTGCGGCCGTGCTAATGAGCCCAGTTATAAAAAAGCCTATCAATCCATCAAAGCGTGCCCCTTGACGTTCAGCCACCCCTCCGAAGCTCAACAGCTCAACGGCCTCGGCCCAAAACTATGCGACCGACTTACGGAGAAGCTCAAACAGCACTGCGAGCAAAATGGACTACCTATGCCCAAGAAGAAACGCAAGAGGAATCACACATCGGAAGACTTGCCATCAGATGCGGCGCAGCCAGCCGAAGCTGAACACTCCTCGCCAGTCCGACGGAAGCGGAAGGCCCAACCATACGTTCCAAAATACAGATCTGGCGCTTATGGATTGATAGTGGCTCTCGGCACCTTGGACCGAGAAAGCAATCAGGCTATCCCGAAGCCTGACCTGATCGAACTGGCACAACCTCATTGCGATGCGAGCTACACTATCCCGAGTGATCCTACCAAGTTCTTCACGGCGTGGAAGTCTATGCAAACATTGGAATCAAAAGAGCTTGTCTGTACCAAAGGTCATCCGACCAAAAGATATTACTTGTCCGACGAAGGTTGGGAGGTTGCAGAAGGCATCCAGGCAAGCGCCGACGGTCGGCCTGTTGCTGCAAATAAAACGAAGCAGGGGAAAGCCGCACCAATTCGTGGCGTGAAAGGTTCAAGGTCGGTCACACCAGAACCTTCAAAGAAACCTTCAGCTTCAGTTGCTCCACCGCAGTACAGTCGACCTAGTGGCTCACTAGCTCATAGAGCGGTTGATCACTTAGAGGTTGTATCGATTTCCGAGAACGACTGGCCTGAGTCGGAACCAGAGATGACGCTTGTCCGCTCCAGGAGCGGAGTGCTTAGTGGAAGACCTACAACTTCCAGCTCCTCTCTAGAAGACACCATTATCCTGCCGGCAGGAAGCTTTGAGGTGAAAATGGTGCTTGATATGCGTGAAGTCCGCACCACGACCGACCGAGATTACATATCTGGGGAGCTGAAAAAGCTTGGTGTATCTCCAATTATCCGCCCCCTCCCACTAGGCGATGTCTTGTGGGTTGCAGAAGTAAATCCGCTCTACGCTAACAGTCTCAAGGCAGCAGTTGTTGGTGACGAAGCTGACGAGAAAGTGGAAATCGTTTTGGAACACATTCTAGAGCGCAAAAGGCTCGACGACTTGATCAGCAGCATCAAAGACGGACGCTTTCACGAACAGAAATTTCGGCTGCACAGGTCAGGGATCAAGAACGTGACTTACCTCATTGAGGAGTACTCGATCTCTTCAGAAAGAAGTGAAAAGTATGGTGATGCGCTGGAAAGTGCCGTCGCCAGTATGCAAGTGGTTGACAACTTCTTCGTCAAGCAAACAACAAAGCTGGATGATACGATTCGTTATCTTGCCAGAATGACCACAACCCTGAAGGGACTGTACGAAAGCAAGGACATCAACGTCATTCCCGCTCAGAGCTTCGAGGCTGAGGCTGTGTCATTGTTGTTGGAACGGTTCAGAAAGACTTCGCCCGGGACCGCCTTTGGCATGACATTCTCCGTATTTAGTGCCATGTGCGACAAATCGGAGAGCATGACGCTTCGAGATGTCTATCTCAAGATGTTGATGTGTACAAGAGGTGTAACTGGGGAGAAGGCGATTGAAATCCAGAAAATCTGGCCGACACCGCGTGCTCTGGCCGAAGCTTTCGAGGCGCAAGAAAAAGGAGCCGCGCGGGATGCAAGGATAAGTGATCGCCTTGGAGCTACCATTCCTCGGAAGAAGGTGGGAAAGGCATTAAGCGCCAAAATTGCAGAGATTTGGGGGTGACATTCGCGTGTCCAGATGGTGGACTACTACGAGGTTGATGACTTACGACATAATTTGGAAGTGAATGGCATATGTATACTTTCGGATCCCATACTACCTAGTATTCTATATTGAGCGCAGCCTTGGCAGAGGCATCATACAAGTACCTAAGTAGACTTGGTTTGCTGCCCCAAGCGCAAATATCGTATTCGCGCAAGAGCGGAAGCCGGCACCATGGGCGGATGGGGCACGAGACTCGACAACGATTCACGAAGCCTTTGACCAAGCAACTGCAAGCCTTGGTCGCCTTCGTTTGCCCGCATCGAATCAAGACTTGGACGAGCGACGATCAGGCCTTCCTCTACTCCATATCCCACCCCCACACGGCAAGGTGACGGAACTCGGGGGTAACTGATCGACATACGAGCAACGACTCTATTAGTACTGCGACATGGAGACCTACGTTAAGTTCTTAAAGAATGAGGGGCCCCAGCGACTGCGATTCCACTCTTTCTGTCGTCAACCACAGACCATCTTCCTCGTCACAAATCTTGAGCCAGGTGTTTCTAGATTGTCCCGAGTTTGCTCTTATTCAGCTCTCTTTGGAGACCGAGACTTAACAGAACATAGTGTGGCCAACTCAGGTTTGCGATGTGCCTTGGTCCTAGGAAAGGGCAGACGACGAAATCACAGAGAGGGGTTTCGAATCCGAAGGGCTGCCCCTCGAGAAGAAGTCAGGGCGGCTGCCCATCGCTACAACACCGATCTTAAGATCATCCAGCTATTTTCCCCTTGAGAGCGCAAGCTACTGAAAATCAAAGCTCCCTCTCCAGCGATGCTTGGAATTGAAGGCCTCAATGATGCCTCCTTCCGTGGCGATGAGCACTGGAGAAGAGCATCGAAGTGGACAGGATATGCACCATGGTTCGTGCTTGCGATTGGGCTTCTGAGCATGGCTGAGATCGCCCTTGGGGCGGTATGGATTGCATCGCTAAGCACCGACCTGAACTTGTAAGTCTCCGCGCCTTCCAGCTTCGCCCTACCTTTCTGTGGAGCAAAGACTAACATCAGACCTCCTGATAGCGGTCAGGTCATCCAACCTATCCTCATCCCTGGGCTGGCCTTCTTTAATGCGATCCCTTCTCTCCACTTACACGTGCTTGCCCGGGCCAATCCACCTCGACTGGCTCTGTGGTTTTCCACAACATTCTCAATAATCCATTTCGTCAGCTCTATCCTCTTCATGGGCGCATGTGTCGGAAATCATTCGCATGGGTCGCTGCAACGCAATGAATGTCCCTCGGCCACCGGTGGGAATGGAGATATCTGGGATGTCATGGTCGCCTTGCAGTTTATCAGTGCAGTTCTCTATGGGTTGGTCGCCGCCATGGCTTGGAGAGTCAAAAAGGCTGTCGAGGCAAGGGATGAGAGGATTGCTCAGGGCGTGGAAATGGTAAGCGAGGAAGAGAAACAGAGAAGGGAGAGCGAGGCGAGGGAGAGGTGGAAATACCTCTCTGCAGGTTGAGCAGAGGAATTTCTTGCCGGGTCGCGGATCCCGGTCTTGCAGCGGAAACCTGTATATCAAACCGGTTCACGATACACATGATGACAGCACAAGAGTCGGCGGGATATTCGATGTTGCAGTCTGTTTTATGACCAGAAACTGTTTCGGTGGACATAGACGAGGAACCAGAACACTGAATGAGAATTACGACAGCCACAAATGGGCGAGCGTATCAGACCACTTAGCGCCAAAGAGACTATGTACTATAGAAGTTCTCTGGGGGGAGAAGAATCTTGCGGATGATGAGTAGCGACTTCGCTCCAAATCAAGACCCAAGAGCATGCAGCTATACTCGATATCACCTCGTACCGGGTACAGAGTACGAGGTACCTAGCTCACTAGGTACATAAATGTCATGCCGCTTAAAATGAGAGGGCTCTAGCCCGTGGCTTATTATTAGGGCAGCGAGATATACATTCCACAAAAGGCCGCCCTGTTAAGCGAAAATGCCGATGCGCATCACCACCAGCCTCAGGCCAGGCCTTTTTCTCCACTCATATCCTGCATCCGAGTCCCATTCCATTTTGGGTGTTTGTTTGCAACTTGGCCCAATACTCACACTCAGTCTCCGGTGTGCTGCGCCTGATGTCCTCGCTATATGGCCTCCGAACAAATATATTCGCAAAACTCGATCAGATAGCATGCGACAACTAAGCATGCAACTCCACGCGCCATGTCTCGGACCAAAGAAAACAATCCTCTCTCAACCGCCCAGCGCAACGCGGCCATCGCTCCCTTACACAGTACTCTTCCCAGCGATGAGTTCTTCACGGACAGCTTGATCGACAACTCCCTCATCTCGAATGCCTCGCATATTCCGTCTCCAGTCAAGGCGGGGCCTGTCAAGCCTCGACGCGCCCTTGGCACAAGCAAAGCGTTGCAGACAGGCAGAGATTCCGGCAACAGATCGACCCGCACTTCACTGTTCGACTATACTGCGGCGCGAACTAGTAAACAATTGAAGCCGTCGCCGAAGCTGTCTAGGAGGAAAAGCCCAAGTCCTGCGCGCACGAATGGGCTCACGACACCGCCGCAATCCCGACACGGCCCGCCGCTCAACAGCCCTACCGAGTTCTCCAGTCCTCCAGGCGGTCTTCACGAGTCGTACCAAAGAATAGCGGATGAGGAGGATCTAGCTGCGACGGAGAGGGAGGTGGACAGCGAAGAGGACGAGTTCAATGGCGACGACCAGCAGGATACATATGAAACAAACATGGAAATGAGCCCTACAAGAGAAGGAATAGTTACGGAACAATCAGCATCGGCACAAGTCTCGCAACAGCTGACGCCGGTTCAATCTCCATCGCCAACTCGCGCAGAAACGGAGAGGCCTGTGGATGAGCGAGTTGAGAGTCTCTCAGAACCTCCCACCTTGGATTTCGTCAAGAACGAGCTGAGCGACCGGATCCTCGCTGCCAAATTGACGCCTCATGTCGTTGATCGCGCAAAAGATCGTGCAAGGCTTGAGAAGCTGAGACAGAGCCGAATACCAATCAACTTTGGAGAGAAGTCTCAGGAAGAGCTGATGAACGGGGAGCACAGACGGAACGGTCTCGCAAGCGTTGCAAGTCGTGGTCCCATCTCATTCGACAATGTTTTGGCCGTGGGCGCAAACGGACTACACAGGACCTACTCAGATACAAGTGCCGACTTCGACCCTCGAAAAAGCGTCAAAGCCTTCAGCCGAGCAACGCGCCCTGGTGTCAACAAAACTGCACCTGGAGACGACGATGGTAGCGATACACCTCCAGAATTGCGCGAAAAGGAGAGGTTGGTCGCTTTCAGCAAATCTAGTCGGCGGAAGAGGGAAGACAACGAGGAAAGGGAAACACAGAGACCAGCATCCGTGCCAAAAGTCTTGGCGTTTTCCCGTGCGCATGGTCGACCTCGTCCTCACGGCACGCCTTCCGAGACGGTCGAAGGCCAGGGACAACCCGATGACCCTACAGTTGCGTCTGTTGCTTCAACAGCATCCGAGCCTCTTCCTGGGACGACTCCGCGGCCCAACGAGGAGCGAGCAACACGCTCATTTCTTGCCAGGTGGCGCAAGGAGACCGCGGAGAGACGTGCTTCAAAGACTCGAGAAGATGCTGACCCTAGCGGGTCCCAAATTGACTGGGCCGCTGCAGCTGCAGACGTTCCCTTGCCATCCATCGAAAAGTCTTCAACCCCCCAAGAAACTCCACCAAGAACTGTGCCATCTTCGATTCAAAAGCAGAGGTCCATGGAACGGATGCGGAAATGGGAGAATGACTTCACGGGTCTTTCATTCCAGGTGTCAGAAAGTCCACCTGTTCGTACGCGAACGAACGTCAATGACACCCTAAGAGAGAAAGAGATAGAAGACCTCGCCAAAAAAGCTGTCACTACAAACAGGCTGGACGAGATCCGTGAAAAGGATCTGAATGTCATTGTTCGTAAGACCTCTCGGAATTTCAGCCCGCAGGAGCGCAAATCAGTACCGCCGGAGCCTCAAGAGGCGTGGCCAAAAGCCGACAACATCGACCTGAAGAATTTGGGGGAAGCTGTACCAGACACGCCAGTTGTTGTGTACAGGTCATCAAGCAGTAGTACGGACAAATCCAAAGCGTCTCAGCGGTCAATGCCAGATTCCTTGGATCAACTGCAGAGATTAGCTCGGGCCGTCAGCACTACCCCAAGACAAAGTCCGGCTGCGCTTGAGTTGTCAGTTGCTCTTGATGATGCGTCTGCAGTCCCCTTGCCCCCTTCAGAAGATGATCTGAAATCTCAATCTTCACTTGCAGATCACGAGGACGTTGACAATAAGAAGAAAGTGGCCGAGACTCCGAGAGTCACGGGGGCATGGACCGATACCATTCTACCGGACACTATCAAAACGAGAAATCAAACACAAAGAATTTCCAAGTTTGCGCAAACGCCTCATGTCAATGCAGGAGGCTGGATAGACACACCGCTACCTAACGGAGATCGGGTCCTTGATATCCAGATACCGAGGATCGTCGAAGAGGAGACGGAGGAGTTAACGAATGGAGAGTCTCCAACAGACAATGCGACAGCGGATCACATGGAACACAACACTACTCCGCCAGCAGCTTCATTGAAGGAGGGACCAGGCCACAAGTCGGGACCACAGAAAGAAGAGGTCATTCTTCCTAAAAGCGCCCTGACAAATGTTCTGAACGAAGCCAAACAGAAGCGGCTAGTGTCACGCGATATCACAGACGCTCCCCGAGACGAGAATGACACGCTTAACCTCGGCGACGCTACCATCCAAAGCTTTGAAGATCTCCTCACCGACGCCGCAGACATCACTGCGGACCTGACTAGCCTTATCAAAGCTGGGGCTGAGGAGGAAGTCCTAGCCTTGAGAGAAAGGAACAAGTTGACTGCTTCTATTGCTTTAGATGATGATAATTCAACTGCATCTGAGGTTGCATTCATCGGCCATCTTACAAGTCGGATGGAAAGACTGATGTCCAATTTGCATGAAGCTAGAAAAGGTATCGCCAGGCTGGAGCAAAAGGTCTCTCACACCCCGTCAATCCCTTTGGTAGGACCGGATCAACAAACACAGGCGCTGGTGGCTGTGGAGGATCCGAATAAAGCCTGCGCGAGGTGTGGTCGCAGCAGTGATGACATCGATGGCGTGCAACAGCCTGTCACCATTTCGTCCTTCATGGCATTACCAATTGCATACACAACATTCACTCTCCCCATTCCTCTCCTCTTCCATCCACGCACAGCATCTCAGGACAGCAAAGGCCGCATTCGATTGATCAACCTTCTCCCTGGCAATCCAACATGGCTAGGATATCTCACCTTGTCCATCTGGATATGGTACATCCTCGAGTGCGTCCTAGCAGAGATCTACGCAAGACCACTCTATGCGGAACGGTACATCTGGCCAACTAGGCCAGAGCCAGAGTTCCCCTTCGTACTTCCCACCATGCTCTACAGATGGTCCCTCGGTGGGAGTTTGGGGAGTGTGCTCATTGCGCCTGTGGTGACGGTCTCGGGCGTGACGTGGAGACTGATTGTGGCTGTGTGGAAGGTCATGGGAATGTGGTTGGGGTGGACGGATGGGTTCGTTGATGATGACAGGACAAGGAGTTTTGTGGCAACTGCTACGAAATCCGCTGCTCAAGCATTCAAGAGTCTTGTTTCGGGACCCGATGGCGCCGATTCTATCGAAGTGGAGGGTCTGAGTATGATGAATGACGAAATTTTATGAACGATTCAAAACGACACTGTTATGCAGAACACTGTGCGGGTGTTGAATGCATGGAAGGGCGACTACAGTTTCACTTTGTGCATCTCCGCGCTGGATGGCTTGGTACGGAGTTGTCGAGAGCGGATATAAAATGGATTGAGGAAACCAGATCCAAGAATCCCAAGCGTGCACGGCGTTGGTACTGGTGTCGGTGCTGGTTTCGGTCTGCTCCGTCCTCAGTATGCTCTCTCTTTTCAGGAGGAGGCTAGGCTGGTGTGTCTTTTTGCATCACCAAAGAAGCTAGGAACCCCACCGGGAGTCCCAGGGCGAAAGGAAAAAAGGAGAAAAGAAAAGGACAAGCCAAGGCTGGGCTATTCGCGAGGTGGAATCAGGAGTCCCCGGCATGCCTCTTTTTTTCTTCCGAGCGGAATGGAACTGGGACTGGGACTGGCTGGGAAAGGAGGGAGATATGATGCGACGAGTCGGGATTGTCTTTTTGGCTGCAGGTGCTTGTGGATTGTGTGTACAATGTTACAGTAACTCCTAGTGTACTTGGGTACTTACTCACTATGGGCTGCCCCAACGTGTGACCAGGCAGCCCTGCTTGGATTGACTGACACCTAATACTTCCTTCGCGGCTGTTTTGCTTTTCTGGTCTCTGTTCTGTCGGACAGGAGTGCGGCAGGTGGAGAGATAAAACAGGACTGTCGATTCTTCGATTTCTTTTATTGATGGAGCCAATCGAGTAGACTGACTTGAGTTATTTGAGTGAGATGCGTTCTATCCGTGTCCGCGCCTCCATTATTTTATCATGATGAGTGCATCCATAGAACCCTTTCCTTGTAATAACAGCAAAGCAAAAAAACAAAGTCATCTCCTCTTGCCCCCTTGTTCCCCTGGGGACGGCTTTTCCCGCCCTACTGGTTTCCCCCTGTCCCCCTGCCCATGATGTTTGCTTAGCTACAAGGTTACATCTTCGCAATCTCCTTCCCCCACACGCGGTTCAGAATCCACGTGAAGACAATGACGATGCGGCTGCGCCAGCTGCGGTTCCACATCAGACTGCCGCTGCGCCAGGCCAGCCAGGCGGATCTGCCCGTCCAGCCCTGGTGATTGGGACCCTTGCCGGCGATGACGCCGTCGTGCGCGCCAATGTACGAGACGAGCTGTTTCTGGGAGTATGTGAAGGGTTTGGTGAATGCGTCGCTTGCCACGGAGGAGGAGGAGGAGGTCGACTGTGAGAGGGAGGATTTGGCCAGCAGGGTAAAGTTCTGCACGAGGTACCGCGCCTTTTGTACCGCGACTTCGGCGGTGGTTGGTAGGGAGGCGCCTTCGATGTCGGCTGCGTCGCCCAGGGCGAAGACGCCGTCGTGGACTTGCCCGGTTTCTCCGCTCTTGAAGACTCGCAAGTGGTCGTCCGTCAGGATGCGCTTGAGACCTCGCTGGGACAGTTTGACGTCGATCTTGTCCAGCAGCGGCACGTGCTTGTTGCCCGTGGCCCAGATCAGCATCCCGTAGGGCACTCGGCCTTTGTCCTTGATGTACAGCGCGTGCTCGTCGACCCTTTCGATCTTGGTGTTGGGCGCCACGTCGATGTGGCGTCGTTCCAGCTGCCTGGCGGCGTACTCGTGCAGTTTGTTGTCGTACGCGCTCAGAATGTGCGGCGCCACGTCGTAGACGGAGATGCTCACGTACTGCGCCACGAGCGGGTAGGTGTGCCGCAGCTCGTCTTGACACAGGTCGTCCAATTCGGCCGTGAGCTCGATGCCCGTGGGACCGCCGCCGACGATGGCGATGTGGAGGAACTCGCGTGCACGTTCGGGGGTGACATTGGGAAGCGACGCCTTCTCCAGCAAATCAAAGAGCGTCTTGCGCACTTTCATCGCGTCCGAGACGTTCTTGATGAAGATGGCGTTCTCAGACACCCCCGGCGTGCCGAACGTGTTGGGCATGCACCCAGGCGCCATCAGCAGATAGTCATACTCGACGTCGAATTCCTCGTTGGCGAGTTGCGGATCTTCGTCAAAGGCAGGTGCACAGCGACAGGTCTTTGCCTGGAAATTGATGTCGAGCACATTGGCCTTGATGAACCGCAGTGCGCGTCGCGATTTGCTGCGGACCGGTTCTTCCGCCAGGTAGAAGTTGAACAGGCCTACCGCCGCAGAAGCCAGGAGCGGCGTGTATGCCGATGTGCGACGTGGAGAGATCAGGGTGATGGAGTAGGCATTGAGATCGATGTTCTCGGCCAGGTAGAATCCTGCCCATCCAGAGCCGATGATGACTAGGCGAGGTTTGTTTGGTGTTGTCATTGTTTCAATAGGGTGCTTGATATAGCTTGGTTCTCGACGAGGGATGAAGTCCGTTTTGGTGATGACGGAGACTCAGGTATATATTGTATTTGGCCCCGAGTGCTCAAATCGCGAACAGTTCGTCTTCCGCACTCACTAGCCACTCAATTACATCGGAATCGCCATCGTTGATCTCATCGATGGAGAAGTGTATCATCAGGCAGCAGTCTGGACTGGACGAACAAGGAAGCAAATGGCTTACCTGATGGCCGTGCTTGACAGCATTGGCTTTGCATGTCGTGCCTAGATTCTTGGGACGCCGTGGCCAAGTCTTGGGACAACGTTGCAGAGCAACCAATCAGAGGAGAAATTCTCCACGCCGAATCAAGGAACAGGTCGGCAAATATCCCAAGCCCGAGGTGTTCGGTCAGGTTTCACCTCAGCAGGATGCAGCCACCTTGGTCAGCGCTCCATACACAGGGCGTCATTTGGCCTGTGCTTGTGATGGACCTTGACGGCATGCACGTCCAACGCGGTCAGAGAAGTGAAAGACGCAAAGTATTATTTGATCCCGAAAAGAAGAGAATACAAAGTCGCTCAAATATTGCCAAGCCTGATCTCAAACTTCCGAGTTCTTCCGAGCCGGTACAGCCTTGTCACATGATCCCGATCCAAAGCACAACGAAGCAAGGCTGACCGACTGGCGTTGTCAAGGACGCCAGCACACCGAGGACAGAACAGGATATGACAAAGGAGCTTTCCCTTCAGTGTCGGGAATTTCATTGTTCCATTCAACTAGACAGTGCCCTTCAGAGGCGGTTGCTGCCACCATGCAGTAAAGGCCCCTCTGGCCCTCCCTTGGTAGTACTATCACGTATCGCTTTTGGCTCCCTTCCTATCCATGATGACAATTTCGGGGGTTGCGTATCCTCCCAGAGACCTAGCGCTACTTCCATCCATCCTTCAATGCTACCAGCCTTTTGTCGGCAAGAATTCTTGTGTACAAGTACAGTCGCGATTAACGAAGAAAAGACCGGGCAATTCACATACCCCTTTCTCCAGCAACAGGTGCATGGTCTCCGCAATAACAGTTTTCGGCATTCTGTCCGTGCTTTTCGCCATTTTTCCTTTCGCAGAAGAATCGAATCCCGACTCCGTGAGATAAAATAGAGGAGAGTTGATGTAGCTGCAGGCTCGTGTCGTTTTACTCTACCATGCACTAATGGCCAGAACCATAGTTGCCGTTCCATCCTCGGCCACCACCGTATCCGCCATATGTGCCGAACCCAGTGTTCGAGCCGTAGCCTCCGTATCCAGTGTTCTGATGAGTGTTTTGGTGGCCACTGCCCAATCCACCTCCGTACTGAGGATAGGCGCCGAAAGCCTGCTGACCTGAGTGCTGCGATGGAGGAGGCAAGCCACCTTGCTGGCCAGGGAAACTGTTGACGGCAGATCCAGGCCGACCACCTTGCATCGACGGGCTTGGTCCTGATGCCTTGTTCGGATCCTCGGCATGAGCTCCATGCTGTTGAGCCAAGCCTGGCGCCTGTCCGAAACTGGAGGATGACCGTCCGAAGGGGTCAGGCATGCCACCAAAGCCCGTGCTGCCCGCGGCACTCTGTTGTGCCTCGGAAGGCTGCGCAGACCCTGCTCGACCATAACCTCCCTCTCGCCCAAAGCCGCTAACGTTCGCTGGAGACGACGAGTGCTGCTCATAGGAGTAACCTTGCTGAGGTTGTCCATACATGTTCGACTTATACGTGTTGCCATAGTGATTTTGTCCATAGTTGTATTGACTGCCATAGTATTCGTTCTCTTGACGTCGTACATCATCAAACATAGGCCGATTCGCTCCGTAGCGGTGATTCACCGAGCTCATGTAATTGGCACCATACTGGGGATACTGTTGATTGTATGCGCTCGGGTAGCCGTAACCGGGATAGCCGTGACCTTGATTTTGTTGCATGTGGCCAGAGGGTTGCTGAGTGGGATGGGGAATGCCAGGTGCTGGGGTGTTCTGTCCACTGCCCTGCGCTTCCTGCTGAGCCACTCCGTGTTGAGGACGTGAGGTGGCATACTGCCCTTGACTGTCCGGAGCCGACGTACCAAACGTGCTGCCAGAGCGCTGAGCATCTTGCCCATGACCGTACCCATAGAAATTGTAAGCATCACGGCCATAATAAGCAGAATAGTCCGGCTGAGAGGTAGCTGTGCTGGGTTGACTCGGGACCTGGTTGGAAAACGGTTCTTGGGTCTGGGCTTGAGTAGTAGGAGGTTGGCCGAAAGGGTCGAACGGTTTCTGACCTTGACCGTATCTGTATTGCTCTGCATACGCCGAGGAAGACTGAGGGGACGGTGCGTGAGCAGGTTGGGGAGCAGAAGGCAGGCCAGTTGCTTGTCGTTGAGCAGCCGATGGAGCCTCAGCCAGCGGTTGAGTCGGAGCGGCAGCGGGCGTTTGCTGGGCTTCAGGCACCGCTGGAGGCAATGAAGCACGAGGAGCAGCGGGTGAGTCGTCTGGAAGTTGAGTACGTGTCTCTGGCTCCTCTCTGTCCTCGTCCACATCAACGTCATCCGGGCCGTTCAATCCCAGCTTTCCAAATTGTACCGCTGCCTTTTCGATGGCGTGATTGCCGGGCATCACTACCGCCTCTTGCTGCTCCATCACCTTTCTCGCGAAGCTGGCAGACCGACTTGCGCCTCCGGTAGCTTTCAATGCGGTGGCAGCATATCCTGACATCGGTCGAGCGGGGATCTTGGAGGTTTCCGGTGCGGCGAGCGGATCTTGGGTGCTTGCGACAGTGCTGGCGGCGGTGGCGGATTCAACGGGGTGAGACGTGTCTGGGAGCTTTTCCAGATTCTGTTCTGTGAGTTCATCTTTAGTTGGTGTTAGATCTTTCCCTGTGTCCGAATGCGGCGCGGATGGCAGCTCACTTGGTCCCTCTTCGTTGTAGTCCAGCGCTTCGATCGGAGGCGGGACGATCGATTCAACAGGAGGTACAGGCTCTTCAATGGCAGGCTCGGGCTCAACCGGTAGTTGTTCAGCTTGCGCAACAGCAGGCGGAGGGGGGGCAGGAGCCTTCTTGGGAGCCGGAGCAGGGGTTGGTTTGGCAAACAATCCAGCCCAGCCGCCGGGTTTGGCGGTAGCTGGTGCTGCAGCGGAAGCGGGCTTGGGTTCTTCTGTTTGCAAAGAAGCGAGTGAATCCTTCCCAGGCTCATTTGCCCAGCTGTCTGTTGCGGTAGCGGTCGCCTCACCATTCGTCGGAGCAGCGTCCCAGGTCGCTGCAGCAGCATCCGCTGGAGCAGAAGTCACCGAATCCCAGCCGTCAGTCGTCTGTGCGGGTTTGGTACCATTTGTGTGTGTAGCAGAGACTGATTTTGCACCTCGGCCACCCCTAGCACCACGCTCAGCACCGCGACCTCTTCCTCGACCTTCCAAGTTACCACGGCCACGACCTCGGGTAGAAGTATCGGTTGATGCGGGAGGAATTTCTTTCGGCTTTGGGTGTTTCTTCTTGACCTCACCCCATTGTGAGATGGAGCCTGAAGCGGTATTGTTAGCAACTTCGAGCACGGCAACGGGACTGGAAGCTCTCTCACCACTTGAAATGCGGTCAACAGCAGCATTGACGTCGCCGTCAGTTTCATTCAAGGCATAGACCAAATCTTCATCGCTCCAACCGGGGCAGATTTCTTTGAGGAGAGGGACCTTGTCGCCAAACTTTTTGAGCAGTTCACCGACTTCACCCTGATCTTCTAGCGCGGCGGGAGGGATGTTCTCTTGCTCGTGATCTGGTTTGTGTTGTGACCTCGAAGGGTTGCGAGTGCCCCGAAAACCACCTCTGCCACCTCTGAATCCGCCGCGACCTCTTGGGCCGCTTCCGCGGCTCTGGACTTCTGCCATTGCTGTGTAGGTGTGAAGGATGTGGAGGGATGTTGGAATGTGAAGGGAGGTGTGGATGGTTTTGCGGTTGACGAAGGGAGACGAGGACAATAATGGTAAATTAGTGGAAGTCGCAGCTACTAAAAGAGCAGCCGGCTCCGCGGTGAAGCGTGGTCACAGGGTGAGGCAAGTGACAAGTGGTTGAGTTGGATCTAAAAACACAGCGATGTTGACATGAAGACAGATGAATTGTGGCCGGAACACATTCAAGAGGCTTGTTTGGTTTCAAAAAGGCAAAAGCAAAGGCGGCCACAGATTCTGGGGGAGGAAGTGCCAAGCACCTGACACTGGGCACCCACTGGTACTGGAACTGCGGCGTCTAGGCACAGGAACAAACCACGGCCCTCAGGCACCAGGCCCAGCAGTGCCTAGTTACCCAGTGGGTGATAGCTAACCACCTAGTGGGTGCCTAGGGGTTGTTAGTGAGGCAACTCAGCCCCCCCAACACAAGTATCCAGCGGCGACAGCAGCGTCCCCGACCTCATTCCACCTCATTTGTATCATTGCAATCTCGAAACACTCTCCAGCACACCATGGTTGCGCGCCGACCGTGAGTCCAACCATGAGACTCACTTCTTCCCTCGCCATCCGCAAGCTGCTCGCCTCGATCCACCCTCCTCTTTCTCCCCAGTCACCCCGCGAATCCAAACAGCTCCTCAACGTACTCGAATCCGCCTTCCAGCGACGGCTTGACGAAACCCATCCCTCGCCGAGAGCAGCAGCAACCACCATCGACAACCAGCATGGCTCTGAATCAATCCCAGATCCGGCCCAAAGAGTCACTCATTCCACCCATTCGCACCTAGACACTATCCTCGGCCATCCGCTTTTCAAGCAACAGTCGCTTACTTTTCTCCAAACCCATGGCCTAGCTGCTACGGCGGTCAAGACATTCGATGATGCGCTATTGAAGCAGGGTCTCGACTCAGACCTTGTCCAGTCCTGCGCTCTGCAATATCTCCAAGGCCGTGAGAAACGAGGCAAATCTCCAAAGGATGAAGGGCTGGGACCAAGGTTGGCTCGTTGGTTTAACGCCATGACCGGCCCTGAGAAGAAGGATTTACTGCTCAACGAGAAATACATGGAACCATTGGTCTCGGTCATGTACGCCGATGGACTAGAACGCGAAGTCTGGCAATGGCTGCAAGTTCTCTACGAACGATCTTTTGCCAATTTCATCTTCATCCCCACCGACGACTACGCACCTGATGCCGTTGCATACCTGCGTGCGGAGGATCGCCTTGTGTCTCTGATGATTAAGGAGACCGCTCGCCGTGGACGGCTGCAGGAAGCTGTACAGCTATACACGCAGGCATACGAGTATCGTCTGAACTCCGGAAGATCCGTTCTCTCAGAGGGAAAGTCTTCCCCCGAACCTTTACAACGGTCCTGGCGTCAAGTGGCTGGGGCAATACTCTTACAGAACAAACGCAGCAAAAGAGGTCTACCAGCAAGCCTCTACGATTTGGTACTAAGGTACAGCTTGACGATCGATTATTCTCCTTTCGACCCGGCTATTCTTCACATCTACCATCCGACATCTCCAACGGCTCATCCGCTATCACAAAAACTCAAAGATCCGTCGTTCCTAGAACAATTTGGAAGATGGCAAAAGAATCCCAACAGATTCGTTCGGAGGATCCTGCTTGTTTCGGTACTAGATGCGGCCGAGCTCTCCTTGGCCCATGCTCAACCTCGTGAAGCTAGAGAGTTCCTCGACTTTGCCGAAAGAACATATCCTGACTTTCTGCGCTCACACGAAGAAAAGACTGACACAGCGGAGAGATTGCAACTGGCTCGTCAAGAGATCTTAGTGAGAAAGGAGTTTCGGTCGTCGGGCTATGCAACTGCCCCAGAACTGCAAGTACTAGTGTGAGCAGCCGTGGAGCAGCATCACCTCCTAGGAACCTGAGAATGGAGAAGACGATACTAAACCAATCAACAAAGCTTGTTCTTGCTCTGCTCCAAGCTGCACTCTACAGGGGAGCCTGCAATAGCCAATCCTGCCTTGTTCAAATAAACACCTCGCCAACTCGCTCACAGCAAATCTTGGTCCAAGTTGAGATTAGAGTTGAGTTGTGAGACAGCACGGCGCGAGACACACAGCAGAAGAACAGAGAGAGACCTTCACCATAGTGACGGCGTATCGAGTCTGGTGCGAAAGGGCCTATTGTCGAGGATGGGAGACTCCGTCAGCTAGAAACCTACGGATACGTGCAGCAACTCCTTGAGGGACGCACGACATAACCGAATTATTCGCAAGGAGTGCTATGCATTTACAGGATGGTCACGCCATATACAAGGCCATCAGAAGAGGGAACAGAAGAACTCAAGGTTGAAAGATGTCGCTGTTGGAAGTCATGTCACTACGATGGCAGCAGCCATTTGAGCCCCTGCTCGGGTCCAAAATGGGGTTTATATCTTACTGATATTCTGCCTTCTCGAATATCTCCTCTGCAGACTTGTTTCCCGCGAGGTAGCATCTGGGGAGTGTGATCATTGAGAATCAATCTGTTCTACTATGGAGGGTGGGTGGGGATTGAAAAGGAGCAGGGTAGATGGGTTGCGGGTGATTCAGCGTCTGTTCCCTGCTGTATACACGAGTCTGTTCGGTTCTGTTGACAGCGAGTCGCACTCAATCAATCGGTCAAAGATTCAATCAACCCCCTGGTCTAGGCCGTGTTATGCAACAAGGACTTGGGATAGCAACTTTGGCCATGCATGCATGCAAGCAAGCAGTGCCTCTCCGGCCCCATCAATGGGAGTCGCGTCGATCGGTCGAGTCATATTGCTCTGTTTCCTGTATACGATTGAGGTTGACAAAAGCTGCGCTGCACAAAAGAAATTCAGATTTCCTCTTCACCTTGAATCAGAAGTGTGAAAAGTCGGCGGTCATATTATATACTTGGGTATTCTGTGGGAATCCCATGATACGCCCGCTGCTTTAATCGGTGCTGTGCTCTGTGTCCAGGCTTGCTAGATATAACCCATGCACGCGCGTGGATCTTTGGGCGACCGAACCTTTCCATGTCTATATCATTCAGAGCTCATCCTTCTCCGTGCCCTTCAACCCGTCCACCCTGGCCTTCATGTTCGCGATCATCTTCTTCAACTCGTCATCACTGCGATTCGAGTCGGGGATCTTTCTGGCCTTTTGGACCGCGGGCCTCTCGTCGATGCGCTTCAACCACTTGTCCACGCCGGGGAACTCGGTCATATCGATGTCCAAGAACAAAGGTCCCGCTCGCACCCAGGCGAAGTTGGCCATGTCGGCGATGGTGTATTTGTCGCCGGCCAGCCAGTCGGCCTTTGAGAGGCGGATTTCTAGCACGCCATACAGGCGCTTGGTCTCGTCGAGGTAGCGTTTGATGCCGTAGGCGGAATACACGGGTGCCATGGCGCGGAAGTGGTTGGCTTGTCCTGTTGGTTCGCTCTCTCTCATTAGGCTTTTGAAAAAGGGCCTTGATGGTAAACTCGACGGGGAAGGGAAACGTTTTACCTTGCATGGGTCCAATGCCGCCCATTTGAAACATCAACCAGCTCATCATCTCATAGTAAAGTCCGCTGCCGTAGTCGTACGTGAACTTCTTCTCCTTGTCGTACAGATCGGTCAAGTACAACATGATGGCGCCGCTTTCAAAGACTCGCAAGTCACCGTCCTTGAGCGCGGGGATGCGGCCGTTGGGGTTGATTTCGAGGTACCACGATTCTTTTTGTTCATTGGTCATGATGTTGATGGCGTGGACATCGTATTTGAGACCCAGTTCCTCCATCACGATGGTGGGTTTCAAGCCATTGGGCGTCCCTGCCGTGTAGAGCGTGAGGGCATTGTAAGGAGGGGAGGACATTTTGTCGGCTGCTCGCGTTCGGACACTCTCGTCTGGTGTAGGGTCAAGCTTGAGAAATCTCTTTTGGTGGACCTGGATCCCGGATTGAAATGGTGGCAGGCTCTTTCCTTTTGACCTTGTGCTCGTATTTGCAAGTGCAGCAGTGCGAAAGGTAGAGCTGACGGCAGGTGAGAGGGTCCCCAGTCTTCTTATGGCTCGCGATGCGGTGTTGTTTACAGGCCCATTGAGGGAGGAAGTCAATCCAATGACGTGTCGGACTGCTCGTGTTCTTCTCATGGATTGGATCTTCCCCTCTTTGTGCTGACTTATGTTGAGAACCGAGAGGGGCGTATGCGACAAGCTATTCTAGTATCACTATCCTTGCGGTGACCTGGACAAAGTGTCTAGGCAGGTGGCGCCAACCTTGACACACACCTCTAACCGTGAAAACCGCAGCGATAATGAGCCAACAAGTGGTAGCTCTCCTGACCTAGGTACCTAGGTAGGTAAGGTTGTAGCAATGATTGGGTGATTCGGTAATCGGCCAGGAGGTCGCTAAAGATTTGCGGAATCGACACGCTCTTCATCTGGAGCCAATGCCCCCAAATGGGCTGCCTGTTCCTCCGGAGCTTATAAAGCAGCTCTGCACAGTGATGCTGGTGCTCGACCCTTTTCCGGTTGTGCCACCCTTGACTTTCGGGTGGATTGGATCCCGATACCGAATACTTTGATCAGGTATTCCTTGCGCTTCTCGGCCGACACCCGCGTGACATAGCTTCTGCAATACGGGGAAGAGGTAGAAAAAGGACCTCAGAAGTCTCGACTACCATGTCAATGGACATCTCTGTTACCAGTCCGTTGCTCACGAGAAAGCTAATAATACAACCCAGATCGTCAATATCATGTTTGTTCTCCTCTGTTGTTGCCAGGGCTCCTGTTGATGCTCCTCCTGACACTCGCCGCCTCCTGAAGCCGACTCAGTTTGCCGGGTTCGTGCTCTGGTTCGTTGGGACTCTGCTCATGGGTGCAGACGTCCCATCTGGATTCTCTCCCAGGGCCAACAGTCCCTCCTTGTGGAAAGGTGACTTTGCCGTGGCAGCTTTTTCCTCGCTGTACCTCCATATTCCAGCTGTTTTATCGGCCGTGACGCCTTCCCAGCTGTTGACACCGAAGTTGGTAACCACCTTTACCAGGTCCTGGAACGTCTTTTCCAGTCTATCCTGTGGATCTGCTTGAACGAAAAACACCCGTTCCCAATTTCGCTTTTCTTCTTGCTCCTTCTTGCGCAACGCCCGCTGGGCATTCTCGATCCTGGACTTATAGTGCGCCACAGCATCCATATCACCCTTCTCAATGCTTTGGGCGACCCTTGACCACGCTCTCCGACTCTCAAACACGTCTTGCTCCTCTATGGATGCGACGTTCAGCTTGGACAGCGTGATGTTTGATGGTTTGAAGGTTTCGATCTCTCTGCCCTTCTTGCTGTCGCCCTCTCTGATGGTAAATGTGTCAGACCATTGGCCATCAGCTGTGTATAGGGGATTCTTCTCCGAGCTTTCACCCTCCCTCCACAACGACGCCGTGAAGCTATTCTTTTTCCCAGAGAGCCAGCCCTTGCCGGTAAAGTCGATCTTGGCGACGTATCCAGTGCTCGAGACAATATGGATGAATTTGCCCAACTCGACAAATGGTGCTCCGTAGATGAGGCTTTCAATATGTATAGCGGGCAGGGTGATGAGGTAGGTCTCTGCATGGTCGCTGTCCGGAGGATGTAAGGTCAAGAGAGCGTGTCCAATTTGTTTAACTTGAATGGTTCTACTAAAGCTGGCTTTCTGACCGTTGTAGCCTTGTAGTCGTATGCGGTGCTTCTCATTGGTGATGCAGTAGGCTGTGACTGGAGGATGGTGACTGACTTGCTCCGAGACCAACGTTGTCTCGCCAAATTCGTCGTCCCATTTCCCCAGGAACAGCTCGCCTAGGAATGGGTTGAGTGGCTTCTTCTCCGAGCCAAGCTTTTCCGAGCGAGAACTGTACTGTTGTTTCAGGGTGTTAAGCAACCACTTGAGTACCAAAAGAGCGCGTCTGGCGGGATCCGTCTCTTGAGTCGGTGCAATGAATAACGACGTGTTTTCAGCCCAGTACGCAGAGAATTCGACCAGTGATTGTGTGGAGAGAATGAAGGCCGGGGCAGTTAGCGAGGACAAGTCGCCATTGAAAGAGGCAATGGACTGCGCGCAATTGTCAGTGTCTAGAGCACGCGCTGTGTTTGGGCCCTGGTCTCGAGCCACCTTGGGGACTCACTTTGAGAAAAGAAGACCACGATCCCTTGCTTTGATTCGGCACCGCGCCGCCTTCGACTTCGGGCATCGTGTGGTTGAGAGTGGCCACTTACGCAGGATTGGTGAAATGATCGGACGGTCGTGTGCTCACGGTTCTTTGTGTTGTGTTATGGCGAAGAGGCAGAGATGTTGACGTGGAGCCGGTTCGCAGAATGAAGGAAGAAAAAGAGAGCGATGATCTTCGTGAAACAAGCGAAGGCACACACGTTGATCCAGGGAAATGGTTGACGAGTGTAGGTATTCAATGTGACAGCGAGCGATGATCTCGATGTAGGTAGTTGGGGAGGGGGAAGTGCCCGTCAATCTCGGTGACGTACAGTGGCTGCTCCCGAATGGAGCCACCACTGATAGACGAGGAGGGCGTCACTGCCACATGGGAAAAATCGAGGTTCCACTGCACTGAGAACTATTCTCCTTTTGGCTGTAGGTTTGGTGGTACGTAGGATAAAGCTAGGGTACAAGGGGAGCACTCCTCACTTAAAACGTTCTGTTTGCGATAATCATGGAGGCAGGGAAGCGTCATCTCTCCAAAAAACACAAGAATGCACAGTATCCCCTGCGGCCACGTCCCCTATTCTCGATATTGAACCCGCTTACAGAGTGCCAGCGGTGTTGAAGTCCTTCAATGCCTCGGCCACACGAGCGCTCATTGTCTTCTCACCTTCGCGCACCCACACGCGGGGATCGAAGTACTTCTTGTTGGGCTTGTCCTCGCCTTCCGGGTTACCGACTTGCTTCATGATGTAGTCCTTCTTGTTCAGCACATAATCACGGATACCAGTGAGGTAGGCATATTGCAAGTCGGTGTCGAGGTTGACTTTGACCACGCCATAGCTGATGGCGTCGGTGTATTCCTTCTTGGACGAGCCGGAGCCGCCGTGGAAAACAAGGAACACGGGCTTGTCGGACTTGGTAGATTCCTTCTCCTTGACGTATTTTTGGTGCTTGTCAAGCAGCTCGGGGTGGAGACGGACATTGCCAGGCTTGTAGACACCGTGAACATTACCGAAGCCTGCGGCAATCGAGAAGTAGGGAGAGATCTTCTTCAAGGTGGTGTAGATTAAGTGGATGTCCTCGGGTTGTGTGTACAGAGAGTTGTTGTCGACATCCTCGTTGTTGACACCGTCTTCCTCTCCACCAGTGATACCGATTTCCTACTCTCCCGTTAGTCTTCGGCGTGCACCGGACCGTATGGAGGAACGTACCATTTCCAGCCACTGCTTCATGGGGGCCGCCCGCTTGAGATATTTGGCCGTCGTCTCAATGTTCCAGTCAACAGCTTCTTCAGACAGGTCAATCATGTGTGAGGAGAACAGAGGCTCGCCATGTTCCTTGAAGTAGGCCTCGTCCGCGTCCATCATGCCATCGAGCCAGGGAAGAAGCTTCTTCGCGCAGTGGTCGGTGTGTAGAACAACAGGGACGCCGTATGCGGGGGCAACACAGCGGATGTAGTGGGCCGCAGCGACGGCACCAGCAATGGATGCTTGCTGCTTGTCATTCTTGACACCCTGCAAAATGCTTTCAGTATGCCGTTTTCTGCACCGTGCTCCTGTTCAACGAACCTTGCCACAGAAGTATGCAGCACCTCCCTGAGAGGCCTGGAGAATGATGGGAGCATTTGCGTCGCGGGCAGCTTCCAGAGCGGCCACAACGGTCGAGGAGGAGGTGACGTTCTACGGAGTCCATGGTCAGTGATAGCACCATTGAGCTGGAGCTGGGCAGCTTACAATGGCGGGAATGGCAAAGTTGTGCTCCTGGGCGTATTTGAAGAGGTTCAGGACATCGTCACCGACGATGACGCCCTCCTTTCGTGACAGGATATCCTTGACACCCATGCTGGCGGCAGCTGGAGTGGGGTTTCGAGGGTTGGGTTGAGGGGCGGAAGATACAATAGCAGGGTCTTTCTGGGGGATCTAGACTATGGATAAGTAGCGGCAGTGTATGCCACGGGAGAAGACAAGGTTAACGAGGAATGAGAGATATGTGAGAAAAGAATAGAATCGAAGTAAAAGTCAGTTCGGCTTGTGGGAGACGATCAAAATGAATGCCGCTGGCTGGCTTCCGAAGCGGCGATGGGGGACAAAAGTGGTGAGGGGCAGCGACTGGCGTAACCAACAATGACATCGAGCTTCTTTTTTGCCCGCCGGTGCCGCTATTGTTTTCATTTCCTCGGCCAACGACTTTTCATTCGCTCTCCCACCAACCCCCACAATCATGCGCTTTCCTCTCGTCCCGATTCTCTCCTTGCTATCGATGTCTCATTTACGGATCTCGCACTGTTCCATCCTTTTCCCCTGCGGAATTTTACGGGATTTGCTGTCCACGGCCCAAGTCCTTTCCCCACGATGAGCCAGTGGACCCGTTGGGGATGGGTCTGGGCAGAAGAAACAGCTGACAAGAGGATTTACGTCTTGTACCACGGTCACCAAGGACGATCCAAACGACCGCTTGGGTGGTCCAAGAATACACGTTGCGAAAAGACTTGGTGGACTTCCTAAAGGAGGTTGAAATCAACCAACCGAAGAGCCCAGAAGAGGGTATGAGAGCACCCAGCGTGCCAGGGGACACATGAAGAAGCCTCAGATGGGGCCTGACAACGGCAGTGGAGCAATCGTGCCACTTCAAATGTCGTTCCCATGGCTGCTCAGTGGGTCCACTGTGAGGGAAAGGAGGTGTACAGTTGTTTGATGGACAGAGAAAGACGCCTTGGGCGCTCAAAAGCTGGGGAAATCCAGCAAAGCTTAGAAGCTACTGACACACCTGGGAGCTACTGTCCGCTGGAGCACGTATCCAAGTCCGTACTGAGGTCAGTTGAGCCAGAAGCCAGAGCACGATGGGAGGCATCGAAATGAACAGCATGCAGAATGAAGCACTTTTTGACCCCGAGATTATTCAGCTGCACGATTCTAGTCATCTAACCCCGGCTTAATAACCTGACCATAAAAAGAAAACCCTTGCCCGCGAGGAGCACCTTTCACTTTTTCTCAGCCCATTGATCGGCGTACTTCTTCAGCCTGATGGTCTGGACATGGATAAACCCTGTGGTGTCCTCGGCGCTGAAGTTCTCCAACGAGTCCATGGATGCCTCCTCCATGGAATACAGCTTCTCGCTGCTGCTTGCACGGCCGAGGACGTACGCGTTGCCCTTGAAGCAGCTCAAGCGGACCTCGCCGTTGACGTTCTGTTGGCTGTAGATCAGGGAGTTCTCCACAAAAGCACGCTCGGGAGAGAAGTACATTCCGTTGTAGAGATAGTTGCTCCAGTTGTGAGAGACGAACTGGTCCCGAAGGGCCCTAACTTGCCCATCGAGAACCAACCCCTCGAGGTCAAGGTGGGCAAGGCGGAGAATGGTCATGGCCGGGGAATCGTAGCACCCACGAGACTTCAACCCGATGAACCTATTCTCGACAATGTCGATTCTGCCGATACCGTGGACTTTTCCGATGCGGTTTAGCTCCTTGAAGAGCTGCACAGAGTCCGTGAAGGTCCCCTGTGGCGTGACGACCTTGGTCGGAATACCCTTTTCGAAGCTGATGGTGATGTTGGTCGGCTCGTTGGGGGCTTTCAGTGGGTCGTCGGTCATGGTCCACATGTCACTTGGAGGCTCCTGGTTCGGGTCTTCCAAGATACCAGCCTCGTAGCTGCAGTGGGCAAGGTTGGCGTCCATCGACCACGGTTTCGCCTTGGTGGATGTGACGGGGAGGTTTGTTGCTGCAGCATAGTCGAGCAGATCGTTTCGACCCTGGAATCGGTTGAAGAATTTGGGATCTCTCCACGGAGCAATGATCTTGATGGTAGGTTGGATTGCGTAGAAGGCGAACTCGAAGCGGAGTTGGTCGTTACCCTTGGAAAGAGATTAGAAAGTGTCCAGAGACAGAGAGATACAAGGACCGATTACCTTGGCGGTAGCACCATGGCTCACTGAGTCGCAGCCTTCACGCTGTGCCACCCGCATAAGAGATCGTGCAATGACTGGACGTGCAAGTGACGTGCCAAGCAGGTATCGTCCCTCGTACTGTCGAAACCAAATCAGTCTCCATTGGCCAGTTGTAGAATCCAGGATGAGTGCACCTACCTGAGCATTGCATTGAATAGCCCGGAAGCACAACTCCTCCACAAACTCCTTCTGCAAATCCTCAATCACCATCTTCGTGGCACCAATCTTGAGGGCCTTCTTCTCGACGGCATCCCAATCCTCTTCTTGCCCAACGTTGGCAAGGAAGCACACGACCTCATAGCCGTCATCTGCGGTCCCCATCTATTAGTCACTGGGGTTAAAGGACATTTGGGTCACAGAGGATCTCACCAAGAAGCCACCTCAGAATACAGCTGGTATCCAGGCCACCTGTATACTCAAAATCAGCATTTCACACTCCCAAGGGCCTTCTGACTCATATCTAACCGCTGTAGGCCTGGAGATCGTTAGAGAGACACAAGAAGTGGTTGTTGCGGGACGGTCACTTACCAAGCAGACTTTTCCCTTCGCCATGTTGTCAAGACGAAATTTCAGAATAAGATGGGACCCTCTCACAAGTAACAGAGAGACTATCAACGGGACTTCTTGCAGCTGATAACTGCAAGGATTTCACAAATTTTCTTTTCTACCCCACGTGAGGTCAAAGAAACTTTTTTAGAGTTGTGGCGCATTAGAGCATGATAAGGCTCTTGTCAGTCCACTAGTACCTTGGGGCTGCGTGGCTCTAAGTCAAAAGAGGTCAGGCGCTGCGCATCGCCAAACGACTGTAAACATTTATCCCCTCGAATCAACTGTTACAGCAACCAGAAAAAATTCTTGATGTGCAGGGAAAATTCTGACTACCTATGTACGTCGTGGGCAGAGACGAACCACCCAAGAGCAAACAGAATTCAAAGGGGGCATGTGCAAACGATAGCTGTGACTTGTTTTGAGCCTGGAGCCAAGGAACACCAACCATCAATTCCATGGGCTTAACCGCGCCCTGCGGATCAGGATGAAGGGGGCCGGTCTTTGAGACTCCCATGTTCTATCAATATATCAGTAGGGGCATCGACAAGCACTACGTTAAGACTAGTTGACTCTAAAGTGGTTGTTGAAAGCGATAAGCTTTTCCCAACTGGAGATCAAACCTCCGGCAAAACTGGTGTAAAGCTCAGCGTTTGCAGCATGTGCCTCAGTATTGATCGGGATATATGCAGACGTTATTCAGCTCCGCCTTATCCAAGATCTAGCGATATGAAAGGGGCCAAAGTCGTGGGGCCCAACATCTATCGAATCCTGTTTTCATATAGCACCAAATGTTCGATATAATGAGGGGTTTAAATGTAGTCCTGGCAACCGGCGAAAGGAGGCATACTCCCAAATGGCGAGAGCCTTTAGGTGGAAGCATCGTCGCCAGGCCGCTCGAGCTCATAGAAAAGCAAGTAGACCTCGCGCTGCATTGAGAGCACATCCGACAGGCGTGCTTCCTTGATTTTGTCGTCCGATATGCGCCACCATCGATCATTGGATTTTTTCCGTCGCCGGAACTTGCCTGGTATTGGATCCTGTGTTCTAATCTGTTTCGACACCTGGGTATCCGTTCTTTGTACTGGCGACATGACGCTGTCTTCTTGCGTAGACGGACGGGCATCCTTGCTATCTATCCCGTTAGAGTTTGGTCTGCTGTGCCCAGTCGATAGCGAGGCTGTCGACAATGACGTTGTTGAATTCCCAGTGGTAGGCGCGGCGGACCCATTTAGACCGTTACCATGTGTGGCCTCCATAGTTGGACTCGGCGTGGCTGACGGAACCAAACTGGTGTAGCGACTTGCAATAGCGTATGCACTGAAAGGGTCAGGGGTAGCGAAGGGAGCGTACACATGATTTCTCCGGAAGGATTCGTAGTGTCCGCTGTGATGGCTGCCTTTGTGACATACCACTCCCAAGAGTTTATACCAGTGTTCGTTTAAGAGCCCTCCCAGACGTAATCTCTGCGTATATGACACTTTGGCCATGTTTTTGGTGGAATAGCTGCCTGGATCGAAGACCGACCGAGACAGATGAATAGCGATCACTTTGGGGAATACTGTGATGCGGGTCGACTTTTTGATCTTACTCTTCGGTGCCAGGCTCGTGTCAGGCAAGGCAACACCCTCGGGAGCCTTCTCTGGATCATCCCGAAGCGCCTGCTCGATAAGACCAATGTCTTTTTCCAGCACTTCCCGGTCCTTGTCCCTTGGGGTTGACGACAGCGTAGAATTATTCCATTCTAGAGCATGCGTCAGCCGGCATTTGTCGCATTTAAAATCGTCAATTTCTTCGCTTTTGAGGAGGATATCGAAACAATTGTCTAAAGAAGTGGCGCTCTTCTGAGGGACATTCAAGGTCAGGGAAACAAAAGTTGTGACAGTCGGTTTTGTCCGAAAGCCGCAGCGCTGGCATTGAATATGGGATTCGATCCGGCCCTCGAAGGGAAAACCTTCACGAGCTCCAATCGTGACCTGGGTCGATGCTGGAGTCATAGGAGAAGGGTTTGAATCTGCAGTAGAAGAGTCTTCGATCTGCCCTGGGTTTGCAAACCTAAGCCGCGCCCGCTGTGCGGCGTGGTATTCGTCGCAGAGCCGTTCGAGCACAATCTGTAGGAATTCCTGCGCATCCTGCTGGTTCCGGCTAATCCGTGTATTGAATGCTCTCTCCAACGCCTCTATCATGGGTCTTGCACTGATGGTCTTCTTGTATATGGGACGCTCATTTAAAGCATCCAGCATCTCCTTCAACGCCTTAGTGACCGGCCCTTTTTGTAATCCCACTATTTTATCGGCATTTTCACCCTTGCGCAGTACCGGGGGGACGGAGTCATAAATCTCGGGTCCATCAAGCTGTCTCCTGTGCAATTCCTTGATCAGGTAGAGCCTGAGATCGCCGAGTCCAGCAAGCGCCTGCAGTACCGAGTTAATGAAGCAATCGTTGGCCGGATTGGACAAGCCAATAATTGTGCGTTTGCGGCCATCATTGGTATTGTAGGAATTCTCGCCGTCGATGAAGAAGGTGGGCCCGAAGACGTAGAATGCCGCAATTGCAGCAAGAGAAGCGCCAGCCGCATATGCGACTACAGTGGCCGGCTTGTCAGGCATCCGGATAGTGTTCTGAAGTCGGGGTCAGACCCATGGCGCTTACGACGAGCGATCACGACATTGCGACGAAACCGGGCCAGTCGTGTTGACGAAGAGAGGTGATCGGAGGACTGCTGGTGATGGTGCTCGAGAGGAGGTTGAACTGAGGAGAGGCAAATCTGGGGGACGGGACAAGGGGGGCTTTGCTCCGTATCTTTTTTTTCCCTACGAGTAAATGCTTCGGCTCGGGGCAGGCACCAGGACAAATCAATTGCCCAGCTGCGGGGGGGAGACTTGGGACTGTTATTATTAGTGGAGACGAGTTACTACAGTAGGCCCTAGGCCGGTAGGTGCCTCGGGGCCTATCGAATCAGCGAGGGAGCACCTTGTGGGCGCCCTTAGTAGGCCATGGCGAGCCTTACTCGGAGGATCGAGGGACCCCGGCATCCACCCGGGCTGTCAACTTTGGGAACCAACTCGGCAAATGCTGCCTTGATGGATGAGCGCCTGGCAGGCACCCGCTAAACCCCATTTTAACCGGAACTTTAGCTTGCAAACCTCACCTGCATCCTTGTATCTACATGGAACTTCAAGATTCCATAGCCGCTGTCAATGGGGTTTGGGGTGACAAAATTATGGTCTGCTAGGACGTTGATGGCCTTATCGTCCGAGGTGGGTTTGCGTGTGATGTTCGTAACAAACATGAAACACTGAGAAGACCTGCTGCGAGGCCAGGGCTACTCTTTGTCTAGAGAGCCTCATTCTCCTGGGAATTCTCACTTGTCCTCGTAAAGTGTTGACGTGCAGGGTATCAAACACGATCAGTGTATTTCCCCTCAGGGCGAGTTCTCTCAGCTAGCGATTGTTGCCGAGAATGTCGACGACCAATGGATCCCCATACGTCCCGTTGCCACATACCGGTGATTTCATCAGGCTTCTCGAATTGGACCCAGGGCAGCCTGCAGACGATCTTGTTGGCAGGTTCGTGGTACACGATCTCAAAGATGCGCAGCCTGAATACACGGCGACCTCATACGTGTGCGGTGACGATAATCGCAGCCATCATTACATACTCATGTCAGGCTCCAAGCTTGGTATCTACAAAAACGCAGACGGGGTACTAAGGAGATTCCGCTCCGCAGCGAATACTACGTATTTGTGGATTGACGTTGTCTGCATAGATCAGGATAACACGGTCGAGAAGGCTAGAGAGGTGAACTTGATGTACAAGGTATATGAAAAGGCCAGGCGGACTGTGATCTGGCTAGGCCCAAGTGACGACGACGCCGTAGCCGCTATTCAATACGCCAGGACACTCAACGCCAGAAGTTACCTCGATGAGTACACTCCGACGGTCATGTACGCTGGACACGAAATACAGTACATGCAGAACAAATCTCACATACTCGACGTTTTAGACACCCATCCACAAAAGCAGTCACTGATCAACTCCTGCGCGAAACTTCTCCTCTGCGCCTGGTTTACACGCGTGTGGACCCAACAAGAAGGTGCCTTGAGCTCCAATCCTGTGGTAGTCTGCGGTGCAGAAGTGATACCCTGGGTTCAGATCTTTGCATTGGCGTGGCTGTTCTTCCCTAGGTCCACAATGCGGTGGCCTCAGTGGTTTCTCTCCGACGACCCCTCGCAGACATATGCCCAGCTTGAATCGAACATGATGTTCATTCGAAGCATCCAAAGATATCGGCTTCGTCAGACGCAGATTGCGAACAACGAACCGGAAACCCGAGAAGTTGGCCTAATAAATGCCATGTACGACGCGTCTCGATTGAAATGCTATGATCCTCGGGACAAGATCTATGCCATCCGAAACATTGCCACAGACCTGGCTCAGGACGACTGGGCTCCTCAGCCTGACTATGTCACACCGTGGGAAGATGTCTATACTGATTTCGCAGTGCGTATGGCAGATAGGGAAAGGCGCGAGGTGCTGGACTGGTCCGGGGTTTGTCAGCAGCAAGGACAATCAGGTCTGCCGTCCTGGGTAGTTGATTGGAGGTCTCGCCCTTGGACCCAGTATATCGTTCTTGAAGCATGGTGTGCAGGGGGCAAAATCTTCCGACCAAAAGCAGAGCGAATACCCAAGAAAAAGCAGCATTATCTGATGAAATTGCTTGAGGGGGCCAAGCAGCCGAGAAAATCGCTGCGGTACGCTCTTTCAATCACGGTCATGATGCAAGACACCGTCGCATACCTCAGCGGTGTTCTTGAAAATTGCAAAGGAGTTGATGGCATCAAAAGGCCTTCTTCTCAAGAAGTGCTGGCAATGGATCAAAAGTGTCAGGGTTTCATCAAGACCCTGCCCTCTACAGTCTACGTCAACTCGGAACATGTGCTCGACGCTTACAACGCAACCCTCATTGCAAATACTACTGACCAAGATACCGTGGCCTCACCCTCATATGTCTCCTCCGGCGTGCAGGAATGGCGCTCTTGGCTCTCCTCCAGGGCATCAGTAAGTACCAGCACTGAAACCGGCAGCGAAAGCATCGCCCCCGGCTTCTACGAAGCAGTTGATACCATGGACACATTCCAATACAAGCAATTCTGTGTCTCTACCTTTGGCTACTTCTGCCTTGTCCCGGACCTTACCGAAGCGACCGACACCATTGCTATCGTCAAGGGGCTGGACATGCCGATCGTGCTCCGCCCCATCAACGACTACTACGTGTACCTGGGACAATGCTATATTCACGGCATGATGGAATTGCAAGCTGGCACGCTCATTGAGGAGTTTCGCGTCAAATTCAACGCCAAAGAAGGGAAGGTGGTTGTGGGCAGACCCGAAGGCGATGTCAGGAAGAACGGCTTGAAAATGGATGCGGGCGAATATGTGAGAGTATTGGGGAGTCTGGGGGAGAGGAAGATCGAGTTGATATGATGTCTATCTTGTCCACTTCATGCGCCGAGCCAGTCGAATACGAAATATGTTGCAACTATGAACTAGCTCGCAGTGAGTCACTGGAATAACTCCTCTACAATGCCCGGTTCCCCGATGCGGCGACTTGAACCATAGTACCCTCTTCCTCTCCCGCGCTCGACAGCCATGAGAGTCGTTGTAGAAGAGTATAACCCTGAGTGGGCGCTCCAGTTCCAGCAAATCAAGAGAGAGTTGCAGGACGTCCTCAGAGAAGTCAAGTACATCGGCATCGAGCATGTGGGCAGCACGTCTGTTCCAGGATTGGCCGCCAAACCCGTCATCGACGTCTCTATCATCAGCAGCGGAGCCGACGTGAACGCTGCCATCCACGCATTGACGTCAAAAGGGGGATATGTCTACAGAGGGGAAATGGGCATCCCGGATCGTCATGCCTTTGAAAAACCCGGAGCTTCCCCAGCGAGGCATCTCTATGTCTCTGTGGAGGGGTGCCAGTCCATCAGGAATCAACTGGGGGTGAGGGATATTTGTCGCAAAAACCCCGCAGTTCGAGACGCCTATGGCCGGAAGAAGCTCGAGCTATCCCAGCGAGACTGGAGAGACGGCGATCAGTATTGCGAGGCCAAAAACGATATTCTAGCCTGGGTACTGGGAAAGGCCGAAATGAGCAGCGATGAGAGGGAGCAGGTGAGGCAACTGAACACGACGGCGACGTCCTAGTGGTAGTTTCTCATCGTTTGGACCGGCGGGCCCTTCCTTGCCTCTGCCGTACTGCGAAGTCCACCTCATCTAGTTGTTTTGAGTAAAAAGAAACGACATGGACGTTACTCCTCAAGGAATATAGTATGCCGGTGGAGGTCAACAAACCCCTCTAACAATCGAGCTATACCTTGGCCAGAGAGTCGTTGTGACGATCGCACAGACGACAGCAGATCTGACTCGCTATCTTATCACTCTACCAGCAATACATCCACAATAGATGTCATAGGTGGAACTTGGACTGCAGGACGATGTGGTGTACACTAGCACATGTGAATAGTGATGCCCAGGTGGTTCTCGAAGGATCGATATGGCTGGTGTGTTTCTCGCAGGGTCTGCTTTTTTTGGCGTCATTGTGCGTACCGTGTGGGACAATTCAAAAGTTTCTAGTAGGAAGCAACGATGGATCGCGATGAGACTGCTGAGTGAGATGGAGAGAGGTGCTGGGGGGGTCATCCACCGGGTGGTGGTTGATGGGGATGAGGATGCATGAGACCTGGCGAATGAACTGGACTCTCTTCTCCCCATCGATAGGCGAAATGGATGGAAAATTCTGCGGAAGCGAAGAGAAAAGGACGAACTTTACCTGGGTAACTTTATGCCGATTCGGTGGTTTTTTGTTTCTCATGCATGTCGCAGTGTTGCAGGCGCTGTTGTGTTCTTTCGGGGCGAGGGTTACCGACTCTCAGGCACCATTTGGGCAGCCTAGTTAGTCGCAATAGGCTAGAGGGTGGCTAATGATAGGCGTTGGTGCAGCTAACTAGCCGAAGGATTCGGCGGCGGCCAATAGGCAGACGGGCCGCCCTTGTTGCTTGTCCCAGGCACCCACCAGGGGTTCACAGGACTTGGCTGGCATCACACTGCATGGTCCAACGACCCTGGCCGGAAGATTCTCCATTGGGCGGTTGAAACACGACACTCGCTGGCCTCTGTAGAGCCACGACGGAGTAATTACAATCTCGCAGTTCCCTTTCTGAAACAACGCACCCTCATCCTCTGTACATTATCATTTCCTCTTCTCTCTCCCACACACGATATATTTCCATTCTCAGTGCACATTTCTTCTAGACTGCCGCCTTTGACACGTCTTTGTCGTTCGCTAACCAAATCCCCGGATTCGAGATTCACCATTCCGCCGAACCCTTTGTTCCTCGATTGGCAAATCTTCTTTTGTTCACAGAACTACATAGACTTTTGAGCCTCGACTGCGCTGGTCTGTGAGGTTGCCTGCACTCGTTTTCGTCGGCAACATTATTATGCAAAAACCTCTTTGAAGTCTTGCTTTTGTAGAGACGCTAGACCGCCAAATCAAAATGTCGGCCGTTCAAGCGCTTTTTCCACGGCAAACCTCGTCCTCCCCCGACCCCGACCTATCAAAAGGAGAGCAGGTCCTCCAGTTGGTTGCAAATCCTTTTCAAGCTTCTGTACGTATACTCCCAGAGCCAACGATGTGGACTGCGCGCTGACACTGCTCAGCTTCAAACAAATGCCTTTTGGGCCTCCCTTGCAACCTCACTAGGAATCAGCGCTGGCCTCGCTCTCCTATTTTGCCTCATCCGGCCTCGAAACAATGTTGTCTATGCCCCAAGACTGAAGAACGCAGACAAAGACCACGCTCCACCCCCATTGGGGAAGGGGCTGTTTAGTTGGGTCGCGCCGGTCAGAAAAGCATCAGAACCATATTTGATGGAGAAGATCGGCATGGATGCGGTTGTCTTCTTGCGCTTCACTCGAATGTTGCGGAATATGTTCCTGGTTTTGGCCATTGTGGGCATTTGTGTCATGATCCCAGTTAATGTCACGCAGGGGAACAAGGCAATTACACAGGGTCAGAGTGCCTTCGCCATCATGACCCCTTTATTCATATTCGGAGGGGGTCTGTGGGCTCAGGTGGTCGTGGCATGGCTGATCGATTTGGTGGTGATATACTTTCTCTGGCACAATTACCGTCGAATCCATCACCTACGACGAGTGTACCTCGAAAGCCCCGAATATCAGAGAAGCTTGCACGCCCGGACGATCTTAATTCGAGATATTCCGGCCAATCTTCGAAACAACGAAGGCATTGCTCGAATTACTGACGATATCAATCCGACCGGCACTGTGCCAAAAACGACCGTTGGACGCAATGTGAAGGTACTACCAGAGTTGATTGAAGAACACGAGAAGGCCGTCAGGGAACTAGAGTCCATTCTCGCCAAGTATTTGAAGAATCCTGACAGGCTGCCACCCAACCGACCAACGATGAAGGCGCCCAGCAAATACCGGGGTCAGACGACGAACGGCAAAGTCGACGCTATTGAGTATCTCACAGATCGTATCCGATCTCTCGAGATGGAAATCGACGATATTAGAGAGCGTGTGGACAACCGCGATGCTATGCCTTATGGATTTGCCAGCTGGGAACAGGTTTCCGAGGCACACACAGTCGCATTCCAGGCACGGAGCAAACGCCCTCACGGCACTAAGATTCGCTTAGCACCGAGGCCTAACGACCTTATTTGGGACAATCTCAAACTGTCTCGAGCATCACGGAAGAGCAAGCGGTTCATGAATGGCATCTGGATTGCTGTCCTGACCATCATCTGGACTCCAATCAACGCTGGAATATCGATCTTCCTCTCCAACCTGTCAAATCTGGGTTCTGTCTGGCCGGCTTTCCAGACGCAGCTGGAAGCACATCGTACAGGTTGGGCCATCGTTCAGGGTATTGCCGCCCCGGCACTCACTTCGCTTGTTTACCTCCTGCTTCCGAGCATCTTTCGGCGCCTTCAAGTCCGTGCTGGTGATGTGACCAAAACCGACCGAGAACGTCACGTCCTCCGGAACTTGTACGCTTTCTTCACTTTGAACAACTTGATCGTATTCTCCATGTTTTCGGCAGTCTGGCAATACGTGACGATTGTGATCCAGTACAACAAACAGAGCAACGACCTGTGGACTGCTCTCAGAAAAGGCCAATTCTTCCTTGTGATCACGACCACTCTTTGTCAGATCTCACCATTCTGGGTTACCTGGATCCTCCAGCGAACTCTGGGCGCCGCCACTGACCTGGCTCAACTGTGGCAGTTGTTCTACACCTGGTTTGCAAGAACATTCTTGGCCCCGACTCCCCGGCAGAATATCGAGTGGACTGCACCTCCATCCTTTGACTATGCCAGCTACTACAACTATTTCCTTTTCTACACCACGGTCGCCCTTTGCTATTCTACTCTCCAGCCGATTGTGCTTGTTGTTACCGCGTTATATTTTGTGATCGACGCATTTTTGAAGAAATACCTTCTCATGTATGTCTTTATCACCAAGACCGAGTCTGGCGGTCAATTTTGGACGACCATGTTCAACCGGATCGTATTTGCCACGATTCTTTCCAATGTTGTTATCGGTATCGTCGTCAAAGCCAGAGGAGAATGGACCCTCGTCGCGGCAATTGCGCCACTGCTAGTCATCATGCTTGCCTTCAAGTGGTATTGCATGAAGACTTTTGATCTGGACCTGAAGTACTACTCTCGGGGTGGTATGCACGATCAAGAACGTCTTGCGACGGACGGCAAGCCAAGGGAACCTGAGAAGGTCTCATCCAAGTTCGGCCATCCCGCATTGTACCAGCCCCTTATGACGCCGATGGTCCATGCAAAGGCCAAGCACGTCCTTGCAGAGATCTATCGTGGTCGACTACAGTCTGACGGTGGACAATCCATGGCGTTCTCGGACATAGCCATGCAGCCTATGACCCAAACGAGCAAGCTGCCCCAGGACGTTCCTTTTGAATTTGTTCCTGAGGCTCAACAAGATTTCCAGTTCTATAAAAACCGTGAGGACTTCCGCGAAGGAGCGGGTGATGATATGCTTTCGTCCTCACGAAGCCAGACGCCAGCCTCGTCATTTGTTGGTCAGAAGGAGTCTTCGCCATCAAGTTCCCGGGGCACGAGCCCCGCGCCTCAGGCGATACAGCACCAAACACATATCCATCGCAAGGATTTGGACCAATCCAACGTTCCGAGCCAGTTCAGACACGGTGCTCCGGCTCCTTTCGACGGCCACACTAGTGGAGGCCTCGAACCACGTCATGGCCCATACACAGATCCCTATGACGATAGGGCAAACTTGTTGGGTAGTGCGGGCGATGTCAGAACACCAAACGGCGAGTTCATGTCCGTAGACCGGTGGCGAACCCCAGTGGTGAGTCGGGATGGAAGCGAAGCCGATGGTTATCAGGACACGACTCCCGGGGAAGAGTTGAACACGAGTTATGATTATTTCCGAGGACGACGGTGAAAGAGGTGGCGTTTGTGAGTTTAGATCTCAACAAAACTGTACTCGGTAGATAAAACCCTGCGTATAGAGAAAAGTGCATTTATGAAGAAACGAGCAGGTAGATGATCATGATGACTGCGAATGGAACAATGAAAGATTCCATTTGAAATCAATGTCAACAGGTGCATTATATTTTCGTCACATCACTTAGCCAGCAGACGTCCATGTCTATAGTCCCTGTCGACTATGCAGTATTACGCCTCAACTCAATTCAGATCCGATTCATTTGATAGTCGGACGGGATCCGCGTATAGACCACAGGAGGCTGCTTATAGCTCCATGCGGTTGGCGGAGCAAAGGAGGCATTGCCATACGACATGGGTATTCCGTGGTGCATTGGCGGCGGCATTGGAGGCGGCGGCAGCGGCATCTCCTCCTCCTCCTCCTCCTGATCCATGAAAGGGTTCGGAATCCTGATCAGGCCGGCGATGCAGAAGAACATGACGGCCGTGGTGGCGGCGTAGACGATGGCATAGATCATGCTGAACATGTCGTAGGGACCCATGTCGAACCAGTCGAAGATGATGACGAAGGCGAGCCCCAGCATCGAGCGGGCGAGGAACGCCACGATCAGTGCGGACCAGTATCTCCGGTACTTCTGGATGCCGTGGTGTTTGCCGTCACCGGGGTCATCAGAGGCCGCCAGCGCGATGATTGTGCCGTAGATGCCCGCGACGGTCATCACCCCGTAGACGCCGATGGAGACGCCGATCAGGATCGTGTTGGCCGTGGTGAGCGTGCGGCAACTCGAACCGTCTGGGTCCTCGGCGCTGCCGCTGGAAGAAGGGTCGAGCGCGTTGACGAGGAAGTACTTGTGCGCGAGGTCGACGCCGAGCCCGGCCAGGAAGGCCAGCATGGCCAGGATGACAATGACCCACCGCGCGGTTTGGCCCAGCACCCGCATCCCACCCCGCTGCGCGACATTGCCCAGCTGCGCCGCCTCCTCGCAGCTGGCGAAGATCAGGATGAACAGCCAAAACTCGGCGATGCTCTGCGGCTTGTCCCGCACTTCTTCGGCCCACAGATACACAATGTCGACGGTGTAGTGGCGGTACCTGAGGAAACGGAAGACGGCGTCCGCAAGGAAGAAGCTGCGTTTAGATGCATATTCAGTCTTGAGAACACAGGGCAGGATAGGGGATGGATCCAGATGGAGATGCAACCCACAGCAGAGTCAAGATCATGATGCCTGAAAGTGACGACCACCCTTTCAATCCATGGTTCTTCCTAAACCACAAGCCATTCTCCTTGGGAGGACGTCCAATGAAGCTTGAGATGAAGATCAGGAGGACACTGACAAACCCGATGCAGGCGGCGAGAAAGGAGATGAAAAGCAGGGTAGGGCGTCCCTCGAGATGGATCACCTGTGCAGCGACATCGACCGTGTTGCCCTCGGGGTGTATTTCATCGCAAGGGCTCGCCGGGCCTCTCGTCCGCAGAATACTGACGAGATCCATTCCGCATCCGTCCTCAGTACTGATGGATAGTTCTCTTCGAAAGAACGAAGGCTGCAATGGTTATCTGCCAACGACGAGGACAGAAATCGAACGCTGAAAGCCGCCAGGGCAGCAACTGCGTCCTTATCACTGAGGCTCCAGGACTCACGGCTAGGTGTTCGTCCACAAAGATTGGTGGCAACAGCAGCATGTATAGGGCTGAACCTGCCTTTTAGCGAGGTGTGTCCCGCACCGGGTCAGCCTCGAGGGTCCTGGTTCAACGGATCGACAAGCAAGTCTTGGACAAGCATTTCAGGCTCGAAGGCGTGTTTGCTTCACTTCCTGTATGATTCGTGGAAACCGAGGCCAAGGACCTTCAGTCCCTCTCAAACACGAGGTCGTCTAGGCCCAGACCTTTCTTGCCGAACTTACCAGAAACTCGGGCTTCATTGTCGCTGAACAGATTGCATTGAAGTTTAGCCAGCCTTTGAACATGAAAGCTGGGAAGAATTCAGGGGACCACATCTTCGCCCATCAGGGGCTTTGGGTAGTATATCGATATCAAACATGGACTGGGCTCCCAAGATTGCGAATCGGGTTTACATCGCACTGGGCCGGACGCGAAGAGCCAAAGAATCACACGACTGAGTGCGGGAGGCCACGGACGGGCGAGGCGCAGGCCATCTCGTATTGCTTCCCCAGCGGTTCGGCTAGTGTTAGAAAGCTTCGATCTAGTGGGAAGATATAAGCGAACGAAGTTGGTTAGCATTGGAGGAGGTTCAGGCTGAGATCAAAGGCAGAGGAATATGGCTTAAGCCTGATCATGGAGTCGCTTTTCGACAAGAGCAAAGCCATTTGTAAATGGATAGAGTGAGGGAAGTGACTCAGTCGTAGGCGAGGTTGGGAGGCACACGAAGTATTCGAGCGGAGATACAAGGCGAAAAGAGGTGCCGAAATGGCCAAGAACTTTTAGTGCCAATCTAGCTGGACCAGTGCTTGGCATATATTCGGCTGCGGTTCAGCAACGGTGCCGTGATACGAAATCAACTGAGAACTTACGGACAATTCACGACAAAAGTGCCTTAGCCCTTGCTACCACCGGCACCACGTCCCTCTCCTGCTACAAATGTCCTCTTCCTTGATCGATATACTACTTTGTATCCAAGTAAAGCAGGTGACTGCGACACTTTGTCGTCCCTCTGGGCTCTACAGAAAGACATATCAACCAACACTGTCGTCAACCCGCCCACACGACCTGCGCATCCGAGTGGACCCTCAGGGCCTCTGAGAGCTCTCTTCAGGCGCCAAATCTCGACTTGTTCTCCTCTACCCACTCGTGGAACCTGGTAGGCGGCCTTCCCCCATACTTCAAGATGTTGGCGACTGCCTCCTCATAGCTCTCATACAATTCTGCACCACTTTTTCCTTCTTCTGCTCTCTCCTTGAGCATCGAGATCAGCTGCCGCGCTGCCGGCTCCGGCACATTGGCAGTTTGCACAAAGAAGTCCACGCCTTCTTGCTCGTTAAGTCGGGTGACTTTGAGGTCTTTGCCAAGGACTCTGCCGATGGTGTCTGCCGCTGCGGCTTGGGACATGATCTCGGGGCCACAAAGTCGAATAACTTTTCTCCCAGCAGTTCCGTCGACCGCTTGGGGACCTTTAGCGATGACTGCTCCACAGACCCTCCCAATGTCTCCTGGCGAGATCCAGTCGAAGGGCGCCTCGGGATATGCAATTTTGACCTCGCCATCCTCGACCATCTTCCTCCACCTCAGGGAGTTGGTTGCGAAAGAACCAGGTCGGACGGCCACGTATCCGTCTGATCCAAAGACCTGATCCAGATTGAGCTCGACCTGGCCATGACCCCAGGCGATGAAGTTGCTGGGTGAAATGGTCTCCACGCTCAGGTTGTCTGGGACAGTGTAACTGCTCAGGAAAACGACAAACTCGACCCCTGCAGACTTGAGCGCGACGATGGAGGCTTTCATATGATCGGGTGATCTGACGACGTAGATGAAGGCATACTTGGCTCCAGTTTTGGCCACGGCATCTTGAACGGTCTCGGGCTTCGTGAGGTCGGCGTAGACTCTCTCGAAGCCTGCGTCTCGCTCTTGTTCCGGCGTGAAGCCTGGGATCGCCTTTTCCGGATTTCGCATGGCGAGGAACACTCTGGCGCCTTGTCCGTGGGCGGCCAGAGTAGTAGCGGAACCAACATTACCAGTTGGCCCGAAGATAATGACACTAGTCGTGCTATTTTCTGACGAGGACATCGTGAGTTCCAAGTAGCGCAGCTACAACGAGGCGGTCTACCGTCACCGCGGGAGTGGTAGCGGATAGAACTTAGTCCAAATAGTATTTATATGATTGTGGTATAGATACATACATATGTAGTACTTCCTGATGTCGTCGTACACTTATATCATCGGAAAGACCAGGAGCTGGTACAGGATATACCTAGGTACGTAGTTCAATTTAGGTTAAGTAGCCCCGGGCATTACATCCCCTTAACCCCGATACTGGGCCCGACCTGCAGTACATGAAAATAAGGCCTCCCCCCCATGGTGCACCCAATCCGAAAACGGTAGAAGCACTGGGAAGGAGAAGTACATAGTACCCATCTGGCGACAGGCACTTCACGTGACATCTGGTCGTTCTTTCCTGATGAGGTAGATTTAGTGTCGCGTTTCTAGGTAGGCACGTCCCACCATCTATTGTCAGAGGTAGAACTACAGCCGTAAGGAAGGAGCTTTCGAGTTTCCTATTGAAACTTATATAGTTGTATCACTCCGCTACATAGTTACTATAGTAGTAGTATACATTAGTACTGAGGTACCTCCCTAGAGGGTGTAAGGAGGGTTGGAAGCGCTTCTAGCCCGGGTTAGAGTCGATTTACCGATTTGAAGTGCCATGTGGTTTAGAATCGATCTAGAATCGATCTAGAACATTGAATCGATCTAGATCTTAGAAATCGATTTGACCTGGTTTAAAGCGATTTAGGTCTTTTACTATACATAGTACTTTAGACTTAAGTTATTATATAGTACATACTATGTAGTACTAAGCGAACCTTAATATTAGATATATACATACTAGTATGTATATGTAATATAAATCTAGAAAATTATAAAAAATACATATATGTACTAAAAAAAAAAGAAAAGGAAATGTACATAGTATTTATAGATTATATAGTAAGTACATAGTACTTCAAGTTAGTATTAAGAAATTAAAGAAAGTAAGAAATGTCGAGAGTAGGATTCAAACTGTCTTTTCTTAGGTATTTTTACCTAGATCGGTTAGATCGGTTAAATCGCTTTGAACCGATTTGGGCGATTTTGGCGATTTAGGCGATTTTATTCGGCGAATCGAGTTCAGAGCGATTCTAAACCGCTTCAAATCAGTCTAGATCTGATCTGGAATCGGTTCCAACCCGCTTTGATACTATACTAGTAACCCCCAGCAAGGCTTAGTACTATACAGTATAAGTATATAATAGATACTACATAGTAGTACTGTGTAGTACTACCAGTGTACTATGTACTGGTACTAGTATTTATACATAAGTACATATCTCATCAGATAATTCCAGCCGAGGGCGATACTGTGTACTACTACATAAGTATATAGTATGTAGCACTATGTACTAAGTACCATGTACATAGTATCAAGTCACTTGGTACATAGTATTATGTACTAGTCCGCGCACAGCCCCCTATGAATTCTGCCTTACTTAGTACTATATGAGCCTAGAGGCAAACGGTGCTTGTCAGCCTCACGAGTTTGCGATTGAGTGGTGGCCTCTTTCACCCTAAGCCTACTATGTAACGCGCAGCTGCCGACTGACGTGGCTCAAGTCGCCCCCTGGAGGCGTTTTCCTCAGCTGAGATTCCCCACACAACTTGGAAGTTCGTGGCACGTGCTAGGCATCGAGCGGCCGCCAGCCTTATTCTCCAAGCAAGATCAATGTCCATGATGAACTCTTTCTTCTCTTGAATTGAACTCACTCAGTTGTGCTTTCCAGTTTCGGACCGCCCATCGTCTCTCACAATGTCTGGCGTTGAGGCGGTTTTTGGCCTTGCCGCCAGTGGAGCAGGTCTACTCTCGCTCAGCATTCAACTCGTGGAATGCGCTGCAAAGCTGAAAAGGATCTACCACGCGGCTCGGGATGCGCCTCGAATCATTGCCAGACTCCAACTTGGCTTGGAGACGATGGCTCTGGCGCTACGACAGCTCGAACAACGCCGACAGCAAAGAACTGCCAGCGACGCTCTCCTCGCCCGCTGTATCGTTGAATGCGAACTGCATACTGCGGAAATACAAGAATTGATCGATAAGATGGAGGACCGCCTCTCAAAAGACGCAAAGATAGGTGGCAGGCTATACGCTGCATTCAAACAGCGTGATGTGAAAGAGCTGCTTGACGGGTTAGAGAAGGCGAAGAGCTCACTCGAACTCGCATACATGATGTACCTGGGCGAAGAACAGATGCGGCGAGATCAGGCATATACCGACATGCTAGCTCTTCACGGCACTCTAATCAACGGTCTCCAAGCTCAGGTCTCGGCTGGAAACGCCAGTCTCTCGCAACAATTAACATTGCTTGTCCAGCCTTCAATAATCTCGTCAAAACAAACGAATACTAATACTACTACAACAGCAAGCGGACCAGTCGTCGCCCGAATTCTGGAAACTGAAACGAATGGAACAGGACAAGTACTATCCGATGCTCGAGTCATTGATCGAGCCAGCCAATATGGGCAGGGCGGCCCTCCCAGTGTCAGAGATGTCAAGAGAAAGAACAACAAACCGCGCTTCCGGGCCACTGTACGACTTCCGTCTTTTCTTACTAATCGGATATTCAATCTAGCAGTCATTCAGGCTCAGGGCGGTTGGTCTATACATCTACGGACGTTCAATCACGTTCGAGAAGACTCCCTCATCTTCCACTACTCCAACATTGGGAATCTCGAAGGAATGAAGAGACTCATTGAAAGCGGAAGGGCAACACCACTGGATGCCGTGTACGGCAGGCCCTGGGGATTAGGTGGCTGGCAGACGCTCGTTGAGGTAAGGACTTCCACCCGAGACAGCATTTTTGAAGGTCGCTCTCTCACGATGAGCGTGACGAGTTTTAGCAAGCTGCGTATTCAGGACATTTGGACATTTGCCAGTACCTTCTCAGTCAAACAACTTTCCCGGACCACGGGGAAAGGCTAAGCAACGCCCTGTACTGGCATAGTGTTCTCTCTTCCCAAGCAAGCGCACAAATGTACCGCCTTTTTCTGGAGAACCCGGATTTTGATTCTGGTGTCACTGCTGTGAATAGTACTAGTATTATCGACAACGACGACATTCTAGTTCGTCGGGAGGGATGGCTCCGTTGCTGTGCAAAGGTGGAATCCTTGGAAGTCATACTACAAAATCAATTCCCAGGATTTGACAGTCGCTCACTGGACGCGAGATTTGAGCTGGCCTCGCGGCTCCCTTTTTTGGAACCCGCAGCCTTTCTTAGATGCGTCGGGATACAGGCACCAGATCCAAGACTTGCTTCTTTGAGAGATGGTAGCGGTAGAACGGTCCTGCACCGCGTTGCAAGCAATTTTGAGACGGGCCAAGAAGAGTGGTTGGATATTGGGCTTAGCGTCTTGAAGAATGGGGCAGATCCTTCCAGTGTCGCTCCTCCAGAAGACGACCCAGAAGATGATCTGAACTTGTGGCAAGCGACGCCACTACTGGAATTGTTGGGTATTCGACATTGGCGATTGAAATGGACTTCAAGTTTCCAGGATACCCTCGATCGAATGCATACCTGGATCGAAATGATACAACGAGCTGGCCTGGACCTGTGCGGTTACGGTGCAAGGGAAACTCAGCTTTGGATGGATCTAGGTTTGCAAGGTCCTCAAATATCAGAGTGGTGGCCATATCCGACAGTGACCCAACTTTTGTATGGACCAGCGCCGGCAGATTGGAGTTTGAAGATTTACAACTCTTGGAAAATTGATGTGTACCAGTTGCAACAGCCTCCTGGTGCATTCGGCGCAGACCCCCGTCTCCCAATGCAAATTGCATGGTTACCGACAGATAAGGAGGAAGACGAGGGTCCTTGGACACGCGTCAAGAGAGAGGGCCATGTCATCCAGGCCACGGACCTCAGAGTCTTGATCTCTGAACAAGTTGCACTTGATGCAGACTCAAGACCCTTGTCTGATCTCGTGGAAAGTTCTCAGGATGACTCGGGCGCCATCATGCTCATGCAATGTAGAGCCTCGCGTGTGGCCGACGGAATCCGAACGAGGTCACACAGCCAGCCACCATGTCTAAGTCGAAGGGGACAGGCATACTATAAGCCTTTCAGGAGAAATTGTTGGTTGCTGTGCCATTACTGTCCGCTTGACTCGCGCTTGAGGCTTGGATATTTAGGGGGGAAACTGGAAGGGCCACCCATGGGTGACCCTTTTGCTGGTGGTACATTTGGTGTCAGAGTGAGGAGTTGCTTCAACGGCACATGCTCCGCAAGGCCATGTTCGGCACAGCAAACATGGGAGTGGACCTACGACAGCTTCCTTGCCGAGATTCGCGGTTGTCAAGACGGCAACTACTACGACCGTCGCAGGGGCCCCAGACTGCAAAGCTGGAGACACACATCCAGACGCGACTGTCCTCGGGGCTGCAGGAATGTTGACCTCGGTCGGTTGCACGTACCAGTGCCCCTACGCGCTTTCCACCCACATCGACGGTTCGTCCACGAAGACGAGGACCGCGACTGGTGCAGCCAGAAGGGCTCCGACAACCCATAATAAGACTACCATGTCGCACTGAGTACTGGAGTGGTACAGTGGGTACTATGTATACTCGTGGGGCCAACAGGAGGGCAATAGCAACAATAAAGACTTATCCAGTCACTGCAGTGCACTTCATATCGAGGCTAGCAATCTCAACTCCATCCATCATCACTCCACATCCCTTACCGGACTACTCGCACCCCCAAGTCCCGCTCTGCGGATGTCTTGTCGACGCCTCCGTTGCGAAGGGCCATTTGCAAATACCCCATGCCCGACCACCCGTAATCCACTCCGTCCCAAAGCATCACCTTCTTCAGTGTCTAGGTCCTCCGGTTCAAGTCCTAGGAGCCTCATGTGGTGGTCCAAGCGCTCCCTCAACTCACGATAATCCCGACGAAGACGTCTACGCTCGTTGCGTACCAGTGCTTCTCTGAGCAAAGTACCGTCGTGGTGGCTCTCAAGCTCGTCGAGATCGTTGATTGTTGCCTCGAGAAGGTCTTCGAGTTCGAGGTACTCACTCATGCTTTCGAGATATCGCTCAGAGTCTTGATCATCCCGACAGTCGGGTTCGTTGGTTGTCGGTGCGTGCTCATTCTGCGAGTTGATCTCGGCTTCGTCTCCTGCTCCGCCTCGAATGCCTCGCAGGACGTCGTCCCACTGGCGGCGTCTTCTCAATCGTGTATCGCCAAGCTCATACATAGGTACAAAAGTTCGACTTTCTCTGGAGCAAGCCTGGGCGCTGTCCCTGTTCCTCTGGCGACTTCCACAGCGCACGACCGGATAAGGTTTTGGTGTTATGACGCCTTGTCTAATACGATTCGAATGGAAGGAATGCTCAGACATGTTGGCTTGCACAGATCCTTCGCGAGCGGAGCCACCATGACTTTCCTGTGTCTGCATCTCAGAACGAGGCCTCGGCGGATCCAGACATGGTTGAGATCCTTGTGGTTGTACGTCTGGTCCATTGACAGGGTGTTGTGTATTTGAAGCTGAAGAGTCCAGGGTTTCATCTGGTTGCCGCTGGACAGGCGAACTTGTCCTAAACGACCGACTAACCAGTGCGAGCAGACTCACGGCAAGAAGAGTCCCAAGGAGCCATGTGTGGATCCCTAGGTACCATATTATCAGCTCTTCGTTGGTGGTCCGGCGACAAGCCACATCCGACAGAGACGGTCTGCCAAAGAGATTGAACAGTTGGAAGATCGATGGCGCCATGTTGGCAGGCGGCTAAGTTGACAGATTTGGTCTTAATTGCTTTGGACGAGTAATCTGTGTCAAGAGATTGTTGTTTAATCCGAGTGGTGGATGCACTTCTCTTAGATCCAGAGGTGCTGGGGCATTTAATACTGCGAAGCAACCGGGGGTGGTTCGCCATGGTTTGCTTTCCGATTAGTTGGACCGTTGTCTTGGACTGGTTGTTGGTCCTAGTCCGATCGCCGTCCTGCTGCTGGAGAGCGATGGGCTTATTCAAACGGCCAACTTCGTAGACATGTTTAGGGCGATGATGAAGGATACACTGCCATCTCGGATCAGCTGCTCAAGGGGGAACATAGGGGCAAAGGTGTTGAAAGGAAATTCTTGTTTGCATTTCGGATAGTTCTCATTACCTCCATGTTTCTGTCTGTATTACCTGTCTCCTGTTGTCTGTCATATCGTCCGCTAGCACTCTTCAACCCTCGTGGAATCTGCTGCCAATGCTGCCATGACTATCTTCTGCTCCATACCATATCTCACCATACCTTACGCCTGGCTTTCTTCGACGTCCTGTGTTACAGTCTCATGTTCTGAGCACTCCGTAGTGAGATCGAGCTGGTGTACGTCGCAGAAGCGACGATACCTGAACTCGCCGCCGGCCTTGACGCAGGGCAAACACAGACCGCCGATGGCGTTGTAGACGTCGAACAGCATCTCGCGCTCTAGGACGTCGGGCTGGCGGAGGCGGAACCTGCCACAGGGGGCGCGGCGGCCGTCGAACTCGCGCAGCTGTTCCAGCCTGCCCAGCATGCGCATGTAGTCCATGAAGCAATCTTGGAGGCGCGCCACCGGCCCAGCCCTGCTCTCTTCTGCCCAGGTGTCCGACTTGCGGATGATCTCGATCATCCAACGCTCTTCGTGCGGGATGAGGTGGCAAAAGTAGCAGTACCACTGCATTTCGCCGTGGGGGTCCGGGTAGAACACCTTGGGGAGTGCCGAGACTAGATCCTCGCGGAGTCTCACAGCCTCGTCTTCGAAGCTGTCGACAAAGTCTCCTGGCACCAACATCCTCAGATCGTTCGGAAGCAAAGTGTCGACATCCACAACTGACATTTGCCACATCATCCGGCGTGAAGCGGTGGCAAAGACAGACGGCAGGTTGAGGAGGTATGCAGAATGGAGGAGCGCAAGCGAATTTGTCTCGATCAAGGTCCCGGAGAGCGCAAATTGGTCCAGGGCGACGGCCACGTCGTTGAAAAAAGGGAAGCGCCGCGGGAAGCAGGACGAGAGCTTCTCCTCGAAGAAATCAGGAAGCTTGCCTTTGAAGAGGTGTTGGTCAAGCAGCGCAGCCACGGACCTCAGGAGGCTGAGTGGTGGCGTGGGAATTAGTTCATGTTCACTGGCAATGTGGAGAAAGGTCACAAACGCGTCAAAATCTTCTGTGAACCGAAGGGGGTTCTCGGGTGTAAACTTACCGCTTTCCGGCATCCAGTTTGTCTCAAACCGTGCCGCGAAGAAGACCGTCGTCTTACACAGTGCTTGGCTCGAGACACGCACCATGACCTCTTCGTTGCCCGACGTCGAGGAGACTGCAAAATAGGCATCGCCGTCCGCAGCCACCTCGTACAGCTGATAATCCGGAGTCTGGACAATTTTGCCGCGTGGGTTCCAGACAGCGGCACTGCTGGAGGCTGTGGTATCGTTGAGAGAATCGAGTTGAGCGCTCATGATGTTTATTTGCCTGTATAACTGTGTTGAGAATGTTGTGATGGAAAGCGAGGATGCTGGTGGGTAAATTGTAACATCCCTGGGAGCAGGATATATCTATATATATATATATATAAAAGAGGTCACCCCCCATGGTGCTTCCCACAGTGTAGGGCAGAACAGTGGCAGTAAAGAAATGCATCTTTCAGAACAGCATTTGTAGATCGTTCATTGTTTGCTCCGGGCAAGGGGCACAAGGCAAAGCAAACATTTCTTTGTCGTTCTGGGGCTCAAAGTTTTGTGAAGCCAGGGGCTTTCTTTATGCCTCCTTAAGTCTTTATCAGATTTTCCCTTTATTGCCCGTATTGTTGACGCGGCAAAGGAGGAAGCGTGCTTTATCCTGGGTGATGCGGGATGATACCTAGGTAGCTGGCAAGTTACTTGTACTCGGTATGGTGGTATGTACTGGGTAGCTCTGGCTAGGTACCTGCTGAGCCACTTGCAGGTGGAGGTCGAGATTAACTCGCCAAGCCACAAATGTCTTGGCAGCCAAGACGTCATTGATACCCGGGTTCGCTAGCTTCAATCAACCCGCATGTGACTGTCCATCTCTTTCCGCCCTCCGGTCGTGGCCTTTCCTCCTGTTCAATCCATCGACTAAACGCGGACCTCTCCTCTCTTACTTTGTTGACCTGTGGGGCGCGTTCATACTCAAGCCACTGCCTGTCCATTTCTTACATCATGTCGCCCAAGACACAAGAGCCACAAATCGTCTCCATCACAGATCTAGACCCCGCGCAAGCGAGATGGGTTACGCTCAAGAGAGTCGATTTCATAGACCAGACAGGCACTCCTCGCAACTGGGAGATCGCCATCCGCAAGACAACCCCAAAGTCTGGCGTTGATGCCGTGGCCATGGGCAACATCTTTGTGCACCCTTCCAAGCCACCCAGTACCATGCTAGTCCTGCAATATCGTCCGCCCATCGGCAAATACACTGTCGAATGGCCCGCGGGATTGGTTGACGAGAACGAGACGCCAGAGGAAGCGGCAATCCGAGAGATGAAGGAGGAGACCGGGTATGATGGGAGGGTCTATGATGTGTCACCTACCTTGCCGAGTGACCCCGGAATGACAAATGCCACGATCAAGCTGGTCATGGTGGAGGTGAAGCTGAATGCGGAAGAAGATTTTATGCCGGAACAAAAACTCGACGACGGCGAGTTGATTGAAAGAGTGATGGTGCCGCTGAGCGAACTCTACGAGAGGTTGTTGAAGTGGGCGGACCAGGACAACTTTATGGTCGCAGCAAAGTTGTTCTATTTCGCGGCAGGTATGCACTTTGCGAAACATGGTGGATACATTTGAGGTCGATTCCACTTGCGAGTCGAGTCTGGGTATGATGTTCGAGACCCGAGCCAATGCCGACAATGTGTCAAAGTGCGCGTGGACAAGGCGACCATTTTCACACGTGTACGAATGCAGGTCGAAGAAAGCTAGCCTAGCTCGCTTTCTTGTCGACTTCGGAATTGGAGATAGGCTGAACGCCCTGCCAGCGGTGCCGAATCACCCTTCAAAGGCTTGACATGAATTTCAAAGCGCGACTCGAGCGACTCGACCAGGTAAATATCCAATATTATACAAAAGGGTGGAATTATCGTCCAATCATGGTCCCATGACAGGAGAATTGTACGGGAAAATTCGGCGTTTAGACGATTTCGGAATGGAGACATGGCTAGACATGCTAAAGGTAGGAGGCCAAAGAAAGGCGAAGAGGCTGGGACTAGGGCGTCCCAAAAGCCCAATTACATACAAACATAGAAAAGCAGATTGTATCGCGAAGAGAGCCGGACGCACAAGCCAGCGATTGAGAGAAACATTCACCGGATCCGCAGATTTAGGTCTGATAAATCGTAATGGTGGTCGCCAAGTTGGCCAGGGAAGATTTTTTGGCGGGAGCATACGGCTAGATTGTCCATTGGTGCATTGCAGGTGGCCTTTGTTGTATATCAATCACAAAAGGTCGAAATCCACTCCACTGAGCAGTCACTGTACCGGAGGAAGGGGGAACTTAGGCTGCCCCGGTGGCTCGCAAGACGTCTGATTTGGGGTTTGCCGGACGTTGTTTCTGTTGGCAAGAACGCTTATGCGTTTGCCGGCAACTCTTGCATGGCTGTTTTGCGCACATTGGTCACGGCGTTGACCCCGCAACTCCGTAACCTGGCCAGTTGGTCTATATAAGCCGGTGGCGTGGCCGAGACGGACCAAGATCTGTGCTATCTCCGCCGGTGTCTCGTTTCGAAGTGCCTCCTCGGCGTCGGAGCGGCACCTTTGCAGGCACCAAAGATGAGTATTCCTGCATTCCAAGCTGATTCACAGCGCCTCCATGCAGAGACATGGAAGCCAGAAGGCTCTGCCGAGCCCTTGCAAAAGGACAATGTGCTAGTGGGATGCATATTGCTTGGTGTTGCGAAGCCAAGGCAAAAGGTGGTTGGAGTGAAAATTGCCGCAGAGCCGACTACCCGAGAAAGCTAGTTCCAATGTGGTTAGTGCATAATTGTCAGCTCAATAAAGAAATCAAGGCGCTTTGACCACACAAGATCAAATATCAAAGTCTGGTCGGCCATATCTGCTATTGATGCAACACAATTGGTTTTCCAGGCACGTCAGGTCGCACATGGTGTCCCTGAGCTTGTGCTGAAAGCCTGACTTGTGCAATATTCTTGGTTCTGGGAAGGCAAGCCTCGCCCGTTCAGCCCGCCGGGAGGATAGCCCGGAGACAACGGAGCAAGTCCAATCTCATTGGCGTGCCTCAGCAAAAGCACGCTTAGAGCTGATATCCAATGGCGTGGCAAAGCACTGAATTAGTGTTTGAACGATCGCCATCCCTGCGACGGTCTCGAAGCAAGCTTTTTGCTCCCGAACACGAACCCGTTTTCAAGGACCCGACTAGGGCAAGCCACCAGCATCGGAGGCCCAAGTTTGGCGGGTACCTCCCCGCCATATGATCATTCATCCTTCTCCGCATCATATCCTTCGAAAGAGACATGGACGACGCTGGAAATGTACCCGAAGGAATATCCGACAGCCGACGCAAAGGGATCTACATCCTCTTGCCGAAGATGGAAGCGGGTGTACGTTTGAAGCGGGGAAAGAACCAGGATTTTGCCCGCATTCCTTCAATATATCCCCAGGCTGGGGAGCATACACGTTTCATGGGGTGCAGACCAGAAGCTCACCTCTCCCTTGTATGTCCGCTGACGCCCTGAGTGGGAATAAGCATTGACAACATAAAGAAACAACGTAACTAAGCTGCTTGTTCCCTTTCTACAACTCGCAACTCGTTCCCAACCACCATGAAGCGCTTCTGGGGTCTTCGTGGACGCTGGCTCAACGCCGCTATCTGGGCCTTGGCCATGTTTGCGGTCATGATCTTTGGGTACAACCAAGCTGTGGCCGGTGGAGTGCTCACAACGGCATCCTTCAACAGGGCGTTTCCCAAGATGGACGTGATTGACACGACGGGCGCGCAGAAGCATTACAACTCCACCATCCAAGGTAAGGTCCTATACCAGCAATGACGAGGCCATCTAGTGTATCGGCGACTGACCACTCTCCCAGGCACCGTTATCGCTCTCTACACCTTGACTGGCACCTTTGGAGCCCTCGCCTGCACTTTTCTGGGCGATGTCCTGGGACGGCGAGGCACCATCTTTCTGGCCACCGCGGTCCAGATGGTCGGCGCCATCCTGATGGCAACGTCGTTTTCCTTTGCGCAATTCATCGTGTCTCGCATCGTCGTGGGCCTTGGGACCGGCGGTATCATCGCAACCGTGTCCGTTTGGCAATCGGAGCTCTCCAAGGCAGAGAGTCGTGGCGAACACGTGTCGGCGTTTGGCATATTCTGCGGCCTGGGCCTGGCTCTCGCTCTGTGGATCGACTTTGGTTTCTCCTACTACTCCGGATCAGTGTCGTGGCGATTCCCTTTTGCATTTGAAGTCGTCCTCTCTGTCATCGTCTTGACCTTCATCTTCACCCTGCCCGAATCTCCTCGCTGGCTGATCAAGATGAACCGTGTCGAGGAGGCGCGAGAGATTATCGGCTTGCTCTGGAACGTCGACGCCCACGATGAGACGGTCCAGAAGGAGATTCGCGATATTCAGGCGGCGCTGGAGCTCGCCGGGACGGTGTCTCTCAAGGCTTTGTTCAAGATGGGACCTCAGCGGACATTTCATCGGGTCGTGCTGGCCGCGAGTGTGCAGATCTTCCTCCAAATGACTGGTAAGTCGTTTCGTACTCTTTCTTCGTTTGTTATACGCCTTTGCCGGCAGAAGCTCTACTCTGCTTCTTAATTCTGTAGATGGACGTGGACTCATAAACTCACCAGGTGTCAACGCAATCACATACTACGCCTCGTCCATCTACGAATCCGACCTCCACTTTGACGCGACGGTCTCTCGGATCCTTGCGGCGGCGTCACAATTCGCCATCATCCTAGGCTCTTGCCTCTGCTCATGGACAGTGGACCGGTTCGGGCGGCGGAAGCTGATGCTGTTCAGCTCGAGCAGCATGGCCGTGTGCATGGCGTGCCTGACGGGGCTGGTGTCGAACCCGAACGACAGCGGCGCGCTCAAGGCGGCCGTCTTTTTCCTGTACCTGTACTACGTCGTGTACACGGTGGGCTTCCTGGGGATCCCGTTCCTGTACGCGTCCGAGATCGCGCCCGTGCACCTGCGCGCGGCGGTGTGCGGCATCTCGACGGCCGTGTCGTGGCTGTTCAACTTCCTTGTCGCCGAGGTCACGCCCGTGGCCTTTACGGACATCGGGTACCGCTACTTCATCGTCTACGCGGCGCTCAACGCGCTCTTCGTGCCCATCATCTTCCTCTTCTTCCCCGAGACCGCGGGCCGCAGCCTCGAGGAGCTCGACGAGATCTTCGCCGCCTCAAAATCTATTTGGGACCCCGTCCGCGTCGCTCGCAAATTGCCCCGTCGCCCCCTCAACGATTTCTTGCGTGACGAGCAGCAGCAGCAGCAGCAGCAGACTGTCATCCAGGTCGGGCCCAAGGGGTCCTCCGCCGGCGAGGGCGAGGGCGAGGACCGGGGTGTCCAGCATGTGGAGAATCCGGAGAAGGGGGAGGTGTGATTTTCCAGAGACGACCACGTCACACAAACTTCCCCCCTGCTTGCACATTGCCGGCTGTCTCGCTAGCCGGGCTGGCTATTTGAAAAGGGGGTTTGGGGGGACCTTTATTGGCGGGGAGATTTGGGGCAGACGAAAAGAGGAGGAGGGGGAAATGTTGGGGAAAGTAGGGATTCCCCCGTGGGGCCATGGGACTGAAGATCCCGGATGTAGCATGCATGCATGATATGTTGTGTCAAACCAGTGCCGGGGTGCAGCCATTAGTTACTACGTCCCATGACATGTCATATGTCCGGTGGACGCCAGCAGCAAGCGATAAGTAATCTCGAGCTCCCCCGTCCGGCTCTTCATTGCCGGTTTGATAATTAGCCAGCCCGTCGAAGATCCTATCGAGGACATTGACACGGCACCCACACGGCTAATTCAGGTAGCCCTTCTCCGTCTTCATGTCAATTCACTACCTCACACCAGTCGATTAGCCGAGCACAGATGATTTCGGCTGCTCGCTCAGGAAACAGCAGGCTCGTAGCCGAGGAGTTGCGGCAGTTCCTATTATTTCATTTCATGACATTATTACGGTTGAGGCCGGTGCGTTGAGAGATAAGGGTCAATCACGAACTGGAGATTCGGAGCATGAGGCTCCACAAAGACAGACTCAGCGCACTACTTTTAGGTAGCTTTGCTCTGGAATTTGTGACTGTTCGCTGTGTGGAATGAGAGGAATGCCACGCCGCTTGAACCAGCTCTATTCCTCCGTCCACTTCTGTCGTGTCTGTCGTGCATCGTCCATGGCATTAGCGAGCAGAGTCGTGCTCGGTGATATCTTGCCTTCTCCGCTGCCCCTTTGATGGAGAGCACGGGATCTCTTTAGTCCACCAGTGTCTGATAGTCTCGCGTGTCCCGGCCCGAATCCACATACCAGTATTGGCTGGAAACATAATTATGCTCTTTGCATTTTTGGATCAGTTTTGATGTTGAGAGGTCCTTGCGCTTCAAACAGGTGAGACATAGTCCGTGCAGCTCATCTTGGAAGAGGTTGACCTCGTTCTCGATCGTCCCACTCCAAGACAATCCACAACAAGCACATTCGTCCTCAAAACAGAGCGTGTTATCGTTAGGCTTCTGTTGCTTGGCAAGCTGCCGGACCATGCAAATGGCTTCTTCCAGAGACAAAGATCCGCTATCGAGACCGTATGGCCAAAGATCGAGATCAGATAATGCTTTGAGGTACTGTGCCACTCTGTATGCTTGCACATCATACACCTGCGGTACTTCTACCTTTCGGGTCAATGTGGAAATGACGAAACTAGTTTTTAGCCCACTGTCCTCGCAAAGGTGAACGAGCGCTTCGGAACTGATCCTGCTTAGCTCTTCAAGTTGAGCTTCGGCCATTCGTTCCAGAACGTCTTGGACAACTGTCAGTACCAAGGCACCGTACGAAGGAGACTCGTTCGGATACAAACTCACGATGAACTTTTGATGGAAGATGGTTGCGCTGGAGCTCAGAAATGAACTCCTCGTTTTCCCCATCCTTTGTGCGCCATCTCAGGTATGCCTGACGGGAGAAGGAATTAAATGCTCCAGCATCATCCAAGATATATGCTATGCTGATGAATTGAGCAAGGTCATTTTTGGAGGTCGAAAGCACCCTTGGTTTGTCCTTTTCTTGATAGAAGCGATGATGGAACCATGATCTTATGATCGCAGTGCAGCCGTATTTGTCCGCCGCAATCGCTATCGGCAAGGCGCACGAAGGGAATGCTCCCAGAGCGGCGTCCCATTTGTGGTGAAGGATCCTGCACAATTCCACCATGGTCATTGGCTCGTCCTCCGGCAGCTCCAGGATCGGTGGCTCGACGGCGCTTAGTGTAAGCTGACCTTCACGGAAAGACCCGTCCAACATAGCTTTGAATACCGGAGAACACATGGTCATGAACTTGCCAGAAACACGAATTCGTATGGTCTTTGGTTGCTCGTTCTTCTTGATATCCTGCAGAGCCGTGTCTGAGTCGTCATTACTGCTCCCTGAGTCGTCATTGCTGTTCCTTGACTTGTGGTTGCCGTTTTGAGAGTCGGTTTCGTCTTCCTCCGACATACTGCGATCACTGCCAACTTTCAAAACCAGGTCGCCGTCCGGGTCGACAATGACGAGCTCCGCTTCAAATGGAGAAGCCATGATGTGGGTGTGCTGTTCTGCCTTGAGTGAACGAAATGAGGAGTAACGGTATATTCAGAAGACAGCAAGCCGAAGGTCATGTCTGAGGTGACGGAGAAGTGGTGAGAGAAAAAGAGAAGAAGAGAATGAGCAAATTGAAGCGGCGGATCTGGCATTTAGAGGCAAATGTGACAAAGGTGAAGATAGAAATTCACATTAACCTGTTGCAGGTGAAGATGAAAAGGTTGGGGGGGAATCACATACTTATTAACCCTATGTCTTTGACGACTTCCAATCTGATGAGTTGCAGTGGTCCACGGTTACCAAGCATGTACCAGATGATTGTGTACCTTCCATTCGACACTTAACAGACAATTGCTTCCTGTCGCTGAATAAGAAAATCCCAACACTACTGCCCCGAACGACCATATCCTCAATGAGACCTTACTCGCACCATGAGGCATGCCTCTCACAGCATGGATCTGAGTCTTGAAGGATGTCGATGTCGGACACGGACACGGTCTCGTCCTTTGCACACCCTAGGCAAATGCCACGCGCCCTCTGGTTTGCTGCCTTGATCTCCTTGTCGAATAGCTCTACAAGGTAGGGATCCGGAATGCGTTGACAGTGAAGCTCTTTTGGGCAGTTCAGCTTTTCGTCGCGGAAGTCAAGTTCGCGCACGCGCTGGAGTTTGCGTAGCATGGCACCTGGTGATCGTCTGGAATTGACCTCAGGGTCGCTGCAAGGCAGGAGCGACAGAGATACGAGTGTAGCGCTGACGATCCCGATCCTTATGGTCTCCCCAAAGCAAAATCCGTTTTCCGAGGGGTTAGAATCGTTGGAGTTAGGATCACTGGGATCTGGCTCCGTGGGGATCGGGGCGAAATAGCCATACCACGTAGGCTCCTGACACAAAAATGCAAGCAGTGCTGGGCCGACCTCAGCAAGGTCATTGATGTAGCGCTTTCCAAAAGCGCACAGGAGTTCAATCAGACGTGCAGGCACTTCATCCTCATACACTTCCTCGAGCTTGGAATGGATCTCTGCTGGGTTAATGTGGGTGTAGAACGTCTTGGATGCGAGCGCAAACAGATCGGCATCATTGATGACATAGCACAACTTGAGCATTTGCGGTACACTTATATCTCCTTTCAGAAGAGACTCTGTGTCGAAACAGTCATTGTCGTCGCGGCCAAATCTCGACAGCTGGCTGCGAAACCAAGAGCGAAGAGCGTTGGTACACATGTACTTTTCTGCGAAGATACCAAGTTCATGAAGAGCCTTGTAGCCCTTAAAGTGGTGCACGCCGCGGCTGCAATGGATGATCTCGCAGAAGAGCAGTGTTGCCTGAGGATCATCCTCCGGCAGAGACACTGTTGGCGGATTCTCCTGGTTGAAGTGATGCTGTCCTTCAGCAAAGCGTCCATGCAACATCTTCTCGAAAACTGGTGAGCCTATAGTCAGCACCTTAGATGACACCAGGATGCGTAAAGGGGCCTTTTGTTGCAGCTCTTGGACAGTTTCGGAAGATTGGTGTCCATCTGCGCCAGTCGACAGTGCATCCCATAGCAAACACCCAGCTTCAAGTACGACGTCACCCAATTTGTCGACAACTTTTAGATCCAGGTTCTCTTTGATCGACATGCTGATAACCTGTCAAGAATATCCTCGAGCAGAGAAAGGTGCGACAAAGGTTGAAGATGTTATTCTGCGTTAGGCGAGTGTAGATCAAAGTTGGAATCGCATGGATCCTTGGCGATGGACCAAGAGACCCGAAGAGATGTTGTCGTCTCTATATATATATGTATGTGTAGTTGTGGCAGTATTTGGGGACCTGAAGTGGTGAATAGAGTGGAGGTGAAAGCATGAGCGTGATGCGATCTGGTCGACTTCTGACAGTGCCTTCGCGCTGGTAATAGGCAAATTAGTGACAAAGGAGATGGAAGCATGACTATGAACTGTTCGCGGTGAAGACTCTCAATGGACCATCCCCACAGTGCTGTCATTGTCTTCATGGCACGTGGACACATTTGCGATGAGAACAAAGCATCATTTCGTGGAAAGAACACGGCATCACGTACTGCATTCAGCAGCTTCTTTCAGTCCGCGAATCCGTCACACGTCATGATGATTGTGAATCAGGGAGCTGAGGAACAAGCAACAGCCGACTGCATAAATCAGATCATGTGTGGGCTTCGTACCGACGGCATTGGAAGAGCAGAACCAAGTATTTTCGGATGTCGATGAAGATAGCGGCTGTAAGGCCAGATCACGCGGTTGGGATACTTCCTCCCTGTGAACATATCAGCGCGGCCCAGCCCGATCGCCGTCGTTCGGAAGCAGGAAGCAAGAAGCAAGAATTGGATGACGACCACAATTCCCGAAGGAAAGCAGAGCCTAGATCCAGTTGTGAATGTAGTGCTTGAACATTTTGTGAAAGTGTATTTTAAAACCCCCAATAATGAATGACCTTACCTGCATATCCAATCAAAGACCATTCGAAAAAGTCATCGGCGCTCTGGTTTATGACCAAATGCTCTCCTGTTTCCCTGCCTCCAGCTCTTTGAGTTGTTGTCTCAGCACATCTGCCCTGAACGACCGAAACGCCTTTTTGATCCTCTCCTCACGATCTGGATTTCGGGCGATGGTTCTTCTGGCTGACCAGGACCCAGTGAGCAAGCCAGCCTCACCCCCCAAAAACAGACCAGCAATACCAAAGAAAGCGTATGTCACAAAGTCTCCTAAAGGCGTGGGCTGTAACAAAGGGCTGATGTCCGGAATAGCTTCTTCGCGACCGCTTGCGAAACGGACGTGCGTGGGCTTCTCGGCGGCACGGAAGGCTTGATACATGGCATTGCGGTTGGCTCGTAGACGGTAGGCGAGGAAGCCTCCTAGTGCAATACCGGCGAGTGAGCCGATGAGGGCGTGTCTGGAGGCTTTGGATGCAGCAGAACGCAGCAAGTCGCGGTCTTCTTCTTGTAGACTAAGTGCAGGTCAGTTGGTCCGATGTCAAAGATCTTAACTGAGGGCTGTGTGCTTGCTCACTCATGCTTGAAATGCTCTTCTGCAAGCCTCCCAAGTTCCTCACCCTGCGTTTTCCGGAGGGCTGCAAATGCTTGGCCAGACATGGTGCTTTTCTGTTTCCGCTCTTTGTTCGTCTACCAGAACTGCTTTCGGAGTCACAAACCACTGAGTTATGCTGTGGAAGAAGGAATGGAGTAATCTTTCATATCTAGATATGAATGAAAGTTCTTATAGCCATCGCCTGCGCAGTTCCGGAGCTCCAGAACAATTCGTTCACCATCTACGTCACTGAGCGAAGCTCCCGCACCACGGAGATGCTGTTCCGGCAGCATCCCTTAAAGAGCTAAATATCCGCCGTAGGCATCACCCGGCATTAGGGTGAGGGCCGCTGCTGAGCACCAGGGGTCAACTTACCCATTTACATATTGCCACCAAGATGGTCCCGGGCCAGTTTCCTCTATGAGGTGATAATGCAAGCTCAGCGTCACAGTCTGTACTGCCCAAAGAGCCCACTCACCTAGCAGTTCTGGAATGTATACTTTGCATTTATGAAGGAACTTACGTCGATGGTTTCTTGCACATACCTAGGTATACATGTCCTTATCCTGGAGCCGAACGAGTAACTTCTCGTTTGTAACAATCAAATCGGAAAGTGCCCAAGGCCCCAATAAACATCGGCACTCCTTGGCTTCTCTACTTCAAGGCCATAGCCTTGAAGTCGCTGCTTAGATTGCGTATTTCCTGACTCGTCAATTCCTTGGCCTGCAATAGGAAGAGACGTCGACGGCGTCGGGGCCTTTTTCTTTGCCTGGACGAATTCAGTTTCTTGCGCCTTGCCAAGCAGATGTCTGAGCGCCGCGACAACGGTTTTTATCTCCTGCGAGGATTCTGAATCGTTTGATTGCAGCCACACAATGTATGATGAGCTGAGTGTATCAAACACGCGGTCGCCCAGGCCTGCATAGTTGCCGCTATCGCCGCCAGCGATGGAAATCTGTGCATAATTGGGAGAACTTGGATCAGCCAGAGCAATCTCCTCCCCGAGCTCAACACAGAGGATGGCGGTTGCAAAAAGGAAATCCTGCGTAAGTAGGGACAGAAATTTCCAACCATGGCGACACAGCTGACCACCGACTCGAGTCTCGAGGTATAGAGCCCACTGATGCTGAAGGATTGTGAGGGCAGCCTCGATACAGACTTGGTATGAGTATACATATTGTTGATGATTTCTGCCAATGGACATGTATCTGCGGTGCAAGACAATCTGTGCTCTGTGATAGATGAAGGACAGAAAAGTGCAACGGACGCTGATAGTAGCAGAAGATTGCGATAAGGATGAGGGGCCTTGTGGGCGTGGTGTAGGTCTCCAAACGGGGATAATCGATTCGTAAGCGCTTGTAAGTACTTTGTCCAGTCTCAAGACCTCCGAGTACGGACAAGCATCCGCCGCCATCGTAAGATCATTGATCCTCCCAAAAATGGAGAGAAGCTGATTTTTGGCGACGTGAAATTGAGGTACAGTTCGGGAAGTTTCGGGCCTTTGAGGAGGCAATTCGAGCATGTCTTCGTCAAGGTCTTCCTCAAGGAGACTCCTTGGATCCGCAGTATCGCAAAGCGAAGGATTGATCATGCGCGGCAGTCCGAACTGGATAGAGAGATACATATCCCAGCCAACAAGCATGGTCCAGACCCTGCGGCGCCTCTCAGCCTCGAAGCAAGAGATCGAGGGGAAATGGGATCCGTCACGATGATAGCCGGCTCGGAAGGCAATTCGGACAAGGGTTCCCCATACCACCCAGGGGCCATGCAGATTCTTGGTCTCATCTCCCCTCAAGGCCTCGATGAATAAATAGAGCAAGAGGGTTTCCACTGCATATCGAGGGCCCTGGAAGTATTTACTCAGGACGAGGCACTGAATAGTCTTCTGACGATACAGCCGGACGAGGCTTTCTGGTTGGGACCCCGCTATTTGCAATCGGCGTTCCTCATTTGGGGAGAATTGTTGATATTGCACTGCAAGGCACATCAGACCAAACAACAATCCGATCCACATTGTTGACGCTGATGTCGGATCTTCCCAAAATCTGTCGTACTGAATTCAGTGTTAGTGGTGAAACGCTGGCTGTGATATCGCGGGGGCCCTACCTCTTTCTGAAAGGTCTGAGGATGAACAATCACTGTCGGAGTCAGCGCAGAGACTAGAGATGAGACGTATTCATCGACTGACTTGCTTCATTATCGGTATTGATAAAACATACGGCAATCAAAGTATCGACGAAATCCTTCGAAGGGATGGCCTTGAGAATGTCTTCTCTGTTGATTCTCTCAGAATATCCGAGGAGGTCAGGCTCTTCCTCTGCTGCCTCGTTGATTGGGTCGTCTTCGTCGTCAATTGGAGAACCAGTCTGGAATACATCTCTCAGTGCAGGAATCTGAATATAGGTTGGTCAGCTCTCGGCCCATGGAAGCTACCGAAAGCACAAACCTACGCCTCGCAAGATAGCCAGCCAATGCGCACTCCCAACATAACTATCCCTGCCTTGAGAGTATTGAAACCACCCATTTGTATCCGCAAGGAGTCGTGGATCCTGGTGATAGTCTTCTCTGTGGTGGTCCTGGTCTGGGGTTGAGAGCACCTTGTCCTGCAATGCCGGTGGAGTAGGGGCTGCCTGCTTCAAGGCACCCATCAGGTAGTCAACCTGAGTCTCGAGCTGTTTCACCCGGTCCCTGACATTTGATGCAGGCAACTGTTCCGGACTTTTCGTAATCGTTGACTCTGGCAGGCTGGAGTCTGGAAAACGGCAAGAATCACCAAGCCCCCGACGCGAGCAGTTGTGGCAGGGATGGCAGCGATCACACTTCAATCTATGTTGCCGCCGGTGAGCTCTCCAGCGTCTTAAGGGAGTAGGGGCAGCATTCACTTTCTCTTCCTACACAAATTGCAGGACAACTGAGGCTTCTCTCGACGTCGGCGAGCGGCCTTTGCATCTTGCTCTTCCAGGGACAAGCGCATGTTGCGGATATATGATTCACTATGTAGCACGCATCGGATATTCTGGATAGCTTGAGTAATATATTTGTGGGCGTTGCTCACAGAACGAGCCTTCGGAGAGAAGGAGCATGAGCAGGACCATGGATGAAGCGTAATACAAGTACTCCCGTACTACCTACCAGGCACTATTCACCAGGTAAAAGGCTCAAATTGCCCCGAGCCCGATCGTCCGACCCTCCGATGGCCCAAAAAGGAAAAGCGCGCAATGTCACACAGCCTTGCACAGCCTTGTCATATTCCTGCGGAAAATATCCCGGCCTCGTGGTCTTTTGTGTTGTTCCCAAAGTCTTCATGGAGTCGTGATCAATCGAGGGACTCTCCGCAACTAAAGGTAGGCATCATGGCAGACAGTCTCTATGGCATTAAACAAGCCTCGAAGACCAAAGCCAAGGAAATCTCCTCCTCCACTTCTCTCGCTTTCTCTACGAACTTGGCATCACTGATCTCCAGCTCGTCCTCTGCCAAACCAAAGGACACATCTGGCCGATCGCGTCCATCTAAAGACAAATCAGATATCTTCACTACGCACAATAAGAACGTCAAGAAACGTTCCGCCGCCGACCTCGAAGATGGCCAGCAACGCCACAAGACCCGGGATGATATCGGCTCGGTCGATGATGCAGAGTTGCATCGGTCCAAGAGAAGGATGCAGGACAAAGTCCGCCTATACAACGCCATGAAGCGTGGCGAATACATTGGCAAAGAGGACCATGATAACCGTGGTCTGGTCGATTTCGACCGCAAGTGGGCGGAAGATCAAGCAAAACGTCAGGGAGGTGACACTGACAGCTGCGAGTCAGATGATGGTAGTGTAGACGAAGAGGAACTTGTGGAATATATGGATGAATTTGGTCGACTCCGAAAAGGAACGAAAGCGCAGGCTGCGCGCGAAGAAAGAAGGAAACGTATGCAGGCCAACGCTGCTGAAGAAGAAGAACGACTTTCTGCGAGACCAACAATGCCGAGTAACGTTCTGTATGGAGACACTATTCAGCACCAAGCTTTCAACCCTGACCAAGCCATTGCTGATCGCATGGCCGAAATCGCGAAGAAGAGGGACAAATCTGCCACTCCTCCTCCGGAGACACATTACGACGCCAGTGCTGAAATCAGGACCAAAGGAACTGGCTTCTACACTTTCAGCAAAGACGCAGAAGAGAGGAAACAAGAAATGGACGCTCTTGAGAAGGAAAGACTTGAGACGGAGAGAGTGCGCAAAGAACGGGACGAAAAGAAGGAGGAAAGGAAGAAAGAAATTGAGGAACGACGGAGATTGATTGCTGCACAGCGCGCCAAAGCGCAAGCTGACAAATTTCTCAACGAACTTGACATCGAAGGGATTTGAAACAACTGTGAAGTGCTTCCTGCACTGGCTGAGGATTAGCCGACTGTTCTGTTCAAGGTGACGATGCGGCTAGTCACGGCTTTCACAAACATCACTCCTGCGTCAGGACTGCCTGCATCAGTCAGCGATATAAATACAGTCTCTGCAGCATTTTTTGAGATTCTTCATGCCTCCATACATCATGGCTGACGGGAACAGAGGTAGCATTGAGCCAGTTGGCCGTCCAGATCTCGCAGCGGCCATTCTCGGCTCGCTAGACCCGGTTGTCAGCGTCCCTATCTATCTAATGACAACTTTCTTTCCTCACTATCGACATGCATTTTCCAGTCGTCCTTGGGCCAAGAGGCTCCTGTCCACCATGCTTGTTGGAGGATTTGGTGTTCTGCTCTTCGTCCGACTGCTTCGCCAACTCTGCGGCCAGTTCCTTTGGAACGTCCTTCTCTACTGCACAACCATGGTTGTTCATTTAGATTCCGGAGACGAACTTTACCTGGCGTTGTGGTGGCTCTACCACAAGAAGAAATTGCGCATGAGGACCAACGAATATTATTATGGCTCTATCACAGACATGATCAATGCATCGCCGGAGAACCAACTCCATTTGGGCCTAGCCAGTCGTGGCAGGAATGGCAAGCTCGTCCTTGTACCGGATCCGACGAATATGGCATTGCACTACAGGGGCCGGAGCTTCTTTCTTCGCCCCGTTTCGGAGGGAGATGCCTGTACGATCCGTTGTCTGGGTTGGTCTATCAAACCGATTGAAGATCTCCTTGACGATGCGTACGAGGGTTACAAAGCCGACATCGCTAGATGCTCGATCTCACTCTATACCCCCTCTACGGATCCAGGAAAGTGGAATTCTTGCACACCGGTCTCTGCCCGGAGCCTTGAATCAGTCGAGACAGGGTTTCAGGTCAAGACGGCTCTTCTTGCCGACATTGACAGATACTTGAACGGCAAAGACTGGTACAGAAGACGGTCCATACCGTGGCGAAGAGGCTACTTGTTCCACGGGCCACCTGGCACGGGCAAGAGCTCGTTGGTGACAGCCCTTGCTGCGCATTTCCAGCTGCGAGTATATGCGATTACTTTCTCGGACGGGCTCACCGACGGTGTGCTTCATCAATTACTGCGTCGGATCAGTCAAGTCAAATGTATTGTGCTTTTTGAAGATATTGACAGTGCTGGTTTGACGAGGGAAGGTCAAGATGTTGATAGGGGTGAAGTCCCTGATCAGACCGAGCCCAACGAGAAGTCGGAGGAACTTTCGGATCCTCCGAGACCCCTCAAGAGCCGCAAGAGGTGCGCTGTCACTCTCTCCGGTGTCTTGAATGCGATTGACGGCATCGGTGCTCCCGAAGGCCACATTCTGGTATGTCAGCATTCTCTCGGTCGGCTTGTGGCCCTTGAGAGAAGTCTAATGGCGACTTAAGACGATACTGAGGAGGCTAACAAATGTTATAGATCCTAACGAGCAACTACGCCGAACGCCTTGATCCTGCGCTGACCCGTCCTGGCCGCGTCGATTACCGCTTGGAGTTCGAGTTGGCCACGAAGGAACAGGCTCACAACATTTTCCTCCGGCTTCAGGCGAGCAACAGCCATGGTGAAGCACGTGTCGGCCTGGAAGAGCTGGCCCAGGCCTTTGCCGACAAAATCCCGGAGAAGGTTCTGTCGCCTGCAGAGATCCAGGACTTTCTCCTGCACCGCCCTGACGATCCTGAGAGGGCAGTCCGCGAAGCCGGTGATTGGGTCAAGGGAGTGCTCGCAGCCAAAGGAAAGCAGCAGGAGATTGTTGACGGCGATCCGGACGGCCGCCGCGGGAACTCGTCAAGGCAGCGCCACGAGGGGCTCTGGGCTAATATCTTGGCTTCTATCTCCAAATAGTCCGGGCTGACATGTATTCGACACAGGCATTGCTCATGTACTGAGATAAACTTAACCTCGAAGGCAGCCTGGCGAAGTGGATGGGATGATGCTTTAGCCGCCCAGCAAACAACCCAGATGAACATAAACGTGTTGTATTCCGAACGATGGCATCCAGATATTGTCACCAACATGTGCTGGGTTGATCTTACTGCCTGTTCAAGTTCTTCATGAGATTGAGCTGCGCTTTCCTGTACCGGGCAGCTTTGCCCACTTGCATTCTTACAGAAGCTGCCACTTGAACAAACAGCAAGCAGGCAAGGTGTTCAGTTGTGGCGCTCCTACATCTACTTAAGAAGAGAGCTGTCCTCTCTCTTCGTAGAAGAGTAAGCATTCAGAGATCTTCCTTTGTGTCTCGCAATCACTAATGTGGCTGTGACTTTGACTCTCAACTTGACTCAGTCAGTCCCTTACCACCGTCGAGCAAAACCACCCGGCCACCCTCCTGGGATCAGAACGACGAATCAAATTGGCCCGAGTCATCAAGTTCCCATCCCGAGTCGTACACCGCCGTGTCCTGCCACGTATCTTGTCCCGTCGTCCACTCCGTGATCTGCACGCCACTGACATCTTGCGTTGCGTCCATACAGGTCGGGTCTGCGGCTGCTGTGCCGGTGTCGAAAGTCCCGGTGCCTGCGGTACCCACAGTGCCCGAGCCATTGGAGCCGTCACCGTATATCATGTTCGACTCTGCAGCCACGGCTGCGTTCGTGATGGACGCGACGGCGATGCTGCTGACGACCTCGTCGAGGAAGGCCTGCTGCTGGTGCTGGTGCTGTGCAGCGCCATTGGGTCTCGTCGGCCTCGGGACGTGATAGCTTTGAGGTCTTGACCAAAGAGCCTGTGGCGGAGTGCTGCTGATCCGCTGTCTCGTGGGAGGGACACTATGTCCAGCTGGTGGGCGCGCGGGAGCGGGTCCGAGGTAGCCTTGCGTCGGGGGCTTAGGAGAAGCAGTAGGACTGAATGGGCCTTGACTCGGTCGCGGCGACTGCTGCATGACAGGTGAGTGCTGAGGCCCTGCCGTCGCGTATGTCGAGGTCGGGCGCGGCATCCGCCCGTGCTCCGCCCGGTCGGCGGCGTCGTTGAACCTGGGAATCGGGTGGACGTGCAATTTGCTGGCGTACTGCACGCAATGAGCACACAGCTTGAGCAGTTGGTCACACTGCTGACAATGTAAGGGCGAGATAGGCGTCGTCTCTGAGGAGCAGGTCAACGACGAGCACACCCCGGCAAAAGGAAAGAAGGAAGAGGAAGAAGAGGAAGAAGACACATACTATGCAAGCAGAGACTGCACTGTTCCCCGCCATTTGCCACCAAGCCGTCAACACGCATGACTTTTCTCTGGCACTCCCGACACGACCTGGCGATCACATGGTTCAGGTTCTCTTCGGTGTAGACGTCGATATAGTCTGTGTGGGCATGGGCCTTGAGAGCCTCTACGGTCCGCATCGCTGGAACCAGCAAACACCTTTCGTCAGCAGAGCTATACCATCTCGACTAGCTAGCCTCTGGATGTTGGCCCAACGATTGGTTGTTGGAACTTACGTTGCGCACACTGCTGGCAGTAGATGCCACTGGCCAGCCACCCTGGCTTCGCGACTTGGAACGTCCACTGCCATGGCTCGTGGTTCAGCGGGTGGTTGTGACCGAGAGAGTAGCAGCTCAAGCACCGGTACATGGGCTCGTTCAGCTCGACGAAGCACGTCTTGCAGAAGATGACCGACTGGCCGAGCGAGAATGCCGTCGAGCACGCGCTGCAGTGGTTGACCGCGGCGGCGTCCTTGCAGCAGGAGTTGCCGGGCGAAGTGGTGTCGCTGCTTCTACTGGCGCTTTTGGCCTCGATCACCTTGAAGGATCGGTGCGGGTGCGTGTTGACGCCGCGCGAGAACCAGCACGCTCGACACAGCGTGTACGGGCATTCGAGACAGGCGTATCGACACGCCGCCCGCTTTTGACAGGACGAGCACGGCTGGGGATTGCTCTTGTTGCTGGGATCGTGGGTATCTCCATGCACCATCGAGACCGACGCCAGGGCATGGCTCGGCTGGTGTTGCAGCCAGCAATGCTTGCAGAACGGCAACCGGCAATAGGTACACTCTGCGAAGGTGATATCCCAGGGAATACCTAACATAAAAATTAGTCCCAGTTCACTCCCCAGCACGGTGGTTTTCATCTAAGGAGGCTGTGTGTGTATACCGGTTTTACAAAGGGCACATGTTCGTCCCGGGCCCTTGCCATCGAAAGCCGGAGCAGTCATTGCAGAACAATCAAGCGTCATTGGGGCGGGACTGTGGATGATCGAGCCCTTCCATTCACAGGGTACACAGAAAGATAGCTATCAAGTCGGTCTCCGCGGTCCACTGTCGGTCTGCTCGAGGCTCTACCTATAAAGGCGTTCGCCGTACGAAAGCAGCAGTTGGGAGATTGCAGATGGGAGGGGTATGGGCTGTCCGGAGATTCCCAGCCATTGAGACCTTTGAGCCTGCAACATTGGGCTACCCTGCAACCCCCATGTGGCTCGCCAGGCAGGCTGTGGACGCTGGATGGGGAGTTACCTGCACGAAGCTCGCCTGGCGTCCAGGGTTGGACTCTTAGCCTGGCCCAGGTTCTGGGAACTATGTGTTGCCAGTTGGGCTTTTCTGCAGGCCCCACTGACCAAAAGCAACCCTGTTGGCGGAGGACGAGAAGCTCTCCCCACGGTTGTCGAATGGTTCAGAATCAGGGGAGCCTGGAGTGAGGCTGAAATGTCACGGCTTCGCACTTTCGAGTACGGGGAGCTCGGTAATGTGCATACGGAGAGGCTGTCCATATGCGTTGTTTCTGTTCTATTTCCGGCGCATATGCACGATTAACCCATTGCTGCAGAGAGAGTTCAACACCCCCCCAACAATTATCATTCATTCCAGGCTGGCCCCCATCCCTTGAGAGAAGAGAGTTGGGAAGCAAAAGAGGGAAAAGGAGCGAGCAGAATCAGGCTGAGTGGCGAACCCAGACACAAACACACATACACACACTCTGTCTGCTTCTCTCCCTCCCTCAGCTGATCCTCGTGTCTTGCGACACTCATGCAGCCTGGCATGCAGCCTACTCGCCGTGAGCCCAACCAATAGACCCCAGCCCCGGCTTGACATTTCCGTGGCTTGGGCCCAGGTCGAAGGTCCACGAACCTATGAGATTGCGTGTGCAGCCTGGCGGAGCGCCTTTGCGACCGCATTGGCGAGCAAGAAGGGTGATGGGGGTCTCTAGCTCTCTCTGAATACGAGGTCAGTCAATCAACCGATACTCGTCCTCCAGACGTGGGAAAAAAGGGGGCGAGTTCTAGACTGGGCCTAGTTGGGGCTAGTGAGGCTCTGCGCAGAAGTTAGCGCATGTAATGGTGAGTGATGCCCCAGCCCCTTTTCAGCCTTACAGTTCTCGCATGCTTTGCTCACCATGACGATCGAGGGCAGTCCTGACGTGCATGGTACTCGTCTGTATGTACGAGGTATTGATCACGTATGCACCTGGTCATGTATTCACCAAGTACGGAGTATGTAACCGCGAGTGCCTTCCTCGCTGCACCAAGGTGCGAAAGTCGAACGATGATTGGACCCAAGGGCATAAAGTCTATCCCTCGCAAGGGCCTATCTGTGAATTGTCACACCTTGTGTTCTAGCTCGTCGGCCAGAAGGTGAGTGGTTGCAGACATTTTGTATCGAAGGAGAAGGGTTTGGGGCCTCCTCTTCTCCCCTCCCTGGCCAAAGAACTCCCGGCACCGGTCCTCGCTCAACCACAGTTCTTCTTCTTCTCGTCTCTACATATCCTCGCGGTAGGATGTCGGCGACTTGAAATCCGAACTATGAGCCGAGGGGACGTTCACAACAGTGCACCCGTAATATGGAATGGAAGGGGCAGCTCCCTGGAAGTGTCAACTGTCAAGCCTCAAGCGTCAACCAAGCAACCTCAAGAGACAGAAAAAAGCAACGCGGTGGCGCCTCTAGAACCCCAGAGCCCAGATCGCAAAAGCCACGCCGTATGAATGGACGAGGGAAATGGGAAAAGATAGCCGGAAACCAGGAAACAGAACCGTTTCAGGCGTTACCTACCCCCGTCCCCCCGTGTCCGGTATGTACTAACACGCAATGCCAGTCGTGAGGCTGAGCTAGCCGCGTCTGGATTGGCACATTTGTAGGACTGCTCCCCCAAAAAAGGCGACGGAAACCGCCCAGACGTGTGAAAAGATCGTGTAGGGTCGCACAGAAATCTTGGCTCGCTCCCCTGTTCAAATCCGACCCAGAAGAGAGTCGAGACAGACGGCGAGGCTAAATATGGGTCTGGGTCTTTGCAGCTCGAACCGTTCAAGACAGCGGTGCTTGTAGGTTTTCCCCCCCCTTGCATAATCTACCTTGCTAGCCGGCCAGCCAACCCAGGAAATACGAGTTCACTAGCGAAATAGTCACTCGTAGGTGACTCGTATATAATAAATAGCTCAGCCATTTCCCAGAACGAAAGACGGCCCTACAGCCCCCGTCCCCTCCCTAGTCATCCATCTTACCCCGGTCTCTCAGCCTAATCGTCGACCCGTACGATACACTGCGATTCCTTCTTTTCGGCCATTCAAAATCTGGTCTCTATATCCCATCCATCCATCCACCCTCCGCCGGGCCCCCTCAATCCTTCTTCCTCGAAGCGATTCCTAAGGCTCTACGAGTAATCATCCGCCCACCTCTCCCCTTCAACCAGTATCACGTCCTTGCATTCCTTCGACTCGATCAATCGACAATCAAGTAACCATGAATCCCGCCTTCGAGAAACCCTCCCATGGTGGTAAGTGGCCCTCCGCGCCGCCTCTGAATAGTATCCAGCACGCAGGAAAGTGACTAGTCTAACATGGACTCCTCCCAACACAGTGGAGACACAGGCCACCGAAGTGTTGATGCCCGGGTACGTACCTACCAAACCCACTCTGCGTGCCGTCCAGGACGCGGCCAGCAAGGTACTCTGGTACTGATGCAGGACTCACACCAGGGATCTTCGTTTCCAACAATCGCCCCATGTGACGGGGCCCAACAACAACCCAAGCATGGGCCCGGGCCCCATGCCACCACAGCCGAACATGGAGTACCCCGAGAAGGCGTACGGGCAGCAGCAGCAGCAGCACCCTCCTCCTCAGATGCAGATGCCTGCTCAACAACAATACGGCCAATACCAGCGCTCCGTGTCGGGCAACTTCCGCCAGGCCGTGGCGATCCCGAATCTCGGCATGTCGGCTGCACCTGTTGATTGTCCCGCGTGCGGGCAGCGCGCCATGACCAACGTCAGTTACCACACGGGGAATACCACGCAGTGAGTTCTCTCCCCCCACCTCCCAACCTTGCACGTATGAGAAAGGCAATGGGCGCGCGCAAAGCTTTCGAAGGAAAAAGCTGACAAAACCCGCAGTGTCTGGGCCGGAGTCGCCTGCTGCTTGACCGGCCTCCTCTGCTTCGTCCCGTACCTGATGAACTCGTTGAAGGACGTGCAGCACCGCTGTGGGAACTGCGGTGTGTTGCTGGCGACCTGGCACAAGAGCGGCGTGGTCGAGGTCCACATGCACGGTTGAAGGCTCGTGTGTATATACCTAGGTATATATAATGCCCGGCGTGTAGGAGGGGGGGAGTGGTTGATGACTGGAAAACTTTGGGCGTAATTCATGGGGCGGCCTTGGGGGGGTTGAATAAGGTATGTACTTACGGACCGATGGACACACACGGTTCATGTAGAACCGGTATTACCTTTTTATTGTTTTTGTATTTCTGGACTTCTCGCGAGCAACAAAGGAGGGGTCATTAGGGAAATGCAAGCCCAAGCGAGGCAAGGCCAGGCCATCGTTGCAACCGCCAAACCCTCCCTAGACCCATCTATGGGCGCTCCTAATTGCAGCGGGCAAAAAAGGGCGACGTTGGCATACAGGATAGCACCTGATGACGAAGACGCGGCATTAGTCTTCTCATGCAATCAATGTAAAAAGGAGTGGCCACACTCGAGTCCCGAATGGACTTGGGTACTTGTCTATCGTGAGGGTCTGGGAGAGATAGCGGGAGGGCCTCACTAGCTACTAGTAGTAGGTAGCCAAGTAGGCAGTTTGGTGCGGTGCACGTGTCTTTAAGGGGAGGGAAAGTCAGCCGATGGGCAAGGCTGGCGCTGCGGGACGAGGCTGAGTACTGGCGTTGCTGAGGAGGAAACAGAGTGGCTAACCAGTAGAGACGACCAATGCAGCCCCACGGACCCAGATTAGACACATATATTAAGGGACATACTAGATATTCATCTCTCATAGAAAAAAAGCACCTGCCACAGTCCTCTGTTCAACACCTCACACCCCATCAAACAAACCCCCTTTGGATCCTCGATCGGTACAACCCAACCAGCTACATTTCCGCACCACCTCATGATGAATCCGTCGGCCCATAGTTCGTCGGAGCGATACCAAAGCGATAATTGGCCAAGTCAAAAGCAACATAGGCGTTCTGCAAAAAGGTGTCACCCAGAATCAACCACCCTCCCTCGGACGCAACCTCGATGCCGAAGAAGCAGCTGTCCGAACCCGGGGACAGCGGGAGCACAAGCGCCTGGAAGGGGATCGAGATCTTGAGCTCGTCGCCAAAGTAAAAGTCGACGGACCCGGCGGGGATGCCAGTGCAATCCACATTGCCATTGTTGACGGCGAAGGGAAGGTAGCCGACGATGGCATTGTACATGTCTTGGGGCACGACGATGTTTGTGGTGCCCGAGTCCAGAAGCATGTCGAGCTTGACGTCGACGGGGACGAGTTGTTTGGGTGGATCGGCGGTGGTTCCCCAGCCCGTCAGGGTGATGGCGTACTCGCGGTACACGCCGTCGTCGTCTGCCACCATGGGCCGCCAGACGATGTCGCCTTTGTAGGCTGTTTCGTCGACACCGCCAAAGAGAATGTACCCGCCGCTGTCGGGACCAATCAGGTCGGACCAGAGGCTGAACAACGGCGTGTCGATGGTGCCGGAGCTGACCAGCATGTCTATCAGGTCAGGATAGCCCGGCTCGGCTTCGTTGGTGTCGAAGCCCAGGCCCGCTACTCCGTAACTCAGATTGCCCGTGATGGCCGTCGCCAGCCCGAATTGTACGTCCTCAACTTGCACACCACCCTCGAAGCTCGCCGTGTCCTTGAAAAAGTCCCCCGACGCCACGCTAGTCCCCTCTTCGTATGTGATGCTGAAAGCGCCACTTCCGACCACTTCGTAAGTGCTCGACTGGTCCGGATCGAACGACCAGAAGCAGTTGGGCGTGATGCTGCACAGGTCCGGGGGAAACGCCCACGTGTCCGAGCTGCCCGTGTCGACGACGAGCAAGATATCCTGCAGAGGGGTGCCGATGCCCACGGAGATCTCGTATTGGGATTCCGTCGGATCCCAGGCTATCGTAGTCAAGAACGAATCACCGTCATCTTGACGTCGGCGTAGGGTGGGCTTGTTGACTCGTCGAGTCTTGAGCAAGATAGACTTGCTCGACCGGCGATTATATTCCTGCAGTGAGCTGGATGGCGCACCCGTAACAAGCTCCGTCAAGAGCAGGAGTGGGAAGAGCAGGCAGAATGCAGCTAGATGTCGCATTTTGTGCTGGAGTGTTCTGAACAAGAAGAAAAAAAGCTCAAAATCTGCGTGTAGAAACGGAACAATTCGATGCCCGCTCTTTATCTTTCGACCACTTCTCTTGACTGGCTTTATACCCAGCACACTACTCGCCTGGATGTGGCAGACTCACCCGTTGGCAATAGCTAGATCACTCAGCCGCAACAGACTTGTCCTCTGTAATAGCCTAGCCGGCCCTCTCAGCCCCAGGATCTAGGCTGCTAGACTGTCTAGGCTGACCACTCCCGTCCTCACCAACGATCGCACCAGCGTGTGACAAGGCAGACAGCTCCGACGTGAGACAGCATTGAAAGTTTGTTGCAGCGTAGCATGCCCGCCCAGAGCCACGGGACTGGGCTGAAGGAAGGGTACTAGCATGACAGACCCTTGAAACTTTGCCATGTTTCCCATGCGGGCACCAGGGCACGACAGGCGGCATCGTCGGAGAGTGACCAAGGTTTTGAGGAAGAGGAAAAGGGAAACTTTCAAGCTCATCAAGTCGCCGTATTTTGATGCTTCGGCCGAGCTTGGCACCTTGGCAAGGCTTGGCCCGTCCTCTCACGGCGGCGGGAACGGGAGAAACTGTACCTAGGTAGGGCTGAAAGGCGGGATAGACTTTCATCTTCTGCAGCTTGGGGCCTTTTGTCTCGCTTAACCTCGTGTTTCTCGGGGCCTAGATGAGGTGGAAAAGAATGTTTGCTGCCTTTACTCTGGTGTCCAACAGACCGAGACGTTCCCACCTGGGGCTTTGTTACGTTCGCTTCCATATCCTCGGCACCTGCAGACGAAAGCACCTCCAGGACTCCCCCGCTTACAGCTCCCACACGATGGTAGGTGGCTCAATCTGGCACTAGAGGAATTCGCTGCTTTTGTGAGATGCACGAACGAAGTTGCTGAATTCCTACAGGGTCTATGATTGAGAGTACTCAGTAGTAGGGATGACTCTGCTGGCCGGTTTGGGCTGACCGTACGTTGGGACCCATCCCGGAAGCTGTGTCTTGATCAAAAGGGCGACGAATGTGCCTCCGAGAAGCCGCTCAGAGAACCCCAAGGAAGCACAAGCTGGGCCTTAGGAGCATCATAAGCCAGCTCGGCTAGAGCTACAAGTCTCTGCGCTCCAGTGGATAGTGGATATTTATTTTCAGTGGATGTATGTCCCTCGATAGTAGATATATCTGTAGCCACCGAGTATGCAGTACCTTTCCTTTTCTCCCCCCGAGTCCCAAAACCATGCCGTGTCCTGCCATGCATACGTAATTATTGCAGATATATTACACATAAGTTGTCAAAAATGCGTTGCTGTTTACCCGACGACCCCTTTTAGGTTCACGCTCATGCACATAAACCATCCTCCATGCTCTTTCCATGCTTCTCACCCTTGAGATTCCTAAGAAGTTTCCCTAGGTAGTCTCGATCACACCACGAACGCAAGGAGACCCAATATACCGGCAAGGACGCCCCACGCCACGCTCTGCTTGGTTGCTGCGCCGGTGAAGATATCAGGTGTGATCGAGGGCACTCCCGCATCTGTGCTTGATCCTGTCGGCCCAGGAACGAAAGTCGTGGCTGCTGCCTCAGCTCCTCCATCTGAAGACAGAGATCCACTGCCAGAGCCCGAGCCCGATCCGTCGCCAAATCCAGATCCATAAGACCCAGAGCCACCCGCAGGAGGAGTAGTGGGCATGGGGACCAACCCGACTTCCCCTGGACCTCCACCATTACCGTTACCACTATTTCCGGCTGCAGGGGAAGTAGCAGGGCTGGTAGGTTGAACAGTGACAAAGGTAACCTGCGGTACCGTAACCGCGCTTGTAATCGCGCTTCCTGAAGCTGTGACTGTAAACGTAACGGTTGTGACAGGGACGGCCACCGGTGGAGTTGGAGATGGGGCAGAGACGCCGTTGCTAGCCCCGGAGACAGAGCCAGACAGAGGTGGTCTTGGTCCGCGGCCGTTGCCATTGGTAACCGTAGCGGTCACTGTACCGGTGTTGGTCACTGTCTGCACCTGCGTCCCTACTGTTTCTGTCACCGACCCAGCGGGGGCAGGCGTAGGCACAAGAGTGATAGTCCTTGGCACACCGGTACAGATTCCCGGATTTTGGGGAACAAAATCTGCGCAGATGCCTGCTAGATAAGACAACGCCGCTGTGACCTCATCATCTGACGACCCCCAAGCAGAGACACATTCCTGGACAGAACTGATGAACTGTTGGGAAGGGCAGAAGCACGTTGTGTCAGAGTTTGAGGCACATTTCGGCACGAGCGAAAGCCATGTGTTCAAGCACGAGGGGAGCACAGAGGGACAAGGAGACGTCGGCTGTGCTGGAGGCGGGGCTGGTGGCGAAGACGCCGGAGATGAGGAAGGCGGAGATGAAGACTGTGACGGCGGCGTCGACTGTGCTGGAGGCGGTGAAGACGGAGGCGAAGACTGTGATGCCGGCGGCGTCGTCTGAGACGGTGGAGGCGAAGCAGGTGACGAGGGTGGCGGGCTTTGAGGTTGAGTCTCTGTGGACGAGGATGTTGGAGGTGATGAAGGTGGCGATGTAGATGGGGATGCTGAAGTTGTCTCCGTGGTAGCAGGAGGTGTAACCGTAGATAGGGTGGAGGGTGGAGGCCTAGTGCAACGGGTGCAGACCGTGGAGGTTGACGTGATTGTGATCGTTGAGATAGTATTCGTGGTCTCAGTCACAGTCTCGGTACCACTCGTGCGAGTATTGGTTATGGGACATGTGGTGAGCGTCGTCACCACAATTTCTGTCGTGATCAAGTCAGTCGTGGTCTCGGTCGAGCTTGTTCCGGGCGTTGTGTCAGCCGCTGTAGTAGTAACAATGGCTGAGGTGGTGGTAGTCTGTTGGCTGGATGTTGTTGAAGAGCTTGTAGTTTGCTCAATAGAAGGCGTAGTTGTCGTTGTATCTGGAGTCTCCTGAGGTGTGGTCGTAGCTGTAGTCGAAGAAGTCGAAGACTGTCCGACAGGAGAGGTAGTGGTAGTGCTTGGAGTTTGATCAGGCGTGGTTGTAGTTGAGCCTAGAGGAGAAGTGGTGCTTGTGGAAGCCTGCTCACTGGAAGATGTTGTCGTGGTTGAGCTGCTTGTCACCGGAATAACCTGCGGAGTAGTCGTTGAATCGACTCCAGGCGTGGTTGTGGTGGTTCTAACTAGAGAAGTCGACGTCACCACCGGAGTTGTCGTTGTGACGACTGATGCGCTCGTGGTCGAACTGGCTGGCGCTGTGGTTGTCGAGGAAGATGACGAAGATGACGACGAGTCGTTGCAGTCGAAGCCAATGGAGTGAATTCCGATGTCGCAACCATTGCTGCTGCCACTAGGCGGCATCTGAAAGGACACGGATTTGGCTCCACCGCACTGCGTGTTTTCCACAGTAGTACCGCTTGCACTGCAAGATGCGGTGTGTTTGCAAGTAGACCCATCGGGCATGGAAAAGATAAAGTCCAGATCGGTGTCAAACGAGACCGAAACTTGCATGTGTGTGATCGAGAATTGGTCATCTTGTGAGCAAGAGAAGGTGGGACCACTGTTCGACGATGTGCTGACTTTGCCTTGGATACATTTAGACTGGCAATATGTCAATAGATCAGTCTGGAACCCGGGAGACTGTTGTTCCTACCTGGAAATCATCGCGTATACGGAGCGATCGTTTCTTTGCATTAGGTTGAAAGGAATCCTGGCAGGAAAATCCGCTGAAACCGAAACCCCCATAATTGTTGAATGAACCTGTTGGCAGACCAGACCAATCGAACCCACTCTGCTGATCAGTCGTGCAGCTGTTGTTGGTGTTTGAGACGCTGGAAAAGGTCGGGGAATCGCCCCAGCTTGTAGCAACAGCCTGCTGTATAAGCCAAACAATAGCCACGAGACCGGCAGTCGATGCAGATTTCATGACGGCGATTATGATGTAACAAAACAAGGATATGTGAACGAGCGAACCTGGCTGCGTTGGAAACGAGGGACTTCTCCTGGAAAGCGAATGTAGAAAGCGAAAGACTGCAGGGAAAAGAAAAAGAAAGCGAGGCACAAAAGACGAGAACCTTGTGATGAGCAAAGATGAAGGTTGCTACATCCTCGAGGAAGCATTCGAGCCTTTTGTATCCACGACAGCGCGGTTTGGATCTCACTTCGAACTGCCTTCAGGATGTAGGCCATGTAGCGGCCATGCATCAACTGGTAAAAATGCAACTTTTCCATGGCGGGTCCAATACAAGACATTCTGAAGGCGAGTAGACAGATGGCGCGCGCAACAAGCAAGTGGCATAGGGTACTGTTGCGGTTGTGGATCGAATTTGGACGGGAGTCATGGCATTGAGCACCACGAATGGAGAGACACCAGCTCGGAAGAGAGAAGGCTGAAACAGAGATGGGTTCTCGAGTAGTATCCAGTAGAGCCTTGGATCCACGTCCCAAGACCCTCGAAATAGACTGTTTTGGGGCACTTGAAACCAGTCAGGAGTGGTGTCTTGGGCTGGGAGAAAGAAAATGGCCAGTCGCACCCAGAAACACACAAGTGGATGGCCGGACCAGATGCTCAGTGTCCGCTATCGAGGCTGTGTCTGATATTGTCCAGCTTCAGAGCTCCGCTGCGTAAAGTGTTATGGATGGTCGTCGGACGAGCTGCATACGCCGGGTGTTGTCTCCTCGCGCTTGTCGGCGTAGATTGCAGTGGTTTGAAGATGAAGCGGAGGCGAGGCCGAGCATGGGTGTGATTGGTCGGGATTCAACCTCATGCTTGGCCCACTAGTCTATTTTTGAACCGGGCCACGACGGCGGTTACGAGATGAGTCGCTGGAACACACACCCCTCGATGAATTGCTTCAGTCTCGGGTCCGCGCGGATGGACAGAAGTTTTCTCATTCCACGAGGAGGAATAGACGGCAAGCCGCCACACGCATCCGCAGGTTGAAGTGGCAGTCGCATCGAGATATTCCCATCCTCCATGCTAAGCACTATATTCAATTGTAACGAACATATCCCACCCAAGTCCCAGGACCACGGAAGAACGTGCGATGTGCACAGTCAAGATCCAATTTGCAAGCGCAGAATAACCCAGTCAGCTGGCGCCAATCAATGCATCGACAGCGGCGTGTCGTGATTCCCCAGCTCTGTCCTCTATATTCATAACGCCATGCACCGTATGCTGTCGTCACATCATGATGCCAAACCCAAGATTCTAAAGGATGACCTCTCCGTCTCTTCACGAGGGTTCCGCCTTCGTGGGATCTGCATTTGCTGATCGTTCCATCAGCGTTAATGACGGCACAATCTCCTCAATGCTGTGAGCTGTTCCATTCACCGTGCCATTGACGTGCCCGTTGGTGGGCAGCACACCACCAACGTGGAGCACTGGTTTGGGAGCAACTTGCTCCGAGGTGATCTTCCCTAGTTCGTCTGTTTCCCTTTTGCCACTAGGAGGACTGGGCTTCCCACCTTGGCCATTCTCTACACCTGATGTCACGGATTCTTTGTTTGCCTGTTCGCTCACCTCAGCGATGCTGGCTTCGACTTTCTTCATCACTCTCTTGAACGGCCGACGCAACTTCGGTCGTTCTGTCGGGCTCATTGGTGGTTCTTCGCCGTTCGTCGTCGAGCCGGGTGATTTTTCGCCATTCGTAGTTGAGCTGGGTGACTTGCTACCGCTTTCGGCCGAACCGTTGGCATCATCGACAGGGGATGAGTTGGATTCAGGGGTCTTGACTGAGTTCTCCGGCGCTGCTTTGGTTCTGTGAAGATACTCGTCCAGCATGGCTTTCAGAGCAGTCTGGCGGACTGGCTTGGCAAGGTAGTCGTTCATTCCAGCCTCGAGGCACTTCTCTCGGTCGCCACGAATTGCCGAAGCCGTCATGGCAATAATCAGAACTCGACTTACGTTAGGATCTGGATCGGCTCTGATTGCTTTGGTCGCTTCATATCCATCGAGCACAGGCATCTGGACGTCCATCAGCACCAGGTGAAATGGCTTTCCTTGTTTACTCTTGGCCTGCAAGGCCTCGTAAGCTTGCTTCCCATCTTCATAGGCCTCACATTTCAAGCCAAGCCGATTGACGAATGAAATGGCAATCTTTCTGTTGATCTGATTATCCTCGGCAATGCAAACACGCAATTCCTCACGGGGAACCTTGCTCAGGTCACAGAAACTGTACGTCTTCTGCTCTGTCTCTGGACTGGCCGACTGTGACCAATTCGCCATGGGGTCTGGATCCTTAGCAGAGATTTGGATTTCGTTGCGCACACTGCTGTTCTTTGGTGCTTTCTGGAATGTAAGTGTAAAGGACACCGTCGTGCCGACGCCAGGCGTTGATTCAATCCAGATCTTACCGCCGAGCACGTTTTCGATCATGGCCTTGCAGATACTGAGACCAAGGCCGCTACCCCCATACGAACGCGCCGTGGACGAGTCGGCTTGCGAGAAAGGTTGGAAAAGCCGTGTGAGCTGCTCCTGCGTGATACCGATACCAGTATCTGCAACAGAGCAAGTAATTTTGACCCTGTCTCTCGTTTCGGCATTCTTTCGAGCTCTGACCGTGACGGAGCCCTTGGGAGTGAATTTGTAGGCATTGCTCAGCAGATTCATGAAAATTTGGTGGAGGCGGACTGGGTCACCGAGGACCAAGTTATCGTCTATTTGCAGGTCTTCAATAGTCTTGAGTCCATGTTCCTGGTTGGTATAGGCTAGCGCCCGCACCACCTCGGTGATAGTCTCTTTCAAATTTAGAGGAACCGTGAACATCTGCATCTTGCCAGCCTCGAGCTTGGAAAAGTCCAGAATGTCGTTGATAACGGTTAGTAATGTGTCCGCACAGACTCGGATGCTGTCCGCATATTGTTCTTGGTCTTTACTCAAAGGAGTACCCTTGAGTAATTCGGACATACCGATCACGCCGTTCAGGGGAGTTCGGAGCTCATGACTGACGTTGGCGAGGAAAATTGACTTCGCTTTGGCGGCTTCCTCCTTCAATTTGACATTATGCATAGCCTCCGCCTCCGCCTTCTTGGCTTTAGCTTCTGCCTCACGTGCTGCTACGAGGGCCCGCTTCTGAGACTCGACCATGCTGGCATTCGATGCGCTAACTTTGCGAACCTTTCTGTAGAGGAGCGCGTTGCCAAGTGAGATGGCGACTTGGTTCGTAAGAAGGTTGAGAACGATCATATTGCGCTGAGTGAAGGCGTTTGGCCGCCCCTCGAGATGGATGACACCCATCAAATGATCAGCCTGGATGATAGGTATGGCAATGATCGAACGTCCATGAGGGTTCCTTGCCAAATATGCATCACCTACATTGGAGAACCGATCATCTTCGAGAACGTTGTGCACGAACACAGTTTCTTTAGTCCGAAGAAGATAATGGGTGATCTGCTGGGCGGCCTGGTCGTCGACCTCTGAGAACGGAATTCCATCGGGGTAAGTTTTGACACCTGTCTCGTGGTCTGCGCTTGCTGCAACACACCATCCTTGATCCTCGGAGTCAATAACAATTGCGCAGAATTCTGCCTGCCCACCAACAGATTCCAGGATGACTGAAATCATTTTGGAGAGGAGATTGTTGATTTGGAGCTCTGAGCTTATGACGCGCGAGAATTCCAGGATAGATGTTAAATCGAGGATGTCGAGGCCTAGGCCGGGAACGTCCTGGGGTGTTTGAGTCGCGACGGCGGCTTTCGGCTGCACCCATTGGTTTGTATATTCTCGCTTGTTCTGGATCTGCGCACCTTCACCTACAGTCAATGCATGCAAATCCTGTGTCTGGGTAGTGGCGTCCATGGTCCTCGAGGTAGTGGCGGTTTTGATCAGCCACTCATGCTTCTCTTGAAGCTGCCGAGCTTTCCCTGCCGCATTGATCCTGTTCCAAGCGGCAATGGCTTCTTGGATCATGACCTTGCCGGCTCTCTTTGCCCCGCGCAATAGGAGGAAGTCAGCCTGCATTTCCACTGCCAGCGCCTCTTCCATGGCGAACCCGTGAACTTGACAATGGTCAATGGCCATTTCGAGGTTGGAAGTGACGTTGTAGTACACTTTAGTTATGTCGGAAATAGCGGCTTCAAGTATCCTGGACCACGCAAAGTAGTTCACATCATTGACTTTTCCCCAATCGTCGATGAAGCGTTTCATCTCCTTGGCCTCTTCGATATAAGGTCCACGCTCCTCTTCGGGCTTCTCTTTAGCGACCGCGATGAGAGACAGGCCCAGGTAGAAGCGAGTGCCACAGGTGGGCCTATTAGACCAAAGCTCATCAAGACTTCCGACGATTAATTCTCTTCCCTTTTGGACGACGTATTCATGGTATCCCAGTAGATGGTAAGCGACAAGCGACATAGCGTGGAATATGTCGCGAGAACGTTGCGCGTTCGCAGCGTACATTCCACAATCCGTCAACCATGACTCGGTTTGGTGATCTTCATCGTCGAGAAGAGTGGCAGCGTCAGCTGCTATGGTCTTTCCTTGCAGCGCCCGTGACACCTGTCTGATAACAGTTAAAAGTGTCCCCCCTCGCCGATCTTTGTCCCAGTCATCAAATTCTTCCGGGCCGTAGTTGCAGAAAGCCTCCACTTCTCCAAGGTCTTGTCCAGCCCAAAACCTCGAAAGAGCCATGGCTCCAATGTTCAGGATGCTGACAAACTTGTCCCCGGATGACAATGAATATTCGAGTGCGCTATCGAGTATAGGGAGAAGATTTCGCACTGGAGTCTGGTAGTGGCCAATAAAAAGGGTGTACAGAGTCCAACCTCTACCTCGCGTCCAAGCATCGTCAAACATGGTGTAGAATTCTTGTGCAATATCGCCATAAGACAGGCCCAACTCGATGTCCTTGAAGCGGCCAATAGCGGCAGCACCAAGCATGGTGAAGCCGACTCCAGCCTGAACAAAAACACCACGATCGAGAATTGTGTTCACATAGGCTATAACGAGTTGGTACCATAGCAAAGCGTTCGACCAGTAGAGAGCGCCAAGGGCTTCGGAGAGAACTGTACCCAGAGCGATTACGGTCTTGTCTTCGCTCAATGGAGCCGTCAGAAGCGCCTCCTTATCAAGTTGTTGCAGTCGGAGCTCTAGCTTCTTGAAATCGACGTCACATTCCTCCCAAGTCGTTTCCGGTAAAGCAAGGCCTAGCTCTGCCAGACATTCTCTTTGAGTCATGAACGCATCCATGAATCTCCCTTGAGAAGCCAGTACACGCCCTTTTAGGATAAAAGACCTAGTTTTATCCGCAGAGCACTTTGCATGAGCGAATGTCTCGTTCAGAAGTCCCAGGGCTTCAACATCCTCTCCTTGAAGATACATGATTTCAGCGGTGTTAACGTGAAGTTGGAGAGTTTCGTCATAGAAGACATCTGGGTTGTCCGTGTTCCACTTGTCGTCTTGTAGCAGTTTGAGCGCAGACTTGTAATACCAGAGGCCAGTAGCCTTCGCGCCAGTTTCGATTGCTTTCTGCGCTCCTCGCCAAAGGACATCGCGATAACGCATCCGCGTTGGAATCCTCTCTTTCACGATTTCTGCAGACAGACAGATGTGACGTGCCAAAGGGTACAAATTATACTTGCATTGGCTGAGGTATGTCATCATAGCTTGCGCGATAATGAAATGCATCTTGGTAGTGTTCTGACATTCGCGCATTTCGTTCGCCGCTTTCAAGTATCGCCCGTGCGCAAAGCGGAATTCGTCGTCGGTCTCACCTGGATTTATGATGAACATGTTGACCAGTTGTTGGAGCCCATTGATGCAGTCAGTTTCTGATAGATTCATTAACTTGGCACGTTTGGGACAAGTTGCATCATGCGTCTGATCTCTTCCGCTGCTGAAGAAGAAATCCCCAGTCACAATGGACTGGATCAACTTGAAGGAGAAGGTCGTTCCGATCAGAGAGGCCCATGCCAGGATTGACCTTGCGGCGGGTGGTAACTCTTGCAGCCGGCGGGTCAGATAACCATTGTCCGTGCAGCCTTCACTGCTGAACTCATTGAAAATCTTGTCTAAATCAAACTGCCATCCTGATTCTTTCCAATCATACCACAAACAGTTCCGTTGATAGCATGTTTGGAGGATATCCTTGACCAGGAACGGATTTCCTTCTGATTTGGCGTAGACAACGGCTGCAAGGGGCAGAACTGTTTCCACCGGCTGAGACATTGTTGCTGCAACATATTCGAAGACATGCCTTTCGCGCAAGTTGGCCAATTCGATCTTATTAGTAGAATCGAGATCTAGAAGTTTGACTGTCGGTTCAGGAACGTTTCCATCCTCCACTCTGCTCGACAGTATAAGCACAGCCGGCACCTTCGCTCTGATGATATGCATCAGCAGTTCGATTGATTCACTATCTGCATATTGAAGGTCGTCCAAGCAGAGACAAATCAACTTGCCTGTGCAGATTGTGCGTAGAACATCCATGTACGTGTTGATGAGTCGAATGGACTTGGTATTGGCCGGACCACGCAGAAAGTCGTTGGCGTCCCACGTGCCGTGGTGAGGTGGAATTGTATGCGCCTTGGGACCGCCGCTGTCAATTGTCGGAACCTCAGTGTTGATGCTTTGATTTGCGGTATCGGGTTTGAGCAAGAGCTTCTTGGAGAGGACAGTGACATCAAGCAGTGTCGAAGGAAGGTCCAACATCGAGTGTAGAATCGGCCAGAAGGGCGTAACGTGCGCCCGAAGATGCTCATGGTATGGCGAATTGACGTCTTTCTCTGAGAAGATCTGTCGGAAGAGACTTGCCATGACCTTGATCAGAGGCTCAAAAGGAGAAGGCCGGGCCCTGTCGAATCTGCCGAGGGCGAAATAGCCATGGCGACGGATAACAGGTTGTACGGCCTTGATCAGAGCAGTCTTGCCAACTCCCGCTGGTCCCAGGATGGTTATGACCTCGGTCTTTGACCTTCGCTTGTATTTGTGGCTGTTTCTCCTTCGAGTCATCATCCCAGGCAACATGTCACTTGCAGGTTGCAAGCCCCCCGAGAAACTGCTGTCCCGGTCGGATAAGACGTCCAATGGTGTGATTCTCGGGTCAGCGATGCCACGAGGACGCTTTCCTAACAGATTGGTTTTGGTACCATATCCTGGAGTATACGCACCATCCAACCCAATAGTGGTGGAGTTACTGCGAGACTCCCGGAAACCGAACGAGCTTGAATCGTCAGAACCGGGCGCCTCTTCCGCTCCATCCATGCGGCTGTCCGAAACGGATGAATTGGAGCCGGCACTCAAAAGACCATGTTGCGAAGGGGAGGGCCTCGTGACAGACGAGGTGTGCCGCTTGTGGGCCTCGTCAATAATCTTGGTGATACGTTCGGTCTCGGCGTGTCGGCCAAACTGTTTGGTTGGGAGAATGAAGAAGGACGAGACGTCTCGTTGCCCGACCTTGTAATTCTTGATCTTTTCCTGATCACCTTCCCCAAGAAACTTCTGGATCTGTACCAAGTCATACCTGAGACCACTCATTGAGTGGTAACGCTCATCCATCTGCTTTTGGGTCATCTTTGCAATGATATGTGCAATGGCATCAGGAACATCCATGCGGACTGCGGTGACCAAAGGAAGACGATGGGTGAGGACACGCTGAACGATATCGATGGGAGTCTCTGCATCAAAGGCGGGCTGTCCGGTGAGCAGTGTCCAGAACAGAACCCCCAAGCTGTAGATATCTGTGCGACTATCGGGCTCCGCTGGTAACCTCCCCGTTTGCTCAGGAGCAATAAAATTCAATTTATTCTTGACGCCAATTTCCCGGCTGAGGTTGGCCCAACCCTCACTGGATAGCAGATTTTCGAATGCTCGGGGTCCATTCCCACCATTAGCCAGTTTGACCGTTCCTGTCTCCCGGTTCCAGTGGAAAGTATCTGAGCGAACCTCTCCATGGACACTATTGGCACCGTGATGCAAAAGCTCAAGGGTCTCTGCAGCACCGACGGCGAAATCTAGAAAGGCCTGAAGTGGTATCCGCTCGCCGGGGGTTCCGTCGGCGGCGACACTCATCCTGTGGTTATTGAGGCCATAGAACGCTGGTCCCATGTCCAGAATCTCCCTAAGATAGTTTTTGCCCGGAGCTTCGTATACACAGACGACGATAGGTCGGGTATCACCGGGCGTGGTAGGTAGCTTGAAGATCTCGATGGGCCGTATGGTATGTTCGCACTCCGGGTCGGCATCCCTAACGATCGCCTGGTTATAATAGAACTCTCTTTCCAGCCGCACTACGTGCATGCTGATGCGTGCCACAACAGGCATCCATATTGGATCCGGGTCGCCTTTGGAGGACAAGTTCTCGCTATCAGTCGAAGTCCCGCTAATGCTACTCCAGTGATTGTGTCGGAGTGCGGGACGATGAGGATCGAGTTTCGGAGAGCTTCTGGTCGAACCGGAGAGGACGGAAAAGCTGGTCAAGGTACTAACTGATGCGCGCGGGTTGATGACATCTGGATTGTGAAGGACACCGTAGACATGCCTGCTTGGAGGGAGTCGGGATTAGTTTTTCGAAGGGCGCGAAATCTGGAGATCGGGCGCTGTGGAAACTCACCAGTGATCATAGCTGGTGTGGAACGGTACGAACTGCAACAGATCCCAAATCAGCAGCCGCCTCGCGTTTCATCTCAAGGTTAAATATACCGAGCGATCCCACGTATAGTTTGGCACTTGGGATAGACGTTCAAAGAGCCTAGCGGGCGCGATGGGCAGGTCCTCGCCCAAGATTTCGTCCATTTTCTCGTACTGAGGGCGTGACGTGTATGATCATGTCATTTTGCAGGAATAAAGTGGTCTAGGCTCTCGGAGTGGAGGCAGCGACATCCACGAGAGCGACGGCGACGACGGCAACGACGGCGACCTCAATCACAGCGTCGAGGACAGTGACCGAGCGTGTATTGATAGGAAGCGGAGGGAAAGGAAAGATCCCGGCTAAGGAGTCGAGACACGAAAGATTGGAAATGGATGCCGGGATCGTCTGCACGATCTGTGAGCGAGAGGCACCAAAGAAGGTGAGTGTGCGTGGTTGATGATGATTAAGCGTCTAGCAATGACTATTCGGGCAAGGGCGAGGAAGCGGGCGGTTTGGGGGAGGCTTCAGACAAGGGCTCGGCCGGGCTATTCGACTTGGGTAAGCAGCCACCCAGCAGCACCTGGCACCCTGGGTGGCACCTAAACAGATTGTGACCCCAGTCACACCACATCGCAAGACCCCGGTAGGTAGAAGAGGAGCACACGGCTCCCAGAGGCACAATCACAGGTCAGTTACTAGGTAGGCAGCAGGTTGTCGGAGCTGGTCAAGCTTCGAGCGCTGGTCATGGACAATCTGTAGGCCAGTAGGAAGAGGGCGAGGGGGGCTCACCGACCCAAGCCCAGCAAATTGCCGTCGTGCCGTGGGCGATGCTGGTCAGGGTCCTCGGTAACCATCGAGGCCATCCTTCTGCCCCGCTACGAAGACCCTGAGGCCCTGAGGGGTGGAGATAACGAGCCCTGGGTGCACGGGGGTCGAGTCGGCGATTTTGGGTGGCATGCATGTATGAGGTGCGGAGGACGGAACAACATTTACCTACGAGGTACTTAAACTAGTACATGCCGCACTGAGTCGCTGACTCGGCGCGGCTTCTTTGGTTGTTCAGTTCAGCCAGGCAAGATTACTGATATAGGCCTAGATAATAGTGCCCCCCGAGGCACAAAAGGAAAGGATCATGCACAGCATTTGTTCGACACTTATCGTTCTCCGACATCAGAATTTGATCTCCTAGTGCTCCGTTCACCACCTGTGCTCCAGCTCCAGATGACTCCGCAGTCAGCATCCCGGATCGTGCCTGTCCGGCAATCTCCAGCCACATGATCATCGTATTTGATACTAGATTCCTCTTACCATGTGTGATTCAGAGCCTTTTTGGGTTCTCGCTCGTCAGTGTGTGACAAGGTGTGTGACAGTCACAAAGGTCATTATCATCGCCCACAGGTGATACACGCCACGAAGACATCGTCCTAAAGCAATGTTGGTGATTGGAGGCGTGATACTGGGTGGTGGAGGCGTGATACTGGGTGGTGGAGGCGTGGTTGGGATCGATGCCGCTGGCGTACTACCCAAAATTACATTGCTTCCAGAGAGAATTGTCATCGTGGCCAAGTCACTGCTGGCACTGCCCGCGGAGCCGGTTGTGAGGGTAGGCAACGGCGCCATGCTTGAGAAATTGGATGTTGGTTGAGCTCCCACCTCGCTGGCTGGTATCGCTGAGCCGACTCCTTTGCTGGTCCATGGAGTTGGCATCAGCAATGTTGAGGTGTTGGGTTCTTCCAGAGTGTCACCCTGGTAAATATTTCCTGTCTGTCCATTCGCCAGCCGGTAGTTCCCCGTGATCAGGTTTGCCCAGTCGCCGTTGGGAGTGGTATAGTTTCCAGAGGTAATTGAACCGTAAGAGCCATCGGGAAGGTAATAATTGGTGGTGAACTTGTCCTACAACCAAGAAGGATGAGTCCCCGACCACGGTGTAGGAAGAGAGGAACGGTACCCAGCACACTGGAACGTTGTAGCTCAGGACAAGAAGACACTGTGTTGTTTCGGCACCTGATCATCATCAGTTCATTTGCTGGGTCGTTGTCGTTGTGAGCTTACAGCATAGACTCCCAGGGGTTTGTCTTGCTCGATGAGCAGGAGCTATTTCGCTGTCGGATGGCATGACATGGACTGGCGCAGGCTGAGGATCGACTGTTTGGATTAGATTGAGGTACAGCCTGGCCAATCCAGGACCAATCTCAGGCACGTCCCTAGTGGAAGCGCCGCCAGGTGAGCAGAGATCATATCCCGAGCCACATGATTGACGAGGATTGAGGTCAGCAAGGCAGAGGCGCAGGTGCATGAACACGATCAGAAGCACAAACGAGAGTGGGAGGGAAGACGGGACCATTGTGATGGAGGTGAGCAACTTGACTGGCGAGGGATTGCAAGGAACTGAATGCAGAGTCTCTTATGGCAAGGTCAAGCTCACACCTTGAAGAGAGAATGAGAGAGTGATTTTGTGAGGTTGTGAGAACTGACAAGTTGTGTTGCTCACGGCCAAGGGAAAGTCCTGCCCAGGCGCAAGGACAGTGAGTGCCAGTGTGTTGGAAAGAGCGAGCCTGCTGCCTTCTCTCACATCAACCTCAACCTCAGCTCTTCCAGCATTTCACGCTCGAGGCTCTGGAGGGATTTGTTGTCGTCAACCATGGAAAAGCCGATGCATCACGGAGCGAGGTCTTTCTTTCGCTCGCTCAGCCTGCTCTCCGTCCCAAGTTGCCGTCACGAGAGTCGACGGTGGTCTCGCTCTTGTTCCTGGCCTCCCATGGCAAGACTAAGTGATTTAGTCCAGCAGTCATCAAATGGTCATGTTTGAAAACCCACTCTTTGACACATGACCCGTCGATCAGAGCCTTGTGAGACACCCAAAACCACATTCCAGCTCACGGGGCACTTCAACATCAACAACGCATCAGAGCACGCCCGCCTTCCCTGCTGCTACCGACAAGTAGGAAATGTTTTAGTCAAATCACCGTCAACTTCGAGAGAGGGTGCCTGCCACTTGAATATTTGGACAGAAGATCCCCAAGTAGGAGCAATAGAAACTCCTGCACCTGAAGCCAGAAGCGATCACTGATCGTCCACGAGAGATTGATATCTCAATCCAGGGCTGGGCGTGATCTCAATCTTCAGACATCATCGGACCATGCTTTCAATAGCGCGTCTGCAAGGCCCGCGACTGTGTTACTGATTGTCCCTCGCGGGCAGCCATCACTCCTGATATTTGTTCAGTTTGACACGCGCTCCACAAATTGGCGTCTGACGAGCCCGGCAAGGCGCGCGTCAGTAATGCGAAAGAGGTGCTTGAAAGCTAATCTATACAATCCAGTAGGTGGCAGGAGTGGCTGATCGCCAAATATCAACTCTATTGAAGCAAGATTCTGCAGGCGAGGAGCAATATTCCTCAGCCTCCCAGACCCAATACGGCCCCGATCGGACGCCACAGTCCTCGTATTCGTTGAAAGTTTCCTTGAAACAGGCGATTTCTGGCAGACTTCAGCCTCGTCGTTTATCGACTCGACAGCCAATCGTCGTCGGAGCCTTCGGCCTGTGAGCGCTGCACTCGGCGCTCGCGTCAACCAGCCCCTGGCAACTAGCGCACTTGCTCCACCACGGTCGATCCCCATAGACGGGTAGTTGATCGGATAAGGATTAAGGGTTGCAAATCACTCCGAATGCAGCAGGGCTGGGCATTGAGACATGAAGCCTTGTCTCTCACACTAACCAAGATGCACCGGCGATCGACGGCAATCACGTCTTTATATGCCACATCGAATTTCAATTCTGGGGATCACAAGTTATCGGAGATTTTGGGCAACCCAGCACGACCGACGCGTCTCTTGCCACTCCTATCCCGACGATGATCTCGGTCACAACATGGTGTTTACAGAAGGCAGCAGTTGATGTATATAAACACTTCCCTTCCCTCGGTTGTAGAGGCACTTCTTCATCCTCATCAACAGTAATACAAACAACAGTCGCTCTTTTCTCTCTCATACTCTTTCGTGCAACCGATCTAATTAATTCTTCTTCCAACCTCCTTCCTCTTCCACCAAAAACAAGCCCTTTCAACCGGCCTAATACATTCAAAATGCGCTGCTCAAGCATCTTCGCTGGCCTTTTCATGGCTGCCTCTGCCTTGGCTCTTCCTCTGGAAGGTAAGTTTCTCCACCCAAATCACCGGCTTTCCAAACACGGTACTGAACGGATGCCCCAGCCTCTTCCAACACGGCCCTGAAGCCCGTCGAAGCCGTCAAGGACCTGTCCGCCCGTGCGCCTGCTCCGCAGCTCGACCTGACCGGCATCCTTGATGATGTGACCACCTCTCTTGACGACCTGGTCTCCTCCCTGGAGACGGTCTTGGACCCTGTGATCGCCGCAATCCAAAACGTCACCGCCGCGATCCAGACCCTGCAAGCAGACACCAACGTCACCGACGATGATACGACGCTCGCGGACTCCCTCGTCACCCTTCAGGGTCTCCAAACCACGCTCCTCGGCCTTGAGGGCACCGATCTGGATACCGGCGACGTGACCGACCTGGACAACGTCAACACCGCGCTCCAGAGCCTGCTCGACTCTGTCAACAGCCTCCTCACTGTCGATACCACCAACACTGACCTGACCAGCATCCAGACACTGGTCAACCAGCTCATCGCCACCGTGAACGACCTCACAACCACTGCTAATGCTGCCACTGTCACTGTCACCACGTCCAAGTAAGGCGACTTGAGTGACCAGGGCTTGGTTCTTGCATCTTGGCATTGAGCAAGCGAAGCGGGACAATTGGGGCTGCCCGTTTTATGTGGCGCCGGCTTATCTTTCTACGACAAGGGCTTTTTTTTTTCAATTCTCTCATCGGCGGAAAAGGGGACAAGGAAGTTGGATGAGATCATCTTTTTAATTTAATTCATACATGCTTGGGAGTTGCATGACAGAAGGAGTATACGAGTGTCAACAGGGGAACCGGATTACACTGGATACAAGGGTACGAAAACTAAACATGAACATCAGTTGCATGGGCATATCTTATTCCTCTTGATAATGACTATTACATTGCCTCCATCGGGGGTCATTCAACCTATTCACACGAACAGACCGATTCCTTCCATTTTGAAAGTGGACTCTGCAATCAACCAGCCCCAGGCCCTGCGCTCACATACGATGACAGCATATTACTGTTATCTTTTCTTGTGGAAAACATTTCATCCTTCGCCCATACCCAGCGAGTGCAAACAAGTATGCTAAACCACTCTCTGTGCCGAAGCTCAGCGATTCGGCTCGTCCTCTCTCTCGTCTCCATCAGACAGGTTGGTCGGATATGCTCGCATACTGCGCTATTGCTTGCGCAAGTGCGTCGCCTTCGGATCCGTACCCGGGGTCCTACCACTGCTGGTTGTTGAGCCGAGTAACCTCGCTGACCTCTTCGGCCCAGTCGCCGGCACCGTTGATGCTGTCCATCTCATTCACAGCGGGCAAAGTAGGAGGCACAGAAGGAATGTTCTTACCACCGACTCCCATTCCGATGCCGGAGTCCTGGGTTGCGACCGAGTTGGGAGGGCCCAATGGTCCTTCGCCGCTGAACGTATCCCAATTCTTAGTCTCTGGAGAAGCCACAGTTGTTGCTTCGTCCCCTCCGCCTCCGTCTCCGCCTCCGCTGGCGCTGCCGACCGCATGTCCATTTTCGTCATGGTGACCATTGGCAAGGCCGCCCGACTTCTTCGCTTTGTCCTTTTCCTCCCATTTCTTCCGCACTTCCGCCTCGTTCCTCTCACACCAATCGTGCAAATCCTGGTCCAGCTTGCTGTTCTCTTGCCTCAAAACGCTCAAAGTCATCATCTCCTCGGGGGTCTCGTTCTCATCAAGCTTGCCGTTCCACCACGCCCAGAACACGGAAGTGGCAGCAACTTCACGAACGGCCTTTTCTTTGTCGTTGGGCAGCACCGCCAGTAGAGGGGTCGTGTAGAACCATTCGACTTCGTCCCAGCTCATGAGACGCTTGCGAGCGATGCCGGACATTCGTTTGAGGATATGATCGGAGAGGTCGCGCGGCGGGATACCAAGGTAGTACGCGGAGATGATGACGTTAACGTAGGTGGTGAATAGGTCGGGTGCGTCGTCCTCGAGCTAGAGAGCTGTGTTGGTCTCTCTTCTGGAGGAGAATCTGAAGGAACTCACATCTTTGAACTTGACAATGCTCTGTTCGGCAACGCACTGTTTGATCCAAGCCACAACCTCCTTGAGACCGTTCAGGTTGCCACCAACAATGGTGAAGGATTTGCTGTTGTTATCCATCAGATCGTGGCGAATGCGGTCGCAGAAGATCATGGCGGCATCTCGAGAGAATTTGCTGTCAACGAGGACTAAAGGGGAGGTCTTGGTTGGCTTGAAGAAGAGGGAGATTGTTGGGTCGGGTTTGATCCTATGGGCGCGATTGTTAGTCCTACAGGTCTGATCTCTGCCAGATTCATTGATTGGATGCCGGCTGCATACGTTGAGAGCTTTGCGGGAGGAATTCGAGGGCCTCGATCCTCGCGCGGTTCGGGTGGTTGGCTAAATGACTCGTCCATGACTGAGGGATAGGTGGGTATCGATGTGGAAGAGGTGATAATCTTCTTGAGAACTTGGATATGGTGAGAAGAAGTTCAACTTGTGAAGAAGAGATCAAGCCAACGATGGAAAGAGCGAGTATGATAGAGAGCGCTGGGCAACAAAGAGAAAATTGTTAGCAAACACAACCAACGACATCTGCTGTCAATATTGTGTTTGTTCGGTTCGCGGTGTGGTACCGGTAGATTCCATTAAGTCTACATCGCCAAGTCTGCTCTTTCTCCATGTTTGCCTTGCATAACCACCTGGATCACTACCATGGCCAGAAACCGAATTCTCCCCCTTCCCTGAGGTTGGAGTCAGGAATGACTGAAGTGATATCCATGTTAGTGCCCACCAGACAATAAAAAGCTCTGTGTCGCATCGTCGCAAGCAGAAGAGCTGTACAGCAACATCCCCTCGTTGAAACACAAGAAGGCGGCGTATAGATGTCAGTCACATGAACTTGTATGGGAAATAGTAAGGATGCAGCTGTACAGCGCAGTATCATCGACAGAGGTGTTCCTGGTCAGTTCAGAATTTGATGTCTCGTCACTGGTCTAGTCAATCAACGAGCTCAACCCATCTGCGCCTCGCTCCCGAATCATCAATCGTTGCAGACGTCGAAACAAGAAAACCATGTGCCTGTCCCATCTATTTCTTTCCACTCTTCTTGATTCCTTGCTGGCCAGCGTTCAGCGGCCCCTTTCCCTTTGCCTTGTCGGCCATTTCTTTCCGGGCTTTCGCGTCTGCGTAGATGATTTTAGTTGTTGTTCAAGTGGAGCATGGGAGCGGATCTCTCGTACCTGCCTGTTGCTTGGCCTTGAAAGCGAGATCCTCTTCGTCAAGGTCTTTCTTGTCCTTCTTCGGAGCCTTCAGTGGCTTGACTTTGCCGCCTGTAAAGCAATGTTAGAGATAGGCTGATCAGACAACTGGGTGCTTTGCGTGAACTGACCTTCTCTGCTTTGTCCACCCATCGCTGATCCTGTGCTGGTCAACCTGCTAATAGTTCTTGAGCTAACGAGGATTCAATGTTGGGGTTGTGGAAGTCTGGCAATGTCAGGTCAAATGAGAACAAATCCTCGAGAAGATTAATCGCCGCAGTCTAGAACGGTGAACGGCTACGGACGGCGCCAACGGGCAATTCAAACACGTGACATCTTGGCTTGTTTGAATCGTTTCGAGGTCAAGTTGTGGAGTTTGGTTTCGTTTTCAGTTCTCTCCAGCGCGGAGTTCCATCACCCAAAGAGACAGGACTTGACGAGAACTCTTGCAGACTACCTAGGTAGGGGTAAAGTCGGCCTGTTCATGATTTATTACTGTGGGTATGAGACGGCGAAGATCCACAGCCCTCAGCAAAGCACTTTACTGGAAGTTCCATGAATGTTTGGCGGGATTATTGGTCAATTGTCAAAGTACTCTTGGAGTTCAGGGGTCCCCATGTCCCACCATTAAATATGACCTAACTCCAAGTTTCTGGACTCTAACACGTTCTTGCAAGCCGTCAACAGGCCCGCGGAGATTTTCGCCATACTCCAAGATCCCGTCGGCATCGTGCCATGTCCTTTACTTGAATCCTCAGCCTCTCAAAGATGTTGAATTCGGCAAGGAGAGAAGTTCAGCAACCCGTCATGAAGACCCATGGCGAGGACGACGCATCATTGAGTGGAAAGCAGGATTGTGGCGGTGAGCATGTCGCTAATTCTTCGTATAGGGGGGCGACGGAGGCGGACTGGTTGTTGGGGTATTGGGAGGAGGGTTGGTGCCTGACATCTTCCTTATGAAGCTTGAATAATCGACGTTTGGACGGGTTTTGCTGTATTTGATAAGACTTAACTGTGACTGCACTGTCAAGGGGTTGGAAGCAAGTTATTATTGGACTGTTGTGAGCGTTCTGTCTTCTGTTGCTGATTGTGGGGATGATGAGGGATAAGCAATTGCTGGCAGTAAGGAGTATTTATACATCCTCAATGGTGCTTGTTTGTACAACTGGTCTGGAAATCTGTTCTTTCATGACTCCGATGCAAACACGCTGAGACAAGAATGGGAGGTTTTCTAAGACTATCGAAGCAAACAGCATTCCATTTCACGCCGGATTGCTATGCAAAACCTCGATTCCAACCAGGAGGAGATCTATTGGCAATCACCTCTTGTCACGCGTCTTCTGTCATCTCTCGATCTTGTCCCTGCGTGAAGAGCAAGCTTTTCAGTGGAGCATCGAAGCTGCTATCTCCATTTAATATCCAAAGATGCCATGATAATTGAGCCGTAAGGCTGTCGGTGAGTTTATCTGACAGGGTACTGGCATGGGCTGTCAAGATGCAGGAAAGATAGCCTTTATTTAGAGACGCTATTCTCTCATTTCTTCTCGGGGCCACCGCTTCGATAAAACAACACCAGAAGACCATTTCGGCAGCCATTGGTGGCGTATAGAGCCATCTTATGAGATCCGATCAATGGATTTGCTTACAATTAGTAAGTGGCTTGGCAGGTAGGGAATATAAAAGAGCGTACGATGCCCTCGGACCTCCCAGAGCAACTCGATCTTATCTGCAGGCCCGGAACCCAGAATCAGCACCACTCTGTGAAAGCCTGCCCGAGCACGGGTCACTCTTCAGACCCAGGTGGAAACGTCAGACGAAAGCAACTCGCGAGACCCAGGAATGCCTCTTGAGCAGCAAGAATTCTCCCGCCCGCCACCACCCCCACCGCCCGGGACGCCTGCAGACTCCGAGACAGTAAAGCCATGGTACTCGATCGGACCTGGAGTCTGGGAATTGCTGCTCAATGGCAACAAAGATTCGGAGGAGAGGTCTGTTCTTCAGTGGCACGAGCCAAATGCAGTATCCGTCACCAACGGGCTGATAACTCACGCCTATGTTGAAGAAGTTTGTCTCCTTCGTGGGGACCTTGAGGATATCACACTGGGTCAGACCTGGTCAACAGGGGCATACGCATATCGCTATCCGGGCATGGAACACGGCCCATACAAGGCTTCGTCCTCTGGTTGTTTGATGTTTGTCAAGTTGTCACCGCGCAGCGGATCCGTGGCTCTATTTACTTGACGCTGTCTGGCTGAGGGACCGCTCCTTTCAGGATGGCCATATGGTCCATGCTTCACATGAAAGATGGATCATCAGTATTTGGATTTGACCACTAAATATTATCGACAGCGTGCTCCAAACGTGTATTAACAGACACCATTTTTTTCCTACTACAGACAAGAAGTGTCTTGCTTGCTTCTGGCACGCTGAAATTGACGCTGGCATCCAACATGGGCAGAGTAACCGAGCTTGATCGACCACGTTCACGAGTGATGGAGCTGGCTTTCTCCTAGCGACAGTTTCCGGCTCGATTTGGTGTTGCAGTGTGTTCGCAGTTCAATGTCGCGAGCCGCATTCTAGGGCCTCGAAAAGGTCGAAAAGGCTGGAAGCAAGGAGGAACGGGCCGAGGCCTTATTTGGTGGAAAGTACCACTAATGCCATAAACTCACCTTGCTAACGGGTGAGGACCTTCAGTTCGCGCTCTCCAGCCTCTCTTTCGACTGACGATCTAAAAGCTCTCGGAGACCCCGGGTTAGTCCTATCACTTGATAAAACACCAAAGCTGCTTCATCTCGACAAAAATACCTTACTCCTCCAAACATGGAAGGTCGCAATCAACAGGCTCACAGCGATACCAGCTTCCGGCGCATAGGACAAGGCTTCTGTGGTTCTGTTTGGGCAGCTGAAGGAGACATCATTGCTATGAAAAGAGAAGATGGCGGGCCGGGGAGATCAATACTCAACGACTACAACATGCTCAAACGCGTCCTTGAGACAGTTTCGCAGCAGGGTGCAAGGATCGCGTGCGTGCCACGTTGGCCGAGATTTGTTCACAGTGACGATTCGTGGTGGGAAAAGAACCTTTCCAGATTTCCCAAAGGTTATACTGCCTGCAATGTGCTCTGCTCGGAACGCATACCACGGTTACCGCGGGAGGTGAGGGACCGTCTCGTGGATCGGTACTGTCCCCCACCGTCAGTCCAGACCATCAAGAACAACGACGCAGACCGAGATTGCTTGGTACGCCTCTACCTTGGCCGTCGAAAGATCCAGCAAGAGGCTAGGAGAGGGCAGAATTTCTTCTCCTTGCGGAACTATCCATTGCATATAAACCAGGCGGAAGAGCTGGATCTGCAAGTGGTAGACTACGCGCACGCCATGGCAGAGTCGCTCGCTGTGATGCACTGGACCGCCAGGATAGATGCGAATGATGTCGAGTTTGTTCTCGGAGGGCTTCAAAACACCGACACCGACACCGAAGCCAGGACCGGAGAGTTCACCAATGACTTCTTCGGATCCCACAGCTTATGGCTCCTGGATTTTGACTGCTGCAAACCGTTGACAATGGACGACGCAGGCGTCGAGCAAGCTGCTCGTGCCTTTTTGAGGAACGATCCGTATTTCCCGCGTCCTGCAAGCAACCGTTCTTCAGACTACGCTCTGTGGCAGGAGTTTAAAGGGTGGTACCTTGAGCGCAGCAGACCTCTTGTCACCAGCGGTCACCTCAGCTTGCCAGAAAAATTCATTACACGGGTAGAAGACCTGCATGAAGAAGCCATGCAGAAGAGACCGGCAGACACAAGCCACCGCACGTCAAGTTAGGGGGAGCGGCGGAGGGGAAATCACAACGATCACCCAACATCGTCCGACACAGATACGCCCATCACTAAATGTAGCCAAGAAGTGCTGGATGGGAAGGAAGAAGTATCTTATGTTGAAACACAGCCAAGAAAATAGATGAGCGATAATGTATCACTGCTCCAAAAAGAACCACACAATCTGTGTAACTTGAAGGGTCACCTTTGATCCGACACTCAGAAAATGGAGGATACTTAACGTTAGAGCGGCAAGATGGAAGCCTTGGCAGCGACCAGCCTGCAGCCTGCCTCTTGACAAGTGATTCTGGTGACTTCCGCTACCACCACATTACTTCATCGTTTATCAGGTTTCATTCCTCGATTTTCATCTTGCGATCTGGGCAGGCTGAATCACCAGTGTCTCTTCTGCTCATAGAGACGCTCTCGCAGGCGATTTGAGAAGGACTTTGTGGGACGACACCGGTCGGGCTCTACAACTGCAAATTTTCCAGTTCAAGAATCCGCTGGCTAACGCTCTTATTTCAACTGAAGGCTAGGTCTTATTCCCGGCCTGCAAATCCACCACTTCATCATGGGTTCAAGATCACCCAGCCAGTCTGAGGGCGAAATCTTGACGTCAGACTCGGAAGCGAAGGCAAAGAACATACCATCTTTCCGCAATAACAGCAAGATTGACCGTCGTGCCAGACCATCTTCCATTCCCTACAGCGCCACGTCTAGATCACATCGATCGCGTTCGAGATCTCCTTACCGAGCTCCCAGGGGGGAGAAGCGCCCCCGCGACTATAACCATTCGAGCAATAGATCCCACAATGACAGGCGCACCTTTGCTGTGAGGTATGAGGATGACGCCCAACGTCACCGACGCCACGAATCCCACGAAGAAAGACGCTCGAAGCGGTCGCGGACATACTCTCACAGTCGCAGCAGGAGTCGGTCACCATATAGACATTCGCGGCGCAAAGAGGAAGGAATGGACAGCTCTGCAGGCACCCGAGATCAAAGTAGCAGGTTTGAGTCCGACTCCAAACATGCAGATGCTCAACGGGGGAAAGATTCGGCCCCGGAGACCTCACGATCAACACCTTTGCATGATCTTCCGTCAGACGACGTCCCCTCTAACTTGGTACCTCGGCCAGGAGCTCATGCTGCAGGACAGCGGCAAAACAGGGATCGAGAACAAAATTCCACGTCCGTTACCGCTAGCAGCGCCACCGAAGAGAGCGAAGAGCCCAGAGTCATAGACGAGGCTGCTTTGATTGAAGAACGGCGGAAACGTCGTGAAGCTATCAAGAACAAATATCGTGGTCAAGCCCCGCCCCTGTTGGTTCAGGCACTTCATCTAGGGGCTGAATCGACTCCGGCAAGTCCTGCTCCGGAAAGCTATACTACAACGCCACGTCGATCCGGTATGTTAGCTGTTACCATTTGTCTCGAGCGTAAACTAACTTCATCAGAATCCCCTGTTCTGTCCTCGCCTCGGACGCCGAGAGATCTATCTGGCCCACAGTCTCCTGCGGAGATCAAGTTCGATAATGATGCAGATCTGACTAACACTGATAGAAGATCTCCGGCTGACGATGGCCCTTCAGCTGCCGACTATGACCCCACTGTGGACATGGAGGAGGAACGAGCACGACATGACAAACGTCTCTTCAAGGAAGACGAGAAATCTCTCGAGCAGGCCGACGAAGCAGTAACCGAAGCTGACAACAAATCTGCTCCGCCCCCTTCTAAGGCGACTGGTGAGTTCGACATGTTTGCCGACGAGGATGGAGACGACGATATGTTTGCCGAAGCCCCTATGAAGCCTAAAGCAGAAATCAAGACTGCACAAGCCCTGGATGTCAACCTCATGGACAATTGGGATGATTCTGAAGGGTATTACATAACAATCCTTGGTGAGCTGATCGAGGACCGTTATCACGTCACTCAAAATCTGGGAAGAGGGATGTTCTCCTCTGTCGTACGAGCTACTGATAGACGCACTGGCAAACCTGTCGCGATAAAAATCGTCCGGAATAACGAAACCATGCGAAAAGCAGGAATTAAGGAAATCGACATTCTCAAAGACATTGCTGCCAATGACCCCGAAGACAAGAAGCACCTCATTCGCCTTCAACGCTCGTTCGATCATAAAGGTCATCTCTGCATGGTTTTTGAAAACCTTTCCATGAATCTGCGGGAAGTGCTCAAGAAGTTTGGCAGAGACGTGGGTATCAATATCAAGGCTATTCGGGCATACGCACAGCAACTCTTTTTGGGATTGAGCTTGCTGAAGAAATGTCAATATATACACGCTGATTTGAAACCAGACAACATCCTGGTCAACGAAGCCAGGAGCACGCTGAAGATTTGTGATTTGGGATCTGCTTCTCCCATCACTGAGAACGCCACCGCGCCGTATCTAGTGTCTCGCTTCTACCGCGCCCCCGAAGTCATCCTTGGTATCCCTTATGACTATGGGATTGATATGTGGTCAGTCGGATGCACCCTATTCGAACTCTACACGGGAAAGATCTTGTTCACAGGCCGCAACAACAACGGCATGCTTCGTGCAATCATGGAGTGTCGTGGAAAGTTTCCGCACAAGCTCCTCAGGCGTGGTACTCTGACGTATGAATACTTTGATGACCTTCTCAACTTCCGAGCGCAGGAAACAGACAAGGTCACAGGGCGGACGATAATAAAAGTGATGGATATCAAGCCAAAACCTGTCAGAGATTTAAGGTCTCGGTTGATTCCGAAAGACAAACGAATGAACGAGCAGGAGCGGAAAGAGCTGGATTTGTTTGTGGATCTACTGGACAAGTGTTTAGACTTGCGACCGGAGAAGCGCATCACGCCCAACGACGCGTTGAAGCACCCTTTCATCTCGAGGGCCAAGCCGTGAGCGCGATGACTCTAGAATATCAGATCTGGCCTGTCAGGCTACGATTACCCACCAAAGACATTACCTAGCGACTTGCAGTCTTTTCAATCAATTCATATCTTCCTTTGACACCTGCTGTTGACCCTGTTCACTGACTTGAAAAGGCTGTGCGGTATCTCCGTCCTTCCCGCAATGTGTGCGATCGCCTCCTCAGCTCCACTGGAGCCCCGAGGGAGGAAGTTATGTTTTATATGATCAAGTCGCCAGGTCTTGCAACATCTCGAGACATCGCGATGCCAGATGTCCTCGTCCTGACAGGACAAGCCAAGGGAAGCCTGCTCCCACTGTAGACTGACCCGGGAACGGCTCGCACAACATTTGACAAAACAGAAGGTTGTGCCTTACTTGCGTTACATGCACTGCTTTCATTTCCCAGGGAACACTGGAAAATGAAGGGCTCGCCGCCTTGAGATCGATCCGTTGGACGCCTGGGCGAGGCGCACGGCGAGGCGCACAGCGAGTCAAGAAAAATGAAAGGGAGAAGAAAAGCCTCATGTGAAGATTTTTCGTCACAAAAAGCAAACGAGTACCCACCGTTTAAAGGATTGAACCCCCAGACTCCTTTCTCTATTCTATCCCTGGTTTCGAGGAGCAAAAACTCAGGCTTGTGAGAAAACTCCCTTGAGGGGTTTTTTTGTTTTCCCATTCGGTTGGCTAGATGTTGAGTTGCTCCCACCTATAGCTTCGAGTATCTCACAGAGCTCCTACACAAATCCCAATCACTATGATCCTGCACGCGATCGCAGACTATGAATTAGGGAGATACCAAGGGTAGAGCTCCTACATAGACAATGCTCCGGCACAGTCACTACTAACTTGGGTGCGAATTAGGGAGATGAGATGATCACCAGGAAGACAATGGACAAGACTTATTGCTTCAAGCATTTCACACGGTCGAATGTTGAGGAAGATTTGGTGTTTTAATTATGTATCCCCGTCAATGTGGGAAGTGGATATTAAGAATGTACCTGATGCCCGCTTGGCGAGTTGAAGATATCCTTTATTATTATATCCTTACTGCCAGTACTCAGGAGGTAAGGCTGAGCGAGGCTGAGCGAGGCTGAGGGTATTTTGGTTCGCCCACGGCAAGTTTGGCGAGAGTTTTCCGCACCTTCGCAAAAACATCAAGTCAACGGGCATCCTTTAATGTTTTCTTCGCCATCTGCGGTTTTTTTCGCTGCAACAACTTTCTGCTATTCTAAATTTACGCGACTTGATCATGCCCTTTGCTTTTCATTGTATTGCATCTCAGCCTCCCCACTTACAGAGCTTGGGCAGCGTCGCGACCAGCAATTCGGCCAAAAGTGAGAGAGCGGAGCACACTCGTCGCGGGTGGATCTGTTACGGTGTTTAGCGTCCATCGGCCTGTGAATACCTTCGTCGCAGCAGGTGTGTAGGTGTTCTACGCGTGCAGCTCTATAGATCGGAACCCGGGGTCAAGGCGCAAAGAAAGAACTTACACTGCCGCTGGGTCAGCACCGTATCTTTACGTTGAAGGGATAGGCTTACCTCGTTATAGAACAATCCGCTCAACTCTCCAGCACAGTACAGCCCTATGCGTGGTCAGCTAGTCAGAGTCGATGCTTGGCTCTGTTTCTTACCTGGAATCGGAACCCCTGTCGTTGCCAGCACTCTCGAATCAAGGTCGCACTTGAGCCCACCATAGGTGAAGGTAAGTTGTGCTAGTACTTGTTAGCAAAGAGCCAGCATGGCCCTCGAGACGGAAGCTACCTTTCATTGGATATCTGACAACTGTTAACTTTTGACCTACACTGTCCATTTGCAAGGAGATTGCTTACCCGTAATAGGGGGGTTTGTTGATGGGGTTGGCCCAGTTGGTCTTGTCGGGGTTTAGACTTCGAAAGCATCAGCCATTATATCTCTTTTGCGATATTCGTCATGTTCATACCCATGTGTCCTCTTGCCGTCAAGCGTCATCAAGTTGAATTCCTTGTCGTTGATTCTACAGTCGGTCAGCGATGTCAATTCATCTGCCTCTCTGCAGGACTTACGCCGCGTTAAACTCATCCACTGTCTTCTTCAGCTCTTGTGGATCCAGTCCAAGCTTTTCGGCCAAGCCCTCGATGGTGTCGCTCTTCTCAGGCTCCTGGTCAGTGGTATCATAAACCCAGCCTGGTCGGAAGCGGTCCATGATGGGACTGTCCGTGATACTGAAACCCAGTCAGCAAGCAGTCGCCGGGCTGCAAGTGGGAACATACAAGTATGATTTCTGGTTGTGGTCTGCTTTGTGTCAGCGGCCTGGCAGACTCGGGCTGCAACGACTTACCTCGCCAGGTCTCAAGAGCAATCATCTCGAACGTTGCGAACAGGCTGTCATGTGAGCAGCTGCTTCCACCCAAAAACCCAATTGTACTTACTGTCGTTTGCCCTCATCATAGAAACGCTTGCAATGCCTGAATGAGTCAGCAGCAATCGATCGTGGCTTGGGAGGAGACGCCGCACTCGTTCACGACGATACCGTAGTTGTGGCCCCAGATCACAGCATCAGGTTTCGTGGCTCGGGTGTCGACGAGCTCGCACTTTCAGCCAGGATCAGTATGGACACCCAGTCCCGAGGAAGGCAATACGTGAGGAAGGTGCTTACATGCATGCCACTCATTGAACCTGCAACAGCAGCACCAACTTCCAACCCCATCTTCAGGCCGAACCCGGTATTGTACTTGAGGCCAGGCGCGATGAGTTCAAGATGCTCTGTCCTTGGTCCTACATATTTGCCCAGCCTGATTCTCGTTAGCGACGCTTTTTGAAGGATCTTCGTCCTTACATTTCACGGTTGCCTTCGAACCCACCGCAAGCCAACATGACTTTCTTACCGTGGACTTTCGTCATGTGTCCGTCTGCCTTTCGAACTTTCACGCCGCAAACAGTCCCGTCATCCTGGGTCAGCAATTGTTCTGCTTGCGTCTCCCACATTATCGACACATCATCAAATTTGCGAATATGGTCGAACAGGGCGTTGATAATTGCGTGCCCGCCACCCTAGTCCGACGGTCAGAGCAAGCCTATGAATTAAGCGGTGACCCAGCTTACCTCGGGGAATACGAAGTGCTGGTCTTGGGGGTCGTCAATACAGAGGTCAGAATCTGATTCACGGCAATGACTTACTGGTGTTGAACTCCAGCAGAACATTCTTTTCGTCATGATGATTGAGTTTCACTCCGTCTGAGATCGGTCAGTACCTCGCCCAAAAAACTCTTAGGATTGGTCAACTTACGGTCGAGCAGATACTGTGCAGTGATGGGGACTTCTTTCTCCATTTTTGCGCAATATTCCTGGTCAGCCAGCCCCTCGCTGGCCTTATTAGTATTGGAGTTCTGCAGCTCAGATCGTTGACTGACCTGACACGCTGTGACCGTCAGCGAGAACCATCATTGTCAGAACTTCACATTTACCTTCATTTCATGCTTCCAGTCTGAATCGAAGTTGTTGTCTGCAGCAATTAGTACCCAAACGGGATTTTTTTGGGCAACCCGGCTCACACCTTTGTCCAGTCTTAGGTATGCCATTGTCCACCTAGAACCCTTTCAGTCAATGTTGACATTCGACAGGCGACCGACCCAGACCTGCTTGCACCGCATCGTTCGCCTTCTTTACCAGCCTCGATCAATGCAACTCTACCCCTTTTGCCGAGCGTTTTGCATTCCTCGAGGAAGTTCAATGTGGTCATGGAACCCTACGGATTGATCAGCAACATTTACCCTGCAGCATTCCGCGGCAGCCTACAGCAAATCCACTCCCGACCACGACGAGGTCATACTCAGGGTTCGAACCCGTAAGGCTGCTTACAACCTGACTGACGACCGACATGATGGGATTGACGAGGAAAGGTTTGTGCTGCTAGAATATGGTGGTCCCAAAGTTCCTTTGTGCAGGTACAAAGTGAGACACTCGGCGAGGTGCCAGCTTGCACATGCCATCCTCCCCTTTTAACTCCTTCCATCAAGACATGTACCCCTCAAACCTGGCGGATTCTTCTGCAAAGCTGAGACCAGCACCCCGCAAGAAACGACGAATCGCGGATGACAACACAAGACACTGTAGACTGGTGTGCACCAGTAGAGTGATTGGGATCCATTGTTTGCAAAACTTCCCCGCAGACAGCACAACCTGTCATCGGCAATGACTTTGCGCCCTCGCAGCGGTGCCCAAGTCTTATGCCCTTTGGCCAGAACAGTGCCGAACATCTTTTACAACGCTTTGCATGACTAGTTTGGGACAAGGCCCCTGGGTTTCCCCTCATTGAGCCGAAGCCAAAGGTTAGTACAACGTCATCTGTTCATCTCCGAGATCAGAGCGGCCGCGCTCTCGGAAACATGGATCTCGATATTCGCTGCAGCTCTCGGAAGTGCCCACACGATGAAAGGTCCTTCTCCGAGGACTGCTGCCTACAGTTTTGTGACGAACGACTTCGGTTGTTGCTGTCTGGGTTGAAGGGAATGGTGGATGACAGCTCCCAAATCAGTCCAAGTCCGAGGCCGTCTACGATCAATTATGTGCTGCATCATCCTCTTTAGGAGCGTACCACGAAAAGGTCCGAAGCTTTATCCTCAGCTCCCCTTGTTTGTAACGATGAGGCCGTTTAATTTGTCGTTCTGAATCACAAGCCAATGTGCAGCATCACTTTTCGTGTACTGTTGATGGCTGTTCGAGATACCATTCCTAGGCCTTACTCGATACGATTCATAGATCCACAGACTGTATCATTCCGCGAATCCACGACAACTGAGAGCTGGCTGGCTGTCTTTTCGGAGCTGGCCATGCCAAACGTATCTCAAATTGGTATTCGCTGTTCCTCACCCTGCGAGAACCAGTGGCGTAGTTCCCGGTCGCTGGGTCTTCGACCGTTGTGTAGGCTTCAACCGCCTGAAAGAAACACTGCAGGCGTCTCCTCCGGTTTCGATGGCGACGGTCCTTGAACACATCTCAGCAGTGCATCTATCATCACCACGGATCTTGCTGTATCTGCTCGCACACGCCTGATCCAGAGCATCGTCAAGCTGCCAATGTAAACTGTCTCGCGTTTCGGGGGGACTGTAGCAATATCACAGGGTCCACTCTTGCCTCCGAGGGTGTTGCCCGTTTGGCGAACTCGAGACCAAGAGCCCATGGTGAGGAAAGAAGCTCTCACCAGGCTACGAATACGTGTATCTTAGGCGCGACGGCAAAGCCGATTCTCAAAATTTTCAGTAGTTTCGTCCTCTGGATGATTCTCAGAAAGTATACTGCTGGCATCTTGATCTCTGGGTGTTCAACCACTTCTTTCATGCGTTCGATGACGTTGGGCAATTGATTGCCTTTGTGTAACCCCGCCTCCATGCCCGCTTCGCCATCTACTTGGCGGACTCAAGGCTGCTGGAGAGCTGGAGCTCTTCTCCCCGCATCACCAGCGATTGGGATCAGGGGGGAACTCCTGAGGAATACATTGATAGGCCAAACATCAAGTTCGAGCGCAAGAAGAACACCAGCGTCCTGTATCGCAAAGGTTTTCGCATCTGAACACACTTTCGCAGCAAAGAAGCAACTCATCCTCCAGCGCTGAACCGAGAAAGATGGAAGGGGAATGCCTTTGCAAAGGTACGTCAATGAGCCGGTTTGCCCCTGCCCCTTGATATATATATAACGCCAGCGTGGACGCGAAGATGGTTGTATATTATGGATTGCTGGCTAAAAACTCCCGCTTGGCCAGCTGTCGCCGTCAAGGTCAACGACGACAACCTCTTTGGCGAACAGCGCCGGGGCCATCTATGCCACTGTGCCAATTGCCGCAAAGTTGCTGGTGGCATGTAAGTGCCTGACACCCGGTCCACTTGGGAATACTTCGTCCCCCGTTGCAAATCCACTACCCCATGCTCTCTCTGAGATACAGAAGGATGCATGCGGTACGCGCGAACTGAGGAGATGTATCACGTTACTGATCTGAGTCCTGGTTCACGGGGTCCACAGCTTCGGCGCCAACCTGACCATCGAGGAAGAGAAAGTCGAGTTCCCCAAGGGCAAAGACAATCTCAAGATGTACTCTGTTCGTCCCACCCATTCCCTCTGCCCTCGTGATCACTTTCTCCCGACTTGTGACCCAAGTGTGCGTGCCTGTTTCGTCCGTCCTGTTCTGACAAGGTCACATATACAAATCCCAGGACCCAGAAACGCTGAGCGGAACCCCGGTGCAACGGTAAGGTGGTCGTGATCAGATATCTCTGCAGCCGGCCCCCCTCCTCCCTCCATTCCTGCTCTCGTTCTCGAGGCGACATGCCTTCCTGCCCGCCTTCTTGGAACCCCTTCCCCCAACTGAAGATTCCACGACCCTAACGCAGTTCGCCACAACAGGTATTTTTGCGAGACGTGCGGCGTGCCCATCATGAGCATGACGCCGCTGTTCAAGGGCAAAATCATTTTGAAACTGGGATTGGTAAGAAGCGTTACAACTAACTCTCCTGTCACTCTTTTTTCTTTTTCACAAACAACATGGATCCATGATCTCCTCCTTCATCGATTGACCGACCAACCTTGATCCGCTAAGCGATGATGATGGGCTGACGAAGGGGGAATAATGGAAAGTACCCCAAACTCCCCGTCCCCGAGTGGGAGTCGTTCGCCTCGCAGCGGCAGAGCTGGGAGAAGCCGTTCGAGGGCACCGTCCAGTACAAGACAAAGGTACGTGACGCCCTCGCCGTCGCCCTCACTATCCATCCCCCAGTGCTTGTTTCCGTGGCAAACAAAGTTGCAAATATGTACGAGGGGAGCTGGAGCTGATTTTCTCGACCACCGTCGTGGCGCGCGCACAACTCTAGAGCTTTGGAGACAAGATGCCCGGCTCGATTTGAGAGGCTGAGGATGATGTCCGACAAACCACCACCGCCACCGCCACAACACCACACTGACTCATATCCTGACCTCATCACCTTTTCCGTGGGCTGGAGAGAGAGAGAAAGAGACCGGGGGAAAAATGGCGCTTTCTGTGCCGCAGTTTGGATTTGGTGGATATTCATTAATCTATACCGGAGGGGAGGAAGGGAAGGGAATAGGTCGGAAGTCCAATGTGGTTCGGACGGGAGGATATTGATGATGATGAGGACGATGATAAAAGAATAACAAAGCAGCGGGACAGCAATTCTCCTAGAACTCTGCTTTGGGACCCCCGGCTTCAAGGCTAGGAAATACATTAATCATGCTGCATGTTATTGCCTGGCCGCTTCATCCCCGATTATGGTCTTCTTGGGATCAGCTGAAGGCCCCTGTATTGGAGTTGGACGTCATCACAGTTCGTTACTCGTGATTTTTCTTGCAGTCTGCTTCTGCTCCTCCCTTTGCCCCCTCCCCCTCCTCGCTTCAAACTCACACACTCTCTCTCTTCAACTGCCCGTAGGGAAACCTACTCCTGAAACCCAAAAGTCTTTAAGAGGATGAACCCCCGGAAGCCCCGATATAAGTCCACCGGAGCTCCTCCTCCTTTAGACTTCCGCCGACGACATGGACGACGACATCCTCCCCCGGCACGACATCGAAGCCGTTGTCACTAAACGTCAACCCGCCCTTCTCCTCCTGGAACACGAAGCCATGCACGGGTTTTGTAGCTGTCACGGTGATCACTCCGTGCTTATCATTCTGCGCCGGCGAGGGTTTGAAGTCGACCTTGACATCCCGCGGCGCAGAAAAGTCGAGGTACTTGATCGGGTGGGGCCAGGCGGTGTCGGTGCTGACGACGCGGCCGTCCACGAGGAGCGCGGCGTGGATGACGTAGGGGTCCCATGTGCGTGTGTCAATGCAAGACGACCCTGCCGTCGTGGTGGTGGTGGTGGTGGTGATGGGTAATTCACTTCCGCGAAATATCTCGGTCGTGCCGTTCGCCTGGACCGTGACATCGTGCTTCCTGATCGGATCGACCACGTCGCGGCCCGTCTTGATGGAAATGGCCCGCACAACCACGGTCGCCTTGACGACCACGTCCTCATTTGTGTGAGAACTGCACACCCACAGATCGAATTTCGTCTCCCTGATCGCAGCTGTCGGGTCCATGTGGCCCGAGGTCCACTCGTGAAAGGGCCTGCTCACCCCGACGGCCAGCGGCTTCAGCGAGCGCTTGATGGCGTAAAAGGCCGGCTTTTTCACACGGTAGTAGTCGACCACGGCCCAGGACATGGTCGGCCAGGTATCGTTGAACTGCCAGACGAGGACACCACCGCATTTTCTCACCGCCTTCTTCTTCTGTCCTGTCGACGGTGTGAGAGAGGAGCCCCATTCGCGGCGCCACGAGCGATACGCGAAACCCACCGCGTCCGACTGCATTACTTGGGTCAGGTGCGTAAATGTCGCCAGGTCATATTTGATTTGGAAGTTCTCGGCCACATACGTCAGGAGGCGTCGTTCGTGGTCAATGGCTCGGTTGTGGTAGTCCATGGTCATGCTGCCGGGGTATTGTTGCTGTGGATCTGTCGCAATGGCAGACACGATGGTCGAGACGTGTGGGTAGGCTTCCATGCCGAATTCGCTCACCAAGCGCCCGCCCATCGTGGGGAGCTCTTGATACCGGCGCATAGAGCCATGCCAGACTACAAAAGGAGAGAAATTGAATGCATCAGCACAAAACTACGGGGATTGACAAATTGAGAGAGAGCAGGAGAGACACACCATTCCATTGATGAATATCTCCCACCGTCGGATCCCAGGTCTTCTTCCCATCACCCCAGGGACTGCTTGGGTGATACACCGCGCCTGGACTTTCCTCCTGCACCACCTTGGGCAGAAGATACTCGTAGATATACCTAGCCGGAAAGCTGGTCTTGAGCCACGACTGCGGGTCCTTGTCGCCCTCATAGTCGTACTCCAGGTTATGTTTCTCCTGAATCTGATAGTCCTCGTTGTTCCCGGCCCAGATGGCCAGCGAAGGGTGGGAGCGCAGACGGCGGATATTGAAGCGCGCCTCCTCTTCGACTTGGGCGAGGAAAGAAGGGTAGGTCGGGTAGCTAGCGCACGCGAAGCAGAAGTCCTGCCAGACAAGGATGCCCAGAGTATCGCAGGCAGCGTAGAACGAGTCGTCCTCGTATATTCCTCCGCCCCAGACTCTGCAGGTTGGTCAATACAGCAGAAAAAAAGTGGCCTGAGCAAAAAAACAGCGCGACACAAAAAAGAAATAAAAGTCAAGTAATGGGGTATTACACGAGTCCAAAACGGATTCAGCATCGTCGTACCTGGTCATGATCTGGTTGCCCTCGATCATCAATTCCATCCACTTCCGATACCCGTTCTCTCCGATCCTTGGGAGGAAAGAATCCGCTGGAATCCAGCAAGAGCCGCCTGCAAAAACGTCGACGTTGTTAATGCGGAAATAGAATGATTTGCCAAATTCATCGGGCTCCTGGATGAGTTCACAGCGTCGAAAGCCGATCAATCGTGATTTGGAGACCGGGTCGGTCCCTGTCGTGGATAATGTTGCTTGGAGCTCGTAGAGACACTGTTTGCCATAACCATAAGGATACCAGAGAGCAGGACGTTCGAGTTGGAATTCAGTCACGGCAATGCCCTCCTTGTCGATGTGTGCCTCTGACTCATGCAGGACCTTGCTGTTAAGAGATAATGACAGCTTGACGACACTCTCTTCCCCTGCCTTCCTATTTCCGCCACCAACACTGGCAAACAACTTCCCCTTCACCATGCTCAAGTTTTCACTTACCGATCCTTCAAACCAGACGTCATCAATTCTAACAACGTATGTTTCCAGGAGAACACGCTTCCAGGGCCCAGAAGTGATCAGAATAGGACCCCAGTCCCAGCCCCAGTGACACTGTGCTTTCCGCACAGGAAGCCTACTCGACTCGGTCTGATGAGCGATGAAATTGTGTTCATGCGAGTGCTGTTTGACAAGCTCACGGCCACGAAGGAGGGCTGAGTCAAAGACGATTTCCAGTACATTTGGCTCGGTGGGCGCATTTTTGGAAGATGGTGGTAGGAGAAAGTGTGTCACGTCAACCCGGTATTCAAGGAACATATTGTCTGCTTCCAGGATTTTGTGGCCGTTGAGAGTTACCGTCGCGAAGGTGTCGAGGCCTTCAAACACCAAGTCCGTCCTTGCGTCGGGCTGTCTGGTTGTTGGGGAGGTGAAAACTGTCCTGTAGGTCCACGACTTCTCTGCAACCCATCGGACAGCGAGCTCATTCATGTCGATAAAGGGGTCCGGAATCCTAGCAAAGGTGGAGGTATGAGTTCGAGGTACATGTATAGACCTGGCGACAGGGTTACGTTCAGACGTACTTCCCATTTTCTTGCAGAACGAGATGGGTTGTGGTTGGCACCTTCGATACCGGAAGCCATGCGTTCTCAGAGATATCGTCAGACTGTCTGCATTGCCAACCTGAATTCAGCCCAATGGTGACGGTGGCCATTGTCGTTCAGATAGCACCGGCTTTGACACAGATCGTCGAGCTACAGCCTGCCGCGGAGAGAACAAACTTGCTGCCTGCCCTCAGTCGAGGATACTCCGTCAACCTGTCCGTTCACAGAAACTCTGAGGCTGCTTTGGAAGGCTTCAAGAGAGAACGATTCCGTCGAAGCTCCACGCCCGGAGATTCGTGCAATGGCAATGGCACACGTTGCGGCCGGCAGACAAAGCCTATGTTGTGAATGCGGGGATCCTTCATCTTCGCCGATCCTGCTGCAACGGTCCATGAATACCACCTTACCGACAATAATTCGTACACCGCGAACCATGACCTTTTCGACATGCGTGGGAATCCATAGCGTGTCTGTACCTTTTGAGCTCGGAGGCGCAAGAAGAGCAGCCCCGATGCTCGCCACAATTCTGGGCACTGCAGACCATGTCCCTAGATTCTCGGGGTCAGTCCAGGACTTCAGCTCCAGCGATCCACTTGAACCTGGTCCAATCAGGTATCTGCGTATTTGTCGGCCCGCTTTTCTGACAGTCAGAAACAAGCCCAGCGACACAGAGATGGTCGGCCAGCAGATATATAGGTCAGAAGCTACCTAGGTAGCTCAGCAATTAGAAATCAAGGTTGAGACCACGGTCTGCTGTCGTCCGTTCGGACGAAGAGCTGGGAAGTATAGATATATAAATGAAGACTCATCGCCTGGTGAGATTCGGTGTACCACTACCAGCGGACTCGACTCCAAGACTCTCGCAGATAAAAGGAAGTGCGAACGCAGTACCTCAATCAAACCTCTCATTTCAATCAGAATGTCCAAACCAGCAATTCTACTTATTCCGGGTTCCTTCTCTCTGCCCGAATTCTATGACCCAGTCATAAACGCTGTGGCTGCAGAAGGTTATGAAATTCAAGGCCTCCACAAGCCAAGCGTGGGCCTTGCAAGCGGAAAACCTCGGGAAGGCGCACCACCAACCATGTACGACGACGCTGCCTTCATCGCTAAGGAGACCGAGAAACTCGCAGATCAAGGGAAGGACGTGATCCTGGTTGCCCACTCGTACGGGGGCGTCCCTGTGACGCAGAGCACTAAGGGACTGAGCAAGGAAGAAAGGAAGAAGCAGGGAAAGGTGGGTGGCATTGTGAATCTGGCGTATATGACTTCTCTGGTGCCACCTGTTGGGCAGGCAGCGAGGGATATTCTGGCAGATGTACCCCAAGAGCAGAAGTTGGACCTGAAGGTTGATGTAGGTTTCCATCCACTACCGACTCTTGTTGCATGGAAGCTCCTTACTAACAGCGCACCACGAAAACAGGAGAATGGCTGGATGTATCAGGATCAACCCGAAGCAGTTGGGGCCATCGTATTTTCTGATCTTCCCAAGGAAGAAGGAGAGGCCTGGGCGAGGAAATTCCCCAGGCACTCCGCTCTCAGCTTCGTTGGTGAATTGACCCATGCTGGGTACAAAGACATCCCAGTATCGTACTTACTCTGCGAAAACGACAAGTGCATTCCAGCAAACGTCCAGAGAAATGGGATCGACCTGATCGAGAAGGAGAGCGGGAGGAAGGTTGATGTGACCAGTATCAAGGCGGACCACTGCCCCATGGCTGGCCAGCCGAAAGCAGTGGCCGATTGGATCCTGACTGTTGCAGCAAAGTACTGAGACAGCCAGGTTGACGGAATTGAGGTTGGAGAGCTCCGCAACAAGGGGGCGGAAAGGGAAATCAGTGCCCATGTACGTAGTATTATGTAGTGTGGTTGTCGAATGTTGCTGCTTGGGTTACAAGAACTTGTGGCGGATCAACCAGTCACGTGATAAGGTGGCTGACGCAGAAATGCACTCTGTCAATTTGTAGTCGACCCTAGTTTGTACGGTGGATCATAGAGGCAACACCCGAATCAATATCAACCGTTTACCGAGTACAGCTGACACTATCTCGATGGCATCTTCCCCATCCTTCTCAGGCACCCGTGTCACTTATTACTGCTGACAGCCCACAGCATCGTCAGCACTCTCGTGGTACCGGTACATATTCCGTGATCGCAATCCCAAAATAGGTTGGTTCATCTGTTACTATTCCTCTTAAGGCTTGGGATCTCTACATTGGGAATCTGCAATGCCGATCATGGCTCGCTCCGTACGAGTATCGTTCGTCTCCGCACAGTTAGGAAGAGAACAGTCCCAAGACTTGGACCATTCCATATTGCACATATAAAGCTCTGGATTTTCAATTCGGATGGAAAACTCGAATCCTCCCTCGATCATCAAGACCTTCTCAGCAAGTTGCTGGTCCCTGACTATAAACTCACGTCTTGACTCCTTGTTGAATGATGCCTCTGATCGAGTTAGCAAGTGTGCGCCTGCACCCTTCACTGTCTTCTAGCCTCCCCGACTCTTTCACGGCAACCTGGACTCGAGCTTGCGGCCTCGCCACCTCCGCTGCGAATGGCGTTCCTTTCCAACTTTACCAATCCCTTACCCCAACGAGCAAGGACATGTACTATCTAGTCGGCGGCTGGCAGAGTGGGGATGACCATATCGCCTTCCTCTCAACTCCGGATGCAGTGACCCTAGCCAAAAGTATTGGCGAATACATGACTGTTGAGCTTGTGCGGCATGTGGATGGAGACATCAATGCTTTGAGCCAAGAGGACGGAGGAAAGCCCAAACGCTTGAGAGTCACAACATACAAAGTGCCCGAATCAAGGATTGAGGATTGGGCTTTGAAATGGAACAACAGCCGGCATGCAAGTGCTGGAGCTGGGGGGTGGGATATGAGCGGTGCGGTGCAGAAACAACACAGAGCCTTCAAACAGATGGGTGAGGCGGCGAACAACGTTGCCGCATTCGGCGGGAAGGATGAGAGTGGCACCAAAACCTGGGTATGGGTCGAGAGCAGTAGGAAGACCTCTGGAGACACTGGAGGATCTCAGCACCCTTTGGAAGGGTTTGATGACATTCAGGCTGAAGTGTTTGAGATGGAATATGTATTGGGATAGCCGCCGAGAATGTTGGCAGTGAGGTAAAACAGTCCAGTATGGGAGCCCATTTCGGTCCTCATTCTTCCACCTGTTCGTAGCCCCGAAGCTTATCAAAATCAAAGATGAGGAACTTCAATATACATTTTTTTCGTATTGCTTGTAGGACAAATGCCAAGTTGGCGTCCGTGGCAGGCGCGATAAGCTCTTGTGCTTCGCAGCGATTCCGAGATTGGTGCTGACACACACTGCAGGCCAGAACAGTCTTAAGCAGCAATTAGAGACCTGATCATTGACCAAGTAAAGCTAAGTGCATAAATGGTCTAGACCTTGACAGTTGTACCCTGGGATATTTGTATGCTCGCCTGCCGTGACTTCCTGCGCAATCATTTCCGAGTCCTTCCCATGGTATGTCTAACGAGAAGCTGGCGTTGTCATTCGCTGGCCAAGATCGTCTGAAAACATGCAGATACCGTGGAGCTGGTAAAACGCCTGAGTCAGACTGTCAAGTGGCTGGTTCTGATGATTCAGCGCTGCTTACATTCAAGATCGGTTTCCCGGCGCAGGTCTTGGTGGCGCTATGGTTTTGGCGCGAGCCGGATTGTCTTCTTGCAGAGGACGGACCGCGACGAGGAAACTGTTCAATCGAGGTCCATACCTCCGTTGGGGACAGCGACCGGTTGGGCATGGTTAAGCCGATGATAGTCAGCCCAATTCTCCATCTGGACTGTTTCCGACAACTGGGACTGAGCAGTCTCCGGGCCTGGTGTACTCTCGGCTCGCAATACCTCGTCGCCTTCAAAGACCATAGGTTGGCATCTCAGATTGTGAAGGCAAGTTTCCCACGTTCTGCCGACTAGCTTCCCTTCCAAAAGACTTTCACTGAAAAGGAAGAAGCCTTCTTGGCAGCCGACAAGGTATGCGTCGAGGCCAGCGTTCTTGAGGAGAATTTGAGCGCCGTGAATATACCGAGAGTAGTGATTGTCCAGATACTTCGCCCAACCTCTAGCAGCGGCCTGCATTGATTCGCTTTCAGACTCCATCTTGGTCCATCCGACACCAAGCGCAATGGTCGCCTCGTCAAACTCTGGTCGATCTGAAGCAGTCTTTGGCGGACTAGCCGGCGCCGAGGCGATGTTGGTGTCGATTGGTAGGCGGAGCGACGTCTGAGATAACCTGACCGATTTGCGACTAGTCGGCAGCTTGGGCCGAGTGTATGCCGCAGTGATCTCCTCCTTGAGCGCTTTTTCATCCGCCTTCTCTTCGTACCATGTGCCCGTCTGGCTCTCCGCCGAGACCGACAGGCCTGTCTTCGGATTGAGCAAGACCATTCCTTCGCCATAAACGGGTTCCTCTTCGGGAATCGGAGCCGGAGTGTCAACCGAGGCGAAATAAGAGCCGTCCGCTTCGGCGTCGAATGCGGTCTCGTCACGGGAGCGCTTCCTCGACGGGTTGGTTGATACTGGAGTCATACCATCGACCGGTGTCCAGGTTGTTGAGTGATTAGGATACGAAGTCGGTGAAGCCTCCTCCTGCTCCATCGCTTTGGGGGTTACAGAGGGAGTGGGAAGCTGATGCTGTTCCTGGGGAACAAAGGACATGTTTCGAATGGCGCAAAGACAAATAGCCCGACGTAAAAATGTGTCTCCCCTTGCGTTTGCTCTCCAAGTGGTGGGATGAGGCTGGCGAAGATAGCAAATAGTTGACAGTGAGATTTCTATTATACGCCGAAGGGAATCGAAAGGTCAATACGATATAGCGAAGGCGCGGATATCAGATGATGTCGACATATGAGATGACAGAGGAGGGTATGTCCCGGAAGTAAAAGGGAGACGAGGAAGTCAACAGAAAATGAGGGTGGGTAGAGGGATGAGCTGAGGTATTTGAACCAGGGAGGGAAGAGGCGAAGAGGAAAGAGGAAAGAGGCAGGGTCACAATGCTTGGGAAGGCAGCTGGCAGCTGGAAGCTGGAAGCTGGGAGAAAACGAAGAGGCGAGAAGCGAAGGAAAGCCAGAAATCTGGGGGACTCTGCGGTCTGCGAGATTTGTGTGGGAGAAAGTGGTAACGGCGTGCTGTCAGTGGTGGAAAGCCCCAGCAAACAGATGTGAGGTCTGAGAGGTCTGAGCGGCAGCTTTGAGGCCACGGGCAACGATGCACAAAATTCGGAATGCCTTTGTAGCGATCAGCCTGGGTGCCGCCCACAAGCAGTAAAGCTCCCAGGGACTGCCAGGAACGCCGCACTGATCGAGCACAGGCCATTGGGTGAGGCGTGAGCTGCATGCCATACCAGGTATGCGTCCTGTAAGCAAAAAGACTTTGCTGTTTGTTGCGCAAGTCTCCGATCCACTGAGACCAGCTGTGGATGAGCTGCCAGTGGGCGCACTGGGCGGAGGCGTCAGAAAGCGCAAATCAAAGAGGCACAGAGGCCAAACCCAGCCGGCAAATGGATCTGTAAGGCATTGGAAAGGACGGGAACAAGGTGCGCCCCCCCACCCGGCACCACCTGCATCGACCTAGGGTCCTAGGGTAGGCGACCCAGGCAGCCAGAGCTTTCTGACTGATCACCTTTTTCTCTTTGCGATGCTCTGGCGGCATGCGTGGATGGTGGATGCGTGATGCGGCAACCGAGGAGCGATACAGTAAGAGCCTAAGAGGCAGTGTGGGGAAATCCACGCCAGTCCCTAAAGCCCGCAACAAACTGGCACTGGGCGCCTTTTAGCGGGCATTGCCCTGCTTGACCCTGGGCTTGGATCCCTGGCGCACCCATTTTGTCCAACGCCACCCGCTTACAAGCCCGCCAGTGCTTGTCCTCGTTAGGTGGTGGTCCCGCCCAACCCGCGGGCTTCCTGCCGCTGCGGCTGCTCTGGCCACTCTGCCACATGCCAGCCAGTATGCGGAGTACGCCTGTCGCCTTTTCAGCTTCCCTCCCCAGCCTCTTCCCCCGTACGTCTCGCCACGGTATACTCGGCGTTCGTATGTCAAAATGTTCAATGGCGTCCTCGTGATTAGGTGGGTGGGTGGCTAGCTATCTAGCTAGACGGTGTCTGCAAAAACTCCAGTAACGTTCACAATAGCGTCCTGTTTTCTAGTGTGGTAGGTAGACCTCCATCACTCATGCGATGCGCTCTACCATTTCGCCCTGTATTTCCAAACTCCTTGACTGTGACGCAGCAATATCATACAAGGATACAATGTCTATGTGCTCAAAGGTGGCGAGAACAGTGAGCTGTTCTCAGGATCGTCGCTGTTGCTGGCAAAAACTCAATCAACCAGTAAACCGTCGGTAGATTGAGTATCTCCTTTTCGTTGATCTTTTCTCGTTTGTCCACCCCCCAAAGATTAAGTTTTCTTTCATGATCCAAGACCTGTGCTGAACATGTCTGTCAGGTTCTTCGTTTGTGCAGGCGCGTATGTTGGAGCCAATCCGCCAAGGAGAAGGAATATGGTAAGAATGACTAGCGCGAAGATGACTGCCTTTCGCATTGCCGGCTTCTGGACACCGAATTCGGACCATGTTCGACCAGCTTGGCCCATGTACTGCTTGAGTTGCTCCGCTCCCAGTCTGTAGTACAGGAGACCCCCAAGTGCAATCGAATAACCGAAGAATTGGGTGTTGGTGACGGGGGTGCCCCAGATCATCATGGATGCCGCCACAAGCAGGATATCCTTCAGAATGCCACAGAGAGTGAGGACCAGTGATGACGTCTTTCCAATCTAAATCGATTGTTAGAGACCGTGCGACCTGATCTGAAAGCTTTTCGAAACTCACGAGGAACACAACTGAGACGTTGAGGAGGAATGCGACCATTGCATTAGCCACCAGCATGAAAATACCGACATCATAGATGTTCTGCATGCTCATTTTGGGTATCTCAAGCACCATGGCGGTCACACCATTCATGACGGCGCACACGGGCGCAAAGTAGTAGAGGGATACCAAGGGATCCATCTTGAACTCGGCCGAACTGAGGAGACGCTGGACCAGGACCAAACGGGTGGCCTCGAAAGTGATACCGCCAGCCTGGTACATGAAACCGGTCAAGTTGAATTCGATCGCGCCATATGAGGCAATGACCACGCCGATGACGATGAACGAGACGTTGCCCAAGGTCTTCAAGCTCGGAGGGGAGACACCCATGGCCCAGGTGGTCAGCAGAACCGCAACCGGCATGCACGCCTTTTCAGGTTGTCAGTACTATAACCCAATCTCTTTGCATGTGCATTCGCCTCACCTTCAGCATCTGGATGAAGGCAACACTCAGGTAGAGATATGCTTGATTTCCGCAAATCAAGCTCAAGCTGAAGAAGAAACCGATTGGGAGAATAGCGCGGAGGTAGACCTTGCCGGTCATTTTGACGGTTTTGCGTCCATCGAGGAGGGTCGTGGTCCTCGCGAGGAGCTGTGTCATGAAAGTTGCAAAGAGCATGTGCCTGGTGACAGGAGTCAGCCGCAATCTCTGTGAGTGAGGATGCCATTAAGCATACCATGCCGTCAAGGTGATGGGGAATTCTAGAGAGGGGTCAGCTCATCGTACGCCCATGCTGCGATCTTGGGAAGCATACTGAATCCAAGTGTATCCAACAACCATTTATTGAACAAGATCACACCTCCGCTGAAGCCAATCCATGTTCTGCCATACTGTCAATCGAACGAAACGTTTCGTGGTAAGGAACTGCACCTACACTACGTAGACGGCCGGGTGCAGTGTGGGTTTAGGAGGCTGGGGCTTCTCTGTTGTCGGGAGGATGCTCGCTGAAGCAGTAGGGGCTTCGGGCTCATTAACTCTGGCCTGTTCACCCGACACACGGGCCTTCTTCTCAACGTCGGCCATGGCGAGTTGCGGCAATTGAGAGCGAGCGAGGAAGTCTCGAAAGGAGAACGGCGTGGGTGACCCCGAAAAGGTCGTGGGGCGCAGCACTTTGGCAGTGACTCAAGCAGACATAAGAGAAAGACTAGACGAGTTTGTGTAGAGCACAGAGACCCGGACTGGTGCTGTAAAGGCAGGGCAAAGAGAATGGCGATTGCAAGATGCGCGTCGCGAACAGATGGGGGATTAGTTCACGATAGAAATTTGAGATGGAGGCTTGGTGACAGATTGAGATTAATTGGGAACCAGGAAGAGTATCGCCGCAGTCGCCAGCCAGTGCCAGCCACAGAGGCGAAAACTCGTCCGTCCTGGAGCCTCCCTGATTCCCTGAAACTGGGAGCCCCACTGGCAGAGCCATCGAGCAACTTAGCCGAACGTTATCGGCAGCCAGCCAATGAAGGCATGTGCTGCAATCTACGAATTGGCAGTCAAAAAGGTTCAGCCCGTCGTTAGTTGGCGACGGAGTAGATACTGCCATTCAGGACAATTGAATGACAACGGATCTCCGGCATGGTGTGCAAATCAAAGCTGTCTGTGAGTCTAGGAGGAACCGGTAGTCAATGGCGACAGGTCCAGCTTGTCCGAAAGTACCTAGGTGAGATGATGCGCTGCGGATCTATTGTCCGGTGCGTGGAAGCAAGGTCGATGATGCTCTCAAATTTGTCGTCAATTTGAGGCCGGGGACCTCACCATCGATCATACAAAAACCAGATATACTGTTTCGGCGCGATAGACAGCTACGATACAACAGTGAGCCCCTGAGCGCAAGGCTGCAGGGTCCATGCCCCTTTTCACTGCGAAGACATACCTAGGTAGGTGACATAATAAGGGGATGGCCATTACGAAATAGGGAATTTGCTTTTACACCACTTGATTAAGTTACTCGTAGAGGGACCAATCCGAGTCTCACCCATCCGCGTTACATACGTACGGAGTACCTCGTACTCGAGGTGGTGTGGTGGGTATTACAAAAGATACCAGGTCGTTGCCAGGTACTCGGTCCTTGCGGTAGCTCCCTGGTTCCTGGTAGGCATTACTCGTGCAACTTCCGCAATCTGAAATCTGTCTATCCATCCCCTGCCAAGACCAGGTGCCCTGTATCGGAGCCTCCAACTGGTCCACTACCTTACTTGCCGAGCCGCAGTTTGTCTGCGCCCGCGCCCCAAGTTTTTTTCTGCCCCAAGGCGCATTGCACTCGCGCTCGGAGGGTGTCCCGTTGCCAAACGGCTGTCTTCTTGTCTACACTTGGCTGTATTCGTTCCGGTGTCAACAATCGTTGCTGGACAGATTCTGCAGGATATAGACCTGTCTTTCACATTCCTTTGGCTACATTCCAAGTTTCGCCCTCCAAATGTCTGATATGTACGCCATCCTCCTACCACCTCAGTGACCGCTCTCTAATGTTTCTGCTACAGTTCGGTCGACGTTCTGGTCATAGGCGCTGGCCCAACTGGATTGGGTGCTGCCAAAAGACTCAATCAGATTGTACGTCTCTCTTGCGCCTCCGAAGAGCCCCCACTGACTGCTTCACCCAGAATGGCCCATCATGGATGATTGTCGATTCAAACGAGATTCCTGGCGGTCTGGCTTCCACAGATGTGACAAAAGAAGGATTTGTAGGCGACAGGAAAGTCCAATACAACACTACTCAGGCGCTGACTTGTGGACTAGCTCTATGATGTTGGTGGCCATGTCATCTTTTCCCACTACAAATACTTCGACGACTGCATTGACGAGGCGCTGCCCAATGCAGACGATTGGTACACCCACCAGAGAATATCCTACGTTCGGTGTAAAGGCTTGTGGGTGCCATATCCATTTCAGAATAATATCTCGATGTTGCCCAAGGAAGATCAGGTGGTATGCATGGATGGCCTGATTGACGCCGCAATGGCAGCAAGAGTTGCAAACACAAAGCCTCAGAACTTTGACGAATGGATCCTTCGCAACACCGGTGTTGGCATTGCAGATATCTTCATGAGGCCCTACAACTTCAAAGTGTGGGCTGTTCCCACCACCAAGGTGATTTTTCCGGCGACACTGGTGTCGGACCCTGACTAACCTTTGCGCAGATGCAGTGCCAATGGCTGGGGGAGCGTGTCGCAGCTCCTGATCTCAAGAACGTCACCAAGAACGTCATACTGCAGAAAACCGCAGGCAATTGGGGTCCCAACGCGACCTTCAGATTCCCTGCGCGAGATGGCACCGGTGGCATCTGGATCGCGGTTGCCAAAACTCTCCCCGAAGAGAAGAAGCGCTTTGGAAAGAAAGGCACCGTCAAGAAGGTCAATGCCGACAAGAAACAGGTTCTCCTGGCAGACGGCACCACCGTCCACTACGAAAGACTCATCAGCACCATGGCCATTGACTACTTGGCTGAGGCCATGGAGGACGAGAAACTGATCAACTTGTCCAAGGGCTTGTTCTATAGCAGTACTCATGTCATCGGCGTCGGTATCCGAGGTTCACGTCCCGAACGAATTGGCGACAAGTGCTGGCTTTATTTCCCTGAGGACAATTGTCCCTTCTACCGGGCCACCATATTTTCCAACTACTCTCCATACAATCAGCCACAAAAGAATGTCAAGCTGCCCACGTTACAACTTGCCAATGGATCTCGGCGCCAAAGTATGCAAGCTAAGGAAGGCCCCTACTGGTCGATCATGCTGGAGGTGTCTGAGTCGAGTATGAAACCAGTCGACCAGGAGACCCTCCTCAAGGACTGTATCCAGGGCTTGGTCAATACCGAGATGCTGAAGGCCGACGACGAAATCGTCTCGACCTATCATCGTCGATTTGATCACGGTTACCCCACCCCGACTCTGGAGCGAGAAGGGGTGCTCAAGCAGATGCTACCGGCTCTTTTAGACAAAGGCATCTACAGCCGTGGACGGTTCGGGTCGTGGAGATACGAGGTGGGCAACCAAGACCATTCGTTCATGCTGGGTGTCGAAGCTGCAGACAACATCATCAACGGGGCGGTAGAGCTGACGCTCAACTACCCCGACTTCGTCAATGGGCGGCAGAATACAGAACGAAGACTGGTGGAAGGAGCGGCGTTGTTTGGCAAGAAGAAGGCAGAGAATGGCAATGTTGTGGTTGGACGTCGCATGACTGGCGGCAAGACGGAGCTGGGTGGGCGAGTGGAGACCAGCGGGAAAGAGGCATTGAGTGCCAGCGGCGGGACCGCAATGGCCATGAAGGATGGGAATTCGAGGGTTCTGAACCGCAATTGGTAAAAGAGCAGGAGTGAGCCCAGTTATGAGGTAACAAGCATTCCTTGTCCCTTTTCGTTCTTTGTGCATTGTTGGACATATTTCCCCCGGCCAAGCGGGCATAGAGCGAGTTCATCCATGTGGGAGAAGAAGATGGGGGTGGTTATTACGACAGGGTACAACGAGACCAGGGAGAGACCGGAGGGTTTAGAGCGGCTTTTCCTTGTGCCCAGTTCTAGAAGAGGGACAATTCACAAAAAGGAGAGAAAGTACCTAACTTTGAGTTATTGGATTTTCGTCTTTTGATCGGCACCTACTCTGATAGGCAGTCATCCCCCTGGCATTCCCTTGGGGTGCCCTGAAGACGGATGGGCTGCCCGTCGTAGCGAGGAATGAACCCAGTGGCCACCCCAGAGTGGACGAAGTTTGGACCTCCTCCCCCTGACGCCTGTCTCTTTCTTAGCCCCTCTTGCCCCCGGGTTATCAAAAGATGCGGGGGAGGGAGGGGGGGTTCTATGGAGTTTTCAGCTTGATCAGCTGAGCTGTGCCCCGTGGCGAATCGCATTGTCGATGGTCCATCGTAGGCACGGAGTGGCTTTCTGGGTGATGTACCTAGGTAGGTACTGATCAGGGGGTGTTGGGGATGTTGGGATGAGGTAATGGTGGATTGATGGATCTCTTTATGCGGGAGAAGAGCGTGGAGAAAGGCCTGGCACATTTAGATACCGACGTATCTACCTGGGCAAGTAGTCGAGGGGGGCGTCCATTACAGAGCAGAGAAATATACCTAGAATATGGAGTACTCGGTACAATCTTCCCCCTTACACTCATCGTTCGATTCTGGCCGGAGGACGAGATACTCTGGAGTACCTACCTACCTAGGTACCAACGCCGCCCCGGAGTGCAAACCAGGTTCAGGAGTTCGTTCCCCCGCTGTGGAGACGAAGCGAGAAATACCTCATCAAAATCCATACTGGCATCATCGTGATCCTCAAATTGTTTAAAGTCAAGTCCAGCCGCGCGGAGCTGCGCCTCTTGCGTGCTCTGGAGGTGGTACCAAGTACGTCTCCATGCATCTGTAAAGACTCGTAGGTGGATGTGACAGATGGATTTCCAAGTCAAATTCCCCCGCCTCTGCGCTGAAAATACGTGCGAGCACATAGGTTGCAAATATAGCGGCGATATTTGTACGGATCAGTCTGGATACATGTGTCTTTGCATTCTCTTTTGCCGCCGCTTGCCGAAAAATACAAGATTCATCTGTTGCGTTGTTCATGCCGAGAACTTACATTCGCCAATTGTTCTGCGATGGCTGCTCTGTTGGTTAAAGCAAAGAAGGATTTCACGAGACCTTGAATTGCTGGAAGAAGACGCAAATTGTTCAACAGAAAGAACAAACGACCTGAACGTAACCGGGCGCGCCATCGGAAGTCATGTAATAGACAAAGATACGTAGGTGCCCTTATACTCGAAATGCAAAGTCGGCCCCATTCATATCTGTTTGTTCTTGGAGGTCACCTAGATATTCCATGCTGCTTTTGCGACTTTCGTTGGCTGGTGTCTTACGGAAGACCGCATTGGGTGGTGCATACTAGGTAGCAAACTCATCATTAACCGGCGTCGGCCACTTGGCCACGAGGTACAAAGCATCTACTAAGGCGGGTAGTGCTTAACTGTAAACTCGGCAATATATATTAGCATTGGCAGCAACATCGGAACAGGTCGAGCAAGTTTTCGTCTACCGACGCATGGGTGTTCCAGCCGGTAGTACCTGAAGCAGTGAAAGGATAATCAAGAGCTGACCTGCTTGCCCTTATCCTACCTTATCTCTGTTCCAGGCCCATGGTTTGTTCATATCGACTGTCTTCATATCTCGGTAAACACATGCGTCCTTATGTCGTTGAGATCTCAGGACAGAGGACTAGTGGTTGAGGTTGCGTCGGTACGCAAAGGTGGGGTGTGGACTGTGCTGGAGCTGCTATGGTCAAGGTTTCACTTGTTTCTCGCATCATTGTCATATGATGTCTTGAATGAAAAGGCCGGTGATGAGGGGAGGGCGTTGGGGGGGCGTAATCGACAGTGAAAGTCAGCTTCATGGTGCAATCGATCGAAAGGTGTTCGTGACGATCGAGGCACGCATCACGTCAGTGCCTGCAGAGAATGCAGAAGGTGGCAGAGAATTGGATGTGTTCCTGAATTGTTGCCCACCGTCCCCGCCAATCCACCCGAGCGCCATATTGCTACGGGTCCTGAAACCAATCACGACTACCGCAATTGGAGTCAGTTTTGTTTCTCAAAGCCCTTCCGAGCCTAACCGCATGCGAGATCCGGACGCTGGCAAGCAGTGCATCAGACGTTGACATTTTATTTCTGTTGGATGTACCTACATCTTCTGACTCGTCAAAACACGTCTCAAAACAGCCGTGCAAACCTTGGCCGAGGAGAGGACCACGCAAAGGACCCGAAGGCACCTATAAGAAGGTGCCTTGGGCGACGAACAGAACCCCGCTGGGCTGGCACCCACTGGCACCAGGGAGGCCACTGAGGCGACTATGCCCCGTTGAGGCCCCATGGTGCATCACTTTGGGCCACTGGCCACCCCTTCCCACCCACAGCCGGGCCACTATTCCTACGTAAGCCTAGCCATCTTCTCACCCGCAGGGGCGGTGACGGGCTGCTCACTTGCTGGACCAGTAGCCACAGGCCTGGAATCATCCCTCTGCATCATCACCAACAAAAGACTTTTCCTGCGCTTGTGACCCGTGACTTTTTCTGCCTGGTGAGCCCTTTGTCTGTTCCCGGCTTGCCCTTTGGTGGCCCTTGGGGCCCCTGGTCCGAGCCCATAATAACCGGCCCTTCGGTGGCATCAGCCCGCTGCAGGTGCTGCTGGCGGTGGCAGTGACCAAGTAGTATGTAACTAGACTTGTCCACCTCCTGCTTCTCCACGATTCACCAGTAACCCGTCAAACTGCAGCATACAAGAAAAATCACCGCATTGCCCTCCAACCTCAACCTGCATCATCCTCTGTTTTCCTTTTTCTCCTTCCTGACATTCTTCCATATGCTCCCTCCCCATTGATGTCAACGAAACCTCGACCTATACACTGACACTGTTATCTTTCTGACGAGTTTCCTTTCTCTTTTCTTTGTACCTTCTCCAAAACGGTACGTAGCTGGCTTCTCCAATTTCAACCCTCTCGAGTCCTTATCGTCAAAAGGACTTCAAATATCCCACTCACAAAACCTTGACACCTGCAAGGGCGGTGAGTGAGATATATCTCCGAGAGAGTAGCTGTTTATGCTTTGCACCCTGTTTCGACCTCTTTATCTCTCCTCGCATGCTAACGTTGTACTTGCACAGTCGACATCAAGCATTAGTTTGCCCATCATGTCGGCCGCTCAAGTTGCTCCCACCATCCCTCCTCGTCCTGTTCGAGCCCAACAAGCTGCCGCCCACGGCGCTGGGAGGCTGCCTGATATCCCTCCTCGTCCCATCAACAAGCGTCTCGAGCGTTCGCTTTCCCCCTCCCACTACCCTCGCTCTCCTCTGAACGAGCCATGGTCCGCCAATCTCACCCGTCACAAGACCAATGAGCAAGCCTCCGCCGAAGGACTGCCCCGCCGTCCCAGCGTACAATACCTGCCATCTCTTGGTCAAGAAGGCATGGAGTATGCCGAGATCATGGACATGGAAAGTGAGATGCAGACGGATACGCAGACGAGTCAGCAGCCTCCTATCTCGACTCTGGCCGCGGATGCCGCCGCACAAACCAGAAATATCGCCCAAGACCTCCAACTGCATGCTCCAAAGCCCTCCCTTCCCAAGTCAAGTGCGACTGCGCAGGTCCAGGCCGTCACCCGGACCGACTTGCAGCAGGCCTCTTCTCACGGTCTTGGGAAGCCGTCGACTCCATCGCAAGATGAGGGTGAAGGCCTGCAGCAAGTGAGAACCCGGTCAAGTTTCTCTCGGCCCTCGTCTACAATCGGCGGCGAACGCCGTCCCTCTGTCTTTGGAGACGAAGAGTCTGGCCCTGCAGAACTAGGTCTCCGAGTCCCCATCAACCCTCTCTTGGGAGACGTGCAGGCCCCTTCTCCGGCCCTTGGTCTCAGCCCGGCTCATACAGGCACAAACGGCGACAAGAGACGTCCGACCCACTCACGTGCGAAAGCGAGCAGGGAGATCTTCACTCCTCCTGGGAGCTATGGTCTTCATGGCCATGGCGTTGCTCCTCAGGACAGGTTTGAAAAGGACTGGTACGCAAAACATCCCGAGGTTGCCCAAATTGAGGAAACCCTTGGGCACGGAGTCTACGAGAGCATCGGAAGTGGTCGCGGTGCTTTCGCTTTGAGTAGCGATGATCTGAACAAGATTGTGCGGGATACGGCTAGCCGGGGATCAGGATTTGGTAAGGTGCTTGCTGTGAAAACATGGCGTGCTCTAACCCATTTGTCTAGGAACAACAGGAACAACCTTTTCGTATCCTGATGAACAAATTGGATACCTGGCCTCCGACATCTACGTCTCCAGGTCCCAGCAAAACACTCCAAACAGCCTCGCGAAGACCCTTACCAATACCTCCCAACCGGCCCTCGAGTCCCCACTGAGAAAAGCCAGTTTCCCGGCGAACGATACCATCCCGGCTGAAGTCCGTCGTGGCCGACTTTCGGTTTCCAGTAGGCATGATGACCACGATGCGGTCGAAAGTGAGCAGGAGGGAGAAATCCATATTCCGGCGGGTCGACGCTTTAACAAGATTACGGGCGGCGAGGAAAGCATGAATGAATCTCTGGAAACTCGGCCGCTAGTCCCACAGTCAAGCCAGGAAGAAGAGTACCTCCAGGAATACGGCTACACTGCGCCAATCCTGGCAGCGGACGAGGTCGCAAAGGAAGCCGGCTGGGAACACCTCCAGCCAGCAGTCTCTCCCAAGCAGGAACGGCGTGGAAGTCTTGAGCCCGCAAGCGGTGAAGTTACCCCCGGATCACGCCCACCGAGCAGACCCACCAGCATGTACAGTCTCCACAGCGCCAATCATTCTTTGTCCAGATTCATTTCACATGCTGAGGAACGAGACACCATGCACACTCCGCTAGAAGATGTACATGAATACGAACCACTATTCCCCGAGGATGACGACAAGAAGCCGATCAGTTACTCTGAACGGTTCAAACAGAGACCCAATGCTCTACAGCGGCGATTCCCTAGCCAAGACATCTGGGAAGATACCCCAAGCAGTGCCCTCTACTCCGCCACCGTCTCTACGCCAGATCTTCCTGCTAAGGCCGAGGAGGGTGTTTCTGCTTCCAAGACATTTGAACCTCCAGAACAGGAAGCAGCCCGAAAGGAAGAACCGTCTGAGCAAGAGAAGGCTAGGTTGATTCCAAAAGAACAGAGGCTGGCACAGTCTCGCTTCGCGCCTCACCTTCGTGATGACATGCCAACCCGACCCGGTATGGTACCCAGATTCCCCAGCCAAGATATATGGGAGGATAGTCCTGACAGTCACCATCTTGTTACAACCATCTCCAATCTGCCCAAAGAAGAGCAGCCTGAACCAGAAACCTCGCCAGAAGTCCCAGCGAAGCCAAGCATTCCACCACGTCCTGCTAAGAACAGGTTAGGTGAAGGGACTTCGTCTGCTCAGGTCGCACCGAGCGTGCCACCCCGGCCGCAGAAAGCACTCGGCACTGTACCACCTCTGGGTGTTCCCCAAAGTGACGCGGCTAAACCGAAGGATACCTCCCCCACAGAGCTGAAGAAAGTTCCCAGTATCCCCGATCGACCGAAGCCTCAAATTCCGGCTCGGCCAGCAAAGAAACTTGCCGGAGAAGGGCTGGCGAAGACCATTTCAGGTGGTTCAACAGGGTCGGTTGAGCAGGAGAGGATTTCGCCTCCCGTCGCCAAAGCTAAGCCACAGGTCCCTGCCAGACCTATTCCAGGCAGTAAAATTGCCAATCTGAGGGGGAACTTTATGAACGATCTCAATCAGAAACTTGGCTTGGGACCGCCCAAGGAGAAGGAGCCAGAGCCAGAGCCAGTGGCCGAAGAGGCGAAACCTCTGGAAGATGCGCGAAAAGGTAGAGCGCGTGGCCCTCAAAGACGAGCACCAGCCAAGTCTCCGGCTGCTCCGGTGAAACCCATGGGGTTCTCTATGTTTTCACCGCGTGCTTTGTGGACGATTGATGACGTTGACGAGCTGAACGTCACTTCAAGCGAAACTACCGCTCCTGCGTCCACACTGAAGGAGGAGGAATCTGGAAACCTGGACGTTTCAGGGGAGAAGGCTGAGCAGCTTGAAGACTCGGCTCCGGCAGAAGAGCCTTCGCCGGCCACTATTGATGTAACTGATCATGCTGAAACTAAGCCCACCGTTCCCGAGACGAAGGTAGAGAGCCAACCGGCACCAATGGCGACTAACCTAGCCACAAACACTGCTGGGGAACTTGCAGACCCGGACCCTACACTGGGGACGCCCACACAGGAGAAGTCCAATCCTCTGAGCCGGAATGAATCAGATGAGAAAGACGACAAGGAAGGTGAAGAGGTTGGCCTCTCTCAACGCACGACGGCAAGCAGTACTCAGGCGTCAGGATCGGAACTGGAAAGGGAAGAGCCGAATCCAAATACTGATGCGATTCCTGTGAGCAAGCACACGACCGCAAGCACACTTGGGGACACGGTGCCTTTGGAGAAGAGCCCAACCCCAGATGAACCGAGGACGTTGAGAAACACGCTACCAGAAGGAGAGCCAGGGAACACGATGAGAAACACGTTACCGGAAGGAGAGCCGGGGAAAGCGAGCATGGAGGAGGTCTAGGAGCATGCTTGGAGGAGTTGTAGTGTGTGTGCTCTGGGTCGCTGGAACGCACAGCACCCAGCTTATAGGATAAGACATATGGGTATGTCACGGCAGCTCCAGCTGTGGGACAAGGGATATGGATTAAGACAAATGGCAGCGTGTGGGAGATCAGCAGGGGTCATAAAAAAAAAGCAAGATCTCGCTCCTTGTTCAACCTCAGACCCATATTCATTACTTAGAATCACCAAGGACCAATCCAATTCATTGGCTTTTCATATTCATTGGACCCATATGCTTGCTTGCTTGCTTGCGTGTTTGTCTGTTTGTGTACTACTCAAACATGTCATCGAAATCCACGGCTTTCGGACGGACTCTGCGGCCTTGGGGAGTCGTCGTCGTGGTCGTTGGTAGTGGAGGCACATTTGCAGCACTGGGCTTGATTGTCGCCTGCGAGCGGTGGGCAGGACCGGCTTCGGCTTCAGCTTCTGTGTGTCCTTGCACCTGCATCTCTCGCGGTGCGTCCACCAAGGCTTGTGTTTTTGAGGAGGGGCTGCCGCCGTCCTTTTCGTCCCGAGACTCAGACTGGAGCTGCTGCTGCTGCTCCCCCAGTCTACGAGCTTGGTCCGCACCGGTCGCTCCACCACCATCTTTTTGTGCTTGTCCTCGTCCTTGCAGGTGGTCGTGGTCTGCAGGTGCCTGTTCGTCATCGTCGCTGCTGTCCGCCATTGGCACGCCGTCGATGTTCTCGTCCGTCAGGACTGTGTCGCCGTCTTCTTCGTCTGGGTCGTCGATCCCGGCCTCGTCGTCACCCAAGTCGTCCTCGGCCATGGGTGTTCCGTCCATGTCCATCTCCACGTCGCCGTCATTGGCTGCTGCAGGCTTCGCTTCGGCAGAGGCAGAGACAGAAGCTGTGGCTTTGCCATCATCAAGTCCGACATTCCCGTTGGCACCAGCATCCGCCCCCACGCTGCGCCAACGGCTCACACCTCCAGCAGCCTTATCTCTTTCCTTTTGTTTCTCTCTTTCAGCATCTTGTTCAGCCTTGGCCTTGGCCTTTTCTTCCTCCTCGCTCAGAGGCGGATGCAAGAACCCCTCGACCATCTCTTTCATCCTCGCTTCTTCGAACACGCACCACCCTTCCCACAGTCCCAAGACCACTTGCACCTGCCTCTTCCACTTCTCGGCCTTGAGCTTGCCCCACTCGTACTTTTGTGGGATCTTGCCCAGCACGGGCAGGACGTTCTGGGCGAGAAGATGATGTTGGAAGAGAGAGCGGTAGCGCCATGCGTGCCGCACGCCCGAGGTCGAAGAGGCTGAGAGGATGTCGCTTATGAGATACAAGCCTATCAGCGAAGCTGGGGTCGTATCCTTTTCCCTGGGTTTGGAGCGTTGATCTGGTGCTTCTGTTTTGGGCGGCTCCCTATCTCCCCAGTCCTTTGGCATGTCGTCGCCGTTCTCATCGTCATGACGGTCGTCCTCGTCGTCTGTATCTCCTTTTGGTCTCTTCACGCTGTAGCAAAACGGCCTAACCACATTCCTCGTGACCAATTCTGCGACTTCATCTGCGCCAGCCCCGGCGTGCTCGATTGCAAATCCCGTGACTCGCGCAACATCGCCCCTGCGCAGTCTTGCATTTGTTTCTGGCAGGCGACTAAGTAGATGAATGAGTTTCGTCTTCGCAAGCGGGTTAAGATAACCTGTGCCGTCATTGTCGGCCGTTGAGTCACTGACGTTGGCGAGTTTTTGGTGATCATGATACCGTCTAGCTAGTCCCCCTCCTCTATTGTCGTCATCGATGCCTTCTTCGTCTGAAGAATTGTAGTCGTCATCAGAAATGAATTCCTCGAGACGGGTGGTGTATTCGAACTTGAGGTCCTCTTCCGGAGGTATCCAAGTTGATTGTCCCTCGAATAAAATGTCACCTTGTGGTTGTCGCATCCCGTACGCGGTATAGCGTTGTCTACGACGCGATTTGGAGTCGGTGAGGATCTCCCAGAGACGCCAACGATAATACACTCCGCCCGTTGATCTTGAATCCCATAGCCAAGCCCATTGTTCGTCACGCTGAATTTGCGGCCGGGACATGAGCAGCGCTTCGAATTCAGGACCATAAGTCAGAAGAGCTTCGATGGTTTTGTGGATTAGACGGAGTTGCCTGAGATCATTCGGGGCCTGTACGGTGACTTGTGTGGGGGGCATGCTCGATCGAGGACCGTAGGGTGTCGATGAGGTGTATGAAGTCGGAGGAGCGAAGCGGTTACCAGCACCTGCTTGGGCCGGGGGAGGAGCACGGGATAAAGATGTGTGCTGTGGCACCGGTTTCGCACCAAAGGGGAGATTGTTCAAGTTCGCCGACGGAGTGTTGTTGCTTAACGAGTTCATGCCGGTTAAGGCTGCGGAAGAAAGATGGCGAGATATCGAGAGGTTGAAGCCAAAACCGAGGTATTTGTTCTGGAGATGAGAGACCATGGTTTCAATATCTGCTGCTGGGGTTTCAGCAGCAAGCGTGACGATGGCCGAGGTCGATTTTCTTTCAGTGGCTGACCCTGGTGCAGACGGAAGGATGCGAACACCTTCGACAGTCAATGGGGAGGGGGTGAATAGGGCCTTGACGACCGCAGGGGATGTCTCAGGTGGGAGAGAGGCGAGATGCAGTGTGGGTTTCGCAGCGGCCTTGAGTTCTTCTGTGTCCCGTGTATCCTCCTCCTCATCTTGGGCAAACCCATGGGAATCCTTCCCGTTGTCCACATCTCTGCCGTCACTGTAGGAAAACACCCTATCCCTCCTGTCGCGGTCGCGGTCGCGGTCTCGGTCCCGATCGCGTCCCGAGTATTCATCATAGTGTCTCTTTCTTCCGAATCCCGGCGCTGGTCCCAAGCTACCCGGACCACGCTTTGGTAATGGAGGACTCGGCCCCAGACTACCGGGACCACTCTTCAAGCCCGAACTTGTGAAATGGCGCTTGCCCGGGCCAGGGGGACCGTGGTTGCTACCACCAGAGCCAAACCCTCCTCGATTTTCGCCTCCAGAGCCTCGCTTTGAAGAGAAGCCCGATGTCTGGTTCCCATCGTCTTCAAAACTCTTCACAAAATCTTCAAGCACAGCTGCTGTCTCGGCTTTCTCTCGGGCCTTCTTTGCTTCTGCCTCTGCTTTTTGTCGCTCGAAGATGGACTTCTTGGTGGAGGGGCCGAGTTTGGAGGAAACGTCGGTATTGGAAAGGGGCATCGCGACAATTTGGTGTTTACGGGATAAGGCGGTGGCGCATGACTCCGACCTAGCTCCAGAATCCTCTCTCTCGAGCCGCCAACGACCGGCAGGAGTGGGTTGATTGTGACACTGGTCGTTGGAAAGTTCGCGAGGCTGAACTGAAAGTGCCCAGACAAGCCAGATGAACGAAAGGTGCCCGCGAGTCTAATCCGGATTGGGTCGAGTGTGATGCTGCCCTATGTCTCGCAGACGCGAGTCTCCAACGGGACTAGCACCACGGCACGCAACCCGGCGAGCGCCGGCTAACCCCAGTGAGGAGAAATCACTATCTTCATATACTTACCTACCTAGTAGTATCGATGGAGCCTGCTGTTAGAAATAGTACGGGACTAGATTTCCACTGGCTCGGGTTTCGAGCTTTGGCCTGGATCACGGCCATGCGGTTGTAAAAAGTGCAAGAAATCGCCCGAGCCGCCCGACCACTCTGGAGGTGGTGTCTTGTATTGAGTCGTTTTATTTTTCCCAGTCACCCAGGAATGAAGAACAGAGGCGGCCTTGAAAAGGTGTTTGCTTTGATGGTTCAAGTCCTAGAAGAAGTACAGTGCAAATTTTCCACATTTTTCGTAAAACACCATATCCCGTTTGTTAAGGGGGTTGGTATCCGCGTCTATTGAACAAATTGGTATCTCAAAATCATCTCGTGTCTTTCTAGATAACAACGCCATTCATGATCATTTCCCCTGTCATTGTACATGCGTCTGGGAGAGGGAAACCCAGACACCCCTAAACCCAGCTCTTTGATGATACACAAAGGAAAATCCCTCTCACTCTTTTATGCGGATGTATATGATCCCAAACCACCCGATCTGCGCCTCTTCCTGCTCATTCCAGTTGGTGCGGGCGGTGGGCGCTACACCTGTGGAGGAAGCGACGGCATGGCAATCTGCTCGGCGCTGCTGTCGTTGACCTCCTTGTAGTGGCCCAGATTATTCGTCGTGGGCATGGCATGGAAGCCGGCTTCATTCCACAGCTTGGCACCCAGCACGAAGCCAGGATGCCAGACTGTCAGGGCCGTGACGGCGGCGATGATCATGGGTCCCTCGAGGATCATGAAGACGAGTTCGTTGTTGGCGAGAGCGCCGTCGAAGCCGTCTTGGAGTTCGGCCAGGCGGTAGCACGAGCGGACCGTGATGGTGATGACGGCGATTGCGATGCCTGAAATACAAAAGTCAGCAAAACCCCAAATCGGAAGATCCTGGGTTGGAAGGAAGGAAGCGGGAAGCAGAACTTACCAGCCAAGAAGCCCTTGAAACGGAGTGTTCCTCGCAGCGTCGCGTGCTCAGGATTGAGCTTGTCGGGGTTCTTGAAAACCTTCCACGCGAAATGCGAGCAGAGAGCCATGAAGATGGCCAGCGACACGACCTGCGACGCCAAACCCGCAATCATGACATCGATGCCGATCTGGTTCGTGGCGTTGTCGTCGGCGGTCGACGCGATGGCACCGCCCGTGGCCTGCAGGAGCAGAGAGACAAAGTCGCAGGCGACGAAGATGCACGCGATGGTGCGCGGCTTCAGCAGGCTCAGCTCGAGCGCGTGGATCGTGATGATGCGAGAAAGGCACAGGTAGATGGCGGCGGTCAGGAAAGCCGGGCCGATGGTCAGGCCGATCAGGTAGATGATGAAGGAGTTTTTGTCGAAGATGTCGTTGTTGAGCATCAGTCGACCGACATAGCCTACGATCTCGAGCACGATCCCGCATGTCATCCCGACCAGAAACCCCCAAGTCCGGTACCGGATCCCTAGCAGGAGCTGGAGGAGGAGGAGCAAGCCGAAGATGCCAGTGTAGATGGCATTGCCCACCAAGGTCGGGATGTACTGGATCTGCCCGTACTCTTTGATCGAGCAGGTCGCGATGGTGCAGTTCGCTGGAGCAGACATGTTGAGGGGCTGTGGCTTTGAAGCAGTAGAAGGAGGAGTTCGAGTTCGAGTAGAGAAATGAACAAGAGAATAGTCAGAATGGGTTCTGTGATAGATGCCTTACCATTCAGACACTGAGCAGTCCATTTGTCGGGTTCTTATAGCCAGCAATATATCCTCATGTCTCCCCCCCTGCCCCTTCGAAACAATAGCAAGGAGGGCTCCATAACGGTATCCTTGGGCGTACAGCCTTGTCGATCGACACACGCGGTTGCTGCGCCATCCTTGGACAACACGTTGGTCGGTCTCCAGGATTGATTGCAATGGGGGTCCGATTTGTGATGGCTGCCGTTGCGGTCTGCTGCTGGGGAACGGGCTGATATTTTGAGACGTGAAACAGAGACGGTTGGTTAGCACGAGGTACGCGGTGCCAAGTACGAGGTACCGAGTACTCCGTATAAGCCTCGATAACAGAGGCTAGTGGGTTTCTAGGCGCCGGCAGAGCTCCGCCGTTCTTCGCAGCGACGTACCCGAATGGTTTAGTCCGGGCAGAGCGAACCCTGGTGCCTGGAGAATGGGGCAGCGATGGGCAGCTAATGGGCGTCAGGCCGCCCGACAGCAGCTTTGCTAGCGATCACTAGCCATGGCTTTTAGGGGCTGAACCAGGCAGTGATGCTGCACTGATACACGCATGGCCCTCGTACCTCGTATTAGGTACCTACCAATACCTACCAAGTAGATACTAGGGTACCTACTAGTAGTCAGCATGGAAACGAGCTGCTCGGATTGTTGCAGCGTATGCGGTATAGGAGATCCATCCACATCAATTCCCAATTCTATCCCAGGTACGAAATACATAGGTACACATCACATCCCCTCCCCCTTCCCAATCTCACTAGTCAACTCTGCCCTGCTGGCTTCAACGCTCCCTTCCTGTTCCTGTTTCATCAAACTGGATTGGTGACGCCAGCGCTCCCAAAATCTTCAAGGCCACCCCAAGCATGATACGATTCCCCTGACCAAAGTACAACCCTTCCCATTTCCCCCCAAAAGATTCCCAAGCCTGGATAACGTGGCTGACGAGGCCTCTGGGCAACAGTTTTTCCAGATGACCAAATGTGCTTCCATTGCCAGACTGCATCTCGGATTTCCCCCCTCTCCCATTCCAACGAACCCTGAAGGTCAATGTGTCGCCGGGGTTTGAGCGCGGTGTGTCGACTGCATCGAACTTCAGCTCCCGGATATTCTGTCTGCTTCGTGCTCGAAGATGTGTTCTCTCTCGCGTTTAGTCTGCGAGACCGGTCACGCTTCTGACACGACGAATCACGGTCTCATCGCTCTCTTCGTCGTCCGGCAGACCAAGGGGTTCCAATAACTGGGTACGGAAGGCTTCATGCTGTCGGGTTGCGTTTCGGTACTGTTCGTATGCTTGAACAGCCACAGCAAGGTAGCTTTTCAATTCTGATTTGGCTCGGTCAATTTGTTCCTTGTGGCATTCGCACAGGCAATGATTGGCAAGCTTATGGAGTTGCGCGGAGGTGACGGCGGTTGGGGGACTCTCGCTCATGACTCGGAGCAGGTTACGGGCTGCCGCTGCGTCGGAAGCAGATTGGGCATCGATTCTCCAACCACATCGCGCATCGAATCTTCTCGCTGCTCGGCCGATGCAGGTGACACTGCCTCTGAGGGCGTCGGTGATTCGGAGGGTAGCATCAGCGTTCCAGACGTATGCGGCCATGTTTTGTCAGATTGAGGAAAGGTTGGAGGTGATAATTGCGGTACAAAAAGTTAGTGAGAAGATAACCAGTGTGCTTTTGATGCAGGTTTGTTGTGGATATTGAGAAGTCCAATCCGAAGGGATTCCTCTGCTCTTTATAGAACTTGGGGAAGTCCAGATCGGAGTCCAACAACAACCATCAAGCAGGTCCAGTGAGACCTCATCACGACGCAGCTGGCACAGAATTGACTAGAAGCAGCTGCAGTGTTTCTCGATAAGCGGCGCAGAGGAAGCAGTGTCTCAGACCCGACAATGGATCAGGCACGAACGACAACGACGCCATTGCATTATGGAGGCAGGGGATAGAACAAGGTCTCTTTCTGGCATGTTGTCACTTCATCTCTGAGGTATCTTGCTCGGGGAAAGTCTTTGCCAGATGGATTAGCAATGGTCTCAGGTCAGTCAAAGGGACAAAGCAGGTCATATCCTGGCCCGATACAGCCACGGTAGGCAACATGTCTCTTGCTCAACTTCCTTTTCTATACTGCACTGCCCTCCTGATTCAGCAGCCACTGACGGTTTCTAATAGAACTCTTGTAAAACCTTGACGTTGATCCGGTCTTGACATGGTCTCCTATCTGTTGCAAGATGGGAAGTGGAGTGGTGGCAAGATTCAGTGTGTGATGGGAGACAATTGTCAAAACACAACAGTCCAGCAGGGCAAGGGAGGAATGTGCCATCCGCAGCATCGTGCTTTCACAGCCGAACATCCAGCAGTCCTTATCGATTCGTTCTAATCCCTGGTGGCACCTGTCTTCCTCCAGCGGCCTATTTTCACCAAGATACTTCCCCACCGCCATACTTATTCGGTCCTTCCACATTCTCCCACCCGGGAACATGTATATTTTGGTATGACCCATTGTCCTTCGTGGTGCTCTTGAAGAGGATATCAAGAGTTGCTCGTGCTCCGACCTCGACTGGCAGATCGGCCCTATCCCCACTCATGTCGGTCTTCAAGTACTGAATTCCCAGAACGTTTTCAGTCAGTCAAGTCCACTCTAAACGACAACAGCGGCCAAGGACAAGGGGAGCACAGCTTACACCAGGAGACACCATTAGGAACGTGAAGCCTTCCTTGCCCAGCTCCAAGGCATACTGCAGAGTCAACATGTTCAACGCCGCTTTGGACACCTTGTAGGCCGGCACTGGCGCAAACCAATATTGGGGAGCCATTGCTTTGGACCCGAGAGTAGAGGTGCTGCATTGGTAACCACACCAGTCAGCCACGGTAGCCACGGTGTGTGTTGGAGTCATCAATAACGGGTTCATCCGACTCACATGTTCAACACTTTCTTCTGTCCGCCCTTGCGCAGAAGAGGCAGAAACGCAGCCGTCACGTCGTGAACGGCCGCCACATTCACCTTGAACACATCCTCAATGTTGTCCATGGTCTCGATGCCGTCCATGCAGTGTGGCATGACGCCGGCATTGTTGATGAGAACATCGAGCCCCTTTCCGGCAAGAGTTTTGTCAACCTGCGCCACCGCTGTCTTGATGCTGTCCCTGTCGGTGATGACCATAGGTAGGTGCACTACCCTCCCCTTCGACCGAGTTATAAGCTGCTGTAGGGCATCTGAAGGATCGGATCTTGTCGCTGCGAAGATGATCGAAATTTGGTCTTCGGGGAGCTTGGAGAGTTGCGAGATAAATTCAAGTCCCAGCCCGCGGCCGGCGCCTGTCACGAGATAGGCAGACATTGTGATCTTTGGTCAATCTTGCTGCTCAGTCAAGGGTAGTATAGTAATACTTTCGCGAGGAGAGGACAAAATCGACCTGACAGTCCATTCAATCTGAAATTGAGCCCGTTCAGCAGAACATATATGCTCATGTATATACCCGCGTCTTGGTGGCGAGCTGCGCAGATTCTTTGCTTGCCATACCTGATCACATCTCTGATGGCTGCTTCGCACAAGATTGCTGTACGGTTGACCGGTACTTCGGATATATCTCTTGTAAACTCCTGCCATGGCAGCCTTGCGGCCGCGCCGTGTCGCACAACGATCACAACAGTCCTAACATGAGGAGAACGTCAGAGGTTGGTTCGAGGCAAACTCCACCTATTATGTACGGAGCTAACTGTGCAAACAAGGACGGCCTGACACGGCCAACTGTAGCTGCCCGGAAATAAGGCAGAGTTCAGTGCTATTATGTAGCTAGTCTATACGAGGCCTTGTACCCTGATCGGCAAAATCCCTCTGGTTGGTTGGCGGAGCTTCTAGTATCCAGCCGCAACTACTAATCATGAAGCATTGACTGATCGAACTTCGGGTGGACGTTCATTCGTGGCCTCGGAACAGATCAACTTCTGGTTCCGAGTTCGAGAATATGGTCCACCATCAGCTGGCTTGCTCCCAGGTAATTGGTCGGGTCACAGAGCTGCTTCAACTGTTCCTCCGAGACGTAGACGGCGACACTGGCACGGTCTTTCAAGGCGTCAAACAATGCCGTGTCCTTCTCGATCGACTCTTTGCAGGCCTCATAGACTACGTCATGGGCCTGCTGCCGGCCCAAGAACGGGGCTAGACCCATCATCACGGCCTCTCCGACGATCAGACCCCGTGTGGACAACAGATTCTTCATCATGGCGTCCGTGTTGACGACGAGGCCGCTCAGTGCAAAATTGGTCTGGTGCAGAGCCCCGACGGCCACCACGAATGCTTCGGGCACGGCCACCCACTCCAGGTGCCACGGGCCCGATGCCCGCTCGAAATCTGTCACCATGGCGTCCAGCGCCAGACCCGCGTTCGCACGGAGGATCTTTGACGCCGCCAGGATGACTTCGCTGGAGATGGGGTTTCGTTTCTGGGGCATCGTCGACGATGCACCCCGATGGGGGACAAACGGTTCTGACGCTTCGCTTAGCTCGTTGGACGACATAAGGATCAGGTCGTAGGCAATCTTGCCTAGCGAGCCTCCCACAAGGGCAAGGAAGTTGATGATTTCAGCCACATTGTCGCGGGCGACGTGCCAAGTGATGCTGGGGTTGCCCAGCCCGAGCTCCTTGGCCAATTGTTCTCTGACGCGCAGACCAGTGTCGTCAGATCCTAGGGAAGCCAGCGTCCCTGCCGCACCGCCAAATTGGACGAGAAGGCATCGGCTTTCGATTTCCTGGAGACGCTCAGAATGCCGAAGGATGCTGGAGAGGTAGACGGCGCATTTGTAGCCGAATGTGCATGGTAGAGCGTGTTGAAGATGCGTCCTGCCAGCCATTGGGGTGTCCCGGTACTTCTTCGACAGGGTCCGCAGTATGTTTTCCAGTTCCTGCAAATGGTGTTTGACTATGTCTAGCCCTTTGCGCATCTGAAGCACGGAAGCAGTGTCCATCTACAGCGAACCTAAGTGTTAGAACACCAGCAGCTGAAAGCACAGACATTGGTCTGTCCTGAGACGACATGGCAGTCCGACAGTCTCGCAAATATGATGACTTACAATATCTTGAGTGGTGGCTCCCCAGTGGATATACTTGTCCATCTCACTGGACGACGCATATTCAACAAGCTGTCGCACCAGAGGAAGGACCGGGTACCCCACGATCTCAGTCTCGCGCGAAAGACGATCGAAGTCTAGACTAGCAGCCGCAGATGAGCGCCGACTTCGTTGTACAGAAATTAGGAGATCGAAACTCACTGGAAGCCTTCCTCACTGAGCTTTGTGGTAAGGATTTCTCCCGCTTCTGTCGGGATGATCCCAACCTTGGACTGCGCGCGTGCTAGGGCAAGCTCAACATTGACCATTTGCTGAGTATACGCTTCGTCGTCGAAGACAGCCCGAATCTCCTGGGTGCCAAAGAGGTTCTGGAACAGGCGCGAATCAAGTGCCGAGACCGACATTTTTGTGACGAGATTCGAGCTTTTTTGCTTGATTCGACGGATGCTCTTTTGTTAAGATTTTCTTTTCGTTGCAGAGAGGGGATGCGAGAGGTTATAGGGATTCTAAGTTCTACCCGTTGATGTGACCGGAGAATCGCCTGGATATTGTCGAACCACCGGCGGTTTTGCCTGCCTCGCTGCCTCTTTGTTTATGCTTGTGCGGGGTTGCAGCCTCGTGCGGGGGAACTGAGCCTCGAGGTTGAAAGGGCGAGCGCACGAGACCAGCCTTTTGCAGCCTTGCCTGTCACGTGCCAGCCTCGCGATGCGCGACGTTCGACCATCAGAATCATTTTTGTCAAAAGTGCCTGAATTCATATCTATCGAGATGCCATATGGCCTTGACACCAGAGCCACCAGCCAGAGAAGATGGTGTGTCGTTGTCGCCCTTTTTTTCAATGGCCAGGTTTACCGCACAAGAAAAGTCTTGGCGGTGGGTTGCCCCGCCGCCTCTTTTGCTGTCAGATTCTCAACTACTTTTTCGAGTCACTTTTGCTACACCAAATTCATTTCGTCCTCTCCACCACCATTTCCTCATTCCCTCATTCCTTCATTAGTTCCTGCATCTCAGATCGACGCCTCCTCCAATCACCATCCGCATCTTTTCCTCTTTCGGCCCATCTGGTTCTACCTCGAGACAGCCTCCAGCAACGACAACTCTCTACCAGAAGCAGCCCAGATCAACCGAGATAACTTCCTCCCGCCCCTCCACCAAACACTCATGCTCGGCCCATTCACTGTCGACTCATCCTTTGACGTTCCAAGCCACGAAGCCACCATCAGTCTGAGTCACGTGTGCTCTTAAATATGCTCCTTGTGAGAGTCCTCTGTCGACACCATCTGACTTACTCCTTTTGATTTGACTCGTCTCCGCACCCTGGCAACAACAGTTCTACGATGCCGCCCAAGCCACCCCCACCCAAGCCTCGGGCAGGCCAACACCGCCGGCCCAACTATCACGGTCGCATCGACGGCCTGGGCAGTCCGGCACCAAGTTCTCTGCGAGCGTCAACCCCTACACTCGTGCGAGCACCCACACCAGTCAGCCAGCCTCCGACTCGGGCAAAGCCTCTGTGTCCCAATCCCGACTGTCCTGATCGGACAAAGGTCGTCTACAGTGACCAAGGGCTCGTCTGCGAGAGTTGTGGTGCCCTTGTACAGGAAGAATCCGGCCTTGTCAGCGAGCAGGGATTCGGCGAGACAGAGTCTGGGCGTATTACTGCCCTTGGTGTCCAGATTGGTGAAAACCAGTCTCATCAGAGGAGTTTTCATGGGGGCAATTTCACAAGTGCTGGCCGCGAAGCTCCACTGAATCGTGAACGCTCAAAGGCCCAAGCCAAAAACGTCATGGCTTCGTACATTGCCTTCTTTGGTATCCGACTTTCCGAGGTCGAATCGGCCGAAAAACTCTTCGAACTCGCAAACACTGTTGGCTTTATCCAAGGAAGAACCATTGAGAGTGTGGCCATCGCCTGTCTCTATGCCGCTTGTCGACGCAAGACCGAGCAGGTCGAGGGGCAACCCAGACCCATGTACAGCCTCATGTTGATTGACTTCGCTGAGAAAATGAACATGGATGTCTTCGCCCTGGGCAGGGTGTACCAGGACCTCATCAAAAAGTTGTATCTCTCTCGTGGATTTGGTTATCGTGGGGATCGCTCTTCCGAGTTTTGGGGCATGGATCCGGCCACGCTTGTACCTCGGTTTGTCGACGAGCTGGATTTCGACAAGCACGATCGGGACAAAATCAAACGCGATGCTATCAACATCGTCAAGAGAATGAAGCGCGACTGGATTGGCCACGGCCGTAGACCTTCGGGTGTCTGTGGTGCTGCCGTCATCCTAGCTGCCCGGATGAATAATTACCGTCGCACCACACGAGAGGTGGTACTGACAGCAAAAGTCACCGAAATCACCATCAACAAACGACTCGAGGAATTCCATGACACGCAGGCCAGTAAGCTCTCCGTCACCAAGTTCAGGAGCGAAGCGATCCCCAAGATCGGCGAACCGCATCCGCTCGACGAGCAGCATCCTCCTGTCATCAAACAAGCACTGAACCCCAAACCGAAAAACAAGAAGAGAGGCCGGCCAAGAAAGAATCCTCTTCCAGAAACCGCCACTGAAATTGAAGCAGATGCTACGACAAATCCTGGATCTCAGGCTGCCCAGGAATCGGATGAAGCGCAACCTCCACCAGCAAAGCGAGTCCGCATTGACGCGCAAGGCTACAAGATTCCAGAGATCCCAGCTCGACGGACTGTAATTGATCCATCCCTAACTCCCAGCGAAACACCTTCATCAACACAGGATGACGAGGTACAGGGGGACTCCGACTCCGCCCGCCCTCGACAACGGAGACACAAATCGGCGCACTGGAAAGCACCGCCTGCATCAGCCGCCGAAATTGCGATTGAGAATGAAATTGAAGAGGGCATTGCAGAAGCACTACGAGACAATCCGGAACTCGATCCAAACTATCAGCCCCCAGATGAAGCGCAAGAACGAGCGCAACAGCCCAATGGCGGTCAGTCTTCTGAAACAGGAGGAGCACAAGGACAACAACCAACCACGATAGATCTCACGGTCGATCCAACTCAAACCGTTCCCCCACACCCGCGAGACAAGAGAGCTGGACCACCGTGCAACACGAAAATCGGCAACCTCGGCCTCGTCTCCCTTTCTCCAACTCTCAAGGCTGCAGAATTCGACTCCGATGAAGACGTCTCTATGTGTCTCTTGTCTGAGCAAGAGACCCGCGTCAAAGAGAGAGTGTGGGTGAGTATGAATGCCGATTGGTTGCGACAGGATCATGCGAAGAGGATAAAGAAAGAGTTGAAGGAGGCAGACATGAGAGCGAGGGGCCTGGACCCGGAGCAAGAGGAGAGGAGAAAGAAAATGGAAAGGATGAGAAGAAAGGATGGGACGAAGAGACCGGGACGTAGGGGGGATGTGAGCTATTTGAAGGAGCACCGGGAGGGGAGAAAAAGAGGCAAAGACCAGGAAGGCCAGGGGCCAGGTGGGGAAGGTGACTTGGAGGGCGCGGAGGTCGAGAATGAAGGCGGCGAAGAAGGGGAAGGGGAAGAAGACCAAGACAACACCACCGTCGGCGGAACAGAAAGAAGCGCCGCCAAATCCATGAGACTGATGCTCATGAACCGCAGGACCTTTTCACGGCGGATCAACTATGACGCCCTCGAAGCCATCTACGGAATGTCGTCGACCAGCGAGGACAGCGAGTCGCGCAGCGCGACCGGCGAGGCTCGAAGCCGCAGTCAGAGCGTGGCACAGAGCGAGGCCACTACCGCGACCCCGGGCCCTTCTGGCGGCGGCGAGCGGGAGCGGCGGGAAGAAAGCAGGGAAAGCAGTGTCGTAAGCACTGCTACCGTCACTACCATTGGTCCATCGGCAATCTTTCGCGGAAATGTGAGGAAAAGCTCAAGTCTTGCTGCGGAAAAGAGGGAGAAGAAGAGACGGGAGAGACAGGACTTGCAGAAAGCGGGGCTTGCTCGTGGAGGAAGTCAAGGCAGCGATCGCGATGTGAGCAGGTCGGCGTCACGGAGTCGAAGTGTGAGCACACCTGCTACCGATGGAGAGGGAGAGGACGACGATGCGAGAGAGCGCGAAGCCAGCGGGCCCAGTCCTCAGCCTGAATCTGGACCCGCATCCCGACGCCAGCCGCAGCAGCAGCAACAACTTCCCTCTCCACCGAGAACACAGTCGCAATGGATTCCTGGGATCCCTGAGATAAAGACGTCGGTAGTGGCTCCCTCGTCCTCGATACCGCAAGTCCGAGTTACGGGGAGTAGCTCCGCGTCGACGTCGGCACACCAGCCCGCCACGAAAAGAGGGGCCAATACAGCACCCGAGGACGACGAAGATGATGATGACGAGGAAGAAGAAGAGGACGAGGACGAAGAAGCAAGTTACGACTCGGACGACGGCTCAGATGAGGATGAGGATGAGGACGAAGACACTAGTGGTAACCGAGAGGCTGATGAAGACGTCGACGCAGCTTTTGAGGGACGCTATGTTGGGAGATAAGCCATCCGTCAGCCCGTCCGTCTGTCCGTCTGTCCGTCAAATCCATCGACCCATCAGTCCCTCAGTCAGTCAGGTACTTAGCCAGCCAATCAACCCATAAGTCAATCACTCCCATCAGATCAGATCAGATCAGATCAGTCAGTTCCCCGAACGAACGCCCACCAATTCAGGGACTAGATTCCACTGTCCCGGGTGATACTGATGTTAACCCGAAAGATACCTACCTACCTACCTAGGTACCTAGCCGGGCCAACCCCTTTCCTCCCACCAGCAGCAGCAGCAGATGTGCCCTACCTCAGAACATGCCCCCCATACAATTGAATTCAGTGCATGTACCTACATGATGTAGGCAACACATATGGATGGGAAAGCGCAAAGCCGTTTTTAAAAAGCACACAGACTTTGATCAAATGAACTTACCTACCTTATGTACCTATGTACCGATGTACCGATGTACGTACTTCACCTAACGGGTCCTGTACTGTACTCTACTGATACGTAATATATGTAGATAGGTACCTTAGGTACCCAAGTCCACAAATTTCTCACCTCCTGGGGCCCAGGGCCAGGATCTGCGCAGGTGTGTAGGTAGATTCGCAAGATTGGGGAGAGAGTGTGTGGAAGAGATATTTGCTGGATGGGTCTCAGGAAGGGACTATATGGGTAGATAGGGAATCTGGTTTCACCCGTGTCCACGCTATGGGCTGGGCTTTGATATGCGGTTTCGATTTGCGATCTGCGACATGCGATGTGCGATGTAACGTTCGCCGTCTTCCAAGGGCTTACAGAGTGTATACCCATGAGGTACCTAGTACCTAGCTCGGAACATTCGCTGTTGGCAGGTATTTGAACTCCAGTCCGATTCAGTCCTGTCCTGTCCTGTCACATCTTCACAGATCGTCGCATCAACTTCTCATTCTCCATTTCCTGTTTCATCCCTACTTCGTACCGTCGTACCGTCGTCATCGATGTCGTCTCGTGGACTCGGAACCCCTCCTCGTCGTCTTCTGCGGGTTGCCCACCGCTTTGGAAGTTCCTAGCAGGCTTTGCTTAATTGCTTCCTCGCTCGCTTGCCCACTCAGACCAGAAAAAAAGAATTGAGCACAAGGTAGGTAGCGAGATGCCTTGCTTCCCCCGGCCTCGACCAAATCCTCTGGAAGAAAAGGTTTCGAGTTCTGGTACAACCCTTGAGGCCCAGCCAGCCAGCAGCCAGCCAGTTCTTTCGAAAGGCATTCCGCTCGGTCCCAGGCAGAATGTTCACCTTGCGGCCATGTCAGAATTGCCTCTTTGCACTTTGGCGTCGTGCTTCTCTCTGTCGTGTAGTGGGGCTCGAGGCCCGAGGCGGAGAATAGCTCGTACGTTTATCCCGTGTGGAAAACGTGATCTCGGCGCTATGGCTTGGTCACTGTGCTGTTGTATCGTCCGACGTCTGTGGCGCAATAATTGGGTCCTGTCGCGGTTTTCGAGTGCGCAAGCCTTTCTTGTTGATATTGTGACGGCATGGCATGGCATGGCTCGTAACACACACATATATCGATCGTGTCCACGGGCCTCTGGTCAACAGTGTATGCTCGGTGCCTCTCGTGTTTCGGGGACCGTATATCATTATAATTCTTTCATCTCTCAATACCTTGTATCATGTGTTACGCCTGTCCACATCCTCCTCGTTCTCCTCCTCTATACTCTCAGCACTAACACCCCTTCTGTGTCCCTTCTGGGTCCTGCTCTTTTCACTCCCCAGGTCCGCACCAACGCCATCCTGCTCTTCCCTACCCATCCCACCGCTCACGAGGTCTCTAAAACTCATCCTCCTCGTCGCTCTGTCGCGCAGGCTGGGCGCTCGGGGTCGGTGTTCGCCGCGGGCCCGTCCGCCCCAGACGGGCACTTCGTGCCAGATCCGCCGGCAGATGTAGTACAGGACGTCGTAGAGGATGGCGAGGAGCCAGGGGGCCATGTTGATGATGGCCAGGATCAGCTTTTGGGCAGGCAGCAGCCACGGCATGAGATTAGTTGTCAGAAGAGACATTGGGCATTGTAGCAAATACAGGTCGGCGGAAAGAGAGGGGGGGGGGAGGACATAGCATAGGTAGGTGTGGGAACAGCAATGTCAATTTACTTACAAAAGCACGTACGATCCATGTTTCGTAGGTGGTCAAATGGGACGGGAGAAGCGAGTACCAGGCCATCTTTTGGTCTTGTGTGTGTGTTCAGACAGACCCGTCTCGCAGAGAAATCTGTTTCTCGACGCAAAACTGCTCTTTTTCCCCTGAGCTTCCCCCTCGAAGAAAGGGGGCGCAGCGGCCGAACGCGGTGGTCAAAATATTATTATGTCTCTCTCTCGTGTTTCCCGAGTCAACAGGCGAAAAAAATCGTCGCCACTCAGCAGTTTCAAGTTAAAAGCTCAGAGGGATACTACTCTAGGCCAGCAACATGTGCACAATGTCACCCCCGGACCAGCCGGCCGAGGGTTCGAGGCGCAGCAAAGGAAAAGGTGTTGGTCGAGGAAGGTGCAGGATGGATCGTCACACATTACCCATAGTGGCGTGTCTCGACCGTTTAATAGGGGTGCGCATATTATACTCGATGCTGGGTGCCGAGTTTGCATGTCTTGGTGTCTACCAGAGTAGTGAGTACCTCGTCTTTCTCCGCGACAGACTACGTCTTTAGCTGGCTTAACAAATGACATCATGCTACTAGAACACTCCCTTCCTTAGGTACAGACCAGCGTTCGGAGACATCAATGACCCTGGGTAATCGTGCCCTAACGATTGAAATCTTGAATTGCACGAACAAAAGAGCATTCTACCACTCTCTATGGCATGTTGAAAGAACTGCCTTGGAAACGTGAACAATCCCTCATATCTTCTCGCGAAATGCACACATCTAGCGAAGAAACCGACGTCCCCTTCGGCGTAGAAACCTTCTGAACCTTCCACCTCCTTGGTATCATAGAACTTGCACACTTTCTTTTCCCTAACCCTGTTTTTCTTTTTCAGTTCGTGTCAAATCGAAAGCCAATTAAGCCCGGAATAATGAGAAGAACCCCGACGCCTTTATTGCAAGGAAATTTTAAAAAAAAGGCCACCCATGCAGCTCGACGCCCGTGTTCGATCCGTAAGACAGTACATGGCTCGCCAGAACGGACGGCCGCACATGAGAAATGGAAAACGAGACTGTCATGTCGTCGTCATTTCATCAGGTCATAAGCCTGCGCTTTTTCTTCGCAGGAGTCACAGGATCAGAAGCTCGTCCATGATTAGGATCGCGCATCCGCTGGACAGGCGTCACCCCTTTGTAGTGGGATGAGGTGTACGGCGAGACATGATTCTTCCTCCTGCGGCGGGAGGGTGCTGGTGTTGCCAGAGGCGAACTCAAGTAATCCATGTCCAGGTACGATGGCAATTGACTCATGGCCGCAAAGGCTGGATCGGCGTTGCGCCGGAACGCCGTCACATTCCCATTGTTGAGATGAGCGAAATCATTGCTCAAAAGCTCGTGATTGGGAGGCACGAAGATGGGTGACGTGGGACCATCAGTGTCTTCGGAGCCGCTGTCGAATTGTATCACATCGGTGAGACTGATCACATCTTCCCCAAGCCCATCTGTTTGGCAGTCGCCGGCTAGGTCACCATGGTCAACTGTAAAATCATCGAAAAAGAAACCATTGGTAGGGTAAAACGCCTCCAAGGGGCCAACAGCCTGCCCCTGATTGAACGGGTCATTGATCGCCGAATTGAAGCTGGCAAGCATGATGTCTGCGCCGGGGCCGGCGAGCAGATCATTGGAGTCACGATCACCCGCATCGCTCTCCTCGATGAGCTCGGCAAAGCCCACGTCTGGACTGGATGTTTGGGATGCGCCATAGCGACGAGCGAACTCCTCACCGAGCAAGTGAGGATTGGTCATGAGAATGATCTTGCCCGAATGATCGAGGATGCCAGAGGGCTTGTCACCTTCATCGATAAAGATGCCGCGAGGAGGCCCTCGACGTCGAGCTGGCTTCTTGCCCGATTTCTTGGGCGGCGGAGACGCCGAGGGCGACATTTCTTTCTCTTCAACGGCCGTATGGGGGGTGCTTTGAAGTGCCTCCTCTGGCAGACAATCGTCGGTCAGATCAGCTGCAGGGTGTTAGTCATCATGCACATGGACAAATCACGGCGCAACATACAATCATCGAGATCATCAACCAGCCCGCCAACGCGTCTGTCAGCACCGTGGTGCGAGAATCCAGAGTCCGGTAGTGCTGAGGGCAGTAGGGCACGAGTGATTGTTGGCGACGCTGACATGCGCAAGAAAATGGTTGGGTCGGCGTCCGTGGCGAAATGCACCCGTTTCTCAGGAGCAGTTTCAGTGGCACTGTCACTACCCTGTGAGGAGGGAAAGCGGTAGATGGAACCCTCACTTTCGTCTCCAAACCCGTAGGCGGACAGACCATCAATCTGATTGAGAAGGAAGTCGGCATCGCTCTGGCCTTCTTCAGACAGCATGGCGAGCAATTCTTGCTCTTGGAGTTGCTCTCCATCCACATCGTCCTCGGAATCACTAATGTCATCGACAGCCAGATAGAGGTCATTGTCATCGTCTGACTCTGCGAAGACCTTTTCTTCAAACCGCTTTCTATTCTCTTCGGGGGAGAGGGTGGGGTCTTCGTCGTCCTCATAGTAGTCGTCAAAATCCCCAAACATGCTGTCGGAGCTGCTAGCAAGGGACACATTGTCCCGTGAGATGGATTGATACTTTGGCCCCGCCCCATTCAACCTTCGAGAACGAGACGGGGCTTTTACAGCTGGCATTTCGTCTTCATCATCGGCTTCATCCTCACTGTCTTCGTCCGAGGCATCATCCGCAGTCTCAGACCCGTAGGCGGACGAGAGATCCCCTTCCGAGGATGAGATGTCTGCTTTTTTCCTTTTGCCAGATGTTTTCTTTGTCACCGTGTACTTGCGAGCAGGTCTTCCCCTCTTCTGCTTCGGTTGATATGTATCGTTGGGGCGTTCTTTTGACTTGGATAGTTTGATGGTGGAACCCAGCATTGGCTGGCGACCCCGCGAGTTGCGGGTGTAAAGGCGAGACATGGTACTTTTGAAGGCGGGGAATTCTGTAGCTATCGAGAAAGGAGAATGGTACAAGGAGTAGATGATAGTATGTGAGTGCGATATCAAGAATAGCGGTGGGAGGGGCGGGCGGAGAGGTCGTCCTGGGGTTAAAAAAAAATATCGTGCTCAGCACCTTTCGTGTCGCAAGGACAACTTGGGTGCCGGTTTGGTGTGGAAATAGGGCAATTTCGAGGACAATAGTGAACAGAAGCTCCTACGCGGTAGAGCCTCGAAAGAGTAGATATCGAAACGAGGATTTGCTGGAGCTGCTTGACTGGCCACGAGAGAAGGACCCCCTCCCCGAGGCGGAGAGGGGATCCTCCCAGCCGTCTAGAAAGCAGCGAAGGCCATGAGCAAAAGATGATCCTCGAACGATATATAGGGAGATGCTTGGACTGGTATGCTTTGACAGGTATCAATAGGATTGGGTTGGTGAAGTTTGCTGGGTTGGTAAGAGAACGAGAAAGAGGAAAGGAAAAAAAGAGGTGAGAAGTTCGCAGGCTCAAAAAGGCTTGGGACTTCGCAGTGGCACGTACAGGCAAGCCTCCACCAGGTGGGCGATGGGCGTCCAGGCGGAGAGCATGCCACGGTTAGTTAAAGAGACTAAACGCTAGTCACCTATTGCACCTATTGAGGGACAGTCCCGAGTCGGGTTTACAATGCTGTAACTCCACAGGCTGCGAGCGCGGATCTGAGAACCTGCACACCGCTATTCCCGGCGCTGTCTGCGACTGGCTCATCGAGGGACTTTCTACATCGACGGCTACGTAGATGTGCATTATTGGCTACACGCTTGCATCCAGGGTCATTTCTACACACTGTTGGGCGTCTGCGATTCCCTCGCTTTGAGGGGTTGCTGGTGAGTTTCAGAAGCGATAATCATTCCTCCGGCCACGGCGAGAGAAAAAAAAAGTAAAAAATGGCAGAAAATTATCAGATGTTGTTCTCCATCGGCCCCTCGCGTGCCTCATCAGCAGCCGCCAATCACAGCTGCGTGTCAGTGTCGGCCATGACTCCAAACAGACTCCAAATGACTCAATGGGCCCGAGTAGCCTCTCAGCGACAGGCCAAAAGCCCCAAGACTCAAGAGCCCCTCGCCTCTATAAAACTCAATTTGTGGGGAGCGCACACTAATACATCATTCGCCGTGGGATCCTGGTCTTAGTCTGGCATCACTGGCTGCTAGGAATTGCTGCCAATATCAATCAATATATTGACAGCGTCCGAGTCATTACTCAGACTCGCTGAAGAGTCATTGCTGTGGTCGTCGCTGCAAAACTTCATCCCAAATCATCCCAGAAGCGTCCAATCCCTCCATCCTCAAGGCCCAAAACCGCTAGTCGACAAGTTTGAAACGAAGGTGGGAATCCAAGGTGAGCGTAAAAATATAAGAAAGAATGAAAAAATGCCCAAACGTTCCCCACACGCTCTCATCGCTCTCATCGCTTTCATCATTCGGTAAGTCGTCACGCATGCATTCTCCCTGATCAGCCCGATCCAATCCCGATTCATTCTTTTACGCCGGCACTGTCGTTGGAGGAATGACCTTGGGCTCCACTTCCACAGGTTGCTCTGCCACCTCCACCGCTTTCTTTGCGGCCTCAACCTCCTCCATGCCAGCCTGCACATCTTGGATGGAGGCCCCCTTCTCGGCAGTCGTCGTCGGAAATTCATCCGGGTGCTCGGCCTTGTAGTCAATGTCCAGCTTTTGCACCTCCTCTTCTGTGAGTTTGCGTTCTTTCTCCAGCCTGACCTCGCGACCCCGTTTGTGACAATACCAGAAGACAAAGAGTAGCACTGTGTGGAGAAAGTGTCAGTCTAGAAGTTGGAACACGCCAGCCAGCTGGAGAGAGCCCTTACCAAACATTGCCAACGACCACAGCACGTTCATACCCATGAAAGCCGGGAACCGCGCCCGGAGATAATTCATGATTGACCTGAGCGCGGCTGTGATGGCGGTAGGCTTACCCACCAATTCTTTCAAGGACGGTGTCTTAAACCCCATCTTTTTCGCCGCTGCAGCTGCCTTGCCAGCATTTTCCATATTAACCCCGCTCTTCTGAGCCCGCTCAGCCGCGGCCGCCATCATTTCAGGCGCGAAACCCTTGGTCATGGTCTCAGGGAGTCTCTCGATGAGCTTCTGCAAAAAGCTGGGCAGTGAATTGAACGTCTTCTGCAACTGCCGGTCGCCGTTCGTCAGCAATTTCTCCAGGTCGTCGTACGCGGTCGGCACGCCGTTGACCAGGTCTTTGAAGACCAGATTGAATTTCTGGAGCAGCTCTTGCGTTTCATCACTGATGGAGAAGACTCGATTGTTGACTGCCGCCAGATTGAGCCGTTCCAGCACGATGGTCATGTCCTCTTCTTCCTGCTTGGCCTGTTTTTCTTCCTCACTGTCTTCTAGTTCGCGCTTTCTAAGGCTCGCAGCGATGTCTTCTAGGCCAGAGGCAGTGGCTTCGTTCTTTTGGCGTTTGACGTCTCGACTGTCCCGTCTGAGCCAGCTCCAGGTGGCCTTGGGTTTGGATGGAGCATCTTCTGTCGTGCCGGTTGCGTCTTCTTGGATCATGGCAGGTTCCTCGCTCAGTTCATTTGGAGTCTCGGGAGGCAGAGGTATGTTCTGGGCCCCGTCCATAAGAGCGACCTGTGCATCCTTGACTACTGCCAGCGCCCCGGGCCGGGCTGGGAGCGGAGGAGGATTTTCCTGAGATGTAATATGGTCCAGGAACTTCTCATCCTCGTCGGATAGCACTGGTGCCTCTGACTTGCGTGCCGTTACAAGATGGGCCTTGGCCTTGATGTAATTGATATATTCCATTGCCATGACGCTAGTAGAAGAGCGATTTCTAACACAGGTAAGAAAAGTGGTGGGGGCAAGGCCAAGAGGCTTATACCTCAAGAAGGAGAGATCAAAGTTAAGCTGCAAGACCAGAGGATAGAGATATCAAAACGTCAATAATGATCCAGGAGGAAGTCCATGCTGGAGCCACTGGGTCATATCGGAGGGGATTGTAGGAGGCGAGGAGGGTGGTGTGGATGGCATTGCGCCACAACGACGTCATGATCACAAGTTGGCACAGCCATGTCTTCACCAGCCAATCAGAGCCACCGCGTGACCATCAGGCTGAGGAAGGCTCTGGTTTTAAAGAAAGCGAGGAGAGAGCCACCAGGGTAGGACCAGAGGGCGACTCTACAGCAAGCAAGATGGGTTCGGGCTGCAGCGGAAATAGTGTGATTGTGTGCTGCAGGAAATGGATGCTTCAAAGGGAGCGAAGGGGAACAGTGTGCATACTATACATACTGGAGTTGGGACAGTCTGTGAATGGGAGCATGAGAAGGGGAGAGTGCGAATGGACTCTGTCGCGACAGAGCCTGAGAAAGGGCAGTCTTGATATTTGCTTTAGCTTGTCATCATAATCAGCACATTCGACTGCCAGTCTCGAGGAGCTGGGGAACATCACGAACATCACCAGTCACGGGTGCAGCAGTGACTGCGAAATATTGACGTGAATTGTTCTTCGAATCGACCTCACCTTCACCTGCCATGCGCGTCACTCCCAGCTGCCTGTTTATGTCCACAAGTGACAGACGGATCTGGTCATCCGCAAAGTTCTTTCTTGGTAACCCTCTTCTCATTCTGCGCGACACCCTTCAAGTTCTCACTCTGCGCGACACTCTTCGAGAGCCCACTCTGCGCGACACCCTTCATGAGCTCACTCTGCGCGGCATCCTTCAAGTGATTGGATGCCTCTCGACACTCAATCTTTCGAGATACTCACGGTGCCGCACAAGATGGAGAAGAGTGCTTTCGAGAAAACTTTCCCTATCCATACCAAACATCCCCTCCGCGAGAACCTAGACGAGACCTCAGACAAGATCCCCAAGAAACCGCCGCCAGCGGTCGTATTCCACCAGAGCACCCATCATCTCCCGTACTTCGCCCATCAACAGCTCGATCCAGAGTACTTCCCCCTAGGTACGTCAGCCACCCGACGCCGCTGGAAACATGTGAAAATCCTTTCAATTGATTCCATGTCTAACGCTCGGCAGATATTGGTGTACCTGTTGGCAGTTACCCAGAGGAGAACGATGATGGAGACAAGACCAACAACCGAGGTTGGGACGATGATGATAGCGACGCAGGGGCCGATCTTGAGTCCGAAGCAGACGATGACCTGAATGCGGAGGTAGGAACAGTCATATTCTATCTTCTCCTTTGGCGCAGCGTCACTGAACAGACTGAGCAGGGTCTCACACCCAAGCCCAAGCGTCGCCACAAGTTCGAATCCAGCAAGGTCGCCAATGCAGGAGATATCAAGAAGATGAAAATCCAGGGAGGCCGCCCCGCTGTTGCTAAAAAGGTGACGGCGGACCTGGACTCGGACGACGAGATGATTGTGCGCATGAAAGAGGCTCGGTTTCTAGAGAAGGACATCGCGCAAGCTCTCATCGACCAAGGTCGTACTGCCTACAATCCAAAGACCATCGGCACTCGTTGGAGACGCATCAAGGCTGCCTTGCAGAAGCGGCAGGACAATCTCCTCGACGCTGATCTGACAGATTGGCACGAAGGGGATGTATGTATTTGATTCAAAAGTGTAACCGGACAATGACTGACAAGCTCACAGGACGACGTTCTCTTGCAGGCTGTTATCAAGGCCGAGAAAGAAGTGAAGAGACTGAAAGACGACATCGAGTCAAAGAAGTGGCGCATGGTGGCTGATCAGATGAAGTCACTCAAGGCATGTCTCACCATGCTCGATCCCTGGTAGAGTCGGGACTAACAGTGCGAAACTCACAGCCCGTTGTCAACTTCTCCCAGAATGCTTGTCGAGACAGGTACGAGGCTCTCCAGCAAGGCTGCGCAAAGCCCACTCCTGAATCGATCGAGAACCCTACCCCTGAAATTCTCGAACGCGTCAAATCCCGGAAGGACAAGGAGCGGAGGATCCGAGAAGGAAACCAAATGGCTGAGCGGGAGCAGAAGAATGTCGAGGCGAATGGGTGGACTTCGAGGATGCGGACCTATTTCTAGACGGACGAATGGTAGACACCACACGCACACGGACGGGTCGTTTACCACCCAAGAAGCTGTACGAGCAGCGCTGACTGGACGGTTACTTATGCCAGGCTCGCTCGCATGACAACGGCACCTTTGTTCTTCGGAAATAATGAGGACGGCTTGCGTACACAATGCGGCCTGGTGAAGCAACTCTGGATACAAATGAGTTAGACAGCCTTATCATTTGGGACATTGGTGCAGTGCGTTGGAGACAGTGCAGCATGGCCATCGAATCCAGGATACATCAGGCTTCTCTGTCAGCATCCGACTGTGAATGTACACACAGATTATCGCGGCCAGCGAATGGGGAGGATGACAACATCACAAGCTGTCGGTCTCGGCAAGGTCAGGTCCTTGAAGATACGAAGATACGGGGCGCGCGGTCTGGGCAAAGAAGGCACAAGACGCGTGCAAGTGTTCAACGCGGTCAGCTGACAATGTCCAGTGTCAACAATGTCAACAAATGATTTAACCAAGTCATGACCGCTGCTAATAACTGCTTCCGCTCCTTTTTCCATTGCTTCGACCGTCTCCTCTTGGGGCTGTGCCCTGACAACTCACTACTGCAGGTTGGACCAAGTTGCACTGCATGCATGCCTGGAGATAGGCGCAGCTCTTCCACTAATGATATGATTCCGTTGGCGTGGTTGCCTTCAGCCAAGACCTCGCAGCCGCCTGCGCAGCGCAGTTGTATATCCATGGCCTTCCATTCCTCTTCTCTCTTCCTTCCCTTCCTTCACGCACCAGAGCAGGCAAACCAAACACGCGTCCGGCGATCTTTGTTTCGCGCAAAGAAAACCGAACCGTCAAGTCCTTCCGTGTGATTGCCATCGGCTGTTGACCTTCTCTCCAAGAGGTTGGTTGGCAGGCGGAGGGAGTCATCCAGCGAAGACTTGCGCAGCTCCCCATCACATGCTTCCTTTGTGAATCGCGTCACTCTCCCACCGAAGAATACCTATCACGCTCTCTACTACAATCATAGGTTCTTCTGCCGTTCCTTCAAGTCCCTCCTTCGCTCGTTCGTGAATCTCTGGTTCTTGACAATCAAACAATCATCGCATTTCCCCTAATGCCAATGCGCTCTTTCGACGACATGTTCAAGCGATCGTTCAATACCAGGGAAGGTCGCATCGTTAAGTCGAAGACCACAAAGACCACATATCCCGAACACGTGAAGAAGAAGATGCAGGACACAGTGGACGCCGGCTCGCCGGTGGCAAGGTAGGCAGCTGTGAACCAAACACAACCCAGGCCTTTTGCGCGCCGACATCTATACTAATCTTTGGGCAGCACATTGACGAGCCCCATCGTCACCTTGGTGGTGGGTCGTGAGCAGCGACTCTTCGCTGCCCACGAAGACGTCCTCTGTCATTCACCCTACTTTGCGGCTGCTCTCAAAGGCAACTTTCTTGATGGCGACTCTAAGAGGGTGGAACTGCCTGACGAAGAACCGGAAATCCTATCCTGCGTCCTCGAGTTTCTCTACAAGGGTGACTATTATCCTCGCTTGCTGCACAACAAGCGCCGAAACACTTGGGATCTCGAGGACGCTCAGGACCTCATAAAAAATGGTGGCCGCGGAAACACCGCATCGACAATCTGTCTCCCTGACGCTGGCGGCGATGTCTTGAGAGATACCGTGGTGTACTGCGCTGCCGAGAAGTACGGCCTGGAAGAACTGAAACGTCTGTGTCTGCGGAAGCAGGGGTTACAGTCCGGAATCCAAGTCGACGTGATCTTGCGATCGGCTCGGTATGCGTATGCGCACACGCCGGATACGGAGTCGCGGCTCCGCGCTCATTACCTGGCTCTGATCATTCGAAGTCGCAAGACTTTCAAGAGGAGTGGAACCATGCAGATGGAAATGGAGAATGGGGGCAAATTGTTTTTCGACCTGTTTGTGGCCATGTGTAATCATATCGATGACATTGTCGAGATCAGGTAAGGGACATGCGCTTGAATTTGATGGCCTTTGGAGCTCGCGATTCGTGGGACACAGTGCTTACACTCTTGCGATCTCAACAGCAACAGCCGCTCTCCCCGAGTCATCTAATTATGGTGCGCAAACGGCACGCAGCAGGCTCGATGGGTTAGTGCTATGATGTGAGGTAGGACAGTATGTTTACCAGGGCCGTTGGAATCAACAACGAGTCTTGTAGGACCTCGCCTGCTTTGATAGCAGCAATCACTCCGCTTCTTCTCGAGGTTGGCCGACGACAACTTGCTGGTTCATCGCAACCCTACTCCTTCTAATGGCCCTGCTTTAGGCGCAATTTCGGCTTTCCGCTCTTTCAATGGGATTTTGAGAGTCCCAGGGAAATGATCAACTCACACAGTGTGCGATCTACAACTCGCAGCTCTTTATGTACTTTGGTTATTTTCTCGACTCTGATGTCGACGTCTGATATGGTGAAGCTGCTTTCAGACCTGATCCCTGGGGATGGGATGAAAACCTCTGTGTTCAGAATAGGAAATGAGAGATTCGGCCACCTCAAACATTGTCTTCCATTGCACTGTGTTGTGAAACGGCTCTCCAGAACGCATCAGCATGTGACAAGCAGAATACCCAGAGTGCCGGCAAGCAGCACCAGCATGTGGCTGTAAGTCTACCGAGTACATGTTCTCCTAACCGTCAATTCCTTCCTTCATCCTCGATTCTCTCTCAATTCCAATTTGGGCAGTAAGTTCAGGCTATGCGTTGGCCTTCTCTCTCGTTACCTTGTTGTTTCAACTTGATTAACGTATCTCAAACTCGCACTTGATCTGCTTCTATCTGGTCTCCTCTGCCCTACTTCCTCTCCTCTTCAGGAGTCCATCCTCGAACATCGATAGGCCACACTTTCAGACGTCACGACGACCGACCTTTGAGCCCTCCGACATTTATTCATAAATCTCACATCTGCATCATGTCAAACTCATGGGGTGAGCCTACCTGGAGTGCTGACGAGCGGGTCCGGCGGTTCAACCAAGAGGTAACGTTTTCCGGCTACGAGTCCTCAATAAACGGCGATGAAGTCGAGGAGAGCGGCCCAAGAGGCAGAATTCCACAATATCCTTTTTCACAACCGAAGCGACAAAGAACATCTGCAACGGTGTCGTTGGCGCGTACCTCATCTCTGGCTTCTTCAAACATGTCGCCTCCATCCAGCTCCGCGCCAGTCCGAGTCAAAAGTGAAGCCGCAGTGCTGGCTCTTGAGCAATTACAGACTAAGCCGCCCGAGGAGAGAGTGAAAGTATACGTAGGCAAGAACAACACCGCGATGGAAGTGGGCCTCAAAGATCTCGACAAGTCACCTGTGCTGAAGTCTCTGATCAGCAAACTCGGCACGCCTGGTCCCTACATCATGCATCCGGAACTGATGAGTGTCGATGCGGCCCACTTTCACTCGATCCGCGAGTTTCTACTCACGAATGAATATATGCCGGCCCTCGTCAACAACCCTCATGGGGAAAATATCCTTCCAAAGCAACTCGATAATTGCGCCACCCCTGAACACTACAGAAATGAGGCGCTAAGGGCGGGAACCTTATATGTTATCGCGGAGAGACTAAGGATGAGCACTTTACAGGAACTCGTCTTTCGGAAGATCACCCAGGCACAGTTCCACCCATACGGTGCCAAATGTCTTCTTGACTTGGCTATGGTCATCTTCTCGCGGCCCGAGCCAACCGAACTGAATCGAAACGAGAATCTCAAGCAAGCGGAAGGCGATAGCGAGAATGAGGCAACGGATCCTCTAGAGAATTGGCTCGTCGAATCGCTCAAGGACCAATTTCAGACGATGATGATCAATCATGCTCGGCAATTCTTTCGCGTGTCAAATCACGGCGCTTGTAGGAAACGAGAATTCGGTCCCAGGATCTTAAGGAGCAAAGTCGAGGACTGGGATGCACTAGGCCCAGATGTCGTCGCGATTGAAGACGATGAATGAGGCACGCAGTGTCGGATGAACAGCGCGCACACACATTCTTGGTTCCCTTTGATCGATCGCACACTTCTGCAGCATAGCCTTGGGTGATACACAGCTTGTGATGAGCGAGAGACTTCCGTCTTGAAGACACAACAGGACTTGGGGGGGAATAGAGCTACTCTTTCGGCTATGTATCGGCTTATGCTTTGTCTGATGTCTTCGCGGTAATCAAATGGGGATGATGGATACTGATTACTCGCATTGACGAAGATCACTGCGCTGAGAGCTGGCTCGGCAAGAAAGAGTCCCAGGACAATTGCAGCCTTGTCGGGAGAATCACTAACAACCGCCACAAGCACGAATGGAAGCCTGGAAGGCGACTCAGGGATCCACAGGTGATCAACAGAGCTCGACAGATACCTCGGTCCATAGGTATCCTCGTTCCCCCATATTGTCGTGTTCGCTTGATTACCCCCGCCATCGTTCCCCTCAATCTCCACTGCCTGTTGACCAAAGCTTCTCACCTCTCAGCAAAGAAACGCGTACTTGAACAAGAATGGCAAAGGGACAGTCATCACCCTGCAGGGTGTCACTCTGAGGTCCCCCAATATGATGTCCGGACTGAGGAAAGGCTCCTTCCATCGGTTTCCCTTTCTTAACATACAACCTGCAACTCAAGCCTGACTTTGGGTGTCCATGGTGGGACTCAATGTCGAAACATTCGAGTCAGAAGACATGACATCGACCCCAAGGCTCCATATGTTCGGCACTTCCACCCTTCGGATCTCCAAACTGGCCATTCCGGTCGTCCCTTTCAGGCCCTTTTGTGTTTATGCATCGTGGAGAGGGACCGAGCAGGCCTGAACCCCTCCTCCGCCCCTCGTTCATTGAGCAGAGGTTAGACATTTGATGACGAGTAGACCAACATAAAACCTTTCAGCTGCTGGTCGTGTTGCCTCTCTTCTGTTGCCTCTCTTCTCTTTTCTCGCGGCTACCTTTGTCTTGTCCTATCCCAGCTCTCTTCTTGCCGTGCTGCTGACGTTACGAACATCGTCACCATGGGTGATCCTGCTCCGACTTTCGATATTCCCAAGGAGTGCTGGGGTGGTGTTGTGGTACGTGGCTTGGGGGAAGTAGCTCAGTCAAGTGTCTCACACGATTCGACAGAAAAATGAAGGTCCCGACTTCTATGTTGAGGTAGAGAAGGTGCCTGTACCTGAAATCGGTAGGTGCAGAGACCCCCCGAGCTCTGCTGACCCGACTGACCACTGTAATTCCCGTCCAGGTCCTAACGATGTCCTGATCAAACTCAATGCCACTGGCCTCTGCCTCAGCGATATCCACTTTATGCTGAACGACTGGAATCTCCCGAAGATGTCCGAGCTGGGAGTAAGATGCGCCGGGCACGAAGGAGCTGGAGTTATTGTCAAGGTTGGTGAGAACGTCAAGGCATACAAGGTCGGCCAGCGGGCAGGGTTCAAACCCATCCAAGATGTCTGCCATTCCTGCGAATACTGCAAGACCGGCAGGGAGACGTACTGCCAGAAGGCCGTCTTCACGGGTGGCATGTGTGATGGTGGGTACATGTTGACGTGTACTGGGAGAGGTGTTGACAGTGGGCAGGGTCATACAAGCAATATGTGGTTTCACCGGAGAACTACACTACAGTGAGTCTGTATTCAACTGCGAGAGACGACAGGCTAACTCTGTTATACAGCTCATTCCCGACGTAAGTGGAACAATGCCTCTTCTATACCCTTTACATATATTGACCCATCTAAGGGGGTGTCTGACTACGTCGCCGGCCCTGTGATGTGCTCCGCGTCGACAATTTATACGTCTCTCAAGGATTCCGATCTCAGACCCGGTCAATGGGCTGTCTTTCCTGGTGGGGGTGGCGGTGTGGGTATCCAGGGTGTTCAGCTAGCTTCCGCAATGGGTATCCGGCCGATCGTGGTAGACACCGGAGACGAGAGAAGAAAGCTTGCCCTGCATTTGGGTGCCGAACACTTCGTCGATTTCAAGGAAGAAGATCCTGTAAAGAAGGTCCTCGAGATAACGGGAGGAGGAGCTCACGGCGTCATTGTGACCGGTACGTACCTCTGGGAACATTGCAACCTTTCCCGCGACATCTAGCTAACAGCTTCGACAGCCGTACAATCGTACCCCATTGCGCTTGACTACCTTGGAGCACGAGGAGGTGGACAGATCATGTGGTAAGGATATGCTTTGGCTTGTCCAGCTCTAACACGGACACGGACGCGGACGCTGACGCATGCGTAGCATTGGCATCCCTCCACACGGAAAGTATCACATCGACCTGGATCCATCGAGGCTGGTTTTCCGCAATCAGTCCATCAAAGGGACACTGGTCAGCAGTCTGGCCGATATCGACGAGACGCTAGACTTTGCCAAACGAGGTACGTGTGTGGGCGGACAGATGAGGATATACAAGCTGAACAAAGTGTCTAGGGAAGCTCCGTCTCGAGCCCACTGTGGTAGGATTGAGCAAGTTCAACGAATCAGTCCAGAAGCTCAAGAACGGACAAGTGGCTGGGTAAGTTCCGGCATCGGCAGGAACGGCAGAGCAGAGTGGTCACTAACGAGCGCGCAGGCGAATTGTGGTGGACTTCAACCTGCCGTGATGAACGATGAAGACTGATGCAATGTCAGCTCCGAGCAAGCTGGGGAAGATTGCGGATGCCCAATACGGATGGAGGGGTCTAGAGCGTAGCTGGACGGAGCTTGGTGGAAGACCTGAAACAAGTGTGCTGGCAAGACTATTGGCTGCAGGTCCTATTCCGAGCACCTGTGAACGCAGCAGCGCCGGGCGCAAAGAGGAGGAGATATGTCTCTGCAAGTCACTCTACAGCGAGAAAAGTAGAGATAAGGTACCTGGGTGCTTTGGGTTTTCGCTCTGATGCAGTCCTTCTAGTGCGTATCGTGGTATCTGACTGCAGTTAGCCACGAGCCAATCATGATACAGAGATGGCCCGCCCCACCAGATCCCCAAAATAGATGAACCAATCATTGCAGACGTTACGCGCTGACCGTGTCTGAGGCCATTTCGACTCCGTGGCATGGCTTTCTTCTTCTCCCCCTTCTCCCCCCTTCTTCCCTTTCAGCCAATGTCCACCATTTTCCACCTCTCTCTTTGCGATTGGCTTCTCTCTCGCCAATGTACTTGTCCAGCGCCGTCACAGGTGTGATAGATCTTCATGATCTGGCATAACTTCTATCTTGAGCCGCTAAACGCCAGCCAAGGTAGATTTTCTTCCACCGGCCACCGATTGGGTCGCTTGCATCATGGGAAGAGCTCCCTTTCTCTGTGAGTGCGTTCATTGCCCGAACCAAGGAGCGACATGATCATTCCATTTTGTCCCGCTCACATCCCCCTTCTTCCTGAATATTTTGCTTGATTCCTCGTCTTCCGTCCTCGTGCGTCTGGTGTGCCGTCGACAAGTTGTTTGAGGCAGTGTGCTCTGCTGTGCTGTGCACCGTGCATCCCATTTCTTTCTCTTTATTCTTTAATTTCCATATTTCACGCTTGCACGCAGCAGGTCTGCTCCCTTCGGGTTCTGGCAGGATCAGCACAGTCATACACACTGCGATCAGGCATCCAGAATGGCTATCCCAACCACGTCGACTTCGGCCATGCAAGGCTTCTCCCTTTTTCCGACGACGGTCCCAAAGATCTCCATCCCAAACCCGCATAAAAAGAATCCAAGCCTACACAGCATCAGTATCGTTACCTCGCCGGACAGCGCGTTTTCGCCCAATGCCGAGTCCGTCGTGATTAAAATGGAGGAGGAACGGCCGCCTCTCCCTCGACTCCCTGCCAGCCTTAGCGCACAGCAGCATACGAGAGAATCCACTCCTTCTCCAGAAGATATTGGTAGGGCGGTGAGCACGACGTCGCCTATCGATGGGAGGACGCCTACCCAGCCCGTTCCCCAACCTTCTGCTGCAGCAGTGGCCTATACCCCATCATTATACCAGTCGCCCGACCTAAACCAGACATCATCTCCGCAACCCTTGTCATCACTAGGCACAGGATCAGCAACGACGTTGGTGGCAGCACCCGCTCCTACAGCGTATAATCGGAGCATGACGAATAATAAATCACCCACCGATCCTTCACCTATCGTCCCCATCCGCTCCATGTTCCCCGTTTACGACCCCTCTGTGCCTATAACTCATCAAGTGTACGTCCCGCAACCGCCACCGCCCGTGCGACTCTCAGGGATGCCCATGTTCGCGGGCATGCCGGCTTCCCGGGAAGACTACCGAAGTAGTCTCTCAATTCCATTCAACGCTTCGGCGATAGCGGCCGCACAGAGAACTGCTCCTGCTAGTGTCCTCAACTTCCCGTCAGACGTCATGAGCATCAACGTTGGACCCCGCATATCGACGCAAAGGGAACTCGAGAAACTGTGGGAAGCTTCTCATGGGACAGAACCGGCTTGTTCGATCAAGACTTTCGATCTCGAGATGGCACGGTAGGTGCAGCCTTGTACGGTTGTTGGTTTTTTCCACGTCATGCTAACAATCGGTGACAGGACCGCGGAAGCAACCTTTGTCTTTGGCTCGCACCCTTCTCTCCCCTTCTACACCCTGCAAACGTACGACACGAATGAAATCGCCGTCTCCAAAACCTGCCCCAGCAAACCTCGGTCATCACCGTCAGTCAGCGCAGAATCGCCACTCACGCGCGACGTCGTTCTCTGCCCTCTGGAGCCAGCGGCTCGTCGGCTCCCACCCAACGATGGCCTCGTCGCCTTCATATTCCCCAAGCTGGCGGCCCTGCTCGCGATCAACCAATCAGCGGCGCTCGCCCGACAACACAGTCTCGCGCCCACGGACCGAGACGAGATCGAAGCACAGGCGGTGCGTCGTGCGGCGCACCAAGAAGCCTGCCACTTGCGATTCAACGCAAAGGGCGGGTTTTATGAACTCGAACACCCGGCCATCGGGCGAGGTGCGATGGGCGGGGAATTTGCACTGAAAAGTCCTGCCACGTTGCTGAGCTCGCCGACCACGGTCAGGAGTATGACGGGCAAGCCGGTGCTGCATGTGACCATTTCCACCGACGGTGCTCTTCCGACCATCTATGTGATTGACCCGAACGCTTCGCGGCGGACGGGGGGCACAGTCATGACGCCAACCACCGCAGCTCCATCGTCCGCCGGAGCGGGCATACGACGACTGTCCACGCTCCCGCACACCGAGATCACCTCGACAGGACCCTCATTGGAGTTCCCCCCGCTCGCTTCGCTCGATCTGACCTCTGAGATCCTGCACGTGGACGCCAACGCCATTCTCGAGCTGATGCCCAGCCTGTTCAGCATCGACTGCATCATCTCAGCCATCCTCTCCGTCGCGGTGGCAGACGCAACCACGAACGCCGTGCTGGGAGGTATGGAGATCTGGAAACCCCGACCCGCACCGGTATCCCGTCTCGGAACCACCGGCGCCTCCGCCGCCAGAAGCATCCACACACGCGCCGGCAGCGTCAAGAGCCACGCGGGCAGCGTCTTCTACGCCACCATCGCCGAGAGGGAGGAGGCCGAGGAAGAAGCCAAGCTGATGCGCCGAGCCCACGAGGCCGACCTTCGGACCGGTGGCGGCTCCTCGTCGAGGTCCGGCAACAAAGCCAAGGGGGTGTCGAGGATGTGGTTCGGGAGGTTATCGAGCAGCAGCACAGCCAACGACTCGGCCGATGAAGACGACGTGTCAGAAAAGAGACCGTCGTCGCGGAGGAAAACCAAGAACAAGAACAAGAACAAGAAGCAGATCGTCATGCATGAATTCGACCTCGAAAAACTCGGCCATTACCAGAGCGGCGACCGCAAGGGCGAGGAGCTCCCCGCCGTCACGCGCGGCGTGCTTAGTGGCTTGGTCATGGGCTTGAGGCTGATCGTCTGGCTGTTGACCATGGTCGTGCAGGTGCTGGCTTGGGTTTTGGTCCATGTCACTCGGGGGTTGACGAGTGAGAAATTCTGAGAACCTCAGAACCTCGGGACCTCAGGACCCCAGAACCCACCCGAGAAGGTGGTAATAATCATAGCGAGAAAGCGCGGGTTTGCTCTGCTTTTTGTTCTCCGTCTTTGGGCATGGTTTCTTTTTTTCTTTTTCTCTCTCTCTTTTTTCCCCACCTTCCTTACCTCCTCCACCTCCCATCTTTTTGAGGGGGGACGGGATACGAAAGGCATTTTCCGGGCGCAATTGGAGCCGTGGCGCGGCGCTGTCTTTTGCTTTGGGGGGCGGGACATTTCGCTTTCTCCTGCGTGGCCGTTGCATGATGGGCGTATGCGGGATGCAGAATATCCCATCTGGACTCTCTCCCTTGGGTTCTGTGACTCCGGGGCATTCATGGGCATTTTTCGAGGGGTGTTAGCATATATATATATACGGGGGTCACATTGGGGATTTTGGGGGCGAGATAATGATGGGACTGACTATGGGTGGGTGGGTGGACATGAATTTAAAACAGAGAGAAGGAGGGGCGTGTTGTTGGTTATCGACACCGACCGACGGACCAGCTCGAGGGACTGATGAACACCTGCAGACGGAAGATATCAAAAAGGTCATATACAGAAACGGAAACACACAGGACGCACAGATATGATATACTTAGTATATATTATGTGTGAGAGTCAAGGCCGAGAATGGCCAGCCTTTAACCTTTTTTCAAAAATGTACTCTTCCTAATCTTCTTTGTCCTGCGGAGAATAATGTATCGTAGTCGTCGAAGGAAGTCAATACAGTAGAGTGAATACAATACCTAATGTGCCGCAACGGAACATAACACAACGTATCGTAACGCGACGACGATAACGCGAACCACTTCACCGGCCGGCACGAAACCAAGTGAATGTGGAACAGTGAGTGAAGTGCATCTCCCTTCTCGAAGCTACTAGGTCCTCTTCTGCCTGACCCGCCGTTTTCTCTTTCCTGTACATCATTGACAATAACGCTTTGCCCTCGAAGCCTTCATCACCTGCGGACTAAGGCATCTGGGGATTCTCATTCATCTCTCACCACACCGACACCGCTAGGAGCACTTGAAAGGAGCCACTCAGTCAAACACTTAACTCGCCAACCACGGACCTGTCTTACCTTCTCCCCAACTTATCTCCGTGCCACGTCCATCTCACTTACGCTTCAAGCATCATCGACTGGCATTTATTCCCCTGACCATTATTTTCTCACTCGAGAGTCAAGTAAACCAACAACAGGAGGGAAGAAAGGAAGAAAAGAAAGATGAACGCTCGCGTCGCTCCCGTCATGGACGACGACGACGAAGACCAAGGCCACGTCTCCGAGCACTCGGCCGATGAGGGCAGTGACTCTGACCCTGACGAGTCCAATGCCGGACCTGGTGGTGGGCGATCAACTACAACCCGTGCCCGCCGCACCGGGGCCAAGGACATGGACGCCGGCGAGGACGACGAAAAAGCCCGACTCCTGGAACAGCTGCAGGATGAGCTGCGCAGCCTCACGCTCGAGGCCGAGACGATCCTCTCCCGCCAGCCGCGAGCCACGCAGATGGCCCTGGTGCGCGAGACGAAGGGGTTGTTTGACGAGTATAAGCACTTTGGATCCATGGCGAGGCTTAAAGTCGGGGTGGAGAGGTTTTTGGGGTTGGGGGATGAGAGAGGGAAGGTGCGCATTGAGAAGGAGGAGAATGAGAAACAGGTGGGAAAGGATAAGGTCAAGAATAAGACCAAAGAGAAGGAGAAGGAGGGTGCGCAACAATCTCCGTCAAAGTCCACGTCTGCAGCAGCAGCTGCCGAGGCCAAGAGACCGGCACCGGCGCATTACGGCGAGGCGTTCATGCTCAACGACACCGAAGACGACGACAAGCCCAAGTTCGACGCCGAGCGCGATTTCCCCACGACGCGCTGCGTCGCTGTTGAGGACTCGGAGGAGTGGGAGGAGGACAACACGGATGACCTAGAGGGTTTGGAGGGCTTAGAGAGCTTCTCGGACGCAGACGACGAGGACCTGGACGAACCCTTGCACACGCACCGCCCTCACCCTCTCCGCACCAACGACCCAGAGTCTCTGCCTTACGTGACAACCCTGCCCTGGGACCCCATCGCCACCAAAATCAGCTGGGCCGACGACAAAACCTGGCCCCCCGGCCTCTTGGGCAACCTCAACAAGATGCTTTCCGTCGAGGACGTCGCGGCCCGCGAACGCCTCTTCCACCACGTCTCGAAATACGGGCCCTCCCCGGTATTCCGGGTCGGCATCGCCGAGCAACTGCGTCACGAGTACGCGCACGTCTTTGAGAGCGCGCAAAGCCACTACCTGGGGCTCACGCCCGAGACGCGGAGCTTTTTGAGAGGCGTGTATGCGAGACATAAGCATATCAATGTCGCTGAGAGAAGGCTGTTGGCTCTCGCGTGCCGCGTCGCGGAGGATTCGGTCCAGATGTTCTGGGAGGACGCGGCGGACAAGATGAGGGGGTATGAGGCGATGAGGATCTTCATGGCTGCGAGGGAGTTGGAGAGGGATCACCATGCCGCCGCCGGGAAAACAACCACCACCACCACCACAACGGATCCGAAACCAGATCCCAAGATGGATCCCGGCTCCGATGCACGCAGGGCCCAGATCCTCAAGGCTCATCAAGAACGCTTCAACAGGGAGTTTCGATCCGGCGCCAATGCGAATGCCAATGCCCATGCCAGTTCAGATCCGAATGCAGGAGACGCGCCTCTGTGAGCATCTCCCGAGCATCCGAGCGACGCAACGCAGATTCCTCGCGGCAGCGGCAGTGATGATTCAGGAGAGAGTCCTTAGGCGTGGCCTGGCGCGGATGCTTCTTTACCTTTTCTGCCCCCTTTTGTATCCGTGTATGGGAGAGGAAGAATAAACTTGTCTCGCTCACTATTGCTTTGATTTGATTCATTTTCTCCCCGCTGCTTGGGATGGGTAACGTTAGGACCGAGGACATTTACATCTCGTCGTACAATGGAACAGAATTCAATTGCCAGACGGAGTTGGATTGGATTGGATTGGACGGTCGTCTGCTGGGGCAGACCATGAGGCATTGACAACCCCCCCGAGAGAGAGTGTGTGTGAGTGAGAGAGCTTTCGTGCATGGCTTTTGGTTCTGTGGTAGGAAGGACTGTGCAAGACAGAGGTAGAAACAATAAATCAATGAATCAATGATAGATTACGATTATCAGTTCAAAAGAGTTGCTAAGCAGCCACTATGATGGTTCGCCCCGTATCTAATACTCTCCTCTCCGTCTCTGCTTTCCCTTTAACCCCTTTTCTTTTTTGTCCCCCTTTCCTGCAGAAATGAAATATCATACTTGTGATCAATACCTAGTATTGCATCTCACCCTATTCCCCCCCAAAAAACTCCATGTAGAATGCAGTACGAATACCAAAGGTCCTCTCTATCTGTCTCCATAACTTACACCCCGAAAAAACAAAAGTCTGAATTCGAATCTCTCTCCCTGGGTGCTTGCTAGTGAAGGGGTCAAATTCCTCACAACAAAGCCACCGCCCCAGCCACACCCATGACGGCGGCCATCATGCCGGAACCTGCGTTCTTGACTGCGGCGCCGGTATAGGTCGCGTTGTAGGCCATTGTGGGCGTGGACGCCAGGGTGGTCATCATCGTCGTCGTCGTGGAGGTGCATTCGCCCGTGGAGATCACGGTGGTGCCGGAGAGCGACCCGATCGCGCTCGACAGGTCAGTCGTCGCGGCAGAGGTGGTCATGCTGTCCGTGGCGCCGGCGACGCTGGTCATCGAAGTCAATGTGCCTGGGACAGTGGTGGTCGAGGCATCGCTGCTGTCGGTGGCAGCGGAGGTCGGGGAGGTGCTCGCGGCAGCTGCGTCTCCTGCATCCGTGGTGGTCGGAGCCGCGCTGCTGGACGAGGAGCCTCCATTAGCAGCACCGAGGGCGGCGCCGCAGAAGGTCTGGCTGAATTCCAGAGCCGCTACATGGGTTGCAGTATCGTATCAGCATCTTTGCTTTTTCTGCTTCTCTCAAGGGGGCCGGCCAAGGACTTGGGATCTTCTTGTAAGTGGTCACTCACCTTGAACATCGGCAGCGTCGCAAGTCTGCGTGACTGCAGTGGTGATGGCGTTGATGAATGGGGTCGAGCTGCAGACGCAGTTCTGGTCGTTCACAGAACAACCCGACGAGGCCAAGGCAGCGTTGGCCGCATCTTGCTGTGAAAGTCACCACGGCGGTGTTAGTCAACAGGCCCCATTTTTTAAATGCTCATTGGGGTTCTTTGACACAAGACAAGACTCACCGCGCAAGCCGGCAACCCGCTCAACGCGCTGGTATCTGTCGCCGTCTGAGGCCTGGCCAGAGCCACAGCGGAAAGGAGCAGTGGGAGCTTGAAGATGGCACGATGCATTTTGACGGGCGATGGAGTCTCCTTGGCGAGAACTGAAAAGAGAGTCTGTCTGCGTCGGATGGACTGGATCAAAAAAGAAGGACAGTACGAAAACGAGTGTAAGGGGGAACTTGGGCTTCTCTGCGACAAAGAAACAGAATAAGATCCGACACAAAGAAAGACAGGAATAGAGAGCAGAGAGATTGCAAAAGGAAAGCCTAGCTATAAAGATCTTCTGTGGCACGTAAATACTGGCTGATTGCGGCCGAGCACCCGGTGGAATGCGGGCTGTTGTCCTGTAGAACCGGACAACGGACGGTATGCAGACATATTGCAATGGCTTGAGCCACTGGCCTGAGCGGGTGGCTTTGCGGAGAGGGAAGGAAAGGGAGCTCTCATGATTCGATAAGGACAACAGGAGGCCTCAATACCGTGGATCCCATACTGTTCAACAGTCCCGCACTCAAGAGAATGCGACCAAGAAGGAGATGAGGTGGATACCGTTGTCGTTGGCGCTGAGATGAGTTCGGGCAGCGAGGAGAGACAAAGACAAGGAAGACCCAGGCTGCGGAACGGCCAAAGTTTTATCCGACTGATGCCCCCTGCTGGGACTATTCGACAATGACAGTAACTGGCACCTCTGGTATGATGCTTCCGCTGCCTCAGACCAGCTACTCAATCAAGCCTTCGCATCCGTTGTAGGCGCCTTTCCCGTGGTCACCAATTTTGGGCCTTTGGGTCCAGCCTCGCCGGTGAAATTGGTGTATATATGCCACACTTCGCCATCGTCGTCGATCTCGGTCATTATGACACTGAAGTTGGCCGCTTTGGGCGACACGTGTCCGACCAGCTTCCATTTGTACTCGTCAAAGTAACCTTTCTGTCCCAGCCAGATTGGCCCGCTGTCCCAACAATCATCGCCGGGCACGCCGGGGAAGTCGAGATAGTTGTTGTCCGGCAGTTTCCCGAACCAGTAGCCGGCTATGTCGTACCCGTCTCCGGCTTTGGTCGCGTTGACCTGCCAGCCTTGGGGTTCGCTGTACCATTCGTCCGACGATGACTGGAACTCCACGGTGATGTTGTCGTTCGACTGCTCGGGCATATAAAAGTAGAACGTGTTGTTGTCATACTTGGTCCGATCAAGCGTTTTGTTTCCGGGTACAGTCATGCCGCCGATGAGCAACGAGTTATTCAGCTTTTGCCAGGTTTTGTCAGGGCATTCAGACGCCGGGCCCCCAGTCAGGGTAAGCTGGCAAAAAGCCTGTCAGCTTCGGTCTCGACAGGTTGGTAACCACGACTCTTTCCGGTCTTGGAGAGCCTTCAAGAGGGAAGGAAGCCTTACAGTGGTGGTGCCATTGAACCATGCAAGATACGGCATCATGGCGTCGTCAATAAACGCATCGCAGTTATAGTAGTTTGAACTTGCCCCCCTGTCGGTGAAAACGGCGAATCCTAACCCGTCAGTTGTCATCGTCTATGTCTAAAGGACAGGATGTCTTACTGCCACAATCCTGGCCCAGCACCGCGGTAGAAAGAGTGATTCCGGCGAGTAACACATGCTTAATAGAGAAAGTCATCTTGTTGGCCGAAGACGGGCAGCTTCGATAACCAAGATATTTGATTGAAGACCTGGAATGCTCGGCCGAGGAGAAGAGCAGCGCACAGGCTAGATATATCCGTTTTCCAGCTCTGCCCCGAGGTTGATCTTGAGCAACGTGGCAGAACGGACAGACCTCAGCCGCTGCAATAAAGTCCACTGACTCGGCTCTTGGCATGTATAGGCACATAACCCTGCAAGGCAGACTCAAACCGCCTTCAGCGGCCCCAAGAATGAAAATAGGACTGGACGCTTGACATGTTACTGGTGCAAAGCCAACCGTGACGAGACGATAGGGCTTAGCTCTAGACCCTCCTCAAAGGCGTTTTGGAGCTCTAGATCCACCAAGAGATGGGCATGTCGGAAGCCCACGATTGAATAGGCATTGCGGAAAACATACTTTGGCACTTTCGCAAACAGCAGCAGATCTCGCCTATCAGCGAGTGGCTCTTTCGGCTGGCGCATTCGCCTACCTGAACTTTGACGGCGCAGCTGGAGCGAACGGGACTTCTCAAGCGAGCACGTCGAGGACTTCTGTTGCTTTGTCGTTACCTGGTACCCAAGCAGTGAACGGAACCAGCAGTTCATCTCCAAGAATCCAGGTCAGTGTAAAACCAGCGTCCCTATCTGATTGATACTGCGCCAGGCTTACCCCGAAGCCGGACAGGGCGTGCGCTCGACAAGCTTTACCAAGGAAATTGCTTGAGAAAGCAAAGAATTGTGTCATGGATAGCAATGCGTGGGTCCCCACCGTAGGGCTGACTGGACAAGCAGTATCAGAGCCGCAAACTGTCATTCGCGGCTAAGGAGGGAGACAAGCCTACGACACGAGGCAAGCCCTCACATGGTTGGGGGAGCTGTTTGGCCCGCTCGGTCATGTGCTCGAGACAGAGGTTCTCAGTTCGCCCAGTTCTGATAAAGTTCGAGTGTTGGCAAAGCAGGTAGGGGAGTTTGATGTTGGAACAGGAAATGATACTTCACTAACCAGCTGAAGAAACGCTTGATAGAGAGGATGAGCCAGTAAAGATGGCCTTCTTTCGTATTCGTCTGCACGATGCGATGGCGAGCGAAGGGGTGGCCGGTCTGGCCGGTTCATCAGTTCAATGCAGTGCTCTTTGTTGGCCGTTCATCTTCTGGGCGAAGGATAAGTAACCGATAGTGAATGGCTCTGCGGTTCTAGAACTTTGCCCAGCCCTAACCTGAGCGCGGGGGAACAAGTGTGAAAGGAAGTGTGAAAGGAAGTTCAGCTGAACGGGCGGGCACAGATGTGGTGTGGTCGGGCTTGGCACGGCAGCGCCAAGGCGGAGAAACGGCGGAAAAATGGCAGAGAATCAGGCGGCGTCAACAACTTACCGAAAATGGAGACGCCGGATTTTCCAGTTTTTCCGAGGGCAGGTGTGGCTCATTGCACGAGAGAGTCAAGTTGTTCTTCGCGTCTGTCCATGCAAAACGAACATCAGGGTCGCCACTTTGCTATTGGCCTTGAGGGTGTCTTGTCGACGAGCCATTCCAGAGACTCCCATTGAACTTCATGAACGAAGCATTTCAGCCCCAGCCATGACCTTGCTGTTAACGAAAACGCAATCAACATGAATCGCACGGCACGAACCCGTTTTTAGAGTGGCTCGAAAATCTGTTTCGGGCCCTTGTTTTCTGTCCTCAAGACCTGTTGCAGTTTCTTATCCTTCTCTTTCCTGATGAAAAGAGTCAGGCCACTTGAAGCCCGACCATTTCGGGTAGCATGACTCTCATAATATTGTGTTTTGTCTTTCACATTCAGATGAAAGAGTGGGGAGAAACCCTGTCCACCTGCAGGTAAATAGGAAGAAGAGGGAAGAGGATGAGCAAGTTTTTCCCAGGCACCATGGATGCTGGTGAGATAGGGGAGAAATACTCGGTAGAGGGATTGGCTGGGTACCGTGGGCTCAGTGGGTCTTTTGAAGCCTTTGAAGCCCGAAGACGCCCTTTGCGGCTTCCCCTGTAAGCCTCACCAAATATTCTATCTAGGGAAAACGTACACATATGTACCACAAGATGATCGATAGTCATTCATACAATTCAAGAATTCAAGAATTTGTCCTGCTAGCGTTCAATCCATTATTTCTCTCCCTGCGCCGCGAAACTCTCGCATGGCATTATTATTCCCATCATCCCCGCTGCTGCAGACCCTTCTCCCCCTCGCCTTCTTCCTGTATCTGGCCCAGACCGCATCAGCCCGGGTCGTGACCTACGACTTCAACATCTCGTGGGTGGCCGCCAGCCCCGATGGCTTCAGCCGGCCGACCATCGGCGTGAATGGTCGATGGCCGCCGCCGCCGATCAGCGCCGACCTGTGCGACACCGTCGTTGTCAATGTGGTCAATGCACTGGGCAACCAGTCGACGTCGCTGCACTTCCACGGCCTGTTTATGAATGGCAGCACTGAGCTAGATGGGCCGGCTCAAGTCAACCAGTGTCCCATTGCCCCGGGATCATCGTTTGCGTATCAGTTCAAAGTATGTACCAAAAATAACCATCTAAGAAAAGAGATCAAAGAAAAGGACCCCCAGTTAAGAAAAAAGTTGGGTGTACTTCTAGGCTTCCCAGCCCGGCCTCTACTGGTACCATTCCCACGTCCAGGGCCAGTATCCCGACGGGCTACGCGCGCCGCTGCTGATCCGCGACCCGGACCATCCGTACCGCGGACACTATGACGACGAGATACTGCTGTCCGTCTCGGACTGGTACCACGACCAGATGGCGACCCTGATCCCGCAGTACCTGCACGGCGGGTCCATGATGTCGCAGGAGCCCGTGCCGAACGCCAATCTGCTGAACGACACACAGGACCTGCGCATCCCCGTCGTGCCCGGGCGGACGTACTTGGTGCGCCTGGTCAACATGGCCGCGTTTGCGGGACAGTACTTCTGGATCGAAGACCACTCGATGACCATCGTCGAGGTGGATGGCGTCTACACCAAGCAGTCCGCCGAGACGGCTATGATATACCTCTCTTCGGGGCAGCGGTGCAGCTTCTTGGTCACCACCCACCAGTCGGAAGAGGACAGAAATTATCCCGTGGTTGCTTCCATGGACCCTGTATGTTCATCACGCCGACTTGTGAGGTGCTGTGATTAACAAGAGATCTTTCTCCCCAGAGTTTGTCCAAGATACGCAATAGTGCAAGTCAGAACGTGACAGGCTGGCTAGTCTACGCGCCCGATCAACCGCTGCCACAGCCGCAAGTCCTTGACAATTTCGACCCCTTTGACGATGCGACATTGGAACCATTCGATGAGATGCCTTTGCTCCCTCAACCGGACCAGAGCATCGTGCTGAGCCTGGGAATGTCACACGCTGGTGGCATCAAGTAAGTCTGGACCCCTCTCTTTGCTCCCTACAAGTCACCGGCACGCTCCAGAAGTAGACTGACTTTGTACCTCCACAAGATGGTTCTTCAACTCGACAAGATATTCCGCCCCGGAGACTCCGTCGCTTTACACAGCCTTATCCAGCGGTCCGTCCGCCACCAACCCTTCCATATACGGGAACTCCACCAACCCTTTCGTCCTGGCACACAACTCGGTCGTCGAGATCATCCTCTACAATCATCACATGGTGCGGCACCCTTTCCATCTGCACGGCCACAATTTCCAGGCCGTGTACCGCTCCCCGAAGAAGGCGGGCAGCTTTTTCGACAGCGGCCTCGTCGAGGACGACTTCCCCAGGACGCCCATCAGGCGGGACACGCTCTTGCTGGAGCCCGGGGGCTTCATGGTCTTGCGGTTCAGAGCCGACAACCCGGGCGTCTGGCTGTTCCACTGCCACATGGAGTGGCACGTCGAGACGGGCCTGGTCGCGACGTTGATCGAGGCTCCGCTTGAGTTGCAGCAGCAGCACAAGGACCGCCCGGTACCCCAGAGCTTGTGTGGCTCTCCAAACAGCCACAAACCGGAGCAGGAGCACGATGCGGGTGAGCCTGAAGACGACCACAAACCCGGTCCAGAATCGCAGGAGAGCAAAGGGGCTAGCGGAAGGTGAGTTGTTCTACCCCTTTTCGAACTAGCTATGATATACAACCTCTACCAAAGACGGAATCGCTAACGTCGCTTTCTCCACAGCTCCATGATCTCCACCGCCGTGCTGACGATGGTGGTCTTCATCGTCGCAATGGCCGGCCTTGTGTTCGCCGTCCAGCTCCGCGTCAAGCAAAGCCGTCGTGCCGGATCCATCCAGCAGAACTCAGCAGCCTTGGCACCGGACGCCCATCTCCAGGTCGAACAGCAGCGCCTGCTCGAAGCTTCGACGAGCTGGGAAAGTATGGATGTATTCGAAGACGACGGAGTCAGCAGGCCTGTAAAGCCGCACCTGGACTTGGACTCAGAAGAAGAGATGGATGGGGGAGGGCGGTGATATTGCGCCTGAACATTATGGGGTGCACACGCTATCCTTACTTACCTCCTGCCTAGTCACCGCACCCGTATTGGACAAAATATTGTGGCTGTGGCTGGATGTTTCGGTCTACACGGTCTTTGTTCCCGCTCCAGCATTGTTTGGTTCGATTGGTCTCCGATAGACATAGAGTGTATCCGTATGAGATTTTGGGGCCTGGAGATTTCCTGCAACAAGAAAAAGTCACGTATCTATGGGGCCCTGATCGAAATATAAATCAATGGATGCTTGAACGAAGAAGTGTGAATAGGCTTCTGGCTGAGGAACTAAAGGTGCCATTCAAGAACTTTTCCCTCCTTGATAACGCCGCCCAAGAATCCAGAGATCCCCACCAAACGACACACAAGCCTTGACTTTATCGCGAAAGGAGCTGCGGACAAGCTATTCACCTTGTAGACCGTGCTGCACATCCCTGGCCAATACAGGGGTCCACTATCAGCGCTCAGCCTCGTCCCTAGTCAAGTGTTCGTGAGACCCCTAGGGGCCAATGGCTTATTAAGCCCGAGGAATTGAATTTGCCGACCATTGAAACGGGCCGCCAAAGACCGGCGCGTCCGGATAGATAGCAGTGTCGCGATAGGCCCTAGATTGAGAGCCTGTGGCAACTTCTGGGATCTCGCGACGGACAAAATCTGAAACCAGGGAGGCAGGCACCAGTTCATCACGCCAGCCCTGCTCAAAAGCCTGGTTGAAGGTATTGGAAACATCTTCTGCAACCTTGTCCGGGGTTGGCTCCTTTTGGGGACGGGAAGGGCCATCTGCTGACGGCCGTTCCTCGCCGTCCACTCCGTCCACTCCGTCCACTCCGTCCACTCCGTCTTGCATTGCTGTATCACGGGCTGTCCCCGTGGTGGAATTATCGTGCGAAGCTTTCAAAGCATGGAAGTAGAAAACGAGCATGTCATGATAGCCTCTGGCAACAACATCGCCTTCTGCGCAGTATTTTAGAGTGTCGAGGCAAGTTTCTGCGCTGGAAAGCTCTTCCTCGCACTCGGCGGGAGTTGCTCCGTGAAGCTGCTTCTGGGCGACGTGGAAGAGCAACATGGTGCATGCGCTAAAAGACTGGTAAATCGCCAACCAGCAGCGCTTGAAAAGGGCTTTCTCGGAGAGAAGAAGGGCGAAGATTCGTGAGGACTGCGTGGCCACGTCAAGCGCATCCTTGGCATAGCCCAATGCTTCGACAACGTCTCCGTCGAGCTCCCACAAATCGCCCTTATGCATGGTGGAAAGGTAGATGGCATGACGACGATAGAGCAGGAGCAGTGCTCCAAGATAGTTGAGATGGACGAGGAAGATGCTTCGTCTTTGTACCACTGTCAGGTATTGATTATCAACCAGTGACTCTAGTTGCATGATCGGAGGAAGCTTGCTTAACCAATCAACAATCTTGAGTTTGTATTCTCGAGTAGCGATGAGACTGAGCTCTTTGGGTAAAAAGACGTTTCGGAGTACGCCAGTCGTGAGCACGCCAATGGATGTCATTTGTTCTTGTGCGACGGATTCGAAGAGCGGATGGTCCTCTTGCACTGTGAACGACTCCTCAAACCCTGGTTGGAAGGCCTCCACAATCTCGGGGCTTCTGCCGAGGGTCGAGGCGAACCAACTGATAGAACCCGTAAGTTAGATCCCACGGTTCTCTGCCATCATAGAACAAATCGTGTACTTACCAGCCCAGGAATATCAAGGTCCTAAAGACCTTTCTCTGCGCAATCCACTCTTCGGGCGATGTAGAGGGAGGAGGTCGATCGAGGTGGAGTCCCCGAAGCCTCGCCAATTTCAAGCCAGTCACTTTTCAGGTCAGTCATCTCTGTGCTTCTGTGATTTCGAGTTTTTACCTGGTCCCACTCACATGTCCATGTCCACGCGGTCAGGCGTTTGTCCATGGCACAATATATGGCCAAGCAGCATAGGACGCGCATGCCCAGCACTTCGTCCTCTTCAATACACTCGTCTAGATAGAATTTCGCTGTTTCATAGTACGACTGTCTTAAAGACCTGTCGATTTTGGCATCGTCGTATTGGCTGGCCACAGACGCCAGGGCACATAGTGCACCCAGTGACGCTTTTGTAGCACCCTCGGGATTCATATAGACAGATCGGAACAGTTCGGCCGCATCGTCCTGAGAGAAAATGTAGAATAAAGTGCCAGTGCATGAAAAGAAATAGTCTATTAGAACCTGTGTGATGGAAGCATTTGCCAGTTTGCGATTGTTGAGAATCTCCACCTGGTTCGAGGCGGTTTTGTTTTGCAGCCTTTCCCGACCCACAGGCAGGGTGAAGAGGCTGGCAAGTTGCTCTGGTAGGACGGTCATCCTCGTCATACTGCTGATGTGATGGAATAAACAACAACCAAAGAGGACCACCCGTATACCCTTATATATTCGGCGTAATTATGGATTGTGGTACCGATAGATTTCTCCGCGCAGGTATCTGGAAGGTTTGAATTTGGGGTGAGCTCCATAACCCCACTCATATCATCTCGGCCCGGCGATGCATCAGGGGAGCCAGGGCCCAGGCAGGATTATCAGCGGTCTCAGTGGGCGGAAAAGAGGGCCTGAACCCTAACATTCTTCCGCATCTCGTCTAACTGGCCTAAGATGGAGGTAGTTGGATGGCACCTGCATCTGGAACAGTCTTTGCGTCTAACGAAGCGTTTGGCTCCAAGAGAGATCCGTGGGTGATCCGAATCGTCTCCGAATAGTATCAAGACCCTGCATCGGCTTTTGTATGGTAGTAGACTTATGTGAGACTCTGTCCTGATAGACGAATCGGACCTGCGTCCCGACTTACCAGTGCTATGCGTCCTGAATTTCAGCCTTTCTGTTTGGAAAACCAAGCCGATATTTTCAAAGGACTTGAGAACCAGTGAATCGCCGAAGGTGCAACAGGTATCCTGGAGGAGGCAAGCGCCTGCTTACAGCTCGTGGAAACGCACGTAACTGCGCCAGGTATTCTGTATTTGACCAGTTCCAATCTCAACGTCTCGCTACTCCTGTAGTTCTAGACGCCGTAAACGTCATCGCCCCACGTAGTCACGGCGCTGTTCACGTTCAGTCGCGCGACGCAGCCAATAGGTCAGGATAAGGAAGCCGGCAGTGACACTAATGTCGAACAAAGGGCGAAAAGAAATAATCATCATTCCAGCGATGTGGTCGTGTCGTTGCTGCGAGTGCTGCGTTCTGAGCTTCCGGCGACGCTGCGTTCGGAATGAGGTCGATATTGGTCGTTGCATTCGTGCGATTCACGACGAGCGGCTTCTCCGAGGAGCATTCCTGGACAGTGGGGCCCTCCTCAGACGTGTTCTCGTGCCTTCCAAACAAGGCCTCAACTATCGCAGCAGATTCTGCAACTGGAGAGTGTAGGGTCTGGGATTCGAGCCTCTTGAGCCACGTCCGAGCCCATTGCTGTCGTTTAGAAACATCCTGAAAAGCTTCCACGACAGTCAACAAGTCCTTGATAGCCGATGGGAAACAACTGAGATGAACGCTGTAGGCGTCAAGCAAGGCTTGACACATCATAGCGTTAATGCCTCTCAACCCATAGCGACTGCGGTAACAGCTGAAGAGGTCAGTAATCTCTTTAGCAGCGTTTTGACAGATTTGAAGTGCCGTAACGCTGAGATCGCCACGGCCAGGAGCAGCAACCTGTCGGAATGATTGTATCAAGCAGCCATGGTACCACATGTGGATCGCTATTACGTGTCCTGGAGCGGTATCACTGACGGCAAATGAAGCTGGCAGGCGGCGGTACCAAGCCTGATAGCTCAATTCCCAAAGTCTGATATCCCTATTCTTTCGACTATGAACAAGAGCTCTCGGTGGAGACATGGTCGTAGAAACGACCTTCGCGAGTTCCGCAAGGTAGAACCAACAGGAACTTCTGTCTCTGAAGTCTGAAAAAGGCACCAGCATGGACGAGGGGTCCCAGGGCCCGGTTGCGGCAATGTCGTCGATATTCGGGAGTCTTATCCCGAGGTCGTCGATGATGATTTGAGGCGCGCAGCCAGCATTGTTTGAAGCCATCCTGTATGAACATCAGCTTTTTACATCTCTGGATATCTCTCCAAAGCTCACTGGTCAACTTGGTAACAGACCCAGAACAGCTGCTGTTGCACAACAATCAGGGCCCTGTCGTCCGCTGTCGCCTCCGTTTGCTCCTCATCACTCGTTCTTCCCAGGGGAAGACCCAGAAAGAGTGCCATGCATATGGCTCGACCTGAAAGCTTGCGAGCCCGCTGACAGCGAAGGTGTAGGTTTTCGACCACTGCGAGAAGACACAGGGCTGCTACTGCAGTCAAACTAGGTTCGGGGTGTTCTGCCAACAGCCTTTCAGCTTCAATAAAAAAATCTTCGACCGACGGCCAAAGGTCGTTAGCACTTTTGACGTCGTCCTGCAAGCCCAGGAACGTGCAGGCAACAGCGAGGATTGCATTGATCAGCACAGGTGAGCAATGCCTCGTTCTTCCAGAGGCCATATCAGCTCGAATTAATGGTTCAGGTATGACCAGGCAAAGGGGGTGATGATAGGTGAAGTACAAATCCAATAGATAGCTGATGATCTCGGGGTCTTTAATTACGGTGGTCCATTGAACTGAATTTCGTCCACTGGAGCTAGGAGAACTCGTGGCCTGGTCGAAAGGTTGCAAAAGACCATACAGGGAGAGCACAGCGGGTGGTTCTTTTGACTGGGGTATGTCGTATACTTTTTCCAAGCGTTGCTCGAAGATGTCAGGTATTTGCGGGGTGGTGGCCTCCACCGACTTGAGCGCCGTGGATACGTCAGCTCCAGAACGCAGAGAGCGTAGAATTCCCATGGCTTCCCATTCAGAAGACGTGCGGATGGCGTGGAGAAGCCCGTCCAACTCTGTTTGACTCTCATTGCGCTCAGTCACCAATGTCTGCCGATATTTCTTAGTCCTGTGGTCCGTCCGGTAGAGACATTCGCGGCTAGCGTCCACACATTGTGTACACGGTCTGCGGCCGTCACACTGAAGGAACCGCCTTCTTTAGCAAGGCCAGCAAGTACATGGGTCAGATGAATACAAACAGTACGCCACGTACCTTGCGCCGCGCGACCCTGCAGTGCTGACAGGCAGAGGAGACATTTGTACGTCTGTTCGGCGCTTGAACGGGGCTGGTGGCTGGGGTGGATATTGGTGAGGGCGATGGTGGTCGCGCAGCCGGTCGGATTGGGCGTAGAAACGACATTGACGTGACAGAAAAGCCTTTGGGACGGCTGCTTTGAAGTTCGTCCTCGGGGATTGGGGTTTCTGGCTTTCAGCACGCCTATACCTAGACGCAAGCAAGGCCTATGCAAAGAACATGGACGTCGTTGCGGATATTGTATCCGATGTCGGACCACAATTCATGTCTACGAGAGTTTGTGAGAAAAGGAAAAAGAGGGAGCCGCAGCGTATAGAAACCGTGCATTGACTGTGGTAGCTCCGAGAGGAACGGTCGGTCGTTGCAACCTTGGAAATGTGTCCGGACATACGGCAATGGCGACGGCGAGGTCGCGTTCCAGGATGTCATAGCGAGGTAGATTCTGTTAAGGCGGCAACTGTTCAAACACATGGCTGCGAGGGCAGACACAGGGCGGCGTCATCTAAATTCCGAAAGAGAAACATTTACCCGCCCTCGCCGGCTTACGGGCACAGGATCTAATCGTGATAAGATGGGACTCTGGTACCCTCACGCCTCCCAACTTGAACGGCAACATTGAACTTGCCTGCACCCTCTCATCGCTACTGGCTCTCAGGGCAGCCTGTGGCAGCCTGTCAAGCCCTATGGACGACGCTGTGTTACCTGAAGAATGGCCCCAGATCATTCGCCTCTCCCTGCAATCTTCTAACAGCCTCATCGGAACGCTCGCAGACACCGGTGGCGTCCCCGAATCGGAACATACCCGCAAGATCATCGCAGCCATCCTATGGCATCGCAAGTTCCTCCTGACATACTACGCATGGATTGTCCTCGCAGTTGCTGTTACTGGGGGCGTTCACTTCTACAAGAGGACCGCGCCCAAACCTAAGAGAAGGGACAAGAATGATCCGAGACTCAGAAACCATGGCGTTGCTGCAACGAGCTTGTCGTCATCATCAAGCAGTACATTGACAGCCCGAGGGACAAGTACACCCCCGCAGAAAGAAGATGGGTTCGACAGTGGAGAGACGACGCCGTTGCTGTCCCAATCCTGGCCAACTTCTCGACGACGACCAGCTGTTCTCGATCGGCTGAAATCCTTCTTGATGTTCCAGCCTCGACCCATTCCAGCACTAACGTCTCCCTCGAATACTCTCCCTAACAACGCCACCACCCTTGTCGTCCTCCTCTTTCTCGCTGTCAACCTGTTCTATCTCTTCTACCACATCCCCCTATCGCTGCCATGGATCTTCATCCTCGCCGATCGAGCTGGTCTGCTCTTCGTTGTGAATCTACCCGTCCTCTACTTCCTGGCCGCCAAAAACAACCAACCCCTCAAATACCTTACAGGATGTTCTTATGAGGGTCTCAACATCTTGCACCGTCGTCTTGGCGAGTGGATGACCTGTTTCGCCGTCATTCACATGTGCGGAATGCTCGCTGTTTGGTACACCCTCCTCCGGCCCCTAGGGTTTTCCCTGCTCCGCTTCCTCACTACGAAACTCGTTTTTCTCGGTATCTGTGCAGTGATATCTTATTATGTCATCTATATCACGAGCGTTGGATGGTTCCGCCAGCTCTACTACGAAACCTTCCTGGTGATGCACATCATTTTCCAGCTTGTTGCTCTGGTATTTCTGTTTTTCCATTATCATACAGCCCGCCCCTATGTCAGCGCAGCGTTGGCCGTCTGGGCCGTCGACAGGCTCCTTTGGCGCATGACACTGTCGTCTCGAAGATTCATTGCGACATTAGATGTCGCTCCAGATGGCCACACTGTCCTGGTCCACTGCGAGATCCCCCTGGACCACCAAAGACGACCAGTTCTTGGAATACAGACAAATCTCCGTCATGGATGGCTTCCCAGTCAGCACGTGTTTCTCAGCGTTCCTTCTATGGGCTTCAAGTATCGTTTTCAAGCACACCCGTTTACGATAGCTTCACCTGCTCCACCAGAAAATATAGCCGCTATGAGATCATGGCCTCTCCAACTCACAATCCGCGCAATAGACGGATTCTCCCTCGCTCTGCTCCACTACGCCCGCCACCATCAACATTGTGAAGTCGTCCTCGACGGTCCTTACGGCAGCACCTCAGCCCTAGCTGCCGCACAGTCGGCAGATCGTGTGTGCTTCGTCGCCGGAGGCAGCGGGATCGCGGTTACCTATCCGCTTTGTTGGGCGATTCGTGTTCGAAAGGGGAGCAGTGCTGATGCTGGTCTCCTTCTGAGCACAAGGACTGCATATAAGAACGGGCTGAAGACCACTCCAACCGCTGTTGCAGATTCAGCTCCATGGTTATCCGACTCGAAGTACGCACATTTTTGGGTAAGGCAGGAAAAGCTACATGGACAATGGATCTGCACAGTACCACGAGCGAGCGCAGTCAAGTCACGCTACGACGGCGAAAACGGTAACGAGGCAATGATCCGTTCTGCTGCACAACAAGAATGTTGCGATGACGCCGTAGCTTTAGTAACACAGGCCTTTGACACACGATCTTATGGCGGCGAAGGTGGCCGACCAGATATGCAGAGCGAGATCTACAGCTGGGTCACGTCCGTCTCCCCGTCCTCCTCGGCCGACGTGCCTGGAATTTCTTCATCATCTTCATCTTCCACGGCGCTAGACGAAGGCCCACCGGGCTCATCCCCTACATCTTCATCATCCCTGCTTCGTCCACCCTCGCTGCAGAGTCCCAACACCAACTTCAGAAATATACCATACACTCCCTCGACACAGAAGAATACAGATATAGATACCACTCAGGGCAGGAATAGGGAGAAGATCTGCATCATCGTCTCCGGCCCTGACGGCCTGGTGCGTGACGTGCGAAACGTGGCCGCCGACCTTGTCCGGCAAGGAGGCTGGGACATTGATGTGTATGCTGAGAAATTTGGATGGTAGGTAAGGTGAGTTACCCAGAGGCGGGCGAGGCCAGGGGCGGTAGCGGTGGTGAACTAGTAACTTCCTTTTTTGGCGCGGGATAGCGCAAAGCAGCGCAGCTCAACGCAGCGTTACCTGACTAACCAACTGAGTTAACCTCCCTTTGGCTTGAGTATGTAAGACACGGCTTGTGTCGGTAGTTTTGTTGGTTGTTTGGCTGGCTGGCTCTTTCTTCCGCCCAGTCGGCGCTAGATATTTGATTTGCACAGGACCAGACTAGACTAGACGGATGAGCGAGGTGTGGATGTCATGAGGAGGAAAGGAAAAGAAGGTCGAAGAGATCAGGATCTAGAAACACGAATATAGATAATATCTGATAGATAGATGTCCGTGAATAATAGAGGCACAAGAGAAAGGCTGCCTTGCTGGCGAGTTCTACCACTTGCTTTCATCACCCTGTGCGGCTGTAGTTTTGGTCGTCGTCGTCACCGTCCTTCTGAGCGGGAAGCAGGCATGCAGCATACGACCATTTAGGATACCGATTGGGACTGTCCCCGCCCCCATTTTTTCCCATCTTCATCGAGAGGGCCGATGATCCATACTCGGACCATGTGCATAGTGCGCATTCATGATATCCCCGGGATTGGCGGCGGCGGCGGGGTGTTGGTGGTGCATGTCCACGTCGAAAGGGCCGACCCCTGCTGGTCCAGCGCCTGGTCCAGTGCCAACCCCTACAGGAGGTGCTCCTCCTGCGCCCGCAGGGTCCACACCCATCTGGCTGCTGGGGTCGGACTCGTCAGCAGGAAGGGCGAAACCGCCAAAATATTCATCCCCCTGGGGGATGCCCGCCCAGTGGTGCATGGAACTATAATCCCAGCCGTTCATCATGGGAGTCCCGCCAATGGGGCTGTCCCAGCTGGTGCTCCAGTTGAGCGTGTCGAACATGTTGTCCATGAACAGTTCCTGGGTGGCTGTGTTCAGGTCGTCCATGTTGCCGTAGGTATTGGCAAAGGAGACGTCAATGTAGGTGGGACGGAACGACGGCGCCGGCATCGTCGTCAATTGTGCGTGTTGTGGAGCCGGCGTGGTGGACGACGTCGGCGTGTCCATGGTATTTGGCAGGTATGTCTCGTGGAACTCCTGCAGAGCGGCAGAATGGCGTTTGCTGACGTCAAAGAGCCGAAGAATCACCTCGAGCGACCGGCGAGCGGTGCTGGACCAGCCCTGCAGCTCCTTCAAGACTCGCATGGCGACTTCGACTTGATGGCGGCTGCTCTCCACCACGTCAACGTCGTGAGGATCCGAATAGAGTGAAAGAAGTGGGACCATCACGGCTTGATAGACGAGCCAAGTGGCATTCCAGCCGGACATCTGACAAGCCTTCTGACCTCGCCAGGTGGAGGCAATGTCATTGATCAGATCCGCAGAAACGCCACGGCACAGCTCAATGGCCGCTTGTCTCTCCGGAGAGAGACTCTCCCATGGGATCTTGCGCATGGCATACCAGAGCAAAGCAGGGCGGTGAAGGATGATTCGATTCGACAAGTAGCGCCATCTCATGACATTTTTGACAACCGTGACGCCGGGCGGCTCGTTGTGGGTTGGACATGAAGAGTCTGCTTGCACAGATGAATGTTTGTACCACTCTTGATATAGGGCATCCAGAGGACACCGCTCATACTCTTCCAGAAGAGGAGAGACGGCAAGGGCATCTTCCATCTTTGTGCTGATAATGCAGAAGCGGATGTTCTCCTGCACCAATGCTAGCATGGTCGTAGACTGCCCGATGGGTTCTTGAGGCGGTTTGGCTGTAATGGCGTGGCTCATTCGACCCATGCTCGGCCTTCCTAGAGTGTTGCCGGCCCAAGCATCCAACATGAACGTACACCACCATATTCTGCGGCGCATCTCAATGGAGAATGATGCCTTCTGGACTTTTGTGGGCCCAACACCTTCGGTGTAATCTCGATGCAGTCCCAGCGTGGTCGCAACTCTCAAGGTCGCACCCATCAAGGCATTTGCCTGGTTGGGTATCTGGACGTAATGAAGATAAAAGCCACTCAAGATGGCAAGCGCTTGGACAGTCTCAAGGTGGGCAGAATCCAACGTGTCCATGCTGAGGTGCTGCTTCGCTCTGTTGAAGTAGACATGATGGCCCGCGTCCTCCGACGTCCCTGCTGCCACGCTGCCCATGGCTAGGACACTATTGAGAAGTAGAAGCCAGCGAGAGTCGGTCCTTTGTGCCGCCATATAGGTATCTCGAAAGACTTGCTCCTCAATCAAGGGTATGAACGGATGGACATAGCTGAAGTATGCGTTGATCAGAGGTATTTCGTCCCAAGCGGACGCCGAAGAGGTGTCGATTCTTGTCTGATCAGACTCCATCCTGTTGTTCTCCGGAGTTGGTGATGGCTCACGGGTTGGAATAACGCTCCTCTCGGGAGATTTGGTCAGGCACTCTGGATCGAGCCAGGTGATGACTCTCAGGACCGCCATCACAGAAGATATGCCAAGGTAGGTTGAATTTTGCTTGACTGACAAGGACAGCATGTTGACATCGTCCGTAATTCCCTTCAGAGCATGGGCTTTGCGGTCTAAAAATCCGTCATTGCCGTCCTCCGGCGTCGGTTGCAGCTGCTCGAGGTTGGCAGCATCAGGATTCACGGGAGGCGGTTTCTCTTCCACGCTGGGTGTCCGGGGCGATGGGGGATGAAATTGATTGCCCTTCTGGACAAGGTCGACAAGTCTTTCGCGAGGGAGCTCTTTCAGCTGGTCTGGGTGCACGTTTGGGAAGAGCTTTTGTAGGATGACCCGATAATCCTGGAGCGTCTGAGAAATCTTCTCGACAGACCTGTATACCAAAGGTCAGGACTGTCCGACTGTGGCATGAGCAGTCTCTGCTCACCTTCTGGAGGGGATCTGTCGCTGTCTGGGCTCGGTATAATGGCACGACGCAGCCTTCCTGTACCATTGACATGTTTCACAGGGCTGCTCTCCGCTGCACCGGATCTTCCGGCGTCTGCAAGGCTCGCAAGCCCTCACCGTGGAGGTTCTTCGCTTTGTGGCCGAGCTTGCATTTTGCTCGGCTTGTTCTGGGCTGTGATATTGTGCAGTCTCGAAAGTATGGAACATTCTGAGATGAACCGGGCCAGCGAGCCGGATATCTGGCCGAGGAATGACAAAACAGTAGTCCGCAGAGCAAAATGAGCTCCTGCTACAGTTGGACTCAGCTAAGAGTGGGTTGGGGACTCATTTGCTCACCACAGCGCTGAGTCCTCAAGTCTCGACCCCAGGAGCTTGCCAAAATCTCAACACCCAAGTGTATGAGAACCAGGCTTCCCTGAGAGTGTTCTTGTCAGAGCGATGATGCTCCGATCGACCTGGAGGCCGAGGCAGTCGAGGATCGACAGGGCAACGACTAGCAAGCAGATTGGTGGAGAGAGGCAGGGAAGACAGGGATGTGGCCAAGGAGGATGCGGCAGGCGCAGAAGCGTGCAGAGCTCCTCTTTTGTATCTCCCACTAGAACTGCCGTGTACAGAATAATAAGTTGATCAGAGCTCGACTTCGGGAGGAGTAGAACCACCGGATCTAATATGCTGCTGGAGCGCACAGGCTGAACTCGTGCCACGGGCCATATGGAAGAATCCGGGGAAACTGTGGGAATAACATGGGCAATCTCGACCGGGGAAAAGGTTAAGTTCAACCACATGCATGACGGGCGCAGATACCTTGTTTGTGCTAGAGTTTGGGCCTAGTAGCTTCAGAAGGTCTCAGAAGGTGGTGTGCTTGTTTCCTGGCGAGAGTAGAGGGAGAATGAACGGGCCAGGAAATGATCGCAGGACCAGGGTCGTCAGCAGGGGTGTATGGCTTAGGAGGCCCTGGGTGTTATGTAACCAGGGCCGACCAGAAAGTCTTGGAAAAGCTCCAGAAGGAAAAGAAGGAGGGAGAAGCAGAATTGACTCGTTGAGGTGCATGCAGTAGCGTTTTCGATTGGGATGGACAAAGAGCTAAGGGAAGGGCTACGGTATGTAGGAGTAAATGAGGGTCGAGGTTGAGGGACTTGGCTGGTCAAGGGCCGGTATTTGTCACCCTTTGTCCGACCTGTCAAGCAGGCAAAACGGAAACGAGGAGAGGAGTACTTCGTACTATGTAGCAGTCAGTCCTGGGTATTGTTGATGATTGTCACAGAAGAGTTCTTGGGATGGTAGATGGAGGAGAGGAGGGGAGGGAAGGAGGGGGGAAGTGTGGGTAGTACGTCTAGGTGGTAATTTGATGAGTGATTGAAGTGGTAACGGGCGGTACAGGTAGTATTACCTACCTAGTAGGTACCTGCGACTGTGCACTCTGGCGTACTGCGTAGTGTCGGAAGAAGACAGTAGAGGTGGTATTGGTCTGAAGGAACCTTGACGGTGATGGTGGTGATGGTGGTGATGATGGTGATGATGGTGATGATGGATGCAGACCAAACACTGCCAGATTGTGGGGAGCTTCGTGATTTGGCCTTGAAGTTGACCGCCTCCACAACGCAGTGCATCCTCCATCGACATCCACATCGCCATCGCCATCGCCATCGCCAACGCGTGCGCCAACGCGCTCTCCAACGCCATTGCCATCTCCACCCTCGTCTCTCTCACCATCTTCATCCTCCACATCAAGCACCCTCTATGCACGCTACTGTCCACATGGCTTGTTACATGGCTACAAGAATCGATGAACGATGACAGCTTTCCCCTCGACACCGCTGAGAATACACCACTCTCTCTCTCTCTCGTCTCGAGGTGTCATCTCTCCCCCCTCCAAGCCCCCTCCTAGCCCAGTCTCCTCTCTAGCCCGCACCACCAGCCTCGCCGAGCCCGGGAATCACTGATTTAGCCGCCATTGGGGCTAACAGAGGGATTCCCTGTGTCCGTCTCTCTTTAGCCGGACGGGGCGCATTCTGTGCTTCGACTCCCAATTCCCAATCTGCCGAATATCTTCCCATTGCTCCATTCGCCCAAATGCACCTTCCAACCCCCTTCTGGAATGATGGAATCATACCTAGGTATTATTGGCACCCAATGGGGCTTCCATCTTTCCCTTGTGCAACAGACGGTCGGCAAGCTACGGAGTCCCTGAAGACTTGGTTGGGCGCGAACCTCTCGTCTGACCCATCCTTTGACGGTCTACCCTTGCGAAAAGAGTGGAAAGAAAGCCTGACGAGTTGCCCAGCTACCCCGTATAGACGGGAGATTCGCTCTCTATCGACCCTTCTCACGAGGCCATGTAACATCGTCACACTTACATAACGCTGGCCTCTACCCTTCCGATGTTCTACCGGGGAAAAGAGAAACTTTCGGGCTCCTTCTCTGCTTTGTCCACTTTCTCAACCACCGTTTATAGCCCCTTACCAAGCCCTTCCTCATCTTTTGGAAAGAAGTTGAGCAAAAAAGCCTCACCAGGCTGACTGTTCGCTTAAGCACACTGAACTTCAACCGTCTCAAATTCAACTTTTCCGTCCGGCCGAAAGAGAGCAAATGGCCCTGGCTTCTTTCCCTTCGTCGGCAATGTACAATATCCGTCTTGGGTATGTCGTGCGTGGCCTGGTCTGGTTTCATGCTTCGTAACCTCGGCATCCAGGGGCCATGACTGTGCCTGCCTTATTGCTCCCCAGCCCCCAGGTAGGTCCAGTTGAGCGGTGGTTCTCCAGCCTTGAGCCCTCGCACTCGGATAATCTGCTGGTCATTGGGCACCAAGTCAATAGCGCTGTCGCTTAGATGACACCCTTCCCGCTCCTCAAATACAAGGCACTTGACCGGCCTGTCTGCAGAGACATGCATCTCGTCACCCACCACTTCGACCCTGACGTTTCGATCGGGAAACTGGAGATATTTTAGAGGTTGCGGCCAATCGGTGTCACGAGCAATCAATGTGCCGTCAACCCAAATCCGCGCCGCCAGGACATGGGGCTCCTCCTGCACATTGTCGACCTGCCCCTTGAGAACGTCGGTAGTTCCGTTGGCCTTGACTTTGATTCCCTTTTTCACAATCTTGTCCTTGATCTCCAGGCCGGTGCGGACGGACACAAACTTGACCTCCACATCTGCGGTGATCTCGGTCAGCTTCGCACTGACGACCCACAATTCCCAATCCTGCGTCCGGGGTTCGCGGGCATGTGTAACACTCCAGTCGTGGTGAGATCGACGAATTCCGACCGCCACCGGGGCTAGAACTCGGGCCATGGCATAATACGCCGGTTTTCTCCTCAGGTAGTAGTCAACAATCGACCAGCTAGTCACTGGCCAGCAGTCGTTGAGCTGCCACACCAGGGCTCCGCCGCAGTGTCGGTCGTCCCCCCATTGTTTCCGCCAGCCGCGATAGCCAAACATCAGAGCCTCGCATTGGATCAGCTGGGTCAAGTGGATGTACGCCTCGAGGTTTGTCGCCGTCCTCACATTCTCCACTAGGTACGTGGCAATTCGTCTTTCGTGGCCATCGGCCTTGTTGTGAAAATCTAGAACATGACTTTGCGGATAGAGATCTTCCTCCCTCTCAACAAACGACTTGATTGTCGCAATGTGTGGGAACGCCTCCATGCCGAATTCAGAATTGAACCGGCCTCCCAGCGAGTCGAAGATCTGATATTTTTCCTGCGTCCCGTGCCAGACATTCCACTGGTGCATATCCCCAACCGTGGGGTCCGAGCTGATTTTGCCGTCACCCCATGGCGAACCCGGATGATATGGGATCCAGGGCGCCTCCGCCGCCGAGACCTTCGGCAGTAGTGACTCATAGATGTAGCGTGCTGGGAAATCAGATTTTAGCCAGTGCTCCTCGTTCTTGTCTTCGTAGTCGTAGGTCAAATGAGCAGACTCCTGCACTTGGTAGTCTTCATTATTCCCGGCAAAAATCACCAAGCATGGGTGATGGCGAATCCGTCGAACATTGGCCACGGCCTCCGCTTCGATCGACTTGAGAATTGCCGGAAAGCAGGGGTAGTTTCCGCATCCAAACATGAAATCCTGCCACACCATGATCCCCAACTCGTCGCAAGCGTCGTAAAAAGAGTCGTTTTCGTAAACCCCTCCTCCCCAGACTCTAAGCCATACCGTTAGCTTCAATCCCGTGTCAAAAGACCGCTCGGAAGGATTAGGGAGGGGTCGCTGTCTCGTGTTACCTGATCATTTTCTGGTTCGCGGGTACCATTAACTCGATCCATGCTCGATACTTCTCAGGAGTCACATTCGTCAGAAAGCTATCGGTAGGGATCCAGCATGAACCACCGCAGAAGATGTCGACACCGTTGATCCGAAAATAAAACGACTTCCCGTGCGAGTCTGGCTCCTGCACGAGTTGCACCTTGCGTATACCAATGCGCCGTGACTCTTGGTGTAAAACAGCCCCCTCCGTCGATACCGTTACACTCACTGTGTATAGGGGTTGCTGCCCATACCCGTTGGGCATCCATAATTGCGGGTCGGAGACCTTGAGGTGGGCTGTGGCCTTCTTTCCCGCGGTTATGTTGGCCTGCTTTGATAAAATCTCTCTACCTCCCAGACTGACACTGAAGTCGGCTTTGATATGGCCATGTAGGTCCTCGAGTCCTTCAATATCCGCAGAGGCCTCGATCGTGGCGAGCTGATAGTCGTCTGAGATGGTTATGTCGGTCCTCAGATCTGCTACTCTGATGGAATATATCTCCAGCCGAACAGGCCTCCAGATTCCTGCACACATGAGGAAGGGTCCCCAATCCCAACCCCAGTGATACTGTGCTTTCCTCACGGCCAGACGCGCTGAATCACCATTGAAGCAGATGAATTTATGCTCTGGGTGCTGGTCTTTGATTTCCCTGGCCTTCAGGAAGGCGGGTTCGAGGTCGATCTCCAAACTATGGTCCGACGTGGACTGGATGGCTTCTGTAACGTCGACTCGGTGTGGCAAGAACATGTTGTCGCTTCGCAGGATGGTTTTGCCATCTAGTTTGACATGAGCAAAAGTGTCGAGACCATCAAAGGCCAGTACAACTTTGGAGCCTTGCGCCACAGATGGCCTGGCGAGTCTGGTCCGATAAGTCCATGACTTCAAACCCACCCACTCTGCCTTGACTTCGTTGAATCCGACAAAGGGATCATCCAGTCTGGTGAGGATGTACATCAGCTCTGGCCCGTGGTCAAGGGACACCACAATACACACTTCTTGTTGTCGATCAGATCCTGGTGCACGGTGGAAGGGACCTTCTTGACCGGGCACCAGGCATTCTCACCAACATCATCACTCTGCTTGAATGACCACCCAATGGACAAGTCAACAACCTCCATGGGCATCAGCATATCATCGATACCGGACATGTCCCCCATCGGTTTCCAGATGCCGCGCTTGTTCTCTAAGGGAAGAGGAAAAGAGGAAAGTACACAAGAAGGAACGATGCGAGAATATTTCTGTGGAAAGATCCCAAGAGTCCTTGCAAATAGAAAAGAGGATGAGCTGGAGGCACGGGAATTGGAGAATTGAAAAGGTTTCAACCGCCACGCAACACGGCGTGCTACGGTGCTACCTCCTGGCAGTTAGAGAATCCACCTCACCCACTTGATCTGGCTGTACGGAGACAACGCCGCGACGTGAGGATCTCTGTAGCAGAGTAATGCTAAAGAGTAGAATGGGTAACACATGACCCAGTTTACCATTGATTGCCCCCATTGAGCGAGGCGGAAGGGCTTCGAAAGTGGCATGGAGACAGGCTTGACAGGGTCGCGGGGGATATGACGGAATATCCACGTTAACCGAGAAGCCAATCGGAGGATTTGTAGCCGACGAACTAGGACGTATCCGGACGACGGAGGAGGAGAGCTCCGGTTCTAAAAGGGGAAAGCGTCATTCGAGTTTATCAAGCAGTCCGGCCATCGAGCCTCTGCTTTCCGCATTGCTCAGAGCACTCTGACTCGCTGCCATGCATCCTGGCTCTTTCTCTTGTTCACTCTCCGGAGTACTCACTAAGCACGCGAAATGAGATCTTGTCAGTCTTTCAGTCCTGCCTGTAGCGCTGAATCCGACATCTCTCCCGCTCACCCCCGGTACACCTGGGCTGAAGCGCGCCTGTGGTGGACATGGCGAGTCTTCCTAAACTATACTGGAGCTAGCTGACCTCTCGACAAACCTCCATTTCCCTTTCTGTGCAGGGACTATCCGCCGCATCCCAATCCGATACCTGCACCAGCACAGATCAATCCTCATGGCACCAGACAACGCTGCGCCCTAGGCAGACAAGAGTTGAATAAGACACACGGAGTACAGATCTGATGTGATGCAGGAATGTGGCCTACACAGGGCATTCCGCTCCTAGTGAACCACAGTTACCAGCCCCATGTGCCAGGGCCTCCTTTCATAGCTCCTTCGAGCTCACTTGTTACCCATCCACCGTAGTAGTCGCCTATGACGAGGGCAAATCAGATGCGGCCACCAGACGGGATCAATTGCTCACCTTCCTGCGGGGTGACTTTTTCGTCGTCGACGAAGCATTCCCACGGTACGCCGCTGGCATAGAAAGACAGGTATCCCTTGATATCTGTGAAAGCCGGAGTCGGCGACTCATAACTCCATATCTTGTTCTTGACTGTCTGCCCCGTCGACTTGTCGGTCAAATCCCAGTAAGTGGCTCGGCCTTTCCATTCACAAAGTGATGCCTTCTCGGGGACCTGAGTAAGCTTGAAAGAGTCCGAGACGGAGTTTCGAGGGAGATAATATGCTGCACGAGTTGAATTGGTCGGTGTCAGCTGTGTTTGTTGGACAAACGTATCCCCACAGGTAGATATTGCCCTTGTTCCTTCTTATCACGACTTGTTAGAGGAAGATTGGACTTACTTGGAGGATGCGTAGTTTCCAAAGCCCAATACGCTGATTTGGTTTCGGCTATGGTCTGTCCATTCCACCTAAGCACCAAGTGCCTTGGGGTTTTCTCCAGCAGCGGAGGCCGTGGGAAATTCTGGACGTTCAACCTGGGTTTCGCAGCCATGGTGTGAGAGTGTTGATAAATGATCTAGACGAAATAATGGCTGAGATCCTAGGCCTGGATCAATATCAGATTCACCATATTATTTGTATGCTTGATGACGATATAGAAGTCTGACTGCCCCTATTGGGGTCTAGCCATAGGCGGCCCTTTTGTCCTCCGATCGGCTTCCTGGGGATGATCAGCGATCATACAGATCGTGTGGCGCTGGGCAGCGTCAAGGCCTATGCGGAGTACCGAGTACACAAGGTAGCAAACAGTTAAGGAGTCAGCACCTCAAAAGCATGAAAAAACCAGTCTTGATGTTTCTAAGTCATATCTCGCTCTTTTCGCTCTCCCTAAGTCTGGATATACGTCCTCTAAGCTCTTAAGTGTTTTGAAGGGCAGTAGCAGCGCAGAGAACAAGTCAGACAGTCGTGTCCCACCTGCTCGCCCCCCCTGCAGGTCTCCGTTAGGCTTGCCATTTTTCTTTCAACTTCAGATCCTCTTCATCTCTTAACCTCTTACTGACTGTAGCTATGTGGTGGCCTTTGACACTACAAGCAACAACCACGGAGTCCCGCCATTCCTGTCGTGCCTCAAGCCGTTCCAGGCACGATTCCCAGCGGAAGTCGCCCGAGGAAGACTAATCATTCTTGAACTGGGCGTTCTATTTTTCTTCCGGTTCAGACTCTGCCCCGCGCGAATACGAAGGGCGAGAGTGGCCAATTTGCCCTCCTCCCCGCTCCCAAAAAAGCCACACTTGGCCTGCCTATGATGCAGCAAACGGCGATGGCCAGGTCTATCGTCCATGACGCGGGAAAGAACTTTCTTTGGGCCTTGGGCCTGGAGCCGTGGATCTTCGCCCATGAATCCATGACGGGGACCTCGTTCTCTACGAGGGAGTCTACCCCCTGCCTAAGCGATGGAATGATCTTCTTCCAACTGTTTATCAATGGGGGCTTTTTGCGGCGTCTTCGGGGTCTCGATGCTATTTTCCGCCATTATTGATCTAAATGCTCGTTTAAATTTGGGAATGATGCAAAGACCTCGTGGCGAGCCTGGCCCTGCCTTAGCGTCGCCTTAGGACCGTTATGTCGGGCTCTACCCTCGGGGTTCAAGCATTCCCTCGCAAGCCACCAAGGAGCATTTCCTGAAATCTCGACCAAAGTCTCGTTTCCTGCTGGCTTCATCAGAATTCGATCAATTGTTTTCGAAGCACGCACACAGACATGTCTTCCCTTCTGTTGAGCGCTGCAAGTGGCGGCATTTTCGGTGCTGCATTGACTGCATCGGGAGTATACTCGCCGTCTGTTATCATCTCGCAACTCCAGCTGGGCAATTTTCATATGCTCAAGAGCTTCCTCGCCGCCAGTGCCTGCAGTGCGTTAATCGTCGTCTCCGCGAATCGAGCAAAATACGCCAAACTCAACCCCCGGTCCGATTCCTCGTATGGCTGGTTTATGAGATACGATGCAAACCTCATTGGCGGACTTTTACACGGTATCGGCATGGCCTTGACTGGTGCATGTCCTGGTACTGTCCTTGTGCAGCTTGTGATGGGTGTGAAATCCGCACCGGCCGTTGCTGCTGGATGTCTCTTGGGAGCAATCACCTTTGTCAAGTCGGCAGAGCGCCTCAAACGAACGCCACCTGCGAAAACATCCACCGGTCAAACTCAGACCGTGCAAGAGAAGCTGGGCCTGTCCACCAACTCTATGATTCTCCTGTACGAGATTTTATGCCTTGGTATGATCCTTGCGGCGACGTACTTGGCACCCACGCGGGATCACTGGCTCAACCCTATTGTGGGCGGACTTCTCATCGGAGTGGCGCAAGCAACCTCAGTTCTGTTCACTCGCAAGACCCTCGGTGTGTCAAGTGCTTATGAAGATATCGGGAAACATTTCTGGCGTGTCGTGGACGGGACTGCAGGCCCTGGCTTGTCCAACATCGTCTTCGCCAGCGGCGTCATGGCTGGGTCAAAGATCATTTCGCAATTCATACCAGCCGTATCCGAGGCGGCGGGCCCAGCGATCAGTCCCCTTGCCGCTGTTGCTGGGGGGTTCACAATGGTATTTGGCGCAAGACTGGCGGGCGGATGTGCAAGTGGACATGGCATCTCTGGGATGGCCACCATGGGTCTGAGCAGCTTCATTACCGTGGCTGGCATGTTTGGAGGTGGCATCATATTTGCGCTACTGCTACGATGAGTGCTGGACCTCCGTCACTTGATGTACTGTCTCTCTGGCATGGCAAGGCTAGACTCATTCACCATTTCACGCTGGACAGTTGTCTAAATGATCACCACCAGCACATCACGCAGTGACAAAACAACAATGTCGAAGCAGACGCAAAAGGCACTTCCATGGCCAGCCACTGCCTCGTGACCAATGTGAACAGCACTGCCTGTCAGTGACAACCATTCACTGCGCGATGGGACACCTCTCCTCGAAGAAGGGATCAACTTCCTGTCATGGATCTGTCTGTCTGCACCATATCTGCTTGACATCTTGAGCTCTATCGTCCTGCTTGCCTGCCAACACTACCACAGATCAACAACAAAAGCTTGAGCTGCCAAACATTCCTGGAAAGCGCTGTCATACAATACCCGGCTGGTGTATCATCCCAACGCAACTGCCTCCAAAAAATGCCCTTCCTCAAACTCGTCCCCGTCGAGCGACCTGCTACTCCCCTAGCGCAGCTGTCCGCGACCACCACTGGCACCTCGACTGCTACCAGCAACGGCAACGCCAGTAAATCGGAACAGCCTCTCCTCAAACACTCCAGCACGCAAACCACAAAGGAGGACAGCAACCTCGATACGTGCACCGGGTGCAAATACTTGAAACTGACGCCAGAGACGAACACATCCATCGCTGCCCGTGCTCAGGCTCAAGCTGAAGCTCCGAAGTCATCTACTCGTGTGGAGCAGGAGATTCATGGGGACGACAAGGCTGCCGGAGCTCAGGAGAAGTGATTCCGTGCGAGGAGATGGGAGAAATGGTCGCATGTAAACAACAACTACGGTGTACTTCAGACACGGGTTTCAAACCTTCCAACCATGCTCCATCTGTACCTAAGTACCTGGGTATCATGTCTGCATGCTGCATACCTAGCCTAGCCTAGCCTAGCCTAACCTACTTAGGTACATACAAGGTACATAGAAGGGATACAATCCTCAGATCAGGCAGTGACGACGACGGGGACGAGGATAAAGAAGTCACTACAACCCAAAATGCCATCCATATCCATAATCGCCACTGCACCGTAGGGACACGGTCCACGCGTGCAGATGGGTTGGGTACATATGTACTGGCTAGATACTGTATGTGAAACAGTCTCGCTCAAGAAATTCTACAACACCCTACTAGGTAGGTATTATCTAGCCAAAAAGCCCCCCCCCAAAAAAGAGAAAAAGAAATTGTCAGGGCCCAATCTCCCCGAGAGCCTTTCTTTTGCTTTCCTTTGCTTAATATCGTACAAACCTGAACACACAATCCAATCACATGCATCGCAATGTCCAAGATGCAAGGGTGATTTCTGGTCCATGTCCGTCGGCGATTTACGAGGTAGTCAAGTCATATCTCCCATAGTCCTCGTGTATTTACACCTGTTCTCACTTTCCCCGCGGGTTCCCCAAAGGTGTGGGTTAGGGATCAGCACCGTTGCAAGTAGTTACTAGGCACCAACCCAATGCCGCCTGCTTTCATTCCCCTCGCGCTCTCCTTGATCTCGGCCTCCCACCAGCCATCGTCCTGAAGTCGCAATACCGCGAGGATATCGCCTTTGGAGAAGGACAACTCCTCAGGAATCGCCGCTGTGTAGCTGTACATTGCTCTCGCTACAAAAGAGTATTGTTAGTCAACTGTTTTCAAAATCCGGGGTGGTTGCATGAAAGGTCTAATCGACCAAATGCATGGCTGACTTACCATAATGCAAGATTCGCTGCTGACGTTGCTCTTGGGGCGGAGGTCCTGCTCGGTACGGTATCGCTGCCAGACTCTTGCTCCTCTCTCTCCGAAGTTCGATATCCATACCTCCTCCGTTTGCACTTCCCCCTCTCTGCCGGCTGTCATAACCCTGTGGTTGGAGCTGGAACTGCTGCTGCTGAGGTTGTTGTTGCGGATACCGATCTCCGCCAAAACTGGAGTTGGGCCGCATCATTCCCTGGCGACTTCTCCCGCTGCCACCGGACCCGTCGTAGCGTCCGGGATCCTGTGAGCTCAATTGAACCTCCATGCCGGTGCTTTGTCGTGATACTTGGCTCGGTGCCGGCCCAGAACCTCGTGATCCTCCATAAGGATTGGGCGAGGCCGCGCGGTATTGCTGGGCCCCAGGCCGTCCTCCCGCCATCATTGCTGGATTCGGACTCGCCGCTCTCGGGGCCATGACAGGGGCTGGGCTTCTCGAGCGCGGCGGATATCTTTGGGTTTGTTGTGGTTGAGGACTAACAGCACGGGGGATGACGCCAGGAGCCGGGCTTCTGGCACGAGGAGGATGCTGGCTTGGAGGTTGAGGTTGTGGGCTCGCTGCTCTCATCATGCCCGGCCCAGGACTTCTCCTCCCATTGCTCGTACCAGGTCTTGATGGCTGATTCGGATTACCCCCTCCCCTAGTGCCCCATGTTTCAGTGCGGTTCAGCATTTCGCGCTTGGTATGTGCTGGTTGGGGAACACCAAGAGCACTTTGCGCTCTCCCGCCCACAATGGGTGTTGGTCCGGCGGTCTCATATGCTGGCGGAGGTGTTCCTCTCTGTGCCGCCAGGCGAGCTTGACTTTCAGCGCTAAGTATGCCTGGTCGAGTGGCTGGTTCTTGGTCAGGGGCAGGGGTTGCCACACCATGATACCGATCCACAGCCACCCGAGTACTTGATTGTTTAGCCATTGCCGTGGAGCCACCGGCGGTTAGTTTGAGATCTGCAAGTGCTTGTGCTATAGGATCGTGCATCAACTCATTGCCGGTCGTGGTAGGGTGTGGCCTAAATTGGCTGCGCCGATTTGCGGTACTTGCCTTGGGAGTTGAATCTTGAGCGCCGTCCGGGCTAGCCACGTCGAAGACATTGTTGCCTACACTCAATTGGAAGCTCGCTCGAGGATCAGCGGCCTCTTCGCCTTCGGGAGCCAAGTTAGCTGCATTTCTGTTGAAGTAGCTAGGTGCTTGACGGGTTGGAGACTTGGTAGGACTTGGCTGCGCATCGGCAACCGTGGGATTCAGATTTATGCGAGCGCTGCTGACCGGGGCTCCGTTCCAGGTGTTGCGGCTCGTGCTATCGCTGGCGGTCTGGGGTTCGTGCTCTTTCCTAGACTTTCTGCGGAACGGACTGTTCGAGAAGAAACCAGACCTCTTCTTCTGGAGGGGCTTGTCGGGTGACGCCATTCCAGGCAGTTCAACGCCATTAACAGGTGGACCCTTTGTGGGTGAAGCTGCGCCAGAGCTAAGTTCGGCACTGGTGAAAGAGCTTGGTGCAGAATAGTCGCTCTGGTCATCTCTGCTATCTGGTCGAGTGTTCGAGGATAGAGCAGACCCAGCAACCGAGGGTGCGTCGCTTCTGCAGAACATGGTCATGCCCTCAGTCGGATATTGATTATGTGGCACTTGCGGGACTTCGCCATGCTGGCTCGGTGAGTAGTTCGGAGGGACATTTGGTCCTGGATGCTTGTAATTCAACGGCGGAGGACGTCCACTGTTTCCAATGGACGGCGTCGGCATATCATCCTCGTCTGGTCTCGTCGGCTCTTCTGAGTATCGCCGCTCCGGAGTCTGGCTGTTTCTGGCCTTTGTAGAGCTTGAATGAGTCGGGGATGATGATCTAAAGGCCGGATTGGTGGTTCGTGAAAACTGGGCAACAGAGTAATTCTCGTCCTCCGAAACCTCAGATGCCGTGTCCACATCGCCTCGACAAAAGTTGATGTATCGAGGAGGATCCGGAATCTCTTGACCTGTTCCGCAGGTCTTTATGAAGCTGGCAATGTCCTTCTCGACTTCACAATTCTCCAGAGCAAGTCTGATCTTTTCGCAGGACGCGTCATCTGAGACACACACCGTCGAGGCAATGTTGGCGAACGCCCATAGAGACGACTTTGTGAAGTCGAGGCGTTCTTCTTCGAGATCTTGGAACTTGTCGCAGGCGGCTTTCCACTCTTTGTTCCACCGACCGGTCGTCTCCTCCAAAACTTTGATAGCAGCCTCGTATTCGTTCGAGTTGGTGGCCATGTTGATCTGTGTCTTCTCGAGCTTCGCCTTGTTCTTCCGCTCTTCTTGGCCCATGACCATGTGGCCCTGAGCCAGATATCCCTTGACCCGCAAACAGTCCTGCTCATACTTGTCCCGACATTTGTTGACGTGAGCGGTCTGTGCTTGTTTCGTCTTGTGCAGCCTCTCGATTCCGGTCTGGATGATTTTGCGACGCTCTTTGATTCCGCCTGCAAACGCTGCCAGTGGCTCCTCGAGCTCGGATCTCATTTGCTGGGCGATCAGGGCATGCTGTTTGCCCATTGACTCTGTCTCTCCTCTCGCGACATCCAAGCTGGCCCGCAAGGTTCCCTGTTCAACACTTCCCAGCGGTTTTCGCGATAAGCTCAGAAGTTTTTTGGCGTAGTCCTCCTCCAACGCTGCTCTTGCATTGTAAAAGGCTTTCAATTCATCGGACGTGGTTTTGGCATTTTGCATGCGGGTTAGGAGGGGGTCGACGCCAGCGTCATCTCGTCCCCAGAAGTTATTTGAGACTACCTCAGCAGTTAGGCAGTGGTCAGGTATCGCTGGTCCCGATACTTACAGCTCAATGGCACAGATGGAGGGGCACCTGTTTCCGACGCAGTGCCTGGCGGCATCGTGCCAGCCGTAACAATGTTTCCTCTGTCTTTTGGTCGGAGTGGCTGCACTGGTGTGAAGACTGAACCTCAAGATTCTGGAGTTTGTGATAATTATGCGTGTTGCAACAACTGTACCTAGGTAGAGAATAGTGAAAAGCAGGCTGGTTGCGTACGCACAAGAGCGCCAACCATGATTGCGGTGGCGTGTTTGGGGTTTCCAAATTGGTGTGGCTCATTGTTCCCTAGCAACCGACCGCCAAGACAATATCCAGCCTTGTCGCAACAGCAGCTCAGCCTTGCGCACTATCGACCACCTACTAAGTACCTACCAGGTAGGTAACCAACAATGCCCGCCCCTTTATCCTCTACTCAATCAACCTCGAACATAAACCCCCAACCCTTGACAAGCCGGGTGTCTATTCCCACCACTTTCAGCATCCCCCATACCGTTGTACTAACCGTATCCAGCACAGTGACCCTCAGCGACTTCTCCCAATACTCGACGCGCTGGGCTGCGAAAAGATTGGTGCAGAATGTTGTCAGCACCAGTGCGCCATTGGCTGCGACATCCATCACCATTTCATCCAGAATGCTCTCGTTTACGCGCACAATTTCATTATTGTCCGTGATGCCTAGATGGCGCTCCCAATTCCCGCTGATGTCTATGCCAATTGCTGCATAATTGGAGCGTATCGCGTCATTCATGCCTTTGATGTACGGAGTCACCAGCCCTATCGAGGTGACACCCAGGCTGTGCATGAGCGCGTTGAGTGACATGACAGACGTTGTCACCTTGATGCCGGTTTCGGCCTGAATAGCAGCGCACAGCCTCTCATCGTGTTGGAATCCAAGCCACCCAGCCGACGTGCCGCCCCAGCCGATCACATCGACTTTGGCATCCGCTAGCAGCCTTGCTGCAGACAAGATTGGTTCTAATTCGAACTGGGCGTTTGCAGCTGGCGAGATGTCGATCGTCGTGACCCGAAATCGGGAGAAATGCACCGAGATAGATAAACTCTCCGAATTGATGGACGAGACAATTGCGTTTGTCAGCGGCTCTAACGCGGTATTCGACGAGGGCACAATGACTCCAAGACGTACGAATCTCATTGTTTGTGTGTGAGCGGCGTGCCAATGTTCTGCGACGGGATAGAAAACTTAAACAAGCAGTTTGCCAGGCTTGAGGATACCGGGACTGATAAGGTGGCTTGAATACAGGTCCGGAGTTCAACGCCAAAGGCCGCCAAGACGAGGCAAACGACACCCTGCTCAGTGCTCACCCCTCTTTAATAAGACGAGTATAATGCCGTCCTGTGCTCCTCCCGACTCAGGCGAACCGGGTGGCTCGGGTGAGATCTTAGTTGACATCGTCCTCATTCGCGCAGAGCGTGTGACAGACTTCCCAATCCAAGGAGGGAAATGGTCGACGCATGTAATATTGCGAGGAAGCTCTGTCGTTACCATTCCCGGCTAGAATCAATAAATATTTTATTTGTCCAAAACAGTGCCGCTGCCCCTGAACCCTTCCGCAACGTTCGCTTGACTATTCGACAAATGTGCCCTGACACCCCCTATACAGAAAAAAAAAAGCTTTCTATAGACTTTCGATACGTCCGGACTACCAATCGAGATTTCTGACCCAACGAAAACGAAGCGCTCGCGAGTCATTAGCCCCTTCTTCCTCGTTCGCCTTTTACTCCGCCAATGCTTTACCTACCGAAGTAAGTGTTTGATAGAGGCCCTCATAACGGAATTATTCCAGTGCTCGAGCCAGAGTCGTTCGGCAGTCAGAACACCTCACTGGTCGCGCAAGGTCGTTCAACTCTCGCCGGCATGCGAAGCTCAACTGCACATGCGTGGGCGGATAAAATGCATCGGGAACCAGATCGGAGTCGGCTGCATAGAAGCGATTTGCGTAATTCATCAGTCCATGTACAGCGTATGGAGGTTTGGCGTGCCCCGTATGGATATCAAGGGTAGACTCAGCATTCCCAGCAAGACGGCGCCAGCGCTTTCGGGGCAACGCTTGGACATAGAAGCGGTTTCTCATGACGATATTATTATTAGCAATCCCTCGGGATCCGCCGAGGCTACCAAGCCAGACTCGTTCTGCGCATCATTCGCGTCGTTGTCCGGCGTGACATCGTCGTACGCAAAGGCGTAGCCGCGGCCGTCGAGCTGCAGTTGGTGGACGAGCTTGCTGTACCAGTTGGTCGTCGGCGCGGTATAGTAGCACTCGGACATGGCGCCGTCGGGCTGGACGTTGCCGCCGTCGATGAGAAGTGTCGCGCGATTGAACGCGGCGCAGAGGCGCGGGATCACCGCTTGCTGCAGGTCCGTCGCAGCCGAGTCAAGCGCGAAGGGACCAGTGGCGCAACTGAAAATGTCCATGGCGGAGGGCTGTGCAAATGATGCGATCGTGCCTGCGTCACTGTCGTCGGTGCAGGTGAGCAGGTCGTCGCTGGCGCTGACAGTGCATGAAATGTTGCCCAGCTCGGACTGACTGTTAATGATCAGCGGTTGGCTGGCGTAAGTGGTCCAAACCTGGTCGACGTACGAGGACCAGTAGTCCGCAAAGGCGTCCGGGTTCAGGTCCATATAGTCGGCCGGAGCAAGGACACGGACCGGCTGGCCCTGCGCGTCGGTCACGCAGAGCTCGTTCCAGGGGTACCCGTCTGCCGCGGTCTGGTTTGCTAATCCCTCGCAGAGGGTCTGAATCGCGTTCGGCTCCAGGCCCGGAGTCGTTTGGGTCCCCATGTCGGCGCCCGTCAGGACGAGTCCCAGGTTCATGCTCACGAAGTCGACGTAGCTGATGTCGCTGTAGACGATACCGTCCGCGGTGTACGTGAGCTCTACAAAGCCCCAGCTGGTGGAATTCTGCGAGGGTCCTGTGACCGACGGCTCGACCAGCGCAGGGCCCGTTGCGCCCAGGACGACTGAGAACTGCAAAGTTCCCTGGGCGAGCCATATCCTCCCGGCGGACACGGGTATAGGGATCGTGAGGTTTGTCGTTTCGCCAGAGTCGGATGACACGGGGATTGTGATCTGGTCTGGGGAGATGACGGTCGGGATAGATGTCGAAATATCTGTCGGGGGATAGTACCATTGACCATCGGGCTGTAGCAAGACGAGCAATCCGTTCGCGTCATTACCCGTCATGTATAGGTTGACACTGTCTCCCTGGGAAAGGTTGTTCAGAATAGAAAGTGCTAATCCAGTCCCGGAAGCACTATTCAAGGCTACCGGGTTCAAGGCTGTCTGATTCAAGGTTATCTGGTTCAAGGCCGTCTGGTTCGAGGCCGTCGGGTCCAAGGCCGTCTGGTTCAAGGCCGTCTGGTTCAAGGCCGTCTGGTTCAAGGCCGTCTGGTTCAGGGCCGTCTGGTTCAGGGCTGTCTGGTTCAGGGCTGTCTGGTTCAGGGCTGTCTGGTTCAGGGCTGTCTGGTTCAGGGCTGTCTGGTTCAGGGCTGTCTG